TGCCTAATTAGGTAGTTATATAGCTAAGCCTAGTATTAAAGTTGCACATTGCGCTTATAGTTCCCTCTTTATTTTATCTAAATATCTACGGAGTAGTTAAATCTAAAATAGTATTCGAATCCTCAACCTGCTAGCTGGTGCGCTGATTTTTGGCTTAACAACAAGGTCACCTACATTGGCAGAACATTCATCCTCTTTTACAGCGGTGGGTAAGATTAGTACCACTTCCTGTCCATGTCACGCACAGAGTTGGTGCCACAGTGGACCTCGCCGCCGTACCCGGAGCCGAGGTAATTATGATGAGTGTTCCAGTCGTCGACGAAGATGACGTTCATGTTGATACTGGCGTATAGCGACTTGAGTTTCTCGGCAAGGATATCGGTACCGTTGACAATAGGGCCCCAGGGGTTGGGGGCAATGTACGTGTTGAAGCCGGTCATGACGAGGCCGTTGATAACACCGGGGAAGAGCGCGCCGACTTTGAGCTCGCCCGATCCGTATTCGAGACCAAGCTCGGACAAAGCATTTGTGGCATTGATGGAGAAGTTTCCGCCAGGGAAATCAATATCAGGGAAGCTGAACATGGCCGGCAGGCGGATGATCTCAGCCTCAGTAACCCCCGTGGCATCCTTTAGGATTTGCAGGTTGGCCTCGATGCGCTCGGCGCAGCGCTTTTGCACAGACATGAGGTCCTCGTCGGCAAGCAAGTCGTCGATGGTGGTGGGCTTGACGGGGATAGCAGCGCAGCTTGGGCCGTTACAGTCGGAAAATAACTCGGTGTTGTTCTTGCGTGAGAAGGCGCGCTCCGAGCCGTGTCTACTGTCTTTGAGCTGTTGGAGCAACTGGACGCCCGCCATGGAGTCATCAGCCATAATAACCCAGCCACGGGACGAGTTGGCAGGCATGAACTGGAGGAACTCGTCCACGTGGCCGATAGCCAGCCAGTCGGTATCGAGGAGGAGGGGTTCTTGGGTTTCCTGAGCCTGGAAGAAAGGAAGCATGAAGTGCTTCTGCTCACCATGGTTGCCAAGTATTATACGTCCAGCGGGCCAGGAAGTGCCGTTGAACTCGTAGGGAGGAATGGTCTCGATATTACCGCCGGAGTTGATCTCGTGGCGGGAACCGCCGAGCTGCTGTACCGCACCAATGCCTGTGCCGCGGTAGTACTCAAAGAGTTGCCTTCCGGCGACACGCTCATCCTGGGGAGATCGAATCATGACACGCAGAGTGATGGGTCCGTCAGGACCGGGCATTGAAGCGAAGCCAGGCTCCATGAAGTCCTGGGCCCAGATGTCATCGCTGCCGGAGAAGAGGTAGACTGCCTCTTGTAGGCCAGACATGGTGACCGCTGATTGGAGGTCCTTGGTGAAGCGGAGAAGCCAGGGGGCACTGGTCTCGTTGCCCTGGACAGCGAGAACCTGCTGCACAGCGTCGAGGTGGGAGTGGGTGAGGACAGGCGCGACACGCAGCATGACGGCGTCGGACGAAGAGCCCTTGGAGCTCTCGACGTCAAAACTAACAGTGACGCGACCGTCCCAGCCATCAGGACGACGGGTGTCACGTCCATCAATACCAAGGACGAGACCCTCGCGGAGGGCGGCGGCATTGAAGGTTGAATTCCCTTCGACGAAAACCCAGGTGCCGTTGGCGTTCGCCTTGTGGAAGATGCGGACATTCTTGCGCTGCACGGGGTCTTTGATGGAGACACGGCCGAGAGTGTCGTCAGGAAGCTCAGGAATGGGGACGGTGAGGAGCGGAGCGAGGAACTGCTCGGAGCGCATCGTGTTATCAGAAGCATCGTTGCAGTCGTCGAGCTCCTCGTTGCTGACTGAAGGGCCATTCAGGAGGGCATTGGAACAACGCCTGTCCGTATCCCCAATGTTGGGGAGGAAGATGGCGCCAGAGTTGGCGGTCCACTCGTTCTTGCCATCGCAGTCCGAAGATCCGACAATGTCGACCTTGCCATCGCGGTTGGTGTCAGCACGGATGTCGGCGACGAAAGGTGCAGATGGTGTGCATGATTCACGCACGATGGCTCTGGTAAGGGCAGAGTGTGTAAAGCCTGTGCTCGTCTTAGTATGCCGTGCCCACGTGGACCCTATAGACGGTTGAATGAGGATACATACAGAGACCCGAGAAGACGAGCAACGCTTGGGGACGCATCTTGAAGGCTTTCCGGAGCGATGGAGATGTGTTGTTCACCGTTCTCTCCGCCTGTTGTTTATAAGGTCGTTTTGAAGTCGACTGAGGATATATGTTTCCTTGGTCCTTGGAGACATTGCATCCTCTTTATATGCATAGATGCTCGGATGCAGAGAACACATCGGACTACTCTCCGAGTCTTCTGTTCTCGCCGCAATGCGATTGCGCCGCCAATTCCAGCTCATTGCGGTGACAAGAGGCTGTGCTCTCTGCGTATAGAATCTTGCAGTCGGCGTATATCTGCTATTGTTAGAGTGAGGTGGATATAAGCGTGGGTAACGTCTTGGCGGCGCGGACCGGATGCTGCAAACGCTTTAGTTGAACGGCGCGGATGACTCTAATTGGCTGTCCGTGCACAATCTTTTATACGCTCTGGCCAATCATGTCTTTGAGGATTGCGGCATATCCTAAGACCGGTCAAAGCGTGCGACTGCGACAGTTCACCCTTCCTATCGAAGCTTTCTTAACTTATACATGCTGTCGACAAGAGCTCCTGTCAGTATCCAAATAGCTCACGCCTCCCTATAAGGACCATCTCCCCCTAATGCAGATTGGAATCAGGGGTGAGCCTCGAAAATGCACACTCGCAATTCGGCCCAACAACTATACGCCACAGCCAACGACATCGTCGTGGGTGTGTCAGTACCAACAAACCGCCCCCGAGTGCGCACCTTTTCGCACAAAGTCCGCACGGGATGCATTACTTGGTATGTACCCTAGATCCGTGGCAATACGCGGCTATTAGCTGTTCCCCCTTTTCATTTTCTCCGTCCCCCACCCCGTCGGCCCACCCACTTGCCATCCACAGGGGGCAGAGTGATATACGCTATACGCCCGCCATCAGAAGAGTTTTCAATAGCTAAACTTTTGCGCAGCAAGTGAGTGTGTTTCACTGTCACATCACAAAACTGCGTATAATGCTTAGTGCGCATATGGTCTTCATGCCCATGCCAGGCCTGGTATTACTCTTAACGCAGGCTGACAGAGCGCGTCTTGATCTGCAGAATACGCCGGAAGAAATGTGATGAGGAGAAACCGACATGCCGCCGATGTAGAGACAGCCGGGTCAAGTGCGACGGATATGCGCAATCGCCATCTAAGAACAAGAAACCACGTTCGCAGAAGTATACGCCCGCGGATACTTCTGCCAACCCATCCGCCTCAGCAGCAGTCGAGCGCCTTGCCGGCCAGTGTCAGCTGCGCAGTACACTCCCAGCCATCAGGCTTGATTTCGACCTCGACGGCAGCGAGTCAGACCGGCTCTTCTTCCACCACTTTCGCGCCATCACTATCGTCGATTTCGTTCGGCTCGCCACTCCCAAAGATTTCTGGTTCCGGAGAGTGCTCCCCATGTGCCATGATGAGCCCGCCATACGACACACGGTTGTTGCGCTTGGCGCAGCCCATCACTTCTATCTCCAAAGGCACTCAAATTCTTGTTCAACGGGCACGAACGCGGCCATGTCTCCTTTCGAGCGTGTTGCCACCCAGCATTACAACAAAGCCATCAGAGAGCTGGTGAGCCTCAACGACATCGCGACACCAAAACCCTGGGATGCCCAGCTCACGATTCTGACCTGCTGCTTGCTCTTTGTCTGCCTCGAGAACATTCTTGGCCGCTTTGACGAAGCGGTCCGTCACATGCAAGCCGGCGCCCGCCTCTTCGAAGCCTCGAACCTCTCCGCCGCCCCGCATGATTCACGAGAACTAATGCAGGAGATTGCAACCTTGCTGGCCCGCTTCGCTGTTGACGCATCCCTCTTCGCCAACGACTACGTAATCCCCGACCTTACCCCTTATGCCATGCCTCTTATAGAGATTGATGAGGGAACACAGCCTTTTTCAAGCCTCACGGAGGCTAGGGACGCCATTTGGGACCTGGACATCAGGGCGCCCTATATCGACTGTTTACGTGCAAGCGGAGACGGTCCGGTTGGCGAAGATAGCAGCACACACAATAAATTGACAAAACTCGCCGCGCCGTTTGAGCGTTGGAAGACGAAATTCAACCTTCTCGTCTCATCCCTGGCCGAAACCCGAGACCTCCCGAATAGCATCCAGCGGGAGATATTGGTCCTCATGCTCCGCCGCTGCACGTGGGACATTTTACTATTCCAAGGGAACGAAGACAAAAACAAAGAGCTATGGAAACTTTGTCATGAGCTAATCCACCTGGCTGAACGCTTATACAGCATTGAGGCTTCTTGGTTGGGTCGGCCTATGTTCACGCTAGATAGCGACAGCATTCCTGCTTTGTTTTTCGTGGCAATTTCTTGCGGAGACTCTGCCTTGATGCAGCGCATCATCGTCCTTCTACGTCACTCTCGGAGACGGGAAGGCTCTTGGGATAGCTGGAAAGCGGCAGACAAGGTTGAAATTGAAAATCAAATGCGCGCAGTATTGTCCAACTAATGGCTAGAACATTGTCTTAGAGTCTTCTTGACTATCACACAAAGATTTGTTTAGATGATCTAAAAGGGTCTTGACGACCCAAACGATTGGTTGGTTGGTTCATTCAGTTATTGATCTCGCAGCCTGTATGCAGAGGCTCAGTGGCCACGCAAGCAGCGCCCTGCGCCTTTCACCCTAAGGAACCAGGCCTCCATCTGATCTGGGGTGGTTCTGCTTCGAAGGGGAGAAGCCGGTCGATAGCTTTTCCGTTGCGAAGGGGATAGGATAGAGACCTATCATGCAACCCCTTCAGAGCCTTATCGACTTCATAGTTCTCAGGCATCTGCAAGCGTTGCGCGGCCATTACAGCCACTAGGACCACTCCACCTGTAGGTAGAGGTGCGTCTTACTGTGGCATCAGGGCTAAGTATACCCAGTACGTCTCTCCCTGTGCCTACATAGGTATTCCGGCCGGGGACAACCCGGCTCAGCCGAACACACCCCGATCTGTCCCCGACACCGAACTCAGACCGATTAGTATCAATCCGAGTCCGTCAGGTCTTTTAAGAACCCAAGCCCAAGGTCTTTTGCTCGGCGAGACCTGTGACTCTTTTTGTTTAGTCACCTGCAGTCAATCTACAACCCGCAGTCTAGGACCGTGCATGACCACACTGACGCTTTCTGCAACCTCGATTACCCTATCCCGCACTTTGTACTACGACACTTGCCAGTCTCACTACAGCTGCCGAACCAGTCTTCTGAACCCGTACCGGTGGACGAATGAATCACGCGCCCAAGGAGTCGTATGCAATGCTAGGCGATGATGGACAACAGCCGAACGCCACAGCTCATGGGAATCCGGATCCTACCATTGATGAGTTCGTACCTGCACCTGAGGGCGGTACCCGAGCTTGGATCGTGGCGGCTGGCGGTGGCGCTATCTTCTTCAGCACTCTGGGTTTCGCCAATTCTTTCGGTACATTCGAGGAGTACTATCTCAGTCACCAGTTGAAGGACTGGTCAGCCTCCGACATCTCATGGATTGGGTCCTTGGCAATCTTCCTCCAGTTCTTCGCCGGTATGCTCAGTGGGCCCCTATTCGATCGCTATGGCGAGAAGGTTAGTCGTTGCCCGTTTCACAGCATCATCTATTACCGGTTGCTCTGGGATGCTAATGACTGACCATGGTAGGTTATTCGGCCGGCGTCCGCGCTTTACGTTCTCTTCATGATGATGCTCAGTCTATGCAACAGCTACTGGTCCATCATGCTCGTGCAAGGTGTTCTCATGGGCACTGTGATGGGCCTCTTGCAGATCCCAGCTTTCGCTGCTGTCTCACAATACTTTGAAAAGAACCGCGCTGGTTCGCTTGGCCTGGTGGCTTCCGGCTCATCTATCGGTGGCATCATTATCCCAATTGCTTTATCCAAGATGCTAAACGGAAGCTCACTGGGTTTCGGCTGGTCAGTACGGATTATTGGATTCATCATCCTGCCTTTCGTACTGTTCGCCGCCGCGGGTGTCAAGCCTCGATTGCCTCCGCGCAAAACCGACTTTTGGCTCATCTCGGCTTACAAGGACGGCCGCTTCGTCATCCTCATCATCGCTCTCTTCTTCATGTTCTTTGGAATGTTGACGCCCTTCTTCTACCTGCCCACCTACGCCGTCTCGAGAGGCATGAGTCCGACGCTCGCTGGCTACTTGCTCTCCATCCTGAACGCCGCTTCCACCTTTGGTCGCATCATACCCGGCGTGCTAGCGGATAAATGGGGCAAGATCAACATGTTCGGCTTTGGAGGCGTGATTACGGGCATCGTCATTTACACCATGAACGCGGCTGACACCAACGCAGGCCTGGTCGTGTATGCAGTCTGCTTCGGTTTCACCTCTGGCACCATCATCTCGGGAGGGTCCGCTGCATTCTCTACGTGTCCAAAGGACGCAAGGAACGTTGGGACTTATATGGGCATGGGAATGGCCATCGCCGGTCTCGGAGGGCTGGTCGGACCCCCTGTGAACGGAGCAATCGTCAATGCCTATGGGGGATTTCACCAAGTCTGCATGCTCAGTGGTACCCTGTGTCTTGTTGGCGGGTTGATCGCAATTTCTGCCAAACGATGGACCCCACAAGGCCTCCTAGGCAATGTCTAAGCCTAGAATCCTTCCTATCGTCAAGAAACTGCCATCCATGAATGTATGGCTGAGATCGATTTCGTATGTCTAGTCAGGTCGCGTTAAGTAGTGGTGCAAGACATTCAGGGGTAAATAGCTAAGTACTCATCTGTATTACTATAATTTATATATTTCAATTTTGTAACATGGTCCGCAAGTGAACACTGGGGCCTCAACCTGTAAGCTTTTCCCTAAATGTTTTTGCAGTGTAGCGGTCTGCAATTCAAATTAAGCTTATCCCCGAGAGTTTGAAATGTATAAACAGCAATCTTGACCCTGTTCTAATTTTGAAGGGCCAATCCGCATGACAGCACGGTAGGGCTCCGGATCGCAGGCCTCGACGCGCGAGCATATAGGACGTCTCCGTCTGGAACGTCATCTAGCTGGGCAGAGACGCGGCCCGCCCCGTTAATGGGCAGGAAGCCCCAGGTTTTGCCCAGGCTGTCGAAATACTGTACACTATTTCTGAAAGTTCGAATTTTTTTTAAGTGCAAAAGGGGAAAAAGGGCAATTTTCAATTATAAAAACAATTAAGTTCTGGCTATATCGTGCTTAAGAGAGGTTTTTTAATAAGTAGTAGTTAGTAATATTGTTAAAAATAAACAAATCGTCCGTGTAGAAGTATATGCCTAAGTGCAAAGCAGTATACAGAGTAGTACAACTATTACAACTTGAAGCGTTCCTGCTAATGTACAATTCTTAAAGGTATAATTATGCAATTCTGCAAAGTACTACAACAGCACCCTTAGCCTACTCTGCACTTAGGCCTATACTTCTACACGCACAAACTCCTTGATTTTCTGTAGTAATTTTATTAACTAATACTTCCTAAAGTTCCCTCCTACGGTACTCTCCAGCTAGAAAGTAGTTGCTTTTGTGCCCTTTCTTGCCTTTCCTGCATAAATGCAAAACCACGATTCTAAAAATCGTGTATTGGCAGAAGTACTTACAACAATCTACTAGATTGAAGCGCTCTAGCCGGAACTCCTCAACGTTGGCGCCCTAGCGCTCTGGATCCCAGTACATGACCGTCTTGGTCCGGATGATGATACTGGCCTGCCAGTATGAAAGGAAGAAACGCCTGAATGGCAGGAAAATAGGCGTGTAAGGAATCTCGCATTCCTCATGTACAGCCACTGCTCACCAAAATGACGCCGTACCCATGCTAGGATCATCATTGAACATCCAACCCATCGGCTCCGTGTTCGCGAAATCGAAAAGAGTATCCGAGGGCTGACAATAGCGTTAATCAAACAATAAAGTTGTATGTCCCAAGGGCCGTGTATACTCACCATGCATCCAAAGTACTCCATTGTCCCATTTTCTCTGGCCATGTCCATCGGCTGAGGTGCGTTACTGGACTCGTTTTCAGGGATATGGAATTCCGACGCCATGGCCGTTAGCACGGGCATGCACTTCTCTTCCACTTCCTCCACGGCCTTAATCAATCGGGCAGTGATCTCGTCTTCTCCGAGTCTATGCATGAGGCCTTCGATCTGAGTCGCAATGACACTCATGAGAAGGTAGCCCTTGACACTGGTCTCTCCGGCCTCAACGACCTGCAGACACCATTGTTTGGCCTCGCTAATGACAGAGAGCAAGTCGGGTCGCAGTGGAACAGGGTCAAGGCTTTCATCTTCCTTCAGCTGCATCCGAAGGTCCATGGCGATGAGGAAGGCGGCATGGATGGCACCGGCTGGGTAGAATCCCGACGAGCAAGTGATGAGTCGCTGCAATTCATTTGCCTCTGGAACATCCGGACTGTTGTTGACAGTTACTGGATAGGCCGCTCGCCAGATTTTCAACGACGATTCTACGACCACCTTGCGGGAAAAGGCGTAGACCGTCTCACTGAACGCTGCACCGAAGTAGGGAGCATGGAGTGACAACAAGTATCGATGTATTATGAAGTCGGCCATTCGGATCTCGAAAGGCGAAGGCGCAGGGGCTGTAGTTGAGCGACTATAAGCCAACAAGATGCGTACCAATGCCTTATAAGCGGCGCGGAGCTTGGCGTCAAGTTGAAGGGTCTTGTCATAGGCGACGGGAGATGCGAGATCATTCAGGAACTTCACCACGGCTAGGCGTTGCGGAAACGTCTCGCGGAATGCTATCGCGATGGAGACTTGTGTGAAGGAATCTGGTGGCTGTGGTACGGGATCCTCGGTCATGATTTGATCGTCGTCAAAGTTACCTGGAGGTGCCGTATCAAAGTCATCAAGAGAGATGAGAGGAGGACCCCCAGACGTCAAGCTCGATTGCAGGGTCATCTCCAAAATGGTGTTCCATAACCTTCGACGCATCTCAACGGCGAATGTTGTTCTCGGGGGCAGGAAGGCAGGATCTCGATGCAGTCCCATGTAGATCGCTTTCCTAAGTAGTGCCCCGACCGAGATCCAGATCGAATCTTCGACCATGCCCAACCTTTCCTGAGCGACCAGGAAGAGAAGGCTGATCTGAAGGGTTTGAATGTCAAGCTGCGACTTGGATTTGGGTTCCGACAGCCAGCTTCGCGCGGCGCAAACCCATCGAGTAGCTGAGATGCGCAATGAAAACCGTTCATCATATGTCACGGCACCGATGGCGAGCACGAGCCACAGCTGAACCATGAATCCCTTGTCGGCAGCGGCCATGTTGGATATCCAGACTGCGTCGTAGTCCCGTCGGAAAGACGGAATGTGCAGGATGCGATGAATAGACTCGGTCGACCTAACGTAGCAATCCACTAGGGCATCGGAGATTTCTTTAGGTGGCAGGTCGGGCGTGGATGATGAGAGCCACGAAAATGTCCGCTGGGATTTGATGGACCTCGCCAGGGATTTACATCGCTCAATCCCTGACCAGGCCTTCGTCGTCTCTGGCCGCGAGTGTGCATCGATGGACTCGAAGACATCGCGAACCTTGTTTTCGTCAGTCGCCTTGTTTCATGGCGACAAAAACGCCTGGCCGGTGTCTTACAAGGAGGAGGCCATTGACGGCCCAGTGACTTTGGCCAAATAAACGTGTCTTGTGGGTAACACTTCGGGCAATTGCTTGTTGCTGACCCAGCGAACTACCTTCACAGTGGACATGAAAGGTGCCGCCAATCGTTGAGTTCAGGGTTTGAATGTTGGAGTTGGGGCTTTCGAGAGCTGAATTGACGGGCCTTGGGCCCAGTTTGGATAGCTGCTCCTCAAGATCTTGGATCCTGAGCTTCAACCTCAGCAATTCGGCATCCAGCCCTGAAGATTGACTCGAAGGTGTCGATGCAGCTGTAAAACTGGCATCCAGTGAGCTTGGTGCATGGTTCCGAAAAGTTGACCCGCTGGCGCTGGATGCACGGGCAAGCGGACTGACTCTTGATGCCCGGGAACCGGCGCCCCTTGGACCCGCCCAAGACGGGCGCGGGAGACAGGAGCCGGGCGGTTGTGAGATTCATAGACGCAATTCTCATTCCCTGCGCGGAGACAGTTGCTGCACGGGGTCTCGTGATTGCACCGGATCTTCCGTTTCCTACAAAGCAAGCACGACCTGGGATCCTATTAATGTGAGGACTTGTATCTATGCGGACGTTCAGCTTACGTTGCAGGCCGCCTGCTCCGTCCATCGGGCAGCCGCTCGGCCATGACTGACGACACGTTGGACAGCTAAAGATGAGGCACGTCACGTCCTGTGTGAAGCCGACGGGCTTGCGACTGTGGGTACCCTAGGGTAGGTGGTGATTCTGGTGATTGCAGGAGGGGAATAGTTCCATGTAGAAGTTGCGTCGAGGGCGCAGCTCGCTTGGCGGCTCTACCCTGGCTTGCTCCTGAAAAGTTGCTTACATTGCTAAGGGCCCGTTCAGTGTGTCAATTATATTATCTCTTGCTGTCATTTATAAGAACTACTACTCTGAAGCAACTAAATACGCATCTCACGGATTAATTTCTATATGCTTCTACTATAAGCATGTAGAGTTACTATCCTCCCCTTATGTAGACTATCTGCAAATGATTGGGCAGTGCGTTTAGACCCTTTGAATTCTTCAACACTCCACCATCGTTCCAGCTGTTAGTGTCCCGACAGCTCATCAAGGAACAAAAACTGTCCAGCCACCGCTCCAGCAGCGACGAGTACAATCGTGGCCCACTTGTTCGTGAATTTATACAAGATGGCCAATGCAATCGTAAAAAGAACGGCCGCAATCCCCGACTGCGCTGCCTTTGCGATGGCTACTTCCACCGGTTTCGCTTGGAAATCGCGCTCCGTCCCCTGAACGCTGGACTTGAGGATTTGGAATGTGATGACAGCGATGACGCCGATGACGGCTCCGCAGAGTCCATCGAAGAAGCTGGAGAGGAACTTGCGACGTGTCAGTCATGCGCGCTCGAGGCCGATGGGTCGATGGGCGGGGGGCTGATGCACATACCTTGTTGTGAACGAGCTTTTCAAGCAACGAATGCCCGGCAATAGTGAACAGAAAGCATGGGAAGAACATTCCGAGTGTTATGACAACGGCTCCAGCAAACGCCTTTCCCAATCCACCGTCTGTATAACCACCCTGGAACCCAACAAACGTGGCGAAGATGACAAGTGGGGCGGGCAGCACGTTGCCAATGGCAATGCAGTCGATGAAGACTCGCTGAGGCAGCCATCCACCTTTCAAGACTGCTTCGACCTGGACGAAGGGAATAGCGGTGTAGGCACCGCCAAAAGACAGTGAACCCGCAACGAGGCCGAGCACAAAGAGATTGATCAGAGAGGGAGTCTCTGCAATTCCGAGGGCTAGCGATACCGGAGACGGGACACCTCGAAACACTGCGTAAATGGCGTATCCGACATATTGGAGGATAAAGAGTATGGCTGCTGGTATCCAGAGCCGGCGAGCTATGAACATGTAGATGACTCCGTATAGGCCCAGTGAGATGAAACTACACAATATGGTCAGTCATTGTTGGCCGATGTCTTTCCTGAATGAATGAAACACTGACATGTTTAAGCGCAAAGCCGAATTGATAGCCGTACAAATTGCCGCGATGACCAGGAAGGGATCTACCTTCTTCGTGCTATGCTTGATCACGGAGTGGTCCGCAATCTTGTGCGTAGCTTTGAACATCTAATCCATGTTAGCAACAGCCTGTCGTGAAGCACAGTCCACAGTTCAGAGATTCTTCATACCATGGCGGAAACAATCGGTTGCAATGCTCGGAAGCTGGCATTGAAATACTTGTTCTCAAGCCCGGCCAAGGTGTACAAATAACTTGCGGCCAACATCAGTATGAACCCAGGCAAGATGAAGCCCAAGCCTGCGACAATGCCTCCGATTCTGCCAGCGCTCAAGCAGCCGAAGAACATGCACAGCTCCGCGGCTTCTGGTCCGGGAAGGATCTGGTAGACAGCAAAAACGCGTTGAAACCGCGCAAGTGTAATCCATTTCTCCTTGATAACGATCTGCTGTTTGATCATGGCGATCTGAGCGACCGGGCCGCCCCAAGCGAAAAGGCCGAAGTTGTAGAAGAAATACCAAAAAAGGCGATGAAGTGGAAGCTTCGGCGCGTTTGAATAGGTCAACTCGTCGTCTTGGGTGTGCGAGGAGCCCGTGGATTGGTCGACTGCAGAAATTTCCTTCCCTTCATCATGAGGCGCATCGCTTGACTGACGCAAAGCCTCGACATCTCTGGCACCTGGTGTAGTTGCAGTCGGGTGTAAGGTAGAGTCTGTCATTGGTAGACAGGGCGAAGAGAAACGTATTGGAAGAGTGGGGACAGATGGAAAGATGGAATAGTTGGAGGGAAAAAAGCTCTTGCAGAATGATTCCCAGTATCAAAGCGATGATGGCTACATATGTAAATAAATATATGTACAGAGGAGTTGGATTATTGGAGCAGAAGATACGACTTGAAAGAGGACGGACTGCTGAATGCTGATTGGCCCGCACGTCCCTTACACTAGCGAAGTGATTCTCTGTACTCGTCCAATGACATGTTTCCTGTCCGTCCCAAGCCCCCCCACTTCCTCCTTGCGCTTGGCTCGGCGTGAATCTAGACTCAACACTCTCCGCTATCCGACAAGTGTTTCGCATATGCTCACAGCACTGAACGACAGCGCGTTAATAGATAGGGATCCAGAAGCCGTTCTCACCCGCCCAACCTCGGTCGCCAATTACGTCTCTGTTTGGTTGCTTAGTAGGCCTCATTCATCATGGGCCCGAGACCGGCACTGGTTCAATCTCGCCAGGAAAAGAACAGTGAAACGGCCGCTCGACTGAGAGACAATAAGCGCCGACATCGTGCTCGGCAGAAAGAGTACGTCCTAGACCTCGAGCGGAGGGTGACAGAGGCACGCGAGCAGGGGGTTCAGGCAACAAAAGAAGTGCAACTGGCGGCTCAGCGGGTTGTGCGTGAGAATGCCGGGCTGAGAGACTTGCTTAGGCGATCAGGGTACACCGACAACGCCATCGATGTTTGGCTGCGGGAGCATGGCTACTTACATGGTGGGGAGCGCCCTCAGGTCACGTTGGAATCGATGCCGGGAATGAATTCAAATAAGATGCCATCAACATGTGAGGCACGGACAGGACAGACGCTTGAAGCTCAGAATGCGTGCGTCAAGGAAAGGGAGCCGGGCCAGAAGGAGACGCCTGACAGAGGAGCGCATTTGACTACAACCCCTCCTCGTAGTACGGAGTCACATAGTGAGAAGCCGGATGCGGTTCCCACCAAAGCATGCACGGGTACCTGCACCAAGGCTTCCTCGCTACCCGGAAATCCGGACAGTACCACGGCTCCCTGCAAACTCCTCACCCTGCTTGAGAAAGACCCAACGGCAGATATCACGCAAGTGCCGCTTCCGACACAAACGGACAAGCAACCTTGCAAAACCAGCAACCCCGAAGACTGCAGCTCTGATGGCGTGGAGTGCGCTACGGCTTACAAAATGCTCATGCAGTATGCCACTTCTGACGAGAAGATGGGCAGAATTGCTGCGGCGTTAGAAAGCGGATGCACGCCATCTGCGGCAGGTGGATGCAAGGTGAAGAAGAGCGTGGTGTGGTCGGTTTTGGATGAAGAATGCACTTGAGCTTTATTTCACCGTTTATGATTAGCGGCGTTCCTATGAGATTCCAGTTAGTACCGTGTTATACGAATATCGTTGCCACCTTATGGGGAAAGATGAAGAAGTGGAAAGCAGTTTTCGTCGTATGATCTTAATTAACCCTTCGAAAAGGGTATAGGGAATGAAGCAAACGGGTTTCGGTTAGAGCTGAGGGATTAGGGAAGGATAATTTTTGGACACTAGCAGCCGTATATGTGGCTTTCACTCCGCGGGTTGGATGTCCCTATCATTAGTTTCGATATAAGAGATTGACCAATCAGACGATATATCCTCACACATGGTACACTGCCTTCCTTTTTCGGTTAAAGGCCCGCAGGACCGGATAACCATCTGCAGGGCCCGTCCAAGGTCTGAACAAGCTTTGTGGGGATCAACAGCGGACTTGGCCGAGACAGGGAGTAGAAGAGACATGGGCATGGGTGTCTAGGATACAGTAGGAAGATTACCTATATAATCCGATGAGTTCCCTTCCCAGTGCGATTGAGCATTCTTTGCTGACTCGGCATCTCATTTGCAACATGCCCTCCCAGACAGCCGTTCTTGCTTTTCTATCCCTTTTTACGAAAGTGTCTGCTTGGGGAAATCTAGGCCATACCACTGTTGCGCTCATCGCTCAAAACTTCGTCTCCCCGCGCACGACCCAATTTGCACAACAGCTCCTCAATGACAGCTCAAGTACCTATCTAGGGAATATCGCCACGTGGGCAGACTCCTATCGTTCCACACCTGAGGGGGCTTTCTCATCTCCTCTACACTACATTGACGCACTGGATACACCTCCACTATCCTGCAACGTTGATTACGAACGCGATTGTCCCGAAGAAGGATGCATCGTCAGTGCGCTTGCAAACTACACTGTCCGCGTAACGGCAAAAGGGATTCCCATAGCAGAGAAGGCAAAAGCGCTCAAATGGGTGGTACACTTCTTGGGCGATGTGCATCAGCCCCTGCACGTTGAGAACCTTGAAGTCGGAGGAAACGGCATCAACGTCACATTTGGCGGCGCCAAGACAAACCTCCATCATATCTGGGACTCCAACATTCCTGAGAAACTGCGTGGAGGGAATGGGATTGGAGATTCAAAGAAGTGGGCCGCTGAGCTTACCAAAGAAATCAACAAGGGCAAATTCGCGAAATCGAGGAAGAGTTGGTTAGACGGCATGAGCATCAGGAACCCTGTCGATAGTACCATGGTTTGGGCGCGCGAAACTAATGCGTATGTTTGCAGCGCAGTTGTTCCGCAGGGTGAGGAAGCGGTCAAAAACCAGGAATTAAGCGGGAGTTATTACGATAAGGCAGTTCCGGTTGTGGAGGCACAGGTTGCAAAGGCTGGATATCGCTTGGCTGCATGGTTGGATCTGATTGTAGGAGAGCAAGATGATGGCCATGGCAATGGCCATGGACGGGGAAATGCTGGTAAGAAGGAGGCTTATAGGCTGGCAAAGAATGCAAAAAGGAAGATCGAGCTAGAGCCGTGGATGGTGGAGGCTAGGAAGGCAAGGCGGGCAGCCAGTTGGCTCTGCGTACATGATCACTGAACACGGAAGCCTAGTCTCCTAGTTCGGGGTCGGGAAGGGGCAGGACTTCAAACATCGCTCAGTACGTATACTCCGTTAGCGAACCAGTACATGCGGGGTCACCAATGTTTCCCAGGATGGCTCTACCTTCACTACACCATCACGTGTCCCCGCTTGCCCCAAAATTGTAAAGCGGGCGACTGTTTACTCATTCACCTGCTAATAAGTATACTATGCTCGCTCACTATATGAATGCGTTCATGAATACGTGTGATCATGATGTAAAGCAGGTGCCGACGAACCTCCGGTGAGACGATGTCAGTCCCGCACTATCTTCCCAAGGTTGTTCACAAAGGATTCAAAGTTCCAACCAGTTTCACCCAAGGAATCACAATATCACATGTGCACACATCTCACTGCCGAAGCTATACTTCGAGAGTATCCACCTGCGACCTTCACCCCTATTTCCCCACTTGTCTTCTCGCATCTTGGCACGTCATTACTCCTCACGCAGAACCCCCGATCGTCGATCATATTCCTTTGTAGCCTACACATGTAAAACCTCCATCTCTCATCACTCGTCCTGAACGCTCACACCGACCTCGACCTACCTATTGCCATTCAACCATTGAAGCTCCTACGAGGATGTCAACGAGGATGTCAACTTCCGATCAGAAGGCCCCGTTCCACGTCATCAATAACGTAACAGTAAATAGTTTTGACGGCGACCTTGCCGCAACTCTGGTGAAATGCTCTACGACAAACAAATCATGGCTCCGTCGACAAATACCTTCAAAGAAGGCGACCAGGGAGATGGAACTCTTACGGCGCCTGCAATTCTCTCGTTACTTTCCCCATGTTCGCTCGTCTCCAGGAGTGGATGCCGATGCAGACTCACACTACTTGTATACTGAATACGGCAACCATGGGACTCTCGAACATCTTATCATGAGGTTTCAGGATCATGGCTACATGCCCGAGGACCTTGTCTGGGTTATTTTCGGCAGTCTGGCAATGGCGATTAAAGACCTTCACACCGGACCTACTGCAGACGATGAGGAGGAGTGGGAGCTCCTTAACAATCTGACCAACCTGAGTATTGAAGATTCGGGATGGGAGCTCGTTCAAAGCGACCACAAGAGCGACCACAAAACGTGGGACCCAATCGTTTACTGCGGACTCCAGGAAAGACACGTCTATTTCTGTAGACCCGGAAGCGCAGATGGATATTACCCTCGAATTCTGCTTCCATACCTAGGTTGCGCACGCACTGCATCGGAGTTGACAGTGGAGCAAGAGAAAAGTTCTCAGAAGTCCCTAGACTGTCCTCCGAACGATTTACCAGGGTTGAAGACGGACATCTACAATCTGGGCTTCATATTGATGCGCATGTGCAAGTTCTACCGACGAGAGGCGGCGCGAGTCTATTCTCCCCAACTTCGAGATATTTGTATCGCTTGTCTTTGGCCAGAACCTACTCAGCGTCCTGATGCGCCTGAGCTTGTTCAGAGGATTCAAGATGCGAGAAGCGAGCTAGCAGGCAAGCTGCAAAGAGGGCCATGGGAAACTATATGGGATATTCCGTCAAACACCGGATCCGTGCCGAGACATCCCAACGCTCCTGAACTGAAGTATGGTGCGGTCCTCGAAAACATTCTGGGCATATGATGTCAATACAGACGATATTGCCGATTCTCAATATGAACGTATCTGGAATGTTACGAGACGATTTCGCGAGCATTCACTTCACCGATTAGATAGATCTCGTACCCGGGGGCTCGATATTCCCACTATCTTTATGCGCGGCTGCAAGAGGGCGAGATGGAGCCGAGCTCATTTTGCTTCTCAAGAGCTGATTGTGAGGCGGTGTTCTCTACAACATGGCATCTTTGGGTGCAGATCTCTATGGTACAGCTATAGTTTGTCTACGGCTGTAGGGTACCATTAGGAGTTTCAGCCATAAGCCCCCGAGACACCGGAAATATTTCCAATAGCAGCCATATCTCTTTCAACCACGCTGTCACTTGATTGTGTGCAAATCTGAAGTGGAAGTGAAATGCGTAACCTGGTTGGATCTTCCACAGTATAAGACGTGGTGAATTGCCGGGGCCAGAATCAGGAATTTCACCAACAAACCTCGAGCAAAAAGGCAACCCACAGTATCGAGTTTTGCAATAACGTAGCCAAGTGACGCCTGGGAAAATTAACCGCTATCTGGTTGTAAGATAATTCCTCCCGCTCCTGTAAGCTTTATCTATAGTTACTCTTGTCAATTTCATTATCGACTAGGTGAGAATGCCTGGGCGGACTTCAAATCCTCCGCTTTAGATCTTCAGATTCCAGGAGAAAAGGGCAGTCTAGGCTTTAATACAAGAAGCGAAAGTAACACCTTCTATCAATCACAATCTTTGCCAACTTGGTTGACTCAGGTGTCGCTGCGAACCATTTTCGCCGGATTTAGCTCCTTGAAGACAGTCCTCTTGCTCACCGGCCACATTACTAACGTCGCATCAGGCACGAAGGAGTTCGTGGCACCAGACGAGTTACTAGGACTGGAGTGGGAAGGTGGCGTAGCATGGAAGCGTGCAGTGTCCGTGGACAGTGAAGGGAAGACAACCGCAGATCCCGCGGGTGACTGCGTGATCGGGACGCCTATGGGAGAGCCGGATTGGAAACCGTACGGTGTTGGTACTTGTGCGGATACGTCTGTCATCAGAATATCGTCCCCTTTGATAAGAGCTGGATTCCAGTTCGGCCTCATCAGGGCCATGACGAAATCCTGAGAAAACTTGTAGTCGGGTAGGTTTTTCAATTGCCGTAGGGTGATGACGTGCTGTAGTTCATGTTTTTGAGAAGCCGTCATTGGAACTCCGGATGTCAGGACAAGCTTCTCATATTTGGCCAGAAGTTTCTTCGTCGCAACACTGATAGCAGCATCGCGGAAGGACGGAATGACATCGGTAGGCAATACGCGCTGCATGGAAACGTCGAAACTGGCATTCCCAGGGTTCTGGCCGCAATACACCAGAATGTCACCGAGGGAAACGTCGTCGCCTATGGGCCATAGGCCATCAGCCCACAAGGCAGAATCAAGGGAAGAATGGGAGCCTCGAAAGTGCGACACAAGAAGCTCCAGAACCTCAAACCTTAACGGTTCTTCATAGGTGCGTGCGGCATAGACAGCTGGCTTTATCCCATTTGCGTCTAGCTCAGGGTCAGCACCTCCTTTCAGTAGCGCTGCCAGACGAGCAACAAGATCCACTGGCGGGCAGAGCTGTAGGCAGACCGTCAATGGAGTGTCGCCCTGAACGTTCAGCAGGTTCGGATCTGCGCCTCTGCTGAGTAGAGTGGATATGTCACTCAAGATGTCCGAGGGATGTCGGCTTGCATTTGGACAGCCTCCCACAAGTTCATGCAGTACGGTCCCATTTGCCTCCGGCCTCGGATCCATATTGTCGATGAGGGCTCGAGCTAACTTTGGACTTGCATGCCACAACAGCTGGTGCATCAGTGTGTTTCCCATAGGCGCCGTGCAGGGGAAAGCCGCAAACGGTGTTTGCAGGTCCCCACCTTTGCGAATAAAGGATTCGAGACACTGCCGGCTAGTGGAACTAAGATCCGCAAACCAAGCCGGGCTGTTTTGCCATGGTTCCACGAGCCAGCCCGTCGAGTTCAGGTGATCCTCTGGCAGAGGAGCGAAAATATTAGCACCAGCATTCAGCAGCATTTTTATAATCCGTTCTGAGCGTTCTCTTATTACTGGACCGGCGTACTCTCTAGCCCGTACGTGCAGGGCGACTTGCAGAGCAGTTCGGGACGACAATTCGCCCAAGAGCGGAGCAGCTTCATTCACATCCGCTCCCTTGTCGAGCAACACGCGGACAACATCCGGATAATTCCAGGAGGCGGCTTGCAAAAGAGGTCGCCAGTGCGTAACGGCATTTCCGTTTGGGTATGATCGGCCGGTCTCTATCAATCTCTGGACTGTATATGTTCGCCCGTTCCTGATCGCATTGTAGAGAGCCAGGTCTATGCCCTGCGGATGTATGGATCCGTTAGCGCCATTTTCCATAAGAACCCACAGCGCCCCACCAGATGGTAAAGCAGCCGCGATGTCAAGGATTGTTTGGTTAGGGTGCTGTAATAGGACGATATTCTGGATTGCCGGATGGTCGAAGAAGCGAGAGTCAGGAGTGTCGAATGGGAGACCAATGGGGGACTGCAGTAGATCCGGATACTTCTCAGCCAGCGGCCCGAGCCTCTCGGCGTCCTCGTCTAAGACAGCGTCGAGCATGGTCATCAAGATCTCCTTGACCGCACTCAAGCCTCGGCTCCACGCTTCCAGTGTCGATGGAACAACCTGCTCTTCTACCCCAAGCCCATTCACCATACTCGCGTCCACTCTCTCTGCACCACTCTGATCGCTCCCATCCTCGCTCTCCTCAGCCTCCCCTCCTTCCAGAGTTTCGCTTCGCCCTCTTTGAGTTGAGGCCCCTTGACGAGACTTATACCTCAAATAGCCCCATTCTTTCAATCTCATGCGATATGCTCTTGTTCTGTTGCCCCAATTCGTGTCAGCTGCTTTCGGGTGAGCAGGATAATCACGTGACTTACGAGGCTTTGAAGTTATACTTCGCCTCCATAATAGCTTGCACATCCTGGAGAGATTTCTTTTGGTCGACCGACAGTTTTTTGATCTTGTCTCGAACAGATTCCCAGTCCTTGGTCATCGTGACCGATGGAAGATTTGTATCCCCGGCTTGGAACGGCTAACTTTCTAAGCGTTAGCTAAGTAAAGCCATATTGTAGCAGTGTTTACTTGCTGTAAGCTAGGTGGATCTGAAACACAGGCTCTTCAGAGCCTATTGGCGGCGCCGTTGTACTGTGCAGTAGATCTTTTGTGGAACCTGGCGTCGACTTTCCCCTACCCAGGTTGTTTACCACCGATGGCCCGAGCTTCCAAGGTTGATGTTACTGTGTACTTTTGCACACTGCAGGCTTTGCTGACAGACTCCACCGCATAGCCCAATGTAGGGGTTTGTACTGTGGAGAAAGAAGTAAGAGGATCGCCCTCGCACGCAACGGGTGAAAAAGTCATAATATAGACGTGGGCTTTGGACGGAGATTTGATGGTGGAGGTAGTGTCGTGAGTGCAAAAACGCTGAGCAGATGTCAAGCCTCATTTGCACATTCGAGCTTGCCACGGCGCTGACGGAAAAACTCTTGTTCCGAAACTTGTTGTATCATGCCAAGACCGCTAATCCGTTATGGGCCAAACCCCACCATCTCCTCAACCCCAGGAATCTCGATGAGTTGAACTCCTGGGGTCATGCGCCTCGAAGATGTTCCAGGTGAAATACCGCGGGGCTGCGAATGCTCACAATGATTTTGTCCTCCATCGGTGCAACAACGACCTTTCGAAGGGAGCTGTGTAGGCGGTTGCAAGTAGGGTACCTAGCTGCTCTTCGGCTATTGAATGGCTCCTTTGATCGGGGCTAACATTGAAACCTCAACCAAGGAAGGCATAAGGAAACCATACAACACGGGAAAGTGGATAAGAGAAGATGCTAATAGGACAAGACAAAACTGTCGACGGTGCAAGGTCATCATGGAAAACTTGTCAGCTTCATCTCGAAAAGATACATCTCTTGAACATGATTGTCCTTGCAGACAGGTTCCTCAGGGGATTATTCAACGCGTCAACTCTCTCAACAGTCATTGTAGAAGTAGCATCCACCAGCATGCATTCACTAAATGAACCGCCACGGTAAAGAGAGAGCGATCCGTCCCTGCCCCTGGAGCCTTCCCAGTTATCGACCATTCAATTGCTACTTTCCACCGCGGCCTCTTTCATCCACCCGATCACTCTATCATCAATGATTGCTTGGATGGTACCATCGGGATGCCCATCTTCAGGGGCGTTACCTTCGTTAACATTGTCAGCAAGTCCATTCCCATCTTCAACTCAATCGTCAACGTCAGCGCCTAACTCCCGCCACCCAAGATATGCCAACTCCTCCAGCATGTATCCGCCTCCTCTATTTGCTGCTACAGAGTGCTTATGGTTTGTAAACCCCACGTCCATTGCGATGAAGAAGGTCCGAATAGCTCACCTGAACTCGGCCTTAGTCCAAACCCGCCACGATGCAAAACTAAATAATTTACAGGTGTGGCAACCACGAGAAGACTCCCCTAAAAAGACGTATGAAGGTCACTAGGAATACACCTAAACCCGCGCAGTGCTACTTCCTCAGTAACTGATGATTACGCAGCACAGATTAACGAGTGTAATACGGCGATCAGGAGTCACTGAGAAACTGGGTAGAGAACAGTTCGCTATACTTGATGCGCTCTCAAGACTGAAGCCATTGTCACACTGTTTACCGTTCAAGATACCACGCACAAGCCAGGGGTTTATCCTGCCAGACTGAGAGTGGATTGTCCATCAATGAAGCAATTTCATCTCCACAACGGATCTAAGAACGGTCTCGCGGAAGTTGGAATTGCTGTTTCCCAGCGGGATTTACCGACGCTATGGCAAAACTGCTAGAAGGAACTGGATAGCGACAGGGCCAATACTTTTACACTTGCATATACATTATAACTAGGACTATCGATTCTAGTGACGCGCAACCTTGGAATCGTCCATTGCTGCCAACCATTCGGAGTAATTGTGCCTCCATCAGTGTCCTTCCTCCTGATGATGGCAAGTAACATGTTTCAACGACCCTCAGGAGTTGATTTTCTCTCATGCGAGCAAAATCTCCACGTCAGAGTCGGCAAATCATACTTCAACATTCCAACCTCCTCCAAAGGCGGACTTGATGCATAACCTCGATCGAGACGCATCAGGTACTGCCTCGTTTACTCCTCTTTGACCACATCAGCATACGAAGCTCCCAGACCAGCATTTGGACCGTTCGGCTGAGAATATCTCGTGGCCACACCAAGGCTCATTCCCATTTCGACCGCAACCTGGATGCGATTCGTGCTGCAATCTCGCAGGTCATCGTCGAACTTGATACGACCTTGTTGAAAGGCGACGACGATGGACGAACCGCCGAATTGGAAGATTCCGAGTTCATCGCCTTTCTTGATCTCGGTGCCCCTCTTTCGATACTTCTCGTGGATGCTACGACTGTGTCAGTTCCCCGATGGCTGACGTGTGGTAGTTGGAAAACTTACTAGACGGTGCCGACTTCTGATGCACCAATGGCTACAAACAAGACCTCGCCGAACTCCCTGGAATCAATGAGGATATAGTCACGTGCGTTGGACGTCAAGATATTGATGTCGCTGTTGATAGCAATCGGGTCGACCTCGTAGTACTCCCCCGGCATACTCCTGAACTCCTTAACGACCCCGTTGACCGGACTATGGTAGCGGTGGTAATCTTGGGGGCTCAATCTGAAACTCGCAACAGCACCGTTCTCGAATCGCTTGCCGATATTGACGTCCATGACAAGGTTGGTCATGTTGAAGTCGGTGCCCTTGATCCAGAGCTTTTTGGATTCGGCGACAGTGTCGTAAGTTACTACTCGTGAATCCGCACACACGATTGCGCGTTTGGGGTTTTCAGGCTCGGCAATGGGCCGCGTGCCTTCCCTGTGCTTGCGGACGAAAAAGTCCTCAAAGGAACCGTACTTTTCGATGTCTGAAGGATCGAAGTCGTTCATGTTGATTTTGTAGTAGTCCACGAACCCTTTGATTTGCTGGTGCGTAGAGGGTCGTGCCTCAGCTTTACCTGGACAATGCATTAGAAACCGATTCGAAACCGGTCAGAAGAATACAAACCCTGTTTGAGCGTCTTGTTGTGTACGTACATGCGGAAGGCATGCGTCCGGTCGAGCCATTCCATGAAAGGGCTGAACAAGAAGGCCAACTTGATCTTCTTCATCACCGGCTCCTGCTCCCGTTCAAGCTCGCCGGTTTTTCTGTTGAGTGACGTCCATCCGACTTGATGATGCGACACCTAAAATATTGAAAGTTAGCATCATATCCCTTCTAGTCGCGTCACCACTGCGTACCAGGTTCAACCGCAGCAAGATCCAGTTAAGGATCGCATGAATCCATCCCAGGATGACTCTAAACATGTTGACGATATTGTAGAGAGTCGGACTGCAGTCTGCAGGTGAAACGGCTGATTTCGTGAAATTGCCCAGGTGTTATGAAGGCTCGGCGGGTTGTAGTTCTAGGCGTTCGGTCCATATGAAGTCAGAAAAGTTGAAGGTCGCCCTATGATGTCAGGGTTACGCTACCTTCCCCCACAAAGCAAAGGGAAGACCACTATCACAGTCACCAGGCTTTCGTAGGGACGACCTTTTCAAGGAAAAGCGATATTTGACGTCAGCTCGCTATTTTCAAGTATATTCAATGTTCAATCTCCATCATGCTTTAGAGCGTCATCCAATCGCAAGCTTCTTCCACTGTACAAGTAAACCAGTTTGCGGCTACCCTCGGAGTTTTCTCGGTTTCAACAACCAACATCTAAAGGCAAAATTGACTCACGAAAATCTACAAAACAATACAACATCATGCTATTCGCCTCTAGTCTAAGGGGGAAGGTTGCAAGAATCGATAGCCCCTACTGGTATCAAGCTCGAAGGTCAAGCAGTGTCGTTGGTTTGGCAATCTGAGAGGAAGAAGAAAGTGGCGGAGGAATTATCCTAGCGTTAAGGAACTGAGGAGTGCTGTCTTGAAGTGCGCACACCTCTCAGATGGGCCATCCACGCCCAAAACGCTTAGTTCTGAGACACGAAGCACCATGCAACCTGGGCAGCCTTGAACGTGGCTAATAACATGATATCTGCAGGAACATGCCTATTAGTAAGTCCGCATAGCGTAGCGTCACCTCATGCGTGGACATCGTTTCTCCCAACTCCGATTATCAGCAACATCGCTGGTCACCGCCGACTCCGTCGTATGGAGTCTTGTTACGAGTTGATATGCCACTAGGAAGACGCAAAACTATTTTCATGCGCACTCAAGCTCTATGTAGGCATTTCCTATGCTACCCTAGTCTTCTTCAGAACTGCTCAGTCAAAGTGATATCATCGAAATAGAGCCTTCCACTGCCAGCAACGGGGACGCATCGTCCACCGATAACGAGCTGACCGGATGTCATGCCCTGCGGGATCTGGAACACTGCGGTCTTCGGCGACCACGCGTCGACGCTTAACTGCTTATTCGTGAGCTCCTTGCTCATGCCGCCCAGAGACACCGGGTCAAGGCTGCAGGCGTCGAGCACATCCGTCCTCGCCCAAAGCTCGAATTGGTAGGTGGCGCCCGGCTTGAGGTTGACCGTTTGGTAGAAAGAGAAGTGTGTGTTGGTGAGGGCTCCGCATCGACTGTATATACCGTCAGCGAAATGTGGGGAAATAGGGAAGAGAGGTGCGAGGACTCACAAGTTGCGTGCGCCGGAATGCGCCGGATTGTTATTGGTGCCGGCCACATTGGTGCACTCCCCGTCGTTGGGTTGCCATGGAGCGCTCTGCTGAGCCGTACTCTCGAACCCTGGGTTGCCGACGACTTGCGTGGGAAGCGCGGGACCTGGCGGATTCTGAGCGGCGCAGGTCGTGACTGTGACTTCAGGGCCAGGTACGGGTACGGACACGGTAATGACCTCAGCCTCGCCGGGGATGGTGATAGTTGTTGTCACACCCTCTCCAGGTACAGTTACAGTCGTAGTGACGGGTTCACCTGGGATAGTCACGGTAGTGACTTCACCCTCGCCGGGAATCGTGATGGTGGTCGTTACACCCTCTCCAGGTACAGTTATTGTCGTAGTAACGGGTTCACCTGGGATAGTCACGGTAATGACCTCAGCCTCGCCGGGGATGGTGATGGTTGTTGTCACATCCTCTCCAGGTACAGTTATGGTCGTAGTAACGGGTTCATCTGGGATAGTCACTGTCGTGGGTACGGTGACAGTAGTGACCTCACCCTCGCCAGGGATAGTAATAGTTGTCTGCGGCAGCGTTGTCGTTTCCGTAGTGGACTTGGTCGTTGTCACAGTCGCTTCTTCACAAGGCAGGGTGAGAGTCGTCGGCTGTGTCACAACGCTCGTGACGGTGATATGGATCGGTTCTCCAGCCTTTGTAGACGATGTCAGGAAAGAGGACGGTCCGGAGCTGGAGCAGGATCCGAAGAGAGGGTTGCAGCCGGTTCCGCAGTAATCCTTGGTGGAGCCGCAGTATCCATAGCGACTGTCGACAGATTAGCCGTGGTTTCAGACAAGTCCATGAGGCTCTTGTGGTGCAGAGATAGCAGGAAGCGCTCTGAAACCAGGGCACAGCCTGATCGGAGACTTACCTGCAGCAATTGCCGTATCTGGAGTTCAGGCAAGTATAGCCTTTGGAGCCTCCGCAGGTTCCATCGGTGGACACTTTGCTGTACGCCGGAGGAGGTGATGGAGGATAAGTAGAAGCGCCGCTGCAATCGCCGAAACCAGGCTGGCAGCCCTTGTTGGGGCTGCAGTAGTCGGAAGAACGTCCACAATAGTTATACTGGGAGCAGCAATTGCCGTACTGGCTACCCTTGCAGGTGAGACCAAAGTCGGCACCGCAGCGGCCGTTTCTGCTGATTCCCAGCGTTTTGAATGCGTCGATGGCTGGAAGAGCCGCCAGAGCGTAGATGAGCCCACGCATGTTGGTATTAGATATTAGTCAATTAGTATGTGATGAAGGAAGGAAAGAGAAAATGGTAGAGAGAAAGAGGGAGTTATAACGAGAGACTGGCGATGGGACGGCGGAACCCCAAACCAACGAGATACACGTGGGTTGGCCTAGATCATCCTTTAAGTAGTAGAGGTGGCTGCGAAATGCCTCGCCTTTCAATCAATAGATCGCTCCAGTTGGTGGAGATGAAGGTCAGCCACACCCTTCCCATGATGGCATTGTTAGCCAAATACAGGGCTCGCTTAGACGATAGTTCGTGAAAACAGGTATCGTAACAGCTGCGTCTTCCTGGATACAGTTAATAAAGGTCCGCGGAGCTGCCGGTACTACGCCAAAAGAGTTGACGGTGCCTGAGTTGCGCGCAGAGTCTCTACAAAGTCTAGACGTCAAGCGATCTAAATATGGGTTCGACCAAGATCCAGAACCGCGATTAAATTTTCGGGGCCGTGAGACGCACAATCATCCGACGAGCGTCAAGAATAAGACGTTATTCAGGTATTAGACAGCTATTGAGCTGCAATTGATCTGGGAGAAGGAATAGATGATGGGTGGGGCGAGGAGTGCATCCTCAGTTGAAGAGGAAGACTGGTCAATAAGCGCTACGCGCTACATCTATCTCCGACTTATCTCCATAGACGCACCAGTCAAGACTATAACAACGAGTCAAACTTCAACACCACATCTCTTGGGATATTCCCCTCTCCTTAACACGTTCCTCACCCTAACCCTCTCTAACCCTAGAAATAAGATAGGTGTAGATAGGTATAGATAGGTAAACAGGGGTACTAAGACATCTCCTTCCGTCTCATCTACCGCATTTCCCCCCTTCTGCTCCTCCACACCATCCATGTACGACATCCGCCTTACCACCCAACCATTTCAAATCTTACTGCCCCCCGTCTTCTCCCCCCTCTTCCCCCTCCACCCACTCAACGTACTGCCCCCATCCAACTCGACCACATTCCCCGTCATATGCGCACTCCCCAGACTGCTCAAAAACAGCACCAACCCGCCGAAATCGCTCGGTTTGCCGATCCGGCCGGTAGGCTGGCCCATGAGCAATGTATCCATGTACTTGTCGAGGCCGAAGTGGGTCATGCGCGAGGGAAAGACGCCGGGGCAGATGACGTTGACGGTGATGTTCTTGGGGGCGAGCTTCGAGGCTTGCATTTTGGTGAGGTGGATGCAGGCGGCTTTTGAGGGGCCATCTGAGGCGGGGGATGTTAGTGAGGGTGGGATGGAGAGGGCGAGGGCTTAGTCAGGAGTAGGGGATATAGGAAGGAATGGTCGAACGAGTCAGAGTGGTCATGTAGAATGATATCCCAACTCGATAAAGAAAAATAGAAAAAAAGAAAAAAAAAGAAAGCACTCACAGCTAAACGTCCCATGCCCAGGCTTACTCAACCCCCCTTCCTCCCCCGTCGTCACATCCCCCGTCTGAATCCCCGCCATACTCGCGACATTAATCACCCTCCCCGGATTCTCGGGACTCGCCCCCTTGAGCAGCAACTCCTCCAACCCCACCGTCATGTAGAAGATACTCTTCACATTCAAGCTCATCAGCTTATCCCACGCGCTCTCGGGGAAATTGTAATAGTCATCCCCCCACGTCGCGCCCGTGTTGTTCACCAGCACCGTGAGGCGATCGACGCGCTTCTTGACCTCGGCGCAGAGGGCCAGGCAGCCCGCTTTGTCTTTCAGGTCCGCGACTATGTATTCGCAGCGGCCCGGGCCGAGCTTGTTCAGCCGGTCCGTAGTGGTCTTGAGTTCGGACTCCTTGCGCGAGGCGATGAGGACGCGGGCGCCGTTTTGGACAAAGGCTTGGGCGGCCATTTCGCCGAGCCCCGTGGCGCCGCCCGTGACGAGGGCGATGTGGGTTTTGAAGGTGAAGAGGGTTTCGACGCGGAGGTCGTCGTTGGCGGCTGGGTGGGCCATGGCTGCGGTGGTGATGAGGAGGGCTGGGCGGGATTGAAGGTGGTGAGATAGCGGGTTTGGAGTCAAGGAGGATGAGGAAGTACTCGGGATATATGATCGATGGCGGGATTCATGACTGTCGAGTCCAGCGCGGAGGTCTGAGGTGTGGAGAGCTTCGGGGACCTCGGCAGGTTGGAGCTGTTGTCGGATGCGTCGATGAGGGGCTCGGGTTCCTGACAGGGGCTGGATAAGCCAGGGTATTTTCAACGACGCTCAAAGACGGGGAGACGTCATCCCCAGATATGGAAAGGGACTATAAACGTCTATCACAGATCCCTGAAGTATCAGCAAAGTAACATGTAAATAAGGTCTCCGACCCTAGATTTGCGTGACAACCCGTAAGGACAACCTATATAGAAAACCATTCACAGCCTATACCACTCACCCACGATCACCAACGGTAAAGTCTAATCCCTACTCACACTCTTTGTCCACAAAGTACAACATTGATTCGTTACCATGGCCTGAAAAGATAGAGCCCAGGTCTATAGGATATCTTTCTAATAATATGCTACCGTCTCTCGTACACTCATCTTCCTACTGCCCTGGCTGTCCCTCAAGCTTAACTTGGGATACAGGCGTGCTCATCATCGATGCATTCTGCTGCTGTGCAGACGTCCCTCCTGGCACAGCTGCCACACTATGTGTGCCGACACCATCCGGAGCAGCACTTGTATTCGCAGCAGGGGTAGCAGCGGGATTCACGGGAGCGACGTTACCAGCACCTTGCCTCCCAGTCGCAGCCATTCCCTTCATACCCCCATCCAAAAATCTCGCTGGCACGCCTCTAGCCGGCGTCATCACTCCTTGTCCCCCCCGGCCTCTCCCACCAACAAAACATCCCAAACCACCGCACCAGACAAAGTCCCCGCTCACAACCCCTCTCAACACCTGAAAAGCCTTGCGATCCCTGTACGGCAGCGCCGTCCGCGGGTCTCTGTACTTGGCTGGTTTATTGGTAATGACGCAGCGCTCAGCATTATCCGCCGCTGCAGCAGCTTTCTCAGCCTTGGCTTTTGAGAGTCTCGGTGCGCTGAGCATCGCGTTGACAAAGGCTGTCGCATCTTGTAGGGACCAACCGAACAGGGATCGGGAGATTTGGATGAGGGCAGAACGGTCGCGATCGCGGAGGGCGGACGCGGTGCGGACGCGGGCAGTGCTTGAGATGGCTGTTGCTGCTGTGGAAGACGGCGGGAGGTCGTCAAGTGAAGGGAACGAGGAGAGGATGAGGAGGTTGCGGAGGGCTTTTTGGATTTGCTTCTTGCGAGGAGGGGCCGGAGGCTGGAACTGGGCAGGGGGAGGGGGGCGTTGGAACTGTTGGAGAAGGAAGCGCGAGTCGGGAGGGTTGTGAGCTAAGGCCGGGTCGGTGGTGGTGGGAGGGAAGTGCGGTTGGGAGAAGGGGGAGGGGTGGTAGGGCTGCGAGAAGGGGTTTGGTGGAATTGAGGATTGGTCGTTGGGGTCGAAGACGGGGTTCTGAGTAGCGTTTGCCGCTGGCGGCGAGGACCATTGGAGGTTGTTTTGTGAGGAGATGGGTTCTGATGGCTGGTGAGGGTCTTGCGGTACGGATGGATGGTCGGTAGCATATTGCTCTATACCCGACAGAAACGAGTGCGTCGTCTGCGGGGGCGGGAACATGAGAGTGTCTGGAAATGCGTGGTCGCGGGAGGTGTGATTCGGTTCTTGTATTTGGACATCGGGACCCGTCGTCTGCTGAGGTTGCTGGACCTGTACAGCGTGCGATTGTGGTTCCTCGGCATGGTTTTGTGACGTCTGCTGCTGGCTCTGGACTGGTTCACCTTGTATCCGGGGAGATTGGCTCTCAATCTGGTCATGCGGAGGTTCGTGTGCAGGACCGGAAGGTTGGTCTCCACCGTCCTGCTTCTCCATCTTCGACTTGGATGGGGAAGGGATCTCCTTGTTCAGCTTCTCTCTCAGCTCTTCCACCTTGGGCGCATCCTTGCCCGTATACTTGATTTTGTCGTCCACCCAGATGGCAGGCCCACTCCAGAAGCGAATGTAAGGACCCTCAATCTGGCGATTCTTGAGAGCCTCCAGCTTCGCCTTCCTCTCTGCGGCCCGCTGTTCCTCAGCCTCCTCCCATCTGTGCAGGCTCTTTTTGTTCATCCTCTCCGTCCGAGCTGCTTCCGCTAGCCGTTCGGCCTGCGTGAGCTCTGCATGTTCGCTCTTCGCCTTCCGGGCCTCCGCGGCCTTCATCATAGCGAGTGTATCATCCCGCCGCCTGTCCTTCTCCTTGAGCTTGGCCAATGTATGCTCCTTGTTTGCTACCGTCAACTTCCGAGACGAAGTTCGTGTCGGGCCGTCCTCGGGCATGGGGATCCATGATGCTCGTTCGGACTTCTTCTTGGGTCGTGGTACATGAACGGGCTGAACCTCTGTGTGAGGCACGTCGACCCTGACCTTCTTGCGCACGGCAGCAGCAAGACGGGCAGCAAAAGGATTGGGCACAGCCTTGCGCTTCCTGTTGCGTTCCTGCCTCTCGGCACGGCGCAGCTCCTTCTCCCCCGCTTCGTCGTCGGCGCCCTCGTCCTCGTCCTCAGACGACGACGACGATTCCAGATTGTAGTCGTCCTGGTCGTTGGCGGCCTCCTCGACGAAGTCTTCCTCGTTGGGAGCTTCCTCCCATTCCTCCCCCCACTCTTCCTCCTCGGCGGCCTGGGCCAGGAGCGTCGACATGCGGTTGCCGGCGTTTGATCTCCGGGCGCGCGAAACGACCATGAGGTCCGCAGGCAGCTCGTCCGACTCGCTCTCTTCGGGCGATGACGCAGCAGCAGGCGCCGCATGATGTGCCGTACTGGTGGGTGTTTCGTTATCCACCTCCATGTTGTCGCCTGGATCCGAATCGGCGGGCATGGTGGTCGGTCGGGTTGGGTATGTTTGATGTCAGAGGAAGGTAAGTGTAGGCGACGCGGTTTGGGTGATATGCAAGACAGGGCTGGCAGGGTTATCGGCCGGGGTTGTGGCGTGCGTGTGGCTGTTTCACACTCGGGGAACCTTGGAACACACGAGTGCCAAGCCCTTCCATCCCCTCAAGGCTTCTGAAACGCAACAGCCGCCTGTGCCTCTCCAAAACAACACCTGCGGCCAATTGATGAAATGCATCCTGCCCAAGTTGGGTGCAAAAAGAAGATGATTGACTGATTTTGTCAAGTGCAAGTCATAATGCGTCATGTACTTGTAGCTCTGCTGGTGCACTTGGACTTAGCTCGGCCCCTTGATAATACTGTCATGGTGTCCATCACTACGTCAACTAGATGGATGGTGTAGTACTAGCCGATTGCTTAGACACGGCTACTGTGTCCGAGGCTACCTTCATGTATACATAATCCGTAGAAGCAGTAAGTAGTACTTCAGGTTATTTATGCTGACGTGGCTCATAGGAGCTCTCCTCCAGGACTTGTCCTCTCTTGTCAGCGCCTCTTCCCGCATCGCGCCTCGAGCAGTTTCAGGTGCAGTGACGGTCGGTTCCAGCTGCACCCCCTCGGAGCCACTCAGGAGCTGTGCTGCCACTCCTGTAGTGACTTGGAGTTGTTGGGGAGGGAGCTGTGGACTCGAGAGCTCAGAGGGAAAAAGGGGGGAGGTGGTTCAACGTAACGTTCATCAGTAGCTACCACAGAGCCCCAGCCCTTTTCTGCTCTATCTAGCCCCTCGTTGTCCACATGGCAATGGGAGAGATGGCTTCCATTATTGTCACAACACAGCGATGAAAGTAGCAATTGGAGAATGTACTGTCTATAGTAGTGAGGTGGGGAAGCCCTGGAGGAGGGCTGCTGGTTGAGGCCACGGGCGCACCTTCCTCGCCTTCCTGCCCTCCCCCTGCCCTTGCCTGCCCGCCGCCCGCGCCATGTCCGCACCCCCGTCGCTTACTGTTCCTCCCAGCCCAGCTCACCTCTTGTTTCTCTCTCGCTCTTTTCCCTCTCTCTCCCACTCTGCTTCACTCCCTCACCCTCCTCTCATCCTCTTTCTCATCCCTCCCTCACCTAAAAGTGAAAGCGATCCTCTGCTTCCTCAAATTCCGATGCGCCTCTTTGTCAGATCCTAGCCTGTTTTAATCCCTCAATTTCCTTCTCCGGGTCGCTTTCGCGCCCTGTCTATTGCTTGCCCCTCTCCTGTATCAATTAATCACACAGGACGGCCCTTCCCTCTCTCTCTACCTAGGTACGACGTCGTCCACCCGCCCGTCGCCGCTTGTCTATCGCCAATTCTGCGACTCAGCTCTGCTTCATAGCCGCTCCTTAGACACTGGGCATCCGCCCACTGCCTCACCATCCATCTTCGGCCCCTCCGACCGAGTCACACCGCATCGCCGTTGCATTTCTCATCTGGTCTCCATCCCGCCTGCAGTTGCCTCCGCTGCAGGATCGATCAGTGAGCTGCCCTACCTTCTTTTGGCCGGTCCCATCCCTCCTTCCGCCGTTGCCCTGGTTTTTGGTACACGAAACTCATTGCCACAATACCCGCCCGAGTACGACAACCATCATAAAACATACGACGGGGTCTATAATAGATAATGGCTTCTTCTTCGCGGTCCGATCACCATATCAACAAGGAGTACTTGCCTCAGATTCCCTCGCATCCGCCACGCTCAGGCACATCCTCAACGGGGACCACGTCACCCATCGAACCGCCGTTGAGCGCTTCTCACCGCTTCGGTCTACCATCGCCGAGTAACGCGCCTGCTCTCTCGAGTGCTCTCGCGAATGCTAGACTGGGTGCAGGGTCCCCCTCGCATGATTATGGCAGCAGACTATTCCCCAAACGGTCCGTCGCAAGCTGAAACAAGCGCTCTGTTCGCATTGGGCTAACGTATCATGGTGCAGAACTCGCGAACTCCAAGCGCAAGAAGGCTTGAGCCCTCCAGTCTGGGGCCCTCCCACCAGCGGCCACTCGACGCCCCTCCGAGAAACCATCCTAGAGTCGCCCAACGCCGAGAGCTTCCCGGATTTCAATCAAGGCATGCCAGAGACACTCTCCGCCCCATCGACGGGTGTGCGGAGAACCAGGGCTGGTACTTTGCCATCACGCTTCTCTTCTTCACCGGCCTCTGGCCCTGGCCTACCATCGATGCCGTCGTCTTCCCTCATTCCCAAGAATGGCCGGCCCAGCCCTCCTGCCATAGCCCCTTATGTGAACAGGTCAACCGAGCTGCCGCCAATCGGCAATGCGACGATCGGTACGAGGAACTTGGACAGCGCGAGTACGGGCACACCTAACCGTATCCGTGCGGGATCAATGCCTCAGCGAGCCCCCTTTGCGCCGTCCTCTCTAGGCAGAGTAATGTTCTCGGGTTGGAGCAACAGCCGTGATAGGAGTAGTACTCTCCACAGCATCCAGTCGCAATCGTCCAACGGCCCCGACTCGCCTGTCAATATCCGCGATTCGCTTGCGGATACAGATGCTTCCAAAACACTGGATTATTTGGGCCTCGTTGACACCCCGAAACCCGGTCAAGCCACGATTGCCCCTTCGCCAATAGAGTTCCTACTCGACCAGCGCAATACAACCAACGATCTCTACAATTCAAACGCGAATCGATTTCGCTCTTACTCAGTCAATGCCACGCAACGGTATGGAGCCGATGAGGATGAAGACAGGTTGGCCGCTGCAAACTATAGTGGAACTTTGACTCCTTCGACAGATCCCCGGATAATTGAATTGCAAGAGCAAGTTCGACGCCACAACATGGATGTTCAGCTCTTCAACCTTGCTATCAACAATGGCAGCAACCGTCCACGTGCACGGACCATCGGCGTAGATTCGCCTTCCCATCTCATGCGCAGTTTCCATCACACTCCATCCCGTCTGGATAACAGCCTGGCTGCCGCGGATTTACCCGAAGAGGTGGAGTATCAACTGACGGAAGCTGTCCATGGCCTGAACTTGGGAGATGAAGGAAGTCTGGAAGGCCCAACCAAAGCTCTCTGGCTAGGCAACATCCCTAATTCTACCACGGATTCGTCGTTGAAGCAGATCTTCATCCAATTTGGGCCCATCGAATCCACACGGGTGCTCACTCACAAGAATTGCGGCTTCATCAATTTCGCGAGCGTAGAAAGCGCAGTCCAAGCGAGGGCAACATATAACGGGAAAGAGATATTTCCTGGTGCCGGTCCCGTTCGTATCAACTTCGCTAAACCCCATAGTGCGACAGCTACCCCGGGACACAGCGGGGTCCAACCATCTCCAAGCCCAGATCCCAACGCAAAAGGCACGGGTGAGGGAGCCGCTGGGGCGGAAAGCACTCTTGGGGCGCAAGGCGCACCTGACGCTGGAAGCGCCGCGCTCCAAACTCCTAAGCTTACAGAGGTCCGCGATGACATTCTCCAGATTGTAGAGGATCTGGGCGCCACGGCAGAGGAGAGCAAGAAAATCGCCGTGTTGGTTGATTGCGCGATCCAGTACAATGGCTATATCGATGAGGTGCCCCCGATCGAGGAGCCCAGCCACAACAGAGTGCATGACGCGCCCAAACTTCGCGAAATCCGTAAGAGAATTGAGGGGAATCACTGCCCCCCGGCTGAGGTCGAAGAGATTGCCATGAACATGTTGCCTGAGATTGCCGAGCTCTCTTCAGACTACCTGGGAAACACTGTGGTACAGCGATTGTTCGAGCAGTGCTCTGAATCGACCAAGATCGCCATGTTCGAACAGATTGGGCCTCATCTTGCCAAGATTGGCATGCACAAGAACGGAACCTGGGCAGCCCAGAAGATCATTGATGTGGCCCGTACCTCTCCCACGCTGCAGGAGATGATTGTGCAGGCCCTCAAGCCATATTCTGCTGCGCTTTTCTTCGACCAATATGGAAACTACGTCATGCAAGGGTGTCTGAAGTATCGCCCAGCCTTCACCAACTTCGTTTTTGAAGCTATGCTCGCCCGCCTGTGGGATCTTGCGCAGGGCCGTTTCAGCTCCCGAGCAATGCGTGCCTGTCTGGAAAGCCGCGACGCAGGTGTAACCGAGGATCAAAAACGCATGATAGCCGCCGCCATTGCAGTCCACAGTGTCCAGCTGGCGACCAATAGCAATGGCGCCCTGCTCTTGACATGGTTCCTCGATAGCTGCAACTTCCCCAAGAAACGCACAGTTCTGGCTCCCCGTCTTGTGCCGCATCTCGTCCACTTGGCCACCAACAAGGTAGCCTCCACTACCGTGCAGAAGCTTGTCAACCAGCGGCATGAGGCTGAGGCGCGCGAGGTCATCCTCAAAGCTCTGCTCTTCTCCCCCAACGATCAGGTGCTCGAAAACATTCTCCGCGACGTCAGCACAGGCGCTGCCTTTATTTTCAAGGTCCTTACCACTCCCACGTTCGACGAGAAATTCCGCGCAGAGGCTTACCAAAATGTGCGCAATGTCCTGCTTCGCATCAAGGCGCAACCGAATCAGGGCTATAAACGCTTGATGGATGAAGTTAGTCTTCCCACTCGAGGCAGCGGATCCGCGCACCGTGATCATTCTGCGTCTCGTCCGGCATCTTCCAGGCATAGTCCAGTACCTGGCCAAGCGGGTGTCAACGGCAGACCTCTTTATCCGAGTGTCGCCAACCCCGTGTATGCGCCTATTGACATGCAACGTGCTGGTAGTGTGGATTCTAATGGGTACGACCTCCTCCCCCTTCAGATGGCGGCTGGACCCGCACCTGTGTACGTGCCGAGCATGGCCGTTCCTGCAAACCCTCAACAACTCCAATATCAGCAAATGCTTGCTGGACAGAGGGGGATGGGATATTATGGGCCTGTGGTTGGACAAGTCGCCGGCATGGAGCCGTATAGGAGTGCTCCCATTGCAGCTCCTGCGTTTGGAGGCATCGCACCGTTGCTCCAGTCGAACGGGCTTGGACAGGGCATGGCACCTGCCATGGGACAGCCGCCGTATCCCTATGGCGTCTACGTCGCACCGCAAGCGCCAGCCGCAAATGGCAATTCAAGGCGCGGAAGGGTATGTGAGCCGATTCATACACAACGCGTGCCCGCTGACCCGAAACAGAGATGAATTTTTCGCACAGCCGATGAATTTCGCTACCTAGGAACAAGGGAGCAGGCCTGCCTTGCCTCGGAAAATTTACGAAGTGCATGTCATTTTCTTGATGATCTGTATCGATCTTGGATGCCGTTCGGGTTATCAATCTTGTTGGCCCGATTGTGCAACATTTTACCTTCATGTATCCACTTTTGGCGTCTTTTGTGTGGTTTGTCTGCTTGCATGTATCATCAGTCCTCTCTGTCCATGGAGAGAAATATCAATCGGTGTGGAAGGAATATGGTGGCACTGTTATCTTTCCACGGTCCCGCGCGACATAACTGTTGACTTGTCTATCCTCGATCTTTCGAGGCATCGATCATTCCAAGCGCATGTGTGGGATGGGATGGGGATAGGATGATCCTGTCGGCGGAAGTATGTCGTGTCTTCTGGATTGCTGCAGCAGGTGGAAATGGTGGGCTGCCTGTTTGCCCGCTAGCTAGGTCTGAATACAGATGTTCCGAAATGCCCCTTCTAAAGTATACAAATGCATTGTTTGTTATACACACAGCCTTGCGCATGACACTTTGCGAATCGGTGGCGAAAGCGAAGCAGAAGATCCGATCCAGTCAAGAAGAACACGCCATTCCATCCAAGAGCAACTGACGACGATGACCCTGCGTATGCCTCAGAGATCCAACGAAGAAATGGTATACAATTCCTGGGTATCAAATGAAATAAAGGTTCTCCGTGCCCCATGCCCGCGGTGAATAGCGAGTATAAATCCAAGTACCCACACCCACCAAACGCAACGCCCAGCCCAGCCTGGTATATGCAATCCCGCTCTTAGGTCAAACATAAACCGAAGCCAAACGCCTCATCCCTTCCCGAAAAGAAAAGTAAAAAGTAAGAACGATGAGGAATGGCGAAGAGAATCCAACAGACACTCCAAAACAACCCGATATATCACCTCATAAATAAACGGGGCGATCCCTCGCCTTCTAAGCACCTCCACCCGCACCTCCACCCGCACCCATGCCTACACCCACGCCATCCACCTCCGAAATCTTCCTCTTCTTGGCCTCCCTCTCCCTCTCCATCTCGATCTGCTCCCTGACCCACTGCCTCTGCCTCTCCTTCTCCACCTCCTGCATCCTCTTAACCGCCACGCGTATCGCGGGACTCGCATCCAGCAAATCCTGCTCCGTGACGGGATCCCTCAAGCTCTCGAGCACCGACTCGACCGTCGAGATGTGATTGGCGTCGCGCTTGTCGTCGCGGAAGCGGGGCGTACCGTCGTCCTCGCGCTTGAACGTCCACCGGCCCTGGCCGTCGCGGAAGCACTCGATGATGCGGCCGTCGAGCCGCTGGCCCAGCGATTTGAGCATGTCCCAGTCCTGCGTCGTGAAGTACATGTCTGCAAAGTGCTGGTAGTTTCCCTTCTCGTGGAGCACGAGCAACTGGATTCGATCCGGGGGCGCGTCGTAATCCGGTATGGGCCCTTCCTCGTCTCCGTCCTCCGGGTCGAAGAGCGGGAAGGAGCCGAGGCGGAGCTTGAAGTCGATTGTGTTTTCGTGGGGCGGTTTCCATTTCAGAATGTGTGGGTCTGTGCCGAAGCGGTAGGGGGTCGTTTTGCAGGTGAAGACGAGGCCGTCGTTGCCGTGGGGCAGTTTGGGCAGGATGACTTCGAACATGTCGCGGATGCTGTAAGGGGGGAACATTTGCTTCTCTTTGACGCGGAAGGGTTCGGTGCCACCTAGGGGAACGCCGTTGTTGCGCGCGAGCCAGTGGGCGTGCGGTTTGAAGACTTGGTCTCTCATGTAGCCGAGGCGTTTGTCTAGGGGTCTGTCAGTGACGCGCTGGCCGTCGATGACGAGGGCGTCGAAGACGTAGAAGATGAGGCGCGGTTTCGGTTGCCCTGGTACGCGGTCATGCACGAGTTCGCCGTCTAGGATCGTGCTGAAGAGGTATTTGTCGGCATCGTTGGGGAAGCGGTAGTGCGGGAAGCGGAAGGGTGGTTGGACTTCGTAGTAGTTGTTTTTGCGGTCGATGAGGAACGTCAGGGGTTGGAAGTTCCCCGCCGCGTCTTCGAGGAAGTAGAGGAAGAGGAGGCAGCGGATGCCGTCCGTCTTCTCGCAGAGAAAGTACTCGGTGCGTTGGAGTTCTTCGATGTGGTGTCGTGCGAAGGAGACGGGTTGCGCGCCTGGGAACCGCGTGTTGTCGCGCATGAGGAGCGTGGCGACCTGTTCGCGCAGGCCATGGACTTCGGAGGGGGGCACTTGTGTCCCCGGGATCTCCGGGGGTACCGAGGAGTGGTGCATTATGGGCGGGCTGGGGCGGCGAGTGGATAGGGAATCATTTCTCGTGTTGAGCGCTCAAGGTATGGATATACCTTTGAGGTTGAATGTGAACGCCAAGCCATTAGTCAGCCAACTTGAACAAGCGGCGGGAATGAAAGGCGGAAGGCTGAATGGATTGTCTTATGAATGAACCAGGAGGGAAGAAACAACAGCACCCCTCTCGCTGATAATTTGGTCGTATAAAACGTCATAATGGCCAATTCAATCATGTCGTGGACCATCCAGTGACGGTAAGACTAGAATGGTGTCGAGATGAAATTACATATAAGTAGTGATCAATTCCCGAATATCATGGCGTGCTGTACAAGCCATAGCTCAAATATAGAACATGGAGTTGCGAGCGGAAATAATCCTGATTTCCAAACAAACAAATCAGAGGCCAGGCACTGAACTCCAAACTTCCTCACCTGGGTACCAAACCAAGCCCTCCCTGCCTGTAACTTTTGCATGAAGTTCCTGCTTTTGCCTCAAGTCCAAGATATACCAATTCAACAACCCTCATCCAGTTCCTTTCAAACACCGTCGGCACCATGCTTATGCGCCATCGCCCCAGATCCCCACAACACTCATTGCGAATCCAATTCCCGCAACAATGGCCCTAACACCCTCTCTTGCTTTCATACTCTGCAGCCCCTTACCCACCTCCTCCCCGTTGACCTCCTCCGGTCCAGCCTCCAGATCCCTCTGCTCCCCTTCCTTGACCTCTCCCAGCACCCGCCCATGCCGCTCTTCTGATCCGACGGTCGAAAACGCATAGTCCACGCCAGGGCCGGATGCAGCCGTGAATAGCGACACGTACAGGAGATATGGATGACGGAAGCGTCGCGGTGAGAGAAGGTATGCGGAGAAGAGGGAGAAGGTGGTGATGTGGCGAAGGTAGGTTGAGAAGACGCGGGATCGTGTGGAAAGGTCGGTCAGAGTTTGGCGGGCTGTGAGCGCAGTGGGGAGGGAGAGAAGGGCTGGAAGGGAGACGGCGCTGAGGGTTGCTGATAGCCCCTGGCTCTGTTAGCCTTCAAGTCCGAATGGCAATGCATCCGCGGAAGCAAGCAATGGGATAAAAGAGGGAACTCTGGCTGCGCTCTGTATGGCAACCCCTCTATACTCCCAAAGCGCTAGTTTTCCATGCCTGGAAGTGGCGGAAGACGGGCGCCAAAAACGGAATGTATCATGGACTTACCGTTAGCAGCCCCACGCTGACAGTCCCCACGAACTTAAAGATAAATACCGTGCCCGCGGACATAGTTGCAGCAAAGACCTGACTGACTCAAGCGCTGCGCAGTGGTTGAGGATTGCTTCTGTTGGTGGGATGTGATGTATGTGGTTGACGGATGAATGCAGTGACGATGGTCGCGTTGATTCGGAGCAGGCAGGTCTCACTTGGGAGCGGCGGAGGGTCAAAGCTCCCTCCGGCCCTGTTGCCAAGCATCAGACGTGGGCAAGGAGAGAGTCGGGTTCACATGTCTTTCCCGTCCTGTCGATGTTACTTCGATGAGGGACTTGCAGTTACTTGGATGCCATTCATCACGCATCTCTATAAGCTATAATTGCTTCACGCCGCCAAGCGTACGCATCGCGGCGTATGGATGCGTCCGAGTAATCATTTAATCGCAAACATGGATGGACCTCGGCACTGACATCCCTCCGTCTCAGTGCTCATCGCGACCAGACAGCGTGCGATGATTGCTTCACATTGACGAACAATACTTTTCACATAGACGCCGCAACTCAGAGCAGATTGAGAAGAATTAGCCAGTCCAGTCGAGGCCCTTCTTAAAGCCTGTATATCTCGAATCGTCACCTGCCAACCCCGTAACCATGCCGATGGAAAAGTACAAGTACATGAGCAATGTGTGGAAGGATGGCATCTTTGGTACGGAAACTTTCTGATACTTGCAGTAAAGCTATAAAACTTGTAAAAGAAAGACTTTAGATGGCCCCACGCGAACTGTTTCGCAGGCAGATGTCGAGATCCCATACCAATCCACATCCCCTTTAACGGCACCCACTTGATACGAACCGTTAGCTAATGATTCCCTCGCAGACAATAAAGTCGTCTTCTGTACTGGTGGTGCGGGCAGCATATGTTCGGCCCAGGTCCGCGCCATGGTGCACCTAGGCGCCAACGCCGCAATCATCGGTCGCAGTGTCGAGAAGACGGAGAAGATGGCCAGGGATATTGAGACTGCACGGAAAGGCTCGAGAGTGCTTGGCCTGGGAGGCGTGGATGTCAGAGATCCCGAGGCGCTTGCGAAAGCCGCGGAGAGGACTGCGAAGGAGCTGGGTAGCATTGACTTTGTGATGTGAGATCTGACTTGGAAGCTTTATAGGGGGTATGCGTACTGACAGACGGTAGTGCTGGCGCGGCAGGAAACTTTCTTGCTACGATAGATCAGCTGTCGCCGAATGCGATGAAGTCCGTCATCGATATCGGTATGTGCTTAACAAAGTTATTACCTAGGTATGCTGGGGCGTCAACTAATCCCCTGCAGATGTCCTGGGCAGCTACAACACCGTCAAAGCCACGCTCCCCTACCTGGTTGAGTCCGCGAAGAAGCACAAAACCGACGGTAGGGCTCCTCATCCCCACGGCACTGGAGGCCGCATCATCTTTGTCAGCGCTACTCTGCACTACTCCGGCACGGCCCTGCAAACGCATGCCTCTGTCGCCAAGGCCGGTATCGATGCCATGTCCGTGGCTGTTGCAATCGAGCAGGGCCCCAAAGGTATTACTTCGAATGTAATTGCCCCCGGTCCGATCCGGGATACGGAGGGGATTGCTCGTCTTGCGAAGGGAGAGAGCGAGACGGCGAAGGCGATTCCTTCGGGGAGGTATGGAACTGTCAAGGAGATTGCTGATGCTACCATTTACCTCTTCTCGGATGCGGGTAACTATGTCAATGGAGATATCATTGTTGGTGAGTGCTGCACCAGTCTTATCTGTTAGATCCTCTGCGTTATGCTAACTACTTGTTTAGTGGATGGCGGACATTGGCACACTTCGGGTGTTAAGAACGGCCCCTTCCAATATCCTGATTTCCTGCTCTCCGGTGAAGCCGTCACTGGCGTCAAGGGTTTGAAGACGAAGAAGTCGAAGTTATAGGGGAGTGTGTAGTAGCATTATAGCGAGTTTCTCTATTCACTTTTCTCAAAGAGTTTTCTATGCAATGCAGATATATGGCTGGTGTTCACATGAATTCAGATATCCTGCACACGTTATGCACATACGATGAAGGGATGCGCATCCAAGCTGCATTTGCATTGGCCATTCCTCCAGCGATTACAGCATGTCACGGTGTATCCTGGCCTCAATATTGCTGCATCTATCTATATCCGCCGGGTAGGTTAGCGCGATATCTAATCGGCTAGGCCTCTCAACTGACAACAACAGGTTTCCAACTAACGCTAGTTGGGACTATCGCGGCCCGTAGCGTTAGCTTTTTTCCAGAAGAAGGTCGTTAGGCTTGAATGGAAGACGGTAGTGGTATTCCTAAAGATGTTGCATCGCGTTTGAGCGAAACCAATCACTACTCTCCCCCTACAGTGGTACGGGTATACAAGTGCTTGCCTTGAAGAATCCAATGCTCTCGGGGAATCGCTCATATGTACTGAGGAGCTTGGGCGATGGAAATCCTAATCAAAGTAAAAAAAGGAGATCTAGTAGCGTCATATGATGGGAGGAATTGATTGCTTCCGTTGCAATCCAGTATCGACGCACTTCGTCTGGCTTGTCCGCCCATCCTGGCAGCCGTTCGTTGACATGATCTACATTGCCTTGCGTCAGTTAGGCGCAGCTGGTAAAATCGACGTCAAACGAAAAGAAGTATGAAAGGCAGCCACTCACTTGTGCGTTTCTGCGCTTTGCACCGGCGATTTTTGAAAGTTAGGAGGACGAGAGCGATATCGTTTGCCTCGAATCGCGTGAAGCAGTTGCGGGCGATTCTGACCGCAAGCTCAATCTCCCGATCAGTCGTTACTTGCTCGGCTGACCAGTTCTGCCGCAATTGAATGACTCGTTTCGTCCATTGCCTGCGACCTTCAGGGTCGTCAAACTCGGGATAGAGTTGGAAGAGGCCGGCCTGGATTAGCTGCTCTAGGGAGACTATACAGGATCGAGATGTGATGTTTACTGCCCCTTGAGAAAGGTATTCGCCGTTATAGTAGTCTCCGCGCTCGAGGCGTGAGTCAAACATCCATTGTATCCCTCGGATCTGATTGCTCAACCGTTTGGCAGTTGCTTCATATGCTTGGAGTAACCAGATATCTTGCGCGAATTGTCCTTGGGGAAAGTCCCTGGTGTCAACGACGCATATCTTGATGTCAGACGTGCTGCATCGGCGGATCGTGAGTCTCCAAACCGCGTATTGAATGGCGAAGAGTAGGGAGCTTGTCCAGGACATGAGGTTATCAGAGGCCTCCCCGCCAAAGCACGACTTGTCCAGATGCGCATATAGCAACTCTGTTGCTGTCCGACTTTCCAGTGTTAGAATATCGGTTCGGCTGTTTCGCTGCGATCCACTGATGCTCGCTATAGATGCTATTACGCTCTGGTCACTTATCCCTGAGCTGGCGTCATCGAATGTGCGAAACAAGTACTTGGGGACAGCTTCGAATCTCAGATGTTGGGCATGAAAGCTTGCTGGCGGATAGAACAAGGTTGGTCCTGCAGGCGAATTGTTCACAACCCTGACCCAAAAATCCGTCCATCGCTGCCGCTCCTTCCGACGGCTCTCGGACCTATGCTCCACTTGTAGTTGAAAAGCTGTAGCGTAACCTTCATCCACGTCGAGGCGATTCTCATGCTCATAGTATTCTTCGCTCTCGAAGTCGGAGTCATACGGCCATCCCAGACTGGCTCCTTCGAGGGCAATGAAGTAGTCATCGGCGTCGAGAATCCCAGAACGGTTAGTGGCTTGCTTATAGCATTCCTCAGCAACCTTCCACAGCACGTCCCGATCGCTGGTATGATTGAGGACATTCCGGACAATGTTCCTGATCTGTCTATCAAAATGTTTCAAGATCCTGGAAACGGTTTCACAAGGATTTCCAAGCGACCTGAGCCGTCTGATAACAGACCTCTCCGTCGCTTCATGAAGTTCATCGACAGTGGCTCGAAGATGGGAAGCAATGTCTGTAAGCTTTTTGATTCCCTCACTGAGCAAGCATACCTCCGTGATAGACAAGTTACCCGAGGATTTGGCATCGTCGGTCAGGGATCTGATAGATTGAGATTGCGAGGTGATAGTGTTGGTAGATTGAATGAGCGTGCGGACAGCGTCCTGGAGGGAGACTGGATGGCTGCCTGTTGAGCGGCGCGGTTCCTGTCCGCGATGCAGAGGTGCGGCGGCAATGCTCAGATTGCCGACTAAACCCGCCAGGTCCTCCATGTTGGTTCCCATCTCTAGAGTGTACAGCTGGAAAATGCAGAATATGTGTGTACGATAGAGGCAAGGCTGGGAGTGATTTCTGGCTGAGTAGACATCTCGAGCTGAGTTCTATGTCTGCGCCTGACGTGGCAGTGCCGTAAGGCTTGCAGACATTGGGGGTATGGCTTGCAGACATTGGGGGTATGGCTTGCAGACGGTGTAACAGAGAGTATTTCGAAGTGATGTGACTGGCGGACCTTGATTCAGCCTCGTGAAGGTCCGAGTCGCGTTGGAGGACCTGAGTACCACACGGTATGTACTGTAAGAAGAATTTCTAGTACCTAGGAATAGCTTTAGCATGTAACCAAGGTAAATCGGGTAGAATCATATAGGTACGGTGCAACAGTCAGTATTTCGAAGTGATTTGGCTACCATGTCCGTTACTGACTTAGGACACTTTCCCTCCGCGGAACCACCAACCCTGGCCCCCAACCCCAAACACCAACAAACCATCCAAAACGCGCATCCTCATCTGCCCATCCCGGATGCTGTTTCACATTCTTCCAAGAGATCCCTGGCGGGTGGGCGGAGGTCTTCGCAGGTCTTTTCAAACGCTTTCGCGCGCTGATCTCGCGGGCTCCCCTGCCGATCTCACTTTTCCGTTTCCGGAAGCGGGCAAGGGAAACGACGAGCAGCCAGGCGATGTCGTCATAGCGGAGAAGACTTGGCGGGGCGCGGGATGGGCGGAAGCCGGGAAAGAGAAAATCCCGTGCGCCACAGCACGCGGGCGGTGGGTTTTGGAATTGGGTGGCTTGGCGGCGAGTCGAAAGTTGTTGATGGAGTTGAAAGAGTGAAGTGGGGCAGGGTAAGATCGAGCTGGAAGGATACGTTTGATTGGGAGTGAGCGGAAATGGGAATAACACTGGAAGTGGATAATCAGAGCTCGAGGGACGATGTTTGGGGGTAGAGAGCTGTCATTTTCAAAACTTGGAAATACCACAATAAAAGTACCTATGTATACAACAGTAGGAGATAAATAGGCAGCGTGACATCAGAAAGCTGGGTGTCAGGCAGGGTTGATATACTCTGATGAGGATCTGCCAGCGGCGCTCTCCTGCGTCACGCAGGGCGAGGCTTACTGAGTACGACCTACCAGTCACGGATGTTTGTGGATGGAGTGGTGGTGCATGACTCTGCCTTAGGGTTGGTATGGACGAGCGAAGAGAGAAAGAAGGCTATGCTGCTCACATCAAGACAGAGAAAGAAGTGCAACGTGGACTGTTTATCGCAGCGCGCATCGACCGATGTTGTTGACAACTGGTGCTTGCGCGGCAGGGTGATTACATAACCATTCACAGTGCTTGTAGTGCCAAGTGACAGTGCCGAGCAGCCGGGTTTCTAATTTTGCCCAGCAAAAAAAGGGTGATCTGCAACCTGGACTGCAACCTCCGTCACAAGCCGACCTCTGTCAGCCATCCATTTTGACTTCTCCCAACACTTTGCTTCACGCAAGCGCTCAACCCCACGTTCGCTCTTCTCCCCGTTCTTTTTCATACTTTCCTCTTGTTGTCGTCCCAGCAGGAATGGCTGCCATTCACTTCTGAGTTTGCTGCGGTGTTTCCGTCACCCCACTCGGCCGTCCGGGAGGACCCACCAAACCGCAGCAGAGCAGGGCAGCGAACAGGACGTGCCATCCGCCTCGTTGCACCACCTGCGCTTCGATTCGATTCGACCGCAGGTTGCACTTGCGCGGCGCGGCCTTGAGACCGTTTCCCTCTGTCACACCCTCGGTCCATGCAATCATCATTTCACTGAGGGGAAACAAGAACCTTGTTGTACCCTTGGAACTCTGGTCGAAAGCCCGTCCCGCCGACAAGTGTGACGGCTTTGCACCTTTGCACCAGGTCGGAGCGTCATCAGTTTAGTTCCCTTTGCGGACTAGCCCAAACCCCAAAGGTTAGCGGCTTCTTGGCGGCCCTCAATTGAGTTGTGTATCCGAGCTCCCTCCTCATATCCTCGTCGTCGCTCAGCGGCACCCTGCCTGCTTGCCTGCTGTCCTTCACCCTCTCCCCCCACGGTTGTCACCTGGACAGCTTCCGCGCCCGCCATTCCAGCAATGCTGATGAGAACCCATTGACCAGGTCCCTGCACCCTTCTGGAAGCAATTCTCGCTGTTTCGACGTAGTCCAACAAGCTTGCCCTCGAAGAGCTTCTCCACCGATAAGCTCCCACGGCCTCATCCGGCTTTGTCCCCGCGACCGGGGCGAGCATTTGACAGACACCCTGCACATTCGCTCTCAACACTCTCTTTGTCTACTTACATAGTACATTGTCGTCACACTCTCCTCGGTACTGGCGAGGGGCACGTCTGGTGTGAAGGTCGGGCCTTCATACATTGTGCATTCACCACTCGGTCTCGCAACTCCCGCAACCACCTCCTTCCTCCGTTATCGATACACCTTCCTGCACCACTCTCTCCTACAACCTGGCTGGTCCCATCTTCCGAGCATTCGCTGTGCTACCGGGACCACGGCCACTCACTATGGGAAACTTGAACAGACTACTGTTGTCGAGCGCAGCATGCCTCCTGGTTCTTCTCTTCTCCATTCAAGGGGCTGATGCTGCCATTGAGCTCTCATACTGTTCGTCGCAGAATACGGCCGGGGGCGAACCGGGTAAGCGTACCTCTTGTGGAGAGAATGGATCACAACTGACATCGCAATGTAGATTTCTGGACATGGCAGTCCAACGGCTGGTGTTCCGACAAGTGCAGAAACGATTATGCCCTCGCCATTGTACAAGGGAACGACTGTTGGTGCTCAAATTACCTGCCTAAAGAACAAACCGACGTTTCCGACTGCAATATGGGTTGCCCTGGATACCCTGACGAAAAGTGCGGCAGCGAAGATGGCAAGCTTTTTGGATACATTTCCTTAAACAGGAAGCCATCTGGCACCAAAGGTGCCTCGAAGCCTACAACTACAGATGTGAGTTCAAGTTCTGTCATACGGAGCAGTTCTGTGGCGTGGAGCACAGGTACAGTCAGTGGCTTTTTCGTTCTCGTCTAACTCGTCATTTCTTACCCTCCTCGTGTTGTTCAAACGCCACGCTTCCCTTTGGTTCCCGCATGTAAATCCCGTCATGTCCTCTGGCGGTGGAATTTCTTTTGACAGTTTGAGCAGCCGCCTGTGGCTCCGCCAAAATCTACAAAATCTAGTCCTGTACGCAAGGGGACGACGACTGCTGAGCCAGAGACCACCTCCCAAACGGTCACTGAGCCGCCGAGCGTCATCACCTTGTCTCCTGTATGCTAGTTCCAGTCTCCTGCGGCCGTGGTCATGGTCGAATGTGACGAGAGATTTGCTAACAGGTGATGACAGAGTGATCGATCTTCGACCACGAACGCGCCACCCGAATCTACACGGTTCATCACCGTCACTGGTGCAGGTGGAGGCACCACCATTATCACAATTGTACCCACCTCGCCTGCGTCAGGGGCCTCTCCGCCGTCCAGCAAATCGAACGTAGGTGCAATTGTCGGCGGTGTCGTTGGTGGCCTAGCCGCGCTCGCTGCCATTGTTGGAGGCATCTTCTTCTTCCTGTGGAGACGGCGGAAGCAACAGAAAGAAGCCGAAAAAGGCGACTTCGGTGTCCATCGCCATACTAGTACTATGAGCAAGCACGGATTGATACGGTCCGTTGAGAAGGAACCCATCGCTTCTCCCGAGATCGCTGCCAACATAAGGCGTACTAGCCGGATGATGCCGGACGGTGACTCGATCAGTCCCAGTGGCTCAGACAGGAGGAGCAGCAGACCGTACATCTTCGATCAGCGGCTAAATCCGTCGGCCATCATGATGCAGGAAAATGCGAGTCAGGGAAGTTTGGTGAGCATCGATGATAGTCGCGATTATGGGCGCACGCTCAACGTAAGTGGTGCTGTTGTATGGTTTCGGGGCTGCATTGCTGACGTATCCAGGTACGGAATCCGGACCCAGATCCCGACCCGGATAGTTGAGGAATCCGTTCAAAGACCGCTCAAGGGGCCCTAGCCGGTTCTCTGAGCACCGCCCAATCCACGTCTGGGCGTCAGCAGCTACATCACGACTTCACGAACACAGACTTGCAAGGGCATTAGGCGGATTTCGAGCTCATGTTTTCTGCATCGGCGTAAAGGAGTTCTAGGCGTAAGACGGACCATCCCGGCCTTCATCTTATGTCCACATGGATATTCGGGTTCTCTGTCGCATCTTCATCGACACTCATTTCAGCATGTTTACTACTCCATCATGGATATACACTTGTACATTTCGACTTCACCTACATATACCACTCGAAGAGAGGATTAGGGGACCGCGGAACCGGGAAGCGTTGGAAGGTCACGGGAAGGGACAACGCCGCCCTCACCGACGGAGTCTCAACCGCGGCTTTGTGTAACATAGGCAGCTGATAAGGGGGAACTAGCGACGGCGGCGGAAATGAGGACGGACTGTAATTCACTGCTGGACTTTTCTCTGTGCAGCTTCGACCGTATCGTAATACCTAAAAGTACATAGCAGATGGAAACGATTGGCTCGGCCGTTATGACTCCAGGCCAAGAGCCGTAACAATGAACATATTCATAACTAGTTTAAATGACGTCAAAATGCTTGAGCCTATTTGTGAAGGTGAGCGTGAAGATGAGGCTGAGGTGAAGGTGAAGGTGAAGCGCTGAGCCCAATGCTAGATCAATTGATACTGATGTCACCCCTGTCGAGTGGACGGCGAGCACGGAGCACCTGCCCGGCCACGTTTCTGGCGTTGGGTGCCCCTCGAATCCTAAGTGTTTTCAAACGCCCAAACATCGGTCCTAAACGAACGTCGCCCTTACAGTCCCATTGATAGCTACAAGCTGACAAGATGAGTAAAATGTGGGAGGTGGATCCGGAGACGAGGAGTAAGGTGCGCGCACACACGACTGCTTCGCAAGAGACATGCGATTTTGACGCCGCCAGTTGCTCGAGATCCAGAAGACGAACGAGAACAACAAATGCATCGACTGCAATGCGCCCAGTCCGCAATGGGTATGCTCCTCCCCAGAATCGCACGGCCTGCGATCGCATCGGTTCCACACAATACTCATACACGTTGGCAGGCCTCTCCCAAACTGGGCATCTTCATGTGTCTCTCGTGCTCGGGCGTCCACCGCGGCCTAGGCGTGCACATCTCCTTCATCCGGAGCATCACCATGGACGCATTCAAGGGATCCGAGCTCGCGCGCATGGCTGCAGGCGGGAACAAGCCGTTCCAAGATTTCTTCAACGCACACCCTTCGAATGTCAAGGAGGGGCGCACATTCGAGCAGTCCTCGATACAGGAACGATATGATTCCGAGGCCGCGGATGAGTGGAAGGAGAGATTGAGCTGCAAGGTCGAAGGTCGGGAATTCGACAAGGCGAATCTGCCTAAACGGTTACCGAAGAAGGACAAGGACACAGTTGCTGCGGGAGCGAGTGCGCCTCTCAGCGGACGCGCGAGCACCGCCGGGAGTAGGAGTCAGACACCTTTGGGAAAGACACGGAGTAACGAGTCCTCGATGCAGCGGTCGGGGTCGCCCGCGCTGGGGACCGCGTCTCTAGCGGGCAGCAGGAAAGCGCAGAATGAGGCGTATTTCGCGAGAATGGGGTCGGAGAATGCGAATAGGAGGGATGACATACCGCCGAGTGAGGGGGGCAAGTACGCAGGTTTTGGCAGCGAGCCGGACTCGTGGAAGAAAAATGATGAGCCTGGGGCGCCGCCGGCATTAGATGATTTCCAGAGGGACCCTGTCGGAGCGCTGACGAAGGGGTTTGGATGGTTGGGGGCGAGCGTGAGTAGGGTGGGGAAGACGGGGTATGAGGGGTGGGTGAAGCCGGGTATGCAGAAGGTAGGCGTTGTTCATGGATGTTCTGCTGTTTTCATGTCCCGACAATGCTAAGGATTCACAGCTCGCAGAAGCCGATCTCGCAGCACAAGCACGCAACACCGCCGGAATTCTCGGCCAAGGTATCCAACAAGGGACAGCCAGCGCCAGCAGTGCCCTCACAAGGCTGGTCGAAGGGGACGACCGACCTGCTGCCAAGCGCTCCACCGTTGAGCCCGAGAAGAAAGATTTCTGGGATTCCTTTGGCGCGCCGCCTTCGGGACCGAGCAAAGACAAGCAGGACTTCTGGGACGAGTTCGCGAGTGCGGGTGAGGCGAGGACGAAGAATAAGACGGTGGTGGGCATGGGGGCGCCGAAGAAACCGAGTGGGATTGGAACGAGCGCGGTGAAGAAGACGGCGCCGAAGAAGGACGATGACGGATGGGGTGACTGGTGAGGGATTTGCATCTCAGGCATGTGCTATGTTGGGTGTACGGAGTTTGGGTTTGAAATGATGGGCGGATTAGCGTGCATGTTTATAGGTGAGGTGTTTGTTCTCTTGTTGATATATTTTCAATCACTTGTACGAGTTTCATATCAGTGAACTGTTCTGCTAACTTGGAAGATTTCTTGCAGGCGCTGGGAATTAGTAGATATCCAATGGCATTCTCCATATTATTCCGCGTCCCTTCCGTCGACTTTCCCTCAACAGAAATCAGACTGGAGGGCATGCTCCTGCCCTCTATCGCGTGCATGTTGCTCCTTCACGCCCTACCCCTTCATTCTTACCTCAGCAGCCACGCTTGACTTCCCTTTCGATGAAATTGGAATCCACTCCGTGCAGTTCACCCGACACTTGAGGATAGCAACTGCCACACTCTGTCGTCCCGTCAACAAGGCAGTAGCTGCCCGAGGTCGGTGGGTTTTGGCCAGAGTTCCTCGAGATCCCGCTCACTCCACTTTTACACTCTCCGTCAGAAACTCTACCAGCACTCACCGGCTCCTATTCGTTCAGGTATGTTTGCTCCATCATTTACACCATTCAACTACTGGACCTGTTTCATATCCGCGTACTGTTATGCCCAGCATCGCTATACATTCCGCCGCCAGTTCGCTCGAACGAGCCACGCGTCACTGACAGACTTATAGGTTCGACGAAGAGCTCGTATCCCGCGACAACTGCTGGCGAAAGGAAGTGCGTTCCCTGTTCGTTTCGAATGCAATTGAATGCAATAGACTTACCTGTCCAAGGACTCTCAAGTGTCGTCATGGCGCCCATCAGCTTGGTAGGTACTCCCTACCTTCTCTCTATTCCAGAAGTCTAACAACCCAGCTACTCCTTCCGACCCTGCTCGCGGTTCGCAGCGTGGAGGCCGCATCGAAGAAAGTCCTCGTCAACGTCTGGAACCACGAATACGACTGCTCCGGCATCGCGGACAAGGTCAAGGAAGTCAATTTGGACCACTGCAGCAAGAAGGACGTCTATGGCCGTTCCGTGCTCCTTCGCGCCCCGGCCAAACCGGAGAACTACGACAGCTGGTCCGCCGACGCGGATCACGACTATTTTGTCTCGCTCTACACTGACAAGAAGTGCAAGCACTTCCTTGCCAATATCACTGTCCCGTCCGGCCTCGAGAAGTGCTGGTGTATTCCTGCTGGACACTTTGCTCGCGGGTTCAAGTTCCGCTCCGAGAAACGCGAGACTTCCAGCACAACGGTTGCGGCTCAAGCAGCTTCGACCACATCTAAGCAGCACAAATACACGTCCATCCGGTCCCCAGTCAAGAGCTCCACCACGGTGACTGCTCCTGTAAGGAGCACTACGAAGATGGTCGCCCAAGCCCGCAGCAATATCACCTTCACCACCCAAGTAACGCACCACACAACAGTCGTGCCTCCAGTCGTGAGCGACACTCCAGTTATTCGCTCGAATGTGACGGAGATTGTGGTTCCAGCTGTGGTCAACCAGACTGTCATGGAAATGGCGAAGTTGACAGCAATCCTGAGCCACATTACTGTTGTAGACGACACTGTCGCCTCTGTCACGGTTTGGGATGAGGCAGCGGGGCCGGGCAGCACCTTGCAAGCTGTCGTGAGCGACATTACCGTTGTGGAGAATACTGTCATCCCCGTCACGGTTTGGGAAGTACCGGAAACCACGATCACCGTCGGGAAGGCGGCTCGGCCCTCAGAGCGAGCTGAAATACCTGCGGAACCCATGGTTGAATCCCGCGCCGCCTTCAAGAAGTATGAAGTCAGCTACTTGTGGTACAATCACCCTTGGGAGATGACCCCTGTGTGCTTCAAGTGCTGGCTTGAAGACGAGCATGGCCGGGAATTCGAATGCGAAGCTTCCCGCAAGACCAACGGTCTTTGTGGAGAGTTGCCATTCGAACCCCCAACGACCACTGCCGTCGCGGTCGCTAGTTCAACAGTGACGAAGACTCAATGTAAGAGATTGTCTACAACTTGAGGCTTTCGATGGGGACTGACATGCCGCAGACTACGTCCCAGTGGTCACAGTCACTTCCTCCGCCGCTGGCAACAAGCTTGAAGCACGCACTACCCACAAGAAGCGCGTTACACTGACGCATCCCCACATTGCGGACGAAGTCGTCTGCGCCAAAGCCAAGTGGAAACATGCAGGCGAGGAAAATGCCAAAATAGAGATTGAGGGCCCGAAGGATTGCAGAGGCACCGAGGAGTACATCGCCAGCGTTTAAACAGGCGGCCAGCCCAACCCCACCTCCCAGCACTCTCAAGGCTCGTCGCTTTCAGAAATCCGACGGCGTGATTAGTGCTTCATGATGGCATTATCGTTGTTGTTATCAAGGGAATTATTATGCTGGCCTGGGGATTGTCGACCGACTAGCTTGCGGTATTGCCCGTCGTTCTGTGCGGCTTCTGGCTGCCTACTCTGGGTTGGAACGCCTGTATACTTATCGTTCGGTTTTGTTATTCTCCTTCTGCCCTTCTTTTGCCCGTAAATGGTAAGGCGTAACATGGTTTAATGGAAACATTGTTCGCATTCTTCTGTGCAAAAGCGGTAGAACATGATGGTGTGGGCAGTGAAATGGTGAGAGAATCAAATCGCGAGTCAGTTGCGCCAAGATGCGTCATAAATTCTGACTCGCTTACAAAATATTGCGGCGTCCATGTAATCTCAATGTTAACGACATGACAAGCTCTCTTCACCTGCCTCGAGACGACATGATACGATAGCTTCACCAATTCGTTTGGCGTCACCATGCAGTACCTTCCTCCTTGTATATTAACCCGTCGCTCACCATGTTCTTTGTACCACGATTCAGGCCCTTAGGACTCGGCCATGTTTACCGATGTTCAAGTTCATTGAGATACCGGAATGCTGGCTTATTAAAGAGATACGGCGGAGCTTCGGAAAGATATGTATCGAGTGATGTAGCGCCATCTATATCTTCCGGAACCGCGTCGGCAGCAGCAACAGAGCCAGCCGCATCGACCCCGGCATCAGTCCCAGCATCCGCACCATCGGCGCGCGCATCAGACTCCACACCTTCACCCCCACGACCCAGCGGCAACGATGCCAACGACAAAGACGCCCCCTTCACCCCGCGCACGACCTTCCCCTCGCTCCCGTCGCTCCCGCGCTCCTACTTCCTAGGGCACCACAAGGCCGGGCTCGAGAAGATGAAGGGCCTGCTCAACACCATCGACCTGGTCCTCGAGTGTCGCGACTACCGGGTACCCGTAACGTCGCGCAACCCCTTGTTCGAGGAGGCGTTGGAGGGCAAGGAGAGGGTCATTGTGTTCACGAAGAGGGATCTGGGTGGTGCTGACGGTGGGGTTGAGGAGAGGTTAAGGCGGTGGTGTTTAGGACGGGGCAAGGAGAAGGGGAAGGGGGTTGTCGGGGTGTTGTTTACGAGGGGTGTGGATACGTCGATGACTGCGGATAAGAGGGCTGCTGCCGCGGGGAGCGGTGGGAGTGGGAGGAAGAGTCTGGATCAGGTGATTCGGTTCCTGAGGGAGCATGCGCGGGGAAGGTGGAAGCTTGTCGGGCACAGGGTTTTGGTCGTGGGGATGCCGAATGTGGGGAAGAGTACGCTGTTGAATGGACTCCGGGGAGTGGGGATGCGCGGGGGGAAGACAAAGGTGGCGAGGACGGGGGCGCAGCCCGGGGTGACGAGGAAGGTCGGGACCGGGGTCAAGGTTGTGCCTGGGGAGGATGATGTGGATGAGTTTGGTAATGAGGAGGGGGAGGGGAAGAAGAGGAAGGCAAATGAGGGCGTCGGAGGCGGTGTCTACGTCCTCGATACCCCCGGCGTCTTCATCCCGTACGTGCCCTCGTCAACAGCCATGATGAAACTCGCGCTGGTTGGCTCGGTCAAGGATACCATCATCCCGCCCGTCCTGCTGGCGGATTACCTCCTCTTCCACCTCAATCGCGTGGATCCGGCTCTGTACAGGGACTTTTCGCCGCCGACCAACGACGTAGTGAGATTTTTGGAGAATGTGGCGAGGAAGTTGGGGAGGATTGGGAAGGGCGGGAAGGTCGATGTCGAGGCGAGTGCGATTTGGGTCGTGCAGAGGTGGAGGAGGGGGGAGTTGGGGAGGTTTGTGCTGGATGATGTTGGGGAGGAGGCGTTGAGGAGGGAGGAGGAGGGGGAGGGGGGTGGGGTGTGGGGGTTGGGCGAGGGGGTGGTGAGTTTGAATCAGGCGAGGAGGGCGGAGAGGGAGAGGAGGAGGGAGAGGGGGAGGGCGAGGGCCAGGGGGAAGGGGATGGTGGTTTGAGTCGGTTGTGGGAGTGAGAGGATTGTAGTTAGCTGTGTGTTGGAGGGTGGGATTGGCATTGGAATGGCGTTTTGGGCGGTGGTTGGGGATTCGGGATTTGTATCTGATAGTGTGTATACGTATGTTGTGGATAGGTTGTGGTATATTGCCAGACATCCATCCTAATGACTTGAGCGGAAAAGCTAAAGGGACGACGCCACTCATCTCTTGTTTGATGCAATGTGATGGTAGCTCCGATTAAATGAATTCTTACTAGAATATAGCATTTAGTTATATGACTGCTCATCTAGGTGGCCATTCACATAGTTGACAAAGCCCTCACTGATAGGTGCATTGAAGAGTAAGTTTGTCAAAAGAAGGGTCCTTTCAGATGCGAGACTTGATGCTTGCAGGATAAGAAATTGGGCCGCGTTATACCTAGACCGAACATATAGGGGCGGGAGGACAACACATGATCAAGACGCTAGATCAACAAAGCAGGCATCTTTCGTATGCCCTATCAGAACTATTTCAATGGTTGAGTGATCTTGGAAGCGGACATCACGTCTCAAACGGCTTCTTGCATAGATCTTCTTTTCGGTCACTATTTCTATTGGAGATTGACAAACAAGCCACCGTCAACCAGCAACTGCGCTCCACTCTAGGCTCAGTCAGCCATTTCCATCGCTCACCGAATCAAGCAAAAGGCTACAACTCACCACGTACCCACTCAACTCCTCACAGCCCAGAAACACCGCCGGTCCTGCCAAGTCTTCCGTGACTCCTATTCTTCCCAGCGGGATCCTTCCTTCCATATACCTCCTCTTTTCCTCCTGCTCCAAGTCCTTCTCATTCAGTTGCGTTCTTATTGTTCCCGGCAGCAGTGCATTGCATCTGATATTGTACTTTCCTAGTGCACAGGCACATGACTGCATGAGTGACAGCACCCCAGCTTTCGTCGGGGTGTAATGTGCTTGCTGCGACCCACCCACCAGCGCGGAGATGCTCGATATACCGATTATAGAGCCTCCCCGGGGAGATTGGGTGGACATCTGTACGGCGGCTGCGTGGACGCTGTTGAATGCGCCCGTAAGGTTGGCAGACAGTGTCTGATTCCAGAGGTCGGGGGTTATACTATGCCAACGATTCAGTTGAAAAGCTGCCAGGAAAGAGGAGGAAAGCTGTACTCGAGGAACTCTCGAAACTCGCAGATACCCGCATTGCTAACGAACACGTCCAGTCTTCCCCACCTCTCTGCCGCGGTCTTCACCAGCTTCTTTCCCGTTTCCGGGTCCCCTACATCGCCGGGAACTTCTACGAGCCGATTCTCTCCTTCGTCGCGGCTGCCTACAATCTCTGCTGCTTCGTCGAGGAGAGTTTGGAAGTGCTCGCTGGATTTCGGATCCCCGAGGTGGTTCATTGCGACGTTTGAGCCATGCTTGATGTAGCTGAGAGCTATCGCCCGTCCGATACCCGTTACGCCGCCTGTAATAGCTGCAGATTTACCGGCAAGCAGTTGTACGTTCCCCATTGTATACTTCTGGCGACCGTGCAGCGAGTCAATAATCGGGAAGGGAGAGTGGAAGCCATCGTGTCGCACGATGGAGGACGTAATAACTGCAGATTCATCCAAACAGGTAGATGAAAGAGGTCTGATTCCCCTCCGGGTCAATGCCGTCCGAGGGCCCGTGCGCCTCTCAGAGTTGGATGTCGACTCCATATGCCTCACAACCAGTCTTCCACCAAACGTCTTCCACGTCTGTAATGCCACATCTCTCCATCAGAGACCCGACGACTTCCCTCCAGAGCGCCCAATTCCCTTGTTCGCCCCTCGGACCTCCAAGGTTGCAAACTGGCCAATCCGAACCAAACATGACCCTCGGTGCCCAAAACAAATCAAAGACGTTTCTTCCGTAGAAATCCATCCTCGCAGCAATACCATCCACATCCTCCGGTGTTGGGTCTGGCGCAAATTCATTCAGAGCCCCGGAAAGCTTCATATACACCCCCGGCACAGCAGCAAGTCGTCTCACTGCCCGTAACCAGCCCTCGCTCGCAGCCAACCCAGTACCAGCACCGCTCGAGAGATCCGGCTTGCATAGATGATTTAGGACAAACTTGACTCTCCCCTTGCCTCCTTCCTTCTCTTCCCTCTCCCTAACCATTTCGACCATATCAGCGGCTGCTTCCACCTGCCCCACGGCCCCCCTATGCGCATCCACGCCAACATCAAACGTCCACCCTTGCCCCCCTCGCCCAGAGCGCAACCGCAGAATATTGGTCTTCCACTCTTCACTCTGCAGTAGCTTTCTTAAGATATCCTCCTCTTCAATCCCCTGAAGCAAATACCGGAATCCCACAACTCTCCCCCACAGCCTCGGCCCAGCAACTCGCTCCGCGATATCGAGATACATATCGAAGAGCTGGGGCGCGAGGTGAAATGGCGCCCAGATGACACAACCCACCATGCAATCTCCATCTCCGGCATCGAATCCATCCGTCTCTGCATCCTCGGGCGTGCCTTCAACGATGCGCCTTAGAAACCTCAACTCCTCCAGCGGCTCATGGGCCCAGTGCTCCAACAATTCCCGTGCACGTGCGTTCTTTTGCTCATCGTTTGACAAGTCTCGCAATTGCGCGAGATCCACGGGGGGAGACGGGGTAGGTAGATAGCGGTCCGTTTCCACGTAGATGAAGGCGGTGGGTTGGACTGGAGAGGCAGAGACGGCGGCCTTGTAGTCGGATATCCCGTGTCGTTTCGCGAGTATGTGGCCTGGTGTCATCCAGGCATGGTTCGAGGGAGAAGTGGATGTGCTGGGCCAGAGGTGGATGTGGGTGTCCAGGAGCTTGTGAGGGGCCATGGTGAGAGCTTGACGGGTTCCCCTTCACTTGAAGCTTAGGTTCGTTGGCGTAGAAGTCCGAAGGCGTTCGTTCAGGTGAGGTCAGCAAATGAGGTTGTCATGATAGAGGTTCGTTTTCTGCAATATTTATTTATTGACAGAAGTTACTCTTTTACTCGACTGGGCAGAGTTCAAGCTTGATTCTGAACCATGTCTCCAAAGCGGGGTTCACCCACCTGGGCATTGCAGCTCCGATATCCAACCCCCATTCCCACCTCACACGCACGCTTCCCCATTTGGTCTACAGATTTTTACTTGATACCCTTTTAAGTCAGATTTAGAAGTTGAAACCCACACGTGATCGGCCGTCCAAGCTCCAACAGAGGACATGGACTGTGCTGTAGTTGGCCCGAATGTATCCGTGCTTCGTCCCGAGCCGAACCGAGCCGCTAGCCGCTTGCTTCTTTAGGGTTTGGACCGTGCCCTGGTGAATTGTAGGGGCACGTGCGCTTCGGATTCCAGTACATACCCAGCAGCAGAGAGCGAAATGTTAAACCGCTCTATTAGTCAGGTCTACTTGAACTAAGAGGTATGCTCCCATTGCCAGTTAAGACCTAGTTCGAAGTCTAGTCTTCGACTTCAACGAAAGACTGTATCTGCGCCTCAATCATTTCAAAGCAGAACGTTTCCCAGTTGATCTTTTTAGGCTTCTCTTCTCCAACTCCCTTCCCCTCAGTCGTAGAATGTCTCAGCTGCGCATCCATTCTTTCCAGGTCGGGTAGGGCCCATTTCCTCATCCATTCCGACTCGAGGACCTGCAATGCAGTGGGCCCCTCTTCTGGCTTCCAAGCGAGCATAGATCTGAGCAGCTCCTCGAGTGCGGTTTTCTCATCCTCTTCCAGTGGTATGCCAAGCTCTTCCCTGGGCCTCTGAATGCAGAAGTCGAACAATTCCGCCCACCCTTTGAATTTGCTTTCGCCTCTCATTGCTCCTCTTTCATCGAACCAGATCATTCGCGTCCTCCACTTCTGCCACCAGTCTGACGGCATGGGTCCAAGTATTACCACACGCTCTTGAATCCATTCGTCCGTCGTGACCCGCCGTGTACTAAATAGTTCATACGCACCAACAGTTCCCCAGATGGCGACGGCAAGCGCCCAGATATCAGCAGGAAACGATAGCGGTTCGGCGGTCGAAAAGTAGAGCTCCGGGGGGTGAAGATATTTCGGCGTCCCGGATGCATACCGTGATTCCACTTGAGGCATGTAGGATTCGCCGAAATCCGTGAGCAGGATCTGAGCCTCTGAGAAAGATATCTCCTGACCTAGGGCCACTGTGGTTGGGGCAGGGATCACAGCGTAGAATGGGACTCCCTCCGGAAGGGGCTGGCCATTACGGCGTTCCACTCGTTCCATTCGTTCCTCCCAAGGGCATCCGTACTTTTCGTAGTACTGCTCTAAAGTGAGGTTGCGGAAGCTCTCGGGGAGCTGGAACAGTATATTCCCATAATGTAGATCTAGAATTGTCAGTGTGAGTTGGTACAGCGAGCGATGATAGCTCACCACCATGTACGACCCCATTGGAGTGCAGAAAAACGATGGCGTGCACCAGTTGGGCGATAATGGCTCGACCTACGGATGGCTGGAACACCCGCTCATACAGATGCAGACAGTCGTCCTTTGCATCTCTTACACTGATCCCTGCCGGAACCGTTACCAAACATGGATGAAGACCGTTCGGTCCGGCCACTGTGAAGTCGTCCAAAACGGGCGGGATGAGTAGCTTTCCACGAGCTGTCTGGTCCTGGGATCCTAGTTCGTGAAGTTTTCGGAGTGTCTCCACCTCCGTGACTTCGTCTGCCACTCAGATCTTGATGGCGACATAGGAGTCGGTGACATGGTCTATTGCCAGCCATACTGTTGCATACGAACCGAAACCCAGCTTGTCGATGATTGTGTATCTGTCATGAAGCTGATCACAGATTCGAACGGGATGGTATCCTCCAGGGCGGTAACCGTTAGGCGACTCGACGTCATTAATGGGCTTGTAGCTAACCCAGGTAAGGTTCGACATGGCCGTTGGTGTACAAGCTAGAGACTTGAAATTCGAAGGCGAGGCTCAAAGAAAGAATGTGTGGTATATGGCGGGGGGTAAGATGAATCGACGAAAGGATTTGTAAAGAGTGCGGCCGGTTGCAGTCGAAGAAGTTTAGGTCCGTTCAACGGAGAAGGTGCAGAGGGTGGGTTCGCTCTACGCTTTCCAGGTAAAGAACTGCGGCAGTTGCGGCCTAGTCGTGCGTTCGGACCTCTTTTCTGGTTTGGTGTCAGTGTGCACGTCGAAGCTGACATCAATGCCCGCCGCCTCGTGACCAAAGGTGAGGTTTGCTGCTGCTCTTCACTCTTGGACTCGTGCATAGGAAGACACGGGACTCGCAGTCCTGGCTGCTATCTTCTCCTCTGATTTCCGTCAATGTTGCAGTAGGTTGTAAAGCCATCGTAATTATGGAAACCATAGGGATTATAGAAGCCATCATTTGTGCCTGCTGGTATCCCTGGGGCAGTTTCCCTTTCCACGCTATTTGAAATTTTCACTGCGGTCTGGTCTTACACTAACGACTGCGTATATAGTTACATTCTCAAAAAAGATAAAAAGCTTATACATAAAGTGCTGAGGTTATACCGTTTATGACAGCGTTTTCTACATTTACGTTCAATGTTAAACAGGTGATGCTGTACTACCAGTAGCATTCCTAGCATGTGCGGACCCTCTCTTAATATTTCGACTACCGTGATCCGCAATATATTCTGTATTTATACCTGCTAATTGCAAAATTTAGGATAAGGGGTGCTGTTACAGCGAGAATTACCGTTCAAAGGGCTTACATTAGCGTCTCTACTAGACAGAACTTGAGCACAATTAGTTGGATTCCTAGTTTTAAACCTCTCAGAACCGTAACAACATTACAATAGACCAAACGAGGAAAACGCACAATATCTCAACTCTGTAACCTACTACCAACCAGATGTGCACATCTATATCATTTACGTTCTTCTAACCCCGAAACTTGCTATGATCAACAAACTCCACCTTCTCTCATCGATCCAGCCTCCATCTCACAACACCAACTGAATTCCCACCTCTACCCTCTCCCATTCCTATCGAACCCCTCGCTATACCAACACCGCCTCCTACCCGGAATCCTTCTACCCTTCTTACCGCCCTCACAGCCAACCCACAGATCATCAGTTCGACAGCTAGAGACGAACCTATTTCGCACAGACACATAGGATACGCCCGAGAACAGCGCGTCGGCTGCTGGACTACTAATTACTGATTACGGGACGATGAGCTTGTCCGTCCGCTCTACGCTCCAACGCCTGCCGCTGAAGCTAACACTAACACTAAGAACGCAGAGATGAAATGAATCTGCGCCCTCTGCGATTTCGACCTAGGTAGATTGATAAACTACTGAATAGATATATAGCAAACCAAGACCGCAACTGCAACTAGGTACTCCGTCCGCACTCCACAGATAGGGTACCTTTATGGAGGACACGGTGAACGACACCACCTGGGCATCATCATCATCACTTCAGCCATCCAACTTTCCCCGACTGCCCCTGCCTCGCCTGTCTCCCCTCCCTCCATGCCTCACGCCGGAAAACCAAAAACCAAGAAAAGGGAAAAGGGGAAATGGCACTACACTCAACATAGCCCGACAGCAAAACCCAAAACACAACACTACCTTACACTACCCTACCCAAGCCTACCCAACCTCCCCATCCCTAACCCCTCCGAAGAACCCACTTCACAACAACCACTCAAGCCATCAAACCCCAGCAAAGCCTACCAGCAACCGAAAACTGGAGGCTGGGCACATAACCCACCTAACCACGCCGAACACCCAAGTCCCCCCGCACGGCAGGGCAGCGCAGGCCAGGCCATGCCATGCCATGCCATCCACGCGCAATCGCAATCGCAATCGCAATCGTAACCGCAAACAATCAAGTTAGCTCCAGGCAGACCAATACATACCACAGTAAGCTAAACTAGACCATTATTATTGAAGATCGAGATACTGTGTACTGTTTAAACTCTAGCCGGGGTTCCACCGAGAGCTTTGCCGGCCGCGGCGGGCGATGGTGGGTGGCGGCGAGGCCGGCGGCTAGTAGCTAGTACCTAGGCGCCCTCTCCTCTTCAATCTTGCTGTGTGCTTATTATTTTAGTGTGTGCGGGAGAAAGAAGGAGGGGAAAGAGAGTGGCTATGCGTGCGCGTCGATAATGAGAGATTATCTAATACGAAGGGGAGAGTGGGGTGAGGCAATGGAGGGTAAGGGCAGGGGAGGGGAGGTTGGTGTCGATATCCATGGGGCCATTATCGATAGTCTATTCGGCCGGAAAGCTTGTTGAGAAATGACCATAATTATGATGATGGTGATGATGATGATGATGCGCATGACAACCCGATCATGAACAAAAACCGGTGATAAGAATCATGATTGCGTCAAGAGTAGCAGATGACCTTTTTGTTGAATCCAATTTCCCTTGATCCTGACGTTAGAACTACATGATTTAGCGAGCCAGCCTTTTTCTCCCTCATCCCACAGTTTCCCACGTCCAACCCGAAAATGTCCCAAAAAAATGCATGTGGAATGCATATCGACGAGATGCAGGAAAGTTTTTTGCACGGAGATACTGCCGTGTAACCTCAAATCCAAAACCAGTAAACGCCGTGTAACAGGCCCCGATAAACCAGGCCTAAACCCAAACCCGTAGGTGCCCTTTTTTACCCCCGCCAGCTCTTGAGAGGGCTCCCTTTGGAACCGATAACCATATGAATACTTGCCTGCCTGTTTGCGCTTCCCGCTGCCTGCTCCTGTCTGCCTCGCAAGTTGCGGCCACTTGTTGTTGGGTCGTCGGCGGGTGCGATCGCCCAATCTAACAAAGTTGCTGAATTACCTGCTGGTGGTACTGTACAAAATCGCGCTCCTCGGCGCGATGCCAAGCGGCGGCCCCAGAGTTAGCCGGACTTCAGTGACCAAAAGGGAATAAACACTCCCGCGGTTCGTCCTCGCTAGGATCCGTTTTCCTCAACTGACGGCCAGCGGGATGAGGGCGCCTCGCTCGCGAAGGATGCGCCCTTGGGGTTTGGGGGTCATGGGCGGCGTAATGGTCGCCATGTTGGGGATGGGAATCATTCTGATGTTGTCGTCGGCATCCGCACCTTCACGAGTGCCCCAGGTTGTCTGTTCGCACAAGTCAAATCAGCGCCGGAAACACGGCAGGGCAAGGGTTGGGCAAGGGCAGGGCAGGGCCTGGCTTCAGGCCAGCAGGGCGATGCGGGGCTAACGTACCTCTGTGACGGTGATGCAGCCATAGAGCTTGATGAGGTTGTGGAAGTACCCGAACAAAACCGACACGGGCACAAAGCGGACGTCGCCCGGGTTTCTTAACAAATGCGGGATAAGCTTGACTGTCTTGGAGAAGGCGAAATGACCGAGGAACAGGGCCCACAGCAACGACGGCTGCCATGCATGATTATTCGAGGCCTCCGCTGCTGCGTCGACGCCGTCGACGCGAGCCTGCTGGTCATAGTAGCCAGCCTCGCACAGCGTCAGATAGAAACAGGCCAGAAGCAGGCAGTCATTGGGGAGGGCCCATTGCGTGACGGTCGTCTGAAAGACGGCATAGAGCGACCATGGATAGTTCCTGTTTAATTCGGTGCCGAGTGGTTAGCGACGGCCCTCATGGTGTGGTGGTGGTGGTCATAGCGAGCGGGAGTGCTGGGAGGGGGGGAAGGGAACAAGAGGGGGAGAAGGGTGGTGGAGGGTGGAGGGGTGCGCCTGTGCTCAGTGCTCAGTGCATGCACCAACATCGGCGCTTGGCATCCCGACGACATCTATGGCATGATGACCCTCAACGACCCTCCAGGACCCTCCAGGACCCTCCAGGGAATACCTACTAGGCCAATGCCATGCTTTGTGATAATAAAAGCGAAACTGGGCCACTCACAACCACATATGCAGCTCGCTCAGGCTGGTCAAATTGCTCCTCCAGTTGCTCCGCACCCACCGCAGGCATTGCCGCAGGTATTTTGCGTCGTTCTCCAGCGTCGTCTCCACCTCGCACTCACGGTGGTTCTGGATCTGGATCTTCCAATCGTGGGAAAAGAGCCAGCGGGTGATGAAGTTGTCGTCGTCGGCATTGAGAAAGTGGTCGCTGCCCCACGTTTCGTGCGTGAAGCCGTACGTAAACGTCGGGTCTTGCAGAATCTCGGAACGGTATGCGACCGCACGTCCGGACAGGCATGGAAGGCTCCCATCGATCCAATTGCACGCCGTGCAGTCAAAGTTCCTTCGAACCAGGTAGATGGCACCTAGAAACTCCCACACATTCGACGTGTCCATCCGGCGGAGACACTGGTTCGTACCCACACCACCCACTCTCGCATCCTCAAACGGCGCCAATATCCATCTCGTGAACTTCTCGGGCAGCCACACATCGTCATCCAGAAGCAGTGTGATCCTCGTCTGCACTTCGGGAATGGCTCGAGACAACTGCCGGCGCTTGTTCGCCTGGCTCACCGACAACACCTGGATCCTCTTGGGGTGCCCAAGCTCTTCGACCATCTGATGGAGACGCTTGACGCGCGCCTCGGGCGTCACTAGGAGGATCTCGTAGGGTTCGAGGCGGTATGCAGTTTGCACCGTTTCCTTCAACTGCTGGATGTTTTCGGCAACTGTAGGAATGATGACAGTCATGTCTTGGGAAGTGATGGTAGGCTCGTCAGGCGGTTGGATAGGCCTGTACAGCCAATTCGCTACGAGGTTGACCCATAGTCTAACATAGCGGAAGAGACTGGGCCCAGGTGTTAGTGTCGGCGGCAGTGAGGGACCACCAGCTGCTAGGGTCGTGTGGTGGAATGCAGTGAGCAGTGTCAACGTACAACAAGGCTGTGAAAATCCAAAACCAACTCCAATTGGGAATCATCCAAAATGAAAACGGGAACATTGTACCGGGCAACGAACGTGATGATGAGAAAGACGAACGGCAGGAAACGGGGATCGAGATCACATCGATGATGAAGGGGAGAAAGCGAGGATTCCTCGGAGGGCAGGTGAGGGTCTGGATATTTAAGCCACATGTTTGCGGGCCCGAGCGGCGAGGTGATGGTGCGTTCCCTGGCGCTGTTTAAGCTGCAGGAGATTCTTAGCAGAACCTTGGGGTAGTGGTAAAGATGGCTGGAGCCATGAGGTCTTTGCAAAATTCGAAGGGAACAGGGTATTGCCGCTCGGTTGGGGTTAGCAAGATGCGCCCATTCGAGAGCGGTGCTTGTGGGATCCCGCCCGCCGTTGAATACTTGCATATGTCGAGCCACCCTGGGCGCAGTTGCGTTCAGGGATCGTCTTGCATCGCGCATCCACATTATTGTCGACCAACCTCTGCGCGCTCGTTCTCAACTCGCCGTGCGCACCCGGTCGACCTCTTGGCGCCATCTTGCTCCATAGTCTTGTGCTAGGGAAGGGCGCCTCGAAGGCCAACAACCCCGCTGTGCCCGCCATCGCCACCATGGAGAAGATGGAGACTTGGTTGGTGATCCGAGGCGGCCCCCAGCAGGCCCGTCACCCGTCTGCCAGTAAGTGTAAGTAGTACTAGTGGTGCAATAAGCGTCCGCCGAGCCACCTGGCCCCTTGCTGGTCCCTCTCTGGTCGTGTGTCCATTGCGCAAGCATGCGGCGCGTGCTCAAGAGCAACAGAGGCGGGTGCTGGGGGCGTTCATGGGTTGCCGCGTTCGCAATGCGGCTGATCTAAAGATGATCGAAAGCACCACTATACTCCGTACTCCGTATCATCCCCGGCATAGCTTGGCAAGTCGGCGCGTCAATCCAGTGATCCACATCTGAGATCAGGGCTCTAGGCCCCATTTGAGCGCTCGTCGGGGCGGAACATGGACGAGCCGCTGGAAGCGTGGGTGGCCCCTCGCTGTTGACGGCAAGCAGACCCGTTGGCTACGTCTGGCGGCAGGGAGAGAGAGTGTCGATATTCCGTTCCAACATCGGCCGCCTACTACTGCAGTGCCGTCGGCTAATACCACAATATAATAACGTAGCCTTTCACTGCGCAATCTTAGACGCACGACAATAACCTCTCCAATAGACGGCTCGGTACCAGGTGCGAATATGCCCGAAACGCTGGCCAACGGGAAATTTTCGCAATACCAGTACTGAGATCAGGTATATTGCGTGGCCACTTCAACGCGCCGAATTTTCGAACCTTCGACACCGTGTCCATGCCGGCAAGCAGGATAGCGACATGTACTCCCTACCTACTGTGTACTGTGTACATACACCTGCTTGGAAGCCATGTGTTCTCGGTCTATCTCGCGCACATGGACTGGTTTCGTGGAAGCGAGCCGCCTTGTTGCTCGGGTAGCATCGATGAGGGTACGGACTATGCTTCGGACACATTGCCTGATCCAGTGGCAAGACGGTACCAAACCGCTCCTGAGGTACAGATAACTCGCTGAAGAGTGACAACATCCAATATGGCTGCGGCCAACTGGCGCGGGAGGAATGTACCTGGCCTGGTATCGGCTGAAGCTGCGTCTGCGGACATGCTAGTTACATACAACATGTCTCTGTGGTTCTCAACTTCTGCACGTACGGGGGTTTTACCTGGCCCGCAGATCAAGGCGTCGCGGATACGGGGAACTGCTTCCCCGTCCAATCCGCCGAGTTCTGAGGCCTGCATCGCGCATAATAAATGATGCCTTTATGGGACATGTTGTGAGTGGGTCGCCGGAATGTCAACGAGAGTTGCTGCAACGCCACTGCGTCCTTCGGCTGCTTCGCATGTAGCTCGCCTGGTTTCGCGTTTTCGGTGGCCTTTCGACAGGTAACCGCAATGTCGTCGGTTCACTCGCAGGCCATAGTCTGGCAGGGTGGATGGTGGAGAAGTGCCGTGTGGGCTCAGTGTGTTGTCCTCGCGTAGCGGCCGCCTTACCAATTCGTTACGTGCTTAAAAGTTTCCTGTTCGGGCAGTTTACCGCAGTGGCGTAAACTTTGGAGCAGGAGCAGGCGCAGTTAAACATCTGCTCGGCCCTGGTGATAACTGTTTCGTGCACTCAAGATATGATAATTGCGGTCCCTGAAGACATGAGGTTCACGATCCGGGCCGTCCCTTGCGTCATGGTCCAAACACAGCGACTGACGGGCATAAGCTCCCGCATAAGGACCCAGAACCCGCTTCCCCGATCCTAGCACATCTGGAGAGTACATACAGTATGCTGCATTGTACAACGCAACACGTTCCTCAGATCGCACTTCGTTGCGCCTCATTGTGCTACTTAGCCCAGCTGCTGGGCGCTCACAAAGAGCGAGAAGCCCGTCGGGGCTTCTGGCAAGGTCTGCTCAGGGCTTCAAGAACCTCGAGAACCCCATTTCTGCGTGATGTCAGCACAGTTCGCTCCAGTCAGTTCAACAGGTGTTCGAAACATATGGGATGGGTCGGTTCATCATATCTTGAAGAGATCCCCAATGAGCGGCGGCTTTACGGTCATCAACCTATTACTTCGCAACGGCCCTGACAACCGGAACCCCTGGACCTGAAGTGCAAGGTGGCAAGCAGTCGAAGCTACATCGATGCCGGTGCATAACGCATGTTCAGGACCAACTCCAAGCATTAGGCTGAACGATGCAATCGCAGTGGGTGGCATGACCGGGTACATTCGAGGTTGAGCCTCCCGCTATCTTGCAGTGCCCACAAGTAAGGAACAAGGGTCTCCAATATAAGTCCGCTGCCATGACATATGCCTCCAGGTCGTTTCGGGGCGTTCCTCTCCCTCGGTTTCGAGTGAAAATTTTTCAAATGACTTTCGAGCTCACCTTCCGCAAAGGTGTTTATGAAGAAAGGACATCATTATCCGGTGATATTATGCATCGGTGTGCAAAGTGCAAAGAATGGACTCAGATTAAGACGCGAAGACCATGCGCCAGGTTGGCTAATTGGAGGGGACCATGCAGATACTGAGAGAAGAAAGCAGTGAAATGTCTCTGAAACGAGCAGCCGGAATGGACAGATGGAGGAAAATCGACTTGGTATCGCCGGATGGAGTTCGAGTAGTACGCACCTGCTTACTCGTCCTGGTCAACGTCGCCATCGGTGCTGACCCACTTGAGAGCGAACTCGTATCATGAAACTTGTTGCACACAACGGATTTGTCTCCTCACGAGCTGAGCGGCCACGCTGCCTCGAAGCGATCGTGCAACGGTGACCGACACAACGAAGATGAGACTGAGGGTTTTGAGCGTACTGCGTCGCCTGGAAAGTGGCACAGCGACACTGTAATAGAAGGATGAGCTGTAAGTTATCATTTACGATGTCATCTTCACCACCGTGAACGCTGCACTTGTGATGACTTTCCCTTAGCAACTGTTACGAAGAGCGACCAGAAGCGCAGCATGCAGATGCCATGCGACTTACGGGCACGCTCCCGATGGGGCCAAGGAGCTACCATCGAGTTATGCTTTCCCTACTGCTGCAACGTCCCGCCGCTGGGTGTTGTTGAAAAACGCCATAACGGACGGTGCGCACCAGTCTTCCGTCGAGAGATAGTCAGACCAGGTTGCGACATATCCATGCAATGGTTCTAGGATTTTTCTCAGGCTGACGCCAAAAAGACAGGATCGATAGTGTGGGACGAAACCGAGTATGTCTGGGTGCGGCTAACTCCTTGATATCTAGTATGTTGGACCTTGACCGAAAAATCCGTGAGTCCGATTTCGTTTGCAGGCCGCCGTAGGACGCGTGGAACCCATAACCCCGATGTGCGAGACAGAGACTGGGAGAACACAAGAACCAGCCTGAGAATGCACTGCCGACGTCAGAAAGGGAGTCCATCTGTTGGTCGATTTCCTCAGCTGTGTCCGATGTTGTAGGGAGCCCTGGAGAGAAGGGAGGGAGGATTGGCCACGTAGAGTCTAGTGTGCTTTCTGAGCCTGATGACAAACGTAGCGCGGCTCTAACCTCCTTCTAGTTTGACACAACGCTCGTTACTCAGCAGACGATACAGTACACTGCTGGCTGGGACTGCATGGCAACACCTTCTCCGGGGCTGAATTGCGACGCATTGCTGTCTCGTTTCTGGAGTAGCTATGCCATTGCAGCTTTCTGGTCTGCCTGGCCCCTCTGCTACACTTACCGCGGAGCCCTCTGACTAATAACAACAGGACTACTCGTCTGGTTCGGATCTGCTGTGGCTTCCCCGGGCGTGCGGGTCGTCGGCCAGTTTGGCCTTGTTCTCACCATAATATTGGCAACGTCAAGCACCCATGCTCTTCTGGGCGGGTGAATTAATGAAGAACACCTGGTCAGGGCCTCCCCCACACTAATAGAAATACACGAGATACAAACCAACACGCCAAGCGGCAAGGCTGCGAGACCGGCGAGGCCTTGAAAGTACACGGAACATTTGCCTGGTGTTTCCTGTGAACGGCTACCATGGGGACACTTCCGATCGGCCACAGCAGCCTACCACGAGATTCGCAATCAATCAGTCCGCTTTAGCAAGCAACTTCCGGCCCCACTCGGGCGCAGTCTCACTCTTCTCAACTGTAGAGACAGCGCGTATCAACAAGACGAACGAACCGCACGCATGTGAAAGCATTGTGGTCTCGTCGCTTTACCCCTTTTGGAGATCGGTTCCAGGCATTGTGGCATGACGTTCCGGCACCGAGAGTCTACCACAGTAATAGCAATAGACTAAACTATCACTGGTTCTGTTCCAAAGGACATCCAACTTTAAGAGCATGGATACGACCCATATGCCCTGTTGGTTCACTCTTTGGTGCTTCAAGAGGATAGCAACGGCATGGGAAAGCCCGCCGAACTTATTCGCACGGGAAACTCTAACTCCCCATGCCCTGGTCAACTACATGTCGAACATGCCCTAGAGTTGGCTGGCCATTAGGGATTGGCCATTTTACGTCATGCTCTCTGTCCCGCCTGTTCATACGAGTTGCAGTCACCGTAGTGGTGCCCTGGAAGTGACCGAAGAGCAGCACGAACTCGTTGGCCGTGATGGAGGTGTATCCCCTCCATCGGGAAGCCTTCTGACGCCCAGAGTCGATTGCTATCTTGGTTTTGTTGAGGACCATCCGCAGCTGCCGTAAACGACACGTTCATCTACTGTGTCGATAAGGCTTACTGGCCTCGCCAATGAAAACTAAACAGTCACCCTGCCCGCTGCATGCCGAAAGCGAAGGATGGTTGCCGAATTAAGCTCACTACATACGCTCGCATTGTTCGGTCAAGAATTGATTAAACAGCGCTGGAGGAAACGACCATGCTCGTCTCAGCGAATCGCGAATATGATCAAAGACCTGACCGAGCGTTCCTTGTTCCTGGACTGCCGCTGTGGAACAGCAATTGCTCACTCCCGAGCGACTCCCCACCAGGATTGCACCTGCAATGTCCAAACTCAATCAATAATTGGATATACAACAAATGATTCAAGCTGTTCTGCTGCACGGATACTGAATGGCACATCGGTCAGAAGGTGGATCCCAACCACTGTGACCGATGACGGACACCGTACTTCCAGGCTGTTGGGTTCGCCAGGATGTGTTGGACGAACCTAGAACGAGAGCCCACCGATCGGACTGCGTCATCTCATGCATGTCATAAGAGGGACCATGGCATCCCCGAGCCAGTGATCAAGGGTCGTTGCCCTCCCACACATTCGCCTGCATGGGGCACGAGGAATCAGAGTTTGGACCATACAGAGGAGGAAGCAATACCTACCAAGAATGGCGGACATGAACTTGCATTGCGCACGCGATGCTTGTACTGCAGGTGTGCCACGGTAATGAGTTAGGTCAGCCAAGCGATCGTTTTCGTACTTGTTCCTCCTACCATACGCATACCAGGACGACTGCTACCAACCTGGCTAAGCTCTTTTGGCTGTCACGGCGGTTTAAACATAGTTTTACTCAGGTGTCAGCTCCAGATCGCGATTCTCCCCCGCGGCCGCAGCCGTTGGCGAGCATGAGACGCAGCTGGAATACCACACGCAGAAAAGCCTATGAGAAAGTCAAGGCGACGATTGAACACGAGAGCAATCATGTCCGCTTTAATCACCTTGCAGAGTTAAGCGCTTCCCAGCGTTGTGATTGAAACAAGAGTGACCTGTTCGGACACTTGAGTCCGAGGTTGCTGCGTCCTCAACACCACTCGCACCTCGTCAATGTGCGAAAGTAGGGTGGCCGAGCCAGGTGCGGGGAAGGGTCTGGTGGAGCGTGGGGACTTGCAGGTGATGTCTGGGTTTTCGTGGAACCTTGGAATGAAGACGAGCCCTTGTTTTGCTAACCGCAAAGGGGAAGCTAACAGACCTGGGATCTTTACTAGTGCATCATCCAAAGGATGCAACTCGTCTCCGGATCCAGCAGGCCCAAAGTTAGCCGTGATGCTATTACCAGGATTTCTTCGGCGATGATATCTCCAGAGTTCAATCACCTTCCACTGCATGATAGCCCCTCCGGGATTCAACGAATGGGACGCCGTGGCCGGCAGATTCCAATGCCTCTACCATCCACATGGCGTTGGAGGGTAAAGTCGGACTGCCCATATATGAACGGATCGAAGGGGACCAGGGTTGCTCATTGAGTACCAAACCGCTGGTATGAGGGACGGCAGTTCCACCGCGATCTCTTCCAAGGCATAACATCAATATTCCGGTTCTGACCAGGAGCTCCGCCACATACACATGCACATGATGTTCTCAGAAGATCGGCTCTCGATGCAGGTGGTCTCTCAATGAATCAGCTGGCACGAAAAGAGCGTATCCATTGTGGGAGGGAGTACGGTGGCTACACAGTGTCCTCTAAGGTAGACTACAATGCTGTCGAAAAGCTCTGTAAGGTGTGCATTCAACATTTACTGGCCCTGCAGCCGGTGAAGATGATGCAAGTTTCCCTTCACTTTCCTACTTGGATTCAGGAGCTCTCGTATTCGTAAGTGAGATGCACGTATTGCCTCAACTAGACTCTGCCGCCTCCGAATCGGATTCCTGGAACACCACTACCGTACAATTCTGACCCATCAAAGCTTGTTTCTTTATCCGTCTGTCTCGATTGAATATTTTGAGATAGTCACTCAACAAGCTCAGTTCTATCCTAGCTTTGGATGGGACGTTAGTAATCCGAATGCATTGCGGCATGTCGGATGTGGCTTCGGGTGCAGCTCTATGCGTTTACCTACAACAGTGCCCAAGAAGATTTCAACGCAGTTACCAAGACCAGGGAACACTGCTACCACGGATTTAGCTATGGACTGCTTATTTTCCAGGGACTTGGAGTCTGTTTCGAAAAATCATCCGACGCTGCTTTCCAGAATATTAAGGAACCATTTCCTGCAGGGAGCCGATACCGATGAACCCGAGTCTGACACCGGGTACCTACATCTCCCCTCAACTCGGCACATGGTCACTTCACTTGCTGCACTGGAGATCATAGCAGCGGCCCGACCACATGTAGCCCCGGAACCGACCTTTCGGGATGTCGCGTGTCCTTCAAGGGACATGTCAACGTCCAACTGTCCTCTCCTCCCTCCTACCATAGACGGCACTATCGGCTGAGGGCTCCGAAGGCATCGTTGGTATCAGTACCACAACCTCCTTTTGGTGGCCGCGTTCATGTCGAAGTTAATGGCTATATCCTTCGCTCGGATGCTTTCCGACGGGTTCCGCTTCGGCACGGCCAAATCAAGTCCAGATACTCACGACTTGTTACAGTAGAATAACCGAACTCACAGTTCGGTATCCTACGGAGTCGTCATGACGCATAGTTAATGTCCCTGGCGCCAGATCCTTCGATCGGTTGAGCCAAGGACGGTGCTCTTCGGTTGCGGTCGGTGCCCCTAGTGTGACTTTGGAATGCAATATTGTGGTTCCCAAGCATATCTGCGGCGCATGGGTAGAAATATAGCAAACAGCCAAGAGGATAGCTGGGTGCGGGGAACGTTGTGCTTCAGTGATGATAGACATGATGTGGTGTTGAGGTATTGTTGGCCATCACGCACGGACCAGCATTACGGGAGAATTTCTCTCGTGCTCGGAGGTCCAACCTCCCAACCACAACCGGCGTACCCATCGACCCCATCGCGTGCCCTTCATCCTCCACCCGTCGCCATGTCTCTCGCTGCATCACGCGCCGTGCTGCGGCACTCGGCCTTCGCTGTCCGCCGTGCGGGCATTCGCAATGCCTCCTCGACCTCCGAAACCGCCGCCGCCGCGAAGGATAAGGCCACCCAGGCCCAATCGAAAGCATCCGAGGGTCTCAGCAAAGTCACATCGTCTGCTGGCTCTGCTCTCTCAAAAGCTGGATCTGCTGCATCGGGACTGTTGAATACGCTGGCGAGTGCTGGCGGACGGACAGGAAGACTGGTTGGCCGGATACAATGTTCGTATACCACCCGTTGAACCGTGGAAGGCACAATTGGCGTTGGGGAGGTTCCTGCGACATCAATTGAGCGCCCACAGGCCGAAAGAGAGTCAATTGGGCTGTTTGCGATAAAAGTATGGATGCTAATTCTTGGGTATAGCCATGATTCCTTCTGCGGTGTACTACTCGAAGGTGGCCCTTGAGATCAGCAAATTTGTCGTAAAGGAGCGAAAAATGAGCCCTCCGTAAGCAATCTCCAGAGTGTCTACAGTATCGAGCTTACGCGAGGCTGACTATCTCTAAGTGACGTTGCTACCTTCCAGACCTACTTCACCAAGACCTTCAACCAGCTCCGCTCAGGGACCCTTTTCAGACAGGCCGAAAGCTCCAGCGTCCAGCCAACGACCGTGATTGATCGCGTGAGGAATATCTCCCGCGCACAGTGGGCAAGCGCTGGAGTTGTCGCTGCTGAGGTTCTTGGTTTCTTCTCGATTGGAGAGATGATTGGTCGGTGGAAGATTGTTGGTTACCGGTCGTATGGTGATGTTCACCATTAGATCATGGCTACTTGAAGGGGCGGCACGGAAGACAGCGATTAATCATGGGTCTATTCATTGGGCGAAGGGCATACCGATGATGCTGTACGTTGTTGGGACCGAAAGGAAGGGATATGGCGATTGGGTGCGCAGTGGCAACGCCATACACTGTACTATTGCACATACATGTGATTTAGATTTCCTTGACCTCGATGCAACTATTACCATATAGGCAATGCATCAAGACCATGACATCGAATCTTGGGAACAGTGAATCTTGGCAGACGGTCTACTTCGGTCTTCGGTTTCCCCGAGCTCCGAGGACCCGGTCTTTTTTTCTCAATCATCTGAACTACAAACCTGCCCTTGCTGCACAGCTCCTTGGAAAATGTCAGCATACTTGCGATAGCCCACGATGAACGTCTTCAAACTACTCTCCCGAGCTCCAAAGGCGGTGCAGTCGGCGCCAACTCAGAAATTACCGTCGTCGGGCGCCGCTGCGAACCCGCAGTTGTTTGGTCGCGACCAGTCCGAACGAGCGCCAGATAGCTCCACAAAGAGTAGGAAGCGGAAACGGGGACAAGATGCTGGAGAGGAAGAGCAGGATTTGCCGCCTGCTTTAGACTTCTTCAGTTGGCCGTCGGAAGGAAAGAAGCGGAAGCGGAAAAATGGGGCGTCTACAGAGGCCAGAGGAGGGGAGGAGGATACAGAGGAGGCTACATATGGACATGCTGTGTTGGAGCCCCGGACAGATGCTACGGAAGAGGATGTATACGACGAGGCCGAATGCAAACGTATTCTGAGATCCCATAAGCTGAAGATTGTGGTGCTGGAGGATTTTGCTGGACAGGACGAGAGCCTTCTTAAGCAAAAGAAGGAAAAGAAAGAGAAGAAGAAGTCAAAGAAGCGGAAACATGAAGAGGAGGAGGCGCAGAAGAAGTCAAAGAAGAAGGATAAGAAACAGCTGTTTCCCCGCCCGTTGGAATCGTTCGCTCAGCTGAGGACGAGATACGGCATATCGCGGAAACTTGCGCAGAATATAGAAGAGCAGGGATATACAATGCCTACCGAGGTACAATTGGGGACGCTGCCGTTATTGCTGGGTTCTAAGAAGGCTGAGAAAGAAGATGAGGCAGCGGAATCGGTGGGCGAGGAGTTCCAGGAGAGATTTATGAATGGCGATATTGATCTTCTGACTGTTGCGCCTACTGGAAGTGGGAAGACTATTGCCTTTCTCATACCGATTATCAACGGACTCCTCTCGGAGGCGAAGAACACGACAAGCCCCAACCCTGGTCCCCGCGCGATTGTGCTTGCGCCGACAAGGGAACTGGCATCGCAGATAGTCAACGAAGCCCGAAAATTGGCAAAAGGGACTGGAATTAAGAGTGCTCTCATGAAGAAGGGTATGGAGGTTGTGCAAAGATCAGATGAGGAAGTTCTCAATGGAGTGGAAGAACAGTCAGAAGCGTCCGATGAGGAGGGCAGCCAGGCTTCACTGTCCGAGGATGAGGTCGAGAAGACGCCTCATGCACAGAAGAGAACACGCAAGAGAGCGGATGTGGTCAAGGCAGCTATACTAGTTGCAACCCCTCTCGCCCTGCTGAACGCATTAAGACTAAGAGGTGACAAGTTCGCCGAGTTACCGAGCGTTAACCGTCTTGTCCTCGACGAGGCCGATGTCCTTCTGGATCCCTTGTTCCGCGAGCAAGCCTTATCCATTTGGAACTCCTGCACGAATCCTGCACTTCGTGTTGGACTGTGGTCTGCGACAATGGGGTCCAGCATTGAATCCCTGGTCATAGACACTCTGAACTCGCGCTGGAACTCTTTACCTTCAACGCCCGCTCTGCCGCCCCGCTCACCTCTCGTCCGTGTCGTCGTCGGACTCAAGGATACTGCGATTCCGAATATATCGCATAAGCTAATCTACGCTGCAACCGAGCAAGGCAAACTTCTCGGACTCCGTCAACTACTCCATCCAACTGCACTACCGTCTGACGGTTCCGCACCTTCACTTCGCCCTCCATTCCTGGTGTTCACTCAAACTATACCCCGCGCCACGGCCCTGCATTCCGAACTCCTATACGACATTCCCCCAGAAGCCGGTGGCTCCTCCAGAATCGCGGTTCTGCATGCCAACCTCTCATCGTCTGCACGATCAAACATCATGACACGTTTCCGCCGCGGCGAGATCTGGGTCCTTATCACGACTGATCTCCTAGCTCGTGGCGTCGACTTCCGCGGTCTGAATGGGGTCGTGAATTATGATGTGCCCAACTCAGCGGCAGCCTATGTACACAGAGTAGGTAGGACGGGCCGCGCCGGCCGCGAAGGCGGTGTGGCAGTGACCTACTACACTAAAGAGGATATCCCGTATATCAAGAACATTGCCAACGTCATCCGGGCGTCTGAGAAACTGCGCGGCGAGGGCGAAGGCAAGGCCACGATCCAACAGTGGCTTCTTGATGCGTTGCCCACGCCGACGAAACGGGAGAAGCAGCGGTTGAAGAAGAGGGGTGTTGAGGCGAGACGGACGGTGAAGGACCAGGACGGGAGGAATAGGGCGAGGATCAGTACGAAGAGTGGGTACGAGAGACGGATTGAGAATAGGTTGAGAGGCGCGAAGGCGAATGCGAAGAAGGGGCCGAAAGAGGAACGGACGAGGCTGGAGAGGGCGGATAGTGAGAGCGAGTTTGAAGGCTTTGATGCTTGAGGGGCGTGGCTCTTCAATTGATGTGGTGAATTTGATATGACCTCGTTGGGTTACTGTCGCTGGAATTAACGTGTGGAATCGGTTGTGCCGTGATGATCAACATAAGTCACCGTCAACCATGCAGGCGTACCACTACCTTCAAAACAAAATCTAAACCTGCATCATTGCTCACTGTCTCGTCCAGAAGTGTATATTCAGCACTCGGTTGACAAGTTAGCGTTGCTGAGACTTGAGAGAGTACTCAACGCACTTGCTATAGCTAGTATCTCAGGGAATCAAAGGTACACTTTGAAAGCTAGCGTGTGATACATACTTATAATATACAATTCTTTCCAAGTACCTTGAGAACACCGTGCTGTTCTAGTGGAGGATTGAAACTCGAGATCTTCACTAGGACGTGGCGCTACGTTTTCTGTTACTTCTAGCTGCCCAGAAGGGTGCTCGGAATCGAAAGTGATGAAACAGCTGGCTCTAGTCTGAATTAGGCTAGCCGCAAATAGTGGCCTGTGCTTCATATTCTCTCAACTTCCAAGCCGAACGAACACATCCTCCCTGTGCACATGTGCCATCGCAACCATCGACCATGATATCATTATTTTCCTGGCGGAGTACAACACGGCTGAAACCGTGTTCGCAGACCAGCTTTTCCAGTAGGACTTTAGATGCGCGCTCATTACGTCGATATTCCACAAACACTCGGCCTTTCACGCCAAGCACTCAATCCCTACTATACAAACGGCTTCCTTTACGAACACACGGGCAATTGCGATTCCTCCGTATATCGTCACCATGCAACAAAAGGCTGAATTGTTTGAGTCCACTGTTCTCAGCTCCGCCAGCGCACATCCGCCCTCTGGAATCCGGGTTTCCGACCAAAACCGTCATTGCTCTACTCATCATCGCCGGTGTTCTTTACTACACCGTTGATGTCATAATAGGAATTGATACTCTGGAAAACCGGATATTGAACGCCTTTGATGAGGAAGAATCTGTGCTGCCACTGCATTACTATAGCTCACATGAGCAGGTTGCGCAGTTCGATTCTGACCTGACCAAGTCGTTCGAGTTGTCATTACAACAACCTCTGAACGTGGACGATTCTTTAGCATTTGAAGGTGAAGCTGGTGGGTGGGAGATTACTCCCGAGGAGTCTAGGGAGACGAAGATTCCGGTTACCCATGGATGTCGCTGGGTAAGCAATCGGCCCTGTGTAAGTGATTCCTTTTCCTATTTATGAGCGGCATGTTTGCGCTGCCTCTCACGAGCCGGAATCTATATCTTCTGGACTCTTTTTACACCGTATTTCCAATCACCTACACTACAAGCAGTGGTACTGATTATATTTCAGGAGGACTACCATGCGCTAGGAACGGCGCCGGGCCCAGGAGGCTCACTCTGGAACTTCTGGGGCGTTTACGACGGGCACGTGGGGCCGAACATGTCCAGAGCGTTGCAATGGCAGTTGATACCCAGCGTTTCGCGGATGCTGAGCGCCCTTCTACCTTCCAGCCCGTCCGTCGTGATCACGGACACGATCAAGGCCGCCTTCACCCGGTTTGACGATGCTTTCCTGGAGCGAGCGAAACATATAGCAAATTGGCATCCGGCCGCATCAGCCATGGCGATGCTCGCTCTAAATCCAGTGCTTTCAGGTTCATGCGCCCTTCTTTCTATGTACGATCCCACGACATCCAAGCTGCGAGTAGCGTGTGTTGGCGACTCCCGCGCAGTGCTTGGCCGTTGGGATCCAGCCACGGAGAGTTACAAGATGATTCCTCTATCCACCGACCAGACAGGTTTCAATGAAGGAGAGGTGGCCCGCATAAAGGCAGAACACCCAGGCGAGGAGGATATTCTCGATCCCAACACTGGCCGGTTGCTGGGCATAGCCGTCACGCGGGGTTTCGGGGACCACCGGTGGAAATGGAGCAGCGACATGGTTCGGCAAGTGCAGTATAAGTTCTTCGGGCCGCCACCACGACCGGAGTCGAAGACACCGCCGTACATGACTGCTGAGCCTGTGGTGGAGGAGTTCGACATTGTCAGCGTTGATGCCGATGCGAAAGCCAAGGGGCAGGGATCGTCGTCAGTAAAGAGCGATTTCATGATCATGGCTTCGGATGGGTTGTGGGATCGCATTAGCTCAGAGGATGCCGTATTGGTGGTCCAGCGATGGCTCGAGTCGAGGGAGCGAGGCAAAGGGTCCATACATGAAGATCCACAGTACGCATCTCATGATTTTTCATCGTTCAAGCCCATGCAGCAAGACGCTGGGGTGGATTTCTCCGTGGAAGAAGGCAAGGCCGTGAACTGGAGAGCCAAGCCCGAGTACTTTACCATCATGGACGAGAACGCTGCGGTGTGTCTGCTTAGGAATGCGCAGGGCGGCAGCAGGAGGGGTCTGTTTTGGGGGCTCATGGCGGCTGCCAAAGGGTCGGCCAGCAGGAACGCGTTCGATGACACGACCATCATGGTCGTATTCTTCGATAGGTATGGGGAGGAGAAGGCAAAGGGGACGAAGAAGGGTGAGGGGGAAAAGTCAAGCCGCTGGCTACCTTGGTGAGAGCGCTGAGGAGGATTGGTTTGCTATTTGATGGGATTTTGCTCACGCTGGATCTTTTAGGTTGCATGCCATTCCGTATGCGCCGCTGCGTGCTTGAGACTGCTGGAGATATCAGAGGGCTAAAAATACAGGTGAGGAGCTGGACTTTGAGAAAAATACTACCAGTGGACTAAGGGAGTTGGATGGACTGAGTACAAACGGATGTACATAGATTACCGGCATCACGTCGTAGGACACTGACAGTGGTCTGCAACAGGGACTATCCACCACCTGTTTCCCCTAGCTGTATCGTATACTATACCTTCACTTCCAAAGGTTTGTATAGCAGTAGATTTCTGGACGGATTGAGTTAGCGCAAAGGCCACGTGATTCATGCCAAGAGTCTGCAGGTACGCTCCACCAGCGATTGCTATCCGACATGCAGGGAAATGCAAGAGGAAAAGGTCGCACATGCTTGCACAGGTGTGTCTTGGAAGTAATTCTACAGGCGGCGCAGGTGTGTAATAAGGAGGTGGAGAGGGAGTGGCGACGGAGATGATCTCGGCGCTTGTGTGAGGAGAAAGGTGGAGTTGGGTTTTGGGGGCTCGGGGCTGGAAAGCATGTTCAACCGCGTGTGGCCAGAAAAGCTGTCGCAGCACGGTCCCTGCTCGTAGCTTTCGCAGGTTTCCAGGTTACGGCGGCCCGCAAAGTCAAAGGAGCACTCGATGGCTTTGTTGTGCATGATGCGGGAAAATTGGAAAATAAAGGGATAAACGCGGGCAGGGGAAGGGCATTCTGGGTCCTTTGTGGCACATACGCTATGTGCGCGTAGCTGCGAGGGAGAGGAGGGAGAGACGAGGCGGCGGAGGAATGAGGAGGTGTGAGCCCACAGCGCCGAGGAGACAGCGGCAGTCCACATGCACAAGAGCAGTGCAGCCAGAAGAAAAGAAGAAATAAAAGTAAACAAAGTCACCTATGAGCAGTAGCAGAGGCAGCAGGAGCAGTAGACAAAATGCGCATTACCCTCGCCAGAGAAGACGGAGACGTGGTGTTGTTGTACAGTATCACAGTAAAGAGCCCGGAAGGGGCTAGCGTGCCAAGGCCGGAGCCTTTTCCATCGCCTCTGCCAGTGCCCACAGTTTCTCAGAGCCAGGAGCAGCCAGAAGCGACGGGACGCGATCGCAGCCAGCGCCCGCGCAATATGACCGACCCGGACAATCATGCACACACACCACCGCGCCCCAGCTGGCCCGCCGGCCACAAATCCCTCTTCCCACAACCCCAAGTCCTCCTTTCCTCTCCTCCATCACTCCCATCACCACCACCACGCCGCCTCGACCCTCCATCGTCATCAACACATCCACCATCGTCGCCGCGACCCTGCGCACAATACCCCTCCGCCGGCCCCTTTGATGAGCCTCGACGTTTGTCACGGCCCAGCCACATCCTCTGCTCGTCTCATCCGACGGCCACTACAATAAGGAGCCTGCGCTCACGGCACCACACCATCACCATCACCACAGTTCCCTCATCGTCACCTCACATCATCTCCACCTAGCCTGACGAGCCTTCTTCCTCCTCTCGTTACCACTGCCGCCTGCCAGACATGGCACCACCATCCAAGTCGAGGATCGTCATCCTCAAGCTGGCGTCTGCCCACCTCCGCAAATTCCCTCACACGCCTCCCTCGTCAGCACAGTCGTCGTCCCCATCTACCTCCGACACACCCATTCCACAGGTCAACGAGCCCACGCCCGCCGTTGACACGCCTGCCGACTCGACCACGGCGACGCCTCTCCCCCCTAATGGCACAAGCACTCCTTCCAGTTCGCTCGCACCGCCCCCTGCAGGCACAAAGCGGAAGGCCATGCCGGCGCCCAGGGGAACCAAGAGAGCGGCGCAACTGGGACCAGATGGGCTGCCCAAGCCTCGTGGCAAGCCGGGCCCGAAGTCCAAGAAGCAGAGACTGTACGTATCCATTCCCTTTTTGATTCAGGATCACCTTGGCCCCATTTGCAGCATCCAACCGCCCATCCTCAATCCTGTCCCCTTACCACTACCCCTATTCTCATCCTTTGATCTGATCTGTAACCCATACTAATCCAGCTCCAGTGGTGACATGATCAACGACCCCAACAACAAAGGACCCTTTGCCATACCGGCTCCTGTCAAGCTGGGCCCAAAGGCGAACCAAGGTGCCATCAACGCAGGTCTACGTGCCCTCGACCGCACCGGAAAGCCCTGCAGGAAGTGGGTAAAGAAGGGCTTCTCCGTGCGCAGCTTCACCGGCGTCGTCTGGGACGTACCGACATGGCGAGCTCCCAAGAATGCGGCCGTCTTCGCCGAGGATGTCAAGAGCGACTCACCGAGTTCCAGCGACCCCAATGTCAAGGACGAGAGCAGTGCCGTCAGTGACAAGAGCGGACTACCGACTGGCTCCGCGACGCCCGTTGTCCCCGCTGCCAATGGCATTGAGAGTTCACCGGCTCCTGTTCTTGCAGCCTCATGAAGCGGTTGCAGCTTCCAGCCGTGTTCACATACACTGCTTCCGCCTATTGGCTCCTACCTTCTCTCCTTCTATCATCATCGATGCAGCATACGGCTTCGACTTGTTCCGACGTGACCCCAGGATGGTCTTTCGCTGGATAGTCTGTGGCACCCTCGGCGTTCAGGATACGGATCTTGTTTGTATCAAAAGGGTTCATGTTTTCAGGCGTAAGAGAGGTCGGTCGGAACCCTGCTGCCGCTGCTGAGTTCGGGCGAGCATCTGGATATGCATATGGACTGCGCATCAAGGCGTCTCACGGATGGAGAGGAGGATTACAGGTTATATCGCGCTTCCAGCCAACACCAGCTTTGGAAGCTTGTATTTTATAGTTTCTCTTGTTTAGTCCATGCAAAGCGAGGCAAACAAAGTGTTTACACTTTTACAGTTGTTGGTTCTGTTCGTGCGTGATGGCGTTCTTGGGCGCATTTAGTCGGACGTGGAAAGCCGCGCAGTATGCAGATGTCCGCATACACCTGGGCAATCACTGGTTTCCGTCATATGATGGACTCAGTATCTTGGTTCAGGTCGATATTGCTATCATCAGATCCATGGCGGTAGGTGCGGAGAGGCGCCCGCGGTCTCACGTTCGCCGCTCGGTAAGCTCGACCTTCGACAAGCACTCTCTGCTCCATCTTCCACGTCCGTGCTTCCTCGACCTCAACCAAACATCTCCAGACGCCCCAAGAGCCTCCAAACAGCCTCACTCCACTCTTTTTCTGCCTTCTACGATGCATGTCCTAGTAGATCAGGCACTTGAAAACGTGTGCCATATTCGCTGAACCCCCTCATTCTTCGTCCGCTATCTGCCCCGCTCACATCACCGACCCCAAGTCCGCACGTCACCCCCCCAACGTTTGGTAAGCTCGTGAGCTTCCGTTGTCGACCAAGAGCCTACGTACTGCCGCGAACGGCTCTATACAAACACCTTGTCGGCTGTATACCTCCCCGTCTCTGCGACTCTTAGCCCTATTCCTACGCAGCCGCGAGCATGATGCGCAGATCCTCATATGCCGAAGTTGCAGCGGGCAACAGCGGGCCGTCTCAGAACTCCCGCCCTCTACGCGCAGGTGCCTACGCCCACCTCGTCAACAACACCTCGCCAGCGGTTCCGCAGGAGTCGTACCAATCCCGTCACCTATCTCGCTCCGTAGAGCTCCCCGACGCCACGTCATGGGGTACCCGGTACGGCACTCACATGCCTCGGAGGAACGAAACTTCCCTACCCGAATTCTTTATACCCTCGTATCTGAAGGGCTCAAAGTATGCCGACAGGCTCGAGAGGGTGCACCAGGCGCGAGTTGCAGCACAGCGGGAGGCCAGGGTGAACCAAACCTCGAATGGGGGTTCGTTATCGACGAGCGCAAGCGGTGTGAATCTCCCTAAAATGCCACCTACGCATCGGGGTATTGCGCACGAGATTGTTGAGCGGTTACCGCCGAGCGAGGAACCCGTAGACGAGTGGCCGATGGCGTGGAACGACAGGGACAAGCATGCACAGATCGAGGTCGAGGAGGGGAAACGGCAGGTCAAGCTTACGGTGAACATCAAGTCGGCGGATGAAGCGGCTACGATCCGGGCAGATCACTGTGCACCGAAGAAGTGCGGGATTTACTACTTTGAGGTTACGGTAATGTCGAGGGTGAAGGACACGTAGGTTGCCCTGTGTGTATTCATTACATTGGGGAGTCGAGCTGACGGTAACGGGCAGAACCGTGGGTATCGGCCTCTCTGGACCGAAGGTTTCGCTGCATCGGATGCCTGGGTGGGAGCCCGACTCTTACGGGTACCATGGTGATGACGGGCATATCTTCAATCACAATCAGTCCGGTAGGGCATACGGACCCAAATTCGGCTCGCAAGATACGATAGGCTGCGGCATCATCTTCAAGACGAGGCAGATTTTCTTTACGAAGAATGGCTACCCTCTAGGTGAGCTGGATTTGGGCAAGTGCATGCAGGTACCGTTGCTAAACTTGATAGGCACGGCGTTCAAAGATGTCAACACGGAGAAACGATATTATCCGGTTATCGGCGTGAAGAAGAATGGGGAAACGCTCAAGGCCAATTTCGGGCAGGAGCCGTTTGTTTTCGATATAGATAAGATGGTTCAGGTGCGCAGATTGACATCCAGTTGAAGGTCGTCACTGACTCCTGTAGGACGAGAAGTTTGAGATTCTAAACGAGATCGAAAACAGGCCGGTATCTGATTCAACAGATAACGAGTCGGAGAAGTTTGATGAGGCTTCCTTTACAAAAGACCTCATCAGTCAGTACCTGTCACACGATGGTTACGTAGAGACAGCCCGCGCTTTTGCAGAGGAGGTATATGCAGATACGAGAGCACCGGCGGGGACCGAGGATGCCGATACCTATTCGCCTCCCGTGGACGATTACCACGCGATACGCAGGCAAGGTCGGTATCTCTCTGCCAAGTTGACATTCTCGCCGCGGCTAACGACAACCCCCAAACAGAAATCCGCTCAGCAATCCTCAGAGGCGATATAGATCACGCCATCAAGCACACAAACGCCTACTACCCCTCTGTCCTCCGCGACAACAAGGACGTCTATTTCAAACTCCGATGTCGCAAGTTCATAGAACTGATCCGGACAAGCACAATTCTCGCCGCCAAGGGGCAATATGCGCAACAGAAACGCGCCACGAATAATCATGATGACTACGACTTTGAAATGGAGTTGGATGACTACCAGTCCAATTCGAATCCGCCGCACCAGCCTCCACACCACCATCATCACGGCTGGGACGACATCGCCTCCGAAGTCGACGCGCTGGACCTCGATCCCGAAGCCGCAGCAACGCGGTACCAGCAGGTGGAACACGAGATCATCGAGTATGGAAAGGAGCTCGGCGAGGAGTTTGCCAACGATCCGAGAAAGGAGGTCAAGAGGGCGCTGGAGGATACGTTTGCGCTGGTGGCGTACGAGAAGCCGTGGGAGAGCGCGTTGGCGCCGCTGCTGGAGAAGAGGGGGAGGGCGCCCGTGGCGGAGGAGTTGAATGGTGTGATTTTGGGTGAGTTTCTCTTTCTGACTTTTTGCCCGTTTGGATAGGGAATGAAGGGTGCTAATGCAGTGTAGTGTCGCTAGGCAAGTCACCAGCAGCGGGGATCGAGCGCCTCGCGCAGCAGAGCGAGGCATTGGTCGATGTGTTGACCGAGGATGGAGGGGCGGGCGCGTTTCTTCATGTTCGACGGGATTTCTTGCAGCCGTGAGTGGGAATGGGAATGGGCAATGGAAATGGTGGGATTAGTGGATTGGTGTTTCTGGTGCTTGGGGCTCGGTGCATGGTTATAGCACATTTTTTGGCGGTTTAGCTGGTCGAGTTCAGTCTTAGTCTTTTTTTCTTTCTATGCATGAATGGCGATATTGGTGGCCTTGGGCGAGGCCTCTTACCATCAGTACAACGAAGACTGGCTTTGTAGGGTGGCGGTTCAGGTCAATTTTGTGATGTGATGTAGTAGCTAAACTAGATCAACAGGGAAACAAAGACTAAATCGTTATTTCTAGATCGCTAAATAACAGTGAGTGGTGGGGAGAAGTAGCGCTTCTTGGGAAGTTCGTTTTTCCTTTGGTTATGGAAAATCCCGTAGAACTGGGGCTCTGGGGCTGGTGCACTCTCATTAAATATACCGAAACGCGCGCAGTCGGAGTCTATTTAGTAGTCGATTGACGTGGTAATTTTATAATCTATTTTTTTCGTTTTTTTTATACGAAGTTTATGTGATTTCCTTTCCGAATTGAGAAAAAGTCCATTTAGCAGAAAAAAAAACCTTCCTTTCCTTTCCAGTTTCACCCATTTCAAACTTGTACTGCTTCCACGCTACACGTAACGACAACAAAAAAAGTTACAACCCGCCTGGAAAGTTCTGTATAGCAGCCTTATAACGTTTCTATCGTATGTGTAAGGAAAGATTATATAGATTGATTTGATGGATATTCTAAGCATGTAGCTTGTAGGCGCCCCCCTATTCGAGGATGGAAAGTCAAGATTGGAGATTGGAAACCCCGGGAGCCTGGAAACGCCAGAGAAATACTGATTGGAAGAGAGAACTCGAAACTGAGTTTGGACAGGTGGTTGTGGGTGGCGGTGACGGTGGGTGGAAACTTGTTATGGCCAGCATGTAGTCAAGTTTCGGTTCGATTTGGGACCGTCCGCCAGAGATTCAAAGGCCCGCGTCACGGTGTGAAGCGGTTAGCGCGTGGGAGCATTGCGTATGCTCTTCGGCGCTCGTCATTCTTGAAAGGTCGAGAGCCGTAATATTCTGAATCCCAGCGCACTCAGCACCTCGCATTCCCCAATGGGTATCGGTGCATGAGATGTCCACGCCTCCCACTCGCCTACGTGGTGTAATCCGGGCGGTATCAAAACGCCTCGGTTTCGCCGAATACATCGATCCTTCATTCACATCTCGGTCCAATGCACATCCTCCATGTAATCCAGATCCTGATACTTTCTCCTTCTCTTATCGAGCTTGTTCTCCGACCACGCCGACAACGGCGACGAGGAAGACGACGACGGGCTCTTCTTGTTGTCCGTCACCGTCTTCCCCCGGGGCCGTCTCAGGATCGACTTCATCCGCGTAGCGATTCGTTCCAGCGGCGCGGCCGCCGATTGTGCACCCTGCTGCTCTTCTTTGCTGCTCTCACGGCCAGTATCACCGGCATTGTCGAGTTTCTCTTCCTCCTCTTCTGCGGAAGGTGCCCAATACTCCTCCCTCCGCGGCGGCACCTCCTGGCCACTCCTGTAAACAGGATGCGATGCCAACGCCGTCCCTGAACCCTTCCACTCGACATATTTCCCCGCTCTACCCACACTCATACGTGGTGGTGGTGGTGGGTCCTGGCTTGGTCTTTCCTGCTTCACAGGAGCCAACATTTCCCATTCCGGTTCTGGCGGGCTCGACGGTGTGGTCGAGGCCGGCGAGAGTAACATGAGGGTCGAGCCGTCCCAGCCGGCGCCTCCAGTGCGGGGGGAGTAAGCGGGCGTCGAGGGGGCCGAGTCGATGAAGGTGCCGAAGGATTTGGCCGTCATGGGGGGAGACATGAGGGTTGGGGACATGGGAGTCATGGGTGGGGAGGCCGGTAGTAGGTGGGGGGAGGAGAGGGGGAGGGAGGATTTGCCGCGTCTGGTGGCGACGGTGGGTGCCGAGGGGGAGAAGGCCATTGTGGATGTTGAGATCGGAGGGGGATATGATATGACTTGTAGGATTCAGATCAAGTGAGATGACTTTGTGGTGGTGGAAGAGGGTCCAAGATTCAGTGATGAGGGAAGTTAAGAAGCCTCTCTAGGAGGACGTGTTTGCCAAAGATATTTTGTGGAAAGAAAGGTAATGCGAAAGAAACCGATCAGGCTGGCGCGCACGAAGAGATCAAAGAGGGGAAATAAGAAAGCCAGACGCAAACTGCGCCGCAATAACCGACTTGCAAGGAAAGAGAAAGAGGAAAGGGAACAAAAGGCGGCGAAGGTCGTACAAGGAAGTCGTGTCTGCCAGACTCTTGTACTGATGCCTGCAACATCGGACCATTGTTATGAGGAGCAGGGCTGTGTAAGCACCTTCACCGCATGGTCGATCGGGTCTTCCTGGCCCTCCCACTGGCCTGACGCAAGCCAGCGGGTACCAACGTTGTGGTGGCGACGTGGTCCTGCGCTGCTCGAGGAGAACAGTCAAAAGGGACTCGAGCCGCGAGCGGCGCGTTTCAACCACCTTGCTCACAGAGCTGGACATGGCGCGGAAGTCGGAACGGTTCAATGAAACGCGCGGGGAGATACAATGGAGGTGTTGGAGAGCCGGGGTGTTGTAAGCTAGCCCCGATTTGTAGGTCGAGGCGCCTAAAAGCGTGAAAGTCATTGGTAGCTGCAAATAGCCCCCATTGAGCTTGACGCTGCTCATCGAGCTACAGCGGCTCCAACAACGACGACCCGCACAAATTGTGGATCCAACGGTTCAGCTGAAAGCTCAGGTGGCGATCCGATTCCTAGGTCACTCGTTCATGGAGGGCGGGATATTGGCCGCCCAGCGTAAGCGCGCACCTCCAATCATGTGGCGTAGCAGGCACTTGTAGGCCAGACAGGGACGCCATGATATTTCTGTAAGAGCCACAACTGAGTGCTGACAAGGGCAAAAGACGTTCCGAAGCCGGGTTGAATGGTTCGTTGACCAGTTCGCGATGCCTTGATTCCGCCCTGAACACAACCAAGGACTGGCCGATCATTCCAACATATTTCGTCTGTTTACCATCGTCTGATTCGGTCAAGAACAATCAGCCGATGTTTGCATTCTCTTGTCTCAGGTAGGCGCGCTGGTCCCGCGGCCGTCGCCCGCATGTTGTGTAACTTTGGCTTTAGCGCTGAGGATGCATGGGCTCCACCAGGACGCAGCATTGCCCCGGGCTCGGGAGGAGGCCAAAGTCTGTAAAGCGTGGTGAGATCCAGTCCGAACAGTTCAATGAAAAAGCAAGCAAAGGGGCCACTTGTATTCCGGTATGGCAGGTGGTATCTAACGTTTCGTGAGGTTGTGCAAGTTCCACGCTTCAAGGTTGAAGAGTTCCCAGATCGCTAAGTATGCCCAGGCGCCATCTATGCTAGCGTTCCCGTAAGAGGAAAGGCCCAAACAGCCAAACATAACCTCAACTACCATCGTGTGCAGGGCGAGTATATACTATTTCGCACTCCTTGCCTTGAAAACAGAGGAACGTTGATGGAGACCTGCGACGGTAACATCATGCTCCATTGGGGCAGGCCGATGATGACGCGCCATGCATTCCCTGGGCCTGCACCGTACGCGTGGAGTGGACATTCATTCCACCAGTTACTAGGTTGGGACTGAGGAGAAAAGACAATCAATCGCGATGTGGATTGGGGCGAGCACAATCTCTCATTCCAGATATTCCTTGCTTCAAGTGGTACGTGTGCATTCCGACTGGTTTTACACAGTAAACAAGCTCGCGAATCAATGCTTCAGGATCTATATTAGATGAGTGTCTCTGCTTCCACTACTAATATCAACACTCTGTTTGCGGACTACAATCATCGCGCTCGTTCATCTCCCGTCTTTTCCTTCGACATGAGAGTCGAAACTCTTTTGCTCGCAGGCCTGCTCGGCACTGCCTCCGCCCTTAACATCCAGCAACGGGCTCCCCAAAGAGACAATGGCCACGAGCGCGACTCCTCCGCCCGTCTACCGACCTTTAAACCAAAGACGAAGAAACCGCAGTTCTTCCATCTCTTCACCGACGACGACTACTCCGACCCAAGACATCAAGGCACTTGCCCTGGTGGCGGTTATAACGGCGGTTCCATCATTGGTCCCGGTCCTCTTCAGACCATTTCTGCTCCCCGTCCTACCGCGCCAATTGCTCCCATCGCCACCCGCGGGGTAACGAAGAGACAGGCTCTTACTCCGCCGATTTGCCTGAACAACTACGTTATCCGCCTGCAGTACGGAAAAGTTTATGCAGTGCCCTATAACAGGTACTACAGGGGAGACGTCCCCACTTTCTTTGTCGACGACGACACCAAACTCTATACGGTATGTGAAAATAAATCTCCCCCAAAGACGTCTTGGTCCCGAGTCACCTACTGACATACGAACCCCTCCACAGGTCAGCCGGAACCCCCTCCAGTTCTACGTTGCTAGGGACGATGCCTCGCTTCGCTATTCTAGAATTGGTTGGACACCGCCGAACGCCATTACGGTCGGCTTCCACCACCAGGGAAACAATCCCCTCAAGACGGTCACCAGCACTGCCTTCCTCACCTGGCCCAGCACGTGGGGCACATCTGTCAACCCAAACTGGTTCTTCTGTTCCGAAGGCGACACCGGAATCTACCAGGTCTTTGCCAATTTCGACAACTGGGCGGGCGGTATTGGTCAGGGCATCTACCTTGACAAAAGTAAATGCGCTGAGCAGCCACTCGCCGCTGTTAATGCCAATCCATGGGAAGACACGAAGAAGCCTGGGAAGAAGCATGATTATGACAGCGACGATGAGCGTGACTAGCAGAGAAGTTTTGTTCACTGGGCGTTTGGAGGGTCCCGAAGCATGTCTTACCATCCACTCATACTCGTATTCACCTCGTTTTATCCGCGTTTACATCTGCTGCGTCATTCTTCACATCTTTCTAACCTACATTCAGAGTGAAAGTCACATGGTCTAGGTGAACAAGCGCTTCATTCTACTGGAACAGTGTGTTCGCGTCCTCTCCTTTGGCAAAGAACCCCACCATGCTGTTAACAGAATGATCGTCACTTTCACTGAGCTTGTCAATTTCTTAATGTCGTTAAGAATTCAATTAAGATTATTCAATTAAGATCCTTTTGTGAGTCCGCAAAGGTGGTATTAGGCAGGCTGTTATTACGTTGAAGAAAGTTGTAGGCACCTGTTGTGTGGTCTGGGTACCCACCCACACACTACGTTAGTGAACCTAGCGAGTTCCTCTTCGCACTATGTGTCTCAACTCACTATCAGTCCTTCAGAAGGTCAGTGATTCACTTGTCGCCGCTCAAAGTCACCTTCACCTTCACTTTCACCATGCGGCAGAACGTTGTTCCGCCAGTGTATTTTTTGTTTCTCTCACTTCGCAAGACCAACAGCTGCCACCTGAACCTCGTCAGTTTCGCTGCACCATTTGAGCTGTAGCCTGTCAATGATGGCGAGGCCATCGAAGACCCATACCCGCGACCCATCCCTTACAGTCAGATTCTCGAGATCGGATATACTGACAGTCGCTCAAGAGATCTACGATGGCACGGTGGCGGATGTGACGCTGAGTCTCTTCACGATTTGGATCAAGGACGCCAAAGAGCACTATGAGCAGGCAACGGAGCATATTCGAGAACTGGGCCTTGATCAGGTATGCCGTTAGCCACAAGTTCCGCTATCCTTGACGTTGAGAGCGAGTATAGAGGCGTGGATGGCTGTGTATATTCCAGCCGAAAAACAGCACTGATCTCATCCGCAGGGCTATCCCACTAACCGCATTACCAACGATTACTTGCGACAGCTACTTGACGACTGCGCTAGCGTTCGACCAAGGTAAGGGATTCAATTGAAGGGTTTGCACATCGACTTCCACTAAGTAAAGTTCCAGCCCACCGGCATCGGGCGAACTGAAGTCCGTCAGTGGAAGAAACACTCCTCGCAATTCAGGCGCAGCGCCAGCTCCATTAACAACTCGATCAACATCGTATGGTTCCTTTGGTGCGGAATCTAGACCGTCACCTATACGGGAGTTCCCCCCAAATACGCCAGATCGTCCGGCCCCCTTGAATATCAGATCAGCGAGCGGGAGTGGTTCCCAAACCTCCGGCACCAGAACACTGCTACGATCGGTTTCCAGCCCAATCCGTATGCAGCAGGCCGCTCGTTCTCTGCAGTCGAGAGTTCCCCTGGAAGTACTGGAGGCTACGGCGACATTAGCAGAGCTGGCAGCAGCCGAAGCAGCTGAGGAGGGTAAATCCAGGGACCTTGAGAAAAATAAAGCCATTGAGCGATTTATTGATGATCTTCCAGATAAGCCACAGGAGTTCGAATCTGTTGGGCAGCGTCAGGGCAACGAGCTCACAACGCAGAGCTTCACCACAGGCCCACCGCCAGCACTCTTTCAGCGGCGCGCAGGTTCTCGAGCTCGTAGGGAAGCTCAGGCGAGTAGTGATGTGCTGGATATTGCTATCAGTGGTATTAATCGCCCGCTCCCTTTGCGACATGCTCCTCCTCGAGTGCGGAAATCCGAGAGTCCGCCCCAGGGTTTCATGGAACAAAGCCGACGCCTGGATGTTAACACTACCACAGATACGTTTTCGGGTTTGACATGCAGCTCCTCCCCTATTACTCACGTATTAGCACCTGGTGGCTACCGCAGCCCAGCCTCAAATGCAACTCCGACAAGCAAGCCCGTTCAATTGCTCCCACCGCGCCGTTACGCCTCCGAAGCATCGCCTCCCCATTTCCGCGGCCACCTCCTGCGATCCGCCTCCCAACCTGTCCCTGCTCGCATAGGTAATGATGAGAAGATCGAGGGACTGCAAGAGCTCGCAATCCGCATTGGCCCCAACGCTCTGAAACCGCGCACTCTGCCCAGAGCTCGTGGTCCATCTCGCACCAGCTGGAGCACTACCTCAAGCGAATCGTCCCCATCGAAGGAAGTGCCTACGTTATCGTCGACTTTACACCCTTCCCAGGAGAGAAATGATGTGGGCACTTCTGCCCCTGGTGAAGTGCAAGAGGTTCGTTCGAGAATCACTGCGGAATACATGGCGAATGCTCTCGAGCAGATTCGAGCCAGAGGGCGTATTCTGCCGATGGTACGCAAAACCGAGCTCGACGAGGCCGAAATCCGTTGGCGGGAGGACAACAAGGTGTTGAGTTTCAGTTTGTATGGCCGCACCGACGTGTTCTTTACGGAGAAGGATAGGGAGTTTGTCGATTTTGTGGCGGGAGAGCTGAAGGAGGATTTGGGGAAGGTTGCCGGGCTCGAGTGGGTTGCTTTGCTGTTTAAGCGGTTTGATTGACTTCATGGATGATGCTGTGATAATTGAGATAGGGCTGCCTACGACCTGTGTCACTGAAGGGTGACAACGAGAATAGGCTAGCCGGAACACGTGCTCCGATCGTGGGGCATAGTGAAACGAGGGTTACAGATATATGAGCTTCTACAGGAGCGATCATTTACTAGTATCACCCAGTCCGGCAGGACGAAGGTGTCAAATCGTCAGGACAACGGGGTCACTAGTGGCTATTGAATTACGGCAGCTTTCGGGAGCATGGTTATATATCTTAGTAAATTGAGAGCAGCGTCTCATTTAAACTGATCGAGGTGTTTATATCTATCTTCACACGCCGGCAACCCTCACTCCCGAGAAGTACATTCTACGATACCCGCACTTTGTTTCGACATCAGCTCGTCACTGGCACGGTATGGATTTCTCTCCAAGATATTTCTCGGATCTGAAAGTCCATGTAAATGAGCCTTATGGCTAATGAAAACTATTTACGGTGATAATAATTCATTAGCGGACATGCCGCATCCCTGAGCAAGGAGTGATCTTGATGGCGATAGAGAGATGACTGGCAACCTTCTGAGTTTGTGCAATGCCTCCACGGGGGAAGCCATTGAGGTTTTTGTTACCCATTCAAGTTGTTCTTGAACGACACTCATATACATTGAGACGAGTACACAGGACGATAAACAGTTGGGTGCGGTGCTGTGATATGTACAGACATGGCAGCCATACTGTTGACAAATTTGCGAGCTTATACCCGCGCAGGGAGAGAAAGCAGTGGCTTCTCTGAGTTGCTTCCATTTGATTGTAGTTAACTGTGTATTTACTATTTGTTTACGGCTGTTTTGCTGTTTAATTTATTCTGGGCAGCTTTATAAATCAAGATGCACAATCCTTTGTACTTGATCAGCATCACTCCGGCTCCCGTAAGATTGGAGAAAGTCCGCTGTCCCGTTGATTATAAAGCTCGTCATCGCAATCTTCAGAAGGTCTCAAGGAAAATATGCAGTATGCTCACAATCATTCTTTCTGCTGTTTCTTATTTGGAAAAGTCAAAGTCTGAGTCAAGTTAGTCCACGTGATGGACCTCAAGTCGCCTACCGAAGTGCTTCAGATTTCTGCAAACGAAACTTACTTTGCAAAAACTCCGGCTGGATTGTATCTGCACAATGCACTGTGAGCTTGTCTTTGTACAACAAATTTTAGTGCTGCAGACGAAGTCTTTGAAATCTCCCAGGCAGCCAAGCTCCAAATAGCGAGATCGTAAGTTCTATGGACATGGAGATATACATTTTCATACATATACTGCTATTTAAACAAGGTATACCAGGGAGCGGCTCAAAATGGAGTAGGTCGCTATGTGTCTTACCCTCGACAGAACGCTCAGTGTAGCCGACTGAACATTGTAGCGAGTCAGCTTGACTGACACAATGTGGGTTCTTATCCACGAACGAATGGAGGAAAGTCTGCGTTGAGTATTGGCTACGAGTATGTGCAACTATACCGCGGAGGAGCTCACATGTCTTGGTACATTGCAGTCTCACAATGCGAGCATAGGCTGGCCCTTAAAAGCCCTCGGAGCCATTCTGAAATTCCTCTGGATCAACCACAATTCAAGAAATCAACTCGACGAAGCTCTTGAAGAGGAACCACAACACATACTACCCCTCTGACACATTTCCGGTCCGGCTCTCGCAGGTTTCGAAATGCCGGGTCAAGCTGCACCTGTCAGCATGTCCTCCGACGACAGTTCTATCGAAGTGGGTACTGATTTCCACGCAATCCAGGCAATCCCGGACGAGAGCTTTATTGAGCTCCTTGCCCGACACGAAGATCCAACCAACTCTCTTGGCTTGCGCGCGAACTGTCGCGTTGTCAAGCGTGCCCGTGGCTCCTTCAACCTCTGTGTGATTCTTCTGAGCTTCGAGCAGGTTGCATGCGCCATTCGCGTTCCCGCTGACGGTACGCGTGAATTATGGGATCGATACAGCGCATGGAAGTTGCGCAGCCACGTCATGACGCTGAACTTCGTCCGGGCTAACACTTCCATTCCAGTGCCAAGGGTCATTGCGTGGGACGAGACGTTGAACAATGTCATCTCTGCCCCCTATATCATGATGACAGCCACTCCAGGAAAGGAAGCTTGGAAGGTATGGTTTGAGGTGTTCGACCCGTGGGGAGAGCCTGTTTTGGCTGCTGCTGACAACCCTTCGCCTCAACTTGAACGCAAGCGTCACAATATCCTCAGCTCCCTGGCTTCTTACGCTGCACAGCTTTCCCGCTTGTCTTCTCCAGCAATTGGTCATTTGTGCTGGGATGCTCGGCTCGCTCGAGAAGCAGTACTGCTTGGTGTCGGAGCCTCTCGTGTCGCCAACAGCCGCCAGTACTGGCACCTGGTGGAGCGCAACGCATACGACAACGGTATTGCTTCACGTGCCTGCAATAAGTCCTATCCGCTCGGCCTGGAACGGCTCAAGACCATGATCCAGCAGTCCGTCCCCTTTAACCGATCAACAGAGGAGGGAGCTCGTATTGAATCCTTCGTTCTCAAGCATGTAGATCTGGATCTACAGAACATTCTTGTCGACGACGAGGGAAACATTACGGGAATCATCGACTGGGATAACAGCAAATTCATGCCTCGGTGCATTGGACCTGCGTCGCTGCCCCTCTTTCTGCAAGAGGTTGGCCACATGGACACTTGTCTCAGCCGCCATGCGAAGATACGGTATCGCCATTACTACGAGGAGTACGCACGGCAGGACTTCTTGAACCAGAATCCGCTGACTGGTCCAACCCCGGGCCAGGGCGATGTTATGTATACTCGCAAATCCTGGTTGTACGAGGCAGCATATCGATTGTTCGCCGTGAAACCTCTTTACACGGGCGAGTTACTGGAACTTCTCTTCAAAGAGATTGTCAAGCTTGAGCCTGGGTTCCGTGACCTCCATTACATCACGATCCTCAACAGGTTAGGTGAGCAAACCCTCGACTATCCTTTGCCAGTGTTGTTGCAAAAGGCCATAGAGAGGCTTCTTGAACCATGATTGCTTCCTCGAAGGTACCTATGTTGGAACCCTCGGGAAATACCTGCAAGTTAGATACTGCTAATCATCAAGGCACATGTTTTTCACTTTGATAATGATATGAATAATACAAATTGATCATTCTTCTCTCCTTATAGTGTTTTAGAAGTCTATCGAAGCTGGTAAGTGTGATTCATTGATTTCCATGTCAACTAACTAGGACTGTTGCTTTCTTCCGTTAAACGCTTCCACGACCTAACTCTCCTACCTAGTTTCGGTTAGGACAAGCTGCAGCAAGTGTAAGGGCACTGAGTCACGGTATTGGAAGCAGGCATAAATAGCCGTGGAATACAAAAGGTAGAGTTTGCCAAGTAGGGAAACCTCGACGACATGAGGAGTGAGGCCGGTTCGAATAACCGTGTTTCCAGATCGGTGACTAAGCATTGCCCAGATTCCGTTCGGACAGCCGCCTCCAACGTTGCACACGATATCTTGCGTCCTCCGCTCTCTTTAGGAAATGGCATTCCGTGTTCACGATTCATATGGTATCAACTCCCCCTGCGGAAGTTGGTTGAGAGAGGGGGATGCGTGGAGTCTCACCTGCGCACGCGACACCGGCGTTCCTCCGTCTTGATCAATGACGTATACCAAGCGACGCCGCCCGTCACACCAGACACAACGCCAAACGGCGTGGTGTATAAGACGGGTCCCGGAATGACTGGCTAAGCGGTAATTCTGTCCTTCTCCTTCATTCATCAAATTGGGTTCTCCGCCTAGGGTATTCGCCATGGGCAGTGCTTCAGAACTTGTCATTCCCTTCCTGGGAGCCCTTCAGGCGGCTGTGTCGGTGCTCTTGACCATATTTTATGGCGTCGTCACTGCTCAATTCAATCTGCTTTCGGGAAAAGCCGCCAAAGAGGTATCAGGTCTTTGTGTGCGCATGCTACTTCCTGCGTTGCTCATTTACAAAGTTGGTTCCGAGCTCCAGCAAGGAACGGCCCTACGTTATCTGCCGATTCTCAGTAAGTGATAGACATTTACTTCGCTCCTTCAACTAAATGGGACCAGTATGGGCAATCGGGTATAACCTCCTTTCGATCGCAATTGGATCCGTTGCTACGCGTTTCTTCAACCTCCCGAGCTGGGCCACGCCGGCCATGGCATTCAATAACACGACGAGTCTCCCACTCCTCCTGATTCAATCCCTCGAAGCAACCGGTATCTTAAGCGCCATACTTAGGCACGGCGATAGTGCATCGGATGCAGTGTCGAGAGCTCAATCATACTTCCTGATCAACTCCACGGTAAACAACTCGCTCACCTTTGCGCTCGGACCGAGGCTACTACGTCCTGGGGATGAGGACGCACCGGATGAGGAGGGGAACAATGAAGGCGGTGAGCGTGGCAATCAGGGAGATCAAGACGGACAACAAGAGCGGTCTCAGACTGATGGATACGACGATATCATCGATGAGCACACAACCCTGCTACCACGCCACAATGTCCGTCGAGCCAATGCAGTTGGCTTAGATACATGGAAGATAGGGAAGGAACAGTGGGAGCGCCTTCCGCAGTGGGCCCAAAACTTTCTCGGTACGGCATATATGTTTGCCAACGGACCCCTGATTGGTGCAGTTATTGGAGCCTTCATCGGCCTCATTCCTCCCCTTCATAAGCTGTTCTTCAACAAAGTCAGTGAGGGCGGGTATCTCAATGCCTGGTTGACTACCAGCATCAAGAATATTGGCGATCTCTTCGCTTCATTGCAGATCATCGTAGTTGGCGTTAAACTGAGCCAGAGTCTGCGCAACATGAAGAAGGGAGAAGCAAGTGGCGAATTCTCATGGAAGGGCTTCCTATTCATCACCTGCGTAAGATTCCTGATCTGGCCCGCGTAAGTACTGGTCCCCCACTTTTTGCGCACCGAGCTCACAATCTTCTAGTGTCAGCATTCCGGTCATTTACTTCACGGTGACGAAGACTAGGTTACTCAATGCCGATCCTATGCTCTGGTTTGCCATGATGCTTATGCCGACTGGGCCCCCAGCTATGATTCTGGTTGCTCTGGCTGAGGTCAACGGAAGTCCGGAGAAGCAGAAGATGGCCATTGCCAAGTTCCTCACGGTAAGGAATCGCATTTAAGAGACAATAAACAAGCTAATTGGCGACACAGGTGAGCTATGCAATCACGCCGCTGATTTCTTTTGCCGTCGTAGGAGCCCTGAAAGCCTGCGAATCGGCTTTAACGACTTGAGGCAGCGCCTCATCACCCACACAAGGCCGTTGGGGTTCCCGAGGCGACCTGTTAAGAGTGGAGTCATTCCTGTGAGGTCGCTGTGGTCTTGGAACGCTCCTAGCGTACCTGTCATAACGACAGCATTCCATGCTCAAGTGGGACATCCAAGTAAAAGGGGAGTTAAGAGTGTAGAAGCCGGGCAGTGGTTCCGCAATAAAACACCCGGTAGAAGGGACGAATGAGGTCCCTTACTCTTTAAGAAACGTATACACAAGAGGAAACAAACTCAGTACATGCTTCTGGTTCTCTGTCATCGAACAGATAAAGATAGAGTGGAGCGAATTACCAAAAAAGCCCGATCAACTGGTAACCTGGCACGGCATCCATGTGTACGCCGTAGGATACAAAGGTTCTTATTAGCATCTAAGTCTCCATATGTCTATGGAAGTGACGAAATCGCTTTCCATCACCTCGAATGAGGGCAGATTCAGGATTTTGTCGTAGTCGATCTCATTGTCCTGGCTCCTCATGTACAAGACCTCTCAATGTCTATGGTCGGACAAGGTTACTCGACTTTTCTAAAAAAGCGAATCTAGACCGTATACAGCATTGTCACTCGGAGTATTCAAAGGCGGGGTGTCTGAACAACCTTGAGAAACAAGCGGACGCTAATGTGGGGAAGTGAGGGGCTACCTAGGTTACAATGGAAATAAGCGGGTATATCCTTATGGCGCAGCAGTGGCGATTATCTGCGCTTTTACCATCAAAACGCTTGGCTTAATATTGCTCCAAAGAGACATAAGGAACCTAGAACTCGGACAGTGAAAGTAGCCATGTTCATTGTCGAATGCAAGGGTACTCCCTACGAGGTACCCAACTCCTTTTTCCATCATTCCCCTGGTATACCCACCGCAACCCAATTCACACTCATATCATTCATCCCTGAACCTAACACACACCCCCCAGATAGGCCACCAACACGGCACCGCCGCACGCCTCCAAATCCAGCGCAGCATCTCCTTCTACGCCTCGCTCTTCCAGAAAAACTGCCACCAATCCTGGCCTAAAGTCCTCCAGCACGCATCTGCATTCGAAGCCCGCGCCAGAGAAGCATGGCCCGCGTATCACGAAGAGATGCGCGGGATTGCCGACGGCGCGGGCGTAGGACTGCTGGATATTGTCGCGCTGAATGTGAGGACGGAGATTAATATCGGTTTGTTCAGTGATGGGTGTACGAGTTTGGCTTGGGGGAGGGAGGGATGGGGGAGGGTGTGGTTGGGGCAGAATTGGGATGTATGTATCATTCTCGCTCTCTCTTCTTCGGTATTTTCTTTCTTCACACTGTCGTTGGAGCGAGTGATGGTCTCGAATGAAAACTACGAAGAGTGACTGACATCCCTCCCCAAGTGGATGGCCGCTCAAAAAGAAAACCTCATCATCACCAAGATCAGCCAACAGGGCAAACCCACAATCCAGCAAGTCACCGAGGCAGGCATCATTGGCAAGATCGGCCTCAACTCCGCCGGCGTCGGCACTCTCCTTAATGCCATCCGCGTCCACGGCGTAGACCCTATGCGACTGCCTGTGCATTTTGGTCTGCGCATGGCGCTGGAGAGTAACTCGGCGTTGGAAGCAGTGGAGAAGCTGGAAAGGATTGGCATGGCGAGTTCGGCGCATATTCTGATCGCCGATGCGGAGACGGCGATAGGCCTGGAATTCACCAAGTCGACATTTGCTAGATGTTTGCCAGACGAAACTGGGCGGATTGTGCATGCGAATCATCTGCTATTAGAGCATCCGCGGGAGGTAGATACGGTGTGGCTGAAGGATTCATTGACGCGGGTGAAGACTATGACGGAGATATCGGCGAAGCTTATCGGTGAGAAAGAGCCAACTTGGGAGGAACTCAGTCGGTTGTTTGAGGATGAGAGTGACCTGCCCACGGCGATATGTCGTGCTGAAACGGCGGAGAGTGGAAGCGGGACGTTATTTAATATACTGATGGATCTGCGGAGTAAGGTGGCTATAGTTCGGATAGGGAGACCGGTCAATGCGGAGGAGAGATTGACGCTGTCTTTCTAGTCCCTCCTAGAGAATATCCGAAAACCGCATACCAGACTTTGTATCGGATCGGATGCGCAATGCACTTCAATGTGCTTCTCACATCATTGTACAAATCACATAACTGCACTTCGAGGCGAGTCGGCTGTTCTGTGAGGCACTACTACCCAAGTCAGCCACTTGTATCAAAATTACTCTGGAGCTGAGAGGCACCTAAGGTTGGACCTACTGTATTCGCATTCGAGAATTGCATCTTCTACAGCAATTGTCCCTATCATCGGGCATGGGATCCTGCAGCCTGCAGAAGGCTCGACTTGCCGCAAGCCTTGCGGACTTCGGTTACGCATGATGCGGTGGCATGCCGCATACGAGTTCTAGCCAGCTGAATCGGACACGTCAATCACTGCGATAGCCATGTCGGCCAGGGCTTGCAGCATCTGCCGCAAACCGGGGAGGTTGTTCCGGTGCCACTGTTGCGTACTTGACACCTGTTTCGGCCAAGGGCTGTTGTACAATATGGTGTTGGCTGGATGTGTGATCTGTTGAATCGAAACGAAGACTTTGGACAGTGCGAAAAAATGGTTGGAGAAGCGACATTCGGAGTATCGCTAGGAGTGGGGAGAACAGAACCAAAAGCCCAAGCGGAGAGAAGGTGATGGAACTATACACGCAGAGAAACCATTATTCCCAAGCGGGAACTGCCCACACCAAGAATAAGTCTCCGCAAATAGGACCGCCTTGATAAGACGTTGGTATGGAATGATCAAAACCAAGAAAATGTCCAAGAAAATGTCGGTCTTACTGCGTTAGATATAAGAGTATGCAGTATATCAAACTTGCAGATCTTGAAGCAGCTTAGCTCCCCTGTGCAGGTTGAAAGTCCAGAGTCGAAGTTCAGACCAAACTCCTTGTACTAGTCGTTGTGGGACTGAGGTAGGATCGAGAAGTCGCTGCGTTGCTGGGAGTCGCAGCGAGTGCCTCGTAGTTATAATGACAAGGAGGACACGCCCCAGCTGCAGAGTACACCCAAAGTCTTCTCACGTTCCACAGCTCAGGGCATTGTTTTCTCCGGGGTACAGATGCAGAAACTGAAAATATTCTCTCTTAACCGGTGCCAGTCGTCTTTGATACTCCTCTTCGCAGCGTCTGGTGTCTGGCCACCGCTCGGCGATGGCTAAGAAGAATGTTGGGAAAACTTCCATCCAGGTCTCCACCTGAGCAACTGGATATCTTCCAGCAACCTCCGATTTGCAATGCGATAGTGCCTGCAGGAATACAAAGGCTGCTTTGCGACAATAGTGGACAGGGTGGAAGACGTATTTGATCTTAGCCTGCTCGGTATTGTGTTGCCTTAGGCAACCCTCTGCGATACGGACAGAGCTTTCGAAAGCTACCAACCAATTCTTAGTAGTAGGGAGCGGTATCCTCTTCGACGGCTTATAGAGCATCATGTAAACATATGGTAGCATGAAGTCGGCATAGAGCACCAGTTCGTTCCATGCTGGCGTTAAGTCGCTGTACGAGTTTGCCCGCGCCGATTGCTGAACTTCGTGGTACCACTCCTGAATAGATCTATCGATCTTCTGCATCCATTCTTCCAATGCGCTGAACCCTTGCGGAAGAGGCGCATCCTGCTCTAGCACCGACACGATGTCGGCCTCAATCTGTCGGAGAAGCCAGATTCGCTTCGATGTGGACTTAGACGGGGGTCCATGGAGATCGATGCCCTCTTCTGTGATTGAGATATCATCTACCTCGACGGGAAAGGCAACTTCATAGTCCCGTATAGGAAGGTGTATCGGTTGCGAATATATTGAACAAACAGCAACCTCCGTTTCCCATGCGACCCAGAAAAGCCTCCTCCTCATATCCCTTTGATAGTCGGAGATGCATGCTTCAATTGGCAGCTCCTGGTGCAAGCCGAGATCGATCACTGCTTGACTAATTAAGCCCATCAACAGCCATACGTCGCAAATGGCTGGGTTGAAGAAACTGTACTGCGTCAAGAGCAGCATCGCTTGTAGTCCGCCTATATCGTTCGTCGCAACTTGAGGCATCCATTGTAATGCGTACTGAACGAGAGCGCAAGCGTGTTTATGCGCTCCTTTCTGATTTTCTCTTGCCGCAGTTGACAGAGATATGGCCAAGATTAGCGAAACGATGTAGCGGTCTCGCGGACTTCCACCCCCTGGCTTGATGTTTCCACCATATACAGAGTTGTATGCATCGATGATCTCGGTGCTATGGTAGATGGGATACTGGGGGAGGATACGGTCGTGGTAGTTCTTGAGAAGCCCAATAGCTTGTTTACCGTCGAATCCATCTAAGCCTGTGGCGGACGGCTGCGGATTCAGGATGGATTTGGGATGGGTTGCATTCAAGTCAGTACCTCCAATTGGGGGCAGCTGTGTTCCCACCACGACACAACTCGGAAGTGGTCTGGCTTGGGTAATCCCGAGGAAGGAAGGAGTGATGTCTTCCATTACACGGTTAAGGAGACAGTCCGCAAAGGTACTCCTCTCGCTCAGGCTATCCCTGCCATTGGGCGCCGCTGGAGAAGGAAGCGTAGATGCGGTCGGAACGTCTCCGCTTGACGTTGAATCGGTGCCAACTTGAAGCTGTCTGATGCGGTCTTCCAGATGGTCGGCTAATGAACGAGGCACTTCGCGCTGGGTGGAAGAATCGAATCCGACGCACTCGACGCCGGCAGATTCACAACGCCCGCAGGCAGGGATCTTGCTATCACACTGGCAGCTGTTAGTCATTCTGAGGCGTATGCTTTGGTGGAAGAGTCGCACTGATAGTTTTCTTTTGCGACATCTGGCGCATGCCAGTACCCTACGGCGGACCCTGCGGCTGTGCATCATGAGGGAGCTTGCACGAGTGCTGGTAAGCTTCGTTGGGTTGTTGTCGGCATGTCGATGGAAGGAACCAAGGGCGGGGGATCAGGTAGGAACGAGACATGGCAGTGCTTGAAAGATGGTGAGTTGTGATTTGGGGCCGCTGATGGGGCAAGCGAAGGGTGTGGTTACACAGTACACATGGATAATGATTGTAGCATGGATCCATCTGATGGACGTGCCACTCGTGAATGCTAGCAGCTAGCCCCTCCTAAACAGGTCTAGTGGCCGGCTAGCGTCCCGTCTCCGCGCGCGTCCCTCCGCCATCTTTTGAACTTCAACCTCGCATCTGCCGGTGATACATAGTTGCCTTCAACATTCTCCTTACCTGAGAAGGGGAACATGTAGCAAAACGTTTCACTGTGGCCATACCAGAGACATGAACACTACCCCCGACACTTCTTCATCAAGCGATGCCGACCTGGAATCGCTGATCCAAAGTCTTCCAGCATGCCGCCGATGTCGCGATTGCCGCCGAGGCTGTGATACGCTCCTCCCGAGTTGCCGGCAATGCTCAAAGGCCAAAGCTGAATGCGTCTTCTACGACCATGGCAGAAAGGAGTTCATACCCAGGAGGTGGGTGGGCATCACCAAGCCGCTGCAGCCACCACCTAGTGACTGACTCCTTCCAACTTGCAGTTACATAGCTAAGCTTGTCGAGGACGTGCAAAAGCTCTCCTCAGTTGCACAGACTCCCAGTTCCGTCATAACGCCTTCCACCATTGCATCTTCATCAACCGCAGAAGCAGCTTCAGTCAGTGCCGATGAGCATCTCCATAGCCATCATTTCGTCTACGCCAGCGGGAGTTATAGATACCTTGGTGCCAATAGTTGCCTCCTCAGATCACCCAGACTGCAAAGAACAGAAGCCTCCGTCCCACTCATCCCCCAAAGCGAGGAATGGGAACAAGTGGTCAAATCATGCACAAGGACGCAGGACCTCGTCCGCACTTACCTTGATGTAGTGCAGCCTCTCTACCCTGTACTCGACTCAGGCCTGCGATTTTTGGCACCTCAGCCACCAGAGGATTTGACCAGCGCTGACCTCTTTGCGCTGAATATGGTCTGCTCGATAGCTTGCTACGTGATGCCCGAGTATAAGCGCAAAAGGGATCCAAGGTGGCACTGGAGTGACTTAGGAAAGCTGGATTTCCATCATTTCGCCTGCAAGAAATTCCGTCTTCTGGCGCAGAACTACTTTTCTAAAGCTGCCGAGTATTTAGAAGCGTCGACCATGGAGAGGAGTATTGTCACCCTAAGGTCGGTCATGTTACTTGCCATCAATAGCCTGTTCGACCCACAAAGCGGAAACGTGTGTCAACAGATTGCGCTTGCGTCTCGCTTGGCCCTAAGTTTGGAAAGCCAGCTCAAGGCAATCGAACCGCAAGACCGGTCCCCTGAAGATGTTGGCATACTTCACAATATCCACCTTTCCATCTTCAGCATTGAGAATGATGTGGCTACTACACTGGACCGGCCTGCGCATTTTCCCGAGCCGGTACGTATCGAAGTGCCCTACCATGGCTAAACCTGACTGGTTGCAGGAATCTGAATTATGTTTTGATAAGAACAAGCCCGCCCGGTACCTCTGCTCATTATTCAGAGCCCAGCGCCGGTTCCGCAAAGGTGACCGTTCTGTCCTGACGCTTCTGCCCAGACTGGACGAGACCGATGAGCTAAGTCGTCATCCTTGGTTACGCATTGTCCTCCATCAAACGCATCTCCTCATGAACCCTATTTGGCAGTGTGCCTGGTTTGTTCTGGAAGCGGTTGTCAGCCAGGGCGGTTTTCACACCTTCCTCACCCCACATTGGGTCTACCGTGCTGGATGTGTGCTACTCGATAAAATCAACGAAGTCTACTTTGAATACCTGGCACAGCTCTACTCGAACGCACTTGTTGCATTGGAGCTCTCCAGCGTCAAGTGGCCCAACGTAAGCCTATTGAAGGGCTCCCTAGTAGACCTACTGAAGACGATGAAAACCAAGGCCTACTGGGGGCACAAGGAGCAAACTTATTTCGATTTGACGTTATAGCTCAGTGTCGAGGCGCATCCGAACCTCCTGTTTCATCCTTTCGACACCCTAAAAAGACTGTGTTCCACAGAATCAAGATGGCAATACCTCGCGCCGAGCTCGGAAGACTCTATCAATCGTTTGCCACCTAACTGCGCCGTGGCAGTTCAAGACTTACAGAAACTTCATTACTACAGTCACATATTCGGGCGAAAGAGAGATCTGTTCGGGCTGTGTGCCATCTGGCTGCCCGGTTGATATATTATCGGTTCTGCCCACACCTTACCACAAGTTGACTCTCGCAACGGAACCATCATGCAAAGCACATCATATCCTGGACGAGTTATCCACTTAGCACTGCGAGTAGTTCTGACTAGTTCTATTGACCGGAGACACCAGACGGATAAGGCCCTCGTGGCGTTTTCGTGGCCGACAGCAATCCCGTCGACGCAAACCCGACCTTGACCCGATACTAAATGCTTGAGCCTCCGCTTTGGATGGCAGTGCGGACGGCATTGGCAAAAGTCCTTCTTCTTCACGATCGAACCTACTAACGTTCGATATCTCAGCAACTGATATCAACTCATCAACTGCACGATTCGTGCAGGAACCAGCACTGCTCTGGCAACTGCAGAAATGCTTCAGATTCTCACCGCTATCAAATCTCCTTATGGTTCGTACTATTTCAATGATTGACGACCTGAAGTTGAGGTTTCCACACGATCGAATGACGTTATCGGATACTTAGGAAATGCATCTGAGGTATATATTGGTCTTCCCTTAGTCCTTTTGTCCGCCTCCTTCACAGGCTCTTGTCTGGTCGCTGGGAGATTGACAACACCGTATTACCGAGTGCTATACTATCCCCAACGCCGTACCTGAAGGGGAGTCAGGTATGCCACCTGTTGTGACTTGTCCTCTTCTTCTATTCATTCCCACTCGACACTGTCCACTCCTGCTATGCTCTTTCTTCACGGTCTGTTCTTCCTTCTGCACGAAGCGAGTGTTGAGAGTACCGCGGTCATCGGTACCAATATGGACTTAGGGATCTGCCCTTCTTGAGGTTAACACGCTCACTGGTCTTGGCTCCTCACATCGCCCCATGTCGACTGGACCTCTGGACCATCTTCTATCCGGAATCCATCTAAGGAAAGTTATGTCGTAATTCGTAACCCACTCCTCCTCTCCCTTATTGCACCTCATAAATCTCCATGGCGCGCTGCAACTCCCGGATCTCAGTCCTCCCTCCATACGCCTCCTCCAACCTCCTATTCCTCTCCGTCTCATCCCGTGCGCCACCTCCCATCCTCCTCGCTCCCTCGTCCGCCACCCCAAAACTCATCATCTCGAATGCGCGCTCCATATCCTCGAGGCTATTCCGGGCACCATACGCTTCCAAGAGCTGATGATTGCGCTCCTCCAGGAGGCGTTGCTGAGTGAGGTATGCTTGGCGGTTATGGTGCTCGAGCGCATTGGCAATGGCGAAACCGATGCGTGAATTCGCAGCGGGGAGGGTGACGGTGCGATTTTGGGTGGGAGGAGGCGCGAAGAGAGTGGAGGGGAGGGAGGCGAGGGTCAAGGCGAGGACAGCCATGGTGGGGAGGTACCTAGTCGTTCATATGAGTTCAGGGATTCGGAGCGGTATGAAGAAGGGAAAGGCGTACCACTTTGCTATACGGCCGACTCTGGGGGTAGGATTTGGGAGGCTGGGAAGTTGCGGTTTGTATTGGAACTGAGGGACTGCGGCGCGGGTTTGGAGGGTCGTAGAGAAGGGGCGGGTGCAAATGTGGCGTGGTACGCGAAGAGGCATGATTTTTTGAGGTCGAAGGATTTGAATTGTAGATTTCGATAGAGTTGAGTCGCGCTTGGTGTGGTGATGCGGAGGGCTTTGAGATATACACACGCGTGGGCTTGTATGTATGTATTCCGATATGGTGAAGTAACAGTCGTCCTCCTTTAAGACAGACAGTTATTCCAATAACGTTATTTAACTTTCGAGGCACTTCCGTAAAGCGAATGTCAAACCTCTCCCAACAGAGGCACCAAGGCGGAATATATGTCCTCATTCCTAGGCCTCCGTCAGCCTTCCCCGCATATCACCCCACAAGCCACGCGACCCTCCCAGCTCCATGTCTCCCCAGCTACGCGGCAAGCATCATCGCCAGGGTCGCAACATGCAACATCAATCACCATCATTCATCTCCGTGCCTTCCGGGGCGCGGACCCAACGCATGCGAAACCCAACAAGCCAAACACAAAGCAGGGACAGTTTTATTATACAGAACCCATCACCCGGGACCTCAAATCACTCCACCTATCACGCTTCACCTTGCCTCAGCCCCAGCATTCACCGTTCCGAACCATTCCCTCCCGCCGACAACAACCGCAGCAAAGCAGCCAAAACCACGCCCCAGAGTCCGTCATACCAGTCCTTCTCGGCCGCGCAGATAGTCGCGGCTAACGGGCACAAGGGAAGGGAGTGGCAGTGCCGGATTCTGCAAGGTGTGGATTGTTGCGGGGCTATGCTGGGAGAATGGGTAAGCGGCGGGAGGGCCCGCGCTTTGGCTGGAGGTTTTGGGGAAGTGGTTGAGGTTCGGTGTTTTGGAATTGGGAGGAACGGGTCAAGGGGAATTGGGGATGGCCCCTGGAACGTGAGCGTGGTGTGAGAAGGGGTGTTGCCGTTGAAATTGCCGAGGTGGTTGTGGTGGTCCGACGGCTCAGTGCTATGGGAGATGAAATACCACGGAGCCTTGGGGAGATGAGGTCATTACTGTAGAATGCCCAAATGTTTGAGCGAGTACCCCAAGTTTTGCGGTTCCGAACACTTAAACCTCCGCCTATACAAATTTATATATAGGATGCAGCAAGGAACGCCCGTCCCTTGCGTGAATGTCGACGACGTCTGCACAGTGGATACATAAATCCCTCGTGTTCATCCCAGTCACTCCATGTCGACCAGGCAAATCCTCATCGCGATACAACTCTTTCCGTTCAGCCGATATAATCTCATCAGGAGCCATCTTCTCCCTCCACAATGCAAGCCGAGAACCCAAGAACTTGTGAACGGCTGCATCTTCAAGACGGAGAAGGGACAGCGGTCGCAAGGTCAAGATCAGTTGCCAGTCCACAACATGCGTCGATTCTGGTTCCTACATCAAGCCTGGTGATGGGTGAGTTTATGAGCTGCTCCGACCACGACAGGAGCGCGCTAGCACGGGTCGGAAGTCCACCAGCAAATAGACGCCGTATAACGTATGTAGAGGCAAAGCCCTCAACGTCGGGGTTCGGCAACAGAATCTCTATGCAGCGCAGAGAGGGAAGGTGGATCAAGCAGGGTCGGAAGATGAGCAAGGGAATATACACAACATATTATAAAGGAGTAGTACATAGGAGTAACGTGTATTATCACTTCCTCTTCCTAGCGCATAGTCGTGGTTTGGCTAGATTCAACAGCCACACTTATGTAATCATTTGCCATTTGTCAGCCACAATCTGTGGCGACAACCTTCAACAAACCGTTCACTGCATTCGAATCTTGGATTCTACGTTCAACAACTCCATACCCTCATTCCTCACCGGATCTGTCATGGACGGTCCCGTAGTCACATTCAAGAAGCGCGCACCGAAGGGCGTCGCACGCAAAGCAATCCCGCCGCCGCCTTCCGACTCGGACTCGTCTTCCGGTTCAGAATCAGACCGTGACGGCCGTGTCGTGAAGAGGCGGAAGATCCGTGAGAGTGATCTTAAAGCGTCTACAGCAGACCAACAGAAGAAGAAGAACACGTATGAAGGAACCACCAAATACGAGGCCGATCGCTCGGCAACGATCGAGGCCAGCAATGATGCCACCAAGACGTCGAACTGGTACGAGGACAAGCAGGACGATTCCTTGAGCGCGAAGAACCTCCTCGGTACCACGCGATCTCTGAAGCCGCAATCATTCATCGAGAAGAACCCCGACGCGCCCACCCGTCAAGTAGGGCCCATAAAAGCGCCTACCAACATCCGAACGATAACAGTAACCGACTATGCGCCAGATGTGTGCAAGGACTACAAGCAGACGGGCTTCTGCGGCTTCGGAGATAACTGCAAGTTCTTGCACGCTCGAGAAGACTATGCTGCAGGCTGGAAGCTGGACAAGGAGTGGGAGATGTCTACCAAGGGCAAGAAGCCCAGTGGCACCATCGTTGCCTCAGCGAACCGCACTGTAGAGGAAAAGGCAAACGATGCCGATATGGCAATGCTGGAGAAGATACCTTTTGCATGCATTATTTGCAAAGGTTCCTACAAGTCGCCAATGGTGACAAAATGCGGACATTACTTCTGCGAATCGTGCGCAATCAAGCGATATAAGAAGGATCCGACGTGTGCGGCTTGCGGAGAGAAGCTCAATGGTAATTTCAAGGTGGCTAAGAATCTACAGAAACTCCTCGATAGGAAGAAAGAGTACGAGGACAAGAAGAAGGCCGAGGCCGAGGCCGAGGCTGCAGAGGATTGAGCTGCGTGCATGTACTATAGTGGCGACGACTTAACATGAGGTACGGAGTACGAACTACCATAATATAATGATTATGATCTTGACAACCAAAACTGACCATAATTGCGGAAACCTTTCAAAGCCATCGATGGTCGTCAATTGGACAGCCACCGCTGCCGATAGACTAGTACATAGTAGGTGGATGTGATGTGCGACCGATGGCGTAGGGCTGCAACCAGCTCTTGGTGTGGCTTGGTGTCGTCCTCGGCTACTCTGCACCAGTACAAGCGGCAAAGTTCACGCTTGCATCCTCGTTGGCTGCTCCGACTTGTACTGTACCTACACTCCTTTGTCCTTTTATGGCCTCCATCAGTTTACCCGCTGCAAGCACGCGTGTGATGGCCTTTTCCCGCCCAGTGGTTGAGTTGTGAACAGTTGTGATTACCCCGCTGTGGAGCCGTGATGAATCTATGGCCGTGCTTACTCATCTCGAGTCCGTAAATACCCACCGGCGATTGCTCCAATGATGGGAGTGGAAGAGGAAGAGTCGAGATATCTGGGCAACTGTCTTCTCCAGCACACCAGTTCTGGCCCGCATGAGTCGCCCACGGCCCTCGACAAGGTGCCTGTGTTGTGCGCCGCCAGTTCAGCACTCTTCTGCCTATACATCTTCCTTCGACCCTCCGTCCGGGTGACCTCTCGCTCCGCCAATCACCCCCACCATTCCGCATGCGTCATCCTCCACGACGAGGTACACCCGACTCACCACCACGGGAGTCGTCAACGGCGGCCTAGCTGTGAATTCCTCCAGGAACTACGCCTAATCCCACCGCCGCACCCAGGCTGCCTCGGCCCTGCTGCCACGTGAAACCCGCCTGCATTCAATCTCCCTTCGCCAATTCGCCGCCTGTAACCACCGCAACCCGTGACATTGTCATCCGTCCCCAGAAAACGTATCCTCGCGGTAAATGCTCCTGCAGTCAGGCCACAGTCTGGCGGAGGCTGCAGACCTATCGCCCGAGCAATTGGAGAGCCTGGCTCGGAGCATTGAGCAGAAGAAGCAGCGCCTAGAAGACGACATCCGCGAATACATAAGACGCAAACAGGACGAGCTGCGGCACTATGAGCGAGAGGTATTCACGCTCGGACGGCATTCCGCTGGTTCCATATTACTGACCATTTTCCAGCTTGTGAAGCAGTATCGCTCAATGGAGAGCTCCTCCTCGTCGTCAGAGTCTCATACTCACGCCGTCGCCTCCGATACCAGCTCCCCCTCAGATCTAGGCTCTCCTCCCACCACTGCTGACCTGGGAAGCACAGATAGAACAGACGCAGCACAGGAAGAAGCGGGCAAGCGGACAAAGTACACACGTGTTCATAAACGGGAAAAGGAACTTTGTGGCCTAGTGACACCACTTTATCTCCCGCTACTGGAAGCGCAGCCGCAAACAGTGAAGAAGCGGAAAGAGAAGAAGAGGCAAAAGGAAAAGAAAAGCGAGAGTCTTGAAAAAGGTGCGCCAGCTTTGGAGAGAGGGACTCCCTCGCAAGACCCAAGCCCCGCAAAGGAATACGAAACAGAGAAAGCTCTGCAGGGTAATGAGAAGGCCGAACAGGCAGAGAGTAGTGGCGCAGGGCAGGAGAATATGGCGGCGGGATCGCGAACAGACGCGGACAAGAAGTCCAAACGGTCCGCGATCAGGAAATCGTCACTTCGGCACAGCAACTCCAAATCCAGGCGGAAACGGGTAAGCCTTATTGTGGACGACCAGATTGTGCACCCAGCGGACAATATCACCGAAAGTCAATCCACCACTCCCAGCGAGACTACAGCTTCCAATACCTCTGCATCCACTCCTATTAACGAAGAGAATATTGATCCATTGCTTCTGGACGCTCACGTTTCCCCTAATAATCGCGAACCGGTGCACCATAGTCTGCCATTTCCCATCCATCTTCCAAGTACATCACCGACGAAACACACCGGTCATATGTTGACATCACCATCGCCAACCTCGGCATATCCGACGAAACACACTGCTCACTCGTTGACTTCACCATCGTCAACCTCCGCATACCTTCCTCCGCAGACTGTAGGACGCACTTACCTGGACCCGTCACCACCAGGGCCGGAATACGACCACATAATAAGCCACTCCCCGTCAGAACCCATATACGCGGACAGGGTCGAGCGCATTGAACAACAAGAAGAAGATGATCTGGTAGGCGGCGACCTGGACAGCCAGGATTTTGATACGTACGTCGGCGGCCTCTCTGGTTCAGGAGTCGACAACGTCAATCAATCCAACAGTTATGGGTACCCGTCCTCCCTCGGCGCCAGCTATCTCGAGAGCTATATGAAGAGTCGCCCTCTCAGTGTGCGCATTGCCGCGGCGGAGAAGGCGGAACTGGAAGAACATGAGAAGAGAGAGCTTTTACAGGACCATGACAATGAAGAGGAACTGCATTCCTCGGGCCCTACGACGCGGGACGAGATCGATGAGGATATGGAAGTAATTGGCAGTTTGGAAGGGTTTTAAAGGAGAAACCATGATCAGTTCGGCAGGCTTAACCACATCGGCGAATGTGGTTTGGAAGCCTGTCCGCTGGCACTGCAGCTAGGGCTTCTTGAAAGAACTTAGCGTCGCACGCGATATTGTACGGTAGATCCGTCTTTCAGGTATTCCGTCGTCGGATGTCCCTGTCGATCTGAGATTCTGGTCCTCTAGGCTTCGGCCCTATCATGCATTTCAAGGGAATTGCCAAATATATACAGAGATCTATATGCAAGTCACTCTCGCGAGGGATGTTGAGGTGTTAGTCTTGCTCAATCACGCATCCTCGCTTCCTCCTTTTCCGCCATCTCCACCATGGCAGCCTCAGGCCCATCTATTCGGTCCTCTCCGATTCCTGCTCCTCGGGCCATCCCCTCCATTCTTCCCCGCTCTGGCTAGGATCCATTTTCGTCTCAATCTTCTTAATCACCCTAGCGGGATTCCCCGCCACGACCGTAAAAGGAGGCACATCCTTCGTAACCACACTCCCCGCACCCACCACACTGCCCCTGCCAATCGTCACCCCAGGCAATATCGACACATTGCCACCAATCCAGCAATCCTCCCCGACATGAATCTCCTTCCCCATCTCCGGGCCCTTCAAGCCATTCCTCAAGACGGGATCCAGAGGATGCGTAGCAGAGAAAAACGACACATTAGGCCCCACAAGCGTGCGTGACCCGATGGTCGTAAGACACGTATCCAGAAAGACAGAGTTGAAATTCACGAACACATTTTTGCCGAAGCGCACGTTGAAACCGTAGTCCATGGCCAGGGGCGCAAGTACGTGCGGCTCATCTGCGAATAGGCTCTCGTCTTCCTCTGGGGTGGCAGCTTCGGGGGGCAAGGGGGTGTCGTCTTGGATTACGCTGTTAAGGTGTTGATGAGCTTATAAGCTTGGCGAGAGGAAAGAGAAGAACCTCTCACTCCCGGAACAGCCTGACGCGCTCTCGTCGCGTGAGGGACTCGCTGGCGTTGTTGTAGCGCATGCAGGCGTCGCGGCAGCGGGCGCGGGCGGCGCTGAGTTCGGGGGTGAAGGCGTGGTAGAGCTCGCCTGCGAGCATCTTCTGCTTGTTTGTGGACATGGACATGGTGGTAAGAAATGCGATATGCAGAAATGATGCGGTGCTGAAAGGAGATGTCTATGTGGAAATAGTCTATTCGAACGAATTCAAGAAATCTGTGAGAAGATCGAACATTATGACTCCCATGGTGGAGGTGGTCGTCTGGTTGAAGTGGGTCCGCACGTGGGATGATAGATAGATGGAGCCAAGCTTCACGCTAACCCCGGATCATCCTGCACGAGCCCGTATCTAGCTAGCTTTTCGCATGATTGTTTCGCCGAAGCTGATCGATCGCGCTCGGTGGACCGAGGGATTGATTTGAGAACAAGGCGCTCTCTTGCTATTGTTCCACCTTCACCGTGCGCCCTTTGGGCCTCTGTTCTTCAATTCTGTATATTTCCTGATGCATACTGACCATTTTCTGTCGTTTACTGACTTGTAGTTCCTTACTATCCCTCGTCTTCGCCACTCCCCTTCCCACTCCTCGAATTCCTCCAATTCCAAAACCACGATGAATGGTCACAGTCGCCGTCACAATCCCCTCGAAGAGGACAAGGACCTCCCAACCAAAAGCAGTACCTTTACTGTTCATTCCTCTACTAAATATCCCATCCCAATCGCCTTCTACCCCAATGGCAACCGTTCCCTCTCCGGCATCGCCCTGCGCGCCTTCTGGCTCGGCGTCTTCTTCGTCCTCGGCCTCACCCTAACCGTCTTCCTCTCTCTATCGCACAGCCGTCTCTGGCGACCCCCTTTCTTTGTCTCCACCCTCTGCCTCTTCCACTTCCTCGAGTTCTGGATCACGGCAGAATACAACACACCGAGCGCATACGTCTCGTCCTTCCTCTTGACCAACGGGAGCCGCTACCGCCAAGCGCATACCTTCGCCTTCCTCGAAACAATCATAACCTCCTACTTCTTCCCAGGCTGGCAAGCGCGGGTCAACCCGCCCTCCGTCATCGCCCTGGGTATCTTCATGATCGTCGTGGGCCAGACGGTGCGCAGCTGGGCCATGGCGCAGGCAGGCACGAATTTCAACCACCAGGTGCAGTCGGAGAAGAACGAGGGCCACGAGCTCGTCACGCGCGGCTTGTACGCTTGGTTCCGGCACCCGTCGTATTTTGGCTTCTTCTGGTGGGGGCTCGGGACGCAGGTGGTGCTGGGGAATGCGGTGAGTTTTATCGGGTATGCGGTCGTGCTGTGGTATTTCTTCAAGACGAGGATCGAGCGTATGTCTTCCATTTTCTACTCGTATTGCGCGAGGCTGGGGTTGGGGATGCGGGACTGACATTTTTGCAGATGAGGAGAAACATCTCGTGGAGTTCTTCGGGAAGGACTATGAGGATTATAGGGCGAGGACGAGGGTCTGGATTCCGTTTATCTGAGATGTGGTATCCTGGTGGATAGTCCAGCGTGGTAGGCGTCTCTCAACCTCGATTGGGCTTGTGGCTATCTTTTGGATGTGGTTGGCCGGGCCCGGGCCTACTACTTAGCGACGAGTTGAATGTGCACCAATTGGACCGCCATTTTCGACCAGGCTGAAGCCAAATAGATGCTGCATGATATATGAATGGTACGATTGAACGCACAGCATGAACCTCTTCTTTCTTCGCGTATTCCGTGCCTATCGTCTTCCAGGGTTTTGGTATGTACCACTTCCTCTCCAAACGCACCACGTTCACTTAGGGGGAACCAAGCAATACTTCTTCTTCGCAGAACCCGGTGTCACCTCTTTCTATTGCTGCTTCGGTCAGGGATGATGGAAAAAACGTGCGTCTACCTTCACTGTTTCAGGTGGTGAGTCTCGAGGAGACGGGCTCGCTCATCGACGGATACATCACCTGCGATATGGGGTGCGAGTCCATAGCGCAATAGCAACTTGTAGCAAGTAAATGCTGTGGATGCTTGAGGGTTGAAAGGGAAGTATTGATTATTGGACGGCTTCAATAACCAAGATCACCGAAGATACCCAAGATACCCAAGATACCCAGGATAATCGCCTCAGGGACGTGTCGATTCCCAATTCCATGGCCGTCTAACTGAACGCCCAGTACCCCCACGAAACATGTACAAGAACTCTGTACGCAGTGCCCTCTACTCGTCCATCATTAAGCCCACAATCATCTTCGCCTCAGCGCAGTCATCGTCATCGTAGAACTTCAAACCATGGCTGAACATAAAGTTCATCGAGTTACCATAGTGCTTCTCGATCCAGTCGAGCGATTTGGCATCGAAATGGTAGTCCGCCATATGGCCTTCCAAGTCATCATCATCATCATCATCATCTCCCCCGCGGTCATAGAGATGATCTTCATCCGATGCCGAATCCATCTCTTCTTCGTCCTCGTCCATGAACGCGCGTACCATAGCCCTGCCTTCCTCTCGATCTTCTTCTTTGTGTATACTTAACCCGTGCTCGAGGAGAAAGTGGTATTCACCCTTGTAGTTCTTCTTGAGCCACGCTTTCTCTTCGGCAGTGTACTCCGCACTCCCCGGTCCTTGCGGAGCCATTCTTTTCATCTTCTTCCTCGGTGGCCCGCCCTCGGCAGTAGACATATTCTGCGCGTCATTAACACCTCCGCTCCTGCTGTCGTCGAGCCCCTGACTCCGCTTATACGCCTCCCAACGTCTCCACTCCCCGTCGGACCACCGCACATTAATCATGTACATGCTATCCTTCTTAAACGCCGTAGGCGCCAGCACAGGCCCAACAGGCGGATCACTCAGCTTAACCTGAAAAAGCCCAGCACTGGGATCAAAATACGCGACCGCCTCCCTCCCAGGCAATCCCACAATCGACCCCTTGGACCTATCACTCCCGAAATCTATGATTATATCGTATTCTTGCAGGAATGCCTCGGGCAATCCTATGACGTTGCAGATGGCGTGGGGGCAGTGGAGGACGTCTCTGAGAATCAGTTGGGTATGTGCGTTGGCGCCGTGCCGGTTGGGCGATCTTGTCACGGGGAGGGCTACGGTGCCGATGCCGACAATGGTGTAGTCTTCGGTCTTGGAGTACATGGAGCCCGCGCGGGATGCGAAGGGGGTGTAGGTGGTGAACCAGCCACGGTCATTGCACAGGCTGCGTTGGGTAATATTTAGCTTTGAGATAAAATTGGCCAGAGAGGAGTGGACAGTGGTGAATTGAAGGGGGTGTGAGAGGCTTACTGGACGTTGCTGGCGTTGGACCAGACCCAGTCTGGCGAGAGCGGTCTGGAGGAACGAAGCGGAAGACATGGTAGCTGTTTGTTGCTGGTGTATCTGAGGAAAGCGTGTTGGGTGAAAAGTCGATGGAAGGGTTCAGGCGGACGGCAAGACAGGAAGGGGATTTGTTCGATTGAGACGAGCGACTTCGTGTTCCAGATGGCTTGCTAGTGCTTCTTTAGGCTAGGCGTTTGCGGTCTGTCTCCTTTCTTTGTTGGTGGAAAGTGACGCGTTATGTCGCGGTCTCACGTGCGTCATAGTTATTTTAGAAGAGACGTTTGTGATGCAACTCATTTTGAGGTCGGTCCGGCAATCATAATTTGACGAATGCTCCCGACAATGGTGGGTCAAGTTGGCAACGGTGGGGCAACATAGAAGGATCATATTCACCTATCCAGGTAGGGTACATGTGATGAATACACGTGACTGGTCTTATTCTCCAAGCTTAGCGTTAGTTGTGGAATATCCAGGTGAGGGAAGTATGAGAGAATTGGAAATGCACTACTAGCTCATTCAATTTCTAGCAATATATCCGACAGTCAATCTAGATGACCGACATGACGGTGGTGCTACAGACAATAAGGGAAAAGATGTCGTCGTTAAATAGACTTGAATGGCTCTCACAACGACCGACGGATATCAAAGCAAATGAAACCGCCCCTCTCCTCTTGCAAGCTGATTCCTCACGAGCCCCGATCCATGAGTTGCTCCACCCGATTCACCACTCTATCCAACAAACCGGCCAACTCCTCGGCAACAAACTGCGGCCCGTCTTTTTGAATGAAGTGACCACATCCAACTGCTATGATGGGCCCAATTGCCCTATCCTCATCGGTAATTTTGACCAAACCCTCATTGTACCTCGTCCAAGTCGGATTCAGATAAGCCATCACCAGCGGCTGCGGCGTATGCATCGGCCCATCCTGACACTGCTGCGCAAACGTCAGCCAGTCATGTCCCACGACCGTCAGATACGGCCCCGGGGGCTCCAGCAGCATCAGCGGACGATGACTACTTCCAGTACGGGCCAAGTTGCCCCTGCTTGCCGCCCTGGCCCTGCTAGCATTCGATGGGGTCCCAGTGGCTGAGTTCCCGGAGCTGCGTCGAGATGAGAGGGCTTCAGAGGACATACTCGACATACTTCTGACGCGGTCCTCCTGCATCAGACTCGGGCTCAGATGCGATATCTCCTCTGCGTGCGTGTGATACTGCGCTTCCTTGCTATAACCGACGAGCTTGGGGCCGTGGGCAAGGGGTAATAGTTCCCGTAGGTTTTTCCTGCTCAATCCCTCGAAGGTAGGTACGTCGGGATGGAACCTCTTCCTGTACTCCTCCCTCGTTTTTCTCACATCGTCCATACTCACGCCGGCAGGTAGACTCTTTGGATCAAAGCCAGGGATATCTGGATCCGGCCATAGCGATACAAAGTCGGAATTCGCCATGATGGAGTCGAGGAAGAGGAGCCCCGAGACAGTTCCGGGGTGGCGCTGGGCGAAGAGGCGGGCGAGGGCACAACCGAGACTGTTGCCAACGAAGATTAGGGCTGGTAGTGCAGACATTGTGGGTTGGAGGCTTGGGTCCACACATTCGTGTTTCTTGGTGTCCCATAGCTCGAGGACGAGTTCGTGGAGCGCGTCGACGGCGGAGATGGCGTCATGCCCGTGACATGGCGGGGGCTCGGGATCGTCCGGATCTTGGTCGGAGTCCCCCTGGCCATAGCGGTCGTATGTGAGAAGGGCGGGATAGGGAAGATGGAGGGAGGCGCGTTCGCAGAGGAAGTGGGTGATTGCGGAGGTCCAGGACGAGCGGGGAAGGCCGAGGCCATTGAGGAAGATGACGAGCGTTTGTGCGAAAAGATTAGGGTGAGCTGGGCTGGAGATGCTCGATGGTGCATAATAGGTGTAGCCAAGGCGAGCTGTGGGTTTCGAAGGGAGGGTGATGGTAGAAGTCTCGGGCTTCGGGAAGGGAAGCTCCATGGGAGAGGAAGGAGCTCGAGGCGACATGGTATTGATGATGGCTGTACTGGGAGCGTTGGTTTTGATACGCTGCTTTGGTGACGATGTCCTATTGATGTACTATGGCTGGTGGAGGACTCCTGTAGGGTTTTGCTCCTCCGTTCAGGCGAGTGGATTTATGTAAACGCTTGGTTATCCTTTCCTCTTCATACAGTGGTCGATGCTATCTCTTTTGACAGACGTTGGAGACAGTGAGTTGCTCTTAGTAACTTGCCAAAAATCAGCGAGATGGAGTGGAGAGGGAGCTTCATTTTACCGACCCCGAAATCAAAAATCCCTTGATTTGGCCTCTGTCGGATACTCTATATGTTGCTGTATATGCCACGAGACATCTCCATTCAATGTCGATGAGCTAAGTAATTAGTAGGCTAGCAAGTCACTTTACCGAGACGAAGTCCTGAACTAGAGACGGCGCTGCATCCCGGAGGGCCTCGGGAGGTTTTCGGAGGCAGCTGCAACAGCTCATTCAGCTTCTACCCAGCCGTGATGGCCGACAAGATGAGATGAGAGGGTCCAGAAAGAGAGGAGACGCTGAAACCGTACAGGGCGCTTCAGATGAGGATTATCCTTGTGGCTGGCGAGTCGACGACGTCATCGATGGGTGTTTTCGCACCTCGTGCCAAAGTCGCTACCCAGGTATCCAACTGACTTTCTTCAGAAGGAAAAGAAGATTTTGCATCTACTGTAGTACTGCGGCTTTTCCGATCCAGCAATAACAATGATGCTAGGAGCCCAACAGTAGCATGGTGATGACCTCTAAACCCATTGCAGCGAATTGACGTGCACCAAACATGTGATGCAACCTATAGCGGAAGACGACGCTTATTCGGACGTCAAGAGGGCAGTAAGAGGTAATCATAATACTAATATTGTTTGTTCCAAAACATGTTGCAGATGGTCGTTCGATCTCGGGACGTTGCAGGTGCCTGTGTGACGGTCACAGGGAATGCCAAGCCAGGTACCACGCCAACCCCCGTCGGTGAAATGGCTAGCTGGGAAACCACGGGCAGGAAATGTGGATCAGCACATGATGGAAGGACCAACCCAACACACACGGCGCCCTGCTGGCCGTTTCACTACATACCTCCAGATGTCCAGCAACTGCATCTTGCTCCCTCCCGGCCATATAACTCAGGCGTAACCGCGTAACCCAGGCCGCATTCCTCTCTCTCTCGAGTCTGCCCCACGTTCTCAGCTTCGTTCGCACAATTCCGCACAAACGACCTTCACTTTACGAAGTCTGGCTAGACCATAGAGAACGACCCTCTCCTGGAGACCTTATTCACAGCACGCTAGGCTTTGTCCTCGAAGCATCTGTCCAATCTGGCCGCCCGCTCCTCCGCTCCCATCTCCAACCGTCCATCTACTACTGCTACCCGGGTAGCTTATCCGTCTGGACAGTTGTTGCAGCTATGACGCACAATTACGTCGACCAGTCGGTCCAGACAGACATCGCCGGCCTCACCAGACACCTCCCGCCGAACCTGCCGCTTCTCTGTCATCCGTCCACTACTCCCCCCGAAGACATGCCGAACGAGAAACTCCATCCCAGTGACGCAGCAGCCCCCTCCTCTCTGCTCCTCCGCCGAAAAAATCGTCCGGCGTCCCTCGCGAACCGTATGCCGATTCCGCCCAACGTGTGCAACGACGAAGTGCCCCTATCTCCTCCGCCCACCGAGACGTTATTGTCTCCGCTGCCCCTCGCGAATCGACTTCATGCTGGCCACACACCCATAATACCCGCTCTTTTCTCCCCTCTGCAAAACGAGCTTCTTGAGGAGAAGAGCAGAGAAAGGACGCCAGACATGGACGAGCCATTACGTGGCCCTTTATCGTTACCTCTGCTCCCCGGCGATGGAGCCGACGACCGCATAGAACTCAAGGTGCTGGACGCAGAGTTGGAGAAGATCGCAAAGGCGCAGCAGCAAGATTCAACTTCAAATCCCGTGCGTGAAGATGCGCAGCCTCATAGCCAGAAAAGGTCTACCGAATCACGAAGAAGATCGTCAACAGACGACATTGAGGTTGTTGATGGAGTTATCCTCAAGAAGCCAAGGATGAATTTTGGCGCACCCCTTGGTCAGGCAGCACCGATGAATCCGGTATCAGACATATGAGAAAGAGAAGCACTTGTTTCGCAGCGGGCATTTGGCATTTGGCATTGGTTTAGCAATGGAGTTTCGGTCAAGACGGTCAGGAAACCTTTTTATCTCGGGTATCTATTCTTTGATGGAATAAAGGAAGGACCATATCCGCGATGCGACGGGGGCAGCAATCGCTGGACAAGGAGGCACTTCATCTCCTCCCCAGAGGAGAATAAATTCACACGTGCAAGGCCTGTGGGTACTTGGCAAGCTTGTAAATTCCCACAAGAGGCGGGTTCACCAATCCAAACTATGCTGATATTACCATGCACTCCCGATATTACCTGTCCAGGTTTAGCGCCCTTGGCCAACGTCTGTGGAGAGGTTGAACCACCTAACTCCAAACTTCCCCTCACGCTTTATATCCCTACCTTTGATATGTCTAACCGTCGGCGGTTTGATCCCGCCTGCTCCTTGATTTGTATGTCCAGGTAAACAGCCCTTGTTTATTGTTCTCTTTTAGTTTCTATTTCCCATTCGTCCTCTACCCGTCTGTTCACGCGTGGTTCACACGATATCTCCCTACACTACTTAATTTATCATGTCTAGGGTCCCTCCCAAGGTAAAATTGCCATTCGTCTCTCACGATCCCCTCAACATGCTGAGCATGGATTGCCCGGGAGACGCATCTCAGAAGAGTCCATTGGAAGCCCGGATGTAGCCCTCATAACGTCCCTGCATCGAGCCGTCCTTGGCCACCTTCTAGGAGCCTCCTATTCGAGCTCCCGTTAGAGGTTATACGTCCTTGCCATCTTTCCCTGAGGGTATCTCGCTTGGCGCAATACAGACCGGGCGAGTCGAGAACCATTTGAGATGGTTCACGACCAACTTCGGCAGATGCTGTGCAATGGATCAACGAGGGGTAACAATGCCAGTAATTACCTGTGGCAACCGCTCCCAAGCTTATAACTCTGTGACCCCTCTATCCGTCGTCCAAGTAGGCCAATTCGTCTGTTGGTGGAAGCGTTACCATCTTCTTCACAATGGGCCTCTTTACCCAAGCCCTCCTTGTCCTCCTGGCGACCCCCTTCTTCTCCTGCCCCGTATCTGCACAGGATCAATATGACTACATTGTCGTCGGCAGTGGACCCGGAGGTGGCCCATTGGCCTCCAACCTCGCTCGAGCAAACTACTCGGTCCTCCTCATTGAAGCCGGGGATCAGAGCACCCAGGGCAACTCCGGGCAGTATCCTCCCCAGATCACTTGGGATTTTTTCGTCAAGCACTATGCCGATGAGAAGAGGAATATGATGAATAACAAGCTGGTTTGGAAGACCACTCAGGGACGGTACTGTACGTTATGGACAACTCTTGTGAATTGAGTTTGAAATATCTGCTGACGGTGTAATTCAGGGGTCGGGCCAGGCAGCTCCACTCCTCCCAGCGGGGCGAAGTTTCTGGGTGTATACTACCCTCGAGGAAGTACGGTAGGAGGAAGTAGCATGATCAACGCCATGTGCACCTGGCTGCCCGCCGATTCAGACTGGAACTACATTGCCAACATCACTGGCGATTCCTCATGGAGGTACGCGTCTCCTCACATCGAGAGTTACAACAGAAGGGAGCTAATACCCACTCCAGCGCCGACAAAATGCGCAAGCTCTTTGAACGCATCGAGAAGAACAACTACGTTCCCCGCGGCACGCCTGGCCACGGCTTCGACGGCTATTTCCAGACCAACATGAACAAGCCAACTTCCATCGGACAGCCCGTCCTAGGAATCATTCAGGCCATTGCCGCCAACTTCAGCGTCGCCACGGACGCTTCGTCAATTACCAAAATGATGAGCTCCGATGCCAATTTCCTCGATCCAAAGCGCGACTTCATGAACGGGATCTGGGGCCTTCCTACTCACACAAAAGCGAACGGTGAACGCTACAGCTCGCGAGACTACATCCAAGAGACCATCAAGGCCAACTTCCCACTCACCCTCAGCATGAACAGCCTAGCCACGCGCGTCCTCTTCTCCCCCGACAAGTCGTGCGGCGGCCAACCCCGCGCCACAGGCATCGAATACCTCCAAGGCAAATCGCTCTACAAAGCCGACGCGCGGTGGACCGCCTCCAACAAAGGCGTCCTCAAGACAGCCACGGCACGCAAAGAAGTCATCCTCTCAGGCGGCACCTTCAACACGCCTCAACTCCTCCTGCTCTCGGGCATCGGCCCCGCCGCCCAGCTCCAGAAATTCAACATCCCCCTCCTCGTCGACTCGCCCGGCGTGGGCAACAACATGCAGGACAACCAGGAGATGCCCATCATCGGCCAAGTCTCGGGCCAGACGAGCGGCGGCTTCTCCCAACCCATCATCATGATGACGACCACGCACACGCCCGACGGCGAACGCGACATGTTCGTCATGCAAGGCTCCTTCGCCTTCCGGGGTTTCTGGCCCTCGAACCAGACCAACACGGCCCTGCCGCAGGACGGGCCGGGCACCTACGGCATCTCCATGGTCAAAGGCAAGCCGCAGAATCGTGCCGGGTACGTCCGCCTCGCGAGCGCGGATCCGACGGATATGCCCGAGATCAATTTCATGCTGTACGAGCAGGGCCGCGAGACGGACATGGGCGCCATGAAGTCGACGATTGCGTGGGCCAGGAACATGTACGCTGCTGCGAGGGGTATCAAGGTTGCGGCGAAGGAGCCGCCGTGTCCGCAGGGCCCGGATGCGAATGGTGGGTGTGGCGCGGCGGACGAGGAGTGGATTATTGGGCAGACGTTTGGGCACCATCCTACGAGTACGGCGGCCATTGGGGCCGAGGGGGATAAGAACGCCGTGTTGGATGCGAGGTTCAGGGTTAGAGGGGTGAAGGGATTGAGGGTCGTGGATGCGAGTGTATATCCGAGGATTCCGGGTGTGTTTCCCGTAGTGAGTACGTTTATGGTGAGTGAGAAGGCGAGTGATACGATCAAGGAGGATGCGGCGAGGGATGTGTGTGCTGCTTAAGGGAGGTTGAGCTGAACAATGGAGCGGAACGGAGAATGCTGCGGTAGACTGATTCCGCATAGTAAGAATACAATCAATTTGTTGTGCGGCATTACACTGTTCCAATCATGCAAAGAACATCATCAGTTCATATCATCATATCCCATGGCTCATGGCATCGTAAGTCCACCATCATCCCCTGACCTACCCCTACCCCTTGCCCTTCCCTCCACATCTAACTCCCCCCAACAATCCTCCCATAATTCCCCGGAAACAGTCCCTTAGCACCCGCATACACCCCCCAGTACCAATCCCCATTAATATCCTCGACCTCCCTAATCTCCGCATGCCGCGGAAACCCCAACTCATCATCGACTCCCTCGGCAGGGAAGTACGACCACAACGCCAGCACGCGCAGGCCGATCCCACCATCGGGCGGGAAGCGCAGAGTCGTCGATGGGGAAGAAGACGATGATGAAGCATGCGGCGTGCGGTAGCGGTGGATACTCCCATCTGTATCACGCCAACTCCACTTTCGACTCTCTCTATCTCTCTCCCGCTCACTCTCACTCTGCTGACCCACCGTCACACCCGCAGCACTACCGCTCTCGGCCTCATCCCTCAATGCCCATCCCCCAACCAGTTCCCTGACAACCACACGCCTCTGTCCACCATCGCGATCCTCGAATCCGACAACTACCATTCTATGGCCCCTGGGACAGCGCCTCCACCCGGCCATACCGTCTTCCTTGGTGGTTCGGCCAGAGACGACGAGTTTGTGGTAGCAAGGGGCGCAGATGTCGTAGTCCCCATTATTGCATCTGAGACAGTGGTATCGGGTGTGGCTGGGTGGGATCGGGTAGTTGCATTTGTTGCAAAGGGTGGTGAATGTTAGAGGTTTGAAGGTTGAGCGGGCGAGACTGATGAGGCCTGGACCCAGGACTAGGGATGCGGAGGCTGGCGTTGGGGAGGGAGGTGGAGTCGTTGCTGTTGAGCTAGATGTCCCTTGGGAGGGGGGTGCGAGGCCGGGGGAGCGCGGAGGTGCGGTGGTGGGAGGAGTTGTTGTCGGAGCCGTCGAGTCTGAAGGAAGCCTGTGGAGAGGCGGTTGCGGTTGGTGAGCCATGGGGAGGAGAGGATGGGTACAGTGCCGGCCTTGGTTGACGCACGAGTTGCAGAAGCCCCAGGCGCCTTCGTTGCAGATGTCGCATTTCCAGTAGCAGCCGTTGGCGAAGGCACTGCAGGCTTCGCAGAAGACGCCTTCTTCGAGGCGGTTATTGGGGTCTTCTTGCGACATGAGCACGTGTGGGGAGGGGGTAGATTCGCTCAGGGGTGATATAGGTCGGAGATAGCGGCGGCCGACGAGGATGTGTGGGTGCTCATGGCCAGGAGGGTACCCGCCCGGCGGTGCTTGTCGTTCGTAGCGTGGCCATGCAGCCCATCCGAAGCCGTACCAGTGTTTGCAGCCTTTGCCTGCGCGGTAGCAGCTTAGACAAAGGTTGTATGCCCCTTTGTCACAGCGGGAGCAATTATAATGAAGCTGATGTTCGATGTGCTCTTTACCACAGCGATTACATGAGATAACAGGCTCCGGAAATCGAGGGGGCGGAGCGGCTATGGCAGGTGTATCGGAGGATGAATTCTTCGGCTCAGCTTCTCCTGGTGTCACATCCGTGGCGGATGGGGAAAATGTGGCAGGTAAAGGTATCGGGGGTGTACTTGGTTGTCTCGAACCTCTCACACTCGTCGGATCCGTTGTGCGACGTGCTGTTGGCGCAGCATGTGTACTGACATACGCATTGGATGCCGCTGGAGAACCAACTGGAGGAGACGTAGTCAGTGCAGAACTCGACTGGCTCCCTTGTGGCATATTGAAGACCATTCTCCTCGGCGAATTAGGATTGGACGAAGTATGACCCCTGGCTCTGCTTTGAAACTGCTGTCGCTCATCGAGCGTACTCCGCTGCTGATTGTCCGACTGACGCCGTCGTGAAGGTCGACTACTTGACGTCGATGGTCGCTCTTCCAGATCGCTAGTAGAGCTACCTGCTTGTCTGGTGGAACCGAGGGCCAATGCTGCAGGCCGTTCTGCTCGCCTAGACGATCGATGGCTTCCTTGACTGGAGGATCTTCGGTGATGTCCGCGAACATTGTTGTTGTTCGCAGCATCAATAAGTGCAGGTCGAGAAACGGGCGGTCGAGAGGAAGTCTGTCCCGCAGGAGTCGAAGCACCGCTTTCAGACCGTCCCTGAGTCCTCCTTCGAGGGCGTTCATCCTCCCTCAAAGAGGGTGTCCCTTCATCTTGAGGTGTAGCGGTGCGCGAAGCAGCCACATCAATCCTCCCTTCTCTTGCCAGTCTCTCCCTCCTCTCCCTCCGCTCCCTCTGCCTCTGCGCCTGTCTCGATCGATACGCTTGCGCGATCCGCTCTGATATCTCATCCTCTTGCGCCACATCGATATTATCCAAATCAATCCCATCTAGTAGACCCTCTTCCATAATCTGCCTCATGATCTCTTCCTCAATCTCCTGACTATCCAACTCGGACGCACTCAGCAGCGACCTCAAACTGGACTGGTGCTCAACGTGCCTCGACGGTACCACCTCTCTCGCCTCTCGATGCGCACTCCTGGATCTTCGGTCATCACTGGCTCTTCCATCTCTTTCTCTTCGCCTACTACTACTCCCATCACGACTCCTTTCCCTCCTCCTCCTCTCCCAATGCCCGGTCGGTGGCTCTAACCTCGCACTCCCCGCATTTTCACCTCCAATTCCCACTTCCCTCAAACTCAACTCCTGCACCCTCTCCAACATCCTCCTCTCCTCGTCCTCCAATTCCTCCTCCCTCTCCCCATCCCTCCTCCGTAACTTAGGTAGCACGTTATCCCCAGGTTTGTATTTCTCCCTATCCGCCTTCTTGTCCTCCTCACTCTTCCCTTTCCCCGGATTCGCCTTCAAAAACACCTCCAACAGCGTCGTAACGCTCGCATTCCGCTGCGTTTTCTGGACCGTAGCGCGGCAGGACGGACAGGTGTAGGGGTGCAGGGAGGTCGCGGTCGAGGCTTGGAAAGCGAACCATTCTTTTAGACAGGCGCCGCAGAAGGTGTGCAGGCAGTCGAGGAGGGTGAGTGGTTGGTAGAGGAGCTCGGTACAGATCTGTAAGAGGGCGGTGCGTGAGTATGGAGATTGAACGAAGGATGGGAAGCGTGGACGGATAGCTACATGAAGATATAAGGAGAACTGGTAGAGATCCGCTTCATACGACGCGGTTCTCCGTACCAGAAAGTCTGCGCCTGACTTGCGACTCGTTCAGGGCGCAAGTCGCAGGTAGCCAGTACACGCGCGGTTGGTAGTCTCACCGCAACGAGGCCGAACTCGAGACGCCGTCGACTTCATACGTACCGAGCAGGTTAACTCCTTCTCCAAGTCCGCAAGGCCCGATTTCTCGCCATCGGCCATGACGGTGTCGTTTTAGATCGGAACCAACCTAGTCTGGCGGCGCAGTTGTGCGGGTCGAGGTGCCAGCGCTGCCGTTGACTTCCTCAGGTCCAGCTCTCCGGCGCAGGGCGCTTAGCGAATCAGATGATGAGGTGGGAGAGGTGCTTACAGTATTTTGTTGACTTAGGACACACTGCCGCGGGCTGAGCCTTTTCTTAGGCTGTCATAAGGGCGATTTCTTGATCTAGTGTACTTATTTGTTTTATTTCAGGTATATATAATGGATATATCAAAACAGCTCGCTCATGCTATGTGGCGCCAAATCCAGTACACATCCTAAACATGCCCATCCAGCTTTTACCTGAAAATACGCCAACCATCCAAGAGGAACAGACCAAAAGGTATTTACTCGGCATCAGTCACACAGCCGTGACTGGCATCCTTGACGAAGCGAGCATATTTGAACAGCGTTCCCTTGCGATATTTCAGCGGGGGTGCAGTCCACTTCTCTCTTCTCCTCGCCAACTCCTCATCGCTGACATTGAAATTGAGCTGCTGCTTCTCGGCGTCAATGGTGATCTCGTCACCATCCTGGACGAGGCCGATAGGTCCACCCTCCTGGGCCTCGGGCACAATGTGGCCGATCAAGAAGCCGTGGCTTCCTCCACTGAAACGGCCGTCCGTGAGAAGGGCAACGTCCTTGCCGAGCCCGGCACCCATGATGGCGGAGCTGGGCTTAAGCATCTCCGGCATGCCTGGTCCGCCTTTGGGCCCCTCATACCGGATGACAACAACTGTCTTCTCGCCCTTCTGGATCTCGCCCCTTTCAAGTGCAGCAATGAAGTCGTCTTCGGCGTCATAGACCTTAGCCTTGCCGGTGAAGACTGTACCCTCCTTTCCAGTAATCTTAGCGACGCAGCCGCCAGGAGCCAGGTTTCCGCGCAGAATCTGTATGTGACCGGTGGGCTTGATTGGGTCACTCATGGGACGGATAATCTTCTGTTCGGCCGGGAAGTCCTTCACATTCTCCAAGTTCTCCTTCATGGTCTTTCCGGTAACGGTGATGCCGCTCCCATCAATGACGCCCTCCTTGAGCAGGAACTTCAGGAGCGCGGGAGTTCCACCAATGTCGAAGATATCGGCCATGACGTACTTGCCGGAAGGCTTGAGATCTGCGAGCAGCGGAATACGATCACTGACTTTCTGGAAGTCATCGATCGTGAGCGTGATGCCGACAGAGTCCGCAATGGCGATGAGATGAAGGACGGCGTTAGTGGATCCGCCAGTAATGCTGACAACGACCATGGCGTTCTCGAGCGCCTGCCGGGTGATGATATCCTTGGGTCGGATATCCTCCCTCAGGAGGTTCTTAATCGCCCCACCAGCTGCCAGACACTCCAACACCTTCGCATTCGAGTTGGCCGGGTTCGAAGAGGATCCGGGTAGAGTCATGCCCATCGTCTCAATGGCTGTGGCCATGGTGTTAGCCGTGTACATGCCTCCGCAAGCTCCCTGGCCATTGCAGGCATGCCTGATGATGTCGAAGCGCTCCTCTTCATTGATCTCCCCTGTAATGTACTGGCCATACGCCTGGAAGGCGGAGACGATGTCGATGGACTGGTTGTTCAGTGTCTTCGCGCAACCGGGCTGGATGGTACCTCCGTAGACCATGAGGGAAGGACGGTTCACGCGGCCCATGGCCATGATGACACCGGGCATGTTCTTGTCGCAACCGGGGATGGAGATGTTCGCATCATACCATTGACCACCCATGACCGTCTCGATCGAGTCTGCAATGATCTCGCGCGATTGGAGTGAGTAGCGCATGCCCTTGGTTCCCATGGAAATAGCATCACTGACACCAACGGTGTTGAATTGCATGGGGACCAAGCCTGACCGCCGCACGCCCTCTGCAACCTTGTTGTTCAGGTCCAGCAGGTGCATGTTGCAAGGGTTTCCCGAGTACCAGACGGAAGAAATGCCGACTTGAGCCTTGTTCATGTCCTCCTCGGTCATTCCAGTGGCGTACAGCATGGCCTGGGAGGCGCCCTGCGACTTTGGCTGGGTGACACTCCGGCTGACGAAGTTCAATTCATCGTCGGACCTCTTCGCAAACCGCGCTGCCGAACTTGAGAGAGCTCGCCTGTACCGGAGTTAGCTATCTTCTCGTAGAGCTGTTGGGAGCCCAATTGACTGACGACTGAAGGCATGGCCAGCGAGTGGCGCACTTCGAGCGCCCGACGGCGGCTCTGAGGCTCGAGAGAGACATGACTGTGGTGGTGGCTGGAAGAGTGAGTCTTCCATCTGAATATATTTACATGTACGGATTACTGGCGCCGTCCTCGGAGTCCGTCCAGTGCTTGGCGCGGGGTTGGCCAATCAGCAGTGCTGGGTTTCACGTCCCTGCCGCCGACTCTTACTCCGTACACCACAGCTCATCCATCCCCACGAAACACCAATGGTGATCACGGCAGTGCGCTTCGGAGAGGGCGTGGTATCCAATTTGTTGTGGTCTGCAGTTGTACCTCTGCACTACACACACAACTATGCCGTCACGGCGACAGCTTCACCACTTCCCTGTTGGCCTTGACACAGGGATGAAGCGCTTGTAGGAATCAGTGAATCACAACCCCTGAAGTCACTGGAGTACCTGAGTATTCCCCTTTCCTGAGTTACTCACAAGCAAGATGTCACAGCCAACCAGAATGGAAAGCCCTGCAGTGACTACATCTTCCTCTTATCTTCTCCTCAATTGTGTACTTTCTGTCTTTCCGAAGTCACGCAGACCCCTCTTTTCTCTTCTGCCCTTTTTCGTACCCTATATACCTCCCCTTTCCAAGTCGCAGGTAAACTACTCTCACTAACAGTTTTCTCTCATTTGCAATGCATTACATGCACTATTCCCTACTCCTTACCGGCAGTCTTTCCGCTGCTGCAGAGGTCCACAGCGGCTTCTGCTACGGCTCCCACTGGGACTCCAACACACCAAAGACGTACGACGACTTCAAACGCGGTTTCGAGTCTGCAAAAGCCATCAAAGGAGCCGGCGTGACCTTCAACAGTGCCCGTCTGTTCTCCTCATTGCAGTGGGGAACCACCAACGAACCCTCTTCGGCTTTCAAAGCCGCCATCGACACTGGCACAACCCTCCTCATGGGCATCTGGATCGGCGCCGAGAGCACGCCCAGGGAGCTTTCGGCGATCGACAAAGCCTTCGAACAGTATGGAGAAGACCTCGCAAATCTAGTTGTCGGCATCTCGGTTGGCAGCGAGGACATCTTCCGTGGCTCAGGGCAATGCCGAGATAACAACAGTGGCAAGCCCTGTGCTAACGCGGCTTCTCCCGACGATGTAAAGAGTAACATCACGCTCGTACGGGATCACATATCGAGGGCTTTTTACGCCGACCTGTTGAAAGACAAGCCCATCGGGCATGTCGATATCGGCGCCTTCACGTTGAACGAAGGCGTCGACTTCGTCGGCTTCACCGCGTACCCTTACTGGAACAAAGACACGATCGAGAATGCCCTTGGGAGTTTTCAAGGCACGATGAACCTGGTTCAAGAGAAGGCTGGTGGTAAGCCGGCTTGGATCGCAGAGACAGGATGGCCTGTCAGTGGCCCTTCCACCAGAGCCGACGCCAACCTCGAGAACATGCAGACATACTGGCGTGAAGTCGGCTGCTCTCTGTTTGGCAAGCACAACGTGTGGTGGTTCGAGCTGGAGCGCGACACGTACCACGAAGTCGACTATGACTGGGGTGTCATCGACGTTAATACGCGGCTCCCACGCATTGACTTCAGTTGTCCTGGCACCGCTGACAATGGTGAGCCCGTTCCTAGTACTTTGATCACCCTGCCGAGCGCCAGTAAAGCGCCGGCCTCTTCCAATCCCGCGACGAACAGACCGGCCACCCCGAAACCTAGTTCCCATACCCCCTCCGCTACACCGAAAGCTGACCCAGCCAGTGCGACGACGAGGACGACGCATGTTGTGACACAGACCGAGTGCATCACCATAGCGGTGATGGGAGAGGGCCAGACGACGACCGTAGCTACAAGCACATTCACTTCCAGTCACGCCTGCCCTTCACCTCCACCAGTGACAATCGGCGGACGTCAAGATCAGGCACCACTTATTCCTGCTAACGATTCGACAAGGCCTTTCACAATATCCAGTCAATCGTCTCCCTCGCGGCCAGCATTTCCTCCATCTTCTCCCCTGCCACCACTAATAACTCCCTCACCTGCAGTCCCTCCTCCAACAGTTACACCACCAGCACGCCCCCCTCCGTCTCCGCCTTCCCCTCCCCCAGCCCCAGCCCCATCACCACCTCAACCACCACCCCAACAGTTCAAACCCCCTGAGCCCGCAATTCCTTCCCCCCTTCCTCCTCCCCCTCCTCCTCCTCCTCCAGCACCACCAGCCCCAACCCAAACATTCAAACCCCCTCAACCCGCAGCACCAGCACCTCCAACCCAACAGTTCAGCCCTCCCCAACCCGCCGGCCCCGCAAACACAATCCCTTTCGTCGCACCCGTCCCTGCTGCCGCCGCCACACCCGCCAACCGTCCCGCACTGCAGGGTCTGCGGATCCCGCGACCAGCCGAGGGGGTCGGGGAATGGAGGACGGGGATTTAAGGAGCCTAAGTGAGTGCTAGGAATTGAGTATGGATATGGGGAGGTGGGAGACGGTTGTGGTGTCACAGGAGTAAGGATGAGAAATGAGGAGAGCATGACTGCTGCGTTCGTTACTTCCCTCCCTTAGATATTTGGGATATATTGTTTCAGGCTTGTATTTTCCTGTTTTTTTCCTTCTCGATGAATGGGTAAGGGGATGTACCACAGTATCGTGGCGTGCGGGATTGTAATTGCGGAATCTGAAGGGTCCCCCCTTCCAGTCTCATGTCGCCGGAAATATATAAGTATATACCATATCCATCACGTAAACAAACGCCGCTCATCCATCTCTCTTTTCGATATATCCGATCCGCAAATTGACAACAGTTCCCCGTACTCGGCGATCGTCTTAAACAACACCGTCCCAAGGAAAAACTATAAAACCCCAAGCAGAAAGAAAGAAAGTAAAGTATTACCACGTCTTCCTGTGCTCTACTGCCTTTAAACTGGATCTGTTTCGAGAAAAGCGTACGGCAATCCCTCGTACCCGGCGCTCCTATTAGCCAAAGAATAAAGTGAAACTTCGTCTCGCAACATTTCCGTCACCAAAATTCAATCTCCCGGAACCTACATCCTCCCCTTGGCCGAGGTACGTAGCACATCCCAGAGAGCAAAAGAGAAAGAAACAAGAGCGGCACTTGAGCACGTCCCGGCAAAAAGAACAAGGGAAAAAACGTAAAAAGATAGTCCGACAGGGGATCGAACCCAGGACCTTTCGCGTGTGAAGCGAACGTCATACCACTAGACCATCGGACTTGCGCTCGGATTGGATGTATCCGATTTGATGTTAGCTGAATCAAAATCAAGAGTTATAAACTAGTAAATCTATTGACTAAACCGTTAATGCTGCGGATACTGCGACATCCTGATGAAGAGAGAGACGATAATAGCACGACTTGGCCTTCTCAAAGGAGTCTCAAGGGAAATGCAACGCCAGAGTTACGGTCTGAATCTTCGGCCGGACGAGATACCTTTTATTTCCGACTACTTCTATCTCCTCAATCGATCCTCACCTAGGTGTGGCAGCTTAGATCGTCTTGGCGACCGCGCGACGCCGTCGAGTTGGCCCCCTCAACCCTCTCCACTCCGTCACCTCGACTCCGGTGGAGATGTGCTCCGAGAACCGCCGTAAAGTCCGCGCATTTCCATCGTACCAGCTGGTTTGGCCAAACCGCACCTCCACGCCATACGAGGTAGAGAGTGCAGCGAGTCTTCTCTCCGCCAGCGTGGACTGCTGGACTCCATGATACGAATGATCTCTCTTCCGCCGCCGCACGCCTAGAACCAACCAGCGTATCCCGCGGCCAAACCCTTTCATTATATCCCATGGATTCGCAGCTATCAAGATGGCGCAGAGAGGACCGCAGGCATACACTCCGGGCTGGTCCTCCGTCGTCCCTTCCAGCAACCCTTTCCCATTCAAATTGTAAGGCTGCCAATCGAATGTGAAGATATGGAGAAGCGCAAATGCAGCCATTTCCGCGCATACGAGCAGCGAAGGCAGGCCGACGCGCAGGTCCGGACCGCTGATCCACTGCTTTGCTGGTTTAATGGGACCGTCCTTAGCCGTTAGGAGCGCGATGACGTGGGTCTGCCAGAAGCAGAAGAAGAGAACGAGCTTGATGCACATGAATTTCAGGCCTGGACGGTGCACGGCGATGTCTTGCTTCAGCTGTATGTAGAACTGCATCAGGCAGTACATGGCGACGGTAAGGGAGGTAGCCTCGAAGCCCAGGACCCACACGTATGCGAATCGTGGGTCCTTGGAGCTGTGGCAATAGCGTCCGTAGTATTGCGCAACGGCGGCTATCAGCGTGAAGATGGGGCGTACAATGCAATACTGGAATACGGCGACCCATATGATCCGTTACAAGTCAGCGCGGACAAAGTATTGAGGGTTAAAGTCAAGTCGCCTTACATTAAACCATGTCAGTCCGCTTCGCGCTCTTCTCAACCAGCCCTTGTCCTGTCCTCCGGCGAGTCGTTGCAACCAGCACAAGGGCGGAATCCAATTCTTCGGTTCGATATTACGGAAATAGTCCTTCTGCTCATGCAAGGTTGGAGCGACGTAGTGGCACAAGAGCGAGAAGAAGCTTGCAATGGTAACGGGTTCGTAGCAGTCTCGGGCAAGCTCAAAGTATACGGCACCATGGTAGGCGAGGTACGAGAGAAAGGAGACGACGGCATAGATTGGTACCATGAGGAGAATTCGGATGATGCTTTAGGACCCGCGGTATAAGCGGGTTTTAAATCAGTCGACGGGCGGTACATACCACTTCTGTTCCTGTCTTTTCAGGAAGTGCGATGCATGCCGCCAGATCAAGTAGACAGACAAACCCAGGGCCAGCGCCGTGAAAGAGGCACACAGGATAAGTCCAACATCGTGGAAGGTGAGAGGGTACTTTCGCCACAGGTGTATGTTGCTCACTATGCGGGCATCAGTATAGGGGTTAAGACGCGAATGAGTGGGATAGTTAGCATTTTACGGACCGCCCTCTCTTGCCTCGTTGGCGGTCTCGCAGATGGATTTGCGTCCAAACTCCAGGGGGAATATGTCATCGAACGGCCAAGTCTTGAAGAATGACCTCGCCTCCATGGCGCGTCACTGTCGAGCTGTCTGTCGACATCATGCGACGCAATCAAAGTGGTTGCAAATGAGAAGCCGCAAGGGGAGGTGAGGGAATCTTGGAACACGAATGTCGGGTCGTTTGTCTTGTCGCCAACTGGTGGTAGCCATAACGGGCAGTCGGACGCCGAGTTGCGACTTCCTATCCTGCGCGGACATCTAACCGCCGAGGATCCGCCCGGGCGAGATTCACCGGCTTGGGAGTGAAAGGGATAATCAGGGCGAGCAAAGACAAGTCTTACAGTGCGTAGACGGACTCGCAAGTGGCTTCTAATGATTGGATCAGGCGTCGAATACGGTGTACTAGAAGTAGGGACACCCCTCCGGTTATGCGCCTGCTTGCATAAGGCTTGCACGACGTGACTTGAACTTCACTTCACATTTCCGCAAGGGAAGCTCATCGATTACTGTCTGTATGCCATTGGGATTAATACAAGGAGTTGAAGGGGAGAGACAAAGGAGAATTTCAGCTCATACGCTACTGCCACCACGGACCGCGTAGTTATCGTTGCTTCATTACCAATCCACCGAGTAGTCCAGTATACAGTCCCTCCTCCCTAAACACTACACGCTATGACTGCTTTGATATTTGCAGGGCGCAGCCAAGCCTCCTCTCTAATTGACCAGAAAGGACTTGTGTGAGACGACCGTTAACGCCTGCTCCCTAAGGAGATTGGCAATGAATGGGACGAAAGAAAGAAAACCCTGTATGCCCCATCGCCGCTTGAGAGAAGATTCCATACACTATGGTAACACCGGCCGTACACACACCTGAACGCCTTTAGTAACCACTGAAACCGAAGAGAAAAAGAGGCAGTCTTCGCCGAAACGGCCTCCGTCATAAACGACCTCATACAATTGACCTTTTGAGAAGTCGATACCAACGCCCCTCAACGCAACGGATTGCAGACGACAAGGCGGAACCGCGGGGCAATTGGTTCGTTTGAAGGTCTGCCAGTCACGGCGCAGTCCATCCCACGCCACTAGAAGGGACGTTCGCGGCTGCGCACAGGCGCTTCGTCTTATCCTCGAGGCTGGTGATTGCGTAATGCTTCTCGGCCCACCAGTTCTCAAAGTCGTTCAGGTCGTCGGATTCCAAACCGCCGTCGGTGCGGATGGTTGTCAAGACTCCATCCACCTGACGCGCTGCGTGACGGAGACGCGGAATTGAAATGGTGCGAATGTGAGAAAGCTCGGCAACGTATTTGGCGTTTTGGGGATCCTGGGGCGTCGAGAAAGACCGTTCCCGAGGAAGGCCACGGGCCAGGACGGGCGGGCACGAGATTTCGGACGGGGTCAGGCAGCTCGGAGAGAGCGACGATGTGGTTTGAGACAGGGACGTGGGAGGCGAGGGCGACCGCGAGGATCTGACAGAGAAGGTTGCAGAGGAAGATGCGCTTGAGTCGGAACGGAGAGGGGGCCGCGAGACACGATCGAAACTGGAGAAGCTGGACACACTGTCCTCAAGCTGGAGCATCATTTCATCTTCAGGACTGTCCGATCCAAAACCGATTTCTCCGCTCAGAGATTCCAATCTTTCATAGTCTGGGTCTCGTTTAATAAACGTGTTCTACGGACACATTCAAGAACGGGCAAGGGCAGCTTACCAGTCAGTACGGCAGCACCGGCACGCTGCAACTTGGTGAGCGCACTCCGTAGCTCGTCGGGAAGACGGATCCAGAGAGCATGGTCGGGAGTCCATCGGGGAAGGAAGGCGGGGTCGTAGCGAAACGTCTCAGTGTCCTGAGGAGGCAAAGGCATACGTGGTGACTCGAGACCCGGGGGTAGTGGGGTTGAAACAAAGCTCTTGCGCATGGAGAGTTTGCGTGACCGACCGGGATGAGGGGAGGCTGGCTGGTGGATGGGCCCCATGGAAGGAGAAATCGGGGCAGCCATGGTGACGTGATGATTGTGGTCCTGAGGTGCCCGTGTGAGTAGAGGGTGTGGAGACGCAGGAGAGCGTCAGGCCTTCAGAGACGAAGGAGCCAATGGAGAGACGGTTGGTTGAAAGAGTGAAGAGGGGATAGATATCACGAAATCACAAATGGGAATGACCAGTCGAGGTCGGAGGATGGAGACTTGGCAAGCGTGGAGACGGAAAGAGTAAAAGGCGGGGATGGGAGAAGGGTTTATAAGTGAAATAAGTGAAAGCACATACCAATCACTGGTCGTTGGTTGTTAAGACGAGGCAATTTCCCAGCAGCCTTCCTGTTGCAGTGAAAGGAAGGAGCGGCGGAGTGTTAAAGAACGCTGGATGTGCAACACGCTCGAATGACGAGAATGGGGAAAAGGTGAGCAATGGAAGGGAGGTCGTAAAGGCACTGAATGGGAGGCCGAGCGTGCACAATTGATTGGTGTCTGGGAGTGGAGGTGTAGAGGCGGTTGGGTTGTCGAATTGCACCAGGAGCCCAACTGCGAACAGCGAAGCAGATGGCCACGAGGGATGCGAGAATAGAACTCAGAAACAACAATAATATGAAACAATTCGCAAGAGTCACTCTCCTAGCGCTGCGGACCGAGCGTGGATCTGAAGGTCGGAGTCTGGGGAAGGGCGGCCATATATGGAAGAGGCCACAGAAGGTTGCGGAAAGGGTGGAAAAGACGTTGCCAAAACCAGTAGTTGCGAATAGTCCATGGCGGGCCCGGGCTGTGTTGTTTCTTTTAATCAATCAAGACAACGAAAGCCCCCCTCAGGCCTTACGAACGACGCCCAGCCATTGAGGACCGGACATTGAATCGACCGATCGAAGCGCTGGGGGCGGCCCACCTTGGTCTTTGTTGATTCAGTGGAGTCGCTGTGTCGGTGCCGCACCCTACGGGATGACGTATGACGTACCATTGCTGTCACGGCGCCAAGGCCCTTTGACTGTGCAACTCCTCAAAGAACCCCAGGGCCCCATCTTCCCTAACTGCCCAGGCGGGATGGTGTGCCACAGGACACAGTATACCAGTTTAAGTATTATCGTGAGTCCTTTGGAAGATCCAGCTGTGTTGGTAAAATTAGCAAAAAAGCGGACTTGCAGGAAAGACTGAGATCGCTCCGCAGATCGTACCATGTACAGTAACACAGTCGTGGAATGTTCCCGCACTTTCTTGGTACTCGGTTCCCGCTCTGTGATTTTTCTAGGCTTCTTAGAAAAGTAAACTTTCCTACTGTGAATACACAGTCCTTGCAGCGTACCCCCATCAATCGCGCCAATGCTTGCCCATGCCAGCACCCCGCCCAATATTGCCCAACCCAAACCACATGTGTACTTGTAGTCTGGACCGGTCCACTGCCCCAGTGAATATGCCTCATTCTGGCCCATCAGACCCCCGGGTCAGCGTTTTAACTGGCTCATATACAAAGACATGGTCATGATCCTGTCACGGTTATCCCTCACTCCCAACGCCATACACTGCACAGGTGCAGCAATGATGCAATGGCCCCCTACTCCAACCTGGACATCGCATCAGCATCGCCAGCAGGAAAATAATTAACTCTGGAAAGCGGCAATTGTTACCTCTGGATCAAATGGAGCCCCGAGTCGGTCGTGACAATGCCGCTTATCTCCCCAGGTTGCAAGGCAAAGGCCGCTACCTCGAATTCCTTCTGCATATCTCCCCGTCCGAAGTAGCCCCTGTTGGATGCACGTCAGCCGTCTTCCCGCACAGCAAAACCCAGACATAGCTTCCATACAAGTCTCCGCCTTTCCGAGCGCTGCTGCAATCCGACTCGGTGGTCGCCAGCTCCGCCAACGTCTTTGCACCGCTCTTGATCTGTTCCTGATATCCTTCCAGTATCCTCTGCGCCTCGGCTCGCGTCCGCGTGATGCGCGCCTCTCGCCAGCTCGCAGGCCGACGGCTCTCGTTGTGCTTCACCAGCAGATGGGCTGCTCGTATCTTGTTCTCGCTGGCACTGGGCCGATTCACATTCGAGATGCCCTTGGTGCTGCTGTGGTACTGCCCCATGTACTTCTTCAGCTGCTCATTGTCCGTGCCTGCGGGCGGCTCCCATCGCGAGTCCTTGGTTGCCGCATGGAAATAGTACGGGAGATTCTTGCTGTTCGATATGCGAACCTCCCAGCCCTCGGGCAGTCCTGTCGCTGTCGTCGATGATGCCTACGCTGCGTGAGTCAACCTGCCATGACTGACTGCGATGCGCCGACTTTGTGCTGCGCCTGGTCCCGGGGCCGTGGGGCTTACCATGCTGTCGGACTACGGTATAGCTATGAACAGCGTTGTGACTACGTGTCAATGCAACAAGTCCTGTGAAGGGTGCCCAGGGGAAGGGAGAGAAGCCTATGACCTTTATTTGGGAGTGGGAAGAGTCGATCCAAGTCGCACGCGGACAGGGCACACGGCACTGGGGGCCGAGAGCTTGAAGCCGCGGGGCTGATGATCGTTTATTATCCCTCGCGAACCTCAAAAGCCGCCGTTTCCATGGAAGCGCACGAACGACCGGGTGACCAATCGTCTGGCCTGTCATGTTGATGACTCAAATGTAACAAATGACCAAAGCGGCACTAGTGGTGCAGTAACCATCTCGACGCTCCGACCTCAACCTTTACTTCCACTTGTTGCACCTCATTATTCAGAAGTTGCTTCACTTCTTCGCGAATAGCTCTTACCATTCGATTAGTCCGTTCAACCTCTCTTTTCCGTACGAACTTAGAGAGACTGTTCTACAACCGCTTCCAGATTCCCGAGGTCAGCGCCCAAACTCAGAACGAGCAGTCACATCCTGTAAAAGCAGCACATCCCCACACAATGGATTCTCCTGCAAGTCAACAAGACGATCAGCCCAAGGGCGACGACAGCAAGAAGATCCTCTTCCGTTTCTGCTCAGAATGGTGAGTCCTATTCCCTGTCCGCTTCTGGGACCCCGCTAACCATGTGTCCAGCTCCAACCTGCTGTTCCCCCGCGAAGACAAAGCCAACAACCGCCTTCTGTTCGCCTGCCGAAGCTGCCGCTTCTCCGAAGTCGCTTCTTCATCCTGCGTCATGCGCCACGATGTCGCTTCCTCTGTAGGAGACACAGCCGGTATCACCCAGGATGTCGGTCAAGATCCTACGGTTGGTCTCACTCGTTCTCTGTCCCGCACCACCCTCTCCGACGACTATGACTACCTCCCGCCCCTATGCACCATGTGCGGCCAGGACATCGTCTGCATCGAGTGCGGTGAAGGGTCCGCGCCCGGCATAGCTCTCGAAGCAAGCGATCCTGACGTGCAACCTGCAACTGGGGCGGGGGAGAACAAGCCTGCTCCACAGAAATGAGCACTCTTGCAGGGGGTTATGTCGCTTGTTCTGCTCCTCCTCGGGCATGCTTGCTGACTGTCCCTTCGCATCTAGTTGCCTCGGATTCATAAGCCTTGCCCGTCCTGCGGCGAGAATGAAGCCGTCTTCTTCCAGTCTCAGCAGCGTACTGCCGAGACGGGAATGGTGAGTATCCTCCTAATTCACTCTTAGGTACTTTCCCTGACTCTGTTGTAGAAACTCTACTACGTATGCACCCACTGCGGCAACGTCTGGCAATAAGTCTGCTTGGTCAGGACTTGGATGGAGGATATATGGGCTGTCCTGGTATTTTTGAGGTGTCTGCATGGGTCGGAGTCGATGTTTTCAGTGTTTTGGTGCAAAATCGGTGTCTTGGAATGGTATTGATACCCTGAAATAATGTACAAATGGGTTATAGAGCAAAACATCTCAACCGACTGCGTCTTGCCCGCCGCCTGTGTCCCTAGAACTCCGCCCTATGCAATACGTGAATGCCGCTTATACGTGCATCGGGGCCAATGAGAGAATCTTGGACCACTGCTTCTTCTTCAGCTCGGCAGCAACCACGCCGCTGACTCTTGTGCCAATGGGCTCGCCGGCCTTGTTGATCAATACACAGGCATTGTCGTCGAACTTGACCACGCTCCCGTCGGGTCGCTGCCACTTCTTCGCCGTGCGCACCACCACGGCATGTCTTATATCGCCTCGTCGGACCTTGTTTGCTGCGCTGACCGACACGGTGTTTCCCGTCTCGGGCCCAAAGTTCCGCTGCTTCTGGACGACGACTACTATGCGATCGCCTGTCTTGCCATTAGCCCTTCATTCGTTCCTTTCCCTTCCTTCCCCATTGTTTCCGTACCGACTTTGGCAGGGCGCTTGGACCGCAACACGTTGATGCACTCGACTATGGCGGCGCCCGAGTTGTCGATGCAATTGATGAGGGACTGGATTGCTTGTGTCAGTGAGTGGTTGAAGCAAGCAAAGCTGCGCACAGCACAGCTTGCTTTGAGCTTGCTTTTCGTACCTTCAATTGAATCATTTTTTGCTATTACTGTGTCTCCTGCCCCTCCAGAATCCCAACTCTCTCCTGGCGCGGCCTGTGCGTGTGTGTGCCTGCTTGCGAAGGTTGCGGTGATGCTGTGAATATAAACTATCAACTTTGACTGTCGTTGAAGTCGTTTCCAGTCGGGAGTTGCCGGGCGCAAATCAGATCGATCGCTGGTTCTGGTTCAGCGCCAACCCGCACCCCGGCATTGATCGGTTCCCCTGCACTGCACCCCGACTCGCCGCAGCGAACAAACCAGGGTCACCAACAAGGCCCATTTCCAGCCTCGAGTCTCACGCTCTGCTGCACGCCTCCAGGCGGTCCCTTTTACCTGCCAGCCGCCTGTTGCGCGGTGCCGCTCCTTTGCCTACACAACTCCTCTGTGGTCCTATTGTCCGGCGCGCGCTCTATTGCTCTCCATTCTGCGACTTCGTTCCTTCCCAATATAGGAACAGCCAAATTCCCATGACCTCGTGAACGACGTCACCCCAACCTCCCCTTTTTAACACCCGACTTGTGTGAACAAGCCGGATCCCAACATAGGATTGCCTCCGCCTCGGGTTCAGCTGGCACGCCTGTTACAAGCACCTCCTGCAAGTATGCCTGCGAAAACGCAGGAGTCGAGGAGCGGGTTGACGCTGGAGCAGCTCGCTTCTTACGACGATGTTATCACTGACGCGCTGGTCGACAAGGTGAGAAGCAACGCGATTCCGAACTGCATAGCAGCTCTCCCTAGGCTCTCAATTCACTCGTCTAACGTTTGCGCGACTGCAGGTGCACTTTTGGACCACCATCCGCAAGAACCGAGGCGGTCGCTTTTCCGCCTCTCGCGGCCTCCACGAGGACGACATCTCCGAGATCATTCGCAAGACGGTCATCATCAACAAGGACCCCGCTCATGCCGTGAAGCAGCTGCTTCAGTTGCCGGGCCTGAAGAAGTATGTGGGCACTCTGAGAACTGAGAAAGAGAAGGAGCAGTTTTCGCGCCATTTGCTACGCTACGTGAAGATGTACTTACCCGATTGCCCCTTTGAGGTCACTACAACGAACCGCTACACAATCACCGAACATGAGGCATCGGTTACAGCGCGGAAGGAGATCAAGCCGCGAGAGGAGATCAAGTACCTCACAGGCGTGCAAGTAGCGATGACCGAAGAGCAAGAGAAGACTCTGGAGCTGGCGCGCAAGGACTTCAGCCTCGTGATTTCTAGCAGGAAGAAGACGCGATCCCTGTTTCTAGGCCCTGCGAGATTCGCAAATCACGACTGCGACGCAAATGCCCGGCTGTCGACCAAGGGGTACGACGGGATGCAGATTGTTGCGGTGAAGCCGATTGAGGTTGGGGATGAAATTACCGTGTCCTATGGAGAGGATTATTTTGGAGACGATAATGAGGAGTGTCTCTGTCAGACGTGTGAGAAGAGGAACGCGAATGGCTGGGCGCCATTCAAGCCGATTGCAGAGTCCGACGACGAAGACGATGAGGAGGAGAGTGGGGAAGATTCATCAGCGGCTGCTGCGGCCACAAGAACGGCGAAAGGCCTGCTTGCCCCGAATCCTAGGAAGCGGAAATTCGAGTCTACAGATGGACCTTATGCGGAGGACATCTCTCGACCATCCACCCCAGTGTCTAAGAAGATTAAGGTTGAAAGCGAAAGTCCCAGTCCCGCATCCCGGCCGTCTAGCCCCGCAACGGAATCCCCCAGGTCGCAGCGCACTTCGAAGCCACTACGAGAAACTACTCTAAAGAAGATGTACAGCGTCTCATCACTCCAAGACAATATACCGCTTGCTGGCATCGATGAGCTTGGTTCAGATGCAGCGCAAAAGATTCGCACTCAACAGTGTGTTGACCTTCTTGCCGTCACCCTTAATGAAACGGATTCGTCGAGAGGCATATCCCCTGAGAATTCCACAGCCGCAGAGTCTCCTCCGTCCTCCATCTCTACCGATGCCACTTCCCTTGATGGCGACACTACTCCTCCAGACCTTGATGCTAAAACTACCGTCATCGTTAAGCCATCATATGGCGTGGCCACGGTGAAGACGGAAGAAACAACCATCACAACATCTCTCGAAACCATTGTCACTGAATCCCCTGACGACGCCGCATCCGACGCCTCCTCCGAACTCAGCGAGCTCCCCTCGGAATACGAGCTTGACGACATCAAACGCACAATCATCAAGCGCAAGCGGCCCAAAGCCCCGCTCACAATGCGCACCACACGTTCCCGCGCTTCTCTAAATCCGGACATCCTAAACCGCCTCGGCACTCCCATCGCCACCACCGATCTCCTCGTCTCCAGCTTTGACCCTGCCAAGATGATCGAAAACCCGAGAAAACCAGGCGACTACATCGATTCGCCCGCCCTCCTCTCGACCAAGTACAGCAAATGGGTAGAATGCCAGACATGCGACGCCTACTTCGTGCAACGAGACGGTCTCTTGCAAACACGCAAGGATTGCCCGCGGTGCGAAAGACATAGTATCCTGTACGGATATGCGTGGCCGAAGACGGATAAGGAGGGCAAGGGCGATACGGAGGAGAGGGTGCTGGATCCGAGGACGGTGCATCGGTTTGTGGGGCCTGAGGAAGAGAGGGAGATTAAGAAGAAGGAGGTTCGCGCGAGGGTCATGCAAAGTGTGGGGGAGAGGAGGAGTTGGAGTCGGGCGGTTTCGGGGTTGAGCACGCCGGGGGTGGAGGAGTGGACGCCGAGGGCGGAGAGGAAGAAGGCAACTCCGAGAGATAACAAGAGGGGAAGTGTAAAGGAGAAGCAAGAGTTTGTTGTGAAGAAGACTATCGGGGGAAAAAGGAAGAGAGCCATGGAGAGCGAGAGCGAGAACGAGAGCTCTGATACAGATACTGAGGTCGTGACTACCACGCTATCCGGGCGGAAGATCAAGCGCGCGAGGAAGACGATGTGAGACGATTATCCTTGCCGTCGGTATGGATACCCTGGTTTTCTCATTGAAAGGGGAGGGAAAAACTCTTCTTTCCTAAGCTTGTGTCGATTTGGCGCCCATTCGGAGTTTTTTGGAGGCATATTTATTCGGCGTCTGAACGCATGCATGCATACCCCGTGGGTTTGGAGGGTTTCACAGTGGCGTCGGGTTGGCATGCATCATTGATTTTATGCTTGTTTCCGGACTGGAACGGATGTATGATATTAGGCATAGTATTGAATATGGTGGGAATGATTGGAATGAGAAGATGCTTTCCTGCTGGCCCATGTGCACGGTTGGGTGGGTTATGTGTAAAGTATTGGGGACGAAGAACTGAGGGAGGTGGAAGGTAAGTGTTTCCCATATACTCCGTACCGTGTTTCTCCCTGGCTGACTGCTTCAGTGGTAACAGCTTCAACTTCGACATTTTCTTCGTTTACTATCTACCCTTGAAGACGGACATTTAGTAACTCAACCAGGTACATGGCCTAGGTAGATATGAAGTACAAACCATCACGTGCCCCGCAACGTTCCTCAACCTTGGGGGGATCGAACGCTCCAGTCCCGGAACTCAACCTCCATATAACCCCTGGCCGCCTTAAACCTCGCTCTTCTCACGTTCCTACGCTTGACCACCACTCCGATCTCATTGTTTGCGTTTGCATCTCCTTCGCAGCGCAGCCTTAGAGATGATGTGTCCACCCACCATCACCCACACGTTTGTCGTCCCAATGTTCCTCCTCGGGTTGTACCATTATCAACACTGTCCAACCGTTAGCACCGGGCGCAAGCAAACTCGACAACACGCGTGCTGCGCAGCTGACGCAAGCGCGCGCTGTCGGTGGGCGAGGCGAGTGATGGCTTTGTTGAGAGTGTGCTCTTTTCTTTCTGTCTTCTGTTTCTCTCTTTCTCATGGCTATCCATCGCAAGGTAGAAGTGGGTTTGAAGAGTTTATGATTTCTTGGTTTGGTATTGATGAGGATGGCCGATGAGGAGCGAGGCTCTTGATTGATTGCGATTCGTCTTTCTTGAAAGCTCTTGGTTTGGTTACTTTTCCTACAATATCACCCCTTTTTCCTTCTTCACTGCCTCCATCTTCCCCACCGCTCTCCCCGTTCCTCCCCAGCCCCGAACCAAAAGAGAAGGGAAAAAACATATTATGGGCAACACCCTCACCACCCCACCCGCACCCCCCTTCATCGCCATCTCCGGCCCCCGCTCCAAAGTCCTTTTCCCCACAAACTCGACCTTCGCCTTCCTGCCCCCGGAGTTCCCCACGGGCCTACACGACTCTGCGAAATCCTACGGGCCGTACCAAGCGGGAAAGTGGGGTAGGGGTAAGAAGAACAGGAAATACTACGACACCGGAATACCCATCTACACGCCTGTACCGGGGAATCGGAAACCGAGATATAAGTGGCAGGATAAGGGGAAGAGTAAGAGAGGGGGAGGTGGGAAGGGATACGCATACTTTGATTCTGGGCAACGAGACTGGGAAGGAGACACGGCGACCACGACGACAGGGCCGACCTCGACGGCGACGTATGGCAGTTCGATTCTATCAGAGCCGTCGATCGAGAGGGTTCCGCATAAAAGGAGGCATAGCGGTAGCTTCCCCGTCCGACGGCCTTCGGGACCGAGACCGGTGTTTCCGAGACGAGGTACGGGCGTCGGAAGGAGAGACGCCCGTTCGGTGGTCAGTGATACGGATATGGGACATGTCCCTGGGTGGAGACAGATAGGGAGGCGTCCTGGGGGGATGATGGGTATGGGCGTGGGCATGGGAGGGCCGTACGGTGCGGCAGGAGGCATGGGGATGGAGAGACCCTGGACTGCGCCGGCGGCGTATCCGGCCATGGGAGGGATGGCCATGGGTATGGATGGAGGGATGGATGGAATGGGCGTAGGAGCTGGAGGCGTTCCGGCATATGGCGTGCCCGCAACAGGAGCAGGGGCAGCATACCCAGGCACAGTACCAGGAGGAGCAGGAGCAGCAGGAGCGGCACCGAACCCGTACGCCTACGCATACGTCCCTCAACACCAAACCGGACACCCAGGAGCAGCAGGACTAGGAGGCGGGATTCCACCCGCCAACCACTACCCCCAACAGCAACAATCACAACCACCACCACCGCACTACACCACCAACCGCCCTCCAACACCCCGTGGCGTCGCCCGTGTAGGCCACGGCCCATATGTCCCCGCCGCAGGTGCAGACCACGGACACGACAGAAACCGCACCAACAAGCGGGCTCCAATCTCCCGCGACGACGACGGCGGCAACAACAACACCTCCCACCAATCGACGAAACCCTACCACTCCCTCACCTCCCTCGACGCCTGCATCTGCACCACCAACTGCACATGCCGCAAAGGGCACCGCGTCGTCTACTTTGAAGACCGGGACGACGGTTCGGGCCCCCTGCGCGGCGAGATCCGATACGTGCTGCGCGACGACCTTGGGAAAGATTGCGGGGATCATAGTGCGTGTTTTACGCGCGAGGGCAGGAGGAAGGGCACCGTGGGCGTGGAGGAGAAGTTGGGCGAGGTGAGGAGGGAGGTCAGGGATGGGTTGAGGGAGATTCGGGAGGCGGTTGCTGGGGGTGGGGGGATGGGGAGAGCGGGTGGAGGTGGTGGTGGTGGAGGTAATGGCTACGCAGTCGATCATGGTCATGGATATCCATTTGGTTTTGCAAATGGCTATCCCACACACATACCACCACCCGGGTACTCCTCCTTCCCCACGGGAGGAGCAGGCATGGACGACATCTATGACCCCTCTCCCCCGGACTTCCTTCACCACATGCACATGTATCCTCCTCCCCCCAACAACACCGGCGCCGGTGCAAGACACCGCATGATGGTACCTCCCGATTTCCCACGCAGCAGACCACAACCACCACCATTAGGTCGCCCTCGCGGCGGTCCCTTCGCACCGCCTGGCATGGGAATGAGGCCGCCATTTGGCCGCCGCGGTCCACCTGCACCACCTCCTGGAATCGGAGGCGGTATGGGGATGGGCATGCCCATGGGAAGAATGCCTCCACGAGGCGGGCCTGGAGGAGGTGCACCAGAAGGGAGGAGACATGCCCGGCCACCACCACCAGGCGGAGGACGAGGAGGAGGAGGAGGAGCAAGCGGATTCGCCCCCGGACGTCGCGGCCGCTCTGGTTTCCCTGCCGATATCGAGGACAATGTAGATGGAGGAGGTCTCGGAGTGGGTATGGGTATGGGTATGGGTGGTGGTGGTGGTGGCGGTGATAGATTCGGAGATGTTGGTATGGGAATGGGGATGGGGATGGAAATGAACGGCGGAGACGATGGCGAAGACGACGACGACGACGACTGGGAGGATATGCCCGACGGTACGTAGTCTCCCAAGCCAATTCTAGTGCTGGCTGGCCGGTAAGCTGACATACCCAGAGACCTAGAGGGTCTGGAGCGCGAGTGGTCTCCTCCTCCTCCTGCTCCTGCAAGAGGAGGACGAGGTAGTTCCGCCGGGAGAGGCAGACCGCGAAATCGGCGAGTATCACCTGCAACCGGTGCAAAGAGAGGCGGAGGGGCCAGGGGAAGAAGACAGGCTCACGTGGAGGACGGGTCGGAGGAGTGAAGAGAGGCCGCTGAGGAAATGGGATCAGGGTCTGTCTATAGCCTAGAAACTCTACGGATAGATCAGATTTGGCAGTGCAGGTGGGGCCTTCAAATCGTTGTTGCTACACGTGTCTCTTCATATCTTTTCACCTTTTACAATTTCTGTGAACATACATAATAAACGCATCACAAGCCTTGCACGAGACTTAACACTCATATTTCACGCAATGCCACACACTTCACAGCAGCAAAGCACGCCCATACAGTTTGAACCAAATATATATCTGCCCTAGACTGACTACGCCCGTCCCCCTTTGGCCTGCGCGTCTGCATCATCATCCACTCCATCGCAGTCATTCCACAGTCAGAGAGAGAGGGAGCCAGTTGCAGGTCATAAAGCGTTTGTTCAGGCTACCAGCACAAACACCAGACAAGCAAAAACACCCATCCTTCCCCCCACCAACGCCATTAAAACTCGATAGTATACTCAACGATCGGCAAAGAAAAGGATAAAGAAGAAGAAGAGGAGTAATGAGTTAAGGGATAAAAGAAGAGGGAACAAAGTAAAGGCAAGAAAAAAGGAGGTGCAGCATTGCAGATATGGCTTCTTCTCCATCTCCCTCCCAAAACACAAATAGGCTTCGTCGTTTGATTCGCAACTTCATCATCGTCATCTTCTTCTCCGCTGAGGCAAGGAAATCGGCGCGGCAGTCGTAAAGCGAGGTCTGTACAGCGGTGACCGAGACTCCAGGGTGGGGGCATCGTAACAAGCGTAAATTCGGAACATCTGACATCGCCAAAAGTGATCGTGAACGCATTTGTCTTGTCGTTGCGTATTACTGCACTTAAAAATCGGCAGATGACCAGGGCGGCAGAAAACGACAGCTCCCGAGCCTGAACGGAACCGAACAAAAGTACAGGAGCCAACAGCACAATTCTCCGCATCGAAACTGGAGGACTAGAACATCATAGATCGAACCTGCTCGCGGCGGCTTGAATCTCCGACTTCTCGCCTACGAGGAACCACACCAGCTTTGTGACGTTGGTCCTTCTCAACGGGCGGAGGTACATCCGATCGATGTCGAGAGTGGCCTTTGGCTGGACTGGATAGCATCGGTGGTGCATCGGACTGAGTACGAGTGTGACTCTTGGTTGGGCTGGAGGGAACGGACTTGCTCTGGTAACCATGATGCGACTGAGGACGTCCGCTCTGTTGCTGGGCTTGGCAGCTCTCCTTCAGCGCCTTCGTCTGAGCCAGCTGAGGAGCAGCCTGAGACCGGGCCTTCTCGCGACGCTCCTTCTGGAGCACCATCTCCGTCCAAGCTTTTCCGTTGGCGACATCTTTGCCCACAATCTCAGAAAGGACATTCATCCATTCTTCTTTCTGAGCCGTGGTGTCGGCGTAGAAATCAATGACCTCGCCATTGGCAAAGCGGATGCGGAAACCTTCCTCGACGAACATGTAGCCTTCCTCTTCCTCTGCAAAGGCGGACTTCCGTCTTCCTCCGTTTTTGGTGGAAGAGGGCTGCTGAAGAGCAGTCTTGTCATCAATCAGTTTAGTTGCTTTTGCAAGATTGATAGTAGCACGAGGTTGGCGAGTAGTCTCATGGTACGCTGTCAGCTTCGGACCGTCGAGACGGAAGAAACGACGGCGCCAGTACTATGGACAATTAGTTAGCCGGATTCATCTTTCAAATATGGCTTCAGAACTTACGGGGCAATCACCGCCCTGCTGGCTTAGATGACCTTCGAACTGCTTCGACTTCACTTGCTCGGCTTCTCGCAGTTCCCGGATGCAAGCATTCATGCTCTTGGGCATATCCTCATCTTTTGCGTTCTTGGGCTTGGGTACGTAGAGCAGTTGTAAAGCCAGCTTGCCGACACGGTACGGTGGGCGGCGAACGATGCCGCCACGCTTGCTCTTGACACTGCTCGCGACAGTATCATCGACAGCCCATTCGTTAAAGCAAGGAATATCAACGTTGAGTGGTCGTCCATAGGCTTCGTTCTCGTGGTTCTTCAGGCAGACGTATGCACGCGCAAACGATCCGTCTGATCCTACCAGATTGTGCAAAAGATCCCAAGCCGTAGCCTGTTGTTTCCGCTTCGCCTGGGCTTCCTGTTGTTGTTGCAAAGCAAGACGCTCAGCCTCCTCCTGTTGTTTCCTTTCCTGTTCTTTTCGCTTCTTTGGAGACGACAGGAGGTTACGGAAAGCAGAGTGAGACTTCTTGTGATTGACAGCTTTCACGGGCGCAGCAGCCACTTGAGGCTGAGGTGGAGGCTCAAGCTTAGTTTGGAGCGTGAGCTGGAACTCGAGATCGTCAAGAACAACAAGCTCAAACTCCTGCCCAATTGGGACATTGTGACCAAGCTCTAACCAAGATGTAGTCACACAGTGTAGCCCATTATCAAGGGTGAGCTGGAAGTAAGTGCGCTCAGCTGTCAGGAATGTTAGCACAGGTTGCTTTGGGACAAGAGAGTCCAATACGTACTCTTAGGCAAAGGCAGATCAAGGTCTTTCACACCGACAACTTTGACGAACAACCTACCCCTTTCAGTTCCGTCCTCGAACTCCTCACCATTTTGCTCCTGGACAGAGTCAAGCGCACCGGCAACAGCAGATTCCTGGCCGGGAAGAGGAGGTACTGCACCTGCGGCTGCTGCACGCCTACCAGATGCGGTTCTGATGCTCCGTCGTCTTGCCTTACCATTCCAGGGCTCGGTGGTCCACGCGGGCTTGCGCTCAGCGCTTGTCTTCCGTGAGTCGGCAGTGTTCGCTTTCGCGGCCTCAGTTGGCTTTTCATCACTGAACTGACGGCTGCTGGCAACGACAACTTTCGTGTTTTGTCGCATCAAGTATCCTTTCTGCTCACGGACATAACCGTTAGTGGGACTGTACGTATACACGAAACCTTCACCGCACATGAGGCGGGATCCATCGGACTGGGCGACAGAGGTTGTTGGGAATTGAGCATAAGAGGGTAAAGGGAAAAGGTTGTATACCTTCTGTGCTTCAATGATGTGGTCGAACTCTTTGTCCAGGCCAAAGCTAAGATCATTCGAGTCGTCTCCAATGGGGATGTCGATGTCCAACATAAGGTTTTCCTTGTTGGAGGTGGAGTGGCCGGACTGAAGGTCTAGGTCGGCGACGTGACCGACTTCAATGCTCAACGACTGGCGCTTGGGACTCCGTTCGGGCAGGGGCGGAGGGTGTTGACCGCTGACTTGGCGACGAGTAGCAGCCATGTCCACATCCTCAGGAATCAGGGACGGGCGAGTCTTGAGCTTGCCTCCAGCTCCTTTGATGGTCGCATATTCTTCGGGCACCACGGGGGAGTCCCGCTCCTCCGGCTGGATGGGTTCAGGAGTCTCAATCGGATGGCGAATGACAGAGTCAGGAGTGCTCGGTTCGTTTGCCTCTGCGTCCTCAGTAGATTCGGGAGTTTCGGGTCGGCGAAGGAATTCTCGCATGGCACCGATTGTGGGTGCACTGTCAAGAGGACTAGGCACTGTCTCGAAGGAGGCTTTGAGCGGATCTAATGTCAGATTCACGTCGTCACTATCAAGGGAGGCGAAGAGTTCATCGCGTCGGGCCTCCTTCTCCGCAGCTGATGGTGACGATTGCAGCCCGGTCGGGGTGGGTGGGCCAGATGTTTCGATTGTGCTCTGGGACGTGGGCTGCTCATCAGGTTGAGAGGAGTAGTGGCTAGCATCGTCATCTTCTTGGATATCTGTCCGGTTCTCGTGGTGGATCACAGAGCCTTCACGATGGTGTTCGTCCAGTTGAGATAGTTCGGTATACATCTCAGTCGTCTCCGCCATGGAGTAGGCATCGAGGACACTATCTGCTTCTGATTCCGGAATAGCAGAATCCTCGCGTGGGAGTTCATCGAAGTTTGAAGAGGCCTCTCGGGACGGGATTGGGACGTCCGGGTCGAGATCGGCCAGGTCTCCATAGCTCCGCTCTGGACTGGACTCCGCATCGTAGTTGTAGATGTCGTACTCTTCAAAATCACGACCCTTTACCTTGCGTAGAATCGATTCCCGGGAGATGCGAGGGGCTTTGGGTCCATCTACAGTAGTGTCGGAGTCGCCTGTCTCTTCCGAGATCTGGCTCTGATCTCTGGGTTCAGACTCATCCTGTTTTTCATGCCTCTCCTGTGTGGGTGTGTCGGTATCGCGATCGCCGTCAAAGTTCATCAAGCGGAGCCTATCCTCCAGGGTCATCGATCCCTCGCGCATATTCAAGAGGTCAGACTTGGAGAAACCCGCTGCTTGCGGAAGCTGCGGTAGTGACCGGCGTGCGCCGCTTGCACGCTCTGCTGCAGCCGCGAGGCCTACGCTTGAGTCGCGACGACGGTTTTCGTCAACGCCTTGCATACCTGGCAGAGGGGGCAGTGGACGTGAGTCCCCGTCTGAGGCTATAGAACCATTACGGTTGGAGAAATTGTGGCCATTAGGGCGTGTGTCCGGCATGGGACTGCTATCTCGGCCATCAAAGACATCGTCGTATGTATCCGTCAACGACGTATTGGCGACATCGGGACTCATGTGGCGCCAATCTTCCGGAAGCACGACTGGTGTCTTCTCTGTATCCTCAAGTGAGGCATCAAAGCTGTCATCCTGATCGAAGCTCAAGTCTTCATCTTGTTGCGAATCATAGCTACCCTCGCGCGAGCCTGAAGCGACCGAGGAGGGATCGGGCGTTACCATCTCGTATTCGTTGATGATTGGGGGAGCAGCATCAAATGTCACACTCTTTGCATGGCGGCGCAGTGGTCGAGGAGTCTGACGGCCCATGTCATCGTCGTCCGAGAAGACGCTAGAGTCTGGATTGTACTCAGGGTATCTGAAGCGTCCCGGACTGGCCAAGGAAGACTTCGTCGGTGATGTGCGCCCTTCTGGAGGGGGTGTCCTGTCCTTGGTAGGGGAGTTGAAAGACGAAGGCGTGGAAGGTTTCGGTAGAGACGACTTGGTCGGGCTCAGCGTGGGAATTTTGGTAAGGCTTTCCCCGCGACGGTGGCCACGTATCTCTTCGTTTTGTTTACGTAGGGCAGCTAGACCATTTCCGCCGAAAGCATTACCTTGGAGCTGGGTGCTCAAGGGACGCCCGGCAGCCAATGGTCGATCCAGCGGCTGAACGGCAGCTGGGTCATACTCGTTCTTTTGTTCGCGCGCAAACATGTTGCTGTTCTTGACGCGGGAAGCCTTCTTGAGGTTCTCAATGGAGGAGCGTTTGGGCGAGAGCGAAGGCGAACTGTCGCGCTCGAACTCGTTCTCGGAACCAAAGCGAGCCTTGGGCGAGGCTGTCTGCTCCTTCCAAAACAGACGGGGGCTCTTGTCAAAGGGTGACGAGCCAAACGGGGAGGTTTCCTTGGTGAACATCATCTTCTAGTTCCGGGTTAGCGGTTGCCTGGAATGTGAATATCACAGCGACATGAGTGTTTACCTTGGTAGTCTGGTTGAAGCTAGGAGAATTGCGCCTGATCTCGCCGGTTCCAATCTCAGAGAGCGGGCGACCAAAGGTGTTTCCCTTGGCTGGTGAGCCGGTGGGCGTCTTGCTGATGCGCAACGGCGATACCTGCAAGCGCAATACTGTTAATAGAAAGCGATGACTTAGGTACTGCTTGCACGTACGGCCTCGTTCCTCGACATGCTTGCTATTGATGCAGGTTGCCTGGATGCGCCGACGAGGAATGTTTGCGAAGAATGCGCGCGCTCCCTCGAGGGCCCAGCGCGGTGAATATGGATGCACTGAGACTCAAAACGGGCGTGTTGAAGAGAAGGACGGGGTGGAGCGCATGCGCTACTGGTAGTGAAAAGAAGAGGTGAGGAGAAGAAGATAGACAGAAGATGAGTGCGATGGGAGATGGGAGATTGACTGGATAGCCTGCGGAGGTGCGGATCGCGGGCGATAGAGTCGACAACAAGCCCGGGATGCCACCTTGTTTCGCCCGTCGCCCAGGGCAACAAACGGGCCGCGGCGCCACACTTTCTTGATATGGCTAGAGCAGATCAGCGCCGAGCTGTGGCGCATGAAAAACTTGTGAAACTCAAGACACGCATTCACCACCCATCCTTCAAAGCGCCGCATCCGCATCCACCATGTCGAACTGATACCCCACCCCCTTAAATCAGGCCTCACCGCGGTTCAAATATCTCCGCCATGTTGCGCCAGGCTACTCGAGCCTGCCCTCTATGCGAGGTTCGCTCGTTGCTGGGTCCTAGCACTCCTCCCGTCTCGCAACAGACACGCCTCTACGCGCAGTTGCAGCGGGAACGAGCAACGCGCCATGTTTCCGCGGCCTCGAGAACCCGTTCAGGGCCGCGCCCATCGGCTGGAGTGAGGGGCGAAAAGCCACGACCATCGCGCATGGTGCTGTCGGACAATGTCGCTCGGACCTCTCCAAGGAAGAAGCCAGAGCCCTTCTCTTACCTGAACAGAACAAGAGCTCCACCGATGCTCGAGCGGCGGCGAGAACAGGCTTCGGATAAAGAGAGGCGCCCTTCGAGCAGACATACAGGGAGCAGAGAAAGAAAGAATCGCTCGGAACCATACCATGCCCTGAAGATGCAGAAGACGCTTCACGAAGTCCCTTATGGATCCCGCGCCGCCATTAAGCGGAAGATAGAGCAGATCGACAGCTTCGATGCATTCCCGCTGGCGGACAAAGTCAAAGAAGCCATCAAGGATGCGTTGCCAGGGCTGGAGTACCGCAATCCTACGCCTGCTCAAGCCATTGCTATTCCGGCAATTCTTGGTCAGGATGCCAAAAAGAGGACACGGCACCCAAGTACAAAAGCTGGTCTACAATCATTCCTCTTAGCTGCAGAAACAGGCTCTGGCAAGACTCTCGCATACCTCCTGCCGACCGTGGATGCAATCAAGCGCGAAGAGGCGGCGGATGCAGAGCAACAAGCGCGCGAGGAAGCGGAGGAGGCCGCCAAAAGAGAACTCGAGAAGAGGGATGACATGTTTGCGTTGGAGCCACCACCTTTGAACAAGGCGACCGACCCGGCCCGGCCTCGAGCTGTCATCCTGGTCCCTTCTGCGGAGCTGGTTGCGCAGGTTGGCGCCGTAGCGAAGTCCCTGTCTCACACCGTCAAATTCCGGGCAGCGCCTATCTCGGCGAAGAACACTGCAACTGTTATTCGTAGCCGCCTCTTCAACGAAAACGGCGTGGACATCATCATCAGCACAGCTCCCCTGCTGGCCAGCATCGCTGAGAGCAATCCCAACATCCTCAGTCGTGTGACCCATCTCATTGTCGATGAGGCCGACTCGCTTTTCGATCGATCCTTCAAGCCTAGCACAACCGAGATTCTGGAGAGAGCCACACCTTCGTTGAAGAAACTCATTCTGTGTTCTGCCACGATCCCACGATATCTGGACAAGTATCTCGCAGCTCGGTATCCGGACATGAAACGACTTGTCACCCCCAACCTCCACGCAATCCCCCGTCGTGTCCAGCTCGGTGTTGTCGATGTGAACAAAGATCCGTATCGTGGCAACAAGATGTTGGCATGTGCAGATACGATATGGCAGATTGGCAAAGCCAGCGGAGATTATGACCCTGTCGAGGGCAGGGAGCCGCTGCAGACGAAACGCATTTTGGTTTTCGTGAATGAAAGGGAGGATACGGACGAGGTGGCGCAATATCTGGTAAAGAAGGGCATCGACGCCGTTGCCTTTCATCGCGACACGGATCCTGGACGCCAAGCCAAAGCGCTGGCAAGCTTCACTGGTACCGGGAAGGAGGACGATAAGCAGCCAGAGAGCCCCTCGTCGAATTCTACTGGAAAGTGCAGGCTCCCCAACACCAAGGTCATTGTGACGACAGATCTTGGCTCGCGGGGTATCGATACTGTGGCCGTGAGGCATGTCATTCTCTACGATGTACCTCACACGACGATTGACTTCATTCACCGCCTCGGCCGAACCGGTCGCATGGGCCGACGTGGGCGGGGAATTGTGCTTGTTGGCGCTGGCGACCGAGCCGACGTGGTTAAGGAGGTTAAAGATGCCATGTACCGCGGCGAGGCTTTGATCTAGAATTTCTTCATATTGTATATCCCTGTATAGGTATGTGTATGATATCCCCGCGTCGGTAAGGGCTGCATAGCGCATTGCATGGCGTTGGACATGGTATTTTTATCTATCCTCGTTTCTCAACCTTTTCCTCATCCTAGGATTTCCTGCATGTGCGCAATCAAGGGTGCTGAAACTGCTATCCCACATATTAGACATCCAGTCTTTGACCACCACAGAGGTGACACTCTGCGGGTGGTTGTGACTGAGGTGTTACTGAGGTGGGAGAGAGTAATGTTCGTACAACTCCGCGTAGTCTTCTGTAGCGCCGGCTTGCATGTCTGGCGTTGCATAGATTGATGGAGTAACATAATAGCGTACCAAGAAAGTCCAGCGGATCTATCTAAACTGCAGTGATGGCGCCCAGGAGGAGGGCCGTTCCGCCTGTAGGATTCGCTCGCAGTGGAGAACAGTAGATGGCAGTATGGTACTATGGTACGAACTCCCCACATGGTGGGACCTCGTATTCGCGATGCCGCCCAGATAGGGAAGATTGCAATCCTACACGCGATTTACGCGGCACAGGAGGCGTGGCTTACTCCCGCAAGTGGTCAAGTATATGAAGTGACGGATCTGCTCTTTTGTCGTCTGCGACTTTTCAACCTCTTCCTTCATCCTGTGTCTACAATAATGGCCGTCGTTGGGTTCATCATCGGCTTCTTGCGCTCGGCTTTGCGCTTCCCCGGATGCGCTTGTCGGCTTCATCACATAGATGCGCGCAGCGACTATTGGTTACCATTGGACATGACGGCCTGGCTGCGGCCCGGAGGACAGGACCAGAAAAGAGTTCATGATTGAGATTGCCTGTTCCATAGGACTGATGGAATCTCCATGACGTACCCCAAGAAAGTGACCATCACACAGTCTCTTATTCCTTTATGAGGAGATATATTTAGCCCCCTAAACCATACGAAATGCGCAGTGCCACTGTCTTCGATTGGCTGTTCCGACACGATGTGCAAAACGTTGCTTGGCAACCGTCGTTGGTTCCCCTTCTCAAACCCGCCTCCAGGCAGCCATCTTCACTCTCCCAAACGCCTCTTTCGACCATAGTCGGATATTTTCATATCTACATTGGACACTCTTCAGGGAAGCACTCTGTTTCATTTCTAGCAGTCATATCTCACAGTCTCGTTTCGTCCTGCACTAAAAGTCAGGCTGAAGCAGCGTCACCATGCCCAAGCGCTCCCACGGCTGCTTCGAGTGCAGGAAACGCAAGGTCCGCTGTGACGAGACAAAACCAGAATGCAATACATGCCTTCGACGCGGCACCAAATGCCCTGGCTACCGCCCAGCGCACGCCTTCGTCGTTCACACTTTTGATCGGAACCGGGGCAGAATAGACGTCAGAGAGGACGAGGACCGCTATAGATATGCCAACCGGAACCACCCATCAGACAACCAGGCCGTTGTCCAAGCCCGCCCCTCAGAATCAACGCCTGTCGATGGTCCCGTGCCGCGACCTGTCAATCAGGCCGCAATAGATCGAGTCCAGTTCCTAAGCAGCTTCCTAAGCCTATATCTCCCGAGCTGGAAGGGCGAGATCCTGACCCCTCCGGCAGCTATGATGTTCTACCTCCCAACTGTGCCTGCGTCGAGACAGGTCTTCTCCGCGGCCCTTGATGCAGTGTCCATGGCCCAGCTTGCCGTGGATAATAAGAATTACCCCTTGATATATCGCACCAGGTCCACGTATGGCACGGCTCTGAGCCACTTGATGAGAGCCATCAGTCACCCAGAACACTCGCTAACAGATGAGACGCTGTTGGCAACATATCTGCTTGGCCTGTACGAGGTGCGCCAGTTATCTCCGGGTAGTCAATTTCGTCCGCATATTGACCAGCTCAGGTATTCGTTGGCGTCACGGGGATGAGTGGTTTCTACTACCATGTGCAAGGCCTCCTCCATCTGCTCCGGTTGAGAGGACCGTCTGGTATCAAGACACCATTGGCATTGGATGTATTCCATGGTGTCCGGTACAACTGGGTACTTAGTGGCTTTGCCGGGAGCATGTGAGCCTCACTGACATAGCTGAACAGTTGTCCGTTGGATACCGCCTCCGTAGAGCCTCGATCCTAGACTCCCCTGAATGGCTCGCCGTGACCGCCAACGCTGCAAAAACCGACCCTTACGTAGCGCTGATAGACATTTGCATCGGCATCCCCCGCATCCTCGAACGAACAGACCAGCTCGCCAAATCCGCAGCTTCCGTTGAGGAATTTGACAAGCTCATCGACGATTCCCAGCAACTCGCCGACCGAGCGTTTGCCTGGTTCGCGAAATTCGAGAGCAACGGCCCGCTTTACACGAAAGTTCCCATCGACCAGATGGACGGCTTTCTCACATACTTCAATGATCATACCTACGACCCCGTCTACCACTTCAAGACCTTCGCCATCTTCACCACGCTCATCAACTACTGGATGGCCATGTCCATCCTCCGCTCCAACACCTTTGGCCTGGTGCGCCGATTCCGCCAACTCGCGCCAAAGCAACTACTCATGTGGGACCGCGAACTCTCCAGCTACGCAGACAACATCTGTCGCGCGGTTCCCTACGGTGTTCGACGGTCGGCCGGGTACTGTGGCCGCTTTGGGACCCTGACGCCGCTCGTTGTCGCGAGGAAGTACTATGAGGCGAAGAAGGCTGCCAAGGAGATGGCGTGGTGCGATAAGGTGTTTGTAGGAGCGCGCGTTCCGGGATTATACACGCCGCCTAGTTCGAAGGCGCATGGAACGACGAGTGACGGACAAGGGCAGAGTCGGCCGGGCGGGGCCGTTATGAAGGCGTAAGGTGTTGCATGAGTGGATGCATGTAGCCGATGAGGTCCCCTTGAAGAGGTTGTGTGATTGGAGAGAGACAACTTGCCCTATGGACTACGATCGGTGTGCGAGTCATGCCAGAGAACCCCGCCACCAAAGTTTGATTCTGGAAGGTCTCTTCAAACCCTTACAGATCCCTTTTGAGACGGATTGAAATCATTTCCGACGCGATTCGATTGGTACCCGTCACCTGGATGGACGTTGGGAGCGTTGGCAGAAGCAGTGTATATCGGCAACATGGAGTAACCCCACCTTTCTGCGATGTTGTCATTGAGCATGGCTTCCGAGAACTGAGTGCTCCCAACAGCGTATCAAGGTAAACGACTTCTACGCAGGACTCTTCTCTGAGGAGTATTTTGAGCGGACAAAACACGTCGGAACCGGTTTCATACCGAGTGGAGACATGGCCTCCAGGTCCCAAGCTCGGAATTCATGGTTATGCAACCTCCATGCAGCTTCACACCCCACCCCGCTTCTTCAGTAATTGATACACCAGAGCAAAGATTTAAGCGGGAAGCGTAGGTACAAACCGTCAAACGATCATTTTCGACATTTACTGTTACATCGCCGTGAGCCACGATAATCACCGTTGACCCTGCGTCTCTCGGACTGAAGTCATAGGATCCACTTGGTCCCTGATCTAGTGGGGTACCTCGGCACCAGCTACACTGACGGAGATTGCTGGTCGCAGCTTGCAACAACATACAAAGGTGATTTCCAATCAAAGAAATTTTGCACTGCACGAAAACTAACCGTCTCTTGAACAAGTTCCCTCAAACGTCCTCTTCGTCCAACTCGAGCTCCAAGCAACATCTCGCATCGCATACCACAAACACATCATGTCAGGACAGCAGACGCGTCAATGGATATTGGCCAACCCGCCAAAGGCCAACCCCGTCCTCGAAGGCGACAACGCTACCTTTAAGCTCGAGCAGAAGACTCTCCCCGCGCTCGGCTCGAACCAAGTCCTCGTCAAAGTCCTATACCTCTCCAACGACCCCGCACAAAGAGGGTGGATCCAAGACGGCGTTGACCCCAAGCGTCTCTACACAGAACCTGTGCTGAAGGGCGACGTCATGTGCGCATATGGCGTATGCGAGGTCGTGGAATCTACTGCAGACAGCATCAAAAAGGGACAGCTTGTGCTGGCAACAACAGGATGGACCGAGTACGCCGTGCTCAATGCCAGCGAGTGCCGGCCTGTGCAGCCTGATGAGAAGGCTGGAATCCGGCCTACGCACTTCATTGGCGCATTGGGAGGAACAGGCCTTACCGCATACTACGGCCTGGTAGACATTGCCGGCGCAAAACCCGAGGACACTGTTGTTGTATCAGGCGCTGCAGGCGCTACTGGCAGCATGGTCGTCCAGATTGCCAAGCATCTCGTCGGCTGCAAGAAGGTCATTGGTATCGCGGGAGGGGAGAAGAAGTGCAAGTGGGTAGAGAGCCTGGGCGCGGATATCTGCATCGATTACAAGGCGTCCGACTTTGAGTCTCAATTGAAGGCAGCGACCGAGGGCTTCGTCGAGGTCTACTTTGACAATGTCGGTGGTGAGATATTGGATCTCATGCTCACGCGTATGAAGCGGCATGGGCGCATCGCGGCGTGCGGCGCCATCTCGTCGTATAATGCTCCGGGCGAGGTGGGAATCAAGAACTGGTTCGAGGTTATTGCCAAGTAAGGTCCCCTTTCCAGTTAGTCATCGCGAGATTCGTTGTACTGACTTGTCCATCAGTCGCATCAACATCAAGGGCTTCATCCTCACGGATGCCATCGTCGCAGGCAAGACCGGCGAAATGATCAGCAAGCTCGTCCAAGGGGTTAAGGAGGGCAAGATCCAGCTGGGTCCGGAGGTGGAGACGGTGGTTCCGACGAAGTTTGAGGACGTGCCGAAGACGTGGATGGTGTTGTTTGAGGGTGGTAACCAGGGCAAGCTGGTGACTGCGCTCAAGCAGTAGGTGCGGTGGATGGAGGAAGAGTTGGCTTGATACCTGCATACGAGTGGACACGAACTGAATCACCGCAGCATGGAGTCCATATCCGACCACACGACTATCAAGTTAGATCATTTTCGAGAAACTTGCGCACAGACCACAACGACTACCCCGCCATCTTGCTGCCCCTCCATCCTCTCCATCACCCCGCCTTCCCCCTCTTCAACATCGGCAAGAGTCTTGGCACTCAACCTCCCCAGGCTCTCCCATCTCATCTGCCCTCCCTCTCCCCATTCCTCACTTCATCGGTTCAGTCACACTCCTTGTTCTCCCTCTCCACCGCCGCAATCTGCGTCCATATGCCGATATACAACCCTCACCATAGCAACCACTCCGTCTTATCGCAATTGATTGCACGCCAGATTGGGCGCGTGCGGGCCACGCTGCGGCTTGGCGATTCGACACGTGCAGTTAGTCGACATTTATTGCTTGCAGCATCCCGTGCCATCATGGACTCTATCAGAAGTTGTTTCAAAAGGGTCACCGCCACCACCTTCAGTGCCTTGTTACCACCGGTCCAATATGAGCGACCATAGCACGAGTGCTGGGCGTCATTTATCCGGTGCTCTATGACGAGTTTACCCGCCGCAAGTCCAAAGAAAAAATTGGCCGCCGCGGTGGAGCCCACCAAGAAACTTTCCGTTGCTATGGCCGTGATCCGCGAGCCGTGGCATCGTAGTAGTGGGAGAGGAATCGACTAGCACGGATACCCCACGCCATGGCGACGCTTGCAACCACTTGCCCTGTGGCAAAGGAGTTTCCATCCCTCCGTCTAGAAGACGCGGATAGGAAAAAAGCCGCATTTGCCTGTGCAAGGAACACAGAATGACCCGGATGCCAGACGCTACTCGGAGGTTCGGATAGCCTCCATGGCAGTTGAACTCCGTTACTTTTACACAGCACTCTGTACTTTCTCATGCAGACGCCGCCTCGAACTGATGCGGGAGGCGTTGAAAAGTTACCCAGTTCGTGGTAACTGTCCTCAAGCCATCGCCCAGCCTGCTGGACGGAAGCAAGGTCGATGCAATTGTAGAGGCAGACGACGAATCAGGGAGTTGATGGAAGGGTGAACCGACGGGATTCTGCCCGGCGTCAAACCGGAGCAATGGTTGAAGACGCAGGGTCGTTTATGTTCAACAAGGAGGCCAATCTGCACATAGACTGGCTCATTGATCAGACGGACTTCCCGTTGGCGGCCCTAGGGGATTCTCAGGTCCCAAGATCTGTGGAGCCCTGGCTAAAAGGGTAACTGTATTAATATCCCACTGCACCCCTCTGTTTCCTTGCCAACATCCCACATTCCCCTCCTCCTCTGTTCCTTTTTCTCTTCCTCCCAGATACCCCACCTTTACGATACCCTCGACCCTACCAATACCACAGCAACCATGACGTCTCCTCTCCTCACGCTGAACAATGGCCACAAGATGCCTCAGGTCGGTTTCGGCCTGTGGAAGGTGGACAACAACGTGTGCGCCGAGGTTGTCTACAATGCGATCAAGGCTGGCTACAGGCTGTTCGATGGAGCTTGCGGTATGTACAGCAACTTTTCAATCTCGTTCTCGAAAAACCGGAACCATGTCAGGGAGGGAGAATTCCCTGCAAGACTGCAGTGAAGTTCCTCCATCACCCCGCTACATCCGACTGCAGCACTCGGCCACCTCCATGGATCACAGCGGCATCTTGGACGCTCACGGCGTCTGCGGCTCTTTTACCCAGAGCTTGAAAAAAATGCAGTGTTTGTCCCGTTGGCTAAAATACTCTCTGCATTCCGGGCCTTTCAATGGGTCTAGCGGGGATGCCAATGAGGTCATCGGTTTCCGGCTCAGCTTTCCGTAACCCCGCCCTACAGGCGGATCCCTGTCGAATCGACCCCTCTTCGCACATATTCCCCGACTTCACACCACACACTCACACACACATTGGACTACAAGTCACTGACAAGAATCAACAGACTATGGCAACGAAGTTGAGGCCGGCCAGGGCGTCGCCCGCGCCATCAAGGAAGGTCTCGTCAAGCGCGAGGACCTCTTCATCGTCAGCAAGCTCTGGAACTCGTTCCACGAGCCGGAGCAGGTCGAGCCCATTCTGAGGAAGCAGCTCGCCGACTGGGGGCTCGACTACTTTGACCTGTACATTGTGCACTTCCCCGTCGCCATCAAATACGTCTCCCCCGAGACGCGCTACCCGCCCGGCTGGTTCGTCGACGACGCCGGCACCAAGGTCGAATATGCCAAGGCCTCGCTGCAGGACACGTGGAAGGCCATGGAGGCGGTGCACGCAAAGGGCCTGGCCAAGAGCATCGGTGTGTCCAACTACACGGGCGCTCTGCTGCTCGACCTCTTCACCTACGCCTCCGTCAAGCCCGCGACCCTCCAGATCGAGCACCACCCGTACCTCGTGCAGCCCAAGCTGCTCGAGCTGGCCAAGGACAACGGCATCGTCGTGACGGGCTACTCGTCCTTTGGCCCTCAGTCTTTCGTCGACGGTGACATGGACCTGGCCAAGAACATCTCGCCGCTCTTCGACCACGACGTCATCAACAGGATTGCGAACAAGCACGGCAAGACGACGGCGCAGGTGCTGCTGCGCTGGGCCACGCAGCGCGGGTTGGCCGTCATCCCCAAGTCCACGTCGGTGAAGCGGATGGAGCAGAACCTGGACGTCACGGCCTGGGATCTGAGCGAGGAGGAGATCCAGGAGATTTCGAGCTTGGATCAGAATCTCCGGTTCAATGCGCCTCTTAACGTATGTCATTCCCTTCCCAATGATCGTTGATGTGAACATGGCTGACCAATGATGTCTAGTGGGGTATCCCGATCCCTCTCTTCTCTTAGATTGACACAAGAGAATAGACGATGAAGTGATTTCCTCTCCCGCAATGCAGCATTGGGGGAAAGAGGATGGAGGATGAGGAGGGAGGAATGGCTACCTGATCGAAGAGGACGCCATGAAGATGCAACAAGACCGGACGGCCGGCATAATGGCACTTGCAAGGATAAATGACCATATATATATCAGATGAAGTAGGATAATGACCACCAACCCCAAACCAAAAGCGATCAAGCTCGCCAGGTAGTAAATGAAAATCCGACTACTTGGCTCTTCTCACATGCGCACCTACGTTGTGCTACATCATCCTTGCCATACCCACTATGTATACTCCCCTTAAATGTCCTCCCAAAATGAGCAGTTCAAGCCGTCAAGGGAAAAAAACACATATTGGCGACCTTGTAGATAAAGATTGTACAGCCCCTCTCCCTCCCCGTCCTCCCCGCAATCCGCATTTCCGATCATTCCGAGCAGCCACTCCGTACATTTTCCGAAGTTCCGAAGAGGGACACCCTCAGCCTCCCACCGAAACGAGAAAGAAAAAAAGACTTGTGAAAAGCGTCCTGTTCTACACCTGGCAGATTGAAGAGGGAAGGAAAAAATAGATTAGACTGATATGATATACTCAAAGATGTAAGAAGATACCATCAAATACCATAAACACAGTACAAGCCTCTATGTGCGTATTCCATCTGTATTCGCATATCCGAGAGTACTCTGGCTTTCCAACCTCCAAACAACTTTCCTGCAAATACCCAGCTAGCGAAAGCTCATTGGCAATGACGATACAATCCTACAAGTAAAATCTTCGCTCTACAACCTGATATGCCCAGACAGAGGCTCAACAAGCCAGTTGCAAGCATCTGTTACATGATTCACCACCGACTCTGTATCGTCAAAGACCCATCAGAGCCATGATAAGAGCCATGATACCTGGCACAACGCTCGTCCCACCCATCATAGGAAGGCTCGAAATGATTCAAAGTCGCCATGCCTTCGAACCGCACGGGCAGGTCAATGGTCGTGATACGTCGGTCCTCGGCACCTGTAGCTGACCGCGTTAAGCATCGATCCCCGCATCCCGTGTGTTCTTTGAAAGACTTACCTTCATCCCAGCACGTCTCCCTCACACAAAGCCGACCTGGAATATCATCCTCCCCGTCCCACCCCAGCAAATCCGGCGTCTGAACCACTTCATCCACCCTCTCCACTCTCCCCGCCTCACCCCCCGAGCAGCCGTCGTCCTTCCCATCCCTCCAGAACTTATAAGTCCTACACTCGGTCCCATTATTCAGAAACCGCGTATACGTCCTCACCCACCTCGTCCCACAACTCTCGCACTCGGCCGTGTGGACCCCCTCCGAATCCGAAAATACCCATTTCTCCACGTCGGTATAATGTTTTGCACCGTGGCCGGGGCATCGTTCGAACCCCTCGACCATCCCGCAGTGCATGCACATCTGGCGCATCGAACTGACCCACTCGTTGCGTCCCGTGTTTTGATCCGTGCGAACGATTTTGACGAGGCAGGCGACGTGCCAGGCGCAGAGGCGGGAGGGGAGAGGCAGGACTGCGCCTTCTTTATCGGGCCGGGGCAAACGAGGTGCGGATTTTGAGCTTGGGTCTCTTTGCGGGATGGATGGTGGAATGCAGAGAGGGCTGCTGCTGCTGTTGAACATGGACAGCGGGTAGATGGATTTGCACAGAATGCAGCGCATGCGTTGGGATTTGTCGGTTCGAGATTCCGGGGTCAGGGCGAGGAAGGTGCGGATGTTGAGGCGAGCACAGTCGGTGAGGTGGGGATCCTTGCGCGTATATCTCTGTTTGCCTCCACCCTTTCTCTTCTTGGTTGCCGGGGCGGTGTCATTGTCGTCATTGTCGGTCGGGCGAGGAATATAGCGATGGAGGGGGAAGACGGCGATGAAGCGGCTGTGTGTCAGGTTGAGGGCGAGGATGGCGTCAGGTGGGAGGTGCTCGCCTATGTAGAGAAGGAGTTCTGTGGGAAGGTCTAGGAATGGACTGCTCGCAGAGGGTTCAAGTTGGGTCGGTGGACTGGGGCCTGGTGTCAGTGGAGCATTGTTGGTGTCCTCGCTGGAGGGCGGAGCCTTTGGCCTGCTTGTGGTTCCGAGGGGCGGTCGAAGCAGTTTCACGGTGTCTTGTGAGCTGGGAATGTTGTCGCTCGTGTGTGGAAACGGATGAGGACTGTCACACTTGCAAAGTCTGCCACCTCCATCATTGCCTCCTGTTACTCCTTGACTTTGCCCGTCTGTGCTGGATCCTCTGAAAGCAGAGTCTGCATCAAGGCATGCAGCTGGCGCTTTCAACCCCTTACGATGTCCACTCTTTGATCTCTTCCGCGCCATATTCGATTGCTGTTGGACTTGAATATCGATGTCCATGGTTGATAAAGGGAGTAATAAATTTAAGAAGCTCTGAAGCGGACTCTATGAGGGTTCGAATCAATCCAGTCATAGAAAGATAGGAGAAGGTACGCTCAGGAAAGTGACTTTGAAAGGCACAGCTCAGAACCAGTCACCGGGATTCAAGTCGTAGCGCCGCATGGGCACTTTCTGCTGCAGGTGTACAAAGAAAAGAGACCAGGTCGGTGAAGGACTGAAAAGCTCAGAAGGGGAACGAGCCATGGTGGACCAGGCGGAGAGTACCTATGTAAACAAGAGTTGCTGCTGCGCCGTGTGGCACCCGAGACAGTGGTCAGTGGACGAACGGGATAATGCAACAGGCGCCGGCAGCCATGGCGATTGTTCTCCATGATGCGCAGGACCGTTTCAGAGTCTGGCTGAAAGTAGAATTACTGGTCCCGAATGCGTGCCTGTCGGTGGGTAGCCGTGATGGGGGCAGGCGCCTGCCGTTGGCAGCCGCGTGATGGGTGCTGTATGTGTGGAACTTGGAAAGGGCCATGAACGACACCAGTTTGAAGGAACACAGGCGGTTTGATGGGGACAGGGATAGGTTGGGATATGACGAGGTGATGCAGGTACGGATTGACCAAGGAAAGAGAAAGACTGTATATGGACTCTATAGGAGATATAGTAGAAGTGATACTTGTGCCTTGTTTTTCCGAACCATTTGCAATCCAAAAGAAGCGGATCCGTACAGACGGGTAAGAACAGCGCCTTTGTATACGCCTGAAGAATCCAGGCTTCCAAGGTTTCGCATGACAGGTGCCCATGACCCTGTCTGTAATTCCAGCAAGTGATGAGTAGACTAGTGATCTGGTTGTTCGGTTTGTGTGAGTGTAGAGGTGCGACGAGGTTGGCACAGCCTGATATGGGACTTGTAATGCCCAGAACAGCCGACCTCGGCAGCGTCTGTTCCCCAGCGACAGCAGGCAATTACACCGCAGCTTATTATTGCAGTAGAGCAATCCTTTTGACGTGACGTGCAGCCAGTTGGCGGCGAGGCTGTTCGCATCTGCCTTGCAGCGAGCAGGGCGCCCAACAACTTTGGAATGACGGTCCAGTGCATGGAGAAATAGATGCCATGTCAGCAGATGCAACTCGCTCGTTGGCAGACGCTCTGTCAAACAATTCCTTGCAAGCGCTCCAACCGCAGCGTGCATCTCCCCCCACCACCCGCCAACACCGACGGTTCACGCAAACCCCGTGGTCCCCATCTGGCACGAAAGCCGGTACGGTGGGTGCATCCGGGTGCAGCTCCATGTGCGATGATGCCAACTGCAGCCACGACCTTTCATGAACTGCGCCCAAACCAAACCACTGACGATGCCACTGTCGCTGCGACTTGGTGATTGGGGCGTACTTGGACGACCCCGCAATACGCCGTGAAGGTGGGTATGTAGAAGCCCCAGAGGGTGCAGAGGTTGATCACATTGGCAGGTTGCCGGCTGCATGGCGATGCCGGAGAGGACGGCGGAAGCGAGGTGCGTGTGTGCTAATGAGGCTTGGTGGTTGGTGATGATGCCTCTCCTAAGGCATGGCAGAGGTGCATGTGGGGGCACACGATGTCTCTTCAAGGCAGGAGACTCGACTCGCTCGAGCACCGCAGCCATTCTTCTTCTTCTTTCTGAGCATATTCCGGCCGGGATGCCGTAATCTGAGATGCAAACCGACACGGTGGGTGGAACAACAATAAAAATCAGAAGACGGACATGGGAGCACGGGGCAGCAAAGTAGATGCCCAACATACGTCCCATATATGTATGGAGGCTCTCCAGATTAGAGTTGCTTATATACGCATATACACAGTCCTGTGCATACAACTATACGAAGAAAGCAACAAAAAGAAAAAGCCTTGCATCCCCTCCGTCTTTGTCAGTGTCTCCGTGCCCAGCGTGGCTGTCTAGCCGCATCCAATGGTGAAGGGTACACTGTTGTGTTGGAGAGGTGTTGGGCAAGGACAAACCTCCTCTTCTCCCCTCTCCCGTCTACCCGGCGCCATCCTGTCAGGTTTATCTGATTGCGGAGCTGTGTTCGGCATGTCTCCTGCTGGACAGTTTCTCAGCCTCGAAGGCGCCTCCTTCGATCTTTTTACAGCACGACTCGCAGTCCTTGAAGAAAGGACCCTCCAACACCAACAACCTACAAAGCTCCAGCAGTGAGCCCGACGTGCAACGGGCAGCGGGCAGACTATGATGTCTTCATATAAATAATCAGAATTGCGTGCAGCGAGGAGCGCCGTGGGCCGCGGGCCGTGGCCATGGGGCCCGTGATGGGCGGAGATTGCCTAGGTGAGAGTGTCGTCCACTCTCGGCCTGGGCTAGCGTAATATTTGGACTTGGGCTCTCCCCTTTCGAACCAACCCACCCGCCGATCGATTCCGCACCCTTCTCCTTCTCCTGCTCCTGCTCCTCCTCTTCAAAACTCCACACCGTCTGCCTCGACTGCACTCGGTTTCCCAGCTTTGCCCTGCGCCCTGCACGGTAAACCTCGTCGCTCCTTTGGCTGTTCGCTCCTTCCCTCCCATATTCTCGGTAAGCCGAATCCGACCATCCTATCACCACCTCCCTTCTCGCCCGCTCCAGCGAAGGCGGCGTGACAAAATTCTTTTCTCCCCCACTCCCATTCCCCCAACCCTCGCTGTCGACTTCACACCATCCATCTTCATCCTATCATTCTCTGTCTCGACATTCTCCGCTGCACTATTCCTGCCAATTCTGACCCTGCGACCAGTTGCCTAGTCTGTGTTGCCGCCGTGCGCTTCCTCTCATCACCTTCATCGAACCCATCTCTTTCCATCGCACCGAGCCCTTCTCTCCCCCGATATGGCCTATTACAATGACCCCCAATGGCAAGTCCCCGGCCGCCAGGCTTCGTGGGAGCAGCCTCAACCTCCTTCGCGATCGGGTATGCATAAGGAATTGAGCATGCAGGTCGGCATGGGGAATAACTGTATTGCAGGCGCCAGTTCAACTGTGAACAACAGGGACGAGCCCATGGCTTTTGTATCCCAGTTTGAAGGTATGCAGAGCCTCGGAGCCCAGATGGGCATCACGATCAACCCTTGGGATGGCGTGCATGCCGCGAGCTGTGTCCGTAGCATGGAATGGGAGCTAATTCGAGCGTACAGAGATCGACCGCGCATACGAGAACATGGCCAAGAGCGGAAAGGGTTTTGGTTACCCCATGATGGGTCCTCGCCGTGAGTCCATGCCCATGATGGGTCTACGTCCTTACCTCGAGTATGGTGCGGGAGATGCATCCCCTTCCCATGCCTCTCAGCTGCTAACATGCCCAGATCCTCGCATGGGTCCCCAGCGCCACCACTCTCTGACCGATTACGACGGCATGCGCTCCCACTCGGCCTCCAACGTCCAGGGCTACTATCAGAACCAGCGATATATGCCGCGACCCAATGACGCCGACCAAATGGCTCAGGCGAAGCGTCGAATGGCTGCCCAGCGTGAGCGTGAGCTGCGCAACTACCACCAGGAGCAACAGTATCACAGAAGTAAGGATTCGGAGTCCGGGCAACAATAGAAGAAGGGTGGTGGTTAACTAGGGTAATGCAGATATTTCTGGTTCCAAGTCCGACCGCTCCATGAGTCCGAACACGATGAGTGAAGAGGAACGTCGAGAGCTCATTGCTCGCCAGCATCGTGCTCTCTATGGCGATCAGTCGGCTCTGTACAGTAGCAACAATCCCACCTCGAGCCAGGACGTTCGAGTCAACGCCTCTGGCGCCGGTCGTGGTTCCTCCCCTCTGGCCTTTGATCCTTTCGGTATGCAAGCTCAGAATGCCTCCAAGGAAAGTGCGGTCCAGATGCCTGCAAGGGACAAGGATGTCACCGGAGGCGCTCAGGATATGCGCGGCAACAGCAATCCCTCCCCCTCCGCCACCCAGAACCCTAGCTTCAGCCTGTTTGACAACTCTCAGCAGGCTAGCCGCACCTCCAACTCGTCTCCTGGCGGCTCCCCTCCTCTCCAAGGCAACAAGGGTCCCAATTCCGGCGTCGCCCCCATCGGCACCCGCCCTACGGCCAACCAAGGCCAGCCGGCCGGTGCGCCTCTGAGCAAGCGTGCGACTACCCCGCTCCCCTCTCCGCTTAGCTATTCCTATAATGCCAGCGACCAGAACAACAACGTCCCCAACTCGACCTCTGGCTCGCTGAACCCTTCGTCCACCGTCACGGACAAGGGCCCCATCTGGGGCAACAAATCTGGTGTCTGGGGAAACACTCCTTCTCAGGGCGTGCAGGCCTCCGTTTGGGGTTAGGAAGACCCAATCTTCTCTTGATGTATGAAGCACGTCCGGCGTTTCTGCATTTCAGGTGTATCGGGATTTCACTGTCGGGTCTTTGAAATCGGGTGGAGCGGGCTATGGCGGGTCGGTGAAAATGATTCTGGGTTCCAGTTTTATCCTCACGGCGTGGTTTGTCGCTTTGGGTTCGGACTGTCCACGGAATGCGTTGCTCTCACGTACGACTGGAGTTCTCTATACCTTTTGCGCCTTGGACCACTGCATTCATTCTTGCGGACTGCGGCACGCACATGGGGTTAGGCTTGGCTTCTCTTCGCTACCGGAGGATTGTTAAGGAGTTTTTGCGTTTTGGGTTTTTTGCTCTGCTCGTGTCGAGGTTTGGTTCCGGGGAGGTTTTGGTTGCGGTTCTCCGGCATTTAAAGACGGTGTAGGGGACTAGTTTTGGCATCTCTGTCATTTTGGCGCTCATTGCTATTACGTATGGGGATACCTTGGCAGAAAACGGGCTTATAGTATGGGGCTTAATGGGAAAAAGTGGTTTCTTGGTGCGATGTAGGTTTTCCGAAGTCGTCACGGTGCTCTACTGCAGGTCCTCTTACTGCCTCTTTTCACGTCCGACTAAACACTGCGCTGCGCTTCCTCTGCAGGTTGCATTAGCTGTTGAGCACAAGCTCATTGCCAGCAATTTGTCCTGTTCAGGTTTCTAACGGCTAGGGTTCTAATAACTGTTGTCCCTGAATAGAGGCGCTTATAAAGCCTATTGCAAGGGCTGTTGAGTCTATTTATTTATCTCTGCTAGCTGCTTTATTAGACATCGAGGTTTGTAGTAGAGAAAGTGCAGGGGGCCGCTCAATCGGGCGTGGAGGGTGTACCTAGGTAGTAGAAGAACACGTCACGTGACAATATCCCTGATATCTTGGCACCAGACAAGCCGCTTCGCGCTAAGTCCAATGGCGGACCCCAAACCCCAGCTCCCGTTTCTAGAATTGTGTCCTCTCCTCGACATCACAGTAACTTGTTCCCCGGACTCTCCTACAGTCCTCACGCCGCTTCTGCTCCCTTTATTCTCTGTCAGCTCTCCGCGTAGTCCTCCTGTTACGTCGGAACTTCAGCGCACACCATGGTATGTCATCCCTATCCCAATCGTCACTGTTCAGGACACATGTACCCTTCATCCGCTGGCGACGGAATTGCAAAGAGATATTGGCTCGCTGGCGTTGTAGGACCACCATTGAGACCGACACAGATTGCCTATTGCCTTTGGAACTTGAGCTCTCACATCTCTCGGCGCGCTCCTTCAACTTTATCTTCGGATTCGCTCCGTCTCCCGTGTGCGCACTGCTAACACCCTCACGTAGTCTTCCCCTCGCGCACAATCGCCCTCGGGCAATGCAGGATCCGGCTCCACGACCGCTCGCCCCTCGTCCCCTAAGCCCCCGGGCGGCCCTGCGACCGTGATGCGGAGAAAGGCAGCTGCCGACCGTGCAGAGAAGTCGGCGAACCAGAGGCCAAGCAGCACGCGCGCTGCTGGTGCGGGCGGCAGCTCCAGCACGATGTTGCGTAAGTGGATATCTCATTGGAGGATTTGCAATGGGTCTTTGAGGCTGTAAAGAGCTTGGGAAGGGGAAGAGACGTTCGGTGCGGTTGGGACTACTGAAGAGGAAGCTTTAGGGCCATACGCTTAGAGCAGGTCCGGTTCTACTGCGTCGAGGGCCGTCCTGGCTGCCATGTTTTTATGACGTGAATATATGAGAGAAAGGATGTCGACTGACTGGAACTCGTTAGGCCTCTACACGGATGAATCCCCGGGGCTGAAGGTCGACCCCGTCGTCGTCATGACTCTCTCCGTTGTTTTCATCTTCAGCGTTGTTGCTCTGCACGGTGAGTAGCTTCCATTCGCTACGTACTCTTGACAAATACTCATCCTCATCCAGTTATTGCCAAGGTCATGCGTCGTTTCTCAGCATAGACAATTTCCACCCTTCTCCTATCTGTTTTTCCGACTCCGCCGTTTGCAGAAGCGCAAGGCAGCAGCAGCATTCTGAGCGGGGTTTCGAGTTCCTGTGCCCATGCCCAATGGCGTGGGAGATTGCATGAGGGGGCATCAACAACACCGGAAAGGTCTTGCAGGATTGAAGGCAAGATCGTTATAGGGCATTTTTCCGAAGCGAGGATGCGGTGTGACGGGAGGGTACCTCGACGTGTATTATAATCTGCAATTGAATTGGCGTGGAGTTTGCGTTCATTTCGTCGTCTCCGTATCCCGCTCCGCATCCAATGATTATCTTGCTATCTTGCCGTTCTCCTGTTACGCTTTGGCGCCTCCTGCAGGCTGGCTACTCGGAATGAGGTCGACGAGATAGCATAGCAATGGATCTTTTGAACCCAATTCCATGTGTGCGATGGGCGGCTATGGTACCACAACCATGTCCATAGGGTAGCAACGTCCCACACAACCACGACCCTTATCCATTAACGCAGACGTCACAAGATACAGGTATTTCGCCCTCTACCCCAGCTGCTCATCCAACGCAACATTCCCTACCTACAGCCTTCCACCCCTCTACTAAACATGTACGAGCCCAGCAGTATATCTTTTGTTTTTGGTTTTGTTGGGTAAGGGAGGAGGAGGAGGAGGAGGAGGAGGAAAGCAGTCTAAGAGTTTCTGAGAGGGAAAAAGGCTGGGTGTGTGTGTGCTTCGTACAAAGGACAACCCACCCAAGAACATACCGATGAAAGTGGGCTCAGAGTTTTGTGAATTGGGGGTCTGGCGAGAAAATCGGATACACAGCGATGCTGGGCTCCAGCCGTGGGGGCCGTGAAGGGAGGGGGACGTTTCGGCCATGAGGCGACGAGGAATGTTTGATCTTGGTTGAAGGTACAGGTGTAGGACCGCATGAGGTTCTGGGGGCAGCTATCGACGGGGTTTTTGGGTGTAGCTGTGTGCTCGTGGAGAGTCTGTGTATTTACATATATATATATAACAGTCGGTGGATCTGCGTCAGGCGTCAGATATCCTACACTCTGGAACCATCCACGCCATGAGGATTTCCCCTGTTCCGTGGAGAGTGACGGTGAAGGCGAGGCAGGAGGGTGGACGGTAAGTTTCGCTGTTTCTCTGTTATTGAGAAGGTCACGTTCGTTTTCACGATTTTGCTCTTGGCGAGGGAGGAGAGAGGAGAGAGGAGAGAGGAGAGTAGACGGTAGGTTCGCTGTTCTTGAGAAGCCCATGTTTTAACGACGTCAGTCATCATATCATAGTCAGATACCAGAGGATGATGATACCCAAGAAGTTGGGATTTCACAGTGGAGACGGAAGAACACTGCCACTCTCTAGAATCTCGCGCTTTCATTTCGTGGATGCTGTGACGCGTTCGAGGATGCACATAAACGGCTGCCCCGGCGTCCGAGTTTGATACATACATAGAAGGCGTCCTGTTGCATGTCACATGACAATAGAGAAGTCTCTCATCCTATAGATGTTGGGACGATAATAGGTCAGAATAAGGTTTTGCCGCTAATGACGTCGCGCGTTTGGTGCGGCCGGCTGGTGAAGGGGAAGGGGAAGGTGAACGACAACGGGAGGGCGCGAGACAAAGACGCCTCAACCGCGTTCTTTTGAACCGTGAAGCTTGAGCCGTCAGCGAGGGATCGACATGAATCGATATAGTCAAAGATGGCGTGAAGGATACTACAACAACATATCCGCGAACCGATCCTATAAACGTCGACTGAACGACAAACCAACGTAAAGACTTTGCCAAACCACTCCGCATACATACTACACCCGTCCAATCAACACCCACCATCAAAGCTCCACGACAATCTTATCAAAACTAAGCCCCCTCCCGACCCGATCCACCCCCTCCTGCACCCTCTCCAACCCGCCCTTCAAAACCGTCGGATCGGGCTTTGCCTTGAACAGCCCCACCTCCAACGCCTCGGGGATATACTTCCCCCAAACCGCCTCACCCACATAGCGATCCCTGGACGCGACCTCGGGCGCCAACACAGCCGCGCCCTGGATCCCCTCTGGGAAATTCCGCGTCTCGGCCAGCACCGAAGCGTACCTGCCGCCCAGGGCCTCGTACACGGGTCGCCACGCCTCGACGGCCTCGGGCGTGCCGATGCAGTCTGCGATGCCGACGAAGTCGGTCCCCTCGAGCGAGGCGATGATGTCGCGCGTGACGGTGGGGGATTTGTAGTCGTAGACCTCGGCGGCGCCGAGCTGGTGCAGCTCCGCCTTGTTGTGCGGGCTGCAGACGGTGACGACGAGGAGGCCGGCCGCGGTGGCGAGTTGGATGGCCGAGGCGCCGACGGACGAGGAGCCGCCCCAGATGAGGATCGTCTTGTCGATGGGTTTGGGCGTGAAGTGCGGGAGGGGGAGATTCAGGGTTTCCTTCTTGAAGAGGAGCTCGGCGGCCGTCGAGATGCTTAGGGGCAGGACGGCGGCAGAGGTGTAGGGGAGCGAGGGCGGGATGCGCGCCACGACGAGCTCGTTGCAGACCGTGTAGTGCTGGAAGCCGCCGTCTTGGGGTCGGTTGGTCACTAGGGAGAAGGCGTGTCTGGGAGGTCGTCATCAGTCATTTTGTCGTACGAAAAGGGATGAAAGGTCATAGAAGTGAATGCAGTTAAAAGGCATACCCCATCACCCTGTCGCCCTTCTTCACATGTCTCACCCCCTCGCCCACTGCATGGACCTCACCAGCGACATCCGCCCCCAAAACATTGGGGTACTGCTTCAAAAATATGCCTGCGCGCCTCAGTCCTGATCTGCCATCTCTCAGAGCGCATGGTCGTACCCCAGTTCTGAACCTTCCATTCCACAGGATTCACAGCGACTGCATGGTTCTTGACTACCACCTCACCGGGGCCCGGCTGCGGGATCGGCGCCTCCTCAATCTTGAAAGGTGTATTAGGTTCGTAGATGAATGCTGCGCGGTTCGGGCTCATGTTGCTGATGGATCATGGTAGTAGCAATGAGCTTGAAGCGTACTGGTGGTCATCTTTCTCGAGCTTGGATTTATCGATAAGTCAGCGATTGAGCTTTGCTATATAGTCACCTGTTGCCCGGATCTAACGTCATAACCTCATGAGAGAACATGAGCTAGAGACGGGTGCGGTGCGGTCTGGATTGCGCTCGATTAGCGCCGTCTTTGTCGGGCCGATGCGTCCATATGGAATTGCGACCACCTCAAACCACTGCCTCTTTGAATTGCCAGCAAGAGATAAATAAACCAAGGGGATTGACATGAAACCATACTAGACTCGCGATATCAGCTTTCCTGGATAATATTGTACATATATCTACAACCTCTTTGATCCACGAAATCTTACAAAGCTGATCACCGCTCTGCGAGCATGTTCCGAATCGCATGCCAATACGGCTTCTCGACGGCCTTCTGCACCTCCTCCTTCGCCAGCCACTGGAAGTCCGAAAGTCCAAGGCCGTTATTCTTCAGATCGGCCTGACCGGCCATGATGCGCGCCTTCATGAAGAAGGTCTTGAACCCGAGCTCATTGGGGTTTGGAGAAGACGAGCGAACCTGCTCAGGGTAATCATGTATGTAATGGCCGATGGGCTGATTCCCAACGACCCAGGTGTTCATATTCACACCACCAGCCTTGGTCAAGATGCGCTCGGCCGCCTTCCGAAGGTTAGCCATGTCCGTGTTTGAATGGTGGTTGAAAGTAGGAACATACCATATGAAGGTTCTCCCTACCCTGCATCTTGTCCTGCGGAAACATCCATTGCCCGTCCCTATTCTTGACCAGCAAATAGAGCGTCCGCGGCAACGCCCGATTCAGACTCTTGACATCCCCTTTTATATCTGCCTCCGTAACCCTCGGCATGGGCCTCTCAACAGGGTCGTGCTTGACCGTCTTCCCGCCAGCCATAGCCGCACTCGTGTCCTCCTCGCCATTCTCGCCTTCCTTCCCTTCCTCTCCGCTCTGCTCCGCATCCTCTAGCAAGCGCTCCACCTGATGCTGAAGCTCGCTTTCCGGCGCTCCGACAAGGAGTTCGTCGTTCCATGCCTCCTCGCCGTAGCCCTTGTACCGTCCAATATCTCGCGCAGGTGTGAGCCGCTGCTTTATCTTCCGCTTCCATTCCAGATCTGCAGGTGTCTTCTTCTTGAAGTAAAAGTAGCGAGTGAAGGGAAGAGCTAGTCGCTCGTTGAGACGGCGTTGGTAGAGGAAGAAGGCGGCCTCGAAGGGGTGCAGGTCGCGCGTTAATACCGGCGGTCGCGAGAGTACGACGCCGGCGTTGACGGCGTAAGACAGCGCTTGGGATGGAGTAGCCACGGGAGGAATGTGTTGAGCGGTCGCGTCCTCGGTCTGGACGGCTGCGGCGGCTGTCGCATATGTCTTGCTGGAGTCTCTACATGAGCGACATATTGAGCGGCCTGCGCAGGTCAGATCAACCCATTGGAGCGTCGCCGCATTACATACCAGCCTTTGAGGCTATTCTCCTCGTTGTCTGCTGCCCGGCGTTCATATTGACACCCCCCACAACGCGTCGTAGTCGTGATACTCCAGCTCTCTCCGTCTCGAACTTTTTCGGAGTCGTGAGTGCAAGCGGTTAGCGTGACCACGTGAGAAGCACTGACCACCTTCGAAAGATTTCTGACGGAACTCGCCAGTGATGTTCTTCCTCTCTTCACGGCATCTCTCCTTATCCCCAGTATTGCTCGTTTGCAGTGAGATATTGGTCATTTAACGGTGCCTAGAGGGAGTATGGGGAGTCTTTTCGCTAGCGGTACCTTCGTAACGATTCCAAGGTGTACGGCTAGATAGATCTTACCCACATTTACGACGATATGCACGAAGTTCAGGGCTCATCATGCTCATCAATTCGATTGACTGCTCCATCGCTGTTCCTACCTCATAACACAGCTACACTACTCTGGTTCTAATCATCGTTATCCCAATTGCCCTGTTGTGCCTTGCCTGGCATCTTGGGGCCACCAGCCTGCCTCGCCACGATGATTTGATCTACGCTAAGCACCGTCCTCGCCGCCTCCGTCGCCAGCTTGATCGCCCAGCTCTTCGTTACCCACAAGTCCAAAATACCGTTCTTCTTCGCATCCAAAATGCCAGTGTCATCGTTATTCTCGATATCCACACCAACAGTCCACTCATCGTCTTTCCGGCCTTTCTGTGCCGCATGTGCTGTGTATAGTCTGCTGAGGACTTCAGTCGCATCGAGACCGGCGCTCTCAGCCAATGTCCTGGGAATGACTTCGAAGGCCTCACCATACTTCCTGATGGAGTATTGCGAGAGGCCTGGCGTCTTATCCGCGATTGTGGTAATGCGCTCAATGAGCTGCATTTCCGTGGCACCAGCACCTGGGACAAGGCGGGGATCGCGTGTAATCGCCTTGACAACATTGACGCCGTCGTCGATGGCGCGTTCCACATCGTCGAGATGGTTCTGAGTGGCGCCGCGGAGAACAAGGGTCGCTGTCCGGGTCTGCTCGTTCTCCTGCCTGAAGACCGTGACGCGATCGCCGCCAATCTCAAGCGTCTCGACTACGTCAATGGTGCCCATCTCGTCAGGCATGGGAGCGCCCAGCCGAGCAAGCGGAGTAGCGCCAACCACTCTACAGAGACGGCGAAGTTCGAATTTGGAGAGGACTTTGATGACGAGTATGTTGTAGCGGTTGAGGTAGTGCATGGCGAGTTCGCCAACCGTCGAGCCGGCGACGATGACGCGGAGGCCGGAATCGTGGAGCTCCTTGATGATATTTTCAATCTGGTGCTCCTCGCCCTTGGTAAAGTCCAGCATCTCCTTTGCATTGTGCAGAAGCACGGTGCCCTTCGTCTCCGTCTGCGAGATGTCGACAGGACACGAGAATACCGCGACCTTCGCTTTGTGTGCCTTCTTAACAGTGCCCTCCGGTTCGCGTGCAAACACCATGCCCTTTACAACCTTGCTCTGCTCCAGACTACCGCCCATGATCTTCACCACCCGAATGTTGTCCACATTAAAGTTTACCGGGTTTTTGGGAAGGACGGCAAGGACGCCTTCTGCGACGAGATTGGCGAGGAAGTCTTCGCTGCCGGACTGTTTGGCGGCCACTACAGTCCTGATGGCTTTGCTGAGCTCCTCCTGTGACCTGATATCGTGTACCTTGTCGCAAACCAACTCTGGAGTTCGATTAACTGCTGTCCGGCCAATGTCTGCAGAGTGTACGAACCTTCCAAAGCTTTCAGCGCAGCATCTTGCGCCTTCTCGTAGCCCAGAACAATATCACTGGTCTTCAGGCCCATTCTCAGCAGCTCCTCCGCCTTCTTGAGCAACTCCCCCGCCAGCACGATGACCATGTTCGTCGCATCTCCCATTTCCGCCTCCTGCTGCTGGCTTGCCATGACCAGAAGCTTCGCCGCCGGGTGGACGACTTCGAGCTCTCGCAATATTGTTGCCGCATCTGAAGTCAGGATCATTTTCTGGAGGTGGTTTACGACAATCTTGTTCCGGCCATAAGGTCCCAAGGAGGTCTGAACGGTCTGGGCGATTGTGCGGCAGGCATCGATGTTGCGGAGAACGGCTCCATCTTCGGCGTCGTAGCTATGGCACTGGTTAGTATACCGGTATCGAGACTAGTTGTGCTCCGGAGAAGAGGTCGAGGGATTCTTACTTCTGGTAGCCTTTCTTGAAGAGCCCGGCATTCGGGGCATTCGGTATCGTGAGAGACATTTTGCGGGGAGGGGTATACTGGTTGCTGGGGAGCTTGCTGCGCGGGACGCGTTCGAAAAATGGGTAGGGGTCCGGAGGCTGGAAAAAGGGTTAATCCGACGAGGTGAATGCTATCCCCAACATGTGAAAGTCTTGAGACCAGAGACTTTAATACCTAGAAGCACTGCCTATTTCTACGCCTGGTTAGACATTACGGTACCCTCCTCTATCGGTCGTCTTACCTCCTGAGCGCAAGGAAATTGCCCGCGATCTGTGTAGGTTAGTAGAAACATAGTGTTTAAGGAGTGTTATCTCTAGACGGAGGCGCCATGAAGCCCATTGCCAGGACGTTTGTATCCGTGCAATCAACTCCTAGCTGCCTGATTAATCCTAAAAGCCTGCAGTACAGAAGAGGTGTGGGAGATGTTCAGTCGTACATGGGACGAGGCAGTACATGAACTCTTTCTATGTCGTACTTCTACAGCGACAGTAAAATGATACTTTGACATGAGACGGCGGAACACGAACCCACTTTGCGGCTCTATATCGCTACTAATGATGTACAAATAAGTTCCTAACCGGTCTGGCAACGGGTATCAATCTGCTTTTCCTTTCTTGTCCGTGCTCTTGTTCTCAATTATAATACCGACGGCTCCGCATCGAGTGGTGGGAGCATTTAGTTCTAACCCCCAACCACCATGGTCGAGATACTTCATCCAAGCCTATCCAAGAGCTTCCTCTTCCTCCTATCAATCAATTCCGCCTCCACCTCTTCCAGCGTCGGCAAACGCCACCCAATCCCATCGCCCTTATCCCCCGGAATCTCCACCCACTCCTCCTTCTCCTTCTGCGTCTTCTTCTCCACCACACCCTCCCCACCCCCAAGCCCATCCCCACCCTCCACCTCATCCCCAACCTGTAGCCAATTATCCCACGCCTCCTTCTCCCTCGCCCTCTCATACGCCAACAACGTGCCGTCCTCCTCATCCAAATTATACCCATAATACGCCGCATCGACCCTCTGCCTTAGCTCCGCCCTCCTCTCCCCCTTCTCCTTATCCCCGCCCTCCTCCTGTCCCTCCGACCGCATCTGCCTCTCAAACAACTCCTTCACCCCCGGCAACTCCCTCGCGCGGCCAAAATACCGATACCCCTTCCCACCCCCAGGAACCTCCCTCCCGTCCTCATCCAGCACCCTCCCGCCACGCATATAATTCGGCCCGCCGAGACTCCGTATCTGGTGCTCCCACATGTGTTTCTCGCGCATCAGCTTGTTGATCTCGTCGTTGAGGTCGCGGATCTGGTAGTCGGACAGCGCGGGGTCCTGGATCTTGGTCACCTTGCGCGAGATCTCTCGGAGCACTTGGGAGCGCCATTTTTCGGCTACGGGGATCGAGGTTATGGTTGTGATGAGTTTGGGGCGGCGGGTCCGTGAGATGTCGATGATGCCGGCTTCGGCGGCTTGGGCGGCGCGGAAGCGGAAGAGCATCGAGTGCGCTTTTTCGGAGTTGCGGGCCATGGTGGAGGATGTGGTTGAAGAGGCGGTGGGAGTGTGAGACGGAGAGGTCGGGGGTTAGCAAAGATGGAATTAGGGAAATCGTTGGTGATGGCTCGTCTTCTTGCGCGGAGCTGGGATTCAGGTGAAGGAATGGTGTTGCAGGGTATCAGTCGTCTCAGGAACGCGGCGATTAGTATGAGGAAGTCGCAATGTCGTGTTCAAGTAGTTCTGCGGAAGGTCAAGTGACCAGCAGCTCTTCGTCACTCTTCCAAATGTCTTGTCAATCGCTGTATTTCAATAAGACGCAGGAAAGGGTTCGAGATGTGGTAGATTGAAGAGTTCGGAGAGAGGAAGAAAATAAACCAGGGTTTCGTTTGTTTGACGCGTTCAGCAGTTTCAAGCAACATGAAGGGTGTAGGCGGTGAGGAGCGGCAGAACGTTTTCCTTGGCAATCTGGGGAAGAACCACTAACGTCCAAATAGGTTTAGCGCTTGGGAAAGGACATAACAACTATGATTGCAATAAGAAGGGCAAAGAGATAACTGAGAAGTAGTATAAGTGAATTCCACGGTTGACAATCCGTGGTTGCGGCCTAGCCACCACCCGGTCATACCAATATCTCTCATCGAAATGCGTGTGGGCGGCGAACACGGCCAGATATACCTAGGTACAAGGCAATACGGTGATAAAGGCAGGCACAGGCAATCACTAGCTAAATTGCATTACACCACCTGATGAGCACCTTGAGTACCTGGGGACGGACTAACTGACTACTACTACCACCGCCAACCATCTCGCATTTATTAGCTTACACTAGCAAATAGTTTCTTTTTGCGGAAACGCACAAGAGAGAGAGAACGACTAGACTATGCCCGATTGCAAACTCCCAAAACAGCAAAAGGAAGACATTAAAGGAGAAATGGAAATGGAAAGGCCGTGCAGCCGCAGTCGCAGTCCGCTCAATCTATATCCCACGGGAGTCGAGTCGCAGGCTGATGCTTCAAAAACAGACAAAAGAGATGATGTAGTGAGCAGGAACATGACACTAGCTTAATAAAGATAAAGGGCGGAGGAGTCCAGATCACCATGACCTATGGCAGAAGGAAAGAAACTGATGTACAAGACGAGCATCCTGCAGCTTCAATCTAGCCAAATACGTGCGCATCTCGCTCATTCGTTGGGGCCCCGTGACTCAGTCCGTGACTGTGAACGCGAGCTGACAGATCCGGCAACGGACGCTCGAGTGCCTCGGAAACTGCTGTGTCGGTGTTTCGGAGTGGGAGTGTGAAGGTGACCAACGTCATGTTTGCCTAAACGAGATCTTAGCAAGTGTAAGCTGGAAAAAAAGACGAGATAACTGACCATCGCAACAGGCCCTGACATTCTCCATTCCAGGTATGTGCTCCCTGTCGCGAACACTCTTGGTTGCCAACTCTTGCGTAAGTTCATAGTTGGGATCATTCTCGGGCGTCTCATATGCCACAGCCTCTTGTGCACCCGTCCTGCTCCGCCGGCTGGTGAAAGAGTTGCGGAGCGTGGATCCAGGCCTGAAGTAGCCACTGAGGCTGCTCAGGCGGCCAGACTCTTGAGGAGGCTCCGTAGACGCGGGACGTCTGTGAGGAGTCGTCGACTGTCGCAGGGTGGGCACTTCGCCCGGGTGAGGAGAAGCGGTCTGACGGCTGAAGTACGAGGATGTTCGCGACCTATTCGTAAGCCTTGACAAACTACGATAGGTGGGATTGAATTCATCTTGTATCTCGTCCACACTTTCCTTCTGCTCTTCTTGGCTCTCCACAGTTCCGCTCTCTGTGCGCTGGAGCAGGTAGGAAAGTGCGTTATACCAGGTGTCATGTCGCTGACCAGTAGTGGCAGTGAACTTGATACACCGGCCTGGTGTGACGATAATCAAACTCTTGTGATGGAGGCCTGGGGGATAGGGATTGTCGTCTGGAACAACCCGAACCGCCTCAATAGGCACACTCTTGGCCTTCATTTCGTTACGGCTTCCGGTTGCGGGATCATGGTCGCTCCAGTACAATGTGCGAGTGTAAGGATGAACCCAGAAGAATCGGCGGTGGCGGTTCTCGGACAGTTCACCACGCCCAGTTCTCCTGGTGTACTTCCAGAGGAACTCGCCGATCATAGTCTGTGTGACAGCTTGAATCATGCGTGGATCGGTATTACTTGCATCGAAGCCACTCTGGGAAAACGGGTCTGATATGCCCTGGAAACGACGATCTATCTCCGAACCGAAGGACGACACCGATGACCGGCGCGTCATTGGCGATGAAGCTCCACTTCTTCCCACGTCGCTACGAGGGGCCTGATTACGAGGACGAGGAGTGGTACCTCCCGTCTTCGTATTTATCAGGCCAGACGTCTTGACCGTTGGCGTCTGGGGCCGTTTCTTATATGCCGAAGCTGGCATGATTGGCGGTCCCATATCCCCAGGCGGAGCGGATACGACAGAGGGTGCCTTTTTAAGAGCAGCTGCGGCAATCACTTCCCTGTGGTCAGCAGGGAGTGGAGGAGGCGGCTCGGTGCGAGAACGTATGCTGCTGGAACTACCATGACGTCTAGGAACCTTAGAATCACTCATTCTACGCGGTGATGTTGGTGGCGACATGGCTCTCTCGGTATTGTTCGTCGCAACATTATTTGGGTACCGTTGTGCACTTCGAGCTGCAAGCAGTTTATCAATCTGATCCGCCGATACCATGGTCTGCGTTCCCTCGTCAACAGTGGGCGCCCGCGGATTCGCCGGTGCCGGTGACGGGACCTGGGGTTGGCTTTCGACTGTGGAGATTGGCGCCGGAGAATGGGACGTTTCGTGTTCGCCCGCAGCGGAAGGATCATTTGTGCTCCAAGAAAGAACGGCGGAGCTGAAGAACCCAAGTTTTGCACTAGCAGGTTTGTCGGTTGTAGACTCCGAGGAACTGTCTGTCGGAACAGACACAGCACGATGAGCTGTCGCAGGTCTCGAAGGTGTGAGAGGCTCAGTTTCTTGAGAATTGACAGATGAGAGAGATAAATCAAGACGAGGCACTCGTTTAGCGGTGGAGGGCCTGCTTGGACTGGGAAGAAAGCTGGGAAGCGTGGGTGACTCGGGCTGGACATCGTGAAGCACGTCGACGGGAGATAACCCGTTCTCGTATTTCGCCGCAGGGGCGGCAACAGGCACTGTTTGTTGCGCTGTGATCTCTGAAAACTGCGGTAAGGCTTGTCTGTGAATGTCAACAGGCTCGGTGGCTTGGAATGAATGTGCGGACAGCTGTAAAGGCGGGGGTGTGGGCGGCTCGACAGGTGAAGTGTCATGTGATGATATCACTGATATCCCAAGTGGGCAAGATTTGGTTTCGACAGGTGGAGTGTCCTGCGAAGAAAACACGGATATCCCAAGTGGGCGAGGTTTGGCTTCGACAGGTAAAGTGCCTTGCGAAGATAACACGGATATTCCGAGTGGTTGAGCTCTGGGCTCCACAGGTTCAGTAGCCTGAGCCGAGAGTATTGGAGTCTGCGAGAACACAGGCTTCCGTGGCTCGATGGGCTCCGTTGCCTGTGTTGACACCACAGAGAGTTGTGGCTTCGGCAAGGATGGCACGACAGGTTGCGTGCTTTGACTTGAAATGGCTGAGTTCTGCAACGGCACTGGTGCTGGCTCCTTGGGGAGTGATGGCTCGATAGGCGGAGTGCTCTGACTTGAAACGGTCGACATCTGCAATGGTACAGGCGCCGGTTGCTTCTCCACTTCCTTTTCACTGCCAGGCAGTGGCACCGGCAGAGGAAGCACTTCGGCCAACGTGGGCTCCAAGGGCTCAGTCGCCTGGTGCGAAATTGGAGATAAGTCGAGAGCCGGCACGATCTGGTCTGTTGTAACTGAGGAAATGGGATCCGTCGTTTGCGCTGTTAGTCCGGATAGATTGAACGAAGGAGGTGGAGCAAGTCGGGGCACGGTGTCTTGAGAAATATGTGCAGACATGAGCAAGGGCGCTCGTCGAGGTGCCTGTGGCTCGGTTTCTTGGGCGAAATGGCTGGAAAGATGGAGTAATGGGGACGGCACAACTATGGGCTCAGTAGCCTGCACCACCAAGGAGGACGGTCCCAGTAGAGGGGGAGATGCAGGTAGCGGCGTAGTAGCTTGCGTCGAGACCGTGGACAGCCCAAGTGGGGAGGAAGATGCAGGTATGGGTTCTGTTGCTTGCGTCTCGAACGACGACAGCCCAAGTGCAGGCAGGGGTGGCGCCTGAGGCTCCGTTGTCTGTGACGACAACGACGACAGAGACAAGTCTACTGTGGTGACTTCGGGTTCCCAAGGCTCCGTCATCATTTCCGAGTCTACCATGAGCACTTTTGGTAGAGAGCTAGGTTGAAGAGGTGACACGGCAAGCACTGATTTCCGCAGCGTCTCTGGCGAAGATTCAGGGGAATGGAAGCTAGACCTGCTCGGCGTGCCTTCTGCAACACTTCCGTCTTCGCTTTCGCCCCCAAAATCGCCCAATTCGGCGAAAAGGCTCTTCCCTTGCGCTGGGGTGCCGTGGTTGCTAGTACTTGTGAAGCTGGCCGGTGAAGTGTTTACAGCAGAAGAGGCATTGGCAAAGATATCCTGGCTCCTGGGGGTCGACCGTCGATAACCCGCCTGCCGCATCTTCAGCTTGTATCGAGGATGTTGAGACTGTATGGGCGTCTTGAGATCCACGTCGTTGTCTTCCTCACCAGACGTGGAGGCTGTGCTTTCATACGAATCCCTGTTACTGACCATACCACGCGGCGACGGCCTCTGTCCCCGGATGGTACCCGTCGAACGGCCCGCTTCAGTTTCAGTCAACTCGTCCGTGCTATCTCCATCCAGTGTCTCTGCTCCGGTTTGGAAGGCCTCAGTCTCCGTTGCGGTTCCGTCACGTTCATTTGCGGTCTCAAAGGCGTCAGACGCCTCGGTGCTTGTATCAGCAGCGGAGCTGAATCCACCAGGGAAGGCTCCAGGCACCCTATCGGCGTGGCGAGAGCGTCGACTAGGCGTACTGTGTACTACTTCTTGGTCTTCCCATTCATCCTCATCTGTGACGATCTCCTGGGTGGCAGGTCGGAAGCTGCCTAGACGATCCGGTCGAGGCGGTTTCTTGAACACGTCTTTGTCCTGCTTCCTACGCTTGCTCGCACTTCCCAAGCCATTCATGGAATTACGAGTCGTCTCGAGCTCGTCACGGGCATCCTGAAGCATCCGCTTCAACTCCAGCTTCTCCGTCTTCTCGCGGTGAATATTGTTCTTAAGCTGCTGGATCATGCGATGAGCATGCTGGAGTGAATGCTTAAGCGTTTCCGATTCGAGCTGGCCATGACGCGGTGTAGCTTTGCTCGGAGATGGCAGAGGAGAATGCTCAGGAGTCATGGTAGTACCCTCGTCAGCGTCGGCATCGGGTGGGGTCTCCTCGATCGGCACTTGTTCCTCTGGTCGCATGCGGTAAGCCACAGCTCTTGCAAGCTCCTGATTCTGAGACGCCAGATCGTCGATTTTTCGCTGCAGAGCGTTGCGCTCAGTTTCGGCTGCGCTGGCATTTCGTCGAAGGCCTGCTATCTCTGCTTCATGATGCTTGACTTTAGCAATGTGATCATCGTTTAGCTTTGCATATAGTTGCTTCAATTCATCCAGCTCCCGCTCCAGCGTTGAGTTCTCCGCCCGAGCAACGCTCAAGTTGTGATTGGTTCGTGCTTCCTTGTCGGCGGACTCCTTTGCGGCTGCTTCCAGTTCGCGCACCTGCGTCTCCAAATTCCAATTCACATCTTTGAGCTGAGATTCGCGTTCGTCGAGAGTCCGCAGTCGCTGGGACAGGCCTTCCACCTCCAGTTCCAGCTGCGATCTTTCCAAGTTGGTAGCCTTCAACAATTCCTCCTTTTCCAGAAGCAATGCCTGAAGCTCTTTTACTTGAGAGAGCAGCGAGGCTGAGATCTCCGTGGCAAGCGTAAGCTCATTGACCCGGCTTGGTTGCTGGTTCCGCTGCTTCCTCGTCGGCACGCTGACTTTCGAAGGCGATGCAAGAGCCTCGCTAGAATATACGGAAGCACCACCTGTGGCATCCGTCTCGCCGCTAGGAACTCGTGACCTGGGGAGAAAGGCCCTCGCAGTCTCCCTTCCGACCTCATTGAACTCCTTCTCCAAATCCGCCAAGCGCTGCCGCAGCTCCGGGCCGATCTCGCTATTTGATTGTTGTGCCTCCACTTCCCTCAACCGCTCCTCCAGCTCCTTCTTCTGCTGGACGAGCGAGTTCCCTAACACAGATGTCTCTTGCAGTCGGCGCGCAGTTTCCGAGAGATGGGCTTGAAGCGCCCGTTTCGCCTGCTCGGGAGAGCCATTCAGGTAGAGCGAGAAATGCGATTTATCGAATGCGGAGTGCCTATGCCTCTGTGCATCGTGCACGCTCGTGGTAAAGGGATCTAGGCTATCGCGGTCGTCCATTGCGTGAGCGCCGGGCGGGTGATTGGCTATGGCGGCCATTAAGCTCGAATCGACGTCGCAAATGTTGGTATATCAGGGGCGCATAACCTGGATGGACGACGTGCGGTGAGAGCGAATGTCGGTCGGATGGTTGTAGTTCAGGAGGAGGGAGCCGGTGGGAGTTGTGGTGGTCCGGGTGCCTGTTTGACCGGGAAAATGTGTCTCAAGAAAGAAAACAATGGAAGCAAAGGAAATAAAGGAACCGAACAGGTTTGTGAAGAAGCAAACTGGGAGTGAAGGGAGAAGCGAACGTAGACCCCGGCGGTGGACTCGGTGAAGAGTGGAGAAAACGACGTGCGGTGGGGATAGCACGACGCCCGGTGGGCTGAGGGAGGGCGCGAGAAGTTGAAGCACTGGACGCGTCCTGTCAACCCGAGACGGGCGGGCAGAGGGGCATCGTCCAGAGAACACACGAAAGGGTTGATGAAATACAAGAGGGAAAGGAACAGACGGCGGGCGGAGAAGCGGCAGCGGCAGGGCAGAAGCAGAGAAGGGCAGAGGCGTGGTCGATGGGGGCGGAGGTTTGTTTTGCATGAGATCACGGGCCGGCCGTTAGCGCCGATCTAGCGTCTCCCGTAATTCCACGTCCACCCAAAAGGAGACCTGGCTCATTCGACCGAGAAACAACGGTTGTTCCCTTAGCTTCTATGGAGTACTATTTCAAGAGGGAGCGCCCTATCTGATGACTCTTGGAAAAGAAAAAAAATATGCGATTCTATATCATACAGAGACCTTTGTGCTGCTGCCCTCCATTTCTATGCAGACGTGTCCCGAGTCTCAGAGTAACACCTCCGTGGGTCCCGCAGGCACTGCACACGTTGCGTTGACCTGTTTCGGGAACGCGGTATAGTAGTCAATGACAATGAGTGGGCGTAATCAAAACCCCGCAAATCGTCGCCATCATTGTCGACATGATGACGGCGGCGGGGGATTGTTGGTACACCTGGTACACATCGCACTGTTATCAAACAAACACAGCCACCAGGGCACCCCACAACAGGACTGAATGAGTGTACAAGTATCAGAGTCCGAACACGTGACATCAAGATTTCAAGTCTACCTAGGTAACAAATCTATTATTTCCGAGTACATATGGTCCTCGCCGGTACGCATCGAGTGTCAGAGCTACTAGTAGCTGGCATATATTACATCCCAACCCAAGAAACACCGCCGATTCACCATCCTTAGCGAGCCAGCAGCCATGACACAGCCGGGTCCAAATGCTTTTCTGGATATACGTGCAGAATAGAGGGGGTATCAAACCAATCAACTCCGTGTAAAAAAACCCCCATTCATTCACGTGAACGCTCGAGACACGAACATCATGGATGGGTGTCGAAGACCCCGCCTTTGGCAGGGTGGAAACGTTACATCAGGAATCCCTTTCGGATGACTGACCAGCTCAGGTAAGATCAATGACCTCAACCTCCGGAGTCGTCATCGATACTGTGTCGGCGCCTGCCGTTGCAGAAGTCGTAGACGCAATAGAACGCTGTCTCTCCCCGACATTGGCGCCGCCTGGTGGTTCCTGCGCAGCACGCTGCGGAGTCTCGGGCTTAGGCTCCCATACTCCATGTTTATCAACAATGATAGCACTAGTATGGGCCAGTCCCCGCTCCTCCAGGTCTTGACGGACATTGTCCAAGAAGGCGTCGAATATCAAAAACTGCGGACGCGCGTCTGCTTTGCAGATAGGGCATCTCCAGACGTCCGCGACGGAGACATTGCCCTTTCGCGTGCGTGATTGAAGGTATGTCTCTAGATCAAAACAGTCGTAGTGCAGGCAGGCGGTGGAGCGGACGGGGGTGGCACATATGCCCGAGCGACTGATCGGGTCCAACAGGTTCATCGTGAGCTGGGACTGGACAATGGCAATCTCATCGTCTCCACCGTCACTGTTGCATAGCCTCCGTCGGATATCCTCTGTCACCCTAAGATCGGACACCCTGTTCTGTGTGAGGCAGAACTGTTTAATGTCCTCATGCTTCTGAAAAGACACCACCTCAATCGCCACCCGGTACTGGAGATACTTTTCGTCAAGCACCGAGATTTCCAGGACGTTGTCTCCTTGCTTGATCAAGCTCGTCAAATCTATGGGCAGGTCTTTGCCCCAATGTACCTTTCGTCTCATGTGCAGATTCGTGCCGTTGAATGTGAAATAGGTATACGGCATCCACGAAGTATCCGCAGTGGCCCAGTCATGGTCATTTGGCGGCTCTTCCGACAGCCATTTCACGCACCGCAGCCGCCACAGCTTGCTGTGCTCGTCAACGATGCGCGACGGTGGTTTGCCTGGAACCTTCGAGGGGATGTCCTTGGGAAAGTGCGACATCTCCTCGTCTGAGACGGAGAATGTCCAAGTCACAACACCTTGCCCGGCCTCCGTTGGGCGGGTTGGAGGTTTGGCGAAACCGGTTACATGCTGGTACAGGACGACGCTCGCCGACTGTGGCCGGAGAAGCGGACTGCGCAGATTCGCTTGGTGCAGAGCAAACCGGGAGGGATTAGGCTCACGCTGTATGTCCAGCCGCGTTCCAATTGGCGGCACGAGCCTGTGATACGGGGAACGTGCCGCAGAGACGGTAGGTGGCGGGAACCGCGAAGGTAGCGGGTGCGAAGGTAGCAAATGCGAAGGCGGTGGACGCGAAGGCGGCGGATGCGGGAGAGAGTTCGTCCTTGAAGGAGGACGTCCGCGACGGGGTTGGGCTCCATGACGGGGCATGGCCGCCACCGATGGCCCAGGCACAACAGGCGCGGTTACAGCAGGTGTGGCTACGTGCGGATGATGTGACAATACTGTCACTGTCGGGGTAGATGGGTGGGTCGGGGAACCAGGCCCAGGCGGTCGAGCGAGTTGTTGTGGGACGGACATTTGCTGTTGAGGGAGGCGCGACTGGGCCAGCTGCACAGCAAAATTCGAGGTCTGAATGGACCAACGATCCCATTCCTCCTTTGCCGGGTAGGCTCTGCCACTGTGTAGTTCTTCCAAGAAACGTGGGGTAAACTCTCGTCGGTTCTGGTTGAGCAGTGCTAACGCTTGTCCTTCCCAGCGGGGATCGGTTCGAGACCCTGGCTGCAACTCTGGGTACAGTAATCGCATGATGAGCAGGAAAATGGTGTCTTGTAGGACGGGCGAAAAAATGCCCAGATTGTGAACAAGCTCTCCAAAACTGACAGGGACACGTCTCGTCACACACAGCATCTTTTGCGTCTCAAAGAAGCTGGACCTTTCCGCAAATCTCCTGAAAACGGCCTGCTGGTGGCTGTGTTCTCTCGGGTGCTGTTCTGCCAGCTGTTGGACGGTCACAGGAAACGTGGCGAAGAAGTCTCGAACCATGCATGACAAGTTCGTATTATCGCCTAAGACCTGCCGGAGGACCAAATGGGTAGAAGTCGTAAGTTGGTCTTGCTCCAGTTGAGTGTGAAGACAGTAGATCTGATGGATCATCAGATACTCCCTATCATCCGCGGCGAGTGCCCGCTGGAGCAGGTTTATTCGGGGGGTTTCTGTAACGTTAAACTGCCACTTCCGGTCGCGCGCCAAGGCCAAGAAATGCGTTAATATGGGCTGACAATAGGCCTGGGAGAAGGGATCTAAAGGTTGTGGTCCAGAACTGGGTAACTGTAATGGGGACGGGACAGTGTGCAGTTGCTGTACCGAAGTGGTGAGTGAACCACTCGAGGCATAGCGACTTTGGGCATGATAGTTGCTGGCCTGAAGAGGCAGCAAGCTCCCGAGTTGACCTTGCTGCTGGTTAAACGCTGCCAGGGGTGGTACAGGAACACGAGGTTCATTGTGAACCTGCTGCTGACCTATGTTCTCTGAACACGGCGGGAAGGGGATTGGATCTTCTCGGACGCCGTCAACCTGAGCGATCTCGGGCTGGCGAGGTTGCGCCAGAGGCCAGGGGGAAGTGCCGACGGCTTGCCGCACACCCTCCATAAACCGAGATGCCTGGAAGTTGTCTGTATTCGTCGTTCTTGTTTGACCGGTTGGCCCGTACGTTACCAACTCTTTCTCCATCCCATTTCTCGAAGTTGATGTGCTGCTGTCGGATACTTCAACCGCCTGGGCATGGTTCTCGCTAGGAGCTGGTGACGGCAAGGCGCACGGAGCCGGAGAAGCGTGCGGGAATTCGGAGGCGGCGTTGGGCAGTTGCGGAGAGGTCGAGGTGGAGAGAGGATGCGGATGGTGCATGGGCGTGTTTGAAGAGGTCTCAGTGATTGACGCTACCGAGGAAGAGCTTTCTGTGGGAGAGCGATTGAGAGTTCCTGGCGGCCTTTCTGGGCGAGCTGCACTCCAGACCAGCCACTTTGGTCCTCCTCTTAGATTTCCCAGAGCTGAATTGAGTGTACGCTGCCTCGATACAGCTTCACTTTCAGTATCCTCTCTGGCTGAGTTCAGACGCATGGCGCTCGCCGCTGAGTACTTGTAGAGGGGGTCTTGTTGGAAGCAAGGGGGCGATTTGACAGTGGTACGACGAACGGTAGATGCATTCGAGGGGAGGGGAGGGACATGGCGGCGCGTCGAGGGGAAAGACGGTGAAGCATCCACACCGTTTGGAGGGTTTGGCGACGCGGGTTGGCGGCGGCTTCCGCCAGACTAAGGCAGCAAAGTCCAACCAAATGATAGAGAGAAGGACGCGGAGAAGAAGAGAAGGTGACGGCCCTTTGGCTTCCACGCGTTAAGGTTCTCAAAGGGTAGCTGAGGACGGGAGAAAGCCACCGCGGCTGCGGTTGCCCCGGCTGCCCGCATCCCCAGATCTATGCCTTTGATGCGTCGCAGCGGTCAAATAAATCCAGTCGCGCCCAGCCCTGGCTGGGATAGCTAGCGGAGCGCATATATCACGTGATTTCGACCGTGCGACTTCTAGTGATTCGCGATTGGAGTCCGCCACGAGTGAGGACTGGCATCTTTGTTGCAAACCTGCCTTGTGAATTGCGATGTCCTAAAAGCTCTGCGATTGAGGGTGACAACAGAGCGTGACTGCACGTGACTGTGGCGTGTGCAGCCACCCCGAACCAGGGCAACTCCAACTCCACCACCTGCTGGCTGCTGAGATTCGCTGCGACCTGTCGACATCGTGCATCCCCAGCCAACCAAGATCCGGACGCCACGATATCACCACCCCAAGCCCTTCTTCGTCGACAACACAGCACACGCTGTACAAAGTCTACTCCGTAGTCTACAGGGCAGCATTCCATTCCGCGTCGCCTTCTCTTGCAGGGGAAACGCACCCCAGCGCCACCCCGGAGCCGTTTGACCTCTTGCCTCGCACCCGCATCATGAGCCTTCATTATTCCCCTGGCCGCTGTGGGTAGTTTTCCTCCGTCTCCCACGCCTTCCTCTGCTCCCCTGCTCCCCTGCTCCCTTCGCACAAAATCAACATGGCTGCGCGGTCACAGACCGAGAATGCTCGACCCGGGGACATACTTGTCGTCGTCCGTACGTGTCCCGCCACTACCACAACCTCCCATGGTCCCCTACTCGTGGAATGGCCGTCGAGCTGATCAACTGACTTTGCGATGCAGACGAATTTCAGGCACGTAGTCCTGACGAGCTGAGTCTGGGCCGGGGCGACCGCATCAAGCTCGTTGAACGCGATGACGACTTTGGCGATGGCTGGTATTTGGGCATGAATACAGAGACCGGTGAAACTGGTTTATTCCCAGAAGGTATGCCCTGGCCGGCCCTTGTGCCCTACAAGCTCTTTGGTGTGCTCTTATCTTTTGTTGGCCGGTTTCACTAACGAGGTATACAGTCTACACCCGTCTGGCAACCAAGCCTGCAGCACCCACCACCGCCTCTCACCAGCGAACACTGCCGCACTCCTCTGCTGAACCCCCGCAGCTTCATCCCGATTCTCAATTGGCTGGGCCAGACGATGCCACCAATAGCCAACCCGCACGATCATCCATAAACAGCACACCCGCCACGGGTATCGAAGGAAAACCCGACGAGCTGCATACCAGCCCTCTCCAAGTTGCGCCCACGACGTCCCAAGCGACTGCGTCTGGCCGCAGCTCGCTTCCCCCGACCACTCAGCGAAGTATTGCTATGGCCTTGAGCGGCGATGTAGGCCATGACGACGGGGTTTTGGCCAGTCCGGTCATGCATGAGACGCTGAGCGTTATTGATGAGCATATCACTGATATGAGCACACCACGACAAAGCCTCATCTCAAAGGATATCCGCGCAAACGATTCGGGGAGCGAGTACAGTAGCCACCATCGCCTATCCTATATCAATGGCCAGGAGACAGAAGAGGAGGAGCAAAACTTGCATACCGAAGAAGAGGTTATGAGGTGGAGTCCAGCGCGTGTGGCAGAATATCTGGAAGATGTGGGAGTGGATAAGAAGCATTGCGAGATATTCAAAGAGCAGGAGATCACTGGAGAGGTTCTGTTGGGCATGGACCAGGCTACCATCTTTTTGAAGGAATTCGAGTTGGGCCCAGTTGGTCCACGTCTCCGAACATGGCTGAAAATCAAAGCGTTACAGCAGGAAGTGAAGACACTCAAAGAGGTGTCCAAAACCCTTGTTCCAACCTTCGACGAATCCAGGGAGCCCGACGCAGACCCTGTCCGAAACCGCGCAACATCCATGGGCGCCATTCTTCCCAGGATCCCGAACCTCCATGAGGGTCAGGGAGCTCGAGGCTCTGCAAAACCTCTTCCTCGTGCGAACTCGTCCGCATCACATACACCAGCACCCATCGTTGATGCACCATCACCCCTTATGCACAGTGCCCCTTCTGCCCCATCACCTGGGACTCCCACCCGACCGTCGGCTGCGTCGGTCCGTAGTTTGAACCACAACCGCCGCCACTCCTCCATTGACTACTCCATCAATCCGCCCACTCCGAGTAAGGCTTCGCATGCGTCCTCACCTGCTCACAAGAAGACCCCTTCTTTCGATCGCAACTGGACCATGGGTTTGGCTCAACCACTTTCACCACCTCAAGACTCGTTACGCCCGTCTTCCTCAAACCACGCGCATAGCGCGAGCACAGACGCCACTATCAACGAAGGTGGTGTAGGGCTTTCTTCGATCGGTAGCGTTGACCTCGACCGAGGCTACTTCTCGGGAGGTGAATTGGACAACAGAAAGAACCGCAACGTTCTTCGGAAACGGGACAGTTCAAATCACTCGCGGAATCCTAGTTATGGCACCGAAAGTATGCGGCGCGCAGGGTACAATAAGCGGCACAGCAGGGTAGGAAGTACAGATTCCACAATGGAATCCACGAGCCCAATATCCGCAGCAGCAAGGGCATATTACGGTTCGAGTATCAGGAGCCACCGAAGCTCCGGTACATTCGACTTCGTACGCCCCTTGAGACCCATGAATGAAGGATCGCCTACAGTCACGAAGCTAGGTTATGCAGACTCGCCAAGCATAGACAAGATCGCAAATTCTCCGGGAATTGCTGGCAGCGAGACGTCATCCCAAGGACGTGCGTCACCTTCACCTGCAGCTCATCATCTTTCTTTCTTCAATAAGAAGTCAAGAAGTTCGGGATTGCGCGCCATATCGGATGCCATCACTGGGGGCGAGAAAGCTCACGCGAATGCAGGTGCCATCACCGCTTCGCCTGTTAAAGAATCGCCTCTGCAATCTCCGGCACGAACCGGCTCTAGCACGCCTTCTGGCACATCTGCTACGAAGAGCCTCGATCTCGAAAACGCCGACCTGAAGCGCCTCACTGGCAGCTCAGCTAGCGCGGGAGGGCGAAGGAAGTCGAAAAAGCATGGAACTAGCGCATATCTTCGCGGCCGCGAAACCATCACTCCGCAAGAGGCCATACTGGGATGTGATTATAGCGGATGGATGAAGAAGAAGTCTTCGAGCCTTATGACCACCTGGAAGACGCGTCTATTTGTCCTTCGTGGCCGACGCCTTTCCTACTTTTACACCGAGAATGATACCGAGGAGAAGGGGCTCATTGACATCTCATCCCACCGCGTGCTTCCCGCCAACAACGAGAGGATCACTGGGCTGCACGCAAGTCTCACCAGGGCGTCTTCAACACCGACGTCGCCTCAGAATGCTACCATTGCCACGGCAGCTTCGACTGATAGTGCAAACGGCGGGGATGACGACATATCCGGCATGTTCATCTTCAAGCTCGTCCCTCCTCGCGCTGGCCTGCAAAAAGGCGTTCAATTCACCAAGCCCATAGTGCACTACTTCGCCGTCGACAACGTTCATCAGGGACGGCTGTGGATGGCCGCGCTCATGAAAGCCACCATCGATCGCGACGAATCTCTCTCTGTAACGACCACGTACCAGCAGAAAACTATCTCTCTGGAAAAAGCTCGGGCTACTCGACAACGGCCGCCGGCGCTTATGGACGATGCCGACGACGAGAAAGCATCCGTGGGCAAGCGGTCGAAAGAGAGTATTCAGGAAGACGTCATCCATGAAGAAGATGGCGAGCAGGAAAGCGAGAAAGGACTCGCTATCTCGGGATTGGATGATGCTAAGGCGCTTCTGGACTTCGCGGATGGTGCCGAGGCACCGCCGACACCGAAGTCGCCGCCTGCGGAACACGAGGCAAAGACGAGTGAGTCGGGTAGCTTGCCGCCTGGGCTGATATCTCCGGTGGGATGAGCTCTCTGATCTTTTTTGATGTCATTTTCATTGCTTCGATGCATTTTGATTTATGAACCACCTCCCTTCCTTCATCTATTCTTCTTGTTCTTCCTCTTCTTGAATATATTTACCCACTATCATGTTTCAAGCCGCTTATATCATTTGTAATAACATCATCAATGCTTGACCTTAATGAGGAGGAGGGAGGGGCGTTCGTTTCTACAAGACCAGGAGCAAAACGTTTAAGAAGGTATGCGGTAAGCGGGGAAGAGAAGGCTCTTCTTCCGACGACGGGAGAGTCTGGCAAGAGACTCGATGTTCGGTTGGTTTTATGGATGTGGATGCATCTTGAAGCGATATGGCAGATATGACGGCGGAATTCTTGCTTGTCCTTTCTCTCTCATGTGGTTTCGGGACCTTCTTATTTTGAATTCGAGGTGCTGTGATCGATCAATCGTCTTCTCTTTCTTTGGTTGTTCTTCGCTGGTGTGAATATGTGGGACAAGTATTTAGTCTATGTGCTTGTCTCCTGTGGTTGGGAGAACTGTTCAAAGAGCCATCCCTTGCTTGCCGTCCCATTCTCAGCACGGCAAGGGAATGGTGCATACATAACACCGTGCTTCCCCTTGGAGGTTTCGCACAACCCGTCATCTTTTCCGTACCTTCTCTTTTCAGCCCTATCGCAGAGTCGAAGTCCTCGCATTCCCCAGAGACCGAGCAGCGTCTTCTCCTATCACGACAGGCGCAACAAGTGCTCAACACTCGTCGGAAGCAGAGACAGAACGACACTCTGCGTATACGAATAACACATGAAGCGGTAACGCCGGCAATATCAACCGGAAACGCCTCATAGTTCCCAAGTAACAAAAGAAACAAGTAAAAGATTTGAGAGGACAAGCGCCTACGCAGTAACCGCTTCCATAAAAAACCATTCCGATCCATCAACCACTACGCCATTACCTTCATCCCTCTGACCCCTCACTATATCCTACAAGAAAAACGACATCCTCGACGCTCCATCTCTCGCCATGCCAACAGGCGCGAAACCAACCCTGCGTCCCTCACCCACAGCCTCACCCTCACCCTCACACCTCCCCTCCCACTCTCCCGCTCACACCCGCGGTGCCCCTTTCCTCCCCTTCCACCCCCGAAACCGCAGGAGATTCGCCGGCCTCGCCGTCGTCGTCATCGCCATCGTGGTCATCGTCGTCGTTGTTTTCGCGCTTACTGAGTTGCGGTATCTGCGCCGGGGATGTATATCGCGCGTTGGAATTTACGGTGGTGGAGGCGGACGGGGACGGGGAAGGGGTGGTCAAGAGAGGGTGGTGAACGGGGGTGGTGAAAGGGGGCGTTTGTGGGTGGTGGGAGTGTTGTTCTGCTTGGGAATGGCGGTGGGGATGGGGGGGATTGGGGGGAGGAGGGAGGTCCTGACGTTTGGGGAGGGGGAGATAGACTTCTAAAGATTAGTGGGCTCGAAGCGGGGAAGGAGGGAGAAGAGGTGGGTTTGGGGAAAGGGACGTTGGCGGAGGGTGACTTGGGCATGGGCAGTGAGATGTTTAAAGCGGAGGATGATGGTGGTGAGAAGAGCAGTGAGATGGCGATGGTAGGAGCTACTGCTGGCCCGGGTGATGGAAGTGGAGGAAGCGGAGGAAGCGGAGGGGAACCAATGCTTGGGGCCATGGAGATGGGACTGGGTGGGTTTGGCGGGGGATTAAAGGAGTACTGTGTAAGAGACGTGCGAATTCTTTGCTAGGGGTTTGGCAGCGTCGTGTTGGCTGTATTTATCGCGTCCTTTCGCGTCCGACTGAACGTGCTCTCTTGCGTTTCCTCTGTAGGTTGCTTACCCTGATTAATGCAAGTTGATAGCCTGGAATCTGTTTTAGGTCATGAGCAAGCTAAGGCTTTAACGTGGATATGCCTTGACAGAGGCACCCAAAGCCTCTTGCTGGAGCTGTTATATCTGTGCAACTCCCAGCTGTTCAGTTAGACCTGGAGAATTGCAGTGCAGAGGAGGTGCAGAGAGTTGTTCGTTTAGATGTAAAAGGAGACAGTAGGTCATGAGCAATGACTGCCAGCGGTACTGCAAGGGATCACATCATTTCGTCCTGCTTCATCTGCGGATCATTCACGCCATTCGAGCTGTCCTTCATAAAGGTGTGAACCTTGTGATTTATCTGTCCATCTCTATAAATCCTTCTTCTAACGAATGTGAGCTTTATGCGCTCTAGTTGGGGTATCATCAAACAAAATCCTCCTATGTATGCCTCGTGCCATCCTCCACTCTTTCCTCTCTATATTTCTCTCCCACATCGTAGTCAAGCCCTATTCATCTCCTCCGCTGAAACAGCGCCCCCTCTTGCGGCCCAAACCAATCCCGAATCCCGCATTTACTCTCCAGTTTCAAAAACAACTCATCCACTCTGTCCGTCATCCACCCGGACTGCACCCTCTCTTTCGGCTTCGCGTAGCCCAGACGGAAAGAAAAGGAAATCGAACAGCTCCCAGCCTCGTACGAAAATTGTATGCAGTTCTGGTTCGCTTCACATACAGCGTGGCAGTGATTGAAAGACTTCCATGCCTCGCGCTCGATGGGATCCGGGGAATTGCCGTGGTCGTGCGCGTTGAACTCCTTGTCGGTCGACATGTTGTCCCACTCCGGTTTGAAGGCGCTGATCTGAGGGCCTACGTACTCCATGAAGATGTCGCGGTGGCGCAGGAGGACGTCGTGCTAGCACTGTCAGCACCTATATATAGATCTTTATAGGGGGCGACCTACTCTCTTGAACCAGTCCTGCTCGAAGTTCCAGAGCTCTTCAATCTCCGCTGGAGAGACGTGGTGATAGGTTATCACGGGGTAGCACCACGCGTCGCGATTCAGTTTGACCGTTGCCGGATCCATGGTAGCAGGTGCGTCGCCTTGTAGATGTGGAAAGGCCTTGTGAAGGGGGATTTTTACATCCTCCATGATCTTCCCCACAGCGCAGTCGCCCACCCAGTGCGTGGCCGTGAAATCCTCGTAGTCCTTGATGCGAACGGATCGATGCTCCGAGACCTTGCGCATCGCCGGATTGGAAAGGATGAAACCCGCGCCGCCGTACCCGAACTCGATGTTGTTGATGTAGAGATGCTTGCCAATGTAGTATGGTTTTCTTGCATCGAAATTGCCCAGATACTCTAGGAGATTGTTCCAGGCAAGGTACGTGTCGTCTTCAATGAAAACGAACCATTTTGCATCGGGCATGCTATGGAACGCGCGATCTATCATGGGGAGGAATTTCCACTTGTCGAGTCTCCAGCCTTTGTTTTCCGTGTTCAGGTAGTCGCCTTTGAATGAGCCGGACTGGGTGGTAAGGACCTTCTGCTGTGGTAGACCGTCTCTTCCATGCTCTTGCAAGTGATGGTAAAGCTTGAAATCCTCGTGCGTACGCTTTGTGTCCTCGCTGACGTCGAGAAGGACGTCATGAACCGCATGACCGTCGATCTCTTCATCCAAGTCGGATAGGACGACAAAATGGGGCGCACATCGCAGTGTAGTTCTGAAATGCACCGGCACCCTCTCTCGCGAGGATGTCGCACCAGTCCGCAACACAATTAGAACGTCATCAGAAAGAGGCGATTGTGAACAGAAAGCATCTCCACCTGATGAATTCGTCGCTGGCGAAAATGAGATAGGTGAGCTCGCTCTTGTGAACAGATTGATGAAGGACACGCTAAACACAGCGCAGAAGATTAACCGGCAAAGGAATGTGCGGTAGGGCATGTCGCGAAATCGAAATCGCGGAGCACCAGGCTACTCGGGGTATCTCAGAAGGTAAAAGGAATGTCGAAGGCGGACGCTAAAGCGTCCCTAGAACACTTGGTAAAGTGAACGCAGGCCTGCCGGCCATGGAGGAATATGGCGTCAATGACACGACAACCGCTGATTGAGACGAGTTTGGGAGGAGAGAAGGGAGAGAGAGAGAGAAAACACGGAAGGGGAAACAAGGACAGACAGCGGGTTATGAGGCATGTGAGGCTAGGAAACGCTCGGGCGATCCTCATCTTTCTGACACATGCTGTAGGTGTCCGACGTTGGCGATCATAGCATGATGATGAGCCGGCTCTGAAGGCACCGGGTATGGCTGTGGCATCTCCGGACCGCTCATTGGTATTCTGCATTGCTGATCGGCTCGTCGCGGCTCGGAAGGCGTGCTAGTCCCGTGCGACGATGCTTGAAGGTGCCAAACAAGCAAGTGCGTTAAGCATAGTGCGGAAGAGTTGTGTTCGGTCTGTTGGTGTTCTGCGCGAGGCTGTCGTCGTTGATGCGTGTGGATTCCGCCTGGAGGATCCGCTGACTGTGTCATAGCTTAGCGGCATTGAGTAGGTTGCACAGGGGGTCAGACGGCTATTTTCGTAAAAAGGTAAGAGCAACATCTGCTACTGAAGATGCTCGGTACGGACTTCAGTGAGAAGGAAGCTTACGTACGGCAATTATCGTGATCTATATAATAGGGAAGGTTTTGCCCGGTTCGTAGCTACCCTAGGGTATTCGAAGCTCCAATGATCGTTCCTACGAGAGGGCTTTCCTGAGTACCACCGTTACAGTACAAGATGGAGTGAGAAGTGGGATTACGTGGGTTGAAAGCAATATCCACATGTCCGAGAGAGTACTCCGTAGTCTAGCCCATTGTTAAAGCGTATATGTAGGGTACACAAGTGTAGCTGTGCACTGCCTCAGTTAATATGCCCAATTGCTCTATTCGGGCTTGCCCGTTGCGTCGTCGAGAGGCTCGAAAGGAGCAATAACTTAAAAGCTAGTCTCTCGGGGACCCAACATGTTGGTCATCTCTCATGGATGCAGGGTAGCTCTCCACAATCCCCTTGCCCTCGAGCTCCCCGCTACCAACCCACAAAGACCCATCCAGCCCAGGTTCCAGCCGGGAATGCCTCCCGTGCTGCTGCTGAAGTGGACCGCCATGGGGAACCACGCGGCCGCGATCATAAAATCAGTCCACCACTTGCTATCGAACTTCCTGTCCTCGTCCGCATACACAGCGACAGCCTTGCCCTCATCAATCATCTGCTGACGGTTCGCTCTCCTGCGATTCTCAAGCTGCGCCTCGCGAGCCAGCCGCAAGAAGTCGCACGATACACCGCTCAACCAGGCGCGGTACGCCCAAAGATAGAGGCGCCCTGTCGTGGCATCTCCGCGATTGATCAGGGCGATGAATTTCTTGGAGACGATGCCGTTGTCCGCCAACACGGATACGTTCTCCAACGCCTGATATGCCACATAACTCAGGCACTGTGTGAGCGCAATGCGATGTAGCACCGGATCCGCGCCAGACTTAGGCCCAGCTATCAGCGTCTTCAACCAGGCATATAGTGGTAGCAAGCCGAAAAGACGGAGTGTTGTCCGGGCTCTCGAAATCAGTCCTGCCAGCGCCGCGATTGGTGGGACGGCAGTCGGGTCGGACGCTCGGGAGACGGTCGGCGGTTTCGCGGACCGGGACCTGACGAGGGAGAGGAGTTTGTGAGCGAGCTGCGCGAGGGAGTGCGAGGATTCAAGATAGGCAAGAAGGTAGAGGGTGTAGTTGAAGGTGGAGAGGAACGCGCTGAGGCCGCCGGGGCTCGCGAACAGTCTGCATTTCCCAGTCAATACTGTCAATACTCAAACTACTTTGCAGTCATTCTATGGGAAAATTCCTACTTGTTCAGTCGCAGAATTGCGGAGTCCATCTGTTTGGCTGCAGACGCGACACCATTTGGCCTGGAAACCCCCTTGGGAGGAGCTGTCATCTCCACAGCCTCGTTCGCCGCCTCCGCGCTGGGCGCACCTGGTTCTACTGTGCTGTCAACCATTTCTGAAATCTTGAACTTTTGGGAGAAACTGCAGCTTGAAGTTGTTGTTCTTTCCAAGTAACGCTTCTCCGCAGTGTTGTCCAGGTACACTGCAGGGCTATGGACTCTGCAGCCGAGGTATTTCTTTTGGGAACGCCGATTCACTGGGGTAATTCCCATGCCCCTAGATCAACGATTTTCATTGGTCGCTTCGCACTGGCCAATAACATGGACCAGTAAACAAATGTTGCGATGTGGCGACCTGGAAAGCCTTTCGACTTTTGACTTGTCAGTTGGGACTCGTCGTATGGTCTCCGTATAGTGACTACTCATGCTATAAGTAGAGCTTCTTTGAAAACTGATTATACGTAGATGGAGGTACTACGAAGCTAATCGCAAGGTCTGTTACATTGCCGCGCTTCCTTGACATTTAATCAGAACGGCAGTACAGAGGAAGTGCAGAGTAGGGTTCAGTCGGATGCGGAAGGACGCAGTATTGTCAAACAATTCCTGTCAGCCTTGCATAAAGGGATGGCAAGGACTTAAGGGCCAAAATGTCTCCACTTAGTTCTGTGTCTGTTCGAATCTGTCTCGGTCTGGGTTATGTACTAGAAGGTCTAGTCAGTGCCATGCGCGGAGGTTTTACTCTGAAGCCCTATGGACGCCTGTCCACTCTATGAAACTTGGGATATGTTATCTGCTACGCAGCTACAAACGAAGTATGAACTAAGAGTCCTTTAACTTGCGGCGATGACTGGCTGTTCTGTAACTCCAGCTTATCAATCCTCCAGTGGATGAACTGTGATTGCAGCAACTTGTAACCTCCATTGTCTCCATTCAGACAATTTCTCAACCACATCAATGTCTCTTCAGATAAGCTCGGCCATATACTTTCCGCGCAGATAGGGTTCCCGCGCACCCCACCACAATACGTCACGCAGCTCTAAGTCGCAATCTTTGTCAACAAGAACGATTATATTTGCCATTCCATACACATAGACTTGAAAGTAAGAGCTGCTGCTGCCTCTGCCGCCTTCTGAGCCTCCTTTTCTGGTGTAGTGCTTGCCTGTTGAGCCTGCAGAGCTGCGGCACGATCAATTGCAGCCTTGATACTCTCAATGTTGCTAAAGCGTTCATTTGGGTTGACTTAAACCTGTTTCCTTAGATGGGTACTCCTTGTACTATCTAGTTGATGTTTAAGTCTTTGATTTTCAGTTTCAAGCTGAGCTGACCTGGTGTTGGCTTTTGCAATAGCCTTGCCTGCCTTGCTAAGCAATACATGGATGCTTCGTGAAAGAGATTCTGATAAAAGAAGCTGTTGCTGAGCCAGGTATAGAGCCTGTGAGCTCTGAGGTGTTTTGAAGACTTGATCCAATGTATCTAAAGCCTGGGTAGTTGCTAGAGGTATAACTGGCCGGCCAGTTACTTGGGATGAGAGCAGCACAAGGTCTGGGTTATATGGGCAGAGCCCAGCAGCCCTCCAGCCAGCTCGTATAACATGCTCTAATAGTCCTTCTTCTCTTGCTTTGTTGTACGATACTATAAAGTGCTCCTTCTTGATAGATGCTACATCATCAAGGGTGGAGAGCTCTCGGATCTGAGTACGGTACTTGGACTTGATTACTGAGAAAGGAGCAAGATCTAGTGGCTGTAGCAGATGTGAGGTATGAGCTGAGAGGTACAGTAGGTGGATCTTGTGTAGCTTGCAGAGCCACATGAAGTCAATTGGTATATGGGAGCCATGGCCATCAAGAATGAGTAGTCGATATCCATGAGATGATGGTGAAGTATTTGGTATAAAAATACACTGCAACCATTCGTATCCAATTGTGTTTGATGTCCATTCATTCTCTGAGGTTGTATAGACCCAATCTGGTGTATCATATTGTCAGATGGTAAGCCAGTTTATGGACATCCCATCTGGGACTAGAGAGGAGGACTGGGAGAAGGTGTCTGTACCGGTACTCTCTGAGGACATGTGGCTAGTGATTCTGCAGTGGCTAGTGCCCTGCACAGCCTTGGTGCCCAGAGAAGGAACATCAAAACCCCTAAGCTAAGAGGGTATATTAGATAGAACAGCTAAGGGACAAGTATATTAACTATTACCTTCTATTAACTAAGAATAAACAACTATTAATTAACTACTATTAACAACAAAGCAGGATTAAGGGAACAGCTATTATTAATAATTGTAATTAACTATCTACTAACTATTAGAGGATAAAGCAGTGTAGAATTTAGTCTAGCATATATATAGTACTAACTATTATGTAACTATATATAGAGGATAAAACTAACCTCCTAAGCAGTTTGTCCTTAACTATTAATTAATTACTTCTTTCTAAGATAAACAATTATTATTATCTAAACTTTGTAATATCTTATCCCTACAATTCTATTATCCTCCATTAACTATAATTAAAGAGTTAGAATCTAACACCTCTGTACTGTGCTTTTCTGCATCTAAGGGAACCGCTTGCAAGTACAGCAATTTTATAGACCTTGCAATTAGCTTTAAAGTACTTCTACCTACGTATATTAAGTTTCTAAAGCAAACTTCTACTTATTGCAATTTTTAGATGTAGCTAATAGGCTTGTGCTAGGTATCTAATCTTACCTACAGAAGAACTGCAAGGCGATGTTGAGTCGGATCTATGGATGTGCACAGCCGCAGTACACAGTAGACCTCTACACGTGACCGTTGTCTTCTTAATGTCCCGGCCTTTAAGGGACCACCGGACATTACTTTCTTGGAGAACCTCCGTATAGGAAAACAGCTTGTCGCGAAGTACCAACATACTGCAGCTTTTCACGTCAGACTGAACACCCCCCTGCACTTCCTCTGTACTGCTGTTTCCCACATCCGATCTAGACAGCTAGCAGGCGCAGCAATATAGGAGGTCCTACAATTAGCTTTGTAGCGCGCCTCTACGTATTGTATGTTTAGAAAGAAAATTCCACCTGTCGCATTATTCAGTTGTAGCTAAGTTGGCTTGTGCTAGGGAGGTAATTCCGCAAGGTCGGTCATTCTCGGGAAATTGATATGCCGGGCTCTCTCTCATTTGTGGCGACGGAAAAATCATCACGCTCAGCGGAAAATTATTGATAGAGTCTTCGCCAACGGGGAAGACGACGTGGAACAGTTGACCAGCTTCAATTCCATTGTTCGCCATACTGCATCTTTTCACGTCCGACCGAGCAGCAAGGGGTCGCAGGGGTATAGCTGACACTGTATGTAATATGCCTGACAGCGCCTCTGTCCAGGTACGATCAGCCTCAAAGCACCGTGCTCTAGCGGGGTAAACTAGATCGTGGCTAATTGAAATGCTTGAATTAGGTGATCTAACTCAGAGCAGCAGTACAAAGGGATGTTCAGTCGGATGTGAGAGGGTACAGTACATGCCCAAACCTTGACAGAGAACTAGAGCGAAAGGAAGAAAGGAAGGGCGAAAGAAGCAATCACGCAGAGAGAAGAACCGGAGCCAGATCATTGGAAATATGGTCAGAAGAGGAGGAGACGGACTAGCTAGCGCCTCGCAGTACCCTTGGACGGCAGAAAGTTCGAAACTGGCGCGTCCACCCTCAACCCGACCATAACCCTTCAGCCCTGAAAACCGTGGAAACTTGATTAGAATGGCAAACCTCCATTTTCAACAGAATGCGGCAGAGCTCATGTCGCTCTGCTCTTCCTGCCCTCGCCGCCCTCCGACTCCGCTTGTTTAGCTGCGTTCTGTACCCGCAGAGCCTCTTCATGCTTCGCCAACTCTTCCCCTGCGCCCTCCCTAAGCGTCTTAATTCTATCCACTGCTCCAGGAATAGGTGACAGCTTATCCGCTACCTCGCCTCTTCCCATCAGGCTAATGGCGATACTGGCGCCGACGATGCCCGTCAACACAAAACGATAGATTGCGTACCAGGGTGGCGTCCATGCCTGAGCCGTGGCTTTGGTGTCGACGTAGTAGAGCCCCATGAATGCACAGAACTGGCTGATCAGGGCGTATTCCACGGGCATGAGCATGGTTGGCCAAGCGACGGCGGGAGCGATAACACCAATTGCGTAACGCCGGTATCCGTGGTAACCGCCGTATCCTCCGAATTCGAGCCCCCAATGGATCGCTCCCAGGAAAGAGAGAATCTATCTTTGATCAAGACTGGTTCCGGTACCACGGACGGCACTACTTACCACCGCTCCATATCCGATCTGTATGGGCTCCAGGATGTGAAGCAGGGTTTCCGCATTTTTCGCGCTTAGAAAGTACCCATACCCGTCATGGTTTATATCATACGCGCAAGCAACCGTGGAGAGGCAGGTAGCAAGATAGGGCAGAACGCCTGCCAAACCAATGTAATAGGCCTGCCTCGGGACCTCGCTCAAATCGAAGGTGTCTCGGATCGTTTTCTACGCCGTCGTTAGTATCTGGATTCTGTCGACCACCCATCGTTTGCAGAGTCCGTCATGGCTAAGCCAAGCGAGCTTACAATGTCACCTCTGAGTCCAGCCGTCATGTCCGGCTCTGGCATTGAAAGAGGCTTGCCAGCGCTTTTGCCTCCGAAGACCGGCTGCATTGTTGATGAGGAAGTGACCGTCTCCGGAGTAGGCTCTAACTTCTCATGAGCATACTTCTTCTCGGCTTCGCGATCAATCTTGTCCGCCATCGTGCGCCTCCTGAGGGTGGCCTGTAAGGGGCCTAATCGCGCCATTGGCGCCAGCCGAGGCCGCTGGGTAGCCATGGAGGTTAATTTTGCATTCCATTGCACTGAGACTGAACGATTAAGGGCTGTTGATGTTGGGCGGATCATTGGCGTCATGAACGACGAAGACGCTAAACGCGAAGCACCTGAGCGCAGCATTTTGCAGGCGATAAAATCGACACTGAGTGCTCAGGACCAAGTTGACGAGATTGATCGATGAAATTGAGCTGCTGAACAGGCTCCGGTAGAAAGAGCTGCTTTCATGATACCAAGGGGAGTCCTGTGTTTCTCTAGCACTGGACCCCGCTGCTAGCACTGCTCGAGCTCTCCGCACCGCTCGGCTGTAGCTGACGTCACACAAACACAATTCACGTGAACACAATTGACGGAGCAATCGTCGTGAACAATGCAAAGACTTGCGCAATGGTTTTAGCCCAGAGAAATATCCAGCGAATTCCGGCCATCAGAAGTTCTGCGACAAACTGATATTTGCATTATCAAAATTCTACTCAAGTGTGCTGCAGTGGTGCCAGAGTTCTAAGTATGTCACACTACTATCATGTTCCCAAAAGCCTACTACATATCCATCTCAGTAAACCCAATTCACACTGAAGTCTTCAACCAATTGCTCAGCTGCTTTGACTTTGGCTTAGTCCTTTCGATGTGGCCCTTGGACTTTTCGTGTGCCTTGAGAGCGGACTTGTATGGAAAAGTGACTTTGCAGGCTTCACAATTCCAGTCCCCCTTCTTCCCTCCGCGCTCAACCATCTCAACGTGTCTTGGGGTGGCATTGTGAATGGCGAACGAAGCCGCATCGCGGCAAGACACGCCGCATATTGGGCAATGATACTTCTTCGACTCGACTGATTGGATTTGGCGGGCTCTCGTCTTCGGTGCTTGCTTGATGCGAAATTTTCGCCTGAGAATTCAGGTAAATCGAGCTGCTGAACAGGCTCCGGTAGTTGAGCACCGACTGCAGTCACGTGGAATCAATCGACGCGGCTCACTGCTGGATTGTGATAGAGAACCTATGTGAAGCTTACCTCCTAAGTCATAATAGATTGTGTACAAGGGGCTTCATAGAGCACAACATTTCCTGACCTGCCAAGCGCACAACAACCGATTTTGAGGTTTTCTTATACAAGAGTATAAAGAGTGGACCATTGATGCCCATCGAAAGCACATGGAAGTAGGGTCAGTCCAATTAGAGAACGCGAACCGTCAACCCCATCTACCTGACCAGACATGAGCTCGCGGCTTTTATTCAATATGATTGTAAGGAAGGGAGATGTTACGGGTTCTAATTCCGACGGAAACCCTTGGGATAAAGCTCTTCTGTCAGACACTTGAGATAAAATTTCCAGTTCTCTGAAGGCAGCTGCAAATTTCAGTTCTGGGAGGACTATCATCTTCCCGCTTGATCAAGAACCGGGCTGTGGGAAATGGCTAAGGAACATTGAACAGCGACACATCACGGGCACAAGGTTCAGCGCATTTGAAGTTAAGAAATCTTATTGACTCCAGTGATGATATCACTTCATTAGAGTACATATTTCCCCATCCGACCCTATTTTCTTTCTTCCGCCAATCGTAATCATCATCATGATGCATCCCATGCAAAAGGGAAAGTCAGAAACCCATGAAAATAGGACCCAACCGGCCCGAGAAACTCCAATAATGACCTCCCAGAGAAACGTCTATACCGAGGAAAAGGCAAGAGAAAAGCCTACTGCATTTCAGCGATCCGCTTAGTCGACCTCCTCGACAGTAGGGCCGTCGTCGTGGCCAGCGCCGGGAGCACCACCGGCACCGGGGAAGCCGCCAGGGCCACCAGCACCAGGCATGCCACCCTCGCCACCCGCACCGTAGAACTTCATCATGATGGGGTTGGCGACGGACTCAAGCTCCTTCTGCTGAGACTCGTACTCATCCTTGGTAGCCTGCTGGTTGTCGTCAAGCCAGGCAACGGTCTTGTCGATCTCGGCCTTCAGCTTCTCCTTGTCGGCAGCGTCGAGCTTCTCGTCAACCTTGGAGTCGCTCATGGTGTTGCGGAGGGAGTAGGCATAAGACTCGAGGGCGTTCTTGGCGCTGATACGGGCAGCCTCAGCCTCATCCTCAGCCTTGTACTTCTCAGCCTCGGCCAACATGCGCTCGATGTCCTCCTTGGACAGACGGCCCTTGTCGTTGGTGATGACGATCTTGTTGGACTTGCCAGTGCCCTTCTCGACGGCGGAGACATTCATGATACCGTTGGCATCGACATCGAAGGTGACCTCAATCTGGGGGACACCACGAGGCGCAGGTGGGATGCCAGTGAGTTCGAACTTGCCCAGCAGGTTGTTATCTTTCGTACGAGCGCGCTCGCCTTCGTAGACCTGAATGAGCACACCGGGCTGGTTGTCGGAGAAGGTGGAGAAGACCTCGGACTTCTTGGTGGGGATGGTGGTGTTGCGCTTGATCAGAGGAGTCATGACACCGCCTGCAGTCTCGATACCGACGGAGAGCGGAGCGACATCCAGAAGCAAGATCTCGCTGGTGGACTTGCTGGAGGTGTCACCGGAGAGGATAGCAGCCTGGACGGCAGCGCCATAGGCAACAGCCTCATCGGGGTTGATGGACTTGTTGGGCTCCTTGCCGTTGAAGAAGTCGGAGACCATCTTCTGAATCTTGGGGATACGGGTGGAACCGCCGACAAGGACGATCTCGTGGACAGAGGACTTGTCGATCTTGGCATCGCGGAGGACACGCTCGACAGGTTCCATGGTGGAGCGGAAGAGATCCTGGCACAGCTCCTCGAAACGGGCACGGGTGATGCTGGTGTAGAAGTCGATACCCTCAAACAGAGAATCTATCTCAATCGAGGTCTGAGCGGAGGAGGAAAGGGTACGCTTGGCGCGTTCGCAGGCAGTGCGGAGACGGCGCAGGGCACGAGCGTTGGTGGACAAATCCTAAAATCGAGTTAGCGAACTGCAAGTACCAATGGAACAAGGACCGGGGACTACTCGCCTTTTTGTGCTTTCTTTTGAATTCATTAACAAAGTGGTTAACAAGACGATTATCGAAGTCTTCGCCACCAAGGTGAGTATCTCCGGCAGTGGACTTGACCTCGAAGATGCCCTCCTCAATGGTAAGGAGCGACACATCGAAAGTACCACCACCGAGATCGAAGATCAGGACATTACGCTCGCCAGAAGCCTTCTTATCCAGACCGTAGGCAATGGCGGCGGCCGTGGGCTCGTTAATGATGCGGAGGACGTTGAGGCCAGCAATGAGACCGGCATCCTTGGTGGCTTGGCGTTGAGAATCGTTGAAGTAGGCAGGAACAGTGATGACGGCGTTGTTGACGGTTCCACCAAGATACGACTCTGCTGTCTCCCTCATCTTGGTGAGGACCATGGAAGAGATCTCCTCGGGGGTGAAGGTCTTGGTCTCGCCCTTGAACTCGACCTGAATGACAGGCTTGCCGTTCTTGTCAATCACCTTGAAGGGGAAGTGCTTCATGTCTGCCTGGACCTCGGGATCATTGAACTTGCGGCCGATGAGACGCTTCGCATCGAAGACTGTGTTGGAGGGGTTCATGGCGACCTGGTTCTTCGCAGAGTCTCCGATGAGACGCTCGGTATCGGTGAAGGCAACGAACGAGGGCGTGGTGCGGTTGCCCTGGTCGTTGGCAATGATTTCGATGCGGTCATCACGGAAGATACCCACGCAGGAGTAGGTGGTTCCTAGATCGATACCGACAGCGGGAGCCATCGTTGTGGGTGTGGGGATGGTAAAGTAGGGAAGAAAGTTGGGGTATCACAAAGAGCTTGTAAAAGGAACTGCTGATGGGGTTGCAGCACGCTCACAGAAGCTGAAAACGCTAGTGGAATGTGTGTCTTTTTGAGTTGATAGTGAGAGAAGGGCAACAAAGGCCATGGTGCAGTTATATATGTTGTGGGGAGGAGCAGTTTTCCTCAGTCACTTCTGGAAGTTTCGACGGTTCGCGGGCCAACCAGAGTGCGCGAGCAGGTTCTGGCAGCGTCCGGCGAGCTCCCTCGCCAGCGCGACCCACGGAAAGCGGATACCCGAATTCGCTGGATTATTCTCTGGGGCAAATGTGCGCAAGTCTTACTCCGCACTATTCACGACGATTCCAAGCCGCATCTGCCCATTCTGCGCTGAGGATGTTTCTGTCGGCGATTCTGTGCGCTTCCTGCAATGACGCATGCCATCGTTGATGACTAAGCATTTACCCCTCCACCACCACAACCTTGGGAACCAACCTTCGAGAGTCGCTTTTCTCAATTGGACACACCGCCGTACTTTCTACCAAAAAAGAACAGAAGTATTGGAAGTACGTCGCAGGCTGTGCTATTTCTCTCACGCATCTCTGGTGGACCAGGCACTGCATCATACTTGGAGAGCTATTCGTAGTGTATCAATTCCTGCTGATGTTCCCTCTGTTCATTTGAGCTTTAGCAACCGTCTCCAATTCTGGACACCATTCACAGTCATTCATACAGCACCAGAAATGACACAGAGGCCGAAATTATATCTATACGATCTTCTTCAGTTGATTCGGTCTAATTGCATAAGTAAAGACAGCTCAGATCTTCCTCACTGTAAGCTTGTTAAGACGGAAATGTAGGCACGACAATGCTATTTTGTCACGTTTTCCGTTTTCTGTTTCCTCCAGGAGGAATGAGGCAGGGTGTCGCATCCTCTCGCAATCAGGTGCTCTTATCCATATATAGACCAATTCCTATGGAGTCCTTCTCATCATCAGTTATATTTTACCGTGAGAGTGGAGTTTATAAAAGTCCCTAGGCTCAACAGTAACGGTTACATATTTGATCACACAAAGACACTGGGTATCCTATATAGCGGGGACAAAACGAAACAAGCCTCCACATCAGTCGACTCTCAGCCATCCAGCTCTAGTTCGTCCTCCTAGGTTTTTCCCGCTTCCTTGAAAATCCCTTCCCCATCCTCCCACCAGACCCATCATCCATCACGCCGGCGGCTTAAAAGCCCCAAAATACCTCTCCCCCCTCTCCCTCCTCTCCCACACCCTCTCACTGTTCGGTCCACTCCTCAACTTCTCCTCCTTCATCCTATAACGCTCCCGAATCAGCGCCTCCTTATCCGCTTTCGTTCGCGTCTTGAGTCCCATGCAGAAGCGCCAGTCGGCCCAGTGCTCCGAGCACGAGCGCAGCTCGCCGTAGCGGTAGATGTCGTTGAAGTGGCCGCCGAGGGATGCGCAGTAGAAGGCGCTGTCGAAGGCGGCGCGGCACGACATTGTGGTGGGGTAATCATCGTCGGAGGAGGAGGTTTCGGTGGTGGTGGTGGTCGTGGTGGAAGAGGACGGGGATGAGGAGGAGGAGGATTGAGGCGTGCTGGCGGTTGTTGTGGTTGAGGAGGTTGAGGAGGTGGGCGCTAGGTGTGGGAATGCGGCTTGGAAGTCGCGGTCTGAGGTTGTTGCGGTTTTAAATTCGGTTGATTGTGGTATTGAGGGAGGCGTTGGTTGTGTCGTGGGCGATGTGGATGGAGATGCGGTGTCCGCAGGCGTTTTCGAAGACCACAACCAGCCCATTGCAATGATGAGGGTGTCGGATTCGCTCGAAAGTACAAAATGATTGGATTGAGTCGATGGATATCGCGGAATCTGTGGCAGTGCCGCCCGAAGTGTGATACAAATGTACCTCTGGTGGTGATTGCCGCAGTAAGAAAAGTTAGAAAGCGCGTTCCTCGGGAGTCTTGGCGGCCCTGCTCACCCCAGCTACGTCATGCACTGCCCTGGCTGCCCTGCTCTCATCACTCCCACCACGCTCCTATAACAAAGTGTAAGGTCACCACGCCCATTGTCATCAACACTTTTGCGCCACTGGCTGCCGTCCTTAGTACCCCTCTGCCCCCTATGTGTCCACGAATTCACGAGACCTAACGATCCAACTACCTCGGACAGCCTGGGCAGCATTTGCAAAGCGCACAACCCCGACCCCCGACCTGGGTAACGGTCCCTCGCCGCCGAAATGCTCGAAGGACTCGTTGCCAACCTGCTCAATCGGTTCTTGGGCATGTATGTCCAGAACTTTGATGCGAAGCAGCTCAATGTAGGCATCTGGTCGGGCGATGTCAAACTGCGGGACCTGGAGCTTCGCCGAGAAGCACTGGATCAGCTCCGCTTACCGTTGAATGTGGTGGAGGGACATTTGGGGTCTCTCACATTGCAGATACCGTGGTCGAATCTGAGAGGGAAACCTCTGAAGGTCAACATTGAGGATGTGTTTTTATTGGCAGCACCGAAGGAAGATGCGGATTATGACCCTGAGGAGGAGGAGCGGCGAGCCCATGCCGTCAAGATGGAGAAACTTGACAGCGCGGAGCTGCTGAAAGAGCGGAATACAGAAGGAATGAGTGCGGAGGAGCAGCAGAAGACACAGAGTTTTACGGCAAGCCTGATTACTGCTATCGTCGATAATGTGCAGGTCAGCGTCAAGAATATCCATATTCGGTACGAGGACTCGATATCAGATCCCGGTCATCCCTTCGCGCTCGGTATCACGCTGTCGGAGTTCAGCGCTGTCAGTACAGATGAGAATTGGAAGCCGGCGTTTATACACGGGGATTCGGCTTCGACGCACAAACTGGCCACGCTCAGTTCGCTAGCGATATACTGGGATACGGATGCATCTCTGATAGGGACTGGCAAGGGGAGTCAGAGCAAAGATGAGCAAGGGATCGATCATGCCGAGTTCATTGACAAAGTGCGGGGTATGATCTCGAGAAGTGATAATCAAGAGGCGCTTGGGAACCACCAGTTCATTCTGAAACCTATCAGTGGCCGAGCCGGCTTGGAAATGGATAAGACTGGCAAGGCTGACCGTCCGAAGACGAAGGCGAGATTGCTTTTTGATGAGCTTGGTTTCATCATCGATGAGGATCAGTATCGGGATGCCTTAATGTTGGTGGATCTCTTCCACTATTTCATCAGACATCAAGAGTACAAGAAATTCCAGCCTAAATCGTCACCGAAGGAGGATCCCGCTGGTTGGCTACGGTTCGCTGGACAGGCTGTGCTTGACAAGATACACGAGAGGAATCGGAAGTGGAGTTGGGCCTATTTCAAGGAAAGGCGAGATGACCGGATACGGTATATCGATCTTTTCAAGAAGAAGAAGCGAGAAGAGAAGCTTTCGCCTGCCGAGACAGAGGAGCTGGACAAACTGGAGCGGAAACTGACGTACGAGGATCTTCGATTTTGGCGGTCTCTGGCCCGGAACCAACTCCGGAAAGAGAATGTGGGTGTCAAGAAACCTCCGCCGAAACAGACCTGGAGCTCTTGGATATGGGGTGCCAAGCACGAGGAAAACAAGGAAGATAATACTCAGATGACTGACGAGCAGCGGAAAGAGCTTTATGAGGCTATTGACTGGGACGAGAAGAAGGCGATTGCGGAGTCGGTTGATATGCCGAGGGAGTATGTCAAGATGGAGGTCAATCTGAGTCTACGCACGGGCAGTTTCACGCTCAAGCGGGATCCACACGGCAAGGGCATTGAGATACTACGTCTCCTATTCGACTCCTTCAGTACACAGTTCTTAAAGCGCACGGACTCCATGTTCGTGAGCGTTGCACTCGAGGGCATGAGGTTGTACGATGGAACGACAGAAGGCAGCCTGTTCCCACAGATCCTGACGGTCAAGAATGCTGCGCCTGTACCGGACGACAAGCGGATAGAGGAACTCAACGAGGATGAAACTCCCAAGGAGGGCGGAGAGGAAGGGGAAGACGAGGAAGAAGAAAAGGAGGATCCCTTTTTCCAGCTCTCCTTCGAGAACAACCCTCTTGATGGAAGCGCGGATACTGCGCTCACCATGAAGCTGAAGGAATTGGAGTTCATCTACAATCCTAGATTCATCGTCGAGGTAGCGAGATTCTTCAAACCACCACAGCGTCACATGGAGTCCATAGGAGCGCTTATGGAGACGGCCGGCGCGACTGTCGAAGGTATCCGGCAGCAAACACGAGCAGGGCTGGAGTTCGCACTATTAGAGCATAAGACCATCAACGCCCAGCTGGATCTCCACGCACCTCTCATCATCGTTCCGGATTCCGTCACGAAGAAGTCGAGCAATTGTCTCATTCTTGATGCAGGTCATGCGAGTGTCACCAGCGAGCTTATTGATAAGGACACGCTACGGGATATTCAGGACAAAGAGAAGCAACAGTATACTGAAGAGGATTTCCGCAGGCTGGAGAATCTTATGTATGATAAATTCCTGTTGAAGCTGGACTCGACGCAAGTTCTCATCGGACCCTCAATCGAGGAGACACGAGCTCAGTTGGGGGAGAACGCGTCTTCTAAAGCTCTGCACATCGTCGACCGTATTAACATGGACTTCAAGATTGAAATTTGTATTGTGCCGAAAGCGTCCGACCTCACGAAGTTCCGCATATCGGGTAACCTGCCTGTACTGCATGCATCGATGTCGGATACGAAGTACAAGAACCTCATGAAGCTCGTCGACGTGGCGATTCCGAAATTCAACAACGAGGAGCCAAGCAAAGAGGCGGAGGCGGGAGCTAAGGGTCCGTCCAATCTGAAACCTACCAGCGAAGCACGGCCAAGCGAAGATCCCCTTGGTCGACAGCGGTCCAAATCATTCCAATTTGCAGCGCAGGAGCACGAGCTTGTCATGGAGTTGGAGGAAGACGAGAGTGGTGACGACCAGAACGAGAAGTTTGAGGAGGCGCCGGAAGTGAAGACGAAGAAGGACATCAACATTCATCAGCGGAACTTTGAGTTCAACTTCAGCGTGGCGAGGCTGCAAGGTTCGCTGTACCGATCGGATCCTGAGGGCAAGAAACCGGATCAGCTACTTGTGGAGCTTGTTGCCGAGCATTTTGATCTCGAGTTCTACCAGGAGCCTTTTGCGATGGTGGCAAATGTCCGGCTGAAGTCTCTTGCGGTCGAAGATCATGTCGAAGAGAACCCTATACCAGAGTTCAAGAATATAATCTCCTCCGAGGATGTCTCTGCCACCGAACAGAAGGATCTGTTCTCGCTCAAATTCGTAAAGGTCAACCCGGAGTCTCCAGAGTTCATGACGAAGTATGAGGGTATTGCAATGAACTTGGACGTGGCAGTATCGACAATCAGTTTAATAGTTACGCGGAGAACCCTTCTGACACTGTTGGACTTCGTCCTCATCACGTTCACAAACCCTGGAGCTGCACAGGCGCAGCAACAACAGATTGCAGCGAGACCGGAAGATGAGGAACAAGTCGTTAGTCAGCCTCAGGCGCAAGAAGATAAGATTCGGATTCGTGCAGAGTTGAAACGGATAGCTGTCATTTTGAACAATGATGGGATTAGACTTGCTACCTTGAGTCTAAACTCCGGTAATGTGGGGATCTTCATCTATGGCAAGACTATGCGCACTGGCGGTCGCCTGGGGAATCTCACCTTGGTGGACGATGTTAATGTAGGCGTACCGGAGGAATCACCGCTGCGCCAGCTCGTCACCATCGAGGGCAAGAATCTAGCGGATTTCAGCTATGAGACATTCGACCCGGACTTGGAGAGCTATCCTGGTTATGATATGGCAGTCTCCTTGAGGACCGGTTCCATCAAAGTCAACTTCCTCACGGAGCCCTTCCGCAAGATTATGGAGTTTGGCGTAAAGTTCGGGAGAATGCAAGCCATTTTCAACGCTGCGCGCCAGGCCGCTGCGAACCAGGCTGTGCAGATTCAAGAAAGAGCGAACAAATTCCACTTTGACATCGTCATCAGTACACCTATCGTCGTCTTCCCTAGGATGGTCGTATCGGACAAGCCTGAGCGGGATACATTGACTGCCAACCTGGGAGAGATTTATGCGAAGAATAGTTTCGTGCCCCTTGATGATTCGGCGGGTTCGGATGTTGCGAATAAGCTTTCTGCTGGTATCAGAAACATCAAGTTGACTTCGAACTTGCATTACGAAGATGACCGAGCCGAAGTGCTGGAAATGATCGACAAAGTGGACTTGGACTTCAACATCACCATGGTGGAGCATAAGTCTGGACAGCATAGGCCGGATGTGGAGGTCGTAGGGTCGATGTCGGACATCAACCTGAAAATCACGCCGGAGCAGATGAAGTTCGCACTGGAGCTCTCACGTTCGATTCCGGATGCATTTGCCACCGAATCCGACGAGGAGATAGAGGAGGATGTGAACCAGCAGTTACCAGACTCTACGACTGAGCCCGCGAGGCATCTGACAGAACGTCCGTCTCCAACAGAAGCAGTAGCTGAGTCGACGACAGCGCAGGCTCCAGAGCTCCAACCTGGTGACCAGAAGTGGACCAAACTTGATTTCGTTTTCAAGGTGGGCACAATTGGGCTTGAGCTGATCAGGTCGCAAGAGGGTCAACCGGTCCGTGATGTGGAAGCTGCCAGTCTGTCCGTCTTCTCGCTCAATGAGACCCACGTGAAGCTTCGCATGGTCAGTGATGGAGCTATGGAAGCTGAACTCGTTGTCCAGTCGTTCACCATCCGTGATAGCCGGACTAAAGGCACCAACAAGTTCCGGAAGATCATGTCGCTCATCAATAATGATGTCAAGCAACAGTTCATGGCGAGCGTATCCATATCCGGTGGAAAGGATAAGAGTGCGATTGCTCTTCTCTCCATCGACAGCCCGAGGATCATCCTTGCTCTGGACTATTTGTTCGCTTTGCAAGCGTTTGTGAATGCTGGTCTCGCAACCGATGAGCCTCTAGCCATTGAAGAACAAACTGAGGAGACCGAGGAGACTGCCAGTGCGGTGGTCCCTCTTACTCCTGGCGGTGAGATGTCGCCGGATAGGTCTGAGATATCCGAGATGCCCGCTGAAACAGGAATGGATGTATCTTTCCGGCTAAACCTGGTGGACGCTCAGGTCGTCCTGATTGCCAATCCAGCGCTGTCGAACTCGGAAGCCATCGTCCTTGGGACGAAGCAGGTTCTGGTGTCAAAACAACAGGCCATGACATTGCAGGTAGATAAGATTGGAATGTTTCTCTGCCGCATGGACAAGTTTGAGACAAGCCGTCTACGTATATTGGACGATTTCAGCATTCAGACCGCGCTGGATATCCGGAATCAAGGTCCGAAGTCATCCTTGACGAGCATCAATGTTGATATTGAACCCCTCATCCTCCGGTTGTCACTTCGAGATATCCTTCTCGCCATGCAGATCGTCAATCGTGCATCTGCTATGTCGGCCAAGGAGGACGAGAGGATGGCTAGCGAAGAACCAAAGAAACTCAAACAAGGACCAACTTCTACGAAGCCAAAATCCACCGCAGGAAAATCATCAACGACAAGGCCACGAGCGAAGAGTAGTGCGACAACAAGACGTTCAAGTCAGCACGGTGCTGTGGCGCAGCGTCGACCGTCAGGCTCCGCTGTGCTAAGACGCGAGGAGATGAATGTCAATGTCGAAGGCATTCGAGTTGTCCTCATCGGCGATGTGCATGAGCTGCCCATGATTGACTGGCGAGTAAAGAAGTTTGGAGTCGAGGTTCGGGACTGGTCAGGCGCAATGACCGCAGACGCCTCCGTTGACACGCTCATCAACGTCTTCAACTTTTCCAAATCGGCTTGGGAGCCGCTGATTGAGCCTTGGCAGCTGGGCTTCCACATGTCCAAGGACCAGAATCCGGAGAGACTCAGCGTAGAACTGTACTCGCGCAAGGTTATGGAGCTCACTGTTACAACCGCTACCATCGCATTAGTTTCAAAATCCCTAGACTTCCTGACTACGGATGAGGATATCTTGTCGAAACCGCGCGGAAACTATGCCCCCTACCGGGTTCGCAATTACACGGGCTTCAATCTAAACATCTGGACTGAAGGTAGAGACTCGTCAGATGGTTATGCGGTCAAATTGGAAGACGGAGAGGAACAACCGTGGCGCTTCGAGGATCCTACTGCAACGCGTGAGAGCTTGTCTACTGAAGGGTCCACTGGTAGTCTGGGCATTCGACTTGAAGGCAGCGGCTTCGACAGTATACAGAGGATTCAGGTGCATCGTGAAGGAGAGACGTTGTATAACTTGAAGCCTCAAAAGGACCGGGTACAACATCGCATTCTCGTAGAAGTCAAGCTTGGGCCGGATAACGTCAAGAATATCACGTTCAGGTCGCCTCTCCTTGTGGAGAATAACACGCAGATTCCGATTGAGCTAGGCATTTACAGTCCCCAGGAAGGTCATCTGGTGAAGATCGAGAAGATTGCTCCTGGCGATGCAAGGCCAGCCCCAGTGGGAGCTGCGTACATGCATTCCTTGGTAGTTCGACCCGACCAAGGCTTCGGATATACTTGGTCGAACGAGCAACTGTTTTGGAAGGACCTTCTGAGGCGACCGACGAGAACGATCACTTGTCGCGGGGAACATGACGACCAATCACCTCCGTTCTTCTTCCAACTGTATGCTGCCTTCGACAAGAAGGATCCGCTGACAAGTGTGTACCCTTATATGCGCCTTCGTCTCGCCGCACCGGTTGAAGTGCAGAATCTGCTGCCTTTCGACTTCAAGTATAGGATTTACGACAGCAATACAAAGAAGGATTGGACCAATTTCCTGCGAAAGGGAGGTGTCAGTCCTGTTCATGTTGTTGAGCTCTCTCATTTACTGCTTATCAGCGTGGACATGCAGGATACGCCATTCAGACCGAGCAAGTTCGGCATTATCAATTCGACTGATCGGGAAAGTTTCAGAAGGGAAAATCGTTTGGAGGTCAAAGATCAGGACGATCTGAGCTTGTATCTCCATATGCATTTCTTGTAAGTCGAAAACATGATCAGGAACGTGACGGTGCACTAAGCATTGTAGCAACTATCCCGACGGCGGTGGTTCCTTCAGGGTGACCATCTTCAGTCCTTATGTCATTCTCAACCGAACCGGTCTGCCGCTCGATATCCGCAGCAAACAATTCCTGGGACAGGCCAATCGAGCAGCTGGTCAAATCATGCCCGAAAACGGCACCGATGTGCAGAAGCCCACGCCTTTCATGTTCTCGTTCCCCACAGACGATAAGAAGAACCGAGCTCTCATCAAGGTGGGCGATTCCAATTGGAGCAAGCCTCAGAGTTTCGACGCTATTGGCAGTACTTTTGCTGTCACACTCCCGAACTCGCAGTCAAGATCCGATATGCATATTGGTATTTCCATTGACGAGGGCGAAGGCAAATATAATCTCACGAAGGTGGTTACGATTGCGCCGCGTTTCATCATCAAGAATAAAATCAAAGAGGATCTGAATATTCGCGAACCAGGATCGTCAGAAATACTGTCTCTGAAGAATGGGGAGCTCCTGCCTCTCAGGTGGTTGCGGCAGGGTGGAACTCCCCAGCTTTCGATATGCTATCCGGGCGTTAGCAACCAGTGGTCATCACCATTCAATATCTCCAATGTTGGAAGCGTCCATGTGAAGCTTTCGAAAGCAGGCCAGCGACAAAAGCTAATCCGCGTCGATGTGCTGATGGAACAGGCGACTATCTTTGTCCATATCAGCGTTGAGACTAAGCATTGGCCATTTTCTTTCAAGAATATGAGCGATCAAGAGTTCCTCTACTGGCAAACCGACCCTAATTTGGATGAGGACGAAGAGGACCGGGGAACCGGATTCAGGCCGATTCGGTACCGCTTGCCGCCACGCAGCATCATGCCATACGCTTGGGACTTCCCTGCCGCCAAGAACAAGGAGATCGTTCTCACTGCTAATGGAAGGGAGAGGCATATCAAGCTCTCGGAAATCGGTAATCTCATTCCCTTCAAGCTTCCGCCGGCTCAAGGCCAGAATAAGTCAAAGATCATTGATCTCAACGTGGTCGCCAATGGACCGACACAAACCCTAGAACTTTCCAACTACAAGCCGTCGAAGAGTCTGTACAAGCAGAAAAACGGCAACGCGTCCTCCTCCGCTGCTGGCGGTTTTGAAGTCAAGGACATGGATACGCACGTCACCTTCCGAGCGCAGCTTCGCCTTGCTGGCATCGGTGTGTCGCTTGTTAACCGGCAAATGCGAGAGCTTGTGTACGTCACGCTGAGGGACATTGAGCTCAAGTACTCCGACTCTCCACTCTATCAGATGATCAATCTTTCGATTAAGTGGATTCAGATTGACAACCAGCTTTACGGAGGCATCTTTCCCATCGTCTTCTATCCCAGCGTGGTACCGAAGACTGGGAAGGAAATGGAGGCGCATCCTATCTTCCAGACGAGCGTCACTCGCGTCAAAGATGATTCATACGGTGTGCTATATATCAAGTACGCAACCATTCTCCTCCAGCAGATGACTCTGGAGATCGACGAAGACTTTATATTTGCGCTTCTTGACTTCGCCAAGATTCCGGGCGCATCGTGGTCTGAGCAGAAGGAAGGCAAGCTGTGGGAGGAGTCACTGGATATCCCCGAACCCCAGCAGGAGCAGTCAGGACAGGACATTTATTTCGAGCTTCTACATTTGCAACCCATGCAGTTCGACCTTTCTTTCGTGCGCACTGAGCGCATCAATGCCGAAGACACGATGACTTCCTCGAGCCCGTTCATGTTCGCTGTTAACGTTCTCACCATGTCGATTGGTAACGTCAATGATGCACCAATCCGGTATAACGCTCTGATGTTGGAGAACGCGCGAGTCTCGACGGCGGCTCTGATCAACAATATCAAGAACCACTATGTGCAAGAGTCGTTACGGCAGGTGCATGTTGTCATTGGTTCGGCCGACTTCCTCGGGAATCCCGTGGGACTCTTCACAAACGTCAGTTCTGGTGTTGCCGATATCTTCTACGAGCCATATCAGGGTCTTGTCAAATCCGATCGCCCGGAAGAACTCGGTATTGGTATCGCAAAGGGAGCTTCGAGCTTCGTCAAGAAATCCGTCTTCGGCTTTTCAGACAGCATGGCCAAGTTCACAGGCAGCATGTCCAAGGGTCTCTCGGCCGCTACCATGGACAAGGAATTCCAAGATCAGCGCCGTATGTCGCGCTCGCGCAACAGGCCCAAGCATGCACTCTATGGCATCACAGCTGGCGGCAACGCCTTCGCGGCCAGTCTTGCCAGCGGTCTCGGCGGCCTCGCCCGTCATCCAATTCAGGGCGCGGAAAAAGAAGGCGCAGTCGGCTTTGTGAAAGGTTTGGGTAAAGGTCTCCTAGGTGTGCCAACCAAGGCCGCCATCGGCGCCTTCGACCTTGCATCCAACATGGCCGAAGGTGTGCGCAACACGACGACCGTGTTCGACCAGGAAGGCCTTGACCGGGTACGCCTAACGCGCTTCATCGGCACAGACGGCATCGTGCGCCCCTACTCGCAGCGTGAAGCCCTCGGCCAATTCTGGCTCAAGACGCTCGACAACGGCAAATACTTCCACGAGGACTACATTGCGCATCTGGAGCTGCAAGGCAGAGACATGCTCGTCATGTTGACGTACAATAACATCATGCTCGTGCGCACCAAGAGCCTGAGATCCGAGTGGGACGTGCCGCTCAAGGATGTGCAGACTATTAGCAAGGAGAGGACGGGCATGAGCATCACGCTCAAGGGGGGTACAAATGGGCCTTTTATCCCGGTGGCGGATGAGGCGAGCAGGAATTGGTTTTATAGACAGGTGGCCGTGGCAGTGAATGCGTGGAATGATCGGTGGAATGCTAAGGGTTAAGCAAGAAATCGGTTTGGGAAAGAGGTTGGGCGCGTGAGCGGCTAGACTGAGTGTTTGTCGGATTTCCTGTATTCTCTTCTTTGTTGTCTCTTTCCAGTAGGGCTGGCATGATATCCAATAGCCTTTCGGTGCAACACAGTTATGTATGTATATGATAATGGATGTCAAAACTTACTCATGTAGATTTAGAGACAGTCATGGTCTTGTTACTTCAGTTCCCACTCCCTCTCCAGAGGGAAAAGAGTTTTCTTTCTGGAGAAGTGTTCATTCACATACTCCCGAACAAGCCCACCCTCTGCTTCTGCCTCCTCCGTCGATCCCACTCCCTCTGCGCCGCCCTCTTATCCGCATCCACAGCATCGCCGCCATCTTCAAAACCACCACCACCACCACCACCCCGCTCTCCCTTCTCGGGATCCGGACTGGGTGGGAACAGCGGACTCCTTACCACGATCCCAACATGCCCCTCCCCATCCCCTTTCATCCTGATGGACAGACTCCCATTCCCCTCGTCGGGATCACTCAGCAGCCAGACATGCTTCATGCTCTTCCTCTTCTCGCCCGCACCCTTCTTCTTCTTCGCTCCCTGACCTGCTCCCTCTGAACCATCGTCATCGTCATCATCATCACCACCACCACAATGTCTCCTCGCCAACCCATCCGCCGCCCACGCCACGCCCTCCCCACCCCTACTAGCCGCAATCACCAAGTCCCTCGGATCAAGATAATTGAACCTCCCCAGCTCCCTCCAACCCCTCGTGCGCACCGCCTCCCCGGCCACGGCACCCAGGACGAGCAAATTGAAGACGAAGATGGCGTAAATGTACACGCGCTGCCCAAACTGCAGACCATACAGGTACACCTGCACATCTCGCTTCTGCGTAAAGGTTTTCCCCACCATGAGCTGCGCGCTCGCGTACGCGGCGAGCATGTCGTCGGCCATGGCCGTGATGCTGTTGGTCAGGCCGGCGAGCGTGGCGGCTTCCTCGCTGACGCTGACCGGGTCGCGCCCCGCGTTGGGCGGCCGCGACATGTTGTACGCCGCGATGCTGGCGTTGAGGGCGTCGCCGAGGAGCGAGACGTACAGGTTCGTCAGGTCGTTGGACAGGAGCTCGAATTGCCGCATCACCGTCCTGGTGAGGTTGCGTTGGGGGTTGAAGTCTGGGATGGGGTTGGCAGGGACGACGCTGATGTTGAGGTTCGCAATGTCGACCGTGACGTTGAATAGGTGCGGCGTGAAGTCGAGCGCGCATTGTGTCGAGTTCAGGAAGGCGTACGACGGGCCGGCCGCGAGGGCGAGGTAGCGGCGAGGGCTCCTTTCGCTGTGCGCGACGCCTATGGCGACGATGGCGTCGCCCGTGTGCCCGATGTAGGCCGACATTTCGCCCGAGTCCACGCTGTCGGGGAGATTACCCGAGGCTTCGTATATCCACTCTGCGACGGGGCCGCGCAACCGGAATGCGGAGGTGCGGTTGTAGATGCAGGTGACGTTGCAGAGGTATCCTTCCTCTTGGTAGATGTAGCCTGCGACTTGGGAGTTGGACGAGATGGACATGTCTGTAAGCCCGGCAGGGGCACCGACGCCATAACTCCGACCTATGTAGCTGAACTGCGTGTTGTCCAATTTGGGGTGGACGAGGCGTTTGCCAGTGGTTGAGGAGGACGCGGATGCCGCGGATGATAGAAGGTTGCCGACGTGCTGGACGCCGACTGAGTAAGTGAAGAAACCCTTTTGGGTACGCAAAGATGGACCAGAGGTGCCGATCTCCATGGGATACTCTCTGATGAGGGATACATCTTCGTAGCTTGGGAGGAGCAGCATGCCTGTGGTGGTTGTACGGTCGATGAATGGTGTTATGGAACCAGCCCAAAGCGCTGCAGGAACGAGACTGAGGAAGACTACCAATAACACCGGGAAGAAGAAGCGTAGTGGGAGGTCCCAATCAATCCGTGGAATGCTCATATCAACCCAAGTACGGAGGACATCCAAGGTGACACTGGCTTTCCTGAGTCGCAACCGCAGTGCATAGTTGATCAGTCTGCACACGACAGCCACATGGATGAGACCGAAAAAGGCAGCCAGAAGTTGCACAATAAGGGCGACTGTGCCAGGGAACCTATTGGCTAGGACAAAGAGGTAACCCGTTGCGCGCCATTCGATGAGATCCGCCATGAGGAGAAGGGTTGCGAGCGTTGTTGTGAAGACCAGTCCATAGAAGGTATTATAGCGAACCCAATGGCTGTATCGTGGTGTTCGTCCATTGCTAGTTGTTGTTCGACGCTGCGGTTTCCAACTGGAGATCCAAGTGATTTGTCGACCGACCATTTATTATTATAACGACTTGACAAAAGGAAACAAAATATTACTTCAATCGAAGGTCTGAGAATGAAAGGGAAATGCACAACGAAGGACGAAAGCTACGAGCTCGATCAACGATCTCGAAGTTGGTCGTCCATGAGAAGAGAAGAACCGAAAGCAGACGACACCTACCGGTAGAGCGCCGGACGCAGTTGCTGTGGGAGTACCCAGGTAGTGATACATCGCAAGGCCAAGTACCGGATGGCTGTTGAGCCGCATAATGCTTGCATTGAGCCGAGCGTTGTCTTCTCAAATAGGCACAGTGTTCCAAAACGGTCAGCATAGAGATGGATCGCGGTACCTCGGCCAGAGCCTCTGACCAGATTCGCAACGAACGTCTCGAAGTGGGACAGACGGGAGAAGCGGGTTATCATAGCGATTCATAAGTAAGCTATAATGCCTTGGGTGAGTCCAGAGTGTTGACGGCCTCCAATTCGACGAGGCGGTATCTGAAGTTCATAGATATTCTGGGACTAGGTCAAGTTCACTACCTTACACTGCACTCACCGAGCATCTCTCTTCTAAAAGGTGCACATCCCTTTACTCTGCTCGTTCCAGGGAAGATGGGAAATATGCCGCTTCTCAGCTCCCACAGTAAACGCATGAGGAGGCCACCCAAGATAGAAACCGAGCACTTCCTTCGCGGTCTGGCACCTGACATCCGGCGTGCCTCAGATCAATGGCAACCGTTATGCGTCCGGGCAGGCTCTGACAACAGTCACAAAGAGTATAATAAGAGAAGGATGCCAGGTCATAAGTTGGCAAGCCAAAAAGCGTATAAGGATGGTGTCATTGTTTGCGAAATTAGTGCGTCTGACGTTGCGGGTTGGATGACAATAATCTTTGTTACTGTCAGATGAGGAAGAAAGAGGAGAGGGTTGGATCTCCCGGCTGGAGGGCTGAGATGGGCCGGGGATCGCAAAAACGCTGGTACCTATTCAAAAAAGCGCAATCCATTCTGCCACCGCCATCTTGGCACGATGAGGGTTCTGGTTTTCGTCTCAACACATCTGAAACGTCTGCCCCTCTCTCGAGTGTGATTCCTGCACATGTTCACACGCTATGGATGCAGCAACGGGTGAGGGTGGTGAGGGTGTATCCCATGGAAATTGTAGTCGAGTCGATTATTTCCGTTTCTTAGAGGTCGACACGATAACCGGAAGAAAGGGAGGGAAAGAGAAAGCGCAGGTGGCAGGTGGACCACAAGTCCGCCACGCATCACGCGTCCTCACCGCCAATATCCATGACAACACCTAGGGAATGCCAGTGGCCAGGTGCTCACCGGCTTCGTGCGCAGCCTCTACAACTAAGGGGAATGCTTCGACTTTCTTTCGATCTGCGTATTACTTGACCAGCCACACTAGTACGCGTAACTCGATAATTCGGCGAGGCTGTGCACCCTACCCACCGGTGTGCAAGTATTGATGGCTGAGAAAGGCGTACCCGACCCGTAACCGTTGATTCACAAGAGTGTGCGTCGAAGAGCGTTATTCACTCTTCCGCAGACTAGCTGAGCAGATAACTCAAATTCACTCCAACAGATGGTCTGCACAAGGAAGCAAAGCACGTGCACACAGATTCAGTGAGATCGGAATTGAGTGATTGATTGATTGATTGATTCGCTTTAATTGATTAACTCAACCTCTTCAGAGGAGAGACTAACTACGCCCTTTATGCTATATTCGAATCCCTTACTTCCTGAAACGCAACAAGTGAAGAATCCCATCCGTCCCAGCGCCGCTGCAATGCTATGTATGCTGAATATATGCAATGCTGGAAATGGTCCGACAAAGTCTTTTCCTGACACAACAAATGGAAAGAAAGAGGAAAGAAACGTCGATGACCCAAAAAGCCAGTTGAGGGAACCATCATCGCTCATATCCCATAGACACATCTCTCATGTCTCGAACAGCAACAACAAAGAAAAACGTCGGTTGATGCAGGAATTAATAGGCATTCTGCCTAAGCGTATAAGGGTTCGCACCGCCAAACATCCGGTTGAAGAAGCCGCTAGTGCTCGTCTTCGCCTTCTTTGCCGGCTTCTCGTCATACCCCATGGAGAAGGAGTGCTGGTGCTTGTGCTTGGGTGCGGCGCCGAGAGCATGGATATGTACAATGGTGGCTCCGCTGTCGGCGTCGTACCGCTGCATGATGGCCTCCTCGGGCTCTTCGTGGAGACTGGCCGGGGACTCCGAGGCAGTGGAGACGGAGGAGCTGCGGGTGGGAGGGGACAGAGAGGGAGTCCGCGAGGGCATACGCGAGTGCGTTTGATAGGCGGGGCGCATCCTCTGCGAACCCATGGCGTAGGAGACGTAGGTGGAGGAGCCGTAGGCGATGGCTTCCTGGTGAGATCGCTGGAGGTTCTCGGCCGTGAGTTGGTACTGCTGGCGAGCGAGCTCCTTCTCGCGCTCGGCGATCCGTGCCTTCTCGGCCTGGCGCGCCTGGTAGATGCGGATGGGGGCTAGGAAAGGCTCGAGGTGGTAGTAGAGATCCTCGGGGTTGATACGGAGATCCCAATCAAGAAGGTAGAGGAGCTGCTTCTCCATGAGGTTCACTTCCGTGATGGAGAAGCCGAAGTTGTCGTAGCCACGGACGGCACTGTAGCGCGCCCAGTGCTTGTTCTTGGGAGACGAGTCGTTGAGGTTCTTAGCCGCGAGAATCAGAGAGGCGAGAAAGATGCGGTGGACGGTGCAGCGCATGCCCTTGGCAACAGGAGGAAGGCGAGCCTTTAATCGGCTGAGGTAGATGAGGGAAGTCATGAGGGTGGGGACCTGGACATGTGACCTTTCAACCAGAGACGTGATGAACTCCTCAACCGAAGGAAGGGCCGGTTCCCTGTACTGAGTAGCATGCTGGGGAGGCGATGCTGGCGGCGTAGGGGGAAGGTTCTTGTTGAGAGAAGGTTCGCAGCGGATGACTTCGGAAGCTTTTTGTGCCAGGTAGGTGATCATATCCTGTGAGACGGGAAGCTGGATGAAGTGGTCCAGTGCAGCCTTGTTCTGCGACGCCAGGTTGGGAGAGTAAGTCATGATGAAGGGCGACGTGGTGTTGAGAGGGAAGGGTGGTAGGGTATCTTTAAAGATAGATAGATAGATGCTCAGCTGGGCAATCCGCGACCCGATCCGGAAGATGGAGGTGCAGGGATAGATTAAGCCGTGCGAGGCGGAAACAAGGGATGCGCAAGGTGGCCAGGCGATGTTCCGGTCTGTTAAGCGGGGTGTAAGCTTAGTCCGGCGGAAACGAAAGCGAGGTTGAAACAATCAACGCTGCAGGCGATGAGGAGGATGGAGGATTGAGGAAGAGGATGTGTTGGAGTTTCCGACCGGCGGAAGGAAGGTGGTAGGCAGGCAATTAATGAAAAATGTGAAGGGCGAGGGGACAGACTGCAAGGAGTCTGGAAGGGAGACGCAGGATTGGCACTGCCAAAAATGGGTCGAGGGAGGGAGGTAGGTGGAATGGAGCCTGCGCCGCAGCCCGGGGAAATATGTGAAGGGAAAGAAGAAAGGAAAAGAAGAGGAGAAGAATGTGTGTGTGTGTGTGTGAAGTGGATTGCACTGACCGAAAGCGAATTGTATCTGCGACGCAGGGCGAGATACTTATTCTCAGAGATGCGCTCGTGGTGGTGGGTGTTGGGGAATGCAGGGTGAAGGAGCGGCAGCCAATCAGCGGGCTATCCGGCCAGGGTGCTGCTGACTACAACAGCGGTGAGCGGCAGGAGAAACGGGAGCAGACCAGTTCGGCGGCTGCGAGTGGTCGACACGGGAGACTCGAGTAGCGGAAGAAAAGCAACCCCCAGAGCGGGCGTGTTTCAAGAAGAGCGGCAGACGATTCGTCGCTTGCCAGTTGTTTCGCAGCGTCGCAGTGGTCTATTCGAGGAAACGCGCACGACAGCCAATCCCGCGAGATGCTCAGAAGGCCGGGGGACCAGCGGGTCAGTGTTTCGAAAAATAGGAAGGGGACTGGTTGTTTGAGAAGCTGCCGCGCGCTGCAAAGGGTTTGCAGGCCTGTTGGAGGAACTCGCCCAAGGTCGGTGAAGGGAGATGGTTTGCTGTCGTTGCACCCGCAGCCACGGATGGGGTCTCGCTTTGTAGATTCACTTCGTGTTGTCTTTCCTTGAAATGCCTCGACGCGGCGAGGTGGCTGGCAGCGAACTGTGAGGCGGTCTGGTATGCAAGTCGTTGGGCTCCGGCTCTCAGGCTGTTCCCAACGTGGCAGAGGAATGGCCGACAGCGAAGAGCAGCACACGACACGCAGGCCATATATCGTAGATGGCATCCTCTCACCCAGTGGCGTACACGTTGCTGCGAATGCCCGGACTTAGCCTAAGGGGGCTTTGGTGATGACGAGTATGAGCTGGCCACATGCCCATAGAGGCCAGCCCCGTGCGGCCTCCATACACAGAAGAGTGAAGGTGACGGTCAACAACAGTCGGCCGAGGTGCCCGTGAATGCTGTGGCCACTACGAAGGTGCTCTAGAAGGGTATGGGCTGGTTGGCCCACGGGCCCTGCAGCCACTGTAGGGCTTCCCGCGCTGCTTGGCAGGACAACTTTATTATGCAACTTAGAGCTGCTATTTTATATAGTAAATTTATAGAGGAGAGCTGCTAGAGAGCGATTGTTTGTATACTTTTTAATCTAGCGTTATTCTAAGTAAATTTTCCTATAGTTTTAACCTACTACCTTTATCTTAACGCAGCTACTAGTGTATAGGCAGTAGCTATCTATATATATAAAACAAAGCACTAATATTAGAATAAATTTTCTACTTAGAATTATAGCTCTAAATTTAGAATACTATTTTATTACAACAACATGTACCTAGGGCAGTTGTTGATTACTCTTACCTTTTTAGGGTCGTGGCTCGGTGGCATAGAGTCGGGTCTTGACAGAATATATATTAAACTTGTTCCTCCTTACCACGCAAAAGCATTAACCTCGAGCTCAAACTCTACTTTCTCATGACGGCCTAAGCTCGACACCAGGGCACGCACATCATCACACAAAGACGGCGGTCCGCAGACAACCACGCCAATCTTTTTATATCCAGCCTCGACCTCTTGTTGCAACAGACCTCGTATGTCGAGACGTTCACCAATTCGAACCTCGTGGTCTACAACGCTCCGCACAGCGCCGCTCAACTCGCTAACCAAGGCCTGATCCGCTTGCTTCACGCTCCACGCCACCTTGACATTGAGGTGCGCGTTGATTAAAGCTAGCAAGCCTGTAATGCCGATACCGCCACCAATGAGCAGAAGCCGGTCGGTGTTGAGGACGCCAGCAGGCGGGCTATTTAGGTAGGGTCCATCAAGGAGAGTGAGCAGGCCTGTATGTTTTCCCAAGAGCCGCGTCATCCCAGTAGACTTGCGAATGTACAATGTGATACCAGCGGTTGTTCCCATGTCAGTGGAAACATGCGCAGTCTCGACTTGAGCTTTGGACTTGTCCGTGGCGGAGTCCTCGGCTGAGGAGTTGCCTCGACTGACTGGACGGCTTCTGAAGGTACGGAGGAGCGCCGTGGAGTTGACTGAGAATGGATGGTTCTCCCAGGGTTTCATCGGGCTAAGAGTAGGAAAGTAAACGTATCCGTGGTAGCCTGGTTTGCCACTGAACCGAATGCCAGGTATTTCGACCCGGACATGATTCGAGCCAATGTCTGTTACAGTCGCGCGACGTACCCCATTGGTGACTATACGGACGACGCGAAGTATACGGTCGAATGCCCACACGGCAACAGCCGCATATAACCAGTACTCGTGGTCGCCCTCGTATCCGAACCGCAAGATGAGATGATACCAGCAGCCAACCACGGTGAAAATCGCCATGATGATGTGGCCGATGAGAAAGACTTCATAGGAAAGGCGGCGCATCCAGAGAATACTCCACACGAGCATAGCGCAGACAAAGACTGTGCCCACTATTCCCCATTGCCAATACGGTAGCCTAAGATCAGCTTGGTACGTGCCGGTCTGGATACGAGCAGCGAGGAGGAAGACTGAGTGCAGTATAGTATGCAGAGCAAAAAGACGCGCTACCCAGCGGTGCAACAAAAGGTATGTCGAGTGAGACCAATTGGTAAGCCACAACAGAATGTTGTTCCGACCGGCGAAGAGAATAGTCAGGGGCAGGAGCGCGAAGGCAAACTCTCCAGTTCGATAACCAGCATATGCCAGGATCTCGCCCCGCTTATCATAGCCCCAAGGATGAATAAGGGGCCACTGGGTTGAGTAGTTCACACAAGAGAGAATGACGTTGAGTATCACGAAGCCGGCAATGTACAGGCCTTGTCCAATGGTAGGTGGGTTGCCCAACTGCCATGGCAGGGACTGACTGTGGGTCCTGCCGATCATAGAAGGCCAGACTATGAAAGGTCTGAGTTTGCCCGAGATGGAAGAGAAAAAAGGCAGTTTGGGGAGGACCGTCATGGCGATGGGAGTAGTAAAACCGACAATGAGTAATACAAGGCTATGAACAGACCGATTAGTAAAGCATCCATCCATGAGTGGTACGCTATCTTCTTACGAGTACTTGTAGAGTAGCACGGTGTTGTGATCCATAACGGGCATGAAGTTGTTCCAGTTCGTCCACAAAACTTCCGGGACGGTCATGGTCATGTTCAGAGTGTGACCCCTCATCCAAGCCATGTGCGGCTTTCCGTCAACTTGGCTGCGGGCTTCTTGATAGCTCCACTTTGCGGGAACGTCGGGTGCCCCTGTTGCCGTCTCAATCCACAGCTGCTCGAGCTGCCAGAGTGGAACTTTGCCGTCGCACTTGTCGTCGAAGCAATAGGCCAGCGACGTCAGCCAGGCATCGTCGTTTGCACGGCAGTTGGGAGTCGCCATCATCATGGCATGATCGCCCATGTCCATCATGTGTGAGCAGGTCAGATTTGCGGTTCCCAGGACGTTGCGGCAGGCTCGGGCGCAGTAGGGAGACTGGTCGGCACCACCCATGCCCATAAAGGCACCGGCGGCAAGAGGGACGCTTGCGAGCAAAGTGTAGACTATCGAAAACCTCATGATTGTACTTGTAACGTTATGAGGGGAATGATTTAGTGGTCAGAGTCTCCACTCCCTTAGTTATCATATTCTCCAGTCGCGTATATATGTGCGCCCGCCGCCTGGCCTATGGGAGGCAAATGAACAGAGAGTTGGCAAAAGAGAGTGGAGGCGTACGCCTGCGGCGCGGAACCTGCTCAATATCCAGAATGCCATGGCTCTTTCCGGCCTATTGTATCGTTGGTGAAGGGCGGAAAGGATTCAATGTTGATTAAATGAGCAAGTTATCACTCCGGAAGCTTTCAGGATAGGGCCATCCCACAGGTCCTTGGCCCGTGCACCTAGCCAAGATGCCTGCATGTGTGCCCTTTACTGCACCCTCCTGCATCCGATGGAAACGCGATCCTTAGGCGCAACCTGCTTATATATACTAGAAACAAGACGTTGCTGCTATAGGCACTTTTAAAAGCATAAGAAAAAATAGAGCAGTAGAATTATAAAAAGATATACATAACGTGTTTCACAAGCGAGCGCCCTACCTAAGCGAGTGCCCCATTGAACACTGCGAAAGCACGTGTACAGTGACAACACATAATGTCACAACAACAACGAGCTCAGAGAACCTATACTGAAGGTGACGTGCAGCTTGCTATCTCCGATATCCAAAGAGATCAAATTAAAAGCCTTCGGTGTGCTGAAACAATCTACACTGTTCCTCGAAGAACGATCCAACAGCGATGCACTGGAACGTACTCTCGACACAACTGTGAGCCAAACTCAAAGCACCTAACAAAACTAGAAGAGGAGGTGAATGTGGAATGTATACTTGATGAGAGTTTACATGGTGTACCGGTATCGAAGGCAGATGTACGAGATATGGCCAACAGACTACTAAGAGAGCATGGTGAGAAGCCTACTGGCAAGAACTGGGTTGATAATTTCATCAAGCGTACATCTGAGCTGCGAACACGATGGAGCTGTTCGTACAATCGCCAGCGAGCTGCCTACAAGGATCCAGCGGTTATCCGGCCTTGGTTCACACTTGTTCAGTCGATGAAGGTGAAGTATGGTATTGTAGATGAGGACATCTACAACTTCGATGAATCCGGCTTCTTAATAGGCAAGATATCATCTCAACTTGTTGTTATAGGCTCAGAGAAACCTGGAAAACAAAAGAAACTACAGCCTGGTGATCGTGAGTGGGTTACTCTAGTACAAGGTATCGACGCAACAGGATATGTTATCCCACCCTTCATCATCTTCGTAGGCAAGATTCTTATCTCCTCCTGATTCAACAATCTTCCTCGTGACTGGATTATTGAGGTCTCTGCTACTAACTGGATTAATAACAACCTCACACTGGCATGGCTCAAGTACTTCGATATGTATATGAAGACTCATACTATAGGGGTATATAGACTGCTTATTATTGATGGGCACAAGAGCCACTGCTCTGTAGAATTCCAGGACTACTGCAAGGAGAACAAGATCATAGCTCTCTATATACCTCCATACTCATCACACCTCCTGCAGCCCACTTGACATTGTCTGCTACTCGCTGCTAAAATGTCTCTATGGTGACAGGATCTCAGCCTTGGCATGCAGCCATGTCCACCATATCAGCAAAGAAACCTTCCTACCAGCCTTTAAAGCAGCTTTTGAGAAGGCATTTATAAAGGAGAATGTTTGTGCAGGGTTTCGAGGTGCTGGGATAATCCTATATGACCCAGAGGCTATGCTATCAAAGCTAGATGTGCAGCTGCATATGCCAATACTACCTGCACCAGGTGCTATCGATTGGGAAGCAAAAACATCATATAATGCCTATGAGATAGAGGCGTAGGCAACACTTATTCGAAATAAGATTCAAAGGTGCCCAGGATCCTCAGCAAGTTCTATAGATGAGCAGGTGTGGCAGCTTACAAAAGGTGCTCAGCAGATAGCGCATAATATGGTGCTGATACAGGAGGAATTGAGTCGCTTAAAAGATGTAGTAGAAGCAGCTACAAAGCACAAGGGTTATAAGCGGCGATATGTGCAGACACAGGAGGCCTTAACAGTTGGTGAGATATCTGACTTGATCGCTGAAAAAGAGAGTAGCAGCCATAAGGGAAGCAAGATGCCTGCGAAGAGAGTGTGTGCAGAGAGGCACTGCAGCTGTTGCGGTGAGACTGGGCACAACTCCCGTACTTGCAAGGTCGAAATACAGGATGCAGAGGATAGCGAAGCTTCTAAATAATACTATATTATTGCGTATAGTACTAATTATTGTTGTAGTGTTGCGCAACATCACTGTATACGTGCTTTGGTGGTGTCCGCTGGGATGCTCGCTTGGATGGGGTGCTCGCTTGTGAAACACGTTAGCTAATAGCTTAATATAGTAAAGAAATATATAATATTAGCCTATATATCTATAACATTACCTGTTGTTAAGATATAGGTGTTTAATTAAATTTACTGCAACAGCATTGCTGAGGAGCTGCTGACTACCCTACACTGTGGCTCCTCGCATGGGGCACCAGCCCATACCTTTCTGGAGCGCCTCTCCTGGAGCAGCGGACAATTCTCATCGCTATCGAGGAGTACGCGTGCGCCACCAAGCCGCATTGCGGGCTGGCCAGCGAGGAGAGGCCGGGAGGTCCGAAAGCAGTCAATGACTTTTTGCAGAGGTGGCTGCGTTTCCCTGGCCGTCGCCTTTCTGTGGCGGTGCTGTGGCCGGGCAGCGGCAGATCGTCGGAACGCCCCGGTGGCCGTTCATTGGCACTTGCAACCCTCACAACAACCTCCCATCGTTTTCAACAACGAGAGAGATGGAAGCAGGCCTCCTCCACTATGGCACTGGTACGCAGGGGGTCCTACAGGCATCGGGGCCCGCCTCTTCAGCTCTTCCACATTGTTGCTGCCTTCACACGGAGACCGCTCGCCAAGATTGCCGCTGCACTGCCCCCAGCTTCATGCGCTCCAGACTCTCTTCTCCATCACGAGTCCCAAGGCCACCCGCCGATCGACATCCATTGAGTCGTGTCTCGGACTGACCACAAGGCGGCCATCGCGTCTGCTGAGTTATCTTGGCCTCTCTACGGGCGTCAACCGTGGGGTGCCGTGTTACAAAGCAGCAGCCGCCCGCGTCTCCACTCCAGCGCTTCGCAAAATGACTGACATGCGTTCCCGCGGCGCCTCGCCCAGCTTCACCATCTGACGCCCGATTTAGAGACTCGCCGTTCCACGCGCCTGTATCACCGTCTCGACCAGTCCAGTAGTAGCAACTGCTTCTTGATCTAGGTACTTCTCTGTCTGTTATGTCGGCCACAAGCATAACACCGTCGGCTCCGTTCTAGCCGCTTCCTTCGCATGTCGTCGGCACCGGAACTTTCTTCATCGCATCATGCTTGCTATCCGTATCGTACGTGTCAAAGAGGCGCAGTGAAGGTGATACTGCAAACCAGTCCGTTGCCCCATCATCCGTTGAACCTTAGCCATCCTCGCCACGGGCTGTACTCTCGAGGTACATGTGGAGAACATTCCCTTATCGAAACATCACCGCAATTTACCGTGGTATGGCTAGTGCCTTCTGATCGAATTGCTGTACCCAATTTGAGGGCCGCAGAAAACCGACAATGTGCCCTTCAGTTCCCTTCGATTGCCATGGGATTTCAACTCCAATACTTCATGCAGTCCCTGAACTCTCCGTTTCCGGACCTTCCAAGTCTGTGCTAACATGCCAACACAAGGAACCTCCCGTCGTATACCGGCAGTGCATCATGGTCGGCCTTATATTGCGAGGCTACATCCGCCTTGAATGAAGCAGAACAGCGGTGAACAACTCAGTCTTTTGATTCGCAGCATCTCGGGACGGGTCGACATATCGTACTCCTTCATGCACAGTGCCCAATCATTGATTGCGTGGTCGTTGGGAGGTACCTCTCAGCCATCTCCGCCGCACATTCGCTCGTATATACGGTGCTGATCCACCTACGTATATTTCGGCTCGTCTCACTGCCGTGTACCGGCTTAGCTCAGATCCCTTGTATGAATACGACGACCATTATTTCTCCTTGTTGCCAGCGAAAAGCACAAGCCGTACAGGATTTCGCTACCGTAACCGCATGTCCACGGACGTACTCAGTTCGGAAGTGTGATATTCCTCCCAATGCGTCAACAACTCAGGACTCGGTTTCCAATATCCTTCTTCAGCGCACCGACTAGTCCGTAACATCACCGCAGTTTTTGACTGCATCCAGAAATCTGTTCGCAAGGTCACCAACCAGCTCGCAAACACTCAATTGTAATACGTGACGAGTCTCCCAAAGCCAGAATATACGGAGTAGTGTACACACACTCCCTCCTCCTACTTCCACCTAGCCCCTGTCGACCTCCGGAGTCTCCCTCCAATCATCTCGACGTTGCGTTTGCTCCCACCCCTTTCCCTGCATATTACCATGACCTCCATATGAATAGCAGTGCTGGAAATAATCGATTGGTCGTTGATGTTTCGTTTCATGCGCGTACAGGGTTTGTGTTTATGCGTTGCTGGACCCGAATGGCTTCGTACAAAGTTGTCTGCTATACTACAACTTGCCATCTCGTTAACCCCAAGGGGTATCTAGCGCTCCTGCATTCGAATGATGATGGTGCGCTGGCAGGAATTATCATCTGCGGCGAAGCGAAATCTTTTCTCTGATAGGTGGCTGATAGATGCTCTTCTCTCAGCAGTAGATGAAAACCATTCATCCTCTTTCCACTATACCTCTATTAGAAGGTTCGGACAGTGTGAGACGTACCCTATGATTCCTCGCTACACTACCGCGATCCCAAAAATCGTCTAACATGAGCGAAAATAAATATCAAGCATGTAGATAGCCATTCCGCATCTGTGAATAAATCCATCTCGCTCGCTCGCATCCACTAATCCGACACCAACATCTCTCCCCCAGAACCTCTAGAAGCTGGAATCTGAATCGCTAGAGCGAAGCGCGCGACGGTGTTGGTCCTGTACTGTGCCGCCCGCAGCTATGTATAGCCAGCCCTACAGAAGCAAGCAACCCCGGCTCCATACGTCATGCTGTGCCGCCCGCAGAGTTATCATCATATGCATGAACGTTAACGCCGGGTTTAGTTCTAGAAGCGATGATGGGGACGGCAGAGAGAATACCGGTACCATGGCAAAGGGGTAGTTGCTGTGCCGCATCCTGCAATCTCTCGACAGCCTGTAATCGAGCCCGGATGATTCAACATTCCCAGCGGTGAAAGGTAGGTCTTCTATGTGGCGGTTGTTGTTCTGGGTTTAGTGTTACCGTGTAGAATGATGTGGGTGGAAAGTGACGACGAAATTGGACGGAAACGCTTCTCGCGGAGGGCCTTGGGATGGCAGACTATTTGAGTATCCCTGATTTCGCATATGGTTTGGTATGAGAATATACGGGTTGGAGGGCAAGACATGGGATGAGAGGGGCGAGATGTAGGCATTGGATGGGTGGCATTTATGGAAAGTATCTATTATCAAACTTTTCAATATTTCCCTCAGAGCCAATCCCCCTCGATATCCGCTGATATTGAATAATCTCGATAAGTTATCATATGATTTCTCTTCCCTAAGCTGGCGTTCTAACTGTTTTATTCGTCGACTTCTGTTAATGATTTGTTTTTACTTTGGGGTGTTGAAACCCCACTCTAAAGGACTGAGCTCTGATTCCACTCGCCATTGGCATTGACATGAGAACACGCCTACGCAGCCGTGCGTGATTTCAGCTCCAGTACCTCCCAAGATACTAGTACTGTCGAACAGAATTCGACTCATCCTCATCCTTCCCATGCCTGCCCTCGACCGGCTTGAGCCCAGTCAGAGCGCAACTTCCATCATGCATCTTCCTATGAGGCGGCGTATCGCTATAGACCAGCGAAATCAGCGACGTCATCGTGTTACTCATAGCTTCCAAACGCGGTCCCTCGGCAGTAGTAGTAGCAGGAAGAGCTCTGGGATTGGTACAAGCGGCCGGGGTACCGGCACGGCCACGGCCACGGCTGCTGGACATGTCGTCGAAGTAGAACCAGTCGTCGCCATTGTTGGGACCAAAGTGCCAGTGTTCTTCGGATTCCTGGCTCCCGTGCACAGTGCTGGGGTGGCCGGGGATACGGGACCGCACCATGCCATGCTCGATTTTGTTGAGACTAGGTTGCGTCTATTAGCGTCTACTCGGTCGACTGCCGTGGAGATATGTGAATTGTCTTACGTCGGCTTCTCCCCAATGCTGCCGGCCTCGCTTCCCCTGTCAGGTGAATAGATGGTGCCGTGGGACGGCCACATCATGATGTCAAATGACTCCAGTGAGGCTGCCATGCGAAGACCATGGGGGACACCACGGCTGTCTGGGAGAATGTCGCCGATTTCCCAGCATTCGACCTGGATGCCGTTGTCCGTGTTGATGAAGGCGGTAACGCGGGATTTTAGGGGCATGGGGTGGCTCTCGCCTCCGTGGCCCTCGCCTGGGTATTGTTAGAACGGATATACTTGGATTGGACAACGTGGGGCAGATGGTACTGGCACTCTGGGATGTCGGAACTTGGAAGCAGAAGGGGGCCAGCGTACCTTGAACTCTAACCTGTGGTCGTGCAATGGCGGCGGACGCCAGGATGGACGTGAGGAACAGAGCGAAGTAGCTGGTGAACATCATGGTGGAGTCTCGAACGGGCGGAAATGTCTGGGGCAAAGGTGAGGACTGATTAAGAGGGATTGTATATTGGGACACAGTCGTGGGATTTATAGACTCAAGCCGGCTTTCGAAGGAGAGAGTGGATTCGATGACGGATTGCGGGGAATCGAACAACCATAGTCATGGAGACTATTCGAGGCGAAAGGACAAGTGAGTTACATGTGAATAACAAACCATCCTCATAATGATCCAATCCCCACATCAGACTAACAAGCTCGTCTCCATTTCGATTCTCCTTATTAACAGCTTGGAGAAGCATCAGCCCAGACCTGGATTGGACTTCGAGAGCAGAGTTTGCATATGGCGTCTAAAAGTAGCTATTTCTGTCAGTATGTGTTGACAAAATGCTGCAAAAACATGTCAGCACTCGTGAGAGCTTCCACAATTTGGACACTGAGACTATTGGCTGTTCCTGGTAGCCGCAGTGGGACTGCAAGCACTGGACGCCCCCTAAGAGTCTCTCGAATAATGGAGTGGATCAGCGAATTGTCTAGAAGAGCGGGGGATGTTTTCCCTTCCCATCTCATAGTGATCGAACGTGAAGTCGTAGTGGTAGGGTCAGTGACTATCATAGACTGTGTACCACTCTGACGCTGTTCACATTACATATTCGTGATTGGAATCTGACGTATGTTTCAGTCTCGTGCATGTGAAAAGACTCAGAGAAAACTTCGAAATCTGGATTTGCGCCTCACTGGTTGGATTGCCAGGGAGGGGAAGAGGAGGTGCCAAGGCGACTAAAGGAGAGGCTCCCAAACCGTAATCACCGCAGTGCATCAAAGGGTGGATAAGCATTTGAGACGCGCAAGATGCCGTCACTGAAATGCTGCGTATAGTCAGAAAGTGGTGGGGTGGAGAAGTCTGGAGCGATGTTGGACCGTTTCTGCTGTTGAACTTTCCGCTGTGGATATATCGGGCTTAGCTCCCGGCTTGGCGCCTGCTAAGCCTGATCTGTACGTACCTCGGTATCCATGAATAGATTTAAGTGCGTTTTATTCAAGCAGTTGCAATGGATACCACCACTCCGAACGCATCATATACCGGACATGCTCCCCCAAGGTACCAGATTTTATCCCACAAGCTTTTCTCACAACAATTTGGAGATGGACTCTTAGCTATGCGTAAGAACATGTCGCTTCTGATAGGGTCCACTATGAAGCAGACTAGCATTACGGAATATAGAGTCTATCAGAATTACACTTTTCTAGGGACATACTCTCAAGCCTTTCTAAATATTCTTCGCATCTAACATCCCGCGAAAATAACGTGGAACCCAGTGTATGATATTGGCATGTCACGTGCCTCGCGGGGTTCAATTATTCTTCGGGGCCGGGGCTTTGAGCTCCGCCAACTGTGGCACATCCGAGACGCCGCATATCTCACACGTCACCCCTTTGATGGAACAAACACAAACCCCACAATGATAACCTCAGGCTTCACGAATGCGCCTGTGTCGCAGTTTCTGGTTTTCTCCGTTGTCATTTTCGCGCTCATCGCAAGCCTAACGGATACCCGGTATTACCTCCATATCCAGATCGTTCCGCACATTTGGCATTATGGACAGTTCTGGAGGTTCCTAACATGGCAGGTGAGATATCAGATATGGAGGTCTAGTTATTTGTGAGTATGCTGATGAGCTTCAGTTGTGCCATACCGATTCCACAGGGGTACTATTTGCAGCTCTCAGCTTCTACAACTTGAGGGTGATTGAGCGGCTTTGGGGGAGTCGGAAGTTTGCTGTACGTCCTACCTCCTTCACGGCATTGACACTTGACATAATAGACCGCATAGCTAACACTGAAAACTTAGTCTTTCCTATTAGCGACCTTGCCCTACACCACTCTCCTCCCGCCCTTACTCCTCACCTTCGTCTTCCGCCCGCTTACCTTTGGCTGGATGAACTACCTTCCCGCCGGTCCTACCGCCATCATTTTCGCCCTCCTCGCAAACTACTATGCCGCCATACCGACCACGTATCGCTACAAGCTCTCACCTTATGCTCCGTCATCGACATCCTCGAATCCAAGCGCAGACACCCAACAACCTTTGAACTCGTTGATGAACTGGTCCGTAACTTTGACTTCGAACTCGACATCGTACCTCGTCCCGTTACAATTGGCGCTTTCGCAATTTCCCGGCTCCCTCCTTGCGGCGGCTGTAGGATGGGCAGTGGGAACCGCATATCGGAGGGACATGCTTCCCTATGCATCGAGTTGGCGGATACCAGGTTGGATGGTCGGTGAGGAGAAGAAGAGGGGGTTTGAAGGGCTGAGGGCACGGCTAGATGCGGAGAGGGAGAGAGATGGGGCTGGTGCTGGACTCTCCACGGGTATACTGGCGGGGGAGACTGGAGCCCAAGGTGTTAGGGCTAGACCTGCCCAGAGGCGGACTCTAGGAGAGATGGTCGCTGAACAGTTTAGAGGGAGATCATAACATAGCCACTTCAGCAATTGTATGTCAAGAGATTTGGAATATCGCACATGTTCATTGAGCCCTAGCTATATCAGACTCACGGTACCAGTGTCCCAACGCACATATTCCAAGATGCCACCATCACACAAGCATCCCCAGACGGCCACACATATATGAATGGTGTGGTTACGGATATGGCTTTGACCTGCACCACCCTCCTCACATCATCTTTAATCCGATAATGTCCCTATCATACCAGACCGACCCAGCTGCCAATGCACAAGCCCTGCATCACAGCATATTTCCCCAGGGTCGACATCCATAGAAGTTACCACATGAATAGCAATAGCATCCAGACACTGTCCCTTTGACCCTAACATCGCCCTCCTTACATCCTCCTGAAGATCGAGGTGAAGTCCGGAAGTGAGAACATCGGGCGACGACCGGGATCCTCTGGATCTCCCGGATGCAAGTCGATATCAGTCCTATCCTCCCCTCCCTCAACGACGTATGACATTCCATCTTCCATACTTCCGTACTCGGCGTACTTGATATTGGCACCCCAAGCCACGGCCACCTTCCCAAGCAGTGCTCGACCCATCCGAACATCATCGTCGAGATCTCGATTACGATTCAACGGATTTCGAGCCTGATAGTCTGGATTCCTGCGAATGAAAATGAACGAGCGTTCACGGTTTTCTCCTCGCCCTATGTCCTCCCAACGTACAGGCCCCCCATCTTCATTTGAGCTTGACCAATCATAGCTTATCCAATGATCTCCATTCATGAGCGGGAGGAGAAAAGAAAAAGCCTCACGATGGAGACGTAGGTTGTGGGGCACTATCATCGACAAGCTCTTGATGGCTGGGAGATCTACCAGGATCTTTTGGACTTCCTCATGTACCAATATGTCCCTACTCGATAATCCGTTTGCAGTGTCGAGGCCAATGTATCCAAATCGCCGTAGTAAGACGCGCATCTCTTCCTTCATCTGCTTCCCAGGGGCAGCGCCAGACTCCCGATTGACAAGAAATATACCGCCTTCGTCAGGGTAAGGAACAGAGATGTTCGTCAAGTATTGGAAGTTGCGATGGATGCTGCGCAGGAATCCAAGGGCGATTGTCCAGCCTTTACTATCTGAGAACCGGAACCGGTTGCAACCGTAGAGCACCGGGGTTGCTTCCTGATTGACACGGCGAGAGACTCGAAGCAAGGAAACATTGATATGTTTCAAGTCGCGCTCGATGAGGCTGAGCTTGGTGGTTCCTGCGGGAGCATTATACGGTAATAAAGGCCACAGATCAATCGGGCGTCCAAGGACAAGGCACTGCCTGTAAATCATATTGCGTAATTCTCCTGGGAGCCTCATGAAGGGGAATGGGCTGCTCTCAATGTTTCGAAGTTGGATAAGTTGGTGCGGCACTGGCCCTGCAACGGCTTGATAGATGAGGTTCAAGAGACGAGTCAGCACCTGTCCATCTGCCGTGGGTGTTCGCAATTTTGCCAACAGATAGTCGGCGAATGTGCGGTCCATGAGTGCTCGGTTTTCCATCCTCAAGTTGACATAATTGTTGTGGAGGATGCGAAGGTCCAAATCCAGTTGACGAAGCATGTCCTCCTTCTGATCTTTAACGTTGACCGCATCTTTCAACTGTTGCTCAAGCTTCTTGATATGTCCTCTCAAGCTATCCCGAACATATTCCTCACTCTTGATCCGGACTTCCAATCTTATGTTGGCTTCGTTTAGCTCCTCCATCTGAAGTTTATGATCTTGTGACTCCTTTTCGGCCTCAGCTTTAAGCTGCGCAATTTGCTGGTCCTTGAACTTGATACGATCGTCACGTACTTGAAGCTGCCACTTAAGATGCCAATCATTGTCTGGAGTCTGGTGTAGTTCGCTGCCATCTTTTGCCTGCACGATATTTTGCTCGTTCTCCGAGGGCGAACGGGGTCTACCAAACGATGGTTGGCGCTCGTTGGTCTGGTCACGCTTGAGGAAACTGGTCGGGAAACCATTAGACAATTCATCGTAGGACGCGAAACCGGGTCCAGAGACGGGTTGTTGGAATGCGGCCAGTGTCGTTTCTGGGTTGTCCCAAACACTTTTAGGTTGCATCGAGTTCGGCATTCCGAACTGAAACACTGTTTCCTTGTTGGGGTGAACCATTGTGGAGAGAACTCGGTCTGTCTCCAGTCCAGATGATTGGAGGGAGGTGTTTGTAGCTGTGTCGATGGCGGGCTCCATGGGCAGTGGACGTTGCGTGCGGCTCCTCCTGCCTTTTCGCTCCCGCTTCTTCGTGAGTGTCATTTGTCCGGTATCACCAGGTACTCGCTCTGTATTGTGCGTAGTGATGTCGTTACCGTGGTTGTCGAGTTTGGACAATGGTGTGAAAACAAAGAAGACTTGGGTTGGAAATTCGATGCGTTCCCAGTTCTGCTCGAGTTGTGTGCGGTTGTGTGTTGACGAGCTCGAGGGGTTGTGGGAGAAGTGGTCCGCCACTGGTTTATATATTTGCGCTCCGGCACGATTTTCGGAGGGGACAGACACAGTGGGTCAAAACAGTGAAAGTGTCATATCCAGCCCCAATTCTTGTTGCTTTCACGAGAGAGCGCAGAACTCTGAAACTGAAGGCTTGAATAATGTTGTGAAAGGTGAAGACGCGGACTTCAACACTTACCTTGCTTCCCAATTCGAGGAAGTTGCCTGTACTCGGGATTGGTTGTGAGCGTTTTGCCCTTCACAGCTTTGCGTCAGTAACTAAGCGACGGAGAGTCGGTGACGCGAAAACACCCGCAGAATTTTCCTCGAGCCTCCGACTTCCCTCGACCATAGGCACCCTCGCTTCTTTTCTGTTTGTAAACAACGAGGACAACAACAAAACAACGGTTCATCGAGGTGCGGAGAGGCGCACCCGTCAACCGCGCAAACATGTCCAATACCTCACCATCCTGTCCAAATGCTCACAAACACCTCGCTCTCGCAGCCTTGCTCGGTCGAGTTCTGGAATCTTTCGGCTTTCAGGATGTACCAACAATGCTCCGCGATATGATCGGCACCGACGCTTTCCTCCGGCCCTGGGCCGCCTACCGCGACAGTTACTTGTTGGATCCCAAATTCAAGCTGGAAGGTCTGCGTCCAGGAGGCGAGGATATGAGCACGCTCTTCGGACACATCACCCGTGAAGTCAATGGCCGGTCGTCGCGGAGAACAAATCAACGGGGCGAAGATGCGGGTGGTCGTTCACACACCGTCCAGCTGTTTTCGTCGCTGATCCACAAACTCACTGAGCCGGGCGCCTTCTACCATGGTGGAAAGAAGGAAGACTTGGGTTGGCTCGCGGGGGCCTGCCGAGACTTGTTTCTGCTGGTCAAGCTTCTGCGGGAAGAGTACGCACGTGGCCATGGTGACCTGATGGACGCCATCGAGGAACGTTATCCGAGCAGATGGTTTAGCGAGGAGCGTGGCGAAGTGGAAGAAGACAAAGAACCCAAGCGTTACCAAGAGAGCATCCCCGAATCAGACATATCAGAGTATAGGCAACTCGAATCCGACAGGAGTTCCACTTTGTCTCTAATCGATCGAAACAGCGGCCCCGTTTCTCAACCTGACTATGACGACCCTGATATCTATTACAGAGGATTCACAGACTATGAGAGCAGTGAAGAGACGGATGAGGATGAAGAAGACGGAGAGTTTTTCAATGAGAAGATGAGCACTGCAGCCACTGCTGCCCACACCGAGAGGCTCAGCGAGGAGCCGATAGAACAGCCTGCTGCGGTCATTGGGGTTCTCGAGGGACGAAAACCGAAGAACGACTCACAGACCCAGTTATTGGCAACTGTCTCTCGAGCAACATTGGATCGGTCGTACCCGCCGGAAAAAGCCATTGCTGAATCGGGCCATGTCAAGAATTCATTCAATCCAGAGAAAGTGATAGCGACAGGTCTACGAACTGGACAGGAACCAAGAGGCTTACCTGGAATTGGGACGGGGTCGTATGAGGCCCACCACAGTGAATTAGCAGCAGAGGGTTATGATGAGCCCGACCGCTTGTCCCCCGCGAATTGCCCTCGATCTATGGAGAAAGGCGACAGCTATGCAAACATTGCAAAGCATAGCCAGATGTCTCCCCGTCCCCAAGAGATTCCTGGGGCTGGCGATCTTGCAAGGATGCAGAACAACCTATCAATGACCGAGTCGTCCATCGCGTTTTCTACGTCGCAGTTACCCCATCACAGCCAAAAGGCAAACGCAACGGACTTACTCGACCTTGTCCAGCCTCCTGCCAACAGTCTGTCTGAAACTGTAGCCACAGCTCCCATAACAGACCCACCGACGAGCCAAACCTGTTTGACGCCACGTCACGCCTCGATCGTGCCCCCAAACGTAGCCCCGAGCAAGCCTCAGGGTTTTCGTATGCCGTTTCTTCTCAGTGACTCAGAGTCTGAAGGCGAAAACGGCCATGATCTCAACCCTTCTGTTCAGCAACATGAGCAACGGACGACCCGAGAGCCTGCTATCGGGACTCGAGAAGATGAGCCAAACTCGCCGACAGAACCCCCGTTGAGCAGTGCGGCACCACCTTTCAGCTTCCAACATCAGCCTTCCGGCACCGTCCCGCAAATCGACGACGATTCACTATTCTTACCCTCGACCGACAACCAGCTTCCTAAGCCCTCCCATTCACCGCACGCAGCCCTACTTAACTCAGTTCCCCGTGATCCACGTACGTATACCCCTCCAAAGGCATGCCGAATCGCCTCCGCTGACAGCTTTCGCAGCACATCCTGCAATCCCCAAGCGCTCTGCGACTGAGCTTGGCCTCTTTTTGGAACTATCTGAGCGACGCGCGCCTCCGATGTTGAGCTTCTTCGATCCAGAGGCGCCTGCCTCTTCGCTGCCTGCTGAGGATCCCTTTGTAGAGGAGTGGGCCTATTTTGGGAACCAATAGGTATGGTTGTGCAAATGGAGCGAGCAGACTATACATATTCGCGATCTGTGTTGAGAGGTCTAATTGAGTGATCATTTGACTTATGAAAGTGATGGAAGCGAGTTTCTTACCTTCTAATCTGTGGCCCGTTCCAGGAAGCATTGTTTGCCATGCTTCAACCAAGGTTGTGGACAGTGGAAACCATGATGGAGCTGTGGTGCTTTCTGTCGTTTGTTCCGGTGCCTCTTTTGAGTTGTAAGCCAATTTTGGGAATACAACCAATTCCATCGAGTTATGACCCCGCGACTGAAAATACGGAAGGTGAATGGTCCGATAGACAATCCCACCTATATCGGCACCAAAGAGAGCTGGAACTATAACGATTAACCGACTTGAGGTCTCCATGTTATAAATGCTGGCACAAAGGTATTGGTTTTTGTCTCAGCAGCTGCTTCCAGTTAGTGCTCGGCTGAAGTGTGCTGACACACACCAAGAGATTCCATTCGGACAGAAGAGAAAATATAGTGACTGAAAAGGCGGACTCAACAGAAGAATGTAATCAGTTGATTAGAATATTCATAGTAGCGGAATGTCGACTATAAAGCGTGTCAAGGGGTATCATAGCAAATGAGGCAGTTTCCGTAATGGAAATACAAGAGGCAAAAATCAGCTAACGCCATTATCGACAACTCTTCATGGAACTTTTTAATGGCCCCCGGGAGGAGTTGTGCGAATAACTGATTGGGCCGATTGCGAGCTCAAAGATGACGAAGAAGAAGAATTGGGTAAAATCGTTGAAGGGCTCCTGGCAACACGCCGTTGTCTGACGGAACCGGACCTACCCCTCTCTGAGGGAGTCGGTGGAAGGGTATAGAGGTCGGGACTAGATTTCCTAGCCATTGACGGTGCAGTGCGTACTGTGTTCGGACTGGCGGGACTGCTAGTTCGGGATGAATGATGACTCGAAGGGGTATAATCTGTGTAAGAGTGCAGACGCGGCGTACGGTATGGCAGGCCCGACGTGGTCGAGATACTTGAAGTCTCCGAAGAACTGAGAGTTTGGGAATCCGAGCTCTCTGCTTCCTGGCGAATGGCTTCAATAATATCAGGGTCCAATTCTGTCATGCCATCGAGTATTGCAGCAAAAGTCGCCATCAATTCTCGAAACTCATTCTCAGTGAGGTCCTGACCAGAGAATCGCGCATGTTCATACTGTGACAGAAAGATAGGTCCTAAGCTTGGGGGTTGAATCAGACCGCATGAGGACAGTCGAGACAAGTAATCTCTGAGGCCCATCGTACGTGGTCGCTGTAGTGCAGCTACAACTTGAGAATCTGGAAGCATTGGTGTCCCTGTCAAGATACGCAATTGATCTTCGACGGCAGGATCTGGTGGCGCAAGAGAGACTGCCTTTGCTTCAAAGAGATTGGGAAGCTCGGGGATGACTTTCCAATACTGGAGATTTGCGAAATCCAAGGACGAAGGGGAAGCCCATCCGGGATGCGATATATGACCCCATGGCGGCGATGCCGCTGATAGTGGGATAACCGTGGTACAAGCTCGGCCGCGCCGCCTGAGAGTGAAGCCTTCTCGCTCTGCCATTCGAGGCCTTGATCCTGGCTCCTCCTCGCAACGAACTTCTTCTCCCAGATCCCGGGGTCTTGACTCCCATGCAATGATCGCGCTCCTTCTGAGGGCATTCACAATCATGCGCCGTACCGGCTTGCCAACCTCGCCATCTTCGACAGGTATGTACGGCTTTGGAATCGATTGAAGGACGACTCGATTGGTATATAGGCGCGTCGAATAAATCAGCGCCGATATGGCGAAGGTGATGAAGTATACGCCACCGACTATGAAGAGTTTCTGAATCTCTCTCGTCCGAATCGACTGGTAGATGGTGTCTCCGGGGGTTAGAGCGAGGAAGAGGAGAAGTATGATAAAGAGAACCGTGTACGTAGTGCTGTACCAGATCCGGAAGAGTGTTGGGATGCGGATATGCATATTAGTGAATTAAGACCATTGCGTTCCGGCACGCCTAAGTGCCCATGATGTGCTGTAATCGGTGGTTGACATTGAGAACTTTGGGACGAATATGGAATATGCCAAGATGGAACTGTGCCAAGTGATTATGTCAGACTAGCTCGCGACATTGGTGACATATGCATTAACCACCTTTTCTTTCCTCTACCTATAAGGCATCCAACGCCCCATCTCACATGGTAAAATGTGTGGATCTCACTCGATTACAACATCACAGCCACTCAATTCCCCCTGGCGCTTAGCTGTGTTTCTAATACGGTGTGACAAATAGCTGTTGGGAATGGCCCCCAACAGTACTACAGATACAACATGAATACCAGCGGAGCCAGTGATGTGTGGTACGATTATGCATTTCAGGGTATGAGGCCACCTTCAAGTCAATACTTCTGGTCAGAATGTTTTTGGCAATATCAAAGTGGCCGTTAGCATTCCCGGAGCCTCCTACGAGTACCTGGCCGCTCACCAGAACCGCGTAGCGCCGAGCTATCAATTGATGGAATGGATGTATGAACAGCCGCTGCTGTGCCGCAGAGAGCGCTATCAGCACACAACAAGGGAGCCTCGCACGTTTGCGCTGCCTTACACTAGGTAGAGCCACTGATCTGTGTGGAACGCCTTGAAGGTTGCAGGAGCTCTTTTTGAAATGGCTATAGGTTATCCGACCCTGTCACGCAGAATGCTGTCTGACAGGAACGGCGTCAGTCTCGTCTTGCCCGGGGCGAAGTCTTGTACCTGCTGATGGAAGATCGGAAATGCGCCAGAACCGTGGGGTTAAGAATAACGCCTTCTTAGATGGTATAAGTATGTCTACCCTCCCAGTCACTGCAGCGACTAAATCTTCATGCTGGTGCTACCCCTTCCTCTATTCTCATACATATATCCTTTCATTCCATATCTCGTTGTTCAATTTCCTTTGCGATCATCACCCTGTCATTGATCCGACACTTGACTGCACTCTTGCACTTCAGCCTTTGATTCAGGTCATACATTGCCTTTGAACCCCCTTCTGCTCGTTCGGAACTAAGAAAGAGCCCCGTGATCCACCAGCGCAACCATGTCGCTCACAGCTCCTTATACCAATGCTATGCGCGTATGTTTAAACTATCGAATGTACGGAGAATTGGCTGACAGGAACCAGATTGGACAGGGTTTCAATACCTATACGCAAGAGATTCGTCTTGAGAATGCGGTGCGTGTAGGTGCGAGTGCTAGTGTGGAAAAATCCAATGGGAGTCTGGACACCAAACCGCAATCAACTGCACCGCCGACGCCGCCCACGCCGCCCGTGACGCCGGAAATCGCGTCAGCAAATGGCCCGAGTGGGGAGATCCCTACGGTGACCATCAATGGAGTACCGGGATCACAAGAAGCACCAAAACTAGCGCGCAATTCTCGCCCTGCAACACCTGGCTCCGAATTTGGTGGTGCTGTTGACGTCGTCTCAGCTCCGCTGGATGGTTTACCGTTTGAGATTCCGGCTGGACCCGTACCGAATACCAGTCAGAGTGTCACATACTCTACCCGTGCTATTGAGAATGTGAGCGACATCATGGATGCACTAAACATCTCCACTTCCATGTCTATCAGATATGGAACCATACATGGCAACGGAAATGCGTCCTTTGTAAACGAAGCGAGAGTGCTTGATAGCGAACTAAACTACATCGTGAGCGTTATTGTCAACAATGATTCACATTCGCCGATCGAAGATATGGAATTCCAGGATATTCCCGGTCTACCTCTCGATAGGTTCACGGAAGTCTATGGCGACAGTTTTATATCTGGCTTTACCGACGGTGGAGAATTCAATGCCGTTATCTCTATCAAGCTGAACGACAAGAGCAAATACAAAGCCGTCAAACAAGCAGTCGACGTGCAATTGGCCGTTGGTCCACCAACTTTGGAAATTGGCGCAAAGGAATCTTTCGAGAAAGAGCACAACGAAGCCTTAAAGAACACCGAGATATCCATTTCTGTCAATTGGGTTGGGGGTGGTGAGATCAAGAAGCCCGAGGTCCCTTGGACAATCAAAAGCGTTGTCGCCGTCGCCAATGCCTTCCCTTCCATGGTTGCCCGTTCTTCGGCGCGCACCCAAGCTGTCCTGACTAGGTACACATCACTTCGGAGTTTTCAAAAGTGGAAATGGGGCCGATTGCTTGAAGAAAAGCGTGTTTGGGAGAGCGATCCAAGAAACAAAGTGGGTGGCGAGTTCAACAGAGACGGGAAGAGGAGATATGAGGAACCAGTCATTATCCTCAACTATGCACCGTGCTCACTCTACACGGCCGATCTCTTCGACGCTCTTATGAACTACAAGAAGTTGTGGAGGAAGATAGGGGAAAGTGAGTGAATGACTGCTGCCAGAATTCGTTGACGCTCAGGTGCTGATGATGTTCACAGTATTGGCAAACCCGTCCCAGTATAAAGTACGACCTCAGCCACCAAAAGAGCCGCTTAGCAGGATAACGACAACATCGTCTCTTCGAGCAAAGTCCTTGGCGAGAGCCGCCAACGGCACAATCAATAGCCCCGAAGTTGATGATCAATCACCATTTGAAGATACAATTGATTTTGGCGGACTGCCGCGAGCCTTTACCTTCAACGTGGAGCAAGGGGATGTGGGTTGGAACCTGCTCGAGAACAACCGGCGGCGTGACCCGATTCCCCCTGAGCCCGTGGCGCTGAACGAGGCTCGTCTGCTTTGCAGAGAAGCTATGACGTTGATCACAGAAGAGGTGAGGAATACCAGCACACTCTGAGAGCTGCACCTACTAATCAAGCAACCCAGGCTGCCAGACTTGTCGACCATCCAGACCTTGCGTATGCAGAGTTTGACGAGAGGACAAAGTCTACACGAATGAAGCGTCCCAATTATGCGTACCCCGAAGTTCTCCAACAACGGCTACCTGTTCCTATCCACAACGACATCCTCTCGGACCTGTCGACTGATGGTGCTTACCTCAAGACCATTGCGTATGCTGGCGAGGATAACATCTGGTTCGAGCCGGACATGGTTGGAGACCCCAAGGCCAACGCTGCCGACCTTAGCCAAAAGTTTGGCAGCATGAGCAAATATGAAGACTTTAGCTCGCTGGAGCTCACAGAGCCCCACGGTGCAGAGGGGCAGGGGCCCCTACGGCGTATTTCTCTTCATCGCTATCGGCTGTCTTCATGGAGGGGATGGGTAGCAAAAGCAGGGCTGAAGCGCGCGGATAATGCAATTGGCGCCATCGGCCTTGCACGCCATCACGACGACCCAGCTGCTGCAGAAGCCGATGGTTGCCTGCACCATCTGGGTCATATACATCATGGAGACCTTGCAGATTCTCAGAATTTCAAAGCCCTCGACCTGGGCAACGTGGACATCACGAAAATTGATATTGCCTACATTCCCGGTACAGGCTACATTGCTGGAATGACCTTCTACGACCAGATCGATGGACAGCATACAGAGAGATTGCGTTGGAGGCAGTGGGAGGGCAAGGAGCCTGCTGGCCTTGTCCACATCACCAATGAGCCTCCGGACAGAGGTGATGGAACGGTGTGGACCTTTGCCGGTTTAGCGGGATCGTTCGTGGACACGATGGGGAATGGCCATGTTCTGGCGCGTGTGACGGGGATTTGGAAGAAGAGGAACGAGTGATGTGCTTTCTCGGGGCCTAACATCACTGGATCATTCCCTTCACGATGATTCCTCACGTGTAATTCATGTTCCAGTCAATATAGTGTAATTTTCAAGCGTCATGTTCCCTGACTTGTGTCTGTTGCGAGCCTTTTCTCGTCACCGGGAAGCTTCACCCTTCACGGCTACTGTGGATGCATGCAGCAGCTCTCCATCACAACAATACATCTCTCGATTTTATGGTTGCCGCGATTAGCACCCCCTGCTCGAGGCTTCACAGCGCTTAGCGGAAGGAAGAACGTTCTGATTCGACGGGGCACCCGGGCCGATACTCTCCGCATCACAGTGTTGCCCGCCTACCAGCTTTCCCCTCGCCCCGCCATTCCCCATCGAAACAAGGACCGCGTACCCGAGAAATAGACTCTGTATATTCCACAGGGCTAGACTGTATACCCGCGAGCAGCGAGTGCATCCAAGAAACAGCGCCAAAATGTCGATAAAGTCAGTATTCTCCCTCCGCTACCAGACTCGCTGGAGCTGCAGTATACTCTTCTATTCTGCAAGTCCATACTGGGAGCTCGGACTGTCGATCCCAGGCACGCTGCGGATATGCCCAAGGGCAAGGCTAACAAACGCAACAACAGTTGGGTGATGCTGGCTGAGTCCGGCGGATATACTCCTCTTCCCGGCGAACAGACTCTCTTTACCAGTCCTCCGCGAACGACGTTGTCATTACGAACTCCCAGTCGCAATCCTCCGAGCCAGGCATACTCGCTCAACTGCAGCTCGGGCACAGCATACCTCACGAACCGCAGAGTAGGCTATACGCTACCCTATAACTCCTCCAACGGACTAACAAGCCCCAGATCATCTACCTCCCTTCCACACGGACACCGCAGTTCCAGTCCTTCACCGTCCCCATCCTCAACGTTCACGATTCACGCGTCACGGCTCCTTGGTTCGGAGCCAATAAATTCGAAGCAGTCATACAACCGGTACTAGGCGGAGGCATACCCCCAGAACATGCAGCACTCGAACTCAGCATGGAGTTCAAGGACGGCGGCGCTTTCGACTTCTCTTCCATATTCGAGAGACTCAAGGAGCGGCTAAGGCAAGCGGTCGAAGTAGCCAGGGAGAGTGGCCTCGCAACAGGCGATGGGTCTGAGACGGGAGGCGGTCGAGGAGGCGGAGCGCTGGCAGGAGTAAATCTGGATAACGTACATCTGGAGGATCTGCCTGCATACGAGGAGTCGCCTCGACAACCGCAACATTCATTTCCCACGTCGCCAGTTACCACGAGTGTTCCGGCAGTGTCTTCCCCTGCAACTGTACAGAGCCAGAGCGCAAGCCCACCGGATGATCCACATACGCAAGATTCATTTGTGCCGCCATCAGAACCCCCGCCAGGATACGAGGAAGTCCAGAGGGAGAGCTTGATAGATGCCATCAGAGAGAATCTGCGGTTCGGAGAGGAACGGTCAAACGTGGATTGATTCAATGCAAGAGCATGGCGCTTGGGAGTGTTTATGATCTAATGTAACTTTAATGAACCCGTCGGGAGGAGACATGCAGGAAGAGGTGTTATTTGGGCGTCTCAGGCTAATAAGAGTCTGTCTTGAGTCATGAACATTTCTGATCCTAACCCGCTTACCTTGGGTGCTGGCCATGGTTTGCATGTGAACAAGACAAGACCCATGTGAACCGGCACTAAACCTGAAAGGGTAACAGCCTCGGCATTCATGCCACCGTTCATGGTCTTCTTAAGCATCCGCTTCTTGTACGCATCTTCTCTCGACATATCAGACACAATGGCAAACCAGACTGGACGTACCTCTCAAGGTATGTTTGACTTCAGACGCTCATATATAATTCCGGCAGCACCTAACACCTTTCACAGCGCAAGCACGGCTATCGCAGGTTAGCAACCACCTTGGTGGCGGTGCGGCGAAGAAGGGCAGGCAGGCTCTCCTGGAGAAGCACCCTGACGATGTACGTTTGGATCCTCTCGTCTCCTCCGGATACACTCACTAACTGTCCCTAGATCGTCGTTACATGCGCTCTCCGCACCCCCTTCACAAAGGGCGGCAAAGGCGGCTTCAAAGACACCGCCGCCGCTGACCTCCTTGTCGGCACCTTCAAAGCCCTCATCGAGCGCTCCGGCATCGATCCCAAACTGGTCGACGACATCGCCGTCGGCGCCGTCCTGGCCCCCGGAGGCGGAGCCACCGAGTTCCGCGCGGCCGCCCTCGCCGCCGGATTCCCCGTCACCACGTCCGCAAAGTCGATCAACAGGCAGTGCTCGAGCAGTCTGCAGGCCTGCGTCGACATCGCCAATGCCATCAAGTCCGGCATGATCGAGATTGGCATCGGCGCCGGTGCGGAGAGCATGAGCCAGCAGTACGGTCCCCAAGCCGTCACCGAGTTCTCCGAGCTCCTGGAGAACCACAAGGAAGCTGCCAACTGCAAGGTGCCCATGGGCGTTCTGTCCGAGAAGATGGCCAAGGCCAAGGGGATCCCTCGCTCGGAGCAGGATGCTTTCGCCGCCGCCTCGTACCAGAAGGCGGTGATTGCGCAGAAGAAGGGTCTCTTCGACAAGGAGATTGCTCCCTTGACCGTCAAGTGGACGGACCCCAAGACGGACGAGGAGAAGGAAATCACAGTCTCGAGGGACGACGGCGTCAGGGACGGCATCACGGCCGAGAGCCTGGGCAAGATCCGTCCTGCCTTCGCCAAGGACGGAAGCATCCACGCCGGCAACGCTTCTCAGATCTCCGACGGCGCGGCTGCCGTCCTCCTCATGAAGCGCAGCACCGCCGAGCGCATCGGCCAGAAGGTCATCGGCAAGTTCGTCCAGGCCTCTGTGGTCGGTGTTCCCCCTCTGCTGATGGGCGTGGGGCCCGCCGCCGCCATCCCGGTTGTCCTGGAGAAGACGGGCCTGAACAAGGACGATGTCGATATCTGGGAGATCAACGAGGCGTTTGCGTCGCAGTGCGTGTTCTGCATCAAGGAGCTGGGCATTCCCATGGAGAAGGTCAACCCCAAGGGAGGCGCTATCGCTTTTGGCCACCCGCTCGGTGTGACGGGTGCGAGGCAGGTGAGCACCTTGTTGACCGAGTTGAGGAGGACGGGTCAGCGGATTGGTGTCACGTCCATGTGTGTAGGAACCGGTATGGGTATGGCGGCTGTCTGGGTTGCGGAGTAATCTTGCCTCTGTTGTGGAGCGAGCGTTCATTTTGTATGACTACCAGGACGGAGTATCCAGGTTTATAAATATATACCAAAGCGAAGGCGTTTGCCGCTTCCGTATCCTTGTGTATAGCTTCAAGATAGTGAAGCCTCGTCGTGCAAACTATAGCAGCTGCATTGTCTGCAACCGTGGGGAGACCAGTCGATGAATTCATGAGCATTAAACATTTGCATGGTCCATTCATTACCCAGAAACAAAGAAGGAATATCCGTGTCCCAATCATAACATCACAACATGCCGGACAACTCACATAACAGCCTCCTCGTCCGGTATCAATCCCAACACCTCAAGCAACAACGCCGCAGCATTAATGATTCCATAAAAAATCATAGGTATCACCTATCTCTACCGTCAGCACATTCCCCACCACAGCAGCCACGCACTTCCAAGAATAAAAAGCCACACTCACCCCAAAGAACAAATTCCCCAAAACCCCCCTCCTCGTAATCGTCTCCCACAACTCGCCCCTAGCAATCCCCGGCGCGCTCTCCGACCGAAACGGCCCCACCAATCGATAAAAACTCACAAACGCCGCTCCAAAGCAGTACGCCAGCAGCACCTTTGTCCCGTGCTCGGTCCACAATTCCCATAGCCCGGGGGCGCCGCCAAAGTCCTTGGCGAGCGTGCTCATGTACGCGCTGTGGTCGACGCCGTACTGGATGCGCGCGGAGCTTTTGGCGAGGAGGTGGTAGTGCGGTGGAGAGGTGGGGAGGGGCATGCGGTGCGTGATGAGGGCGGTAAACCACATTGCCTGCGCTTCGGCGATGGGGGGGATGGCGCCGACGCCGGGGCGGACGAAGCCAATGTAGGCGATGGAGGGGTCGAGGGGGGAGACGATGTTGCGGATCGTGGCCGACGAGGGGCGCGGGTAGGTGGGGTGTAGGAAGGGGAAGGTTTGGGTGTAGCTGTGGGTGGTGAGCGGTCAGTTGAATGTTTTGATGGAGATGGGGTTTAGGGGGTTAGGGTTCTGGTTGGAGAGTGGCAGGGCGCAATGGGGAAGGGAGAGATGAGACGTACCCTGTACAAAAGATGACGCAGTCTGGTCGGACATCTTTGTCTTTCATTCTCCTCCAGTCCTTTCGGTCCGGTCTGCGTTCGAAGGTTACCTTGCCAGTCTCGTCGATCCGTTCGGGGAACGTGCAGGTGTCAACCCATCGATCTGAATTGGCATCTTCAGGCGGATCGAGGTAGCTGTTTCCTAGGAACGCCAAAGGATGTTTTTCCTTGTACGGACGATTCAGATAACATTGTGCCTAACCAGCAGGTTAATAAAATATCCAACCAGCTGACACTACCGAGCAACTCACCTTACTGCTCTTGTTTAAAAAGACGTACGCCCTTCCCAAGCGGTCATGCGGTAATTCTCCGACATGTTGGTTCATGCCAGCCTGGGTGCCGGTCAAGAACCAAAGGACGCGTTTAATAACAAAATCCGACACAAACCATCTGAGTCGAGATTTTGCAATAGCTCGATGAACGTAAGCTGTTTCAAAGAGATTGGTGATGAGACCGTCGATAGGTAGCCCGCCTTTGAATTGCTTGCCGAAAACTTGGAACTGGGACAGGGCCTTGGGAAAAGAAAGAAAGCCGGTGCGGAAACACATGGTTACGGACTGGGCGTTGGCTTTGATAGATTCGTAGGCGATGTCTAACGGGTTGAGTCAGTGACGTCGAAGGAGATGGGAGGTGGCACGTACCCATAGCCGTCTCTCCACATCCCAAGATCAGCACATTCTTTCCCGTGAGCTGTGATCGAAGCTTGTACTGTGAAGAGTGGAAGACTTCGCCTTTCATGTTCTCAATTCCCGGGAGGTGTGGCATGTTGGGTTGCACATGAAGCCCAGTACAAATGGCAATGTGGGAACAGTCAAAAGTTCGTTCAACGCCTCCGTTCCGGCCATCAGTGTACGTTACACGATGTTGCCATTTCCGCTCATCCTTGGGTTTGCCGATTGGGGCTATTTCCGTGACGCGGCAGTTCAAATGCATATGAGGCGCCAAATTGAACTTGTCCACATATGTCCTGAGATAATCTACATACTGTGGCAAAGATATGTGATCTGGTGTCGACAATGGGAGCCTATGATCCGAGAAGGTGGTGAGTTGCTTCGAGCTCACTAACTCGGCATTCTCGTAGGAGCGGTATTGAAAGGTACCGCCGACATCCTCCTCACTGAAAGAAGCGTTCAGCGGCAAATCCCAGTTATACGATTTCACTCACGCTTCGAACAGCTGAGCTTCAATCGGTCTTTCTGGCGTTGAAGCCTCGAGCAAGGTCTTGAGAGTTGTGAGGCCTCCAGGACTGGCAGATGTCAGCAATATGAAATGACTCCCAAGTCCTCGTCCTACCCTGCCCCTATTACCGCTACCCGTATTGCTTCCATCTTTACTTGTCGAATATCTCAGTTGAGGACTGCAAGCACAAATGGTTGCTAACTGCCACCACGCTACACGACATGTCGCTTACGTCATGGTCTCGCCCAGTTCAGGAACCACTTGCATGCACATGCAGGGGAAGTCGAGTGTAACCTGATCGTCTTGAGCTTATCTCAACCCTGCTAGTTAATATCTGTCTACTTTCATCAATGGATGTGTTGCTAGACAGTACTCCTTTCCCAAACGCCAAACACCCCCAAATCGTCTCCGAGCTTCCTCTACTTGCACAGTATGTACCCAGATGCACGGAGGCGGACTAACATGTGCAAACGACCCTGAGTCTGAAGTTCCGACCAAACGCGGAAACTCCCCCCACCATCCCTCCACCATAGATGAGGCGCCATATCGCTCATTTTGGTGTGCAGGGAAATATTGAATACCGTCTGTGATACCACAAGCGACCTTCCACCGTCCATGGTAGGAGTTAGAAACCGGTTCGATAGTGTCCCGCAAAAAGGGACGGCGCGGAAAAAGCTCGGCCCGGCGCCGCTCAGCAGTTGTGGTACATAATCTGAGAGGAAGCCGCGAATCACCGCGCCGGTAAGGTACGTCGATGGCGTCGCTCCTTCCCACCTGGGCAGTTGTTAACGGAGGCGCCAGAACCATGCTGGATTTGTATAGGTCATTCACCGCTGCGATCGGGAGAGGGACAATCCGGCGCGCCAAGCGTTTCCAAGGTTCCCACTTCAATTCTCCGCAACGTCACTGAGACCAAACAAGACTGTCCAGGTCCAAAGCCTTCTCCGAGAATGCAATAACAGCGCGACTGTTGTTCCACTCACACCTCGGCTCCATGGAGACGCAAAAGCCAGTCCGCGTAGCTATCGTGGGCTCGGGGATGGCGGGGTTGGTAACGGCATACCTACTACGACACGACGCGCGCCAGCGGTACGATGTGAAACTCTTCGAGTCGGTGAGTTGTACTCACAAATCCCAAAAAGACTGGGCGCACCTAATGGCTCTGGAAGGGTAAATCCTTATCACTGGACTCTGCTTCCGTCTCCCTCCCTCATGGCAGCGGCGCCACAGGTTCGACCGACCGGGTGGACCTCCCTATGCGCGCTTTCGCGGGCGGATTCTATAATAATCTGAAGTCCATGTACGATCACCTAGGGATCATCTACCACAGTCAACCGTTTCTATTTGAATTCGCAAAAGTGCAGGCTTCGATGGGCGAAGGCACCGACCAGTCCTACTTCACGTTCGGGTCGAATCTGCATAAGATACCAGTACCTCGTTTGAATGCGTTTGCGACTACCTCGTATATATTGGAAGCTTTCTACTTGCTGGCGTGTTACACCTGGTTTTCTGTATGCTGCTTCTTTGTGGCGCCCAAGACATTTGCGAACGGCCGCAAGGACCCTGTTTCTGAGACGGTGGAACATTACCTGAGAAGGATTCGGCTCCCACATTACTTTACGACGCACTATCTCCTCCCGCTTATGTCGAGCGTCAGCACGTGTCCGCACCAAGCTCTTCTTCGATTCCCCGCAAGCGACCTTGTAGAATATAAGAGGCGGACACATCGTGCTCCACATTACACAGTCTCGAATGGTGTGAAAACGGTCCAGGAAAGATTGGTTGAAGGAGTCGATTATCAGCTGTCAACGATCGTAACATCAGTCGAGCCAAAGGGAAACCAAGTAGAGATTTCTTGGAAACATGCCACCGATAGCGACGGAGCTCAAACTCAAGAGATATTCGACAGAGTAGTTCTTGCCGTCACGCCAGACGTTGTTGGGAATATATTTGCGCCGCTACGATACCATATGGCTAGGATCCCGACCATGCAGGTCGAAAGCGTGGTACACACGGATCGACGGATCCTTAGCCCTGGAACGAACCACAACCGCACCAATGCGCAGCTGATATACCTACGAACCTCGACAGATGGGACACATCGAACCGAGTCACTTCATGTCCAGCCATGTGGAGCCATCGTTACTACATGTCCTTTCAGCGACATTGATTCAGCTCAAACCATTCACCGCGCGAAGTTCACTCGAGTCCTGCGGAGTCCAGAAAGTAGACGTATCGTAAATAATATATTTGAAGAAACGTACATACCCAGTCACGAGGAGAAGGCTCTTCCGACCTGGAGGAACGGCGACAATAATGTATGGCTCGTTGGCGGCTGGTGTTGGGATGGGATGGTTCTTCTCGAAGGCTGCGTTGTCTCCGCAATGCGTGTAGCGCGAGCTTTTGATGTCGAAGTGCCATGGCTGCGCGAGGACAAGTTCGCAGAGACGAACGTATAGTGCTATTTCCAGCGATGCATTGGTTAGATGATACCCATGCCGAATTTTGGAGTTGATTTTATATTCGCAGAAGATGCCCTTTTAACGGCACTTTGCGTATATTTGCACGCCGAAGGAGATCTCTTCAAAGTGGAATATTAATGCTTTCGTTTATTCTTCATAGGTGATTCACGAATCCTATACCATTGCTTTACCTTGCTATTTGACTCTCATCCTATTATGTGGGCATATCCGGGATATCTTACTTGACCGAAAGAAGTTTAGCGCATTTGTTCACTTCGCCAGCGATGCAAGTGACTACTTCTTCTCTCCCATGCCTCAGCCAATTCCTTGTCTCTAACACCGGCTTCGCTAGACTATGATCCTGAGAATACCCCTAGATGGGATTACTTAGCTTGCTATGGGTTGGCATTGCGGCCGCTGTAGCCATTCTGTCTTTGTCCATCCAGACGCCAAGCCTTTACCTTTCCCATCTGCTCACGTTTATCGGTGGCATCCTCTTCCTCCCTGCCTCGAAAGCACTTTTTGCCCGACTGAAACGATGGAAAGAAGAGCTTGGCACGGAAAACGATGCCGAAAATCCTCTCTATGGCCTTGACCATGCACGATTGCACCTTAAGACATCTCCTCCCCCGATGTGGATGAACATGGGATACTGGGATGTAAATACTTCCTCGACCTATTACACTCACGCCTACTGATATCACAGTAGAGAAAGGCCTGTTTCCCCAACTGTGTTCCAGGTGAACACGGCAAAAGCAAACCAATCAGCCTTGCAGTGGCATCCAGGACGCTCCTCTCAGAAGTCCTCAAAACAGCCGGATTTTCCGTCGAGAAAGACGGCAAGCATATTGCCCGGATGGGCAGGGTACCTTCCCGAGCACTACTAGACCTAGGTTTTGGCTGCGGCGAGCAAACAATGTACCTGTGCAGTCTTGATCCAATCCGCGAGTCTGACAAACAATGGTGGGATTCGCACGAATCAGTGCCGCAGCTTGACTTCTACGTGGGCATCACCAAGAATAGGAAGCAATACCAGTATGCTCAATCGGGCGTTCAGGTACTCACTGAACGTCTCTCTGGAGGCCAACCTTACGCTGAACTACCTACCGGATACTCCAAGCACCCAAGGCCGATAGACATCCGCTTATTCTGCGCCGATGCCAGCAACCCCGACTCCTGGAACGCAGAACTCAAGCAGCACATCCAAGACACCATCTCTCAAGCCGAAGAGACCTGGGTCCTAGCCCTAGATACCCTCTACCATTTCTCCCCCTCCCGCTGGCCTATACTCACGTTTGCCAGCCACACTCTCAAAGCCTCATTCATGGCCTTCGACCTCTGCCTCGCTGACAACATATCCCTCCCCAACCTGCTCCTGCTCCGCCTCGTGACTAAGCTCATGGGTGCGCCCTGGGCTAATTTCGGCACTGTCGAGACCTATCGGACGCGGTTGAGGGAAATTGGATATCGAGATGTTACGGTCAGGGACGTCTCGGAGCACGTATTTGCTCCGCTGGCTGCGTTTCTGGAGGCTCAGGATGAGGGGTTGAAACGTGTTGGGCATGGTTTGGGTCCGTTTCATGTTGCGAAGTGGATGTTTGATTGGTGGGGGCGCACGGGGATTGTGAGAGGTGTTATTGTTGTTGCGAAGATGTGAAGTAAGCGTGGGGAATGTGTGGTCAGGTTTATGATGCCAGTGAGATCATGAAATAAGTTGCGCTGAGACGTTGTCGTTGATGGATAGGCCAGCAAGAGGCTCGAATGGAAGATGACCCCTGATTACGTATGCACTCGTGTCTTCAGTGCTGCGTCCGCATCATCCATAGTATTAACGGCTTTTTAGGAATGAGAACACGACCAGTTCAACTGGAGGTACTCCAGTTTCCCGTAGCCTGATAGCCACTGCAAAGCCGGAATAACCCCATCTCTAGAGGAGTTACGATACAAATATCTCTGCTCTAGGAACTTTGATCTCGGGACCTGGGAGTGTTGATCGTTGAGATATCTGGCTGATATTCGAAAGCTGGCAAAACTCTTCGGGCGATGGGCATTGTTCAGCAACTTGAGAGCACACTGCATTCATGGAAATAACCCTTCATGACACTAATTGTATTGATACATGACTACTCCGTCATCCTCCCCCGTGCCTATTTGGCCATAAGAGTAGTGATGCATATTCCATCCTCGCCCGGGTCCCGACTCGTTGGGACCCCAGCGTCACGGAGTTAGAAGAGGTGCAGCCGCTGAACCGGGTGCTTAAGGTCCATCCTCCTTGGCTGGGTCACCGGTTCTCAAGCCCACTTTCTCTACGCTCTTCTCTTGGACAGGGAAAAGAAATGCTTCCGAAGACCGTGGGATCGACAAGACCTGGAAGTAGACTCTGCATCGCCGTCCATCGCAGGAGTGTGTTGCTGCACAATGTCTTCTTGCTGGCGGGATTCCTTTCTAAAGGAGACGATGCGTGAGGTAAGGGATCCCGCCGCACGAGTAGGCTGTGCAGAGACCTCGAGCAGAGAAGAAACACAAACGGCATGCGAAGTTTGACGACTCGCAACAGGAGGACGGTGACAACCACACTCGCCTCCGTCTTCGGACCCGGCAGAAGCCATCGCGTAGCTGAAGGACGAACCAGATGCGCTTGATGTAGTATGGCTCCTGCTGCTTCGCGTCTTCCGCACCGATAAAGGTCGCTCGCTCGGAGCATGGCTGACAGACCAGGGAAGAATTCCCCAGGTAAACAGATCTTCGAACTCGGGACAAGCTTCCCACGGGTCGAAGGAAGGCGAGCGGCGAATATCACGAGCAATCTCGGAAATGATATCGTCAAGCGGGCCTGGAGAGTCGGATGTCTGTGTGCGAGGAGGCTTTCGATGCGTGAACCAAAGACGCTTGCGGGGTTTCTTTCGAATCTCAAGGGGAGCGGGGAGAGGTGGGAGATGCTGCGGGAGGTAAGCAGTCCTTGTCGTCGTCATAGGGCGGTCTTGGTGGATGCGGTTCGCGATTTGTTGTGCTTCCCCACTGTGCGCCGACTTCGACGCGTCCAACCTCTTAATAATCTAGCCACGGACCAGACTAGGTTGTTTCTCGGAGGTGACTTGATGCGATCAGGTCTGACGAAGACTTGGACAATACTGGATGCCACTGAAGATGCTCGACTAAAATGGATCGAGGCAGATGGACCAAAACAGAGGAAGAAGCAGCCTCCTGAACGGTTAAGAAAGAAATGAACTGCAGCTCTGGGAAGCTACAAACGCCGAGCATGCTTTGAAGTATCCTCCAAGCTGCAGTCGACGCCCGCGAATGGCAAGCTCTGGAACAGTGAGCATTGGCAAGCGCAACCGCCTTAGGGTTGCACCGGCCAAAGAAAATCAGATACCGTCCGGGCTCTTTCTTCACCCACCAGCTCGACAGTGACAGAATTGTCGTCATGAATGAGCATACTGCATTCGACTTTTCAGAGAGGAGATAGCCATGATTACATCGGTCAGGCATGAAGTCCACTCAAGCTCAATCGGCGCTAGTGCTAGACGGGCTAGCGTGGTACTTAGTTGCAGGAAGGCCTCACTTTCGGGATAGGTAAATGCGACCTCCTCTGTTCCCTTTCAGATCATGCGAGCCGCGGAGTCCGAGTCGTCAAATCAGCGGCAGGAGGTGCGCAAATGGGAGGGAATTAGGCTCTGGATGACCCGTTTTCGCTTCCAACAGCAGGTGCAATCCCATCACGAGATGATTCCAAGTACAGGAGCCCTAATCGATGTTAGATTTCATCCAAGCGCCGCTGCTCTCGAGATTGCAGCTTCCATGGTCGTCTTCATTCTCTGGAGTGTATCCTCATCACCATCCCTAAATCGTATCTGGATACGTTAGGAGCTGAATGAGACAGGCTTCGTATGGACGTACGATATCCTCACCAGGCACCCCGCCACCATAGAGTACGGAGTCCGACAAACTGCCCTTAACAGCTTTCCTGACCCTCTCCTCCCAGACGCCCTCCCAATTCCAGTCTCCGGGCCGTCGATTCCGTCCTAGTGCGTCATTATCAACCGCCTTGTCCTCCACGCCTAGGTGGGACATGGAAGCCGTTGATGTGCTCGGAACCGATGAAGCTTTCTGTGCTTGTAGAGATTCAGATCGATAGCTTCGCCACGCATGATATGCGCCCGGGTTGGCAGCAGCTTGCAGAGGGATCGAATCAAGCACTACTTCGTCGCTAAATGTGGAGCGGATATAATGGAGGACCTTTACAATGGTCACGCCCTTTCCGGCTGCAGTGGTTGATGCTGCCAGCTGTGAAGACGTTGTCTCATCCTCCCTGCCTCTTGCAGGCCTTGGCGTGCTACCCTGGGAGGTACTGCATACGCTCGACGCACTCGCATCACGAGAGCCTGCGGACTTCCGAGCGCGACCGAACCACTGTGGAAATCCGTGACGAAGGCTGAAGCCGCCAGGCGGCAGTCGTTCTTCATCCGTTGCACTCACCGTATCTGTATCAGAGGAGCCAGTGGTGTATGTGTAAGTGGTGAGCGGGGTGAGCAAAGGATGGAACACATCGGTAGAGAATGTCACAAGAGGAGGCAGAGTCGGATAGTTGGGTGGGAACGATATTTGGAACCGCAGAACAGCGGGCGCATATGGACCTGTCGCATGTGAACATGGGCGACGCAACAAGGCGATATGGCGCCATAGTGGGGTGTGACTCCAATTGCGGATGCCAGACTTTAGGTACCTTTGCGAACAAACAAGACACCCACCCAGAGCGAAGGGTCGCCCGGTGTGATGCTCATGAACACGCCGTCGAGCGGCGCACTGCGCAGGCTGGAGCTGGGAACGACAGTCAGAGACACGGCCCGAGTCGGCTTGCCGTGACATACAACTCAACCAGCAAGTTCTGCTTCCGAAACGACAGCAAAGCCGGAGACGGCCCGAGAGAAGGCATCCTGTGGTGCAGCGGCGAGGGATGCCGGTGAACTCCCAGGGCTTGTTGTTGGGAGAAAGCATATGGGGGGAAAGGAGAAAGGCGAAAGTCCAGATGTCGTAGTTCTACGCTATTCCCCTTTCGTCACAAGCGCATAAACTGTACATTGCGCCTGCGCCCCATCGGCACTCAACAACAACTACAACACCACCACCCGCCGGAACGATAATCCCATGATCTTCGCCATCCTCTCCATCTGCCGCCTCGGAGCATCACGGGCCCATCCAATGCCAACAGTTTGATCTCTCGCTGACCCTCAGTGGCCTCCCTTCCACGTGGCGAGGTCGCAGTGGTGCTCCTCCACCACTCGGCGAAGACGGTTCCTTGGGCGTCACTCACATGAGATACGAGCACTGCGTTCGACAGCAAGAAGCGCGTGATGCAAATGCGACAACATCCTGCGGCGAAGGTCGATTGTCCATCCGGTGTGCTCCGGTAGGTAACGCCCACAACAGGGTGGCAGAGTCGAGCATCCCAAGCGCCAGTGTCACCGCTTCCTTTTGGTCCGCATATCGTCGAGACGGCTGCGAGTTGGGCCTTCCTGCGCTCTGATGCGGCCGCAGGTTAACCCGACAGTGTGCGCCGTACGCCGACTGCACTCAGATCTGCCTCCTCTGGCGTCTGTCGTGGAACCTGAGAAATTTTTTGGAAAATGTGTTGGCTCCAGTTACCGCGAAACGACACGGTCAGGAGACACTGTTAAGCCACTGGATGTTTTCCGCAACGCCCGATACACCCAGCTTTGTTAACGATGGGAGCGCATTTGAGCGCAGAGCAGGATGTCGAAAGCGCAAACGATGCGAGAGAGATCAAATCCATCGGAGATATAGATAGCCACAGCCACGCTGTCGGGTCCAGGTCACCTGCCCTCTTCTCAACGTGGGACAGATTTCTCGTTTTCGCGCCCCAAAACCTTTCTTTCTTTTTGAAGCGCGACAAGGATTAACCCCAGCCATCCCCCGGGCCCAGTTCTCCGTTGTTATTTTGGATTCGCAAAAGTTGTGGATCCTTCCATTTCGCCTGGTTCGCCAGGTCCACGAATACATAATAAAAAGGAAGAGCAACGTGGGAGCCCTTCAACATCTCCAGCATTATGACCTGTCCGTACGGAGTATAAATTCATCAATTGCATCATGACAGGACCCAGTCGGAGACGGCGGTTTCGATGTCCATTGCCGGCAGCCACTCGGCGAGACGACTGGTCGTCTCAAAGCTTCCCCGGCCCCTGTCCATCATGTCAATCTCGCGTGGGAACTGCAAGCCACCTTTTGGCCAATGGCTGCAATTCCCTAGCCTTACGTCCTCACCGCCGTATCACACCTCAGCGGCCGCCCGTGAGTAACGTGAACATGCGCCGAGATGCCAGCTCTGCTTACCGTTTCGATCTTGCCAACCGCCCTGCAGATTTCACGTCTCACCGCGGCGGCCGACAGCTCCCATTATTACTATGTATTGTTGTGAACTCTCGTTTGGCAACGGCACCTCACCGGAAATGGTCAGGCTACTCGTTCGTTGTTCTACAAGCGCTCCCCATGTCGTCGCTAGGGGAGAAAAGGACGCTAGGTAGGTGTCAGCTGATGACACTTTTGGGCGACTCGCGAGGACGTGCTTACGACTGATGACGATGACAATGTGCTGGAAGAAATTCTCACCTCCTTTCTTATGAAACCAACCAGCCTGGGAGTACGCCCGAACCACCCACGGCCTGGAAACGCAGGCAGATTGGCAGAGCCGGCAGCAACGTCCCTGCAACTGGTGACCGACATCGACGCAGTATCACTCTCCTACTCGTGGTCTTCATTTGCCTCCCAAGACGAGGATGAATATTGTTGGGTACTTGTGCTGGTACCTCGAGGGCTCCGGGTCATTTCCCTGCGCTGTCGCCAGGCGGCGGATCGGCGTGGGTGTCATCAAAGCGACACGAAACGCCCTAGGAAGACGAGTCGTGCTGCGGTCGCTGACGAAGGTGAATCATTATCATCATCAGCCTGCTCTGGGATGCATATGCAGAGACGCATATGCGCCTTGCCGCGAGCCGAACCTGGACATGATGGTAGGCAGCGTGTTCTCCCGTCCCTACGGAGTAGTCTACCGTGTGGTCGCCTGTACATGTATTGGGCGTCCCGGTCTACATACACCGCCAGTTTAGGAGGGGTCGTTTTTGCTGCCGTTTGATACTGCCACGCTGCCAACTCTCCGTCACCCCTGGACCCCCAAGGTGACGCACCTGATTCGCCCACGATGCTTTGGACGATGCTTTTCCCAGGAGGACACGGAGGAACAGTGCGAGATGGTCTCCGACGCGGCGACGATGGCATCCATCCCACATTCCAGGGCAGCCCGATCACAGCACCTTGCGGCCTGACTCGTGCGCTCTGAGCAGAAATCTTTTCCCCCCCGTTATCCGCGAGGGCTTCCAGACGGTCCAGCAAATGATGGGGCCGGGTCCATTCCGGGGAAGCTGGGAGGGTATCCGCGCGGGTCACCACAAAGGGGGAGACCGTTCGGCACCGAGCCCTGGGCGCGTGGGAGCAGCGCTCTGTGCACTTGTGGTCAAACCCGCGGATGCGGAACAGGCACGGCGCGAGGGCTAGGGCTGCTGCAATTGAACCGTGCACCCAGGTGATCTGCTGGTGAAGCGACAAGTCATGGGCGTTGTTGGAACACATCTCGCATCGTCGCAACGTCTCTCCTGCATCCCCTTCCACCATGGCCCATCCCCATCCCACCCAGCATCCCTGCGCCCCGCCATGTTTCTCGACTGCTTCTACCGTAGCATGCCCAACGCCATGGCATGGGTCACAGCGCAGCCCTGAGCCCCGGCCTTGGTTGTGAGGCACAAAGCTTCACCACGCCTGACCCAACGACCCACGCTCAGGGGTTGGTTGCACCTCTTTCACTGCGTTGCACCATGGCCTGTACTTTTCCCAGGTGCCCAGTATGGCTCCCCTCCGTTCCGCCTCAGAGACACAGAGGCCTTCGTGACATGCGAGTAGCACCACCTTGTCCGCCAACGCACCAGGTCGCTTATGACATCTCTGCTGTTGTCCTAGGTAACCAGGTCGGCCCGCTATGCTCTCGTCACTGCTGCAATTGCTGGTCCGGTCCTTCCGCAGTGCCTATCCGCCCAGCCCTAGCAGCACATCTCCACACTCAGAGCTGGCAATCACCGCCTTGTACACTCCGATCCGTCCTTCCCCCGGTACCCTATCCTTGTACCAGGTAGTGGACCAGTGGACCATGCGTCGTCAGGCCGCCACTTCGATCCTGCCCCTCCCTTTTTATATATATACATCGTGACGCTCGCTTCACCATCACACCGAGTTCACAATTTCTCTGACTCCCAGTTGCCTTTGACGACGCAGACACGCCGCACTTGGCCACGCCTGCAACCTCGTGCCTCGATAGCTTTCTTTGTTCTCCAAGACCCCCACCCACGACAAACCATTTTCCTCGTACTATTTCCTTCGGAGAAACAGGTGTCGCTATGGCTCGAGATGGTGGACTGCCCGCTGTCCTGCGGGATAAGAAAGCATTTCCTACCAAGCAGATGGCTATCCTTGGTAAATCTCACGTCTTTACATTCGCTCGTGGCTGTACTGACCGAGGCGTTCCATAGCGCTCTGCCGCATTTGCGAGCCCATCGCATTCATGTCCATCTTCCCTTACGTATACTACATGGTCCAATCTTTCAAGATCACAGAGTCGGAGGGAGAGATTTCCATGTATGCAGGAATGGTGACCTCCGCATTCGCCTTCGCAGAGTGCTTCAGTGGATATTTCTGGGGCCGGTTGAGCGACCGTGTCGGACGCAAAAAGGTTCTCCTAGGGGGACTTTTCGGAACGGGATTAAGCATGTTGCTCTTTGGGTTTGCCACAAACTTGCCAATGGCTCTGATTGCACGCGCCTTGGGCGGTTTGCTGAACGGGTGAGATCGCTCCCAGATTCAGCGCGGTGGCACTTACTAACGTCGGTGCTCAGAAACATTGGCGTGCTCTCGACCACTGTCGCAGAGCTGGTCACCGTGAAGGAGCACCAACGTACGTCTTCGCACTCCTCGAGATGGAGACATGGACTAACTTGGCAATAGCGCGGGCCTTCTCAATTATGCCATTTGTTTGGTGCGTTGGGTATGTTTTCTCCCTCCACTCTGCATTTCACCGCTAACAGGCAGTCTGTAGCACCATCATCGGTTCCAGCCTTGGCGGTCTTCTGGCGAACCCTGCAGACAGCTGGGGATCCGTCTTCAGCGGCACGATATTCGAGGCGTATCCGTATCTCTTGCCAAATTTGGTGTGCACCGCGATTGTCGTCTGCGGTCTCACTATCGGCATCCTCTTCCTCGAGGAAACTCACGAAGATATCAAGTATCGACGTGACCGCGGCCGGGAAGTAGGCCAGTGGATTTTGCGAAAGCTCTGGAACCAGAGTTATCCGCCCCTGACTGAGAAAGCTGAGTCCTTTGACGAGGTTCTCTCAATGCTCAGAGAATCCCCACCACATGACTATGACAGCGCTTGTAGTTCCCCAACGCTCTGTGGAGCCCGGACCCCCATTGAAGGGCTTCCAGAACCTTTGGAAAAGGAGTTGGACGCGACATTCAACGTTCGCAGTGCTTTTACGAAGCAAATCTGCCTCATCATCGTTGGCGTTGGGATTCTGGCTTTGTGAGTCCCCCAACACTCATATACGACGAGTAATGCTGACGAAACCTCAAGTCACACGATTTCACTAGAGCAGCTCATCCCTATCCTGATGTCTCACCCGGAGTCGACCGAGGCACCAAAACTTCCCTTCAGGTTCCAGGGCGGATTCGGCTACTCGACGCAAACGATTGGTACTATCCTTGCTGTGCAAGGCGCACTCCAGATGGTGGCCCAGCTGGTTTTATTCCCCTGGATTAGCAAGAGACTGGGAAGTCTTCGCACCTTTTGGCTCACGATAGCCCTCTACCCGTTTCTCTATCTGCTCGCCCCGTATCTGGCGCTCCTCCCCAAGCAATTTCGCATCCCCGGCATCATCCTCCTACTTGTCTGGAAGGTCACGGCCCAGTCACTCTCTTATCCATCACTGAACATTATGCTCACGAACGCTTCCCCTTCAAAGAAGGTACTTGGCACCCTGAATGGAGCTTACGCAAGTTCAGCGAGTGTCTGCCGCGGATTCGGACCAACAGTGTCAGGAGCGATCGCTACTCTAGGTGACAGCCACGGCATCTCGGGCCTTGCTTGGTGGGCCTGTGCTGGGATTGCCATGATCGCGTGGATCCCCGGATTTTTCATGGAAGAGAGGAGACCAGAAGTGTGGTTAGGAGGCCACGTCGACGACGAGGAATACGCGTATGCGGCATGCCTGGCCGACGACGATTCATCAGACGCTGGCTCGATCGAGACACTTTCGCCCCTGGCTACGGTTGAGGTGCTTCCCAAATGAGTGTGACGTCCATATCGGGCATGCTGAGACGACCTTGCACAAAACGAAAAAGACACTACTGGAATTCAGTGGGGAGGAATGAATGGAGTAATATTTGGCTGGAATTATAGACATCCCTGCATCGGCTGGAACGAAAGGGTAGACACGGCTTTAACGGACTAGCATTGACGAGGCGCTTTTAGAAGGGGGGAACATCTGGATCACCTCTGGGCGGCATTATTGTTTTAGGCGTCACGTCGGCAAGACTTTTTTAGAAAAGACCTCAGGAAGGGCAACCTGGACCGGGACACCTGCAATCGGCAAGGGAGGGAGGCGTTTGTACAAAATCATTATTATACCCAGAGATATCATTTTACAGTTCGTTATTCCTTACGATATCTCCCCTCTGGTTTTTTAAATCTAGAAATGCATCACCTCTTTGATCTTGTGAAATTTTTGCCTCCAAGCCGGGAATGTGCAAAGGCACTTACTTGCCCCTACCCTACTCCATGACTCAGCCAGCCGTCGTATAAGAACCGGGGAGAGGCCACATTTGCCAGCCGGAGACAGGAGCATTTGCGGCATCGGGGGTTAGAGACTTGAGAAGGAAGAGAAGGGGCTTTCGAGGCCAATTGTCTGTAGCGTGACTTGAATGGCAAAAGCGAGACGCTAGGGAGCGACTGCATGAAGGAGAGGGGGCACGTTTGGAATGTTCCAAGATTCTAGCACGTTTCCATGGGCGTCTCGGTGTGAGGAACGGTGAGTCGGCTGCAGAGCGGCGGCGTGGAAGAAACAGGGGCTACGAGTCAGGAACTGCTAACCTCACGTGCGGAAGCTACCTATATTAGATGGAGTGCTGGACGTTATAGCTGGGGGATCGTGGATGGGCAATACAGTAATTGCCGTTTGCCGTGCGTCGTCGTCCGGGATTGGAGTTGTGCATGCATCCTGTGGTCCCCTGTGGTGCGGTCCTGACTGGTTGACGTCTGATATCATCATTTCCATAAGCAGCAGAATCATCCTCAAAACCTGGATGCAGAACTGATGACAGGGGCTCCGTTTCGCCTGTTTCACGCAGGTCCGGTCATATCACGTGAAATTCAGCTGACCAGTGAACATGGTCCAATCCATTGGACCTCCACCTGGGCAGGGTTGGATTGCGGGGTTGCTGAATGCCTCAGCACCAGCAGAGCATCTCGTACCGCTCCCGCGCGCCGGTAAGACAGACTGTACGGCGACTCCCGTACTGTACCGGTACGGCGCAGCTAGAATGGCCCTCGGAAGGAGTCTTCGTCGAACTTCATTGAAACCTTGCGCCTCTCCTATCCGGCTGCGATCCACCCCAGTCCACACCGCTTAAACCCTTCAGCCCTAGACAAGAGGACGTGCGGGGCTGTCGTTATCGCTTCCAAGGGTTCTGCGCCCTGCGACTTCGTGTTCAACACAAGTCCTGCCATGCGTCCTGATGACCGGCCTCAAGCGCTCCCTGGATGACGCTTCTCATCAGCATGAGGACCGTCCCTCGCCCCAGGACACCGCGTACCCGAGACTGAAACCTGCCTACCCGACGAACAATGCGCCCTCATCCACCACCTCGTCAGCCTCGTCCTTCCGCAATGTCAGCGCTTGCAATCGATGTCGCCTTCGCAAGAACCGCTGCGACCAGCGACTACCGAACTGTGCGTCGTGCGAGAAGGCCGGTGTCAAGTGCGTTGGGTACGATCTTATAACCAAGAGGGAGATTCCGCGAAGGTGGGTGCACTATGCCCAGACCCTCGGTCGCGTTTCTCCTCCAATGTAACGATTTGCCAGTTACGTCTATTATCTGGAATCGCGCGTGGCATATCTTGAGTCTCTCCTCGTGGAGAAGGGCGTTCCCTTTGCGCCAGCAGAGCAATTCAATCCTCCACTCACACCATCGAATGGCCGAGCGGTAACCAGCCACGCGCCTGGCCCGGACAACTCGCCGCAAGAACGTAATGGCGCTTCAGAATCATCAGGAGGCGGATTAAAGCAGGACGAGGAGGACAAATATGACCGCGAGAAGCTTTCAAAACTGGTCAGCAACATTGGCATGGTATCGGTTCAGGGTGCAAGCGATCCACGCTTCTTGGGGTCCACATCGGGCATTTCCTTTGCGCGGGTGGTGTTCGCGGCTGTCAAAAGCTCTGTCTCAGGGGCGACATCTGAGAGAGGGAGTGTGCGGGGTGCAAAGTCACTGACTGCTGCTAACGCAACAGATGGCGGGACGACCATGAGGGATTCCTTCTTCGGCCTCCATACGAAACCGACATTCCGTCAAGCACCATTTCCGGATAGGGAAGTGGGACTCAGGCTGGTTGAACTGTACTTTGAGCATGCCAATCCTCAGATACCCATCCTGCACCGGGGGGAATTCATGAGCATGTTTGACCGAGTCTACGCGTGCGGGGAGCGCAATCGGACCTCACGAGAATTGTACATGCTCAACATCGTGTTTGCCATTGGAGCCGGCATCATCGTAGGAAAACCCGGTCCACCATCGGACGCAACCCCCAACGGGCGCAAACCTCCCAACGATGCGGACCCGCAATCCCCAAGCGCAAAGAAACGGCGGCTTGCAGGCCAGCAGCACCAACCCGAAGAGTATCACGCCTCGGCGATTATCCATCTCGAGAATTTCCTTGGCTCGTCGCCTGCAGCGGACCGTCCCGACGGGTTTGGTGGGGGCCTCGAGGAACTGCAGGCGGTGCTGCTGCTGGCTGGGTTTGCGCTGCTGAGGCCGGTTGCGCCCGGTTTGTGGTACATTGTGGGTGTTGCTGTCAGGTTGGGGGTCGATCTGGGGTTACACTATGAGGACGGTGTAGGCATTGATGCGTCCCGGTCGGAAGACCCGAGAGCTGGGGTTCTCGAGCAGAAGGAAGCAGAGCAGGGCGGCAGGGGCGGCGGTGCGAAAATCGATCCCAAGGAAAGGGGTCGCCGAGAGTGGGTATGTACACCGGGATAGAGATGCGTTGTGGAACCTCGCTGATCGGATCGCGTGATGGCAGGTTAGGGACCTTCGGAGACGATTGTGGTGGTGTGTCTACTCGTTTGATAGACTGGTGAGCAGCTGTGTTGGCAGACCTGTCGGTATCACGGATCAGGTAATGTGAAGGCAGGGAGCGTTGTGGGACACGTATTGATCCCACATAGGTCATCACGACCGATTTCCCCTCGATGCTGGACGATCGGTACATCACCAAGGAAGGTTTCCTGGATCCGCCGGGTTCGGAGAGGCCTACCTACAAGATTGTGGCCTATCACTATTTCAGGCTCCGTCTGTTGCAGTCAGAAATCCTGCAAGTGCTGCAACACCGCCAGGCGCAGCAGGCCCGGGCCACTGGCGCGAGTCACGGCAATGAGTTCATGCACACAAAGCTCCCGTCGCCTTTCCTTGCCAACTTCGACTCGTTCCGCCAATGGCGGATGGACATCGACAGACGGTTGCAGGAATGGAAGGACTCTTCTCCCACACAGGTGGATTCCGGCGTCCAGTTCTCGCCCCTGTTCTTGGAATTGAATTATTGGCAAGCGGTCATCATGTTGTACCGCCAGAGCCTAGCAGTCCCAGTTGGACTTGCCGGAGAGGTCGGGAATGCGGAAGGAAACGTCGGCAGTCCCTCTGTGGTGGACAGGGAAGAAAGGGAAGACGAAGAGCTCGTCTTCCTCAAGGTTGCGGAGGCTGGACAAAAGGTGTTGAAGTTATACAGGCAGCTGCATCGCGTGCATCTGGTTAACTATACGTTCCTGGCGACCCATCACCTTTTCATGGCTGGTACGTCTTGTATACTCGCAGAAACTCCATGGCTGATTCGTCTAGGCATATCGTTCCTCTATGCCGTATGGCATTCGGTTGCAGTTCGGTCAATGCTGGTATGTCCCTGCTTGCAATCGATGTCTGTATCTTGAGTTTGAGCAATAGCTGACTTCTCCAGTCCCTCGACGATGTCGACTTTACGGTACTAGCAGCCACATCCGTTCTAGGGGATCTCATCGAGAAGTGCCCTCCCGCAGAGGCATGCAGAGATGCATTCGACCGGATGAGCAAAGCCACCATCTCCATGTGCATGTCCACCACAGGCTTCGGGTCACAGGCGCTTCAAGCTCTGGGGAGAGCTCGTCCGCCAGTTCGGCCCAGTCGCTCTCCGAGCAACACCTCTCCATCTGCGTCCGAGACGGATGCGAGGTCCGACGCAGCCCTCTCCACGAATAGCTACTTCCAGCAGTCGAGGCGTCCCATACCGAAATTCGACATGAACCTGCGTGACTTGTTCTCCGAGGCGGAGACGGACCGGCGCTCATTCAGTCGTATTTCCAACCAGCTGAACATTCTCAAACCGCCACCACTGATGCAACATGTAAAGCAGGAACACCAACAGCAGCAGATGCCACCTTTCCATTCTGCTGCCTTGAAGAATTCGCCGCCGATGCCGCCACATCAAGGATTTCGTTTTGACCCGGCTCAACGGCCGCAGCAACCCCTTCATTCGCCTCAACAGCAGTATCAACAGCAACAACAACACTTCTCCTCGCCACCACCTAACCCCTCCGTTTCTGCCTCCGTGACCCAGTCCCCCTACCACGTCACGCAATCCGCGCCATACAATCCCTTCCATCAGCCCCAAATGCAACAGCAGCAGCAGCAGCAGCAGCAACCCCCGCACCACTCCCAACAGCAACACCAAGACCTACCTACCTACCCCAGCGACGCCTTCGCCTTCACCGACCTCGACTTCCTCGACGGCTTCACCCTGCAAGGCGGCGGTGGCAGCAGCGGCGCGGACGGAACGGGGACCCAGGATCTGGGGTTTGATCTAGGGTTCCTGGGCGATGGGACGCATGACTGGAGTGAGGGGAATGGGGTGGATCTCTTTGATGGGTTTTTCTTTGGGGGATCCGCTGCGGGGGCGGCGGGGTCGTAGTGGTTGCGATGAAGGCTCTGGGTCGTGGTGTTTGCGATGAAGGCTCTTGGTCACGGTCGTTGGGAGATGTGCTGGGCATGTTGTAGACTGGTTGGGACAAGGGGGAAGAGAAATCATTTTACCTCTTCATGTCGGCATTGGTTGGATAGAGGTTCATATATACCACTGTTGTTTGATGTCCGGGAGTTGAATACTCCGGCCACGGCGGCAATTCTTGAGTCAATAGGGGAACTCAAATGAACCAGAAACTGACGCTGAAGCTGGGCGTCAAACTGCGCACATAGTGCCACCATCCAGGCGGGATATACAGACACTCGCCCGGGCCAAGGACGCACTCGACGTATGCTGCCGTCCTGAAAAGCGGGAAACGATGCTCGTACTCGGCCTTTATATCCTCCCAGCTCTGGCCCTCTTCTCCTTCGTCGTCCGGATCCTCCTGCTCTTCCTCCTCCTTCTCATCATCATCATCATCATCATCATCATCATCACCAACTCCAACTCCCCTACTATCTCTTCCCCCCCTCCAACAGCTCACCTCCCCCCACACCCCCATCGCGACATCCAGATCCACCAAACTCGTATTCCCCATATCCACGCCCCTCTCGTCCTTACCCCTAGGATACATCTTCCCGCCTTCACCAGGTGCGTACAGGCGGATGTATTTCCTGCCGACGACTTGGGCGAGGATGTTGTGGTAAGGGTCTGTGTGGAGCGGGGAGATGGTGTTCCGGGGGCCGAACCAGGCGTTTAGGAGGGGCGTGGAGAGTTTTTCTGGGTTTCTTCTTGGTGGTGGGTTGGTGGTAGTGGAGCAGGAGGGGGAGGACGGGGATGGGAGATCGACGTAGCAGTAATCGGGGATGGAGAGGTCGGAGCGGAACGAGGGGATTTGGGCGAAGAGGTCGTGTTGGGCGAGGTAGCCTGTTTGTTTCTTTGCTGCTTGTTTTCGAGCTCGTGCTCGTTTCCGTGCTCGTTTCCGTTTGGTGGATGCCGTTCCGGGTCCGTCGTCGGACTGTGGAGCATCGTGGGAAGGGTGGTGGTGTTCCTCTTCGACACCATCAAACATAAACTCCTCCATAAACTCCCCAAAACTCATAACGCGCTGCCCCCACCCCTCATCCGTGTACGTCCGCCCCACCTCGACCGGCACCAGGCGTCTCCCCCCGAGCGTCCTCTCCAGCAAATAGGCGGGCGAGTTCCACGGCCGCTCGCTCATGGCGGGCCAGAAGTCGATGGCTCCCGTGATGATGAAGGGCGATGCAGTTGCAGGGTCGGTGATGCGCGATTGGAAGGCGGAGAGGGAGAGGGAGGAGCTGCGGATGCGGGGGAGGGGGTGCTGGAGGGTGGGGAGGGCGTGTGCAGGGAGGGCCGTGGGGAAGGTTTGGGGGATGTTTGGTTTAGGGTTGGTGGTGTTGCGGTGGTGGGATGGGTCGAGTTTGCGTTTCTTGAAAGGACGGGCGAGCGGAACGGCTTCCGTGTTAGCTTTCAATGCGTTGTCGTCTTCTTCGTGAGAGAGCCGATTCTCCTCTGACTCGGCGATCACGGCCTCCAGCGCTGAGAAGATGAGCTCGATCAGTTCTTCCCTGCCGGGGGCGGCGGTCAGGATGAGCGCCATGTCGAGCGTCCTTACGACCTGCGTGATCCAGTCTTCTTCCCCCTCCTCCTCCTTTTCTTCAATATCCCCCTCGCCTTCCCCCTCGCCTAATCCTTCAGCCCTCCTCCTTCCCCATCCATCACGTGACACACCTACCCCTTCACCACCAACCACGCTCTCCAAAATCCCCAGCACCTTCCTCACCGCCGCATCCGTATAGTACCGTCGCCAACGAGTCTTCACCTCGCGATACGGCACCGCGTGCAGTTTCTCGTACCCGAACTGTAGCGCTGCGTCTGGGCAATGGCGGAGGAGGTGCAGGGCGGGGACGCCGCACTGCAGGAGGTGATCTTCTTCTTCCTCTTCTTCTTTTTTGTTTTCGGCATTTGCTTCTCTGTTGTCGTGGCCATGGTTGGAGATCTCGGTGGGATTGGGTTGGGAGGCGGCGGTCGGAAGGGAGGATGGGGAGGAGAGGAGGTGCCGCGTTAGAGCGATGATTTCGGGGAGGGTGGGTGGTGCGGCTGGTGTGAGCGTGGAGTCTGGACGTGTACTAGGTGAAGGGGGTGTTGAGATGTCCATGTCTCTGAGCTGGAAGCTAGCGAAACTACTGGCGATTGATTATGAGCGGGGACTATAGAAAGTAGTGTCAAAAAGAACGGCGCCTATCCGTCATATCGTACATTACCTGTCCTAAAAGAATTAGTGAAAATTCAATTCAACAATGCATACATAATGCACGAGAAAGACAAGTTCAACGGAGCAGAATTTACTGTAGAGAGAGACACGGGGGAAGCCAGAGGTAGGGCGTCGCTTCAAACGAGGTCCCACACCGTTGCCAAGACGGCGAGGATCACCAACCCGCGCGCTCTGCGGCTGAACCTTAATTCAGATAACCCTCGCAAGTCGGCGCCTGATGCACGGTCAAAAAGCGACAGGCTCAGCAAAACGCAGACCGGGAATCCGGGATGCATCGACGAGGGAAAGACTATTCTCTAGTGATGCACCGTGGGGGCCAGCGCGTCATCCCACAGGCATGTCGAGGATCCGATAAATTAATATTGGCACATAGACAGGGGAGCGGATATATTAATTAACTGCACTGCATGAGCCGGACTCAATCTTACGCCATTGACGTGGGGGATGTGCTCGGTCTGGCAAAAACATGTAGACAAGAGAGAAGAACTAGGAGTCGTTCAGCATGGTAGATTCCCATTTTCGTTTATGCTGTTGGTCTACTACTGTACACATTCATTTCCGATAGATTCTGGAGTCTGAAGCCCATCTGGTCACCATGCATGAACCGTGCCCATAGCAGGAGGGTGCCGAAATACTCTACACAGTGGACCTTCTCATGCAAATACTGAAGGAATTCATGTCGTGACGCATTACTCGTAAGGCCCGGACGCCGTGGAATATGTCCCGTTGTAAAACAAGAAGAGAAGGTAGGGGGAAGAGGGGAAAAAGCAAAAGCTGCTCTTGCATGCTGCAGACAGGCAGTCCCTATGCAGAATGCGGGGTATCATCGATGAAGAAGAGAAAGAGGTGGGGAAGAGAGGGACGTCGCCAGCATCCTACTTGGGCGGGGTCGACGTGGACGAAGAAGAAGGCGAAGAAGAGGAAGAGGAAGAAGAAGAAAGAAGTCCACCTGCATCTTGAATGGGTGGGAGGGTGGAAGGGTGCTCTCGCCTTGGTCCTTGCTCATTGCCCTCAGACAGGATGGAACGTAAATCCTGTAGTTGCGCAGCAGCAGGTGTGGGCATCCCCGAATCATCAGACTGCTGAGACACATGGGAGGAGCGACGCGGGAGCCCATGGGCTCGCCCATGGGAAGCAAGCGAGCTCGACGCTCTGGATGGACGCCTTGGCCCCGGAAAAGCGAAGTCGTGGGTGACGATGGAATCCGTAGGCGAAACACCCGAGCTCGGAGCCTCGTTCAGAAGACCTCCAGCGTCGAAGAAGGATACTCTGCGGCCACATCGGGGGCTGGGATGAGGGTCTTCGCCGGGCCACGAGTTGGGAACGACGACCCCAACATGCGTTGCATCGCTCGATTTCGCGTCGGGAAAACGCCAGTTGCTCCCAGCGAATGGCGCAGGCTCAAGGAGGCTCAGGTCTGCCACTGGAGCTGGACGTGCTGCCTTTGCCTTGTCATCCCTCAGTTCCGGATTTGTGCGGTACCCCAATGAGCGAGCCAGATATTCGTCACTGTCAATCGGCGATAGAGTGGGCCTGCGGGTGGACGATCTGCGATCGAGACTATCAGTCGTGGAACCGCTCTTGTACTTTGGTTTCTTGACGCCTCGATCCCGCAGGAAGGAGCCGAGAACGATGGCGTTGGATACGAAGGTTGCCGCCAGAATCTCGGAGGATGCCATGACGGTGCGGAATTGCTGGATTCCACGACGTTGGATGACCAATGGGATTCGAGCAGCGACAATCACGATCAGACCGAGGGAGAGAGAGAAGAGCAAGACGAGGGATATCTTTCGCCTCAAGGGCATACCGGAGCCGAGGATGATGGGGATCGGGAAGACGACAAGGAAGACGTCAGTAACGATATCGGTTATGCCCATGGTGAGCAAGTGTGCGTAACCTTGGCGGCATTTCGGTCCCGGGTCAGGTATAACCTGCCAGTAGTGGTTGAAGGGTTGGCATTCGGTGAGGGTGGAAATCACGACGGCGAAGAAGGTAACGACGAGGAAGACGCGAAGGGCACGGAGACAGTACTCGTAGCCTCGTTTCCAGTAGCGCTCCGTCATGCGCTTGAGGAACTCGGAAACGGCGAATTTGGCCGTCCAGATGCTAGATTCGGTTAGTTTTGCAGGTCGCTAGTCGCACCGTGTAACAAAGACTGTCTTACAAGAAGGCGTAGAAAATCCTCGCAGCAAGCACGGCCTTGGAACCAATCTCTCGTTGGTGTATCTTGACTGGGTCCATCAGATCCGTCGTGTCCACATTGTTGGTACCGAAGATGAGGACGACGTGTATCAAGCCCATTCTGGCCATGAGGGGAATGATGCTGAAAGCCATGACCCTGTCTTCGGTAAACAGTTGCTCGTTTCTGATGTAGCGACCGCCAACGCGGAACAGGATTATGACCAGTGAGAACATGGTGGTCCACCAGCTGTAGAGCAGCGTGGGATTATTCAGAGTGCGTGAACGGGGCTCGGGTGGAGAGTCATTGTAGAGCGATCGAGGGAAGGAAGCGATGGCAGGCATGAGGAGGGGTGGTGAAGAGAGACCAAACAGACTCCCACCTCCGTAGAGGGCGAGCTGTTGGACGGTGGTGTAATTTTTTTTCAGGTGGAGTGAAGGGAGGGAGAGCGATGGTAGTCTAGCGGTGAGTGATGTACAGTACAAGTACTGTGTACGGAGTAGCTGGCGGGCAGCGGCTCCCTTGAATAACAACAAGTTGAATGACGACGCTGGCTGGGCGCTTTGACCATGATCTGTAGGGTAGGGCGGCTTGTTGGTCCCAAGACTGCGGTCCCGGTTGGCGTGTGGGGATGACGGCACGCCAATATACTGAAAAGAGTGAGTACGGAGTACTGGAAGGTCGATACGGAGAAGTTGCCGATGAGGAGGGTGAGAGTGAGTTGGCGGAGAGAAAATCAGAGTCGGAGGATGGGTACGTAAAAGGGCCGCAGCCCCAAGGTTAAGACTTTTTGAGGGGGCCTCGTGTCGGAGTGGGAGAGTGGGAGGGCAGCGGAGACGACTCCCACTTATCGCTTCGCCGGGTGGGCAAGCGGTTCGGCTGTGGCAGTGATAAGACGAGCCACGATCAGAAGAAGGCAGCTCGGCGCTCTTTTCGATTGCGCTGTTGCGCCGCGCTCGTGTCTGTTCTTGTTGGACGTCTGCTCTCGGAGAAGAGGGGGGTGCCCGCCACGGCCCAAAACAAAGCCACGAGACGCTGATGATTCACCAGGGACAGCCGAGTCGGTGAGGTAGAACAGTCGCAGTGGGAGCACAGGAGAGACGTCTCTTCATTTCGCTCCGGACACATGGGCGTGGGCGCCTGATACGTAGCACGCCGTGGACACTGCAGCCGCCGCAGCTCTCCAGCGCTCCCTGTGAATTGACTGCCCAGCTGTCCGTCCAGCGGCACAGTTGCGTCAAGCGGGAGCCCCGGTCCCTGGTGAGATCAATGATGGCACCGCTCATGTGATGGCAGGGAGAGGGGGTGGCTCGACTGCCCAGATCAGCAAATCATCAACGCCCTTACCTTGATCTTCACCTCCACCTTCACCTTCACTCTTCCTCTGCGCAAAGTCGCAAATGGTAGACGGGGAATGGTTGGTACTCCGTTCTACTCCAGGGCTGCGTACTCGCTTTGGCCAAGCCCGCCAGCTCGGACCCGAACCCGTCTCTGATTTTAACCCCCACCTGCTCCCCATGCGCCAGCGCCATTCTCTTCCTCGTTTCTGGCCTTCGCTTTCACCAAAAAGCAACTCATGTTGGACAGTCTCACATGTTCTTTTCTCTGCACACCCTTATTAATCTCGGACCGTCACAGGGTTGGAGAGGAGCCTCGGTCGCAGCAGGGTGAGAGCACCTCCTGAACGCTGAGGGTCCGTTAGGTGCCCTGCCATGGCCGTGTGCGAGACGAAGGACCTCTGCCGAAGCCTTCACCAAATCTCTTGCTGCAGCGACGGTTCGGAATCACCTAGGCAACCTTCTTTGCAGTTGCCCAAGCGTAGCGTAGTGTTACTATCACGGAAAGTCTCGACTTGAGCTTTGTATTCCCGTACTCCTTGCAGACCCGGTCCAGGTGCGGATTGGAGGTTGCACCCGAAAGCAATGGCACTGGTGGAAAGCGCATCGGTATGTTGCTTTTGGAGTTCGCGTACATTTTAGTGGGTTGGCAACTGCTATTCCAAATGCTTGAGGCAAAGGTTTATCGGACCATCTGCAAAGACATCCATCACGTGACCATTCAATGTATCCTCCATCTACCAGTCCCTACCTAGGTAGGAACTTTGGTACAGAGTCGTGATTTTCGTAGCACTTTCGCACTCCCCTCAACATTGCCGAATGCACTCGAGCTTCTCAACCGCACTTTGAATCACGACTTGAGGGGTCCAGGAGCTTGGGGGGAAAGGGTTTTCTTCACATGTCTCACGCGAGCACATCTTGGGCCTTGGAACAAGCCCCTGGTTCCAGACTGCAGAGCACGTCACTCCTGGCGATTGCATCCGTTCCCAGTATTTCCAGCAGTTGAGGTCGAGCAGAAGGACAGAAGTGACATGGACGTGAGAGCTGTCCACGGATGGCCGTTTGCCTTTTCGTGTCTGAAGACGTCACTACTGCAAAATGATGGTTTAGTTTTGGTGTGGCTCCAGCGAGAGACGTCATAGCGGAGGTCACCTTCGTGGAGCTTGTGGGCCCGAGCACACGAGCAAAACAGGAGATTCCGTGAACCTGCGGGAGCCTCCCTCCAACAAATAACTCCTCGCCTGCTTCGACTTGACTTTTATTCTTCTCACTACAACCACTACCACCCTCCTCGCTGTTGCCTCATCACACCTGCTCCTTACGAAAGTACATACTCCAATCGGTTACCCCCGTCACCTGAAAGCTCCTCTAAAGTACTTGTGGTACCAGCAACCCACACACGTCATGTCTGAAGCTCCGCACCTCACCCTCAACCAGACCGACCTGTCCGACCTGGATCCCACTTCAACTGTCGGCGTGCATTCAAACACCGACCCCTACGTCGGCAAGAAGCCCAATACGCGCAAGGACAGCATTCTTGCTTGTAAGGTGCGTGCCCATAGATGCTGCCTTGGTCGACTCCACTTCTTTGCCGAGCCCAACCAACTAACGGGAAACAATGCAGTCTTATCTGCCTCTCGCACACCACTCACCCCCTCTCCCTAACAACATCTGCCAGCTGCACAATCCACCATGGACGCCATCAGCAACCATCCCGCAACGCAGAGCCTGAAGGACACCATCAACAACGGTGAGGTACGTAGAGCTCCAAGCCGCAGCCCGCACTCATATTTCCATTTGCTAACCATGGTCTCGCGACACACAGATCCCACCAAAATCCCCCCCTCCCCACGCCATGCTAACCAACGCAGGTCCCATCGCAGAAAACGTCAAGGCACAAACGGCAAAGACGAAGGACGAGTTTGCTGACCTTGCAAATGCCCGCACCACTCCAGATCAGCCCGCTGCGACTGGACAGCCCCTCACCCACTACCACAGCTTGTTCTACCGCCTCCTGAGCTGGAGGAATCCTCGCGCGACTGCCATCTCGTTCGCCGCCTCCGTCATCTTCATCTTCGCCGTCAGATACCTCAACATTCTGCGCTACATCCTGAAGGCTGTTTGCTGGACGCTGGGTGCAACGGCCACGGCCGAACTGGCTGGAAAGCTAACGCTAGGCCGCGGTCTCACCTCGCAGGTGCGACCGAACAAGTACTTCACGATCCCCAAGGCATCTCTCGAGCGTCTTCTGGACGACGTCGAGCAGCTGATCAACTTCTTTGTCATTGAGTCGCAGAGGATCATCTTTGCAGAAAATCTGTTCGCTACGTTCGCGGTGAGTTTGGGTGCATTCCCTTCGTTTGGCGGACCAGCTAACAACATATGCAGGCTTTCTTTGCCTCTTTCGTCTCCTACTTCCTCATCAAGTTTGTTCCCTTGTGGGGTCTTGCTCTGATCGGGACCACCATCGCTTACCTCGGGCCGCTCGTGTACATCAAGAACAAGGACGTCATTGATGCCCATCTCAAGCAGGCAAGTGACTTGGCTGCTCAGCAGGCGACGCAGATCCGGGACCTTGCCGCTCAACGCACCGAGCATGCTGCCAAGACGTTCCAGACGTATGCTGGGGAGTATACACACAAGGCTCAGGAGACGATCAATCAGTACCGCGGACGGTCCAGCTCCCCTGAAGTCAAAAAGGAGGACCTTCCATCGGCACCCAAGCACGAACCCGTCGCTGCTAAGGAGTCTGTTCCAGAGGACGCCGCTGCCGCCACTGCTGCCCCAGCTTTGTGAACACTTCAGGCCCAAGATGGTTCTCTACGAGAGTTGGACGGATCGTGCCCTCTCTCCACGATGAAATCTGGTTCTGATAAATGTCACGCCTATCGGGTTATGACGACATGTCAATCTCTTTGTTTCACCTGGGGACACCAATAACAGCGAAGGAAAATCTCGATCCATTCGACAGAGATTGGTGTAAATTGGACCTACAAACCACTCAAACCACGCGAATCACCCGAATTACCCCTCACATCATGATCATCCCTTTCATAAAAGTCTCTCTGCTTAGCGATTCTACTGCCTCGTCTTCCTAGTTTTCTACTTCCTGCGGTGTCACTCTGTATGAGTACACGGGGAACGCCGGTCTCAGGGTGGGGGCTGCATGGGCTGGGGAGGAGTTGACGGATTTGAATCACACCTTGGCCGACTTAGCCTAATACATATGGTCGTGAAGCAAGGTACAATGTATCCTATACAAATGTTCTCGACTGTTTCTCGCCGTGACCGTTTTGGACCCTCACAGATGATGACACGCGGCGAATTGTTGAATCTGAACAACAGCAACTACGCCTTGTTGCCTGTAGGGATCGTCTTGACACGTCCTGAGACACTTCGTGGACTGCATGGATGCGGCACAGGATGAGGTCGGGCGGGCGGCAGAGTCTCTGTCCGTCGACGTCCATGCATGCATCCAAACAAAGTGTGAAGGCTCAGCGACAGCAGTTCTCCACTCGCATCCCTTATTCCAGAACTCGGTTTCTGTAAAGGAAAGGTAGTGAATTCGAGAGGAGAAGAGACGAGGGGAGAGTGTGAGGGAGGAAACGCAACAAAACAAAGCATTTGACAGGCGCATTCGCACTGAACCTCGCCGCCTCCTTCGCGCTTCAAGATGAGTCTCTTCCTGCACACAATGTATCGCATTATCATCCTTGGATTCCCGGACCCAACATCTGTGGTGAGATAGTGAGAGCATTACATACACAGTAATATATTGATTGGATCAGGATCAAACTTGCCCTTCAGCCTGGGGCAACATTGCAAGGATCGAACATGTCCAATTATAGAGTGGGAACGATGCCGTAAAGGGACTTGGTCTGGTCCTGGTTCGTGTGCCCAGACTTGTCCGCTCCCTCGCTGCGCCTCCCACGACTTTCGTCCGCTGCCGCCTATTCAAAGAGGAGGACCTTCGCTCACTCATCATTCTGTCACCTGTCCATGCGCCTTTCTTGATTCTCTTTTCTCTCCCTATCTCCAACTTCAAACTACAGCCAGCACCTTGTTCCTTTTGTCTGCTTTGTTTTCTACTACTCCGTCCACTCCCACAATGACTTACCTCGCCCACGCCGTCCGCCGCGGCCTGGAGCATACCTCCTCCGCCGGTCTGATCAAGCGGGCCACCAACTCTCTGCAGTTTCGCCCTCAGGATATCCCGAAATGGGGAGGCGTGACGCTGTTTGTCACTTTCTGGCTCTTCGTCATCGCTCTCATTGCTGTGCGTTGCCCCGTTTCCCCATCCGGCCAGCGAGACGTTTGGATGCTGATAAGCGACTCAGGTTGAATACACCTTGGGTGTAGTGGCCAGGTTGGCCATGATCGAGACACCGTCGTCCTCCATCACCGTGACCGCCCCCGCCGACGCCACGGAACTCGACGACTCCAAGCAGGGTCTCCTGGAGACGGGTCCCGCCATCACGCTCGTCGCCGAGAAGCCCTTGACTAGCAGCATCCGCAAGACCGTCCGACATTTGAGGACAGTAGGCGGGCGCCTTGCACCCTGGCGTGGCTTCGGCCCCTTCCTGGCATACCACATGCTGTCCGGCATCGTCCTCAACGTTCTCGCAACCTGCATCCCGCGATTCCCAGGCCAGGTTGTCATCGTGTCCGCCTTCACGGGAGCACTGTTATCTCCCATCCACGCCCTCTGGACCCACAAGCTCATCGCCATGCCGACCAAGCTGTCCTGGAGGAAGCGCATGCTCTCGCTGCGCGACTGGAAGTACATTGCCCTCCCTGCCGCCCTCGCCGTCTCCGCCGAATACATCGCCGTATACGCCACCATGCTGTTCAGCTTCGTCATCGGCATGGACAAGGTCAGGGAGCAGGCGCCCACCACCGGTCGGGAGATGTTCTCAGTCGCACTCCTCACCCTGTCCGTCGTCGCCTTCTTCTTCGCCTGCGCCCTGTTCCTCGTCCTCCCCGCCCACGTCACCCTGGTCCGCATCGAGGCCTCGCTCCTCGCCGACGAGCACGACACCATTGTCCCCTTTGACCGCACCTTCGCCGGCAAGGTCGTGTCCAAGGTGCTCGGCGGCACGGGCGCCGTGGGCTTCGTCGACGCGTGGAAGAGCTTCAACTGGGAGGCGCGCAGGCGGTTGATCAAGCTGTGGTTCAAGGCCATGGCGATTGAGAGCTTGATGATTGTCGCGTTCGTGCACGTCATCCTGTTCGAGGTGTGGATTTTCTTGGGCACCGCGTTTATCAAGGCGTTGGAGAGGCAGCAGCAGGCTGGGTCGTTTTAGTGGAGGGTGCTCGATGGATGGGTGTCAGTCAAGATTCTTGCATCTTTGGCTTTCCTGGATGGATTGCTTGACTGTATGAGGGCAGACTCCTCGTAGCAGGAGCGGTTGAGTTTGAATGTTGGATGGAGCAGTGTTGTTTGGGTTTTTAGTCGGGTGACTCACGGCGGGGTCTGAATGTGATGGGCTTTGCCCCAGTGGTGGGTAGTAGATGCGTCGACAGAGGTATTGAATCTCCTTGGTAGAATATCAACGATCCGTAAATGAACCCTCATCTTTCCCGTGTGTGCTTGGTCACCTTTATGGTCTCAGAGTTGGGAAGATGGAAGACAGGGCAATGATAGACATGTGCGAGAACGAGCATCAATGTCTGTATTTATACAACATGGCACTCGAATCCAACAAACATGAGTGTGGAGCGATATCCATCGCATTTACTCCTTCCTCGGTCTACCTTCCATTCATAACCCAATGTTCCCCGGTTGAGTATCGACTCCACATTCATTGGATTGGATCGGATTGGAATTTCCATTGCTCTCTCTCTCTCTCCCCCTCTTAGCCGGTTCCTGCCGTATAGGTGCATGCCATCCATTCCATTCATTCATTCATCCAACCAACCATCCATCCATCCAACCATACGCTATGCATGCATGCCATGTATGCAACCCACGAGAAAAAAAACAACGAAAACGACAGCAAAGTGTGACAAGTAAGAATGAAACGGGAAAAAAATAAAAAGATGCTCAAAAAGACGCCCACAACACCCAACTCAACCCAACCCCAATGAACGCCCCGAAAGCCCTATCATGAACGCAAGCCGAAAAAGGGGGGTATACACAGGGGAAAAAGAAAAAGAGGGAAAAGAGAAAAGAGAAAAGAGAAAAGAGAAAAACAAGTAATCATGCGGCCTACCGTCCCCATCCTTCCCATGCCCATCCATCCCATGCCCATCTTCACAGAGCGCCCTGAAATGCCAAATTCGTTGCATCTGGAACATCATCCGTCCTGGCCGTGGGCAAGCCAACCCATCATGCAATGATATACATGACCGTGTCCGTTTCATACCGCGTCGTCGTTCGTTTGTGACTCGTCTTTCGCTTCTTCAATGGCGCTGCAGTTGCCGTTGAGTCTCCTGGTGGCACCAGTACCGGTAGTGCGTATTGCAGTTCCCGTCGCAGCTGGACTTGCAGTCCCATTTGGACTTGCCATCCCACTGCCAACACCACTCCCCCCATCGTCCCCGATAACAACCCCATTCAGCACAGTCTCCAACTCCCTCAACCGCACCGGCTTGATCAAAAACAGATTCACCCCACTGACATGCGCCTCCTGCTGCGCCTCACTACTCGCCACCCCCGTCAGCGCGATAATCGTCACTGGCTTCAACCCGGCGTCCCGCTCATACGCCCGTATCTGCCGCGTGGCTTCCAACCCGTCCATTTCGGGCATGTTGATGTCCATGAGCACCACGTCGAAAGGGATGGTGCCGGGCCGGGAATGGGACGCGGCTTCTTTAAACGCGGCGACGGCTTCGCGGCCGTTGGTTGCCAGCGTGTGTTTGTGGTGCAGTTTGTCAACGAAGGTGCGGAGGAGCCGGAGGTTGATGGGGTTGTCGTCGGCGGCGAGACAGTGGAGCGGGCGCGGTGTCAGCGGTCGCATCTGCTTGAGAGGGTTTGGGCTTGGGGTTATAACGGGGGCACTGAGGGCGGGGTTGAGATGGGGTCGGCTGTGTTCGGATTGCGCGAGGCGTTGGTCGCGGTGCGGGGGAGAGAGATGCGAGAGATGGGTGGTCAGAGCGGTTGGATCGAGGGAGAACGCCCGTTCTCTGATGCTCAGGGGATCTGCGCTGGGCGTGGGTGCGTCCAGCTCAGTGATCAACTCCATGGATTGCATCATTTGACGATGCTCGTGACGGTCTAGACAGGACGCAAGCGCTTTGGCGAGTTTATGCGGTCCGCATGGTTGGGAGATGCATTCGAAGATTCGTCCGGCGTCTGTCTTTGCGAGCGTTGAGTGTGCAGAGGCAGCGCCCTGACAAACTACGACTACCGGAGCCGTCGATGAGGCGCTTGCGTGAGGTTGAGTTCTTAGCCAAGTGGCACCAGACTCTGTAGCGACTAGAAGATCCAGGTTCCCACTGACGCTGCCAGCAGTCATCTTGCAACGCTGTACGCTCATACCGAACCAGTCTCGGCATGTGTCTTCAAGAGCACGGAGAGCCAAGTTCGTTGCACTCCTAGTCTTGGCGCTCTTCGAGGGGAAATAGTCGCTCTCGATGTCGAACCCAACGAAGCCGACAGTTTTCCCTCGAGTCCGTTTCCTGATTGCTTGGAGATCTCCGTCGGCGGTTGAGGGCGAATCTGCTGGTGATAACATGGATGGCTTAAGGGGACATGTAACTGTGAACTTGGTGCCATGGTGCTTCCGGCTTCGGACCTCAATATCTCCGCCTAGGGATTGAATGATTTGTTTGACAATTGATAGCCCAAGTCCTGTACCCTGAGTAAGTGGGTTCTCTTGAGCAAAGGAATGGAAGAGGCGGTTGTTGATATAGTCCTCAGACATGCCAATACCAGAATCATGGACGGTGAGGCGCAGCTCCGACGTATCGTCATTCGGATCACTGCTTGGGATCGCCTGGAGCTTCACCTTTGTATAGCCGGCGGGTGTATACTTCAACGCATTGCCAAATAGATTCATGAGGACACGACGCCAGGCTCCTGGCTGTGTACGAAACACGTAGTTGTTGCTCTGCTCGATATCGACAACGACTGCAATTGGGGGAGAATCAGACTTAGCAGATGGAGCTCCATAGATCTGGGAGGCAGTCTTCTGGAAGCTGTAGCCGGCAAAGACCGTCTCCAAGACCTCTTCGGTCAGGACGCTCAAGTCCACGTCAGTGATGAGGGTCATGATGTCGTTGGTGTGGCTCTGAGCTGGACTGATCACATGCTTGGTGCTCTGCGAACGCCTGTTCTGTCGCTTCACGGCGCCTTTGGTGAGGCTGTTGATCTTGGCAAAGTCGAGAACCTGTAACCTGTTGTTGGTGCGTGTGCAACTAGAGCATGGGCAGGGAGGCTTACGTGGTTGATCGTATCCAAAAGGGTTTTGCCGCACGTCTCTATTGTTTGAGTCATGTTTGATTGGAAAGTGTCCATCTCCGAATCCTTGAGTAGCTCACAACATCCCAGGATGCCGTGTAAGGGTGATCTCAATTCGTGGCTGATGGACGAGATGAAATCGCCCTTGGCAGTGTCCGCTAACTTGATATCTAGACGCGCAACCTCGGCCATGATACTATTGCTGAAAGCCGCAAGATAGCTAAGTTCCTGCTCAGTAGTAAAGACACGCATGGGGTCGGAGCTCCATATAATGGCGCCAGCAAACCATCTGTCGCGATGAGAGTCCCATAAGGGATAGAGGACCATGGTACGAGCTTCTGGGAACGTTTCTTTCAGGATTCTCTCATCGTCCTGGCTCCTTGCAGAATCTGGACGTTTGAGATCGGAAATGGTTCCTCCAAGGCTCTCGTTAAGCACGTGCGATATGTCAAAGCGACTGGTTCGTCCACCAGGCTTGGATGTCCATGCTGTCTCATCGTCAAAATTGAAGATCTGACCATGTGGATAGGATCGCAGTAGATGCCGTAACTCGGCCTCGTAGAGGGGTATTTGACGTTCGGACACTGGGGGAGTAGTGGCAGTTGAAGAGGAGCCTAATATCGCACAAGGTTTGTCCTGCTCAATAACCTCTGCCGGCTGCTCCTGGGCGAACTCGTCCTCCACCAGACCACCAAATGTGCTAACTTTAGCATCGAAGAATACAACACCATCAGCTTCCACGGCTTCCCGAATCATATTGCTGGCCCGGCTGAACAGTGACTTCATTTCAGGCGAGAGTCTGCTCTGATCGGAGTCTCTCGTCTCATCAGATGCCGTCTTGACAGCAGCATTGGAAAGGTGTTGGTGGTCGAGAACCTCGGAGGCGGGTGTAAGGGCATCATTTCCAGGAACCGAACTCTCAGGAGTTATTTGTTGGCTCTGTGAACTGGGGCTGGTGGAATTGTTGTCCTCGTAACCTTTATGTAAGCCGACAAGTTCTCGAGCCTCCGCCGTCGATCCATCTACGCTTGATCTCGCCCGTCGGCGGCGCCGAGGTAATGGCAATTGCATGTCGTCCGCGTGAAGCGCGGCAGCGGGGGCTGGGCTCCAGAGATCTTGCGACCAGTCCTCGAGGGTGGACTTGCCTTCTGCGAACGAACCGAGGGACCGCACCATTACCCCTCCTCTTCTATGGTCATCCAAAGCGCGCGTCATTTCAAGATGGCGCATTACTGTCATGCCCATGTCTTTCAGGAACATCATGTCCACATCCGATATGCCGTCACGTGGCTTCTCGTCCAAGACACAGTAGGTACCAATGTTGTGACCACTTGGGCTCCTTATGGGAACACCGGCATAAAAGCGGATTTTGGCTGGGCCAACCACAGAAGGGAAGTGCTTGAAGCGGTCGTCCAGGGTGAGGTCGTTGACCACGAGTGACGGTATCTGGCCGTACCCGTCCGCGTCCCGGTTCGACTTCATATTGACCGTGTAATGGCAGATGCTCTGTTGCTTGGGAAACACGCATCTTCCCCACTGCAGCCTGTCGCCTTCCCGCTGCGCATTACCTGTCTGAAGTGACAGCGTCGGCGTTGCCTCTGCAAGAATATAGCAATTCCTTCTGTCAAAGAAACTGATAAGCCCACGATGTGCATTCAAACGCAGGGCTCCCAGCTGCGCAAATGCCGTAAGCGCCTTATCGTCCGACGGCGTAGGCTGGGCATCCAAATGCGGCGGAACGACAGGGCTCGTCAACGAGTGCTGCTGGAGCGCTTGACACCCGGGGGAAGCACTGAAAAGGTTCTCGGACTGTGAACGTTGCGAATGGTTGTAGTACCTGTGGAGGGAGAAGTCAGTGCTGACGGAGCTGTGAGCCGGTAAGAGAGTGCACGAACCTGTAGAACTCCCGCTCCTTGGTCCTTTCTGCGTGGTCCATGGCTCTCTGCACATCCGCAGCTACCGCTTCACCGGCCGTCGTGCTCATGGCAGTGCAAGATGGGAAGGCCGGCGGGACAGGCGACGCGTCGCAGAGGAAAGGCAGAGACGGGCGCAGTGGGTGAAGTGAGCATACCGCGCGGGGAAGGCCAAGAGAGGTAAAGGTCGTGAAGCTGAGGCGACTGCAGTGCTCGTGGACTTGCTTGAGTGTTTAGCGGCGAGACGGCGTGATGGACGGAGAGCTTCTAGGCATGGCGCCCGCGGGATGGAGCCAGTAGGGTTTTCACTCGGTGGCACTGCTGAGGAATTCCAGGGTGGAGTGAGAGGTGAGGGAGGGGGGGAGGCGGACAGCGGCTCTCCGGGGAATTTCGCCGTGCATTCACGGGCTGGGCGCCGCAGAACCAGAACCAGAGCGGTGGGTCTTGTGTCATGTGACATGGATCTAGGGCGGTCTATCCTTGCATCACTGGAAAGCCAATCTCAACGGCACTTCATTCATTCTACGTTTACGCCGAACTGGGGATGCGAACATGGGCAGGCTAATGAAACGTGCGTTGGTTGCAATCTCTTTCGTCGCTCAAGACGCCGGCCGCTGACCGCGTCCCCAGTTGCGACTTGCTCGCTGAACCAGTGGGCGTTGGATTTCGAAGGCAATCTCGCCCGCATCAAGCAGAGCATCCACCAGGCCAAATCCCAAGGCTGTACCTTGCGAGTTGGTCCCGAACTCGAGGTGAGATTGGGAATCACGGTCTTGTTGAAGGCCTCGCCAACTTCCTAATAGATCTGCGGTTATGGCTGTCTGGACCACTTCCTTGAAGAGGATATATACACTCACAGCTGGGAGAAGCTCCTCGACCTTTTAACGGACGAGAGCTGCCATGGCATCCTCATCGATGTGGGAATGCCGATTCAGCACAAGAACAATCGTTACAATTGGTAGGTTTTGATACAGGTGATCCTGTGTGACTCAACCTGGACTGACAAGTGTAGTCGTGTTATCGCATTGGATGGCAAGATTCTTCTAATCCGGCCTAAACTTTTCCTTGCCAACGATGGAAACTACCGTGAAATGCGGTACTTTATCCCCTGGCGCCCAAAGCTGGTCGAGGACTTCTATCTTCCCGAGCCCATTGCCCGCCACCAGGGAAGCCACACCGTCAAGATAGGTGACGCTGTAATCCAGACGAAGGATACATGCCTGGGAGCGGAAACCTGCGAAGAACTCTTCACTCCTCGCGCGCCTCACATTGAAATGTCCCTGGACGGTGTCGAGATCTTCACCAACTCCTCCGGTTCTCATCACTCCCTCCGGAAACTGGATCAGCGCATGTCACTCATTCTTGGAGCAACAGCTTTGAGCGGCGGTGTCTATCTCTATGCTAACCAACAGGGTTGTGACGGGGACCGCTTGTACTACGATGGATGTGCGATGATTGTGGTAAACGGCAAGATAGTCGCTCAGGGGTCGCAGTTCAGTTTGAATGATGTCGAGGTCGTCTCTGCGGTCATCGATATCCAGGAAGTACGGAGTGCGAGATTTGCTCCCTCACGTGGGCTGCAATCTCTCACTACTCAGGCGGCGTATCAGCGTGTCGAAACGGACTTCAGTCTTTCTTGGGGTCTGGATTTCGACCCTTCTGTTACCCCTTCCGAGAAACGGCCACCGCGGATTCATCTGCCTGAAGAAGAGATTGCGTCGGGCCCTGCCTGCTGGCTGTGGGACTATTTGAGACGAAGCAAGGCGGCTGGTTTCTTTATCCCGCTTTCAGGAGGGATAGATTCGTGTTCGACGGCCACTTTGGTGTTCTCCATGTGTCGCATCGTCATGCAAGCCCTAAAGGACGGTAACAAGCAAGTAGAAGGGGATGTAAAGCGTTTGACAGGGGCCTTCGAGGACCCCGAGTGGATGCCGAAGACCGCACAAGAACTCTGCAATAAAATCCTTCACACCTGTTATATGGGCATGGAAACCCAATCGAGCCAGGAAACCCGCTCCAGAGCCGAGCGACTAGCCAAAGACATCGGGGCCTACCACACCGACCTGAACATCGACAGCGTCTTCCACGCCGAGAAGAACCTCCTCACTCAGGCCACAGGCTTCGAGCCCAACTTCAAGGTCCATGGCGGCACAGTAGCGGAGAACCTTGCTCTCCAGAACATCCAAGCTCGCACCCGCATGGTCACAGCATACTACTTCGCACAGCTCCTCCCCACGGTCCGCAACCGCAAAGGCGGCGGCAGTCTCCTCGTGCTCGGCTCTGGCAACGTCGACGAGTGTCTCCGCGGCTACCTCACAAAGTACGATTGCTCCTCCGCCGACATCAACCCCATTGGCAGCATCTCCAAGACCGATCTCAAGCGCTTCATCCGCTGGGCCTGTATTGAATTCCAACTGCCCATCCTTGAGGAGTTCATCAATGCTACGCCTACTGCGGAGCTCGAGCCCATCACTTCGGATTATGTGCAATCTGATGAGGCCGATATGGGAATGACATATGCAGAGCTTTCGATATTCGGCAAGCTGAGGAAGGAGGACAAGTTGGGACCTTATAGTATGTTCTTGAGGTTGTTGCATGATTGGAAGGAGCAGTATGGGCCTAGGGAGGTGGCGGATAAGGTCAAGAGGTTCCATCATTTTTATGCAATTAATAGGCATAAGATGACCACGATGGTGAGTACTCGCCGATCTGTTACTTTCTGGTGAGTGGGAGCTAACATAGTATCAGACCCCTGCGTATCATGCTGAGGGATATTCTCCTGATGATAACCGCTTCGACCTGAGACCCTTCTTGTATCCCGCTTTCTTCTCTAGCTGGAGCTTCAAGAAGATTGATGAGGTTGTGGACAAATTGGAAAAAGGGCAGAGTATATAAATGCGTGTACGCAGGGAAACAAAACGCACACGGATCAGCCACCCTGCCTGACCATCCGAAACGGTTCAAACAGACGCTAGAACTCTAGATATTCATGAGATGAATCCGATCCCATCGCCTGACATAAATTTCCCAATTCCCGAATCTTACATATCGAACTGTCTTACTATTCCGTTCCCACTGGCGCATCCCCCATCTCAGTATCCTCCTCCTTAGCCTCAGTCTCCCCCTCCGCCTCCTCCGTTGCCTCCGCACTCTCCTTCTCAGCCTCTTCCTTCGCCTTCTCCATCACATGATTGATAATCCTCGGATTCTCCTCATTGAACAACCTAAGAAGCATCGCCTTCCTATCATCCTTATCCACCATCAAATTCGCACTTCCCGGATGCCTCCAAACCGGTAACACCATCCTGAACGGAAACCCCTGACTCTCATCCTGCTCGATCCTCAAGAAGCAGCATCCAATATCCAGCTGCATGAGTTGCTCGCCCACTTCACCTAGCTCATGCGACCCATCTTTCGGCAACTTGGGGAACATCTCGATGAGCAGGCGGTAGAACTCGTCGCGCGATTTGCAAGTTATTATGCGTTTGCCGGCCCAGGGCTCGAGGATCTTGATGCCCTCGTTTTGCAGCCGCCATGGAGCCTTCATGGCGTCCTTGTCTTTGATCTTGTGGCTGACGAACATGACAACCCCGCAGTGGATAAATCGCATGCCGCGATCTTTGTTGTGAGTGATGATCGTCTTGGCGAGCTCGGATGTGTAATACATCTTATTGAGGGCGAGGCCTTCCTTGTTGCGGACGAGGAAGCGGTCGCGAGGGAAACGTGGCGAGATGCCAAAGAAAGACAGGATGTCGGAGACGGTGGGGTCGTCTTTGGGTAGGTACTCGAAGTATTCTTTTTGAGATTGAGATTCGGACTTGAGGCGTGGTTGGGGGGTTTGTGAAGTCCCATTGGGACCGGGGGTGCTGGATGTGGTGTCGTTGACAGGTTCACTGGTGGTGGTCCCGTCCTTGTTGGTGGCGTCTTGCGCAGGGTCCTCAGTTTCGGTTCTGAACCGCTTTGATGCGGCATCGTCCTCGGTGTCTTCCAGCTTACGCTTAGTGGGACTGGGTGCTGAGGGAACAGCATCTTCGGCTGAGAGTTGAGGAGTGGCATCGCTATGTTCGCTGGCCTGCACCGGTACGGGAGTAGCATCCGTTGACCCTGCTTTCCCTTTCGACGACGCGCCCGGCTGTGCGACCTTGATGTCGTCCAGCTTCTCCAATACCGCGATGAAGAAGCCACCGGTATCTTGCAGATGGGGGTAAACTCTTACGCAACGCTCCAGCGGTATGCGTTCTGCTTCCGATGGCGCATCGACGGGGGGAAATACGCTCCGCGTAATCTTGTTGGAGAACTGGCGGGCGGGCTCCTCCTTTTCATACTTCTCCTTCGTGTTCAAGAAAGACTCATAGCTGGTAAACATGTGGTTGATCTTCTCTTCTCCATTGATATGCGAGGTATCTAGGACCTTCCACTGGTTTAGGCCTGGTTTTCGGATCAGTTCTGGGAGGGCATTGGAGCAGTCAACCAATTGGACCTTGGATGTGCCTCCGCATGCTTGGATAGCGCTGGCTACAACGGCCTCGTTTTCCACCGGGTTCAGACTGCAAGTAGAATACACGAGCCGTCCGCCTTTCTTGAGGAGTTGGAGTCCGCGCATGAGGATGCGTAATTGTAAGTTATGCAGGCCCAGTCCATCTCTTGGGGTCCATTTTTGCCAGACATTGGGGTTCTTTCGGGCGGTGCCGTCACCGGAGCAAGGGACATCAGCCAGCACTCGGTCGAATTTCAGATACTGAGGCTTCGTTGAACCTGGGGCGGGCGGCATTTCTATTGAAGGGAAGATAGAGGCATCATGCTGTGTGACGATGAGATTGGGGAAATTGAGGCGCTTGACTTGATGAACCAACATTCCAGCACGCTTGTAATCGGTGTCGTTCGCGATGAGCAATCCGGTGGAGCGGCCATCATCGCTGTAGTCACCGTCATCGGTCGCGTTGAACGATTCGTTGCTGGCCGCTCTCTTTACTCGCTCTTCCTCGTCGCCGTGGATCATTTCAGCAAGCTGGGCAGACTTGCTCCCAGGGGCCGCGCACATGTCGAGGACAACCATTCCCGGTCTGACGTCCAGGAAATGCGGAGGAATCATGCTCACCACCTCCTGCCTGCTGATGTTGCCTGCCGTCGTCTCCGCCACAAGGAACCTCTGGAACTCCGCAAATGGCTTGTAGCGACGGATAACCTTCTTGTGAGTCTTCATGTGCCACACCAGTTCGTCTGGGAAGGCCTTTACCGGCTCCGGTGGTTGTACAGGCTCACCCTCGAATTCCACTGCCGTGATGGCGGGGATGTATCGCTTCTTGAAGATCTCGCGCACAGCAAGCGCATCAGCCTTCGTGCCTGTGAAGCGGAAACTGTTTGGCAGATCCGAGGCCATGTACTTCCACATTTGCTCGAACTCTTTCTCGTCCAGGAAGCCCCCGGTCTTATAATAACTCTCGAATAGTGCATTTTCTCTCCTTATATCGGACCACGGTTCGGTGCGTACATCTCTGCGGTCGCCGCCCTTCTTGTTTTTACCCCGAAAGCCTCCGCGACCACGTCCACCGCCGCCCTGAGATTGTCAATCGAAGAGCATGCAATTGTGCTGAGGGGACCTACGCGACCACGTCCCATTTTGCTACTTGAAAAAAGGATTGCTTCTGAAACTGAACGCTGGTATGCGCTCTGATGAAAGTGAGATGCCAGCAAGAAGAAAAGTTGAAGCTTGATGAGGCACCGGCGAATGCGATTGGTGGGGCGCCAGTCGGGCGGATCTATCGATACCCGTGCACAGCAGCAACTCTTGGCGCACAACCGAATTTCATCCACCCACAAGCTTCGCTGCCACCAACGCGAACACAACCGTCACCACCGACTTCACCTTCTCATATCTACAAGTACTAACAGCAGCTAAAATGGCCGGCACCAGGTAAGTGACAGTTCTAGAGATAGGAAGACCACATCTGACCAGCAGCACCAGTGTCAACGAAATCGCCGTCCCCGAGTCCGTGCTGAAGAAGCAGAAAGCTCAGCAGAAGTCTGCTGAAGCCCGCGCTGCCGAGCTCAAACAGAAACGCGAGGTCCGATAAACCGTCTCCCTTGATCTGCATGTGCAGTTAGGAGCATCAAAGTTGGCTAAGACTTTCTTAGGCCAACAAACAGAAACGATCCGTCATCTTCGAGCGTGCCAAGAAGTACACGGCCGAGTACCGCAAGAACGAGCGCGATCTCATCGAGAAGCGCCGTGCTGCGAAGCAAGATGGCTCTCTCTACGTCCCTGCTGAGCCTAAGCTTATCTTTGCCATCCGCATCAAGGGGTCAGTAAATTGCATTTGTGCACGTTGATAGGCGAGCTAACACTGCGCAGTATCAACAAGATTGATCCCAAGAAGCGCAAGACACTCCAACTCCTCCGTCTCCTCCAGATCAACAACGGCGTTTTCATCAAAGTAACCAAGGCCACCACCGAGATGCTGAAGATCGTCGAGCCGTACATCGCATACGGATACCCGTCCCTGAAGAATGTTCGCGAGCTCATCTACAAGCGCGGCTACGGTAAGGTCGATAAGCAGCGCATTCCGCTCACCGACAACGAGATCATCGAGAAGGCCTTGGGCAAGCTCGGCATTGTCTCCATTGAGGACCTCATCCATGAGATTTATACTGTTGGCCCCAACTTCAAGCAAGCCTCCAACTTCCTGTGGCCGTTCAAGCTGTCCAACCCTACTGGCGGCTTCCGCACCCGCAAGTTCAAGCACTTTGTCGAGGGAGGGGATCTTGGCAACCGGGAACATCACATCAGTGCTTTGATCAAGCAGATGAACTAGGTTCAGCATGCAAAGGCGGATGGAGTTTCGGTTTGATTATGGGTTTTCTACGAATGATATCCTGTGGATGCGTACCATATGAGGCGAGTAAGGGTCCTCAGATAGCCAGCGGTTTTCGACGGTTCTCTGGGGACAGAGGTCTCCCAGAATCCCGGCGCCAAGTTTGGCTCTGTAGCAAAAAATCCTAAGCAGGCGGTCCAACATGATGAAATTGATTCTATCTTGCGTTCTGCAATGCTCGAGAGTGATGATACCAGGTCCGTTGGCTTTATGTTTCTAGATGTGGTGTACTCCGTATTTCCGGTTTCGTAGATTGCCAACCCCATCCGGCAGCTTGTACCACCATGGCAAATGTGGAATGTGATATCAGAATGCCAATGCTACTCGTATCCTTCGCTATGCTAATATCCGCGCCACTGATATACACCAATACTAATTTTTTTCACTTGCAAATCTACTGTGCCACTATGATCGGGATTCGGGTGAGCAGCTAGACATATTTCCCCCCCGAATGCATATCACAGTAGCACCCCGATGCACTTTTTGTTGCAGAATCTTTTACGTCAGAAAGCTCTTCCAGACGGAACGAGGATTCGCTTTCCTATGATTAGTGATTCCTAGCTTTCGCATGTTCCGCATGCGGTGATGGGGTTATTCCAAGATTCTCCGCTCGAGTATTTTACAAGCTGATGGCACCAGTCTCAAAGGATGTGCACGCAATATTCTTACGGACAGCTGAAACTCCTCCGTTTTAAGATTACTCCAGCAGAACACGTTCTCCAGTATGGCCAACTGTGTTATATCTGCAATCATTCGAAGAGGTATCGCAGTTGTGATTCCCGCTCCGCAAGAAAGACCGGAGGGCCACGAACTCAAGGAATGTGAAGATAGAAGGGATGAGACGGAGATTCCTGAAAGACCCCCACCCGAATACTCGCTAGGCGGAGAGTCGACGGAGACTTCAGACGATGAAATAGGATGTGACTATCAGCGCCTTCTTGGTGATGGCAGGAGGGCGAACTGGAGCAATATGCGTCTGGTACAGCCCACACTTGGAGGAGAGAGTTCCATCAATTGGAGATATGCCAACCAAGGTAGGACACAGAAAGTCCAAGCACCGACTTGCATCTTTGACAATCTACAGGAATCAGCCTCATGAACCTGGCCTCTCGGGAATTCAATGCTGCTTCCCAAGATGATCGGGATACTTCGGATTTGCTCACACGTCGGCTCTACCTTCATGGCATCGCGTACCTCCTCCAAGGACTTCCCGGTAATCTCACAGATGAAGAAGCGTTGAGCCTCCGCTACGTCATGCCGCAAAGTCTGATGGATACTCTAGTCAACCACCCTCAAGGTTGCACTGGAAGCATGGTCACTGGACAGAGAGAACCCCAGCAATCTTCATCGATCCTCCAACGCATTATCGCGGGAATCGTTGTCCAGATGTTTATCATAACGCAATTGCTATTGCCGTATGTTAGATTGCTCGTGGGACAGGCCTATCGGTGGGAGTGCCAGCACAAGGCGGGTCAGCGGCTTGTGTGCACCGGCATCAGAGCTGCGAAGGGGGTTGGCCGCAGGACCCTGCAAGTTTCTCAAGCAGTCCGCCAGATGAACGATGGAAAGGTGGGATGGGCTATTGATGAGGCTGCACTTTGGTGGATCCAAGGGTTGATTGGAGGTATCCAGCAACGAATTTCAGGAGTCAAGCTCATTACGATGGATGAAACATATATGGCGTCGTCCGCCAAGACGGAATAGTCTGTCAACGTTATAGATTTCCATCTAACCGGGCCCCGACGGGTCGATTATATAATCTGCGCAGGGGTCCTACAGGCTCAACGCAAATAATAAGCTTAACGCAAATCGCATACAAATTACTAGGGGGAACAATCTCGCGCGGAATCTGCGTAATTATAAGGTAGCAAATTCTAGCTTGCGCAACAACGCAACACGCTTATCTTTTAAAAGATTAAGAGCTGTAATACGTAGGCAAAAGCATGTACTTTTAGCGTGCAGCATGTATTAAAATAAAAAATATCTAGAATGTACGCGTTGCGCTGTATTTTCTAGATTTTTGCGTTGAGCTTATAATTTGCGTTGAGCCTGTAGGCCCCTGCTGCGCTGGGGGCGTTTTTCTCTGAAAAACTCGCTCACGTGTGAGCGACCCGTCGGGGCCCGGTTAGCTCAAGATAACCTTTTCTATGCACCAGATGCCATTAGCATTTGGTCCAGGTGAATGAAGCGTCTAGATGTTGAAATCCGTGGTGGGCAGTGTACTGGAAGTAACATGCTTGAGCAATGGTTTTTATCACTCCCAATGAGTGCATGCCTGTGCCCAGGTGTCATTTAAAAGCTTATCAACACGTGAAGATAGGCTAGCGCGTCGAGCAGCGCGAGGCACGGCCCTCCTGAATTTTTCTGCAGTAAGCGCGAGAGCAACTTTCATCGAGCCACAATTCCCTCCTTTACGCCTTCAAGACAGAAACCACCATTTCACAACCCATTCTTCGCCCTCCCAGATTAATCACTTCACTTTCCGGCCTAATCGATTGACCTCCTCTTTCGCTTTTCCGATACCCACTTAGTTTCCTCGCTGAGTCTCTCAGCTCGGCCTATCATGTTTACCGCTATGCGGAGGTGTCCAGCGGCCCTTTCGAGGGCAGTTGCGACCGCATCCCTTTCCCCGCGAGTTATACAACTGTCGGCCACACAGGCGTCCATTGCGTCGAGGAGGAGTGCACCGCGAGTAAACAATATTCTGGTCGCTGCATTCCACGCGAGCGCAAGGTGGCGACAAGCTGTGGCAACGGAGTCTGCCACCGCAGAAGCCGCTCACGAAGAGCCCATCACCAAGTTTGCGGACCTCGCCAAACGGGGCCTAGTGCATCCGAACGTAATCGATGTAATCACGAAGAAGATGAAACTGGAGACCATGACGGACGTGCAGACTCGGACCATCAATGAGGCATTGAGTGGTGTTGACGTGTAAGTTTAACCCCTATGGGGATAGAAGTATATCTGATCATGGCACAGTATTGCCCAAGCGAAGACCGGTACTGGCAAAACACTGGGTTTCCTGATCCCAGTTGTCCAAAGGATAATACAAAAGGATCCCCACCTAGCCCAGCGACCCCGTGGTTTCAAAAAGGGTCGCTCAGACGACATCAGGGCCATCGTCATATCCCCTACACGAGAGCTCGCCGAACAGATCGCAGTGGAAGCCAGGAAAGTCACCTTTGGTACAGGAATCATTGTGCAGACTGCTGTGGGTGGCACACAGAAGAGGGCTATGCTGCAGAAGACGCAGAGGGAGGGTTGCCATCTCCTGATTGGGACACCCGGCCGTTTGCTCGACATTTTCTCAGATCCATACTCCGGCGTGAAGGCGCCGCGGCTAGCTGCCCTTATCATGGACGAAGCCGACCGGCTGTTGGACGATGGTTTCCAGAAGGAAATCGTCGAGATCAAAAATTACCTCCCCGACCCCGATGAGGTTGATCGTCAAACGCTCATGTTCTCTGCCACAGTTCCTCGAGAGGTTGTCGACTTGGTTCGCCGAACACTCAAACCGGGGTTCCACTTCGCGAGATGTGTCAACGAGGATGAGGCACCGACCCACGAGCGCATTCCTCAGAAGATCGTCCATGTTTCTGGTTTCGAGAACATTATGCCGAGTCTGTACGAGCTAGTCCTGCGGGAGGTGAAGAAAGCCAAGGCTCAAGGTGGCCGCCCCTTCAAGGCCATCATCTACTTCAATTCCACTGCGGAAGTGACTCTTGCCGCATCCGTTTTCTTCAAGCTTAGTGGTGGCCCCAGGCCCGACAAACCACTTCATGGTCTCCGCGCCTACGAGATCCACTCCAAGCTTTCCCAGGCACAGCGCACCAAGGCTTCAGATAGCTTCCGCTTTGCCGAGTCTGCCGTCTTGTTTTCCTCTGATGTCACGGCACGCGGAATGGATTTTCCCAACGTAACTCATGTCATCCAAGTTGGTCTGCCCCGAGACCGCGAATCCTACATCCACCGCCTGGGTCGCACTGGTCGTGCAGGAAAAGAAGGAGAGGGGTGGCTCATTGTCACTCCTATCGAGCGGCAGGAGGTGCGGAGGCGCCTGCACAAGCTGCCCATGCAAGAAGATCGCTCTCTCGAGACAGCCGCTTTGGATCTGGCCGAGCAACTCGACGTACCTCATGAAATTGCTACCCTGCTGAAGGAGGTGACAGATGCTCATCAGAAAGTCTATCCCGATCAATTGGAAGCTGCGTTTAGGGGGGTCTTTGGCAGTTTCCAATGGACATCCGACAAGCAAGGCCTGCTGGAAGCAGCAAACAGGTGGGCGGAGGTCGGATGGGGTATGCCGCAAGCGCCGAAGCCGCCTCAGTCCTTCCTCACTCTTGCCGGCTCCGGCCGCCGGGCCTCCCGACCTAGCAGAGGTGGTGCAAGTTTATTCGACGACAGCCGCGGTGGTGGTTCCCGAGCCGGCGGGTTTGGCGGACGGTCCGGTGGTGACAGTTGGGGGGGTAGAGGACGTTCATTCGGTGGTCGAGACGGTTTCGGAGCCCGTTCAGGCGGTGATAGGGGCGGTCGTCCGGGTGGGAATGGGCGACCGCGATTCAGCCGGAGGTCAGAGGAGGAGGAGTTGTTCTCTTAGGTGAGCGGCCTTTTCGTTCTCGTTATGGCTTCTTGAACTCCAATCTTCCTCACTGAGATATCCGATCCGGCTTGTATATCACCGTTGTGTACAATATTTCCCCTCTTCTTTTGCTGCATCATCTTTGTCATTACGCACTGTACTGTATTATCTTGATGGTATTGGGAGAGGGCCGACAGTAGTCTCAGAGTCTGCCTCGGGGGCAGAGGGCATCCTGGGTGGGGCGTTCAGACATGCTACCATGGTTAGGTGTTTCGGCGTTCTATCAGGGTGATCTCCCAACTGGTGATAGGACAGAGAAAAAAGTTTACTACGTGTTGGCGGTATTTCAAACCGCTTATATGCAAATGATATCGAGCAAGCTACGTTCCCGAGACATTTTGATAGCATCTTCCTTTGGAGAGTGGCTCGATAAAAGCAATCCCCTCTGCACGTGGGCCTCCTCACACGACAATGGCGGGGCGATCCATGGATCTGCAAGCAGGGCCACAAAATGCCTAGCGGATTGTTAACTTGGTTAAAGCCTAGTTCGAATCAAGCATAGCTTTATGCAGGGTCCGATAGGCGAAAAATGAGCGGCCCCCCGCCAGCTTCATTGGCCCAGAGTATTTTCGAAATGTTTGTGGATGGAGACAACAACATGCTTTCGGAGGCTCGAAACAAATGGTGTTGGCTCACATATGACTATTATTCCCTCATCAGCCGATCACCCCTATTCCATTATCGTAGTCCAGTTACTTCTTGAGAAGAGGAGGTTGGGCTGACCGTTATCCGGCTAGCGTTGCACTGACCTCCTTTCAAGAGCCCTTATCTTAGTGTAAAATTCTATCCCCGCTTGTCTTTCGATGCTTCTCACTGACCCTTTCTGCCACCCCAGACAGCATCAGACGCCATTTCCATTTCCCTGTGCTCTTCCGAGGAGGACCGACAATGAGAGAGACACCAAGGCCAATCCATCCGGCTCAGGATTGTTTTCCCCGACTTCTAAGGACTCGCACGTCTTTCCGTTTCGCAGCTTCTATCATCCGGATAATAGTCAAGTGACCGCAATCGCGACGCGTACTGTGTGATAATGACAAAGACGATGCATCCTACTCTCTGGACTTGAGAGCCTACGACTGGTCCGGCATCTCATGATGACTTCTAGCAACGGGGTTCGCCATTGAGCCTCCTTATGTCAGGTGGACCATAACAAGGCCATGGAACTGAGAGAACCACGTGCGCATCCAGACGCCGCCGCCGTGCCTGGCCGGCCATCACGAGTTTCCACCCTCCAGCAATTGAGGGCTCCTTTTACGGCGCCCGGGCCACCAGACTGCTCTCTTCAAGTGCTCCACATTGTGCACATGCTCGTGCGAGATGGAGAGAGGCACCTGGGCTTGGCGCGATGGCGTGCTATCCCCATTGCGTGCTTCCTCTCCCATCGAGCCACACCGCCTTCTCTCGGATCGCGATGCACAAGGGGGGCAATTTCCATACAAAATCCCCTCCCGATAAGAAGTTCCACCGTCTCGGCTTCACCTGCAATCTTCATCTCCAGTTCCTCGCTTGACTAAGACTATATACACTCCACCAATTCGCCTCGAAGCTCAGACTCGCCGTCATGGCTCCGAGCGCTCTACTCCCAGTCGAGCAGACTCACCTAGATAATCCCATCATTGTCCCAGTCAAGGGTGGCGCCGCAGCTCTGGAGTTCGACGGAATCCTCTCCAGGGAAGCCAATGATCCCGTGAACGGCTCTCGCTCCGCTCTGCCCTCATCCGCAAGTGAAGGGCCCGAGTCCACGCACACCAACGGGCTACAGAACGGCAATCGATACTCCAGCACTCAGTCGAGCGGAAATGACTTTATCACTTCTGAAACTCTCCGTCGTCAATCTCGCAATTTTGCAACTGGCAAATCGGGCTCAAATGCCATCCCAAAGCAACCGAATCTGCTCTATATTATGGCAGATCAAATGGCTGCTCCATTATTGAGAATGAACAACCCGAACTCGGTTATCAAGACACCCAATCTTGATCAACTCGCTAGAGACGGAGTCGTCTTCTCCAATGCCTATTGCAACTCACCTCTATGTGCGCCGTCGCGCTTCACCATGTGCACTGGTCAGCTGCCTTCCAAAATTGGCGGTTATGACAATGCGTCAGAGTTCCATTCCGAGATCCCCACCTATGCTCACTATCTCCGAAGTGAAGGATATGAGACGGTTCTAGCCGGAAAGATGCATTTCGTAGGGGCAGACCAACTCCACGGATTTGAACGACGGTAGCTCGACCCACGCCAGCACAATGACTGCCAAATCTGCTAACACAATTTAAAGGCTCACATCAGACATCTATCCGGGTGATTTTGGATGGGGCGTCAATTGGGATAAGCCCGAAGAGCGTCAGGAATGGTACCACAATATGAGTTCTGTCATGCAGGCGGGACCTTGTGTCCGCTCTAACCAACTCGACTACGACGAAGACGTCATGTTCAAGGTATGTGTGCTACCTCTTGTCCGGGAGGTGAAGCAAGACATCGGTCACGTGTAATTGACTGATAAATACTGTTCGGGCGACTAACAGGGTGACAGTCACAGCAATATCTGTTGGACTATGTGCGTTCGGATCCGGCAACGAGGCGCCCCTTCGCCTTAACTGTATCGCTCACACATCCCCATGATCCCTACACGATGACCCAAGAATACTGGGATCTCTACGAGGACGTTGATATTCCTCTTCCCGAAATTCATATCGCCCAGGACGAGCAGGATCCGCACTCGCAACGTCTTCTCAAAACAATCGATCTCTGGAATAACCCAGTGCCAGATGAAGCCACAAAGCGGGCGCGCCGTGCATATTTCGGTGCCTGCACATTCGTGGACGACCAGATTGGGAAATTGCGGAAAATCCTGAAGAACTGCCACCTCGATAAGGATACTATCATCGTCTTCTCTGGAGATCATGGCGACATGTTGGGTGAACGCGACCTATGGTACAAGATGTCCTGGTTTGAGATGAGTGCTCGTGTCCCGATGATTATCCACTACCCTCCCAGGTTTGCGCCGAAGCGGGTTACCGAGGCCGTCTCCACTATGGATCTCTTGCCAACTTTTATCGATCTCGTTGGCGGAGACAAATCCGTAATCTCTCCTATTGACGGACAGAGCCTTTACGATTATCTGGTATCGGATAAGCCCGGAAAGGACGAAGTTTTCGGCGAATATATGGGCGAAGGCACTGTCACCCCGCTGGTCATGATCCGGCGCGGGAAATGGAAATTCGTATACTCGCTCGCCGACCCACCTCAGCTCTTCCATCTGGTTAGCGACCCGAAAGAGCTGAACAATCTTGCAACCTCGAATGACGCAGAACACATCGAGATGCTCAAGGCTTTCACTGCGGAGGTTCGTGAGAAATGGAACCTGCAAGAGATTCACAAGGATGTCCTGAAGCGGCAACGGAACCGAAGGATTGTTTGGGACGCCTTGCAGCGAGGTATTTCAAGAAAAGTCAATCTCCTACAGATATGTACTGACCTTTCTTCTCAGGCAAACATGAATCATGGGACTATCAGCCCCCCGTCCAGGACCGAGATCGGTAAGTCAACGCTCTGCCATGCTTGTGTGTCTAGCTGACTTTCGCAGATTTATACGCTCTCATGTTCCCCTTGATGAACTCGAAAGGCGCGCAAGGTACCCAGTCGTTGACTACCTTGGTCGTCCTCAAACGGCAGCAGCAAGCCATCATGGTGCTGCCGGAGCGATGGGCGAGTGATCTTTTTGATCTAAATCTGCATTTACGGCTCTCGTATGCCTTCAGACTACTCTTTTTCTGCATGGAGGGGCATTGGTTGCATCTCATCTTCGTCGATACCCTGATCTCAACATGATATTATCTCCGACTCAAGTGCGGACATGTACACTCTTTCTTTGATGACCACTCCACAACAGTACGTTCAGATGGACCGCCTGGTGTTAGGTTGATTTCATATGGAGGAAGTCCTTTCTGGGATATCATGAGAATTAATGTGTAGCTATAAGATTATCTAAGAATCAGTGCATCTCCGTGTACGTCACGGAACCAGAAAGGGCGAGAAAGTGCTCTAGCACGTGCAATTCATGCGCTTCTGTTATTTTATCCGTATGTCCAAGGTTAGCTGAAATATCACAGACCGTTTGTTGCTTTTACCTCAGTGGACAGCGAATTGAGGAGTACTTCATCAGTCAGCTAGCTCCTCTACAACTGCAAAAACTAGCAAGTCACTGTTGTGGTAACCTATATGTGATAGCACGACAATATCTAAGAGATAATGTTTCAAATAAGTACTTCCAACATTCCAGTCGGTGGAACGGCTCACGTGACCTCCGGGCGAGAACTTATGAGGAGGTCAGGAGCTGTTCGAGAAACGTCCGCCAGGAAACCACAATCAACCTACAGTAGCTCACCACGTTCATCCAACCTTGACCACTCCATTACTGCTTTTTTCCTTTTCAAAGTTCTACGAATCTTTTGATAAGCTCGCAATGTCTACCGCTGCCCGCCGCCGCTTAATGCGCGACTTCAAGGTACGCCAGCTCCGATGGCTCCTCCGGTCTCCTCTACAGCCTCCAGCCTATATTTCCCTATCTTTCAATACCTGCTGACACCTACATCTCAGCGCATGCAAACCGACCCTCCCGCAGGTGTATCCGCTTCTCCGATCGCGGACAACGTCATGACATGGTATGCCAGCCATCTCCTCCGCGACACCGGATTTGAGCTCACGCGACGTCAGGAACGCCGTCATTATAGGACCCGCGGATACTCCCTTTGAGGATGGGACATTTCGACTGGTCATGCACTTCGAAGAGGCCTATCCAAACAAGCCGCCGGGCGTCAAGTTCATCAGCCAGATGTTCCACCCCAACGTATATGCCACCGGAGAGCTCTGTCTGGATATTCTGCAGAACAGGTGGAGCCCTACGTACGATGTGGCGGCCATATTGACAAGTATCCAAAGGTGGGTAATACCCGATTGAAAATACTGTTCTGGATAATCTATTGACATTGCGGTAGTCTGCTCAACGATCCCAACACATCCTCTCCTGCCAACGTCGAAGCGTCGAACCTCTACAAGGACAATCGCCGAGAATACACCAAACGGGTGCGTGAGACCGTAGAGAAGAGCTGGGAGGATTGAGGTTGCAAGGCAAGGCTTGCACGTCTACGGTGCGAACTGTGTGGCACTGCACGCCCGATCTTGAAAGCAGCTGTTGCCTTTGCTTGAGCGGGCGTTTGGGGTATTGGAGTGCTTGTGGGATTTCGAGCGAGAACGATACCAGCATTTCTTACTGTTTTTGCTTTCCGGAAAGACCATATCACAGCGAGGCGTTCGGGGTGTCCTTTTCTGGAGAGGTGGAAATGCAGATCAATTCATGAATATGTCTACGCTTCAGTAATGCATCCAATGTTTCATAACGGCCATGATTCTCCTCCTCTTCCTCTATTTCCAGACCGTTTTATGCAGCCTGTGGGATCTCCTCTGTTCTCCCAATATGGTCTCTCTGGGCGACAGACTGCATCTGCAATACAAGTTACATCGTACTGTCTGGCTGTTGCTCAAGGTCATGGCGAATCGCCCCGCCAAAAACCTTGGCAAAAGGAGGGAATCGCGTCCTCGGCGACCACTGTCAACAACCGCAAGCGGCGAGTTGATTATTCGGCCGCAGCGACACCGACAAGCACGCACGAATTTCCACTGTTTGGACCGCTCATTCTTTTGGACAATCCACTCTCGTTCTCCCTTCGAGGCTGGTCCGCTTGTAACACAGAGTGTGTCCGCATCGAGCGAGCCGCATAAACCGCCTTCCCCTTATACCGACGAGGCCTAATTCCTTCGAACGCGCCGAGAACTGACAGTACAAGCCGCGAACGTAGCACAACGCAGGGTGGCTGCCAGCGCCCGGCAACTTGCAGCTGTGAACTTTCCTCAAGGAAAGGTCGTTGGCGGGGAGGAATCTGAGTAGTAACTATGGCGTCGTAAGTGTATAGGAGGCCGCATGTGTCGGAGCGATGCTGATATGCTTTCCAGGAGCTCGAATACCATAAAGGGTGCGCCTACTCCCCGCAGCATGACAGCTTTTCACGCAACAAAGATACTGACTTTGCGACAATACAGTGGTGGCGCGGTTCCGTCCGCAGAACAAGGTCGAAATAGCCAGTGGAGGTGAACCCGTTGTCGAGTTCACATCGGAGGACACATGTACGATCCAAGTACGTCTCTACCTTTCCTACGCAAGGATACATGTAACGTTAGCTAACCACAGTGTTTTAATAGTCAAATGAGGCCTCCGGGGCCTTCACGTTCGATCGCGTATTTGACATGAACTCACGGCAAATCGACGTCTTCAACTATTCTATTCGATCAACCGTTGACGATATCCTCAATGGTTATAACGGCACCGTGTTCGCATACGGTCAAACCGGTGCTGGTAAATCGTACACCATGATGGGAAGCGATATCGACGATGAAGAGGGCAAGGGTATCATTCCACGCATCGTTGAGCAGATATTTGCTAGTATGCTTGCATCGCCGAGCAACATCGAGTACACGGTGAGGGTCAGCTATATGGAGATCTATATGGAGCGGATTCGCGACCTTCTCAACCCGGTCAACGACAATCTACCGGTACACGAGGAGAAGACGAGGGGAGTTTATGTCAAAGGACTGTTGGAGGTGTATGTTTCCAGTGTTGCGGAAGTGTATGAGGTCATGAGAAGAGGAGGAAATGCAAGAGCCGTCGCGGCAACGAACATGAATCAGGAGAGTTCGCGGTCACATTCCATCTTCGTTATTACTATCACTCAGAAGAATCTGGAAACTGGTTCAATGAAGAGCGGACAGCTGTTCTTGGTGGATCTTGCGGGTTCAGAAAAAGTGGGGAAGACGGGCGCAAGCGGACAAACGTTGGAAGAAGCAAAGAAGATCAATAAGAGCTTGAGTGCTCTTGGTATGGTCATCAACGCTTTGACGGATGGCAAATCTTCGCATATTCCTTACCGAGACTCGAAACTCACCCGTATTTTGCAAGAATCGCTGGGAGGTAACTCCAGGACAACGCTAATCATTAATTGCTCGCCAAGTAGCTATAACGATGCCGAAACGATCAGTACACTGCGCTTTGGCATGCGAGCGAAGACTATCAAGAATAAAGCCAAGGTCAATGCGGAACTCAGTCCTGCAGAGCTCAAAGCACTGCTCAAGAAGGCTCAGGGGCAAGTCACTACTTTCGAAAGCTACATTTCTAATTTGGAGAGCGAAGTTTCGCTGTGGCGTGCAGGCGAGACGGTTCCAAAAGAGAAATGGACGCCCGCTTTGGAGAAGGGTGCGGGTTCGGGTAGGAAGACGCCGGCTACTCCCTCTCGGGCTGAGACACCCAGACTACCCGCGAGAGGCTCAGATACTCCTTCACGGCCGGACTCGAGGATGGATGTGGAACGATCTGGTACGCCCAGTCTTCCGCTCGATAAAGATGAGAAAGACGAGTTCTTGAGAAGGGAAAACGAGCTTCAGGATCAAGTCGCGGAGAGGGAGACGCAGCTGGCTAAGGCTGAGGATGCCCTGAAGTCAGCCAAGGAGGAGCTTCAGTACTACAAGGAGAGAGACGCGAAGACCACTAAGGAGAATGAGAGAATGACCAGCGAACTCAATGAGTTGCGGATGCAGGTCGAGAAGCTGAACTTCGAGAGCAAGGAAGCGCTCATTACAATGGACGGTCTCAAGGAGGCTAATTCTGAGCTCACCGCGGAGTTGGATGAGGTCAAGCATCAGTTGCTCGATGCGAAGATGAATGCTCGAGAAACTAGCGCATTGCTAGATGAGAAGGAGAAGAAGAAGGCAGAGAAGATGGCGCAGATGATGGCCGGTTTCGATCTCGGAGGAGAGGTCTTCAGCGAAAATGAGCGAAGCATCCGCAAGATGATCCAACAGATAGATTCACTGCACGAGCTGAGCTCGGCAGGAGAACACATAGCGCCGGATGAGCTACAAGATCTGCGACGAAAACTGGTGGAGACGCAGGGAATCGTTCGGCAGGCCGAGCTGTCGCTCACCGCTCGTAATGAGGAAGACACGATACACAATCGCCGTCGTGAGGCACTTGAGGCTCGCGTGGCTAACCTACAGCAATCCTACGAAGAGCTGCTCGAAAGGAATCTGACGGAAGCTGATACGGAGGAGATCAAGGCGCGCCTGGCAGAGGCATACGCCGCAAGACAAGAGGGCAATTTGGAGCTTGTTGATGAGCTCAAACAGGACCTGACGCGCAAAGTTGAGGAGAACCAGAAGCTTAAGAACGAAGTGGAAAATCTGCAGCAACGGATCAAGAGTGGAGCGATTGCTAATGGTGTCGCAAATGGCATCAATGGCAAGACCGTACAGCAGCAGATTGCCGAGTTCGACAACATGAAGAAGTCCCTTATGCGGGATTTGCAGAACCGCTGCGAGCGGGTAAGCGCCCGTTGGGTGGTTGATTACATTGTTGGCATCGTACTGATCATATGAACAACAGGTTGTTGAACTCGAGATATCGCTCGACGAAACTCGCGAACAGTACAATAATGTCCTGCGGACCTCCAACAATCGCGCTCAGCAGAAGAAGATGATGTTCCTAGAGCGCAACCTGGAGCAGTTGACAGTGGTTCAACGCCAGCTTGTCGAGCAGAACTCGTCGCTCAAGAAAGAGGTGGCTATCGCCGAGCGCAAGTTGATCGCTCGGAATGAGCGCATACAGTCTCTCGAGTCGCTGCTTCAAGACTCGCAGGAGAAGCTGACCGCTGCGAACCATCGGTATGTGAAGGAGATTTCTTACTCGCTCCATTGTCGCAATCTGCAAGATGATCCACGATCTGATCTCAGACCACCGTATATTGACAAGAGATGCAGATTCGAAGCCCAACTCACAGCCGTCAAAGAGCGCCTCGAAGCCGCGAAACAGGGCTCCACTCGCGGACTCGGTTCACCTACATCCAACGCCTCCTTCGCATTCGGCGGCGCCGTTGGCTCACGCATCGCAAAGCCGCTTCGCGGCGGCGGCGGAAACGCCCCAGACGGACCCGTCCTCCCTGCGCTGTCGAACGTGCAGGCGCAAGAGGCGGGACAGGCAAGTAGTGGCAAGAGGACGAGTTGGTTCTTCAACCAGCGGTAGACTAATGAAACAATGTTGGCGAAGGAAGGAGAAGAAGAAGAAGCAACTAGAATCGGATTTTTGGGTCTATACCATCGCTACTTGGTTTTGTTCTTCCTCCTGGGCGTGGCGCTTGATTTGCTGTGGCGTTTCGGCATGAGAAGTACGACCGGCTTCATTCTTACATGATCTCATACAGTTAGACACGAGGGTGTTCATTGGGCTGTTGGAGAGAGCAGATGGACGGGGGAAGGGAGGCAGAGGTCATTGGTAATGCATCCATGGGGCGTTTCGCAGTGCGTGTGGATGCTGTGTGGTCATATTGACTTTTCTTTGATTTGGCCGGTCTATTGGCCCCCCATAGATGCATTGAATAGGAGAGTGAGAGTGATATCGATGAAGACGACTTTTTATTACTGTTGGATTGCAGAACCCGAATTCAAATCCTTTCCGCCGTTGCTGTACACAGTACAACCCCCTCCCCTGATTGTACCATTGTACAGATCCGGACATCCAACACCAACTCGCCGAATTAGTTTATAACGCGAGGCACGCAGATATTCCTCGGCCATTATAGGACGCACCGACGCGGATGTCTCGGTAACTTTTACGGAGTACTCCGTACACCTTTTGTCTTTTTTTGGCCTCACTTCATGGTTAACGATGGAGTCCGAAAACACTTGCACATTCACCCCATCCGGCAGCTTCTCGGAAAACTGTTATTGGAAAAGCGGTAGCGTACCTGCATCGGTTTCCCGTTTTGGGTACTATTGTAGTGTGCTGTGTTCGGGGCCGGAAGGCGCATGGGCGCATGGGCGCATGGATCATGGAGGGTGGGGTGGCATGCAAGGCACGGGGCGGGATTGTCCGTGCCGGATATTGGAACTGGGGTGGTTGTTGGTTAGGGGGTCTGGATCTGGAGAGACTCCCTTTTCTCGGTCATGTGATTAGTATAGGTGAGTGGAGACAGAAGATGGAGGTGTCGAGAATGAGATTGAGACGAGACGACGTGAGAAGGCATAGATCTGGATGGTTTAATCGGGACATGTAGTTCTATGTTTCTAGTAATACAAGGTGGTGAATTGATATAAAAACGAAGCATATTAAAAAAACGCCAATCCTATCTTGACTTGTCTCCATGCTAACTCTACAAAAGGAACGACTAGAAATTAACGAATAGATGCAGTTTGCTCCGAGGACGGAAGAACCGCCCATCGAAGAACTGCGTGAATGATAGATAGCAAACTCCAAACCGGCTTCCTCGAAACTTATACAAGTCCAAAACAATCTCTGCACAAACTCTTACCTAAATCTCCTAGATAAATATATACAAGTGAAGGCCAAATCGTCAGTCTCCATATTATTTCCATCTCCTGTCTCTTTCCACTGCTCTTGTACTGGGGTCATTACATGAGCAAATCTTCATCCTAGACCTCCTCCCTAACACGACTCTCCGTACTAGCCCCCTCTTTCACTGCCGCCGGAGTCCCCTGCGGTGCAAAGTACGCACTCGGTAATCCCGGAATCTCCAACCCCAAACCCTTCACATTCTTCCTCCCCGGAGCCAACCCAGTTCCAACCTCCTTCCGCTTGACCACCAACGGCAATCCATGACCTGCAAGCAACAGCTGCCTGGCACCCGCTAGCTCGGATTCGCGGTGCTCGCCGCCGGGTAGCGGCTTCCGCGGAATAGGGGCTAGAGCTGCCGCGGGCATGAGGATGGCGTCGGTGGAGGAAGCTGGGGAGTTGTCGTCGTCGCCATCGTCAGCATCGCCATCGAGTTTGATTTCGTCCCAGCCTTTGTGGATGCGCGGCGGGTCGGCGATGCGTTCAGGGGGTGTGGGCAGGTCGGAGGAGAAGGTGGGTGCCGTGCTCTGGGTGGAGGCGAGGGATGCGGCTTCGGGGCTGCTGCTTCTCTCCCCGTCGGAATATGGGGACGGGGAGTTTCCGACTGGGTGAGAGGAGAGTGCCTTTGGTGATGTTGCTGTTGGTGGTTCTATGGTGTCGGATTGCACGTCACTTACGTAGTCAGGGAGGTAGCGGGCTGGTGTACGAGGTATGTGAGGGGATGGGGGCGGTGCGAGGACCATTATGGAATCCGGTGTTTCGGTTCGGGCATCCACGTTTAGAAGGACACCGCGCTCGAAGTGCTCTTCATATGGGTCACTTAACGTGGATGTTGACGCAGCGCTGGGGAGGAAGGGTAGAGTCATGCTGGAGTTGCCGTACGGTGACATCGGAGGGTATTCGACGGCGGCTGGGTTGAATGCATAGGGGTAGTTGGCCCGTTGGACGTGTTCGCCGTTCTCGTCTCCAAGAGGACCACCATATCCCGCGAGGCGTGGACTTGGCTGGACGGATCCGTATGCGCTCATATGACCAGGACTTGGTTGTGGAGACGGAACAACACTGTCGCGGAAGCCATTCTGCGGCGACGAAGAGGATCTCTGATGAGGTGATCCTCCTGATGAGTTTCTGGGGACGGCATCATACCCAGCTGCGCCGCCGGACATGTATGTGGACATACCTCCCCCAGCCTCAGCATCGTCGTTACCATTCCCAGGGATAGCCGGATCGTAGAGATAGGCGACTTCGGGGTAGACACTGCCTGTGCTATGTCGTTTGCCCGCGTTCTGGTGATAGCGTCGCGCGACAAACAAGGCGGCAACAAGTGCAATCACCAAGCAAGTGGTACCTCCAATAGCAATACCCGCCGTCTGGGACTTTGTCAATGGGGGAGGGTCGCCTGCCCCGCCGCCTCCAGCAGCGGTTGTGGTGGTGCCCGCTGTCGGGATGCCACCGCTACCACCACCGTCGTAACCGTGTTGTGTCGTGGTAGTTGGTCCATCGTAATGCCCATATGCTCCAGACGTTGTTGCAGTTGCCTCTCCATTGCTCGAGCTTCCGGACTGTTTGGGATCTTGGGTGGCGGAAGTAGCAGAAGTATCAGTTGTGGGTGTCGTACTGGAATTGCCATTAAGGTAAGATGGAGTGTCGGTTGAGGTGCTTTGGAAACTCGATGGTGCAATATTCTGTGCAGTTGGACTGCCAGTTGAGTTGCCTTGGAAGCTTGATGGTGCGATGGTTGGATTGAGTGTCGAAGAAGTGTATCCGTCGTATAGGGACGGTTTTGATGAGGGATACCCAGTTGCGGGACCTGATATGCCGCTTGAAGGGGGAACGATGAATGAGGACGAGGCGACAGTGGGCCTAATGGAGCCGCCGGACGGTGCCTCACTTGTAGCTATCTGCACACCCGAGCTTGGGTTGGTACCACCAGTTGGACTAGGATTACCTGATGTAGCGATGCCGCTAGTCAGAGGCCTAGTGGAATTACCAGGCATAGGAACGAGAGCAGTCAGTATTGGGAGGTCCGTTGGCAAGTTCAGAATTCCCGACGCTTGCCCTGTTGTGGGAGATCCAGTTTTGTCTGAGGTGGGAGTCTGAGTATACACTGCTGAGCGCGACGCGCTACTCGGTTTGACGATATCCGGAAGGTCTCCCGTTGCTGAAGCACCCGGGAAGAATATGCCCGAAGCTGGCTCTGTCGGGGCCGTAGGAGATCCAGTAGGAGATCCAGTTCGGTCCGAGGGTGGCGTCTGAGTATACCCTGCTGAGCGCGATGTGCTACTCGGTTTGACGATATCGGGAAGGTCTCCCGTTGCTGAAGCGCCTGGGAAGAATATGCCCGACGCAGACGTAGAGATTTTCGAATTGTCACCCGCCGGGGGCGGATTGCGAGTCGGTGTGGGCGTGCCCGACGAATGCCCAGTCCCTGAAGCACCGGGGAAGGTAATGCCCAACGTAGGATTCGGGGGACTCGAAGGCACGATAATGCCACTGGGTATTACCAGCGTCTCCGAAGCCGGAACATCTCTATTGGTGGATGAAGGAACGGGACGACCATGACCGCCTGTGGCTCCTGGATGGTTCGCCGTACGATTTTGACTCGGTCCAGGTTTGAGAGACGTCTTCGGAGGCGGAATAGGAGGGCTCTGAATAGGAACTTGCTGTGACCCCGAGGTTGAAGATGGTCGTGCTTGGCTTGAACCCGGACGGGAAGTGGTGGATCGGTCTTCGGTGGTGACTGGGGCGCCGTCGATTTGGGAGGTGCTTCCACTGGATCTAGGAGGGAAGGGCCCAGATGTATGTATTGTTGAGTTGCGGGCGGCGCCTCTGTAATCGTCTGGCTTCCCGATGATGGGCGTTGGTGACCCACTCAAGTTGGGCTTGGTCGTGTCCTCCGCCTTCTCTGACGTTGGTTGTGGTTGCTCGACATGTTCGGAAGGCTTCACCATCGTAGGCACTTCGTAAGTAGGTTTTACGGACACTGTCCCATTTGCGTGGCCTGGCCCATCGCCTTGAATGGTACTTGACGCTGGGGGTTGATGCACGTAAGGTGGAGGTGGTTTTGTACCAGTAGTACGAGTTGTCTCCGGAGTCGTGGTGGTCTCTGGAGTCGTGGTGGTCTCTGGAGTCGTGGTGGTCTCTGGAGTCGTGGTGGTCTCTGCTGAAGTGACGTGGACACTACTCTGGGCCAGTCTGCCGTCGTTACCTGGCACCTTATTTGTTTGCACTGTAGTGGAAGAGGGAGAAGTCGTTGGAGCTCCATGGTCGCGAGTCGTATCCCCAGCAGGCAAAGCAGTGGTAGAGGTCTTCCCTGTTTCTACCTCCGCGGGAGGCTTCGTGGAAGAGGGAGCAGTGGTTGGAGCTTCGTGGTCACGATTATCCCCAGCAGGCAAAGCAGTAGTAGAGGTCTTCCCTGTTTCTACCTCCGCGGGAGGCTTCGTGGTCGTTGGAGTTTCGTGGTCACGATTATCCCCAGCAGGCAAAGCAGTGTTAGAGGTCTTCACTGTTGTCACCTCCGCGGGAGGCTTCGTATAATTCCCCTCAGGCACTCCACGTGCTCCGCGTGGATAATTGTCATGTTGTCTGAGGTCGAGATCTCGACCTTGCCAGTGAGATGGGAGCTCATCTACTGTCATCAGCGACCCAGTTGCACGGGGAGAGAGGATTAAATCAAGCATACCTTGTCTATGGAGAGCTGCACTAGTTGGATTTACGAGTAACGCCGTATAGGAAAGGAACAGAATGCCCTTGAACCACATGGCATTGTCGATCAAAAGAGTGACTATAGTGACAGCGCAAGGAAAGAGAGGGAGGCAAGACAAACGTGAAACGCAAGGAAAGGCACCAAGGGGTTTTGATGGCCTGCGGAGGCCGACGGTATTATGGCAGCTGCAGGCACATACCATCTCTTGCGTCCGACCTGTTTTGGGATGCTCACCCCTGCGCTGCCGTATGCACCGTGAGCAGGGATGACAGGAGATGGGATGGGTGTCGGATTTTGAGGCTTAGCATCGACCAGTGCCTGTCCGAGAATATCTCCATCTCCAACGTAAGCTAACATTAGTAGGATTCTGGGCGAGGCGCACAGCCTTTCCGGCTCGCCGTGCGCGCTGTGGCCCTTCACCTTCGTTTTTCTCGAGGTCCTCGTGGTTGTGTCAGAGGTGGATTCTGGCTGTTCTCGTAGGCCCGGACTAATAAATGGAATTGAATGCGATTCGAACAGAGCAGTTTACACAGTATAACAAATCGCGACCCCAGAGTTGAAGGGCGGATGCGGTGTTTGGAACGCTCAGACCACGCGCTCCTTCTAAGGAAGTGATGCTTTTGGGGGCCGGACTTGTTGCTGTCATGTACTTTACATGTCCGCCAAATGCAAGTGGACGCCCACCCATTACCGCACTGTCCAGGAGAGCCAAACTCTGGCCATCCGAAAGGACCAACAGATGGTCAACGCCGCTCTAGAAAGAGTGGCCAAGATGGGCTCTTTCCTTGCAGCCCCGCGGATAACGCACGTGTGGCGTGTAATCCCATGGTTCCTTCGATGTCCATGTTGTGCAATGTGTCTTGAGACTTCGCCGCAATTGCCGCCCGCTGAATTGCAAATGGGGCGCATGAGATATCGTGATTGGAAAAGAGACGGCGTATTGCCTGGACTGACATTTCGCGCCTCAGTTTGTCGAGGCACCTGCCCTTACCAGGTTGGCTAAGCCATCTCGGGCGAGTTCTTGGACCCAAGATGGAAGCATCCGAATATACGGAGCGAGTCCAGGACCCAAGAGAATGTGGCCGCTCTTATTTTTCGTAATGTGCTTCACCATGGCCTCAGCAACGTCTCTAGGATCCATAATGAGCTGGCCACTTGATGCGATTGTCTCCGCTATCGGCTCAATCAAAGGCGTGCGGGTCCAGGTTGGATAGATGATAGACGTCTTTACCTGTGGGCAGCGGTAGCGGTGTTTGAGTTCCTGCGTGAGTCCTTCATGCAATGCAACCAACCCGGCCTTTGTGCAGCTGTAGTCCACTCCAGCTGTCAGTGTTGCGAACGCAGACATGCTCGAAGTACTCATGATGTGCCCCTTCTTTCGGGAGATCATGTCTGGGAGGAACTCTTGCAGAGTGAACCAATGACTGACAATGTTGACATTGAAAATGGCGCGGACCGTTTCTGGGCTCTGTTGCAAAATGGTACCTTCACTGCCTATGCCCGCGTTATTGATCAATATCGAAGGTGGGCCGAAGTCTGAGCGGATTGCTTTGCCCGCTGCATGGACTAATGATGGCGAGGTAACATCGCAATGGTAGAATCTAACAAATTCTCTTTCGTCTGGACAAGTTAGTGCGGACCTGTAATAAATAGCCAAAATCACCTACCCTCCGGGATAGCGCTCGTCAAGGGGACGACATCCAGAACCGCAACCTTAACCCCTCGGGCCACAAGTGCCCGTACTACAGCAGCGCCAATGCCCTTTGAACCGCCTGTAACTACAGCGACCTCTTCCGGCCAGTTCCACGCACTCGTGTCGTCCTTCCACAGCCATCGGTTATCGGCCCAACGGTTGAGTGCTGCATTGATGTCGCGAACAAGAAATAGGGTCAACGCCCACTTCGCGATGTTATCGATGAGTGCAAGCTGAGGTCCCGGAAGAGAAAGATTGTGTGAGATACAAACGTTGAAAGTATTGTGAACGAGCAAGCAGGATGACGGGGACTGATCTGAATGCGAGGCCCAGTGCGCGGACAATGAAGGATGACATTGTGATTCTTGGAGGGATTTCGTTGATCGCAAGTGCGTCGATTGAGATCTCGCACGATTAATGGAACTGCACGGAGTACAGGCTATGGATATTTAACGTTTATGAACAAACGGATATGGGAGTAGGAGGGCTGGAGTGACAGTCTTATAGGAGCTGGCACTGATGTGCTGCCATCCCACGTGATTCCAGTATTCTCTCGCACGAGGCCTAGGTAGTAGGGGGCTGAATATACAGCGATGGATGTTAAAAGGGACGGTGGGCGAACCTGCAGTGTCTCATCAACCATCGTTCCAAGGGTGCCAGCTGCAGGTGTGAATCAATGCTGACATTCTGAGCTTATGTAATCAGTCCTACCGGTTTGTTGTTCTGAGACCAGAAACTTTGCGGAACTTCCGGCAACTCCGCAAGTGGAAACGACATTGCCCACCCTCCTCGATTGGTGTTTCGCTGACCTCTTCGTTGTAGCTCTAGAAGCTGATAACTGCCAAAATCACCGTATGACATCTCTCCGCACTTCATTCGGTGCGATCTTGGCGCCGTTCCTGTACCCTTCGCTCTTCGAATCCGCCGCAGCCACTGCCACTCGCCAGCTCCCGCGCAGACCTCCACGTAGGACTTTGCCCTTTCTGAAAAGATGCGCGTATAGTACCGAATCATTCTCGTCCCGTGAGGAGCTTTCAGATGCGCGATCGTCGCACCTCAACCCAAGTCCTGACAATTACTCTCTAACCCCCTTCGCCGATCGGTGTATAATAACTGTGGAAGCCGGGGCTGGTGGCCATGGCTGCGTATCATTCTTGCGAGAAAAGTACATAGAAGAGGGACCTCCGAACGGCGGCGATGGTGGAACCGGTGGTAATGTCTACATACAAGCCATACGTGGAGAAACGTCTTTGCACAAGCTCGCCCGGCGACGGTTAATAAAGGCTGGTCGAGGTCGCAATGGGCAAGGAAAGATGAAGGGAGGCGAACGGGGAGCAGATGTTCTGATCACAGTACCTGTGGGCACTATAATACGGGAGATTCAGCGGCACGACCCGGTAGAGGAAGCTGAGCGGGCTGAGCTTGACGCGCAGCGGTGGAGGAGAAGAAAGTCATCCAAGGAGGAAGTGGAAGAAGAGGAGAAGGGGACATATGATCAGTCGAAATGGCTGGTATTTCCGGGTACTGTTCCTTCGGAATTGAACAGGATGAACTTCCCACGACTGCCTCCACCACGGAGATCTCATCTCGCAGCACTCCAACCGCAAGCGCCCATTTGGCTAGATCTTGATAAGCATATGGAAACTCCGATGTTACTTGCCGCTGGGGCAATGGGCGGTTTGGGGAACCCACACTTCATCACTCCGAATCAGGCAAGACCGAAAATGGCGACGAAAGGAGATCCGCCTCTGAAGCTTTCATTGCAGTTTGAGCTGAAGATACTGGCCGATCTTGGGCTTGTCGGTCTGCCGAACGCTGGCAAGAGCACTCTCCTTAGAGCTCTTAGCAACAGTAAGGCTCGCGTGGGGAACTGGGCTTTCACGACACTGCAGCCCAACGTCGGCACAGTGGTACTGGATAACCACCATGGTCGGCCAGCTGTGATCAAGAGAAGACGGGACGGCGAATTGAGAGAAAACTTTACGATCGCAGATGTTCCGGGGCTTATTGAAGATGCGCATCTTGATAAAGGCCTGGGACTTGGATTCTTGCGACACGTAGAGCGTGCTGCAGTACTTGCCTTTGTGATCGACCTCTCCGCCGGTGACGCCGTTGAAGCGTTGAAGCTCCTCTGGAAGGAAGTGTCCGAATACGAAACAGTACGAGAGAAGGAAGTTAATGCAGACACCCAACGCCGGATGGTGAAGTACATCCCGCCATCACAAAACCAGCCGGCATCGATCTCGCTAGGGCTGGAATCGCCCAAGTTTGAGAACCCCTCGATTGAGTCGCTCCCTCTGTTGAGCTCAACCACGATTTCGTCGAAGCCTTGGTTCGTGGTTGCCACGAAAGCAGATTTGCCGGACACGCAGCAAAACTATGAAGCGCTCCAGGACTACTTGGCCAGAGTTCACGCTGGCGAACTACCTCATCCCAGCAAGCGCAAGAATGCCTGGAAGTACGATCTGAGGTCCGTTCCCGTCAGTGCAATCAACGCCCAAGGCGTCGAGGCCATTCCGCGCATTGTAATGGACCTTCTGGAAGAGTAGGCTGATGTGGCGTATCTGCATCACGACCTTTTTGGCGTCTCTACTTCTGGCTGCTGCAGGAGGATCACTTTGTGCAGACCACCAGCTAAAACATCGTGCCGGATGGACCTTTAGGCCGCATTCGGTCTCCGATGGATCAATGGCGTTGACTCCTGTGGCTCGATTCAACCTGTGCAATGTGTACAATACCGTTTTTATATGATTTTCAGACGCAGAGAGCAGATACCCGACCTGTATAGAGGAAATAGGCAGGCATGGCTCGAGAGCACGAGCATTCAAATGTCAAGCAGATGGGTTTCAGTGCATTTCAAGGTCACGGCTCCCATACCTCAGCATCCAATGCGCCTGTGTGTCCATACAACTGAATCATCCCATCCACGCATTACGGAGTACATCCGGTAAATTCTTGTATACTATGTACCCATTCCTCTGAAGCCAACCCAAGCCTAATAGCTGGGCATAGAGAGGAAGGATTACGTGACCAGGTCGCCACGTGCTCCAATTTCGGTGTGCAAACAACAAAGTCAGCGAACCTGGCGGAGCACAGTCCATCCTGCAGCCCGCCGAGTTAACGGCTCACATCACATATCCCGTATTCGGCTACGCCAATCCGCTTTGGGGAATCGAGAGAGATGAGATATTACGGAGTACAGCATCTCGGTAGAACGCCGATAGGTGAGTTGGTAGGTGCACACCCTGCATCTTCGAATTCCGAGATCCGCTAAAGGATCAAGTAAGTAGCCTAGAATCATGAGAAGCGGATGGCATTGGGTTGGTGGCGTCTCTGGCGTGATCATAGGAGCTTCATGGCTTTTGGTATAGAGTCAACATATCGTATGTACACACCGAGAGCGGTTCCAATATTCATGCAAGTAGCACAGGCTCCTTAACATGGCATCAACACAATTTACTTGTAGGCTGCAAGACGGACATACAAAACCTAGGCCTTTCTTAAATGAGATACGACCAATGCGCACAACCTTGACTAATAATTAACCTCCTCTCCCAGGGCAATGATTAAATGGCATACCAATAAACAATAATTGGCATACCACTAAGACCTGTCCCGTCGGATAACAGGTCCGTGATTGGGTCCGTTCAGGCCAAGCTATCTAACCTTAGGAAAAGTAAGTAAAAATCTCTAATAACTACCGTTAACTTTCAACTTGTTTTTCCCTTAAATTTTCTAAGGGAGCGTACCCTTTTCTTGTTACAGCCTTAAAGACCGCCTTCTTATTAACAGATTTACGCATAGAAACGTAAATTTTTCAACTCTTTAGGTGCGTGACGCCAGGGTGAAGAGGGCGACTTAGTGGTATGCCAATTATTGTTTATTGGTATGCCATTTAATCAGTCGCCTCTCCCAGCAGATATCCTATTCCAACCGCTGACTAGTTTACACATTTTCCTGTTAGCACTCGGTTTTACTGTGTATACTACCAGGCACCCCTTTGCAGCACGAGGCAAGGGCGGTCTTGTTGCAAACAACAGCATTCTTCTCGCAGAGCACTCAGACAGAACTATCCTTTTCTGTTCGGCGCGACTCTAGGTAGACGGCCCTTTGTTACTAGAAGCGTAACATAGGAAGGGGAACGGCAGTAGATTGTGGAAAAGGGACAAGCCTTCTATAGGACATGGCTTCCCAAGGGTTTGTAACGGTCTTCGACTAATCCACAGGACCTCCTCGGTGGATTTAGCTCAGTCCACCGGCCAGTTGAGTCTCAGACAGAAGGGGTTCTATGCACTATCCTACAGCGCACGCCAATGCAGACATTCGACAAAGTAAATTAAGGTTATCGATGTTCGAAAAGGTGAGAGTTAAAGGGACCTGAGCAGCCGTCGCCGCCACCGTTCCCGCATCTCACCGCTAAGTTTGGTTCAGACGCAGACATATATATACCGACGCGTCCGCTACCTTGTCTCTCTTCCACCTACTTCCTCCCACGAAATTACGTTTTCCGGGTGAACTATCACTGACACGGTTGCAGTTCCTTCAGATTTCACCGGAAGTACCTCAAAATCATGACATCTAACGGTGGAATGTGGCCCTTACTTAAGAGTAACACAAATCATGAGACAAATGATATCCACAGTGGTACCCGAAGTATTCGCTGGCACGAACTCAGCACTTCCGCCCAATGCCTCTGCTCCACCACCCGCAGTCTCTCAATCTATCCTACCGAGCACGCCGGCGGACGATGAGGATCAAATACGAACCGGGAAACCAGTGGTACTTTTTAGCCCTTTCCAAATGCTTCTACTCCATCAACATCTCCCCTGACCGCCTGGAGGACACGGTCGCAAACCCGGCCATTTCCTGGCAGCTCATCAATGGCCCACGAGATCTCGCTCCATGGACCCGTGGTCCCAGAGTCGTCAGACGCCAGCATCTCCAGAATAGCGGAAGAACAGCGCGGTCAGGGTTTTTGTGAACGAGAAGATGAAGGTTGCGGGCGAGACTGACACTGACACAATGCCATACCCTCTCAAGACGCTTGACGCCGGAATTTCCTATAGGCCGGAAGAGACAACAAACTGGGTACTTTTGAACAAGTAGTCCAAAATCCGAGCCCGGTGTTACAGAGCTTCTTACCAGCACAAGTTCCTAGCGCCTGACGATGGACTATCTCCCGAGCCTGGTGAACAGGCCGCTGCGGGACATGATGAAAGAAAGGAACGGTAATGCAACTCCCAATCGGCAGGGCATGAAGGAACTCATCGTCTTGGGCACACGCTCACCACTCTTGCTACACCCAAAACCACCCAAACCGGAAGGGAAAAAAAGAATAACTAACGGGCCTAAAATACCAAAAAGTTCCGACACCGGGAATCGAACCCGGGCCTTGCCGGCGCTGGTTGAGCGTACAACTCTACTTGAGAGCGGCAAATCCTAGCCACTAGACCATATCGGATGCTGTTGTTGAAGATAGATAGCTTTGAAAATTTATATGGAACGTACCCATCACTTCCAAGTGAATACCTCGAGGATTCAACGATCAAAAAAATGGAGAAACTAAGCGTCGGTGGGGCAAAGATGCGGCGATGCAACCCATCCAGGAGCAATAGACGACAGGCCGAAGTGAGCTGCCATTCGCTCTTTCCCGCCGTGTCCTAACTAGGCCAAGCACGCACCCTAAGGAATTCAAAGTTTGCCAATGTAGATGACTACTGCGGCTTCCCACTGTCTAGGTAGGTGGAATTACCTACTATCTACGGGACGCAAGCCAACTGGCTACAACCTAATAATGCTACGGGTGGAGCTTCGTTTCAAAACTTACTATACGGGTAGAGGCGCGCTACGAAGCTGATATTGTAAGACTTGCTATATTGCTGCGCCAGCTAGCTGCTTAACTGGACGTGGAAAAGAGCAGTACGGAGGAAGTGCAGGGGAGTGTCTAGTAAGAAGCAGCAGGTAGATTGAGTATATACCTCCTCGGGGAACCCTAACTCGTAATCAATTGTATGATAGAAGGTTGCGACAACAAGGCATTGCCTCTTCTTAGGTTCAACTGAACATCCTCCTGCACTGCCTTCGTAGTTGAGAAGCTCTTCAGCGCAAGCTAGCCAGCTACAATCTGTTTAGGCTACTAGGAAGCTAGACTCTAGAACTTAATAGACCTAGACGGAGGTGGTTCGTATCTAACCTCACGCGCTCTTGTACTTGTGCGTTATCTAGGCTGTTCAGTTAAATGTGGAAACTTGCGGTATTGTAACGGAAATTGTTCTGTCGTTCTCGTCCATGGATCGTGCTGCCTTGTAAAGGATCACTTCCAGGGGATTAGATTTTCTTTCTTAGGTACGAATACCGCACTGTTCAGGCGACACATCAGACCCCTCACGTCTCAGCAACCATGTACGCTCCGCATCCGCATGTCTCTCCCGTCTCCAGAAAAGTCTTCTCTCCCCAGTCTCCTCTCTCCAAGACTGCACACGTCTTCCGGCTTCCATCCCCCAATGCCAAGTAATCCCCGCAAGGAAGCCAACAGCGTCGTTCTTGAAAGCAAGCAGTGTCGCAACAGTGACGAGCATAACCATCCATCTCTGCCTCCTCTCGCTATCATCCACATGCCGCACTTCTTTACCATCCCACACGCAGCCCTCACGCAGAACACGCAAATCCGATGCATCTGTATTCAAACTCTCCCCGACTTTGGCCAGTTCAATCCCAGCAGCCAGCACCAGTACTCCCAAGAGAGATTTGGGAATTCCAGAGAGAATTTCGACAATAAGGGCCGGACGGAACAGCGATAAGAGGCCTAGGAGAAGCTTGACGGAGCCTAGAATTATAATGCTCGATCCGCTACGGGCGCCAAACCGATATTGGCCTGCGAGGCCTCCGGAACCGTGGCATGCGGGCATGGCGCCGAACCAACAGCCGACCAGATTGATTGCGGCTACCGAAACTCCAATCTCGGTCACTGTGGGGCTCACGGGGTGTGGTGGGGAAGGGAGAAGGTCTGACGTAAGGGCTGCCACGGCGATTATGGAGTTGAGGATCGTGAGTGGGAGTTGTCCCAGTGATGCCGTGGTGGTGGCTTTCCAGAAATCGAGGGCGGAGGGACGGACGACGGGAATTGCTGAGGCGAAAGATTTGTTTGAATGACTGAGAGGCGAGAACAACGATAGACATATGCCGATGCTGAATACGATGAGCGCGTACGGCATTCTGGGGTATGCATACGTGAGCAACAGAAACAGACCGGCTGCAAGAGCCCATAGCAGATTATCGCCCCACCACGGCCCATTCCAGGTCAACGGAGCGAGCAGCGTGGTACCGGCACTTATGCAGAGGGAAAGGCCCGCTCCGACTTGGATGCCTTTGACGACGGGAATTGGCGTTACTTTGTTCGCCCAGTGGATCACGCCAGTGATGCTGCATATTCCTACCAGAGTGGCGACTACCAATCCTGCAGCAGCGTTCTCTTCGATCGTGAACTTGCGAGCTATTGCGACCGCCGCAATTGCTTTCATCGGCTGGACAGGTAGAGGGATGCCGAATGCGATGCCGGTCAAGATGTTTGCGGCTCCCGTGAAAAGCAAGGTAGAGGGAAGTGATATTGAACCCGTCAAGGCGAGCGCGGTCATCAACGGGAGGAGCGTTCCAAGATCTCCAAGTGATCCAGATAGTTCGGAGACTGGGGAGGATTTGAGGACGTCGACATTGTATCTGTGGACGCTTTGGAGGCGGCGAAACATCGAGGAGAAAGGCATGTTGCGACTTGGCAGGAAATTGACCAGAACAGCGGAAAACAAAAGACTTTGAAGTTTGAGAGAAAGTATAGTATGTGTTATTTCTTACAACACGATCATGGCAATGAAAGGCGGGGATAGAGTGAGTGGTTGTCGTTAGAGAAAGTTTGTAAGTTGCCCGCGGATATGCTGAGATTAAGAATATCGCTGACAACTGCTATGTATTAACCCTAACTGGGCCCACTATCTCGTCACCACGTGGTTGCCTACTGCGGCTTTTCCACGCCCAACTGAACAACTCTTTGCACTTCTGGTGTAAATTCTGCGCTTTCCTAGGTCGAACTAAATAGCTAGGAAGTTCATAAATATAGCAACCCTTGCAGTTGGCTTTATAGCGCCTTTAGCTAGATATATCAGTGCTTAAAGCTGTAGCTTTTTCATCACGCAAACAAATTGCAGCTAACATTAATATATTGAATAGACATGCGATAAACACTTGTTTATCTGCGGCGGAAGCGCAGGGTAGTGAACGTGAAAAGAGGCATTACCCAGGCCCCTTCAAGTGTATCTGGTTCATCATCCATCGTATCGACTCTGATGGCCGCGATGTGGTGTATTATTGGTTTAACAATAGATTCCATGTTCCCTTGTATCTATAATATGAAGAAGCTCCAATAATGCTAGCGATCTTCCTTGCAGCTTAGACCTTCAGAGAACATCGCCGCTGCACAATACCACATTACCACTGCCCTCACTGAAAGACATCTATCACCTGATCCCATCTCCCCTCCTCCCTACACTCCCAATAGCCATCCCTTCCCGCCTTCAACCTCCACACCTCCTCATCGCCCAACAGACTCGCCTCCTCCGCACTCGCCTTGACAAACCATTTCGGCGCCCACGTCTCCCCATGCTCCTCCATAACGCGCCTCCTAGCGCGTTGCCTCTCCTCCAACCGCGCCTTCAACGCCTCCGCACGATCAATCTCCCCCTCCTCATGTGCCCGCTGATCAGGCCTGAGCCTACTATCCGTGGGCGGCAACTTCCCCCGCTCAATATGTGTAATCTGATTTAAACTTGCCGCAAACGTAGTGAATCCGTACCGCTGTGCGGGCTGCGGAACCAGCTCGCCAACGCGCCATATCGTCTTCCCAGTAGGCTGTCCATTCGCCATTAGCTGCAGCTCGGTGGTCCATTTCCCTTGCGCGCCCATTGGTAAGACACTCCCTGTTGCGTCGAACACCTGCACAGCAACATCTTCGCTGCGTCCGGCGAACATGCCGCCAGCTTTGAAGGTACACACGGCCTTGGCGCCAGTCCCTTCGTCGATGATCGTCATCGTCCCTGTAGGCTCCACGTACTTCTCGCCTGCAATTACGTTGCGCAGGAAACTAGTCGCCACTGTCCAGCTGAAATGCTCGCCTGTGGCATGCAAAAACACCCTCGCGCGACCATCCGTGTTCAGTTCCGCGGACTTGCCCCAGAACTTCTGCACCGGAATCGGCGTCTGGATGAACGTCCAATGCGCGCTCTCTGCCTGACACGCCATCGTGACAGGTCGGTGGACCACCTTTTCCGCGATGAAGCGGAACCCCTTATCCTCGCGGACGAGCTCAAACGTCTCGCCAAGCATGGGATTGAACGGCTTGCGGATTGCGCGCTCCTTGACGCGCATGTTGCTGAAGGCCGAGATGGCAAAGGAGGCTATATATACGAGTCGTTCGCCGTTGTCTCTGGAAGCCTTCAGCGCCGCTGTGTCGAGGAGCTCGCTGTACTCGAACTGCTCTGCCAGGCGCTGCAGAGCGGATGTGGGCTCATTGGTCGTTACCGGCATGGAAATAGTGGAGAAATCCTTGCCTACATTCTTGCGGAAAAATGCGAGAAGGTTCGGCGGTTGTGAGCGGCAGGGCGGGACGTCGTTGCGGCGTTTCACGGGGTCCAGGGGGAGTGGCGAGAGAGATTTGGGTTTCGTGGGGTAGAGGGAAGGACGGCCTTCAGTGGAGAATCGCTCACGGTTTAAGGGACTGATGCCGCCTTCGTCGCTGGAAGACTCAGATTCAGCGTCTGACACGTCTTCGCGCTCAAGCTCGATGGCTTTATCCTGGCTGTCGCGGCGAATGGTGAGGAGTTGGGACTTCTCGGTGTCAATATCTTGAGCGTCAAAGAATTCGTCCGCGGATTCCCTGGAATCTATAGACAAGCGACGCGTGGCGGCAGAAGTGGGCAGAGGAGTTCGCCGTTGCCGGCTTTCTGCTATCAGAGTGGCAAAGTCTTGTACAACTGAATCCAGATCGCGTAGCAAAGCCATGCAGTGGTCATGGATCCCTTCTTCATGCTGTTGAGTATGGCTGCTCGAGCGACCGTTACGTTGCGGTACGTGGAGATTACCATTCGAAGGTAGGGGAGGTACAGGAGGGACGACGTTCGTGGACCCGACGGCCACTTGAGTTGAAACGCTCCTACGCATTGTTGCGGAAGGACTTTGTCCGCCAGAACTGCTCGCTTTCCTTTTCCAGAAGGCCTTCCTTCCTGCGCCCTTATCCGTTTCTTCGAAGTAATCGTTGATTTCAGGTTCTGAGGGTGCAGGTGAGAGGTTTTCTTGCATCTTGCCGATTCCCAGGCCCGCAACTGGGCCGTGGTACTTTGGATCCGTGTCCATAGCCAGCCGTCTGACCGCATCCCGTATGCCAGCTACCCTTCCTGTCAGCGCCTCTACTCGCAACCATTCCGATTCTTCCGCTTCGTTGACGATGTAAGGTGCACCCCCGAACGGAGATTGTTGCCCTTGGGGTGTCGCTGAGGCCATGCCGGCAGCTGTTCTTGAAGCCCGATCCAAAGCTTCCTTCCAGACGTTAAAGTCCTCATCATTGCGTGCGCGCAGATGCCAGACTTCAGCCCCCGAGTCGACGGAGATCTCCCTGGTCCTCTCATTTGCGCCGATTGCAGCCAAAGAAAGAGGTATGGCCCCTCGCAGAGCAGAGGAGTGGTCATTACGGTAGTACGACAACGTGGAGGAGGTGAAGTCGAGCGAGAAGAACCGCCTTGCATATCCTTGGTTCCGCTTCCTCCGCTTCTTATGTAGAAAGCCAGTAAGGAACGACGAATTGGATGTGGATACCGAAATCGGTGCATGGGAGGATTTCGGTCGGTCTGCTAAACCATGCTTAGTACCGAGCGTATCCCTAGGTAGAGACTCTGTGGAATCCGCAACCGGACCTAGACCTGGACTCGACCTCTGCCCAAGGCTTGTGGAGCTGGCTCCTGCCATTGCTTGAGCGTAGTGCATATGGTGACCGGACTTGGGCGGCGCATTCGTAGGGTATGTCATGAGCACAAAAGTCAACGTCTTTGACACCGTCTTGGAGAAGGTGTTGTCAAACACGAGCCCATACATGCCACCCTCCCCCTCGGGTACATTGTATGTCCCTACAGACACCTTGTCTGCCTCGCATTTCCCGGCCCAGTACACCTGCTTCAAGCCTAGAGCTGACAGCTTCTCGAATATGACGGTCTTGTCATTGCGGGATGTGGAGGAGCCGCGGCCTCGGGTAGCGGGGACGTCAAGCGCGGACGCGGGTGCCGGCGACTCAAATGCCGCGGACGAGGGCAGATTCGGTGTTGGTCCGGTTCCACCGGGGTGTTTGAATATACCAAAGTTTATCGACTTCTTGTGCGGTTGTATGGTCCAGGATATGGTGTGCGCAGGCGCAACGTTGACCCAGCGGACAAGGTACGACTAGATTCCTAATCAGCGGTGGAGGATGAAGTTAGAAATTGGGCGACAGACTTTGCTATGGATCTCGAGCTGCTCCATTCCAGCCATGGCGGCGGTCTTTGAAGTGTGTACAGGTTGCGCTTGCGGGATGGGCGGGCCTCGGAATGCGGACGCTGGAGATGTTTGTCCCGCTCAACGCTGAGGCCGGGACCTTAACGGAAGCTCATTGGATCGTAGGGACTATTCAGTAGCGGTAGATACGAACTGTCGAACCCAAGCTGAAGTATTCTGACTGAGGGCCCGGATTAAGCTGTCACGGAACAGGCGTTCTAGAGGTGCTCTGAAGGGATCAGTCAAGGAGAAGTTATGGGGTATAAACGCGACTCGTCGCTCAAGGCGAATTGGGCATAGATGCGAGAAGCAATCGTTTGCTGGAACGGAGAAGCAATCTCTGGGATGTATTGTTGGTTGGGGGAGGAGTGGTGACGGTTGGTAGTTTACAGTGTACAGCCTGGCTTGACCGGTCGCTTTCAGCGATGACGACGGGCCTCTCAGAGGAGTTTCAGCCGACCCCTGTTCGTCCGTCCCCTTGCGGTCCCGTCGCCCTGCTTTGCCTTCATTCCCTACACTAATCATCCCATGAGTACCACAGTAATTCATTCCACCGAGTTATCATGTCTTTCAAAAGCCGTTTCTCGTGCGAGTGGCGAAGCTGAGTGATCCCACAACGTTTTGGTCCGATTGTCTCCAAGCCCTGTGAACCCGTGAGCTGGAGTGCTGATGGTCATCAACCATGACATTGAGCCAGAAGACTACCCATCCATCCAAGGTATCCCTTGTTTGTATTCCAACTGTTACGAGAAGGTATCAATCGAAGAGCTCTCAGTCTCGATGCTGGGGGCGTAGCACCTGAGAGAAGCTCTATGCCACGATCACGTGACATCAAGCTTCCGTGAACATTGCACTCGCCATCTGCCTTTCAACCGCAAGAGCGAGGATCCTCGGAATATACGGAATACTTAGGTACGCCACCGGAGTGACTTTATACTTGCACGAATACGACGTTGGGATCGCTCCAAGCTTATGTCACATTCCCGGGCAGGATACAGGACGTTGAGCCAATTTGGGGAAACAGCGCAGAGAGACCAGATGAGCAAGAGTTATGGTTTTCTTCTGGTGTCCCTATGCCAGCAGAATGCTTGATACACGATGAAGCCTCCTTTCCCCTCTGGGCACGGAGAAGACGGCTGTGCTACCCTGCTGACGATCTCTTTTACTGCATGCCCGCATTCGCTCGCAAACCACATCGAGAATACTTTGTATCGTTCCAGATCTTCAGTTCCCACGAGTCAAACGGCTTCCAGAAGACTACTCAATTTGGGAGAGTGCTTCCGTTCCATTTAAGCCTTCCTTGGGCAATCTACTTCAATATCTACTACCTGGTTTCGCAGACTGGCATGTTTTCATGCCAGTCCATGAAGCCTATATCGTAGACGATGTTCGCCTTCTTCTGTTCAGCTTCGTGTTAGGTGCCCTTTTTGGAAGACGGTCTTTTGCGCCACTGGTTCAGTCATCATGATCAGATTATGGGCTCTCTCACTTGCGCTCGCAAGCTCTATCCTCGCAGAACCTTTGGCACATGGACCTTGGACGGGCTGGAAGCATGTCAAGTATTTGTTCGTGTTGTACGTATGCGATGCGGGTCTCCAGAGCTCAGTTTGGCTAATTCATGCAAGTGGTGATTCATACACCCAGACAGGCTTTGATGTGAAGGGAACGCAGCCCAATCCGGCGAATCCCATGGGCAATCCACCATATCCGTAAGCACCTCAGCAACGAGGGTGACTGGCTTGTACTGACTGATTCTCAGTGGTTGGACATCGTCAAAGTACGAAGACCTTCCCAGTCTACAATACTCCTCTAACCAAACCGTAGCGGACCAAATTGGGTAGACTTCCTCACCTATAATTACAACGAGAGCTATTTGCAGACATACAACCTTGCTTACGGTGGCGCAACCGTGGACAGCGCGCTCGTGGCGCCATGGCAGCCCACTGTTCTCTCATTGAAGAACCAGGTCCAAGAGCTCTACCTCCCCAATTATGGTTCACATCCGGCACCTGCGCCGTGGAAGGCCAGTGATTCCCTTTTCGCTTTCTTTATCGGGATTAACGACGTCGGTAATACGTGGTGGCTGAATAACGCAACTCTTTACGATCTCATCTTCGCCCAATACGACAGCCTGCTCGAGCAGGTTTACAGCACTGGGGCGCGCAACTTCCTGTTCCTCGCAGTGCCGCCTGTCAACCTCGCACCTATGACGTTGGCGAATGGTCCTGAGGCTGTTGCGGGGGAAGATGCAGCTATCCGGGATTGGAATACCAGGCTAGGGAAGTTAGCTACGGAATTCCGGAAGAGACACCGTGGAGTTGAGACTTTCGTGCACAACACACATGACGTTTACGCGGCTGCGATTCAAGACCCATCAAGTTACCCGCAGACTAGCGGACTGAAGAACACCACAGGCTTCTGCAAGGCGTATGCAAAGTGAGTATTGAGTTGACGGGCGAAGTGCTGTCTTTCCGGACTGACGTTACTTTAGCGGAACACCGACGTGGTATACGTTCAGCGAGGAATGCGCCCATCCCGTCAATGAGTATTTCTGGCTGAACGATTTGCATCCGACCTTCCCGATCCACAATGCCACAGCTGCATCGATCGTGAAGTATCTGGACTCACTGGGTTACTGTGGAGATGCGGGGAGAACCAATAATCACTTCGGACGGAAGTCTTCCACCCGGTGCCGGTAACAGTAGGGGAATGCTGGCTAGTACAAGTACATGTACTTCGCTCGCGGGCCGGCCGCGTTTCTCGTTCTTCCGCGGGACAAGCGCTTTTTCCTTGCTGTACGGACGAAAAGGGGCTCTTGTCCCGTTTCAACTTCCAGTCTCACTGTGGTAGAATCTTGTTTGAAGATGATGTAACAACCCACCTACGGCTAATGCGGTGTAACAATGTACACAACGGCCAAACCGCTAAACCCAAACTACTTTAACATTGTCCTCCGCCCGGCTTTCACAATTCTTCAAAATACACAGCACTTTTACAGTGATTTGAACTAGGAAGCACGGGTACTTCCCCTGGAATATTCCAGAATTCCTCCTGGTCCCATTAGTGCTCGCCCCGGCATGCTTTGAATCCTTGAAGACTCAGATAGCGGACACCCATTATTACTGTGGTAAGGATTGTCCATCAATCATTACGATTTTCAACCCTCCTACCAGGACTTCGGGAACGTTGGGCGCCACAAAACAACAGTGAAACATGGGTCAGTCGGTCCTAGGATAATGAACGGCCACCGGCTACTCTCTATCCCCACGCCCAAATGACCAGGACTACTTGCCATGCAGAATGCACAGCGACCGTCTGAGGTGTTTCGTATCTCCAATGTTCTTTGGGTCAAATCTCCCGATTGCGTCATTGTTCTCATGTTAATTCCCAGAATCCAGGTATCATATTGGCAGTGTGCAACTTCGGATATCTCGATCGAACATCCGTCAACGGGGCAGGAATTCGAAATCCCCGGGTTAACCAAGCAACAAGACACATGCAGGTGAGCACGAAATCCAACGGCGAATATCGAAGAAATCTTGGAAAACCGGGGAAACACCCCTGCCAGTCTGGGGCAATGCAGCCGTCGGCTGCTGCTCAGTTGCCAGAAACCTTTGCGGGGGGGTGTGCGAGCCTCATATATTTATATTAAAATCAGCATCCGAAATGCCCACGCCATGCATGTCTGCCACCTGAGTGACGCTCACGTGGCTTGTGGAACATGATACCAAGGCTTCGCCATTGCTCGATTCGGTGCCATCTCCAGGCTTGACTCTCGGTCTTTCTTCCAGATGCTGTGGGAAGCCCAGGACTGAGGACTGCAGTGCACGCAAGCCTTCGCTGAGTTAATCAAAGTCGCCCAAAGGTGCTGGAGGGGCGGTTCTGGAGGTTCGCCCCGTGATTCCATGGGGTATAGTTGCGCGGCATGGAAACTCCAGGGCATCTGTCATCCCACGATCAAGGAGCCTCAATCTATGGGAGATTGGGCTCTCGTGGCATAGACGACGGGATCATGGGTGGGTCGGGCTCTAGGGACAAACATATATAAGGATGGACGCTTGATGCAATATCGACTCACTCGCTCCCCCATCACCGCTACCAGGAAATCCTCTCTTGTCCAATCTATCTCCCGTGATAGTCGACATATTCCAATATGCGTTCCTCCACCCTCCTTGTTGCACTTACCTCTGCGGCTATTCCCGCCGTCCAGGCTCACGGCCATGTCAGCGGCGTCACTGTCAACGGAAAGTGGACTCCTGGATCGGATCCCTCGTGGTACTACCTCCCCGCCGATCAGAGGAAAGACAGCGCCGGTTGGAATGCCTTGAACCAGGATAACGGCTTTGTCGAGCCTAACTCCATGGGCACCGCGGACGTCAACTGCCACAAGGCCGCCACTCCTGGCAAGCTGTACATTGATGCCAACGCTGGTGATGCCGTCACGTTCTACTGGAAGTAAGTACACCGAAAAGAAATCATCCGCAGTGGCGCAGTATCTAACAGCGTTTTCAGCACCTGGCCTGATACCCACAAGGGCCCCATCATCAACTACATCGCCCCCTGTGATGGTACGTCTCCCCCTGGGCCCGTTACAGTCTCCCAATCTAATTCTGACCCTTCCCCAGGTGACTGCACCACCAAATCCCCCTCCTCCCTCCGCTGGTCCAAGATCTCCCAAGGGGCCTACAACGGCAAGACCTGGGTCACCGACGACCTCGTGAAGAACAACTTCACCTCTACGGCCACCATCCCCCGTAACCTCAAGGCCGGCAACTACGTCATCCGCCACGAGATCATTGCTCTGCACTCCGCCCAGAGCCCCAACGGCGCCCAGCTGTATCCTCAGTGCTTGAACCTCAGGGTCGGTGGAAGCGGGTCTGTCGCACCCACGAGCGGTGTTCCGGGCACGAGCCTGTACAAGAAGGATGAGGCCGGTATCGTCTTCAATCTTTACACGAGCTTCACGACCTATCCTATTCCGGGACCGGCGCTGTGGACTGCAGCGAACTAAGGGAGGCAGATTAAGGTGAGCGCGTAGCGAAAGATACGCTGAAGATTCGGGAGCTGGGGCGGTTGGAAGGGATAGTGGAGGATTGATGAGCTTACATTCAATTGTATATATTTGAATCAAGATGTTGTCGCTGAATTCCAAATGACGAATTGTTAGCTTGGAATCTCGCCCAGAATCTCGACCATCTGCGGTTGGCTTGCAGCGACCCTGACGGTGGACTATTGATGCATGTGATGCGGAATACTGACCTGGGCAAATCCACTAAGCTCGGCCATATACTTTTCGCGCAGATAGGGTTCCCGCGTACCCCACCACAACGCGTCATGCAGCTCTAAGTCGCAATCTTTGTCAACAAGAACGATTATATTTGCCACCGTACACATAGACTTGAAAGTAAGAGCTGCTGCTGCCTCTGCCGCCTTCTGAGCCTCCTTTTCTGGTGTAGTGCTTGCCTGTTGAGCCTGCAGAGCTGCGGCACGATCAATTGCAGCCTTGATACTCTCAATGTTGCTAAAGTGTTCATTTGGGTTGACTTGAACCCGTTTCCTTAGACGGGTACTCCTTGTACTATCTAGTTGATGTTTAAGTCTTTGATTTTCAGCTTCAAGCTGAGCTGACCTGGTGTTGGCTTTTGCAATAGCCTTGCCTGCCTTGCTAAGAAATACACGGGTGTTTCGCGAAAGAGATTCTGATAAAAGAAGCTGTTGCTGAGCCAGGTATAGAGCCTGTGAGCTCTGAGGTGTTTTGAAGACTTGATCCAATGTATCTAAAGCCTGGGTAGTTGTTAGAGGTGTAACTGGCCGGCCAGTTACTTGGGATGAGAGCAGTACAAGGTCTGGGTTATATGGGCAGAGCCCAGCAGCCCTCCAGCCAGCTCGTATAACACGCTCTGATAGTCCTTTTTCTCTTGCTTTGTTGTACGATACTACAAAGCGTTCCTTCTTGATAGGTGCTGTGTCATCAAGGGTGGAGAGCTCTCGGATCTAAGTACGGTACTTGGACTTGATTACTGAGAAAGGAGCAAGATCTAGTGGCTGTAGCAGGTGTGAGGCATGAGCTGGGAGGTATAGCAGGTGGATCTTGTGTAGCTTGCAGAGCCACATGAAGTCAATTGGTATATGGGAGCCGTGGCCATCAAGAATGAGTAATCGATATCCATGAGATGATGGTGAAGTATTTGGTATAAAAATATGCTGCAACCATTCGTATCCAATTGTGTTTGATATCCATCCATTCTCTGAGGTTGTATAGACCCAATCTGGTGTATCATGTACTGGAAACCAGGTTGACTGTAGATATTTGCCTTTGAAGATGACTAGGCATTGGAGCTTGATGCCGGTAGCTGAGATGGCCTCGATGACAGATACCCACTCATGATCCTCTGGAGATTTGATATAAGCTTTCTTCTTTGAAGAGCTTGCAAGCACCTGGGTATTTGTACATACCCCAAGTGCGATGCCCATCTCATCCATATTCCATATATCCTCATACCATATACCTAGCTCAATCCTAGTACGCTCAAACAGCTCAAGGAAGGCTCGTATAGTGTCGTGACTAGCTGCTGTAGTTCTTGCACTCTCGATTGTTCGGCCAACTACAGATGCGACACGTGGGTTGCGGGTGATGAAATGGGGTACCCATAGTTGGCCGAGTGGCTTGAAGTCGCCATTCATGTGGAGGATTCGGGTGGCCATTTCTCGTACGCGGGGATGTGAAGGTGGTTTGTGTGTGAGTCCTCATCAAGAATCCAATCGACTAGAAAAGCTTCTTGCTCTGGAGTCAATCGCTGTTGATTCTGATGAGCTGTCGCGTGTGGTTGTTGACCTCGTAGCCGACCACGCAGCGTAGATTCAGGGATCCCGTATGAACTAGCAGCTTTTCGCTGGCTTGTAAAAATGCCAGAATTAAGATCTTTAATAGCGCATTGTATAGCAAACTCCTTAGGATCCATTTTAACTGTGTGGTGTTGATAGTATAGAGTGCCAAATCTGCGTGACGCGTTGTGGTGGGGTGCGCGGGAACCCTATCTGCGCGGAAAGTATATGGCCGAGCTTATTATTCAGTGTGAATGTCGGATGCCCGAATCTGGTAGGACATTTCGATCCTTTCGATTCGTCTGTCTCGACGGCGAAACTACGAATGGAGACGTCGAACTTCTTCATCCCCGTCTCTGACAATAGCTACAATGCTTGAACGCCTCGCAATGCAATGTGAGAAGTATAGAGGCCAAGCTCTATCAATATGAAGATCTGCGAAAGATTCCACCACCCCTTACATAAGGATTCCTGGATAAATGGTGAGATAATCATCGAACCATCACGGAATCGCCGCATGCCCGCAATCACATCTACGCACATCGCTGCCATGTCCGGTCTCGATCCTAAATCTCGATCTCCACTCCAATATCCATGGAAGCAAGGATATCGTCATCCATCTGCGGCTTGCGGAAAGTTGGCAACCCCTTGGGTCTCTCCTTCTCCCTCGGTTTGGGAACATTGGGCTCAGGAGTGCCCGCCTTGCTATCGTCTCCAAACAGCTCGGCGTTCCGAGCCTTCTGAGCAGCCTTCTCCTCTTCAGCCTGCTTCTTGGCCTCCTCTTCTTCTCTCCTCTTCCTAGCCTCGGCCTCACGTTGCTTTCGCAACTGCATATCGGCGCGACGCTCCTCGATCAAGGCCTTGCGGACACGCTCTGACTCGGCAAGCCTATTCTTGCGGTTCAGTTCGGCAAGGCGACGCGCCTCAATCTCAGTCTGGGTGGGGATCCTCGGTCCCTGGTCCTCCGACGATTTCGGCTTGAGCATATCGGCATACCTGTTCCTCTTCTTGAGTTTCCCCGTGATATCGGCATCGCTCCAGACGCGGTTCTCGAAATTCTTGATGTCGTCGAATTTTCTCTTCAGTGTACTCTGACTTGGAAATTTGCCGCCGATATCGGACAGAGACTGCCTGTAGGTGTCAAGATCCTCCTAGATGATATATTAGAAACGTCCGACAAATGAGTTCAGCAAAACCTACCTGTGTGAAGTGTCCATTCGACAGGTAATTGAAAGTGTATTCCTTCCTCACACTACCATGCTGTGCAACGATATACTGATCGGTGGCAACCCGTTTACCGTTCCTCCCTTCGAAGACGTAAGGCTTGCCCGTAGTGAACCCTGAGCGATGTTAGCGACCGTCGACTCAGCCTGGATGGGCTTGTAGATACCCTTTATTAGAGCCATCTTGTAGAGTGTCCTGCGCTGAGCGTCTTGACCAGTACCAATACGCGCGTACGCGCCCGTCATGACTTCTTCGAAACCCGGGTCGAAGCAGACCTCTGCAAATTGAGCTCTGCTCGCTCGGACAGCATCGAAATGTCTGACTTCAGCGGGCTCTTCATGTCGGGGAGCCTTCTCATACTCGGTGTATTCGACTTCACTTTCACCTTCAGCGTCGAGGTCAGAGCCGCCACGGCTACGGTCGGATGGAGATCTGCGTCGTCGACGGTCGTCGTTTCGTTGACGTGCCTGACCGCGTTGTTCTCGATCGCGCTTATATGCCTCAAGCTTCTCGTTCGTGCGGCCCTTCACCTTCTGACGGCTAGTCTTGCGTTCAGCATCATCAGGCTCGACGGAATCAGCCTTGCGCTTCCTATCGTTCGCCCCAGACGCCTCCTTCTCTTTTGCGCGTCGGATGAGTTCGGCATTCCATGCCGCCTGATTTGACCGTTCAGCGCGCTCTCCGAGAATCCGCTCGCGCTCGAGCTGAGGCAAGCTGTTGATGTACGCCTTATCCTTCAGGCTCTCATATTTGCCTTCCAGCGGGTATGGGACTTCTTCGGTTGGAACAGGGCCATCTTCTTCTTCGGCTTCAGAGTCGGACTCCTCCATGCCAGCAGAACCGAGGGACTCAGGGGAAGAGGCGGCAACGGAGGATCTGGGTGGCGTCAGTTTCACCCGCGACGGCTAGAGGTGCGACAAAGCCATGATCAAAGTCGAGATTGGACCTGGGAAGCCGATATAGATGAGCGCGAAGATGGGAGTACTTACGCCTCACCCTCTTCAACGTCGACGTCCTCCTCACCGCCAGCGAGGGCGAAGAGCTCATCATCGATATCAGACATGGTTCCAGTTGATGCCACCGAGATGGAGATCGATTTCGTGATGGATTGGGGATGGAACGCGTGGGAGAAGTGTTCGGATGTACGTAGGCAGTGGCTGGCACTTCCCCAGGTGAAGTGAGGAGGGTTGGGAGAAGAGGACAGAGGGGGGAGGCGGCGTTTTGAGGAGACGCGCCAAGCTGGGCACAGGGTCCGTGCTTTCACTTCACTTCCCGGGCGAGCCTATTCTCGGCGGCCCGAGCGCTATGAACTCATCATTCGATGCGGACTTGTCGCCGAACGTTGGGCATCCGTCTTGAACTTCCTACGGAGAATAAACAAACTGCCATGCCGTCCCTAATACAGTCGGCACGATGCATAGTCTCCAGAAGCCAACTGTGTCCTTCACAGCTTCCAATTCTCGATTTCCTCGCTCCCAGCGCACTTAGCATCCGTCAGCCATCCCGACTCCACTCCACAATTCCTCCCTCCGCAGAACCCAGCAATCCACCATCACGCCAAAATGCGGAGAAGAGTAATAAACCCCCACGGCGCCCTCTCACCGAAGCCCAAAAAGACTTCCTCGACAGCGCTCTCCGCGTCAACCAGGCAGGCGAACTGGCCGCAACCCTCATTTACACCGCACAAACACCCCCCATCGTCCGCGCACATCCACACCTCCGTCCGCTCATGAAACACATGTATGACCAGGAAGCTGGCCATTTCGATTACTTCAACAAACTCCTCGCCAAGCACCGCGTGCGGCCCACAGCCATGTATCCAATCTGGCAAGCTGCCGCCACGGCTCTAGGCTGGGGCACTGCCATCATGGGCCGCGAAGCAGCAATGGCGTGTACGGAGGCTGTGGAAACGGAGATTGGAGAGCATTACAATGAGCAACTTCGCGTGTTATTGGACTGGGCGGAAAAGCTGGAGAAGTCCGGGGAGGGCGTCAGTGAGGAGTTTGCGGTGCTGATTAAGGAGTTGAGGAGGATCAGGGACGAGGAGTTGGAGCATTTGGATCATGCGGTGGAGCATGACGCTAAGGAGGCGAAGCCGTATGAGTTGTTGACGAATGTTATAAGAGGAGGTTGTAGGACGGCCATCTGGATATCGGAGAGAGTGTGATGAGGTTGATGGAGGGTATCGGCGATGAAAGGTAACCAATATAAGCGCGATGAAAGGTAACCAATATGAGCCTGATCTCGGATGGAAGAGCAGCAGTAGAGTTGAGCATGGCAATCAGCGTTGTATTAGTATCTTGTAAACAGGATGTGGATGCATCGTGCTCCTGCACATCAGCATTTCAATATGAACGATAACAATCAATACAGTTTTCTCATTTCAGGCAAGCCACGTATGCCGAATTCTCAGGCACGCAGAAGGCCTAGAAGAAACGGATGAATAGTGTCTCTCCCAGAAAGACTCGCTAACGTGCATGAACCCAAACTCCTATACCACAAAGGTGAACCACAGCATCAAATCCCCCTTATTCAAACCCTCCATCCAAAGCCTTCAACACACTCCCCTCACCCCTCTTCCGCTGCACTTTCATCTTCAGCTCCTCCTTCCTCTTTCTCTCCACCTTCTCCAACGCCGCCCTCCTCTCCGCCTCCCTCGCTTGCGCATGGATATTGCTCCTCCCCGTCCCGCCTCTCCTAACACCGCTGCCTTCAAGAGGCGTACTACGGCCCGAAGAAGACGTACTCACCGACATCCCTGAGATATTGCTATTATTAGTAGCCCTACGCACGAGAGCCGGGACGCGGAACCCAGGCACAGCACCTGCGGACGGGGCAACGAATGCGAGACCCTCAGCGACCGTCTTTGTTGTCACAGACGCGGCGGCGCGGGACATATTCAAGCGATCAATAATCGGTTTTCTAGAAGCCGGTCTTGCGACCTCAACCTCGACTTCCGGCTCCGAGTCAGTGAGTTGGGAGTCCGGGACCACGATATGCGGATCTTCTAGCAGCTCGGCGACCGAGTGCTGGACACCTGCTAATGTCATGGGTTTCCTGGCGATGCCCTCTGTACGGGCTGTGCGGCGGAGGTGGGGAGGGGGTCGGTTTTCTTTGTCGTCTTGGGAGTTGGGGAGGGCTTTGCGTTTTAAGGGGTTCATAGGAGCCGGGGTTTCGGCGGTTTGGGAGTCGGGAATGGTGATGTCTGCGTCTTCTGCGTCTGCTTGGTCCTTATCGGACTGGGACTGTGCAGTCTCCGCATTGACATCCAACTCTGGCGCGTCTAAGAACTCATACTCCGGATCCTCAAAGTGATCGGCCATGGTGTGGAAGAAGGCCTGTTGCTTAGGGTTCTGTGCGATTTTGCCCACACGTTCATCGGCGAGAAGAGCACGCGTCATCTTTTGGAAATCCTGGCGTTTCTTTCTGCGACGTTGTTCGGCTTCGTCCTCGGAGTCGGACATGTCGAACCCGTCCCCGCTTCTGCGCTTGCGGAGACCGCCGTTCATGAGGTCCTTGTAGAGTTGATTGATGTTCTTTTCATCATCTGCTTTTGTTTTTTCACTGGAAGAATTAGTGTGATGCTTCTAGCTCATGGATTATTTATACTTACGCGAAATACGCAGCAAGTTTGCGCTCGTCAACCTTGACGTCGTTGGTGTCAATCATCTTCGCGAGCTCCTCGTCTTCCTCCCCACTGTCATCGTCACTGGCTCCTCCGAGACCGGCATATTCGTCTTCTGATTCCTCGGCTTGCTCTTCGACAGCGTCACGAGCCCAGCTGGTCTTCTTGTTGAACTTGTCTTCCCTCTTCTTCTGCTTCTTCGCTCCTTTGGCGGGGACCTTGAAGGCATTGGAAGCCTCCTCGGTTTCCGGCACTCCATTTTCAGCGCCAGAGTTTGCAGCGCCTTCCGGCTCCTCGACATCCGAAAGCTCGGTCATAGCAGCTGGCTTACGTTGGTGGAGCCTGCCCTTCTTCTTCAAATTCGGGGAGTCAGGCCCTCCCATCAGCACCGTTTCGACAGTAGAGTGTGGAGCCGCCAGACCTGCAGGCGAGCGAGACAATTCGAAGCCAGCATCCTGCGTCGGCTCAAATGTATCAGATTGTTGAGTCTGCATCAGCGCAGGAGTAGACTTCAAGACCTGACTGATGCCCAAGCTGAACTGTGACTCTAGTTGCTGCGTTTCAGCTCCTTGGCTATTTGGCACGAGCATGTCAGAGATGCTGCCAGCTACATCTCCAGGTTGGGTGTCGGGCAGACTGCGGAGAAAGTCGAGGGAATCCTGTTCGGGTTCTTTGTCGAGTGGATGGGCATGCTGGGCTCCGGTTTCCAGAGCCGCCATTGTCCCAGCAAACATTTGAGTAAGGCCAGGGCCATCACCTGCGTTTGCGAAGCCAAATGCGGCCATTATGTCATCGGTCTGAGTCTGAGTAGGCAAGGCCGGTACTGGGGTGGCGGATGGCTTGCTTTGGGCCTCATCGTCACTCTGTTCATCGTCATCCACAATGACGTTGCGGGACCTTCCTGCTGCGCGATACCCTGCGCGAGCCTGCGGCACTTCGTCCACATCTTCATCGTCATCGGCTTGTATCACATGTGAACCTTCAATATTAGCTTCCCCTGCTTCCTCTTCCACCGCCTCGTCTGCGGCATCGTCCAGCAACTCATTTGTCTCCTGTTGCATCTCATCCTGAACATCGTCCTCATCGACCTCCTCACTCTCCTCTTCCTCTTCGGAGCCAGATAGCTCAAGATCGGCAGCCTCCTCCTGCCCTTCCGGCAACCCAACCTGCTCCTCTTCACTTCCAACATAGTCCTCGTCTCCGGACTCATCGCTAGAGAGTAAGTCGTCCGCCTTCTCACCATTCTTCTTGGCTTCTTCTCGCTCCCGCTTGGCAAGCTTCAACTCCCTCTCCCTCGCCTTTTCCAATTGCGCAGCGAGATCTTCGATTTCCAACTGCTGTCTCTCACGCTCTTCTTCGGTTTCAATACGAATGCCTCGGCGTCTCAGATCTTCAATCTTCTCCTGGCGCTCTCTTTGAGCCTGCTCACGAGCCTTCCGAGCCAGTCTGGACTGCAACTCCGACATGCTCATCGACTTCTGGCCCTTGGGCACTTTCTTTCCGGGAGAGGTGAGATGTGCGAGGTGACGAAGATGCAGCATTGATGTGGGTTCACGCTGTTTCTTCTGCGGTAACTTGTCGAAGACAGGAAACCGGCTGGGAGGTTGGATTACCAAATCGTCGTCCGAATCAGATAGTTGAACGAGCGCTGCCCGCAATGGACTCTTGCTCCGACGTTGAGCATTTTGTTGCAGCTGCTGTGATTGCAACACCAGCGGGTTTACCGGAACGTGGGCAAACTCTGGAGCACGTCCCTTGCCTTTATCGAGCTGGCCTGGGGGACTTGCTGCGGGCGAACCTGGTTCTGACGGAAGTTTGGGTTGTTGATTTGCTGATGCAGAGCGCTCCATATGGTCAGCTTTCATTGTTCCATTCTGCCCCCTTTCTGGGCTTGTTGCCGGTGTATCGTGCGCGGGATCTGCTTCCGCGTCTGAGGAGGCCATTACTGAGCTCGCGGCAGGAGTAGGCATGGCCGAGGCTGGCACCAATTCCGACTCAACCTGAGCAAGACCAAACTTTGGAAGGAGATCTTTGAGCGCATATTTCTTCTTTGTTTTAGCCTGATGGGTGAGCTGCATGTTCCGTTTGATACGTTGCTGCTCGCGAGCAATGTCTTCCATGGCCTTTTTGCCTGCTTTGCGCGTTGGCCGAGCTTGCTGTGTGAGACGCCTGCCATTCTCGCCATCAGAGTCGCTTTCGGAACCGGCAGATGAATTCTCCTTTGCGTTGTTCCATCGTGCAGCCTTCCTACGCTCCTTAGCTTGTGCAGCTACTCTTTCAGCACGAATACGGCGGACCCGCTCCTCCAAATCTTTGGTAACGGTAGGCTCTGCGTCGCTGTCTGTTTCTGCAGCTGGCGAAAGTGGGGTCTTGGATCGGCGCGTTGATGGTGACGGCTGTGGTGTGACGAAGAGCCCTGGTGATGATGATCGAAAACGCGTGCTGCGAGGTGATTCCGGAGGGGAGCTAGTGGGGGCCTTTCGCGATATCCGTCTTCGGCGGTTTGCTTGTGCTGGCATGTCCTCCTCTTCTTCAGAATTCTCAGGTTGGGGGGAGAAGTTCGTTGCATCTGAATGCTCTACGCGAGACTCTGTATTGCTCGTATTGGCCATGAGCATCTTCTTGACCCTTTCATAAGCATTCCCATCATCTTCGCTTTCTGAGTCCTCATGGACGGCGGTAGGTCGCAGCCCTGCTAAGAGCTTTCGGCGAGGGACTTGGACTGGCGCGTCGTCTACTTCGGATTCGGAGGCACTCTCTACGAGCCTGGACAGGGCATTGATGGGGGGTGTAGAGCCCGTCATGTTGTTCAACTTGAGCGTGTTTATGCCTTCCTGGCCGCGGATGTCTGCGATTTCCGTGCTCTCCTCGAACACCGATGAATTGGTTAAAATCTCGATTGAAATAAGAATACGACAAGCATTGGATGTTTCAATGGTTCATGGTAACTTGCGATGTTGAGTAAGTGGGCAAAATGCGGGCGTGGATGTGCTGTGTGCGTGAGGAATCCCCACTGATGTCGACGCGCTCTGTCGCGTTGCTTCGCGTCCAGGCCGGGGTCAACCTTGGCAATATTTTACACTAGGCCTTATTCAGAAAGCATTTACCGAAATCTATGAATGCAATGATACGGTCGTCCAATGCTTAGTCATCGGTCGTCCGCAAACACGTTCTCTCCTCCAGGCTCCGGTTGAGAGCTCGTTCCGAACCCGACCGAGCTGGCGTCCATCGGCCTTCTGGTGTTTGTCGTTGGGAATCCTAGTCTCGTCAAACAGATTTCACCACACCTCCCGAGTCAGCTCTCGTTTCTCATGTTCATGCAAAGCTGCAGTGTCGCCGACTTGCGCACATGCAGCTCCCCCGTGTTCCTGCACCATGGAAATGAGACCTCCAGCTTGAGAAGGATTCCGCCTAGCCATCAGCATTTTCTGTTTTGCCGAAGAATCGAGAGCTGACTGACTTGTTCCCAACCGAAAATAGCACAATCTAGGGAAACATTCGAAGCTTTTCAGCCCTCAACGGGATTTCCGCTTTCCTCGGGGTCCTCCAGCCCTATGTCCTCAGAAGACAACTGGAGCCGAGCAATTCGCGAGATGCAACCAGATCTGGCCGGCATCCATCATGGTTCTGTGAAGAGTTCAATTGCAGTCCAGCAGGAGTCATCCAGTCCCGTTTCTGCCTGGTCCGGTCCACAACAGGCCGTTTCATTTCACTCACTTCCCAGAAGGCGTCGGATGGGATTCTCGTTTCTTCGTCCTGTTTGTCGTTGCGAACACACAGTCATAACCCAAAATAGCATCAGCTTCCGTAAACGGGCTGTTGAAACAGAGATGGGTGTGGGCGTGGAATTGAAGGGAGCGAAGCCAAGCGATCGATCCTGGACAAATGACAGATTTGGAAGGCTTCGAAGCCGAGCGGCGGACGGCAGATCAACAGAGCAGAGCGATCAATCGACGCCATGCAGAACCCCTTCCTTATTTCACGCTTCCAGCCGATGACGGTGAGGGTTGAGCTCACGCGACGACATCGAGGATATCGTAATACGTGACGGTTCACCCATCACCCCTCTGTCCGTGTCGGCCTCCTCCAGAACCGTCTTTTGCAACAGAACAGCCGCGACTGATGGCGATTTCCTTGTTCGTCTCTGCGCCTCCCACGGATACGGGAGCCACGATAGGATGTCGGTTGGAATTTCCGCGCAACACACCTACCGGTCTGTCTGGTTCACTGTCACACGGTGGCGAGGACGAGAGATGTCCAAGGGGACAGAGTCCTGAGACATGTCTCGAACCAATTGGCGGGAATGTTGAGGCGTTATAGAATGAAGGGTCAGTTAAGGTGAAGCATGGCCAGCATCATGATGGATCACAAAGGAAGCGAGCCTGCGAGGCCACCCTATCCAGGATGTCCCTCCGAGGGCTGACCCAGAATGCGCACTCCACTGCGGGATCCGGTTCTTTGAGCGAAGATGGGGAGAGGCTGGATGATGATGAGATGGCAGCGCGAAGCATTGCGGATGTTGTGGTGGGCGAGTAGAGGTGCACCCGACTGGGGCTAGACCCGTTTCACACATCACCCCTGAGCAAAGCACCCGGGCCGGCGCAACCTTTGGGGGAGCCACACATGGAAAAGCGGCGCCATCGCCGCCCATGGCGACGATCCGCTCAGGAACAGCTTCCTCTCGCGATCCAAGCCTGGCGCCGTGCCGCAATCCCACCTTGCCTCTCCTGACCAAAAGCCGTTGTTGCGCAAACTTGGAAGGGTTGTGGAGGTGGAGGTGGAAACGCCCGGCGCCCGCCCTGGCGCCCATTTCCCTTGCAAAAGCCGTCACGGCAGAGTCAGGAACTCGTCAGGTCGCGTCTCTCTGCAGACGCTGCGTCGCGTAAATTGAGGCCATTTGGAGCTAAATATACGGCGCCTGCCCCCTGTCGGACGTCTCCGGTGGCCGCTCACGCAGGGATGACAAGTGCATGCCAAGTTGGGTTCCCCGTGGTCTTTGGTTTCAACCTCGTTCGGATGAAACGACTTATCCTCAAAACAAGCCCATCCGCAACCCCCGGGAGATTGGACCCTCAATGTCTTCCTAACTGCCTCGCATCCCAGCTGCCAGCCCATCATCTGTCCACCCCCGACCGTGTTTCCTTCTGGAACTCCTCAAAATCGTGGCCACTGCCGCCCTGTCCTCCCTGCGTCGCTTTGCTTGCTATCCGCCCGCCCTTCCATACCCGCCGTGACCTCGTCCACCACCTCGACCCTCCAGGCCCGGCCCACTCACACACCCCATCTGCGGAATGATATCGTCGTCCTCTATACAGCACCCCAGATAATATGGAACCCGAGGAGCCTCAAGTGCTCCAATATACGCCCCAGCATAGCAACAGCTTCAAGCGTCCGCGCCGCAGTCTTCAGAGCAGCACCCCCCTTAGCAGCGTGTGCGAGAGCGCGTCGCCCTCACCCCGTCTGTCCGGCCAACCTGCCTTCCTGACTCCCGAGGTCATTGAACATATCAACGCCCTCAAGCACCTGAAGGATGACCAGATCTTCCTATTGCTGCAGGCGGCTCGCAATGGAGGTCAGTCTCGTCGCCATTCCGCCCGAGCCAATCTGACCATGTCGCCAGATCACACGCGTCTTTCCGGTCCGGATCGCTCGTCCATGTCAACGGTTGGTAGCCGGGCGTCCTCGTACCTGAGTGTCCCCTCGAGCAGAGTTACGAGCATGCTCTCCGATCCCCGATCATCAATCGCCTCCACAGACTCGTCCTTCACCAACTATAGCGCAACCTCCACCTCGCGACTCTCGACAACATCTTGCCGACCACTCTCGACTGCCTCGACGGCATCGGCACCTAAGAACTTCGTTTGCACCTTCTGTGAAAAAGCGCTAAAGTCGAAGCCCTACTGGAAATCGCACGAGGAGGAGTTTCACGAGCAAAGGCTCACGTGGCGTTGTCCTGACTGCGAACAACTGTTCCATGCGGGCAAGCGCTTCCGCGAACATCACACTAAGCTTCACGTACGCTTGCCTTACTGCGAACGAATTCGATCCAACTAACTGGTGTCCAGGGATGCGAGGACTGTAAACAACCTAGAGAGAGCGGGCAACCCACCAGTAGAAAAGCCTCACCATGTGTCAAGAAATACGAGCTTGTCATGCACGATAAGGATGCCTGGGGATGCGGTTTCTGCGCAAGCTTGCTGACCACATGGGAAGAACGCTGCGAGCATATCGCTCTCCATTTCGAGGAAAAACGGAACAAGTGGAACTTCACCAACGTCATCCTCGGTCTGCTCAAGCAAGCGGATGTCGCGCCGGCGTGGCAAGCTTTGCTTACTCAGCGGCATGGGGAGGAGCAGAATTGGCCTCAGTTGACGTGGGAGTCCAAGAAATGCAATCGGCTACGGTACAAGCTCGAAACAAAGTGGGACAACAGGGCCTTCGACATTGACGCTCTTGTCCGCGAGACGTACGAGCTGGCCGATATTGATGCAGCCGCTTCGAATGATGCACCCGAGGTCAAGGAGCCTGCGACGAATGAAATATCTGCGGACTGCAAGCTGGAGTCATTTGAAATCCCCACAGAGCACACGCTTCCGAGCTCGCAAGAGATTCCTGCGGACACCAGCATGATGGAACTGGATTCGGTTGACGTCCACGATGTTTCGCAGCCAGAACTGCAGCAGAGTCAGTGGCCTGTCGCGACAGACATGTCGCAGGCAGCAATGAGCAGCGAGGTCAACATGGGTGCATTTGGGGGATATCCGTCGCATATGAGCTCCATGTCGACGGATTTCACGCAGCATGTGTCCCACAGCTACCATCAGCCTGCGTGGCCGGATGCAGGCTTCGCCTCTACGCCAGATCTGGTCAATTTCCAGCAGCAGGGAAATTACATGACATACACGCCTACAAAGGGAGTTATCCAGGTGCCCACCTCCCAGTTTTCGAGTTTCGCGCGGCCCGCTTCCCAGCACAGCTCGCAACAGGCGCACACCGGCTTTTCGCGTCCGTCTTCGCAGCATACGTCCCAGCATCCCATGGCAGCGTTCTCCCAATATCAGCCTAGACAGAGCGTTCCTCCGAATTTCCTGCACCATTCCAGCAGCACGGGTTCGCGAAAGTACATTCCAAGACTGATCAACATCACAAGCTCGGCGCAGCGAGCCGTACACGGAGACCAGCCTCCCCCTCCCCCTCCTAAGGACGACCACCGGTTCTCGAGGATCATGATGCGACGACGACCGAGCAACATTTCCCAGCATACCGTTGTCGCCCAACAAGGCTGGAATGACGAGATGAATTGGGGATAGATTACCACTGTGGCTTCAACACAACAGAAGAGCCGGCTGGTCCGGCACCACACCCATTTCCTATTTCAAGAAGAGCTTGTCATGACGGAGTATCCCCTTTGTCCCCTTTTTTCTATATCACTGCCTTTCACGGGCTGCAGCCACGTATACCCCATAATGTGTTTCCGTTTGAACGTGTTCGCCATGCCCCCCCTATATACTCCCCTTAGTGTTTGGACCTAATACTGCTCGTCCTCGCTTGACGCATGTTTTGAGGAGCTGTAATGAGGATAGAGAATTGATTCAATGCTTAACACTTGACCTCTTGAACCAATGAAGGGTAGGGAAGGCCCCTCAATCTGACTAATCATCTCAAGCCTCCGCGGAGGCCTGATGTGGATGGCATGCAAAGATGGCCCTCCGACAACCCCTAGCGCTTTTTCTACCGCTATGACCCTACCTAGGCATTTCACCTCGGTCTGAATAATGGTAGTCAAGCCATTTCTTCTCCGATATCTCCTACCACAGTTAATAATAAATGCAGGAGAGAATCTACGTCTGACCATGACGATTGCTTCCTCCAGGGCTCCGGCAATTGGTCCGGCTTAACTGCAAGAGGCAAGGCTTGTTTGAAACTCCGCACTGGCAGTCAGCAACTGCAGGGCGATCCCACCAAACAATCCTGAAGCTTGACGCCGCCATCCAACAAGCTGTTGCTGGGGAGGATCAGACAACGCATCGTGTTCCTGCAAAGAGGGAGTCCTCCAATTTCGCGGTGTGGGGACACGGTACCATTGTTTCACTGACTGCAACATGGAGTATTCCAACGGCGCAGTCATCCTCACCGCGTTCCTCCTTCCCATCATCACCTATCTGCTGTACACGCGTACGCGGGACGTACGCCCAAGGGCAGCTAGTAAGCTGCAGCTACCTCCTCCCACCGAGGTCACAAATCTTATGGTGTATCCCATCAAATCGTGTCATGGCATCTCTGTCCCGTCAGCAAAGCTTCTACCAACCGGGTTGGATCTGGGTCCGGTCTTCGAAACATTCCAAAAGTTGGTGCAAACAAGCTGACAAGCTGGTAGACCGTCAATGGATGTGGGTAACATATCCGGATTACAGATTCCTCACCATCCGCAACTTGGCCAAGATGACTTTGATCCGCCCTGTCTATGACGCCGAGACGGATACCCTCAAGGTCACAGCCCCAGCACCTAATAGCGACGATGAGAAGCTTCAGTTTGAGATTCCCGCGCACCCTACTCGGGAATGGCTATCCAAGAATACGGAAGTCGTGAATGCCACCGTGTGGAGTAGCACAACGCCCGCCTACTGCTTCTCTCCTGACTTGACAGGATCCTTCAACGCCTTCTTCGGGAAAGAGGTAAGGCTGGTGTATAAACCGCCCTTCTCCGACTCTCCGCGGGCACTGGGGTCGAATGGCGCCAAGGCAGTACTAGGAAGAGAGGCATCGACTTGTTTCCCAGATATGATGCCCATCCTCGTCGCCAGCGAGAAGTCGATGGAAGAGCTGAATTCTTGCCTTCAAGCTGCTGAGGGCCTCTCCATTCCTATTACCCGGTTCCGGCCAAACATCATTGTTCGAGGAACAAAAGCTTGGGATGAAGACACCTGGAAGACGCTGCGTATCAAGCCGCAATCATCGGATTCTGGAGACTTGGTGCTGGATGTTACGCAGCGGTGTGCACGATGCCAGGTTCCCAATGTGGATTCTGAGACGGCGGAGAAGCATAAGACGCAGCCTTGGGATACGCTGATGAAGTATAGGAGAGTGGACGAGGGGATCAAGTATAAGCCTTGCTTTGGGATGTTGTGTGTGCCTAGGGGAACGGGAGGGAAGATGGAGGTGGGGATGAGGCTGGAGGTGATGGAGGTGACGGATAAGCATCGATATATCCCTGGGTTTTGAGAGCGCAAGAAAAGTAGAAGCAGAGAGGAGGACGTAACTACCAACCTATACACATTCAGTATACGGAGTCTCGTTCGCTCTATCGAATAGATAACGCTGAAGGGAGATACTGCTGCTTAGTCATCATGACTGATCAAACTGACGTGCACGTTGCTTCCTGTGCATCTCAATGATCTCCCAACGCGCAAGGGAAAACTGCGCCCAAAGGTCAGCGCATATATGCCCAAATACCACTCTTTCTGGCCGCCGCTCTGTCCAGCCAAACAGTTGATTTTTTTGAAGCCGAAAACGTATCATCTCCACGTACCCGCAGCGGATGAATTTGAACGGCTAAACAGGCCACAGCACACGTCTCCCAGCTTCCCACTCCCGAGGCCTCCAACTGCCCCTCACCCTTCCCGGTACGCTCAACACTTTTCTTCAAGCATCGCCCGCTCTTCTGGCGGCTCTTCACGTGGCAATCTCTTGGCTTTTCCCAGACCCAGAGAGAGTTCCGTCGGTTTCTGGCCCTAGGATCGCCGTTCCGATGGTTAATATGGGTAAAGTGAGGGGCCGAAGGAGAGACGACGTGATGGCGCGGGGCAGCTTCATAAGGTCATGGAAGGCCATCAGTTACCTCTACTAGACGTAACACTGCCTGTCCTCTAATCCCCTTTTCTCCTCTCCGACTGTCTGCAGGGTTATACATACCTCAAGCCTTGATACTGGACTAACCACCCTTTTCGTCTGCTCTCTCCGCCCACCATGGCCGACAAGCAACCCCTCGTAACCCACATCTACACCGCGGACCCCTCCGCCCACGCCTTCAACGGCAAACTCTACGTCTACCCCTCGCACGACCGCGAAACCGACATCCAAGACAACGACAATGGCGACCAGTACGACATGAACGACTACCACGTCCTCTCCATGGAGGAGATCGGCGGACCCGTCACCGACCACGGCATCGCCCTCGCCCAAGCCGACATCCCCTGGGTGAGCAAACAGCTCTGGGCGCCCGACGCGGCCTTCAAGAACGGGAAATACTACCTCTACTTCCCCGCCAGGGACAAGGACGGCATCTTCCGGATCGGCGTGGCCGAATCGGACAAGCCCGAGGGGCCCTTCAAGCCGGAACCAGACTACATCCAGGGCACCTTCAGCATCGACCCGGCGACCTTCGTCGACGACGACGGCCAAGCCTACCTCTACTTCGGCGGTCTCTGGGGCGGCCAGCTCCAGTGCTGGACCTCCAACACCTTCGACGCCTCGCAGCAGGGACCCAACGAGCCGTCGACGGGCCACGCGCTGAGCGCCAAGGTCGCCAAACTCAACGACGACATGAAGACGCTGCACGAGTCCGGCGTGCAGGACGTCGTCATCCTCGCCCCGGAGACGGGCAAACCCATCCCCGCCGAGGACCACGACCGCCGCTTCTTCGAGGCCGCCTGGCTGCACAAGTACAATGGGAAATACTACTTTTCCTACTCGACGGGCGACACGCATTACCTCGCGTACGCCATCTCGGACTCCCCGCTCGGGCCTTTTACGTATGCGGGACGGATACTGGAGCCCGTGTTGGGCTGGACGACGCATCACTCGATTGCCGAGTTCAAGGGCAAGTGGTATCTTTTCTACCATGATACGAGCCTGAGCGGGAGGAACCATTTGCGGTGCGTCAAGGTCAGGGAGATTGTGTACGATGCCGAGGGCAAGATTCACTTGAAGGAGGCGCAGCCCAAGGTCGAGGAGGTGCCGCCGGCGAAGTTGGAGGCGTAGGCGAAGCTGGAGTCGTAGGCGTAGTTGGAGGGGATTGCGGCGGTGGAGGAAAATGTACCTAGGTATGGATTTAGGGGGACAATGTGTTGGAATAGCTTCATGGATGAATGAATGAATCAATGACATCCCTTTGCAATGAACGCAATGAAATGTTCAAGCTTAGCTCTTCTCTCTTTACGCTACTTTAAACCAGGAATGGAAATGCCATCGGATCTTCAGCCCGTCTACTTACTGTGTGGGTGCTGCTGCTGGGGGTGTGTGGGATGGGTGCCCACGTGCGGAGTCCATCATCTCACGTGCCCCCGACCCCTTTTTTGTACAGTCAGCAGACGCCTGTACCTCCAATGACTATGTATTGTTAAGACCGCCGAACCCTGCTCCACACCTTTCTGAACAAAGTAACTCTCACCTCGCTACTCTATCTCGTAGACCACGCCGAATTTCATCGATACAGATATAAGTAGCTACAACCACCCAGCAAGCTCGAATTGAATCATCAGGATGCGTTCCACAATATCCTAGGTTCAGTAACCACGCGCACGTACGTAGAAAGCAAGTAGCTATAGAAGCAAACCTGAGACGCGCATCCATCATGTATCCATCCCGGCACACTGCCATTCAAACTTCAATGTCGAAAAACAACAAGGCTATCCATCCAAAGCCAACCAACCCATCATCCCCGTCCATCCCCTTTCACAAAACCCCTACCACTAGTATATACCTGGCCCTCTGGCCCACTTATCTACATCCCCTTTACCTTCCCTAGCTTTGCCTTCCTTTGTCCTCCTTCCCCTGGCATTCCTTCCCCCGACAGCTTGACACCCATCCGCCAAACGCATTTGCTTCACGACCTACACCCAGCTTCAAGGGGCTTTCCCATGAAAAGTTACAAATGGAAGACCGTGTAGTCGACTCTGACAATGCGCTTGGACGTGCGAATCCCTCAATCTCACGGGGTTTCCAGGAACTGGCCCGAAGCCCGGTGGAGGCCGAATCAGACAAGGATGCAAATGCGCCAACAAGAGTCATAGGTTGACCAAATCCCAATCGTTGTTCTTTCAGAATCAATGCGAGGGCGGGCAGATAGCGAGTGGGAAGCGGTTGCCCGGGAATGATATCAGATGGAACCAGGCCGAGACCTGGTAGAGGCTTGCGTTGAAGAGATCTGGATGTGGGGGCGTCTCGGAAGCCTGGCAGAATCTCTGAAAAGGTCGATGGCGGGGTTTGCGAAGACCCAGCTAGTTGAATGTCTCGGGATGGGGAAAATGACCAATTCCGGTCGATGGCCGTCTGCCCGTGAACCTGCGCTGGACCTTGGCCATGTGGCCCAAGAGGCGAGGGTTGCGGAGACGTGACAGTGGGAGAAGCACCAGCACTCCGGACCTTAAGAACAGGTAGAGAACCGTCCGCACCTTCCTTGGTGTGCGGATTCGGAGAAGCAGGCGAAAACGGAAGTTGGCGAGGATACATCAAGTGCGGGCAATTCCGAATCATGTTGTGAAGGCGAGCCCTGTGGAGCGTTGCAGACTTTGCCCGCGATTCATCTTGTTGTGAAGACGGAGTTGTTGGCGATCCCACGTCGCTGGCCTCCAAGTCCGCATCCTTGAGCTTGCCATCCTCACTCTCCTTGCTGTTCCCACTCTCAACCTCTTGCACGGAAGATGGACCGCGCTGGGATTCCTCAAGTGCTCCTTCGTGATTTGGCGGCAGACTGAGATATTGTGACAATCTCCCAAGTGATGGTGATGATGAAACACTGAGTTCCTGCGACTGAAGCTCGTCGTCCTCGTCCCCAAGGCGGGCCCAGGATGACACAGAGCTCTGGAGAGCCTCTACAGATCCCTCGTCTTTTGGCAGGGAACCCGACCTATGTGAAGATCTCCGTGATGGCGACGAAGCAGTGCGTTTATCTGGCTGACCTTTCTTGCTCTCATTCTCACGTTTGTCCAAGGGCAGCAGAGCTCGCTGGGCCGCTTCATCTTTCTTCGAAAGACGCGAACACTGAGAAGATTCCTGTCTTGCCGAAGAAACAGTAAGCAGGCCTCGCTGAGGCTGTCTGAGGGTCGGCGGAATCACGTGGAAAGCGCGTGTGATTACACCTCCGAGGATCATCCGCCGTAAATTTTCGCCTACACGAAGCAGAGGATTCGGGTCCGGTAATAGATGCCCGTGCGATTCGTCCTTGCTTTCCGTTCTAAATTGAGGTTTGCCTGTTGGAGCAGGCTTCACTGTTGCGTTGGGTCCCCACAGCCACAGCCAGAGTACGTGTTCGGCAGGGGAAATGCGCAATACCCTGGGAAATCGTCCGTTGCCGTTTACATCGAACTTGTAAGGGTAGTCCCGGAAGAGCGAGCTCACATAGAGGGTGCGATTCTGGTATGTGATCCTGAGTACTTTGGCGCCTCGCTTCACTTCTTTAACAAAGCGGGATAATACATCGTTGGCATATCCGACTCGCGGGGGAAGGATGAAGAGTTCAGGGGGAGCGCCTGCCTCGGATACTTGGGAGACATTAAAGTATGGCCATGTTTCAGGTAGGTCTTTCCTGTATGACGAGGGCGAAGTCTCGAGTCTCTGCTACAGATCTCTCGATTGCCATCGAAAGGGCACAGTGGCTTTCCTACGGGAGATTATTCCCGGTGAGGTGTCCATTCATACCGGAATTGGCACGGTGCGCGGTAGATGGTAGCTCGGGTAATGAACGTAGTGGCAGGACAGTGGCTATAGTTGATGTCAGCGATCGTTCAAAAGACGAAGGGGTAAGCCAATTTCCTAAGGCTGAAGCGACATAGCACAGAAACAACCTTCAGCGCCGACACCTGTCAAAACCAGATATTCGATCTGTAGATGACACAAGATAGAAATTCGACGTAAGGATAGTGATGGAAAAAGATTTGCATGTGAATGAGAGACGATGACGCAAGAATCTGCGTGGACATGACATCGATGGGTTCGCCGAACATGTGGAAGATGACTCCCGTCCTGTCGCTTCCTTCTCGAATAGCTGGGGTAACATTGTCGCTTCCTGTACTCTCCTGGGTTGCTTCTGCACCAAATAAATCTCTACTGCGCACAATCCTCGTGAGAACTCACAAATCGCAGACCTCAAAGACTTCATGATTAAGAGAGGAATGAGAATGGAGGGAGGAGATGAGACTCAACCCCACACTAATCCCCTTCAAGCAAGCGCGACCATCCATTTGGGCAGCCCCGGGGCCATGTGTGTGCATGCCAAGAACAACCCTGCAGGTACGCCTTGCAGGTACAAATCAGCGAATCGGAGAATTTCCAGGCGTGTTTCAGAAACCTCAACCTCACTTCATCGGGCCATACCGACATCATGTGGCAAAACGCAAGGACAACATGTGAAAGATGTCGCAATCTGTATTTAGTGTTATTACGAATACAGAGAGGGTTGAGATTGCCTTTGTATCTATATGGTGCCGATAAAGATACAGATAATAATACTGTGGGAAGAAAATCGAAGCCACAATCGACATTACCAACCCCCACATGCCGGACCCATCCAAATGGGCATTGGCTGAACATGTAAGACCGTGACCGCACTGCCGGGGAAGGAAGAAAAAAGGAAATATCCCTATCCGCATATCCAGCCTTGTTGGATTGACAGATGTATACATTGCCATGTCCATCATCAAAAGACCATTAACGCGAGAAACGATGGATGCGGAAGAGAAAAGTTGCAATTTGGTTCATTGGAAAAGAGAAACACCGGAGAAGTTGCATAGAAACCGTTTAAGCAAAGACTCCCAGCAATTATGCAAGCTCGATACTGCGTGGCAGCAGTATAGCTCATATGAAACGGGGTATATCCATCGTTGACCATCGTGAAATTCGTGGCTCATATATCCAATCGTACCGCTTTGTGCATGATTTCGATACCGTGACTGAACGCCGGCTGCCGGAAAGTAGTCGCTCTGGTTTCCCGGCAACCGTCGCTCCAGAGAGACTTGATTGTATGAGTCGTGCGATGGGGAGGCCTACTTTCGACCGGGCTTCTTGACAGCGCCTTTTGGAGAAACACGAGCGCCAGCCGGGGATGCTTTGCTCACAGCTTGCGGAGACTTGGTAGTCTTCGTCTCGGGTGCCTCCATGAGGAACTCAATCGCAGGGATTTCCTTGGTGTCGCCATCCTGCAGCATCTTGTTGATATCCACCATCGTCTGGGTGACGTCGGCCATGGTCTTGTTGGGCCCCAGATGGTGCTGGAGCTCACGAAGCACGTCAATGGGAGCCTGGAACGACTTGACGTCTGCCACGGGAGCAACTTTGGCGCCTGCCTCTTGGGGGCTCAGGCCGGCGTCCATGGCGCGAGCGAAAGTGTTGAGTCGATCCATCTCCGACTTCTTGAGGGCGACGGTGTACGTCATTCCAGGGTACTTGGTGTTGATGATGCCAAACTGGCGAATGATCAGAGCGACCTTGCGTCGCTGCCACTGCTCCGAATTGTACGTGGCGCGCTGGTAGTGCTTCCGACAGAACAGGGGCCAGTCGTCGATGAGGCGGGTGCAGGCCTTGTTGCGGCCGAAATGGTTCGAGATCACTTTGCGGGCCAGGCTGAGGGTATACTGGCCGGTGCGGCACTGCGAGTACTCGTCGTACATGCACTCAAACTCTCGCTCGATGGAGCTCCACGCACCGGTGCTGTCCTGCGCATCGCTCGGTTCGACCATGTCTTCGTCGGTGCAGGCGAGGTCTTGGGCAGCCGCAGAGCCAGCTTCATGGGCATCGCAAGTGGCCGTCTTCTGCGAGGGGCTACTCGCGGGTTCTTGGGAGGCGGGGCCCTCGACGGGGTCGGACAAGAGATTCTCGATGCTCATGGCAGACCTGATGGATTTTGGGGTATTGACAACAGGTGCAGCGATGGCAGCTTCGGTGGTGGCGAAGGACCTGATGGAGAAGCCAGTCATGGATTGCTCCAGTGGGTTGGAGTTGGGATGGTGGATGGCTGCAAGATGAGCGAGTCTGGGTTGCGGGGAAGGTGTTGTGAAGGTTGAGAAGAGCTGTCGGGGGAGAGAGGGATCTCGAGGGAGGTTGGGCGAGGGGAGGTATTAAGTAGAAGTAGAAGCAGAAGCAGCCTGGTGATGTGACTGTGAAGTCGTGGGTGTGGGGATGGTGAGCTCGTGGACAATCACCGGCCGGGGCGCCGTCTCCTCCGCCCTCCCTCCTGCCCTCCCTCACCGCCAACGGACCTGGTTCCCCCGTTGGCCGCACAATGGAAGCCCAGACCCACCCCGCTATTCACAGGCACAGGCACAGGCACCCCATTCTGCTTCGGATCCCGCCTGTCTCTATTGTTCAGTCCCATGTTCCAACGAGCACCGAAGTTGGGGCGTCACGCTACCTGGGCAAGCGCCAAGTCCACTACTACCACTACGGGCTCCACGGTCGTCCCTCCCCGATATGATATGATGTGATATGGTCCATCTCCCTGTTGACCTCTTGTATTCGAGCAACTCCAAAGCAATGGCAAGGAGCGTATGCGTACCCCAACACCCAATGGACCATTGCGTCGTGTCACGGCGAGCCGACGCAGTCATCGAGGTCGGGCTGCACAGTGGCAGTGCGGCGCCGACATCACAGGGTCAGATCAAACGGGCGGTGAGGACTTGGTGACAGCGACCAAGCAGTACCCAAACGCATTCCAAGTGATTGCGGGATCCAGCTGCTTGCGGACGTGAAGGCTGACTCCGTGGTCAGAGACAGGAGGTGACGAGCCGGTGAGTGCAGCGATCCATGCCCTGGCACCTGGAAACGAGAGGTAGGACGCCGGGAACATCCCATGGTACGAGGCCGACCTCGGGTTCCAATCGCATGTTAACAAGCCAGAGCTTCCTGCATCATGAACCCAGGCTTGCCGAGAAAGAGACGTTATTCGAACTCCTCAAGTCTCAACATGTCAGTGGCTATTCGCAGATCGGCAGCAGCACTTTCGGGGTCGAACTCAACTGGATATCTCTGAGAGCCCCATGGTCCTTCGTTTCACCTGCCCTGCCGAAAAGGAAAGATAAAGATGCAGAGAATCGACCTGGTTGTGGAGTTGTGCGAGCCGTCAGACGGACCAACCGTCAGAAAGAGGGGAGAACAGAAGACTGAAATCCAAGAGCGTACAAGGTTGAGTATATGAGAGAAGAAGCCATAGCTGCCAGATGGCTGACTCCAAAAGGACAGGCTTCTACATTGGCCGCGCGATATACCCCTCCTCAACGTTGTATCCGCTCCGCGAAAGGTCGCTCCAACGAGCGGCAAGGACGAAACGATTCCAGGGACCATATAGACGGACGAGATACTGTATCAGGAAACAGCAAGACAAGAGATATGAACGGCAGAAAAGAAGCGGAACAAAACATGCAGAAAGGGGCAGGGCGTGCCACGGCTAACACTTGCACTTACACAGAGGTGGTCATGGAATGAGAACAGGAAATTGGAGGCATGCTACCTACTCAGCTGGAGCGAAGCCCTCCAGGATCCCCGTTCTCCTACACATGGAAGGCAACGGCTTCAACGATTCTCCCCATTCCATCCTCTGACAGCAATCAGCCGGGTGAAGTTATACTGGGGTTAGCAGAACCAAGTCTGCTCATGACCGTTCGGTCACGGAGGGAAGTGATACACCTCACCCCATCGTTTATATTTATCCCCGAAGCTGCTTAAAGGTTATAACCTTGCGGACAACAATCATTCAACGGCTACGTTCTTATGGGGATAATGCGACTTCCTGTATTCACCCACCATGCTCCGCAAGGTATCTCCGGCCCTCCCGCCACATCTACAACGTGAACACCCATTGCTGGCATGAAATCCGCGATTGGAGCTGGGCAAGTCTTACTTGCCAACCCTTACGACAGTCGACTTCGACGATCAAACTCCCTGGGAAAACGTTAGCCGGTCATTTTCCCGACCATCACCGGTTGGGGATCCGGCCGATATCAACACACGCACATTTGAAGCATACAAATAATCTCACGAGGTGAGCCTCAGCAATTGCCTTGCTCGACCAGATGGGTGACGTTGAGTTGACAATATTTGTCTTCGTGGGATATGGAAGGTTCATAATATTAATCAGCAAATGTTTGATGTCGCCCGCACTAATCCAGAAAGGGTGCGATCTTGCGGCTGAGCTTGTGACAGTCAGCTGCCAGCCCTGGAGCAAGCGACCGCAACCGCAACCCCGTCTGCGGGTATAGTTACACTCTGCATGGATCCCACCTGGCCAACGACACTGAACCTCGTCCTAGCATCCATATCCCCACTTACCCATCCATTTCACATCGGTCGCTGGAGTATTGCTTTGGAAGGCTGCCGGTGCACTCCCGCGAGGGCTGCAGCCTCATAACCCAGCCAGGTCCACGAGGATGCCAAAGTCAAATATTGCCTGTTCATCAACTACCGCCTGTGGCTTCCTGTGAGGATATGGCAGGAAATATCAACCGCTTGATCGCTGTGCCGGACCTCTCATTGCGACATAGAACCCATCTGCCTTGTCCAACCGTCTCCGTCAATCCAACCACTGTCCACCCTGCTCCTCCTGTGCAGAGTATTTCCACCTCGCTTCCGACAGACGCAAATGCTGTCGGTAGTGCGGATAAGGGTTCCATCAAATGTGACTATGACGTCTACGCTGCGACATTTATCCCACGAGCTCTGCGAGAAGTCGCCCAAGCCGAACCACGGCAAATCAAACACACTGAGCACGAGCACCGCATAGAGATTGCTGCATATATTCTTTCTTTTGCCGGAACCGATTTCTTACCCAGGCAAGAATTCGACTCACTCGCAACATTGCAGCACTTGGACGTTGCCGTACCCGCAGGATTGGCGCCTACTACATACAGGGACTATTTCTTAACTTTGTGGAGAATCGAATTGGCTGCCAAAGACACACATGTGTTATACGATAAGGAGATATGCTTTTCCGACTATCCAGGTCTCTACATTCTCGGAATTCCTGGCATACGCGAGGATAACCCTTTAGTGGAAAGAGGCGATACCCTTCATTTACGGCAGCTCTACGCGGATGATCGCGATGGCCCCTCTAACTTCACACCTGTCACGCCAATCTGGTCAGGTGTGCAGTACAATGCCTCTGTATTTGCGGTGGATAGGGCTCAAGAGCGTGTATGGCTGAAAATCACTGGACTCGTCCCGCGGCGCATGAGATTCAACGTCAAGTTTCCCTTGAAACAACCGCTTCTACAGGCGCAGTGGGATGCCCTTTCGTGTATCCACCTACAGCTACAAAAGATCCACGAAGAGCAATACCAATACCGGGAAACCCATAGTCCGGGTTCTCAAGCCCCTAGCGGAGGTCAGAGCAGCAACCGGGAAGCACGACCTCGGAATGACTGGATACGGCGTATGACATTCCCAGACGAAAGTGACGGTGCCATCCAACGGAGACTCAGACAGCTAGCACACTCACGAGGCCTCTTTGACGCGCAGTGCAACTACGAGCAGTTACAGGCGGTCAACAGTGCATGTGAGGCGGACTTCGGAGTCTTACCGTTCCTGATATCGGGTCCGCCAGGAACGGGAAAGACGAAAACTCTGGTGGAGATTGCGCTTCAGCTTTTGAACACGACTGATGTCGCCCATATTCTTATCTGCGCACCTTCTGATCAGGCTGCGGATACATTAGCTTTGCGATTGCGACAGCACCTGTCTCCAGAGAAGCTGCTCAGGCTGAACGGTCCCCAAAGGGCGGATAATGAGGTTCCAGGGGAATTACTTGGATACTGCTATCGGGATCGTGACATGTTCTACCTTCCACCCATCTCCCGATTGATGAAGTACAATATCGTCGTCACCTCCACACGCGACGCTGCCATTCTGGCAAACGCCAGGGTAACGAACGCCGACTTATACCTGATTGAGAAGAACATGCATTCAGCATTTCATCCCGAGGACGAAAATACTGGACCTACGCGCCTCCGCTGGGGAGCACTTTTGTTAGACGAAGCCGCGCAGGCTACTGAATTAGACGTGATGCCCGCCCTGACGGTTGTAATGCCACCAAGCCAATATCCAGCCAACCTCCAGCAGCCTCGCCTCATAATGGCCGGAGACCAGGAGCAACTCGGACCACGTACCGCATCGAACGACCCCCGCTGCTCACGTTCTCTCTTTGCCCGCCTATTCGAACGCCCACTATACAAGACCCACCCTTTATCCAGAAACAGAGTCCGCGCTTCAGTCGAGCCTCCGGTCCTCAATTCGTCCATGCTTCCCATGCTCTATCCTCCCTTTGCCAATCTCATGCGAAACTATCGTTCTCACCCTGCCATCCTCACTGTCCCCTCCTGCCTCTTCTACAACGACACCCTCATCCCGGAAGCCCCAATCGAAACCAACACTCCCCTCCAAGCCTCCTCCATCTGGCAAGGCAAGAAATATCCTGTCCTCTACGTCCCTATCACCTCGCTGGACGACATCGAATACGAAGGCGGCGGCTGGTATAACAATTTCGAATGCCAAACTGCCTGCGCGATCGCTGCCCGCCTTGTCACTGAGGCGCAAGTCCCCCAGCGCGAAGTAGCCATCATCTCGCCCTTCGCAGCGCAGGTCAAACGGCTGCGCAACCTCATGCGGAGTCCGACGTACAGTCTTTGGGACGTGAATATTGGACCGTTGGAAGCCTTTCAAGGACTTGAGAGCCGCGTCGTGATCCTGTGCACTACGCGCACGAGGGAGCGCTTCCTGGCCGAAGACATTCAGCGAGGGGTGGGAATCATTGGACTCAGGAGGAAGATGAATGTTGCCTTGACGAGAGCAAAGGCCGGGTTAGTTGTTTTGGGTAATCCGAATGTTTTGGCGCTGGATGAGCACTGGAAAGCGTTTTTGGCTTTTTGCCATAGGAATGGTTTGGTTCAAGGGGAACCGTTTGGAGAGGAGATGGTGAGGGGCTTCGAGTCGTGTAAAGTGGGTGTGTTGGAGAAGGCATTGGATATGAAGGAGAAACATAGAGTAGGGAGGGGGTTGGGAAGTGCCGCTACGGCGAGGATGTATATTGGGGAGGAGGAGGATCAGATGTGGGCGCAAGCGCTGGGGTCGGAGTTTGAACAGCTAGGTTTGGATGGGAAGGACGGAGAGGAGGATGAATACGGAGAGGTAGAGCATGGGGAGGGTGAGGAGAACCTCGAGGACGCGTACGACGCGGACAACGAAGACCTTGGAGAGGGACAAGGAACGGATATACCGCCTAACGCATCGTAATTCTTACGACGGATACAGGTGGGCCTCAGCGTGGCCAGCCTCTTTTGAACCCATACGCTTCTTGGACTTTCCGTCCTTCGACGTTTTTGCGGACCGTGGCGTTCGCATTACGTACCGCCACTTACTTTCAGTTGTTGAATTCCGCTCATGGGGGTTTCTCTTTTCGTTTCGTTGGTTAGAGTATTCTGGCCTATTACTTTTTTCACACATCGCCCTTCCCCTTGGATACTCGGATCGGACAAAACGGGGCGCAACGACATGGCTTGCATTTAGGATGTGTTGTTGGATCTAAGGATATGGCCATTTAGGGCAATGACGGGACCTATATTGTAGTTAGTAATTAATATTTTTGGCATGCACCTGGGGCGAGCACGGCGACATTACACATTTGAATACAAACTTGACAGGACGCCGATTGATCCCTACCTCGCTGACGCTTCTCAAGCCCATGCCATCTTGCTCACAGCCCCCTTTCTGCCATGTGCTGAAGCAACGCAACCTCTTAACCATGGATTGCTGAGCACCACGTACCGTGATTGATTTCCCAGCCCGAACCACTTCGCCTGCACTGCCCCTTATAACAGGTGGCAGTCAGGAACATATTCTCTTAACCAGTCACGAAAGGTACAAATGCCCCAGTATAAGACGCAGGAATCGTGGTCTACGGTGCTCCCATGTCCAAGAAACATGCAGTCTAAAAGAAAGACCTAGTGCTAGGTGCCGAAAGCCCCATGTATACGTTTGAAAGAGTTCGTGTGATTCATGGAAGACTCCCGTTTCGTCCATCACTGGCATACGGTTATTCCGACATGCCTCACCGGGCCTACACGCTACAAGGTGAATCCCCATTCGCACTCCCACCTTCCCGGACCCTCCACCACAATCTCCCCCTTCCCCTCGTCGAAGACGCCCACCCTGCCCTCCCCCAACCCATTCTGTCCCAACAGCACGACCCTCTCCAACCTCAACCCCTCTCCTCCATCCCCTCTATACCCAAGCACGCCCCTAACCACGAGCCGTCCCTCCTCAAACACAAACTCCACCTCCGTCACACCCCCCTGCACCAGGCTCTCCCCATCATCCACATACAGCCTCCCCCTCGCAGTCCCATTCCTATCCGGCGCAACCAGGAGCTCGAAACCCTCTCGCCTAACAGCCTTTGTAGTCATACCCGACCCCACACGAAGAGGCACGATACTCCCACCCCTCACATGAACGGGGATATCATCCAGCCCGACCCCGACCCTCGTTTCCCACCGCCCGACGCTCTCGATCCTGTCGTGCGTCCAGAAATCATACCACACGCCGTCTGGAAGATAGAAAGTGACGGCGTCGGAGCCCTCCGTGACGGGAGAAACCAGCAAAGCGTCGCCCCAGAACCACTGCTCCTGGATAGCAAACGTCTGCGCGTCGTGCGGATACAGGAAGAAGAGCGGATTCACCATCGGCGTGCCTTCTTTATGCTGATACCACATGGCCGTGTACGCGTAATCGAGTAACCTATACCTCACATCCAGCGCCCGCCTCGCCGCTCGCACCGTCTCGGGCCACTGGTAGAATTCCTGCGCGATGGCGTTATCGGCGGCGTGGTTGCGATAAAACGGCTGGAAGGCACCCAGCATGGCCCACCGCGCACACAGTGCGGGCTGCGCATTGCCGTTGAAACCGCAGATGTCGGAGCCGACCATGGGCATCTGGTGCATGGAGACGAAGGCCAGCATTTGGCGGACCGAGGTGCGGTAGTGGGCCCACGAGGACTCGTTGTCGCCGAACCAGTGGGCGGCTTTTGTTCCCGTACCGGCGAAGGTGGAGCGGGTCAGGACGAAGGGGCGGAGGTGGGGACGGCGGGCAAGCATGGAGGCGTAGGTTGTCGAGGCCATGAGGGCGCCGTGCAGATTGTGGGTGTCGTATTGCTGGGTGCCGTCGCAGTTTGTCAAGGTCGTGGGGAGGGTACGGTCGGAGAGGTTGGAGACGTCGTGCATTTTGATCTTGTACGCGGGAGAGAGGACGTCTCGGCCTATAGTACCTTTCATGGTGTTGAAGGCAGCGCGGCGAGGACATTGTGCTGAGAGATCATTGCCTTTCTTGTCACTGCCAATCAATTGTCTGGCTCCGAGTTTTCCCTTTGTAGATTCCGGCTGAAATGACGGTGGGAACCCTTCTATTGGCCTCCCCGTGTTAGGGCGCGGAGCATTCATCGGCTCAGGAGGGATATTCCAGTTCTTCGCAAGCTCAGCAGGATTACATTTGATGTCCGGGCAGAAATTGGACGCCTCGTTCATGTCGACCCATACGCCGTCAACGTCAATTCCTGTTGTTGGGTTGAAGAAAATGTCGAACTCGTTCGTCCACCACTGCTCCGTTCTCGGGTTTGACCAGTCTGGCCAGGCTTCTACTCCTGCCCACTGCACGCCTAAGTAAGGCTCTGGTTTGGAGGGGTCGGCGCGGAAGAAAACGTCCAGGTCGCGGCCGCGTTGATATGTTGGATACTCTCCTGCGGACAGAGTGGCAGCGATGGCTGGATCGAGAATGAGGATGTACTTTTGATCGCGCGAGTGCAGGGTAGCTACTAATTCGCGCATCTTGTCCTTGGGGAAGCGGTCTGGATCCAGAGTGAAATCCCGTCGGTAGTGCATGTAGTCGATATCGGTCCACATGACTTCGAGCGGGATCTCGGCTTTGGAGTAGTTCGCCACAACTTCGGCAACCATGTTGACGTCCCAGTATCCGTATTTGCATTGGTGGAATCCGAGAGTCCAGTAGGGGAACATGGCCGGGTAGCCGACGATGTCGGCATACTGGCGAGACACATCGGCGGGTTGCGGGCCGGCCATGAAGTAAAAGTCTAGCACCCCGCCTATGGTATTGTATTCCAGATACTGACCTTTGGAGTCTTGGTCGATGTTGATATTCATGCCGTTGGCGTTGAGGAGAAAGACTCCATGCGTTCCCTTGGCTCCGCGATGGTCAAAGTACACTGGATGGGTACCGTAGATATTGCTATTTTCAGGAATGCCTGGCGACTCGCTGTTCCAGAGACTACGCGTGTACCCGTTTGTGGCAAGGCGGAAAGAGTCGGAGTGCTCGCCCAGGCCGTAGAGGTTGGGGTCTTGAGGGAGCTTCGTGCGCAGCCTAATGTATTGCGATTCGTAGATGAGTTGGAAGTCTCGAGTATCGAAGAGTACCTCGTTGTTCGATTTGCGCGTGACTGTGAGGGAGAACGGGTTTGCTGTGAAGTTGAACTGCAAGGCCGCCTCGGTTGAGGATACTTTGTTGTGCTTGGGCCGTGGTAGAACCTCCTCTTGCACCTGATACATATTGAGACCGGCATCGTATATCTTGACATGAAGACGATCGCCTAAACCCATCAGTAAGCTTCTGTACCTCAACTCGAGGACTGCCGCAGCCACGGGTTGCTGCTGTTAGAAGGGAACGGGAAGAGCTTCTCACCCGTCTGATACTCGACCAGGAGCTTCAGCTCCTCCAAATCCTCCGCGTGAGCGTTACACTTGGGGCCATTGATCTTCAGATCAGCAGTAACGGAGTGGTCATTGCTGGCTATATTGGTTGCTGCATAACCAGGGCAGTTGCTGAGATCCACGCGGTTGGAGGCACCATCGGCTTGTGGAAAGGGTATTGCAGTGACCAGGCCAGAGCCCAGAAAGAGGAGTGGTATGAGCATGATGAGATCTAGGAAAAGAGAAGGGAAGGGTCGAACTTGAGGAAGTAGACTTGAGGGAATGAGAGTATATCAGTGAAATATAAAAGGAAGAACTCGAAGGAAAGTGTTCGGTGCCAGTCTTGGCATACTTGAGGCGGTCAGGTAGAATAGCTGTGTGACGACTACGGGATCATAAGTGGCCCTTGAGGCCTATGGTCAGTTCCAGTTGGGCACGGTCAGTGGAAGAATAAGGACCTGACTGCCTCTCTGTGGGCGGTGGCCGACGGTTCGAATGACATGCTACCTAGCTTGGTCGAACTACATGGGTATCAACCGGTAGCAAAGGGTTACTAGTCAATGTGCCCTGGTATCTGGGACTGTACGTGAGGACGGATTTGGCGCTCTCGTCGGCATCTCGCGATTAGGACATGAAGCTCTTCTTCCCACCTCAACGTATTGACAGAAGACAATCCTCAGTAACTGGATAGGTAGAACTATCATCCATCTCACGAAAGCCATGATCGTAAGAGTACCTTTCAGCCTAGAGCGTTTGAAGCGTAAGCCATACGTTATACCCCACTGGGTACACCCAGAGCACTCCGCCAAGGCAGAAGCTTGTACAGCTCTCATGATGAGACAAGCCACGCGACCGTGACATCCGCACGATGCGCTCCGGCATCTGTTTGAGAAGTGAATTGAGATATCTGGGCAGACTAGTGATGAGGTTGTACGAGTGATGTCTGCTGCGATCAGTCGCTAATGTCGGCTGCCCTGCGCCACAGCCGGCGCTAACCGTATGTGACATTCACACCTCTCGTATCTCTAGGCCCTTGATATATACTGCCGGTCTCAAGCAAAGGGTGGCATTTGTCTGGAAAATCCGTCATTGCAAAATACTGTATTGAAAGAAACCGCAGTTTTCGGCCCTTCAGTTCAGAGGTCCCTGACTAGATAAAGCGCCACCCTTCTTTTAAATAAGTGCGCACAGCCACAACCCGCCACTGCAGGTACCGAACGGTCCTGACGTCGTGCCCCTCCAAAAGTTCCCAATTCCGCAAACACTCACATTCTCCCACATCGTTCGTTTGTAACCCACATTCCGCTCCTCCTCGCCGTATTTCTACTTCTCATATACTTCACACTCTTTACATACAGGCCAATGCGCTCAAACGCACCCTCATCCAACACCGCCGCTTCGGCCGACCAGACATCATCCTGGCCATCCACACTCACAGACGGCCTCCCGCTCCCCAAGATGATCGTTTTCGATTTGGACTACACATTATGGCCGTTCTGGGTGGATACGCACGTCACGCCGCCCATCAAGGCGGTAGAAGGCGGCGCGAGCGTCAAGGATAGATACGGGGAGAGCTATGGCTTTTATCCTGACATTGGCGGAATTTTGGTGGCGGTATGTAGATGGCCAATCTTGTATATATATGTAGGCCAGAATGTACTGAGAGAAGTGTAGCTCAAGCAGAAAAATATACTCGTCGGTGCCGCATCACGGACACACGCACCGGTACTTCATTACCTCCTTCCCTCTCTCCGTTGCGCAACACACTTGCTAACCCTTATCTTTTTGCAGGATCTCGGACGCGAGATGCTCAAGCTTTTGACAGTACCGAATTCTTCCTCGTCGTCGCCGTCTTCCACGAAACGTGCAATCGATTACTTTGACTATCTCCAAATATACCCCGGCAGCAAGACCACGCACTTTGAGCGCATACAAAGAGAGAGCGGGATAGCGTATGAGGACATGTTGTTCTTTGACGATGAGAGCCGGAATAAGAACGTCGAGGCGCTCGGGGTGGTGATGCAGCTTGTCAGGGACGGCGTGTCGGTCGAGGAGTTGGATAATGGAATCAGGAGTTGGAGGAAGAGGAATAAGAGGATACGGAATTGAAGTGGGTAGGGGATGTTGAGGAGAAGGTTTCTGCCTCTGGGAATGATAGGTTGAAGAATATACGACGGATATGACGGACCGGTTTTTCGGGGTTTGGAGGCTTAACGAACGGATTGCATGGAATCATGGCCGTGACCGGTTACCAGTATCTAGCGAACGTGAAGACAACACTTCATAACGGATCACGTACGGAACGTGGCAGGGAGCCAAAGAAACGAATTTTATCAATACTAATCTCTCTAGCCACGCACCTGTGCTCCTCTTTCGCATGCCTCCACTTCTATCCTCTGTCCAACACTGCCGCTGCCGCTGCCCGAGTCGACATTGCCACTAAAACCACTGTTCACCAGCCAGACAATCCCTCAACATATCACCTGCATAATCCCGTTCCACGCAGAACACCACGACTGTGCGGTTCATTTCCCCTGGTTCAGTATGTGATAACCATCGAGTGCAATTACCACACGTAACGGCGCATTACGCTGAGGAATCGGTGCGTGTTGTCCCCGTTCCTGCAGCCAGGAGGTGTAACGGCGCATATGTGTGTGCCACGTACCCAGTTCGTACTAGATCTCAAGGGAAGTTCCGTTGGCATAGATGCGAACTCGCTAATCCGTCTTTCGTTGCGATTGAGTGACGGTAGCAAGTGCTCAGGCGGTCCTGAGTGCTGAAGCGATGATACGGGGCCGAACCACGGGGCTCTGACCCTCTCGCCCCAGCTCTCGAATGGCATTCAGCCGCCTCTTCGATGCCAATGGCACCGCATGCCTTCCCTCTCTTCTCGGCCTCGATTCCAGCTAACCTTTTTTGCGATACTCCGAAGTCTCTTATAACGCAAAACAGGGTCTCTCAGTCAACCAGTACGCTCTTCGCAATCCCGTTCGTCACATGTAGCAGCATCCCATCATCCCGCTTCTCCTCGCCCTCATACACGACCTCAACAGCATGCTTCGGCCTATTCTTGTTCAACTGCTCCACCAGCTGGCACGCCTGACAAATCTCCTGGCTCGTCATGGCACCACAGCCAGGCCGTTTGCAGAATCCCACGACCTGTTTGCCCGTCCTGCGTGATGGCAGCAGTTGTCCTTTTGACGCTTTCTTGTGGTTGTTGTTGGTGTTGTTATTCGTCTTCTTATCGGATTTCGGTAGCGGTACTGCGCCGTTCATACCCGGGGATGCGCAACTACTAGAAGTGATCTCCACCTCCAGCTCCTTCTCCACAGCCTCCCGATCCAGCGTCAATTGCTCCTCCATCTTTTCCATGTAACCCCCCGTAGCTCCCGGTTTCGAGCTCCCACATCCCCCTTCCTCCTCCTCAGCCACCGCCACGCTCCCCTGGCAAACACCTCCACACCCTTCCTCATTCCCCGGTACCAACTTGGCCATATCCTCTCCGCTGCGCACGATATCCAAGATGGCGCTGGGCCGTGTTCTTTCGAGGCTCTTGATCAGGCTGCGTGCGGTGCCGCGGAAGGCTTCGGGAGAGTAGATGCATTCGGTGCTGAAGTAGTCGAGTTTCTTGTGGTGGGCGTAGAGGACGATTTCCTTCTCGTAGGCGTACTTGAGGGGTTTGCTGCGCTTGATGTGTGGGCGGGAATTGGGATCCGTGGACGCAACCGCAGAGGGGGTCGATGTGACTATCGACGTCGTCCTCGCCAGTCGAGGCAAATCGCCGCGGAGCACTGTGCCCATCCAGAGTATTAGCACACAAAATCTACCCTTCCAAAGCTGAAGATCAAGATGATCAAACATACAATTCATCAACACCGTCTCCGCAATATCATCCGCATTATGCCCCGTAACCACATGCCGGACGCCCAACCTCGCCGCCCCGCGATCCAGCGCCTGCCGCCGAAAAACCCCACAATACGTACAATTCCCCTTCTTGCCCACCTGCTCGACGACCTGATCCATGGTCCACCCGTACAACTCGTCGTACCCCAGAATCGTCAGCGGCATGCCGTACTGCACGGCATTCCGCTTGACCGTCTCGAGCGAGTCGTCGCGGTAACCCCGGATCCCCTCGTCGATGGAGAGCAGCACGAGGTCGAGGCCGTAGTCGTGTCGCTCGTTGAGCGTCTTGAGCACCGAGGCGAGCACCGTGCTGTCCTTGCCGCCCGAGGCGCCGATGGCGATGCGCTCGCCCCGCTGGAACAGCGACGAGGCGGTTATGGTGTGGTGGATTTCCGTCTCGAAGGCCGTCGTGAAGCACGAGACGCAGAGCTTGGAGCCGTCTTTTGGCCGCCGGATCTTGGCGGACTGCGTCTTGCAGTGGTGGCAGGGAGAGGGCGGCATCTTGATTTCGAGGGTGTAAAGTATATGGGCGCGCTTTGGGCGCCGCGCTGCGATGAGGTTGAATGATGGTGTTGCGGGGCAATTATTTTGAGGCATCGGAAGTTTTTGTGGCGGTGCCAGTCGAGTCAGTTGTGGCGTCAGATCTGGTTATGCGGAGTCATGCTCCTCCCCATAGATGAGTGAATTTGACATCGGACCTTCTAGGCTGTTCCAAAAAGTCTGCCCCTTAAGCTATGCCTCGTTGAGAATCCATACTCTTAAAAACTAAGTTTTCATCTCCGTGAATGCTATCCTCCAGCCAGGGGCATGGAACGCTAGCTCTGCGCGGTAGTCTGTTGAGCAACAAACTAGGTAGAGCTCTGTCAATGTAGGTTTCCACATCTTCCCCCGCTCATCCACCTCATAACGGAATAACGTAGAGGAGACTGATTTCCAGTCGAGCGTTACGGTTTCGCGCTGAACATGCGTCTTATACAGAGTAGCAAAACTTAGGGCCCCTCAATCACCCAACCAGACTGCGCAGTTGACATCCTTATTATCTTCTAGTCCCAGTAACGCACCAAGTCAATGATTTCGTTCAGCCCCGCCGGAACAACATGCACGCTGCAAGACCTTTTCAACTTCAATTTTTTGATAGATTCCTAGAGGCCAATAGTCACGCCTAAGAATCAAACACAAAAATCCAGAAACGGGAAGATAAAAGTATTGGGTATTTTCAAAAACCAATATGCACAAACTCCACTGCAGATTCCTCCATCTTTAGTTCCCTCCCTTTCCCACGTTCACATCCAACTCTGATATCCCCGTTTCTACATGTACAAGTACTCGCAACTGCTCTTCCTGGTCCTCCTCTGTACCTTTGCCCCCCACTGAACGCGTCGTCTGAGCATTCCTATTGATGCCCTCCCTCCAAACGCTGCAATCATGCCCACAACGCCTCGCCAAATGCATAAACCCTAGAGTAAAACCTCCAGGGATACGCATAGGATGCTTTATGCAAAATACATCGACGAAGAAGCCATGCCATTGGTGTACATAGACACCAAGAACGGACTAAGTGGTATGAGCCAGAACTCCATAACGCCTCTCATGCTGTAAGACGCAGCAATGTCGAAAACTTCCGAAACGAAAGCAAAAAGCGAATTTCTCAAAGATGCGGAAAGCCGGAGACGGATTTGCCCATGGAAGATCGCTCACGTATTGCTGATGATGACTCGGGCGCCCTCCTTTCCCAGCACACCCCTCTCTTTGGCCTTGGGACTCCTGTCCCGACCCTTCTTGCGGGATAAGAAACCGAGCATGCCCGTTGGCTTTTCGGCATTCGGATTCTGTATGAGCGAAGAGCTCTGATTAGCCATATCGGACCACGAGCCGGTCTCGTTGAGTACTACCTGTACGCCGCCGCCCATGCTGGTACTGCGCTGCGGACCCCGCTGGCGGCTGTTCATCGGGCGGGAAAACGAGGGCGTCGAAGTTTCCGAGGCATCGACGGGGTAATGCTCAGAACGGTCTCCGCGTTGGGAGGAAGGCGAAGCCCTCGAACCGTGGTGTGGGAGAGTGGTGGTAGCTAGGGGAGGGCTTCCGCTGGGCGAGTGTGTCGTGGAGCGAGCAGTCGTGGTAGACCGAGTTGGGCGGAGCTGATCGTCCTGTGAAGTTTTGGATTGAGCCCCGTCCCTGGGCGAACTTGAAGTGGTGGGTGTATTTGCGCTGTTGTTACTGATGTGCGACATGGTCGATTCGTCCGTGACGGCTACCGCAGCAGGTCGCTGCTCCGCAACGGTGGTGTAATTGAAAGGCTCGAATAGCGTCTCAATCATCTTATGGAGTTCCTCTGCGCGTATTTCCTGCTCTGTAGCATCTTCCTTCAGCGCCTCCCGCGGTTTCTGTCTCCGTGCACGAGCTTCCAAAGGCGCCTCCTCAAGAAGCAACTCCTCCAAATCGTACGTTGCGTCAAAATTTGTCTTATCGCTTGACGGACGGAAAATAGGCTCAATCTCCTTTCTCTCCAGCGCTTCAAAATCCAACGGCCGGAAGAAAGGATTATCAGTAAAGGTTTCAAATCCAATCGCACCAATCCGCTTCTTGCGGTCCTTTTCCAAGAGCGAGCTGATTGCGTGTAGGCAAGGCATGGTGACTGGGGGGCTTGTGACCGGATAGGTGGGCTCACCCTTCAGGATCTTTTGTGCGAGCGAATCGTGACTGTTGGCCTCAAAGGGGCGCTGCTTGAGCGTCAGTGAACACCCTCGAAAAGCGAAATGCTTGACGAACCCTGTTGTATATACACTCATAGAAGAGCACACCTAGTGACCACCAATCTACCTCGCAAGAGTAACCCTTGCCTTCGTAGACCTCGGGTGCAAGATAGGCCAGCGTGCCAGACTTACTGGTCAGGGGCTTGTGAGGGGTAAAGTCGGAGGCAACGTTCTGCAGGCATGAGCATGAGGTCATGGTCTGAGGAGGACAGGGTGTGAACGTACAAAGTCTGCCAGATGGACGTGTCCGTCGGAGTCCAGAAGTACATTGTCCGGCTTGATGTCACGATGCACGATGCCCTGTTGATGTATGTACCGCACTGCACACCCAAGCTCGGCTATCCAGAAGCGAACCGCTTCTTCTGTGAACGTCTTTCGCGAGATGTGAAAGCGTAGATCGCCGCCATTCATGAGGTCGACGACGATATATCTGTAGAGTCCGGGTCAGATGGTCCTCTCGAGCGCCATATCAGGGGCTACCATACAAGTACTCAATGTCCTGGAAGCTGTACCGCAGATTGCACAGGAAGGGGTGATTGAGGTGTTCGAGCATACGGCGTTCACGGATGATGTTGCGCACGCTCTCGGACCGTACAACTGTGACACGGCGTCAGCTTCAGGGCCCCTAGTCGGCATCGGGCAAGTGGCTGCTCGCTCACAACCGGGGCGTACACACCTTCATCTTTTCTTATGTACTTGAGAGCAAAGGTGAGGCCGGTGTCCTTTCGCTCGACTATGCGCACCTTGCCAAAGGCGCCCTTGCCTACGACTCGTAGTAACCGGAAGTGATTGAGGTTCACTAGTAATGACGTCAAGTCAGTAAATGTATGCAGACCAAGTACCATCCCACGGTTGTAGAGAGTGTGTGAAGGCGGATTTGGAGGGAACTAGCGAAAGTTGACGGCGGAGGGTTGCGAACCTTGGTCGGTGAAGACGACGGGCTTCCCGTTGTTCTGACCCATTGCGAGTCACAATGACTGAAAGCCTCCTTGGAAACAGCGACGCCGGCTACGAATGCATGAGAGGGCGAGCGGTCGAACTGGAAGGAGAGGGCTGGTGAGGAGCGTTGCCTGGGTGTGGTGGTGATGCGGGGGACAAGAGAAGCGACGGGGGGTTGCGGAGGGCAGGCTCGGCGCGGCTGTGAGGATGTCCTTTCAGGATGGGACGACGACGAGGCGCAGCGGGCAGGAGTTGATATGGCGAGAGATGGAAATAATGGCAGAGGGATAGAAAGGAGAAGAAGTTGATGAAGCCCTGGAATAGGAGCGCTGAGGCCCCAGGGTAGGCTAGGGACCAGGGGGGAATTCTGCGGCGGCGTGAATGGCGGTCCTTGGGTTGCTCTGAGGATGGACATGGGAGCGGATGGACCGCCTAGCACGCGTTGCTCTAGTCAGGGCGGGGCTTGGCCGACCATGCCTATCAAAGCGGAGCTAGCCCTTGAGGCACTCGGACACGTTCCGCTTAAAACACAGTCCAACAAGCAGCAGCCTGCCAGAAAGAGGGTTGAAAGGCGCTCGGATTTCCTTTTCTCCTTTTTGCCTTTCTTCTGGGCGCTGGCAAGTTGTGGACTGCTGCAACATGTCTGCGCAGGCTCGCGGCCGTTATGCCTGCTGCCATGGCCCAGTTTGGGCTGACTCGCCGGTCCTCGCAGCCCCTGTTCATCTCACACAACCCGGGCTGACTGTGCACTATCTGCCAATCTGTAAAGTTCACTGGAGGGGATAGACTAGGTAGCCCTGCACCCGCCTCAAGCCTGGGACTTGCTGAACAGAAGAGGGGGGGAAAAGGAGCACGTGGAACGTCGCCGACCAAATTAAATCCGGGCAAGATTCCAGGAACGTGTTCTCCAGTTTGCCACCCAGCACGGGGAAGCGCCCTGCTGGCAGAAAAGACCAGAAAACTTTGGAAGAGATTTCGAACTTCTTTGATGCTTCCTGATGGGTGCCCGCCACGCTTTCACCGCATCCCTCCGGTCGGGAACTGGCGCCAAAGGTGAAACCAAGTGCCCGACCGGGGCTACCCTTCGGACTGCAGCTGTTGGCAGGGCTCGACGGATAACCACATGGGCTTGTGCCAATTTATTTCAGGCGAGTCCACACGACGGCCACGAGAGCGCCTCCACGTGGGACTGTGACACGTGAGCCTCAGTCATCCTGTGGGAGATGCTGATTTGTTTGTTTTGCCTCTCAGCACCCCCAAGCTCTTGATCAGCCTCCAAGCATCGTTGGCGGAGCTTGTTTTTGTTCGGTGCCACTGTCCTTCTGAAGCGGCCTTGGAGCTGCCGTCGCGTCTTTTACCACTTCTGGGGAAGGACGCATCATCCAAGTCCTTTTGCTGGATGGCTCTCTCCGTAACAGGACACCAACCGCCATGCTGGTAGACTAAATGTCCGGCTTCGTCCTGCAAGGGAGAAGAAATGCCCACTGTCTCGGAACAGGCGCCGCTGGACTCTGTCTGGGATGCCGAAACTATGCGTAACGTACTCTACGCATGGTACAATCTAGATGCATAGTGTCTCTTAGCGTGGGAGCCGCTCTGACGTACGTCTGTCTATCCGATCTGTTGCTTTTGAAAAAGTTATATCACAACAGCAGTCATGGACAGCACATCACTGCTTTCCCAGCATGAAAGTCGAACTCCAACAGTTCCCCACTTCCTCGTGTCTGCACGCCACATAGCTTCCTTCCACTTGGCTGCAGCCACACGCGGAATTCGTGCCTCAGAGGGCAGCAATAATGCTGCAGTACAATCGACGTACGGAGTACAGTAGCTTCACAACACCTCCTGCACTCACCCACGGAACCGTCAAGAAGGAACTTTGGGACTCCCACGGTAATAAAGCTCCGTACTCATGAACTAAAATCTCCGTTCATTTTAACAACAGCCTCGTCTTTCCCAGCCGCAACACGAGGATGTAACAATCTCGGGACTCTCGAGCCAGCTTGTGGTATCATCGCTGACCTGCAGTTCCATTCCTCGTCATTATTTTGCGCCTCCTATCGGCACAGCAACAACGACTACTCTGCAAACACTGAGCAGCAAGCCATGGGCCGCGCCAATCTCCACATCCTCGTTTCTGGGGCCAAAGGAAGCTCTCCGCTGTGTGTGGAAATGGGCGTCGTCCTTCGTTAGAAGTCGATAGGCGTCCTGTGCACAAAAATGGTATGTACCTAGGGGATTCAACAAGAGCGACGATCTCTCCCTAGTCGCATAAGAGAATCCCAGCAGTACGGATTCAAAACAGGACTTCGCGTATGGAATCGTCAAGAGCATGCGGGCTTCCCTTTATTTGGAGTAGCATTTGCCCTATACAGCCACGTGCGCTGTAACCATCCGAAGCGAGCCCAGGGGTGTCTGAAACCGTGTATTAGTATTCCGTACGACCATACCACATGGCCCATGGCTATCTCTCACCGTTCACGATCCTTCGTCTCGCACCCGACTTCACTGGGGTGACGCCACAGCCATTAGTCTATTGCGGCAGCATCAATCCGCACACTCCACTGGCGATCAGTCAAACTCTCACGATCCTATCCCCTTCAAAACCAGCTTTGCACACCTGGATTTCACTTCGGCTACACCGCGTCTGAGCGGCCTCTCCTTCCAGCTGCAACATGCATGGAACCCGCGCTCCCCGTCCCAGCTCCCCGTCCACCACGCTGCCCAATCGCTGCGACAGCGGACTTTGGAGTGTCGCATACGCCTGTTGTCCCTCCAGATCACCACAGCGACCGTGTGCAGCCTCAGCGCCAGCCCCGACGGACGTGGTGATTCGTCTTTGGTTGTGTTCTCTTGCGAGGCACGGCCGGTGTTGCTGTCGCCCAGCTGCTGCAACGGAATTTTTAAATTTAGGATGCCTCTCGGGGATCAACCGACATCGAGGCTGCATCAACTTCATTGTGATCGAATGCTGACCTCAGCCGTGCAGAGTGTAGCGGTACCTAGAAGCGTCTTACTTGCGCGCGCATAGACAGCTGGATACGTACCAGCGGCGACACCGGAATGAGCAAAGGGGATGCAGGAAGCCAGTCTGCGTACAATGGGTTAGCTGACCATAATAATCAACGCAAGACTGTCTTTGATGTCTATAAACTAGGGAGTCTCAACTTGTCGATATACCTAGATCGAGTGGTTGGTTAGAACGGGAGATTCTGCGTCAAAGGCACTGACGATCGGTTGGTGTTGCAGTTGTCTTTCTCCGACCGGCAAGCTGCATGCTGAACCTTCCGACTGAGACACGAAGCACTGCTGATGGGAGACCGGAAGGGATACGAAGGCACGTGGCGATTGCAGCATTGTGTTCCCATCCAGCAGAAACACGGCGTACTGTGCTATCGTGGACGTCAACTGTCCAGAGGTCCTCCCGCTGAGCGAGACTTCGCAAGAAAGATCGACTGCTCCTTCAAAAACACCAGCAATTATCAGACTCTCCCATCCACACGCACATATCCACTCATGGCCCATCCAACTCCTCCACATCGCTCCCCTTCGAAACAACACTACAGCCTCGCAAGGCTGACAAAAATAAGCAACACCGACGATCCTCCACACACCGGCCTTTTCCCCGGCGTAAGAACTTTGTTACCCGACTTCGGATATGCCCTCAGAAGTCCGGTCTCTGGGACGGTCTCGCTGTTTGACCGATTCCATACGCCCAACTCGGCGTCGCTGATCGTGCGGATGATGGCTTTGTTGTGTTGTAGCGAGACATCCACTGCTATGCGTAACCACCTTGGTGCACTCAATGTTGGGGACGAGGCGTATGGAGATGACGTCCTTGAAGGAACAAGGCGATTCTTTCTTTTCTAACCGCCACGATGTGCGCATACTATACCTACAGTATCTTCGCTACCGAACGAACTTCTTGACGGAAGCCGCTCGATCCTGGACGCTGGCGAGTGCACAGCACACGGTTAACAAGCGAATGTCCGATCCCAACTTAAACTTGCAAACTCCGACACAGGTACTGTCCCCACCACGCATCCATCTCGATTCCCACGGCTGTTGGGATTCCAAGAAGGCGGCATTCTCTCACTGGCACTTAGCAGCAAAACAAAGTACTACATACCCAAATACAGTAAGCCGATGCGGTCACAAACCGTCATCTCGCCAAACCCGCCATTAAATTTTAATAGGTAAAATCTCACGTAAAGAGGTAAAATGCACAACAAAAGGTAGGTACAACACGGTACAGTAAGCCGGGCTCGGTCGCCTGTTGCTTGTAGTAGAAGCATGTCCCTGTCCCTCATCTATGCCTCGTGGGTTTGTACTACACATTCGATTACCTAACGCGGGCCGGGGATCCCTGTGCCCCGCGTGTGTATGTATTGGGTATTGATTGGGAAGATAGGCGAGGTGCTAGCGGTTGAGAGTAATTATGTCAAGTTATTATTAGTCTGGTAGCTAGCGACTGTTGTTTTCAAAATCTGGAGCCGCAGTACTGTTGGAAGATGGGCAAGTAGGTGAGCTGCCATGCGACACTCTGATAAAGCACGCACAGCTTCAGATGCTTGCACACGATACATATATGGAGGGGGATTAATGGATTCATCTGTCTTGATATTCACTTCCCACTTCGAATACTTGCTTACAGAGTACAATACGCTTCACTTTCCGCTCACTCCCGTATACACAGCTGCGGCTTGTGTATGTAAACGCAGTATTTCGCACTTCTAGCTGCGCGACAGACCTGGGGTTCCCTTGCTTCCTGCCGTATTCGCACAGTGCCGATGCGGAGTCTGCTTCTGAGGCAAAGATACTCTGTAACAAAATTCTCATGGTTAGCGGAATTGCGATATCTGCAGCAGGGTGCAGGAAGAAGCTTAGGAACCATTAGATGGGAGCGGCGCTGATGGGAGAGGAGGGAATGTGTTATCGTAATTCGTGCCACCTTCTATCCCTTGAAAAGGAGCGAGTCTTGCATCATGATAGGCTTCCTGGGCGAGATGTGGGATACTTCAAGTATTAGAAATGTTGTGTGGTTTGAAGTGCTGTGTGATGGATGGGCATTACTTTGTATCAATAGCTGTACGGATCTAAGGGTAGAGGAGAATTGAGTAAAGCAGTCTACCTGCTGCAAGACGTATAATCTGGCAGTAGGATTTCTCCGTCGTGTCGAGTGAGACTGCTGTGGAACTGCTAGGAAGTATGAGTAGGGAGTGTACAGGTCAAGTCCGAAAAGGACTTCGTATAGCCGAGTCTAGCTGCAATTGGTGATTCAATTCAGGGGTGAAGAGCTCCAGTGTGCGAGCAAGAAAAGAAGCGGCGGAGCAGATAGGTGTGCTGAGCAGAACCGACTTACATTTCAACCGAGATAGTATGTCAGTTTCTCGTCACTGAATGGGATTTGATTGTCCGCTTAACATGGGGTTAAGCACGACGGGGACGCTTGAGCGGGCCTGGATTGCTCTTCTGTTTGTGCAATATGTTCGAGCCCATCTCTTACAGACGAAGTTAGGACGGCTTTGGGTTTCTCCTGTCGACTCTGCAATGCGAGAAGCTTGACAGGAGGCTATATCCGCATTGGAGCTGACGTTCTGTGTGGAGTTTTCACGAGAAACCTGGAAATTGCATTAGCTATATGATAATGGTTATACTAGACTGTTCGCCATTGGGGAGTGCAAACGCCCGGAAAGCATCAACGGACCATAATGGCATTGAATATCTGATAGCAAGACTGATGTGCGGCTAAAGAAGAAAATCATGTCAGTGTGTTAGTGGTGTAGTAATACCTCACACAGCGCAACCTCTATACACGATGAGCGTTTGCGCACTACCTCGGTAGTTGACGCAGTAGTCAAAGTCATCGTCCTGAACAACCTACCTAGTCACTGGTGATGATGACATAATCATTCAGGAGTACCTAGAATATCAGCATGGCTGACTTGCGGTGGACTCACATATGGGTGCAATGGTCTCGATCCATCTGTCTAATCATTGGATTCTGTCTTTGCGCAGATAGATCCCAAGCTGGACAAGATCCTGAGGGACCGTGATTTTCTTCGCTGTGAATCGTGTTCAGTACGCGACAAATATTGATTGTCCGCCCCATCTGGCAAGCTCGTAAACAAACTCGGGCGCCTAGGTGACGATTTGAGATTTGCACAATTCGCGAAATAGGGGCACCATATCGAAAGCGGGAAAAGAGCATTCAGGATATGAAATTTTGCGGATGGATCTATGCCGGACTGGGGTTTTTTTCCATTACAAATGCGCTCGTGCGCGTCACCCGTGCGCCCAGCAGGTCGAGCGCAGCATGTGCAGATGCCGCGACGAGAAGAGGATTCGATGGGAAAGCAGAGATGCCGCACTGCCAGAAGTCGCGGTTCAGGAAGAATCTGCGAGGGTGGAAGAGGAGCCATGTTGAATCTGGCGATGCTTGTTTGACATCACACAAACGCGGGTGGTTGCTGGGGAATCAGCGCGTTCACTAGCGCCGCACGGACAATGGTTCCTCGCGACTTCTACCCATGCCAGCCACAACAAACTCATCCTCCCGTCTCACCCTCCACTTCTGTCTTCATCATTGAAACTTTGTCTCTCGCTGCTCAATTGTCTTCCATCTGTCCTTGGCCAACCCCCAGTAGCTCTTTGTCGACATCATGGCCGCCGTCCGCTGCTAGGTAAAGGCGTAAACGTGCATTCAAGTCGCGTCCCGGCAGAGCTTGAGCTGCCCCTCCTCCTCTCCACCAGCACATCCTATTCGCCGCGAGCTCCTTCACGGTGCTGTGAACAAGCTCACGTATGGCCGCTGTGGCCATTCCACCGTCTCCCCAGATCGCCTCAACCATGACCAACCGTCGCGTCCCTTTGGCCACACTCCAGAACGCAGCAAATTCCCCGTTACGCGCCCCTGCCGCAGGAACAAAGAGACAGCGCTCGCATGCCAGCGAACAACGGGACCTTCCCTACGGACAGCCTCCCCCGAAGAAGCAGGTAGTCGAGGTGGACGACGCGGAAGCTCGACGATATGGTCTCCCTCGCCGAAGCGGGGCCACACCCACGACCCTCCAAAAGAAGCTCGAAGCTGCTCGAGATACCAAAGCTCTATCGAAGCATACCCGGACGCTGAGTGAGAATCTGGAGACCATTCGACAATGGCAACGGCACTATCGCAAGATGTTCCCGAGCTTCGTTTTCTATTTCGAAAGCATACCGGATGAGGTAAAGGGAAAGGTCCTTCGGCAGGTTCTCGCTCTGGGTGCTGTATGTATATGGAAGCCTTTGTACAATGTGTGTCCTAAAGCTAACTTTGGGACAGCGCGAGGTGAAGTTCTTCTCTCGAGAAGCTACACATGTCATCACGACGCGGCCAATCCCTCCTGAGCTCGACACTAGCTCCTCCTCCAATACAAAAGGCACCATCAATCCTGCGCAGCTTGAAAACAAGAGGTCCGTATTCGATACCGCTCTCCAGAAGACGAGCAATGTGGACATCCTGCACAAGGCACGCGAGATGGGAATGAAGATCTGGTCGGCGGAAAAGCTTCAACGCATGCTGGACACCATGTTCAATACCAACACTGGGGAGCAGCCGCCGGATTATACGACGAGGAACGCTGTGAGCCAGAGTCGGTCGACGCGTCAAACTGACCTTGGAAAGCTACTGCAAAATGAAAGGCTGAATGGCCCCTTGGACCGCGATTACTCCGTCGCTACTCAGGACGTAATCCAACTGCGCGGATACTACATATATGTCCACGACATGGATGAAGTGACACGACCCGTAATGGTTCGAGAATATCCCAAAGTCTCTAAAAAAGAAGATGGGAAATGGCCCCAATTCCGAGTATCAGGTGCCGGAAAGTGTCCGTTCGTGTTGGATCTCAATCATCTGCGAAGGCAGCAAGAGCTGGATCAGGTCGAAAAGGCCAGGACTCTGAGGACGGTGGCTCCTCGCACCCGTGCCGCGGCCGCTTTGGAGGAGAAGCGCGCTCTCTGTGAGAATAATAACCTCGCAAGACCCGTCGGAGGAAGGAACCAAGCTCCTGTGGAAGATCATGCTAAGCCCCTGGATCCCCCGAAGATGGTCGCTGCCAAAAGAACGAACACGGACAGCATGCCCCCGCTCTTTGGCAGCGCACAGGCGAATATTCGCGCCATACCGAGGCTCGTTGGTGGAGAGCCTGTCGCGTCTGGGATCCAGCCATCCAACGTTACATCTGCCATTCAGTCACAGATGATTTCGTCTACTGCTGCTGCCCCTGGCGCACGAGCTGGGAATAGCCGGGAGGTTAATCAATTGAAGAGAAAGATACTCGAGAAAGGTAACGGCTCAACCGTCTTGGAATCCCTAAGAGCTTCGGTGAGCGTCGATGTGGTTCCACAGCGAGCGGCAAAGCGAAAGGCCCAAGATGCGCTGGGCTACACCAGAGAGGTGATGCCCACGATAGAAGAGAAACAGGCCCGCAAGATTGCAATCGCTCGCCGTCGCAAAGCTGCCGAAAAGGAACTCAAACCCGGGTACTGCGAGAATTGCAGGGAAAAATTCGATGATTTCGATGAAGTAGGTTTCGCTGCCATTGCCGTACTTGAGGTCTCTACTAATCCCTGTAAAGCACATCGTGTCACGCAAACATCGCAAGTTCGCCCAAACGGCAGATAACTGGCTGGAATTGGACCAGCTTCTGGCCCAGCTTGCTCGCCAATGACGAGCAGGCGATCTCTATATACCCCTGATACCATGCTATCTCGATAATGGACCTCTCCAATTCACAATGCCCACGGCACCGTTTCCTTCTCACATTTGTTCGCTTCCTTTGGCCGTTGGGCGCTTTCCTGGACGGCACCCTGTTTATAAAATACCCGTGGCTTGCATTATGGCGACTTGGAGCATTTGTCGAGGCCCTTCATGGATTATTGGGGTATGGATTGATTGAATATTCTCCAGGCGGCATGTCATGCCTTTCCTATGTCTCCCTTCTTCTGCATTGTTCAAGCCGTGGCCTCTGTATTCTGGACACTAGCTTGAGGATGGTGGTTTCTGGTATCGCTTGAGAGCTGGAGTGGTCTTGAAAGGGTATCGAACAAGGTGGTTGGAGCGGAGCGCTTCCTGGAGATAGGCCAGGATGGATAAATGGCGAATATGGTTGGCACCCGCGAAGGGTATTGCTATATTGTTAGGCATTTAGCAGTACTACTGAGAAACCATCAAACTAAACTAGAATCATACCCTCGGCTCTGGTTAGTGTGTACTCTTTGTTTAAACGACCTCTGTGCACGGCTTTTGCTGTCTGGATCCTGTCAAACGCATGACATTTGGATGTTGCAGGTGGCCCGATTAGACATGCGCGGCCCTGATTGGTCAGTCAGTCACCTCATGCAACCTCCTCCGATCCACTGCGCTCTCTCCCTCTCCCATACTTTCTCCAGCCCCAACATCAATCCTTCTTGCACCTCCCTCGGCATATTCCAGTTTATTGGTCGTTCTGACAGCCCTTCCATTTTTTTCACAACGCCGCCAAGTCTGAAATGCAGGGGACGGAGGATAAGATTCCTGATGACGAGGCCACGGCGGAGGCACCGCTCACGATGGCCGCATCGGTCATCTTGACGAACCTGCCAAAGGATGCAAGTAAAGCTTTAGAGAAGGTAGGGAGTTCGTTGCCGCAGAAAGGTAGGTTGTTTCTTTTCGTTGAATGTTTTTATCTGGTCATTCTGCCTCGTGCCCGTCTTCTTGCTTGTCTTTACATGGTCTACTCTTCGATGGGCTCCTTGAATCTCTATCCGAACATCTCCCACAATCTTATATCTCTATTCCTCTCATCTTCACACCTGCGTCCCCTTCTCTACTCGTCTCCTACTGTATCCTCCCGGTACTCAGTCACAAGCAGTAACCGTCCGCCTCCACCCCATCGGCAGCGCCCCGCAACTCTCGCAGCGCGTCTTCAAACTCTCGACCAACCAGCGCTTCGAAACGATTGTGCGGTTCCTGCGGCGCAAGCTGGCGGTCAAGGAGCACGAGAGCGTGTTCTGCTACATCGGGAATGTGTTTAGTCCCGCTTTGGATGAGAATGTGGGCAATCTCTGGAGTGTAAGTGACTCGAGTACGGTTGAAGGACTTCGTTATGCTGCCCACCGGATGGTTTTAGGGGCTAATTTTTCGTCACAGTGCTTCAAGGCGAACGAGGAGTTGAATGTGGGATATGCCATGGCGCCTGCTTTCGGATGAAAGAGGGGTCTAGCGAAGGTTCCGCCGCTACAACAGTTCATCAGTCCATCAATCATGGTCGCGTATCACCACCTACATGATTTCAACCGGCCCGTTTTGTTGACTTACCGGCTCGTTAAGCAGATCATCATCCAGTCAAGAGAGGGAGATTAGGGGTCGAGAAGGGGTACAACATCCTTTCGTTCTCACATGTTCAAGTAAATCGATACACGAGCTTGGATCCTAATGGCTTCTACAAGACATATTACGAAAGCAAAGAGGCAAACTTGATGCCAGTACGCACTACATGGGCACATGTAGCATAGGGGTATGCGCTCAAAAAACAGGACACATCCAAACGCCAAAACCAGGATAAAGCCACCACCGCCCGTCCGCGTTAGACTTGAGAGGCCCTCTTCTCCTCAATCAAACGCTCAAACTCGGAGAATTCCTCCCGCGACATGCCCATGGGATACGTGTGCTCGGGCGCAGGGTACGCGCGGGACTTGACCTCGGTCCTGTACGCCTCGATGGCCCTGATGCTCTCGCCCCAAACATCGCCGTACTTTTTGACGAACTTGGGAAGGAAGCGGCCGGGAGGGAAGTGACCCAACATATCGACCTGCACCAAGACCTGGCCCGAGCAGCCGTTGCCCGCACCGATGCCGATGGTTGGGATGTGGAGCTTCTTTGTGACGAGCGTAGCAATGTCCTGAGGAACAGCCTCTACCACGACGGCGAAAGCACCGGCCTCCTGCACGGCGTAGGCGTCCTCGAGCAGCTTCAGTGCAGAAGCAGTGCTCTTTCCTTGAACTTTGAAACCGCCGAGGGAATTCTGCCTCTGAGGAGTCAGCCCAATATGGGCTAGCACGGGAATGCCGGCTGTGGTGATCTTGGATATGGTGGGCGCCATCTCCTTTCCGCCCTCCAGCTTCACCGACTTCATGCGACCTTCCTTGACCATACGGATAGCCGACTGAAGGGCGTTCTCAGGATTGATTTCGTAGGATCCCATGGGCAAGTCACCGACCTGGAAGAGAAGTGAATAAGAGAATGGTAGAAAAGAGGGACGGACGGGACGACATACTGTAAAGGCGCTCTTGGTTGCTCGCGCAACTGCCCGGCAGTGCAGCAGCATGTCCTCCATGGTCACTTCACTGGTATCCTCCATTCCCAAGGCGACCATGGCAAGGCTGTCGCCAACGAGCACCATGTCTACACCGGCGTGGTCGGCGACGTGTGCGCTGGGAAAATCATGGGCCGTGATCATGGCAATGGGCTCGTTCCGTCTGTAGAGTCCTTGCAGTGTCTTTATGGTGACGGGTTTGCGAGCATTGGACGGTGGGGCGCCCATGGGGGAGTGGGAGCTCCATCGGGCGTGTACGAGGGGTAACGAAGTTTGCGGGCGCAGAGCATGGAGGTATGTTCGTGTCGTGCTATGGACAAAGGCCCGCGACATGTTTTCAAACAGAGTGGGGGAAGACGGCTCCGGGCCAGGAGGTTGTGGTCTAGGTGTTGTGGTTCGGGCAGAAGTGACTCGACCGAGAGTCTGGGGACAAAGCGGAGGAGGATTGGGGCGGCATTGGAGAAGCGAGGGAGCGGGTGCTTTAAATGAGGGCTTCGTGATGAATCTTCACTGCGAACGATGGAGAACGGTGGTGGAGTTGCAAACCAAAAAGCTCAGACCGCCAAAGGGCATCCCTCGGTCCGAGCAGCGTCCCGCCGCCGCGCTTGACCTCTTGCAGTTTAGCTGGGTTTTCCGAGAGTGGCGGTACAGAACGAGTCAGGATGGCGATTAGGGATCGGAGAGAACTTGGAGATGCGGGGGAGCATTTATTGTTGCAGGTTTGGATACTCTGTTCCCTGTAAATACTGTGGTAGGCAACACGGCACTTGCATAGTCCTTGTGAAGAGATACCTACACATGAACCTAGCTAGGTACACTCCTTACTCCTATTAGTTAGGTACACTCCTATGCGCCTTGCCGCCTGATGGCGCATCAAACGCAACAACCTATGGCATGAGTTTCTTTGACGACTGTTTGACAGGGTCTGGGCGGTCACAGTGGAGCCAGGCGTGACTAACTGGCGGGGACCCGTGACGACGCGGTTGTAATCGCCATACTTGTAATCTCTCGTCCGCGATGCCTCCTTCTTGCTTCTCACTACTCACTCCTCACTACTACTTGAGCCTTGCTTCCGCCCAACCCTCTTGCCTACAGCAACCGTTCTCGGGGAACAAGATACTTGATCGGCCTTCTCCATTCACACACATACAGACAACAGCCCTTGCACGTGCCTGCACTCTGTCCCGCCCAGCCGCACAAGCCACCGCCCGCCATCACATCGCTATCGATAAAGCTAGCCCTCACTTCGAAGCGCCCCGCAATCACAGCGAGCACCCAAGCACCCAGCCCTCCGTGAGAAACAGACTGCTAGTCCCTCGACGACTGCGACACGAACGCCGCCCACATTCATTTCTTGCCGGGTCGAGGCTTATAAAGGACGTGGAAGAGCGGGTAAGCGGATACCGGCACCATGAGTAGCCCAAAGAGGAGGATCGAGACGGATGTAAGTGGTGGTTGTCCTGGGTAGGATAGACGTATGTGAGGAGATATCGTGCTGACGGACGCTTTTCCTGGGTGTTTAGGTCATGAAGTAAGTGTTCCGCAGTCGAGCATGCTACCGTACCATGGCTAACGTGGACCTAGGCTGTATGTACGCTCCTGAAGGGACCGCCCACGGTCGAGGGAGAAGGCTGATTGTGGTTTCCAGGCTGATAAGCGATTATGAGGTCACTCTTGTGAACGACAATAGTACGTTTTCGTCGAGATTCGAGCAATATGAGGGCATATCTAACTCTTGATGCAGTGTTCGTAGTCTCCTTCGCCTCCGATACTCCTGGCCTCGCGTCAAACTGACGTACGTTCACTAGGCAAGAGTTCTACGTGCGGTTCCAGGGACCGGAAGAAAGTACGTTTCCCGACAGCCGCCTCCTACATACCTACATAAATGTGACTTCCATGGACGCAGAGGTGCTGACTGGGTGTCCCTTATAGCACCCTTCGCAGGCGGATACTGGAAAATCCACGTCGAGCTCCCCGATCAATACCCGTATAAGAGCCCCAGCATCGGGTTTCTGAACAAGATCTTCCATCCGAACATCGACGAGATGTACGTCTCCCCTATTTCTCCTTTCTGCCCCAAGCGCCCAGCAAGGGGATCGAGGTCCCGAACTAATTACCCTCCTAGAAGTCCCACCCGCATCATGCACACATAACCTATCATCCCCCTCTCTGCACCGCATTTAAGTACGCAGACAACACCCAGTACTGACATGTCCTCCCTCCTTGCACAGGTCCGGCTCCGTCTGCCTCGACGTCATCAACCAGACCTGGTCCCCCATGTACCAACTCATCAACATCTTCGAAGTTTTCCTGCCGCAGCTGCTGCGGTACCCGAATCCCGCCGATCCGCTGAATGGGGAGGCGGCTGCGTTGTTGATGCGCGATGCGAAGGGGTATGAGGCTAGGGTGAAAGGTGCGTGCATCAATCTGAGACACCTATACAACGAGACCTGTATAGGTGTCTCAGAGAGGTCAAGAGATCTTGAAAAAAAGATGTGAAGAAAAAGAGGAATATGGACACTGAGAAGACAATACTGACGACGAATAATAGAATACGTGCAAAAGTACGCCGCGACCAAGGACGCTGCCGACGAGACGGGCAAGGATGAGGGCGCCGAGGACGAGATGAGCAGTGTGGGGAGCTATGACTCGGATGGCGAGGACGAGGAGGCGGCGGGGAATATGGAGGATATTTGAGGGTGCGGTGGGGAAATGGGATGGGATGAGATGGATTGATGAGGCGTCGTCTTTTGGATCAGAACGGTGGGTCTTGGGGGTTTGGTTAGTCTAGGTTTCATCAATGTCAATATGAATATTCTCCTCTTCGGTGAGTTTGTTTAGATGGTGCTGCCCAAGGTCAACGGTAAGATTGAACTGCGTGTATAACGTGTTCCATTCGTTCATATCTTCAGACATGGGCACGGCCGTACTATATAACGCATGAACCTACTATGGTTCTTCGTGCAGTCCAAGGAAAATGTCGCTAACCGTGCTCTCCAAGAAAGAGGGTCTGAGTAATATATATCCGAATTAAAAATAAAAGTACCGTGACAACGCCTGTCCTGTGTTGAAGTCCATATCCAACGCCGATATCCCACCAGATACATAATCGTTATACTCCCCATACTCATCCCGCGATGCAAACCTGCGAAGCAAAGAGAAAAGAGAAAAGCAGACAACATGCCAAGGACGCGTCCACGACCACTTATACTAAACCAAACGCCACACCACAATCATATACTCTGGACTCCCACCTCCCCAGTCTCCCTCCTCAACAACTCGGGCAACACCAGCGCGGCATCCCCTTCAAACAACCAATCCCCCTCCGCCAACCCACCAGCCGGGACATCCCTTTCTACATTCACGACGGCGACCCTGGCCCCCTTTGCGCGCGCCACATCGACGAAGCCCGCAGCGGGGTACACTTTAGCGCTCGTGCCGACGACGAGCATGAGGTCGATTGTGGGCGAGGCCTCGATCCAGGCGTCGATGGAGGCCATGATGTCCGCGGGGAGCATTTCGCCGAACCAGACGACGCCGGGGCGGAGGAGGCCGTGGGTGCATGAGGGGCAGTGGGGGAGGGAGGAGAGGGGGATGGTGGGGAGGGTGACGTGCGGGTTGGAGATGTCGAGGTAGTGGTTGGGGTTTGCGTCCGCTTCTGCTTGTGCATCGCGGGGGGAGGTGGAGGAGGAGGAGGAGGCGGCGATGCTGGTGTCTACTTCTTCTTCTTCGTTTTCTTCTTTTCCGTTATTTGTGAGTTGGTTCAGGGCTTGCTTTGTTGTGGGATCGATTTCGCCGTTGTTTTCGTTTTCTGCTGTTTTTGTTGTGGGGATTGCGAGGGCGGGGACAATGGGGTCGGTGTAGTTGTCGCGTTCCACGTGCGAGCAGAAGAAGGAGGAGCATTTGAGGTCGAAGAGGGAGCCGTGGAGGAGTTTGAGCGTTTCTGGCGGGTGGCCTGCGCGCGGGGAGAGACCTGTTGGGTAGCTTCGTCAATACATATACTTCACTTTCATTCATCATCATCCACCCGCACACTTCCTCCCCCAGGAAGCAGAAATGACGGACATACCATCCACATTCTGACTCAACGTCAGCAACCCCTCCCCCCGCCGCTTCGCCAACTCGGCCAGCGCAAAGTGCGCCGCATTCGGCTTCGCCCTGAGCGCCATGTGCCGCCTGTAACTGTAGAACTGCCACACGAGCGCGGGATCCCGACTGAAAGCCTCGGGCGTCGCGAGCTGCATTGCGTCGTGCGTGCGCCAGAGACCGCCGGCGCCGCGGAAGGTCGGGAGGCCCGACGAGGCGCTGAGGCCGGCGCCGAGCAGGGCGAGGATGCGCGTGGAGCGGGAGAGGTGGGTTTGGAAGGAGGTGAGGTCTTCGGGGGGGATGATGGGGGGGTGGGTGGCCGATGAGGCCATTCTGAACGTGTGGTGGGAGAGGGTTGAGAGTTTGGTGGGAGACAGCTTGGTGTTGGTGTGGAGATGGGGAGCTGCTGTGTGAATGTGTATGTAGAGCGGGGTTTGGTGGAGCTGCAGGATGAGCTCGAGAGGTAGCTGTTGGGCTTCCGGATCGCGGTCTCAGCTGCCTGACGAATGTACATATATGCAGACGACGGCTGGGTCAAGCCCAAGGTGTATGACGGCAGACGGCATATAGGTAGATGGAAAGACGCATAGAGCAAAGTGGAGGCTCTCCGCATCGGCATCTATACATCATGTCCCAAAGGGGAATGGTGAATTGCGGGACGGATCGCTTATCGATAAGCAAACATCGATTCCGAGGTGCACGACACGCGACCCGAGAGACGCTTTTTCCAGTGCTCTACTTTGTTGTTTGTGTCTTTTGGTGGTCATGTCTGTTTGTGCGAGGACGTGGTCCGTTCTACGTCCACGATGGCGGATACCGATGAATTGGATTGCGCGCCGAGGAATGAGCGTGAGTGCGGCGGAGCTCAGGTTTGGACAGCCGGTGCATGAGACACATCCGCATTTGTTGAAGGCTGGTGAAAGTAGGCCCAATCCCTCTCAGTCGAGAAATACCGTCGTCTAACTGAGTCTACATAGTAACACCCGGAATTACCGCACAGGAATACTACGACCGACGCGTCAGGCTCGCCAAATCCCTCCCCGCAAACTCCATCGCCGTGCTCGCTGCTTCCGACATCAAGTTTCGCTCGGGAGCCGTCTTCTACAAGTTCCACCAGGACTCGGATTTCTTATATCTGACTGGTATATATATCATTCAATTTCCAGCCCTTTAAGGGGGATACATGGCTAAGACCACCCTCAGGCTTCAACGAGCCCGACGCCGTCGCCATAATAGGTACACACTCCCCCTCCTCTACCGCGAACCAGAGCTAATACTCCCTCAGAGAAGCTCTCCGACTCGGGCGAACACAACTTCCACCTCTACTGCCGCCCCAAAGACCCCAAAGCCGAGCTCTGGGAAGGCGCGCGCTCCGGCCTCCAAGCCGCCGAAGACGTCTTCAACGCCGACACGACGGGCGACGTGAACTCGCTGCCCAAACTCCTGCCCTCCGTCATCGCCCGCGCCAAAGAAATCTACACCGATCTCCCCAACAGCCTCATCTCCAGAAACACACTGACGCGCTACCTCTCGGGCCAAGAACCCTCACGAACGGGGGGCATCGCAACCATCTTCCGCGACGCGCCTCATAACCCTCCCATCCGACCTCTCCGCCCTCTGCTAAACTCCCTCCGCGTCATCAAGTCCGCCGCCGAGATCAAAAACATGCGTAAAGCGGGCCAGCACTCGGGCCGTGCCTTCACGGACGCCATGCGCCACTCCTTCGCGCTGGAGAAGGACCTCCAGTCCTTCCTCGAGTACTGGTTCACGCAGGACGGGTGCGAGGGTCCCGCCTACGTGCCCGTCGTAGCCGGCGGCGCGAATGCGAATACGATCCACTACGTCAGCAACGACATGCCGCTGTCCTCCCAGGAGCTGGTGCTCGTGGACGCCGGCGCGCAGTATGGAGGGTATGTGGCGGATATATCGCGCACGTGGCCCGTCGGAGGCAAATTCGACGCCGCGCAGAGGGATCTGTATGCCATGTTATTGGCCGTGCAGAGGAAGTGCGTAGCGCTATGCCATGAGGGATCCGGTCTCAGTCTGGATGCATTGCACAAAGTCGCGAGTCAGAGTCTCGAGGAAGGATTAAAGGACCTGGGGTTTGACATGTCTAGTCCCTCTGCTATCGAGACGCTGTTCCCGCACCATGTGGGTCATTATGTCGGGCTGGATGTGCACGATTGCCCTGGCTTGTCGAGGGCGAGGAAGTTCGAGCGGGGGATGTGTGTGACGGTTGAGCCGGCCGTGTATGTGCCTGACGATGAGCGGTGGCCTACGTGGGCGAGGGGGATGGGCATGCGCGTCGAGGATAGTGTGTGTGTGGATGAGGCCGGGCCGTATGTCTTGACGACCGAGGCGGTTAAGGAGGTGAGTTGCATTAATAACCATTCGTTTTCTTTGCTCGTTTTGATATGTGAGACGTGGAGTTGTTCTAACCGACTCGTGCAGATTGTCGATATCGAAGCCCTAAAGAGCTAGGAAAGGCACTGAACCGTTCAATCTTCACCTTGCTATCTCGTCTCGCCCCGCCTCGTCTGGACCTTCTACACCAGAGGGAATACCGTCATGTCATTCTCAAATCGGTTTGTATATCTGTTGTACAACTAGTGTACTGTATTGGACTGTACTACTGTACTATATTCCTATTCTAATATATAACAACACAATGGCCAAGATGGCCCATTGGCCCAAACGGCGAGTTCAAGAGCAGCTCCTCCCTGTATATACAATATATTCATCACAGCGACACTATAGTACACTCTGGATTGATTCCCCACTGCTTTCCATTGTTCCCCCTCCCTCCCAAAGAGCTGAGAGAGATTGTAAGTCCACATGCACATACACACACTCTCTCTCCCTCTCACACACACACTTTCTCTCTGAAAGTCTAATAGTACGTCGACACGGTCAACAACACTGAATCCCATACTTGCAAACGTTGTTAAGAGTCCATTTTCGATTGTTTTGCTATCTTTTCGCTGCATTTCTACATGTGCACGTCTCGGAGGAACATCTGTATCCTTCATTCCCAAGACTCCTCATGCCTATACTGACTCAGACCAGGAATACCATCGTCTAGGGAGTCTTACATGGCCACCACCCATCCTCGACAGCCCATTCACGTCTCGTTCTTATCGAGTGCGCTGCCTCACAGTCTCTTAAAATGAATAGGGCAAATACCCCTACCTCTTCGGCCCCCTAAACCCCCTCCCAAACCTCAGCCCCACCCCCTTCTTCACCGGCACACTCTGCGCCACCTCGGGACTACTCCCCGCCTTCTCATTACTATTATTCTCCGCGCCGCCACTCCCCGGTACCTTGAAATTCAGCGGCTTCCCGACGTTGTAAATCTCGTTGAGAATCTGCTCGAGCACGCCCGCGTCGACAAACTCCTGGTACTTGCGCCAGAGCTTCAGCGACGTCCGCGCGTCCTCGACCGAGTCGTGCGTCTCGCTTTGCACGTCCTCTTTGAGGATCAGCCACGCCAGGTAGCGGAGGCCGATGAGGCGGTCCGAGATGGACCGCTTGATGAAGAGCTCCGCCGTGTCGACAATCTGGTTGCGCGGCACGAAGATGTTGATGATGCGGAGGTCGTTGACGAGGCCGTGGCCTACGAAGACGCAGCCAAGGTTGAGGAGGAGCCAGAGCTTCTTGTATGCGTGCTTGTGGGCCACGAGCGGGAACCGCGAGGTGGTGGGATCCAGATCGCCGGGATAGATGCCGGAATAGGGGGTCAGATGGTCAATGATGGGTTCGGAGGCGGCAATGTAGTCGTCGATGAATGGTACACCGGCCCGTTCCCCTGCACCGCGGCATACGGATACGCGGCCTAGGCCGAGACGTCGGGGCCGTATAATCTCTGCACGACCGTCCGCCTTGGCGTCCATCTCCGCCTTCTGGTGCTCGACCATCTCAGTATCGATAGCCACCGGATACCCGGACTGAGGGGCTTCAACCTCCGGGTTCAACCTGATACAGCCGTCCGGGTGGCGCTGTACGGCTGGTTGCGAGACCAGCGGTGTGGGATGATACAGTGGGGATGTGTCGAGCATGGTCCTCCATGAATCGTCGATTTGATGTCGGCCGGCTTTTCGCTGGAATACCAATACAGAAGGTTGCTTCCATTCCTGATCAAAGCGAAGAGCTTCTTCCTTGGGAATGGGCCGCACAAGGAAATCATTGAAGAGGTGCCAGCTGTCCTCGGCGCCAACCTGTGACGACGCTGGTGCCGTGTTGATAGCTGCAACGAGGTGCGGGGTTTGGAGATCTCCGCGATCAATCTGGTTGACCACACCGATCAGGTCATACACGACAATGTTGTGGGCCTTCCGGTCGAGATGCAGCTGTAGGTCTTTCCCTTGGTAGCAGAAGAATTGACCATCCTCGCTGACGATGATGCCGATCTCGTGAGGGAGCCAGTTGTGAGACCAGAGAGATCTTATTTCTTTGGTGGAGACGCTGGCGTTGAACACGAAGACATCGGGTATTTTCTGGATGGACCTTCGATTGATCATCTCCCGGTACCGCTGGCATTTATTACACCAGCCCTTTGTTTGGTCCCGACGCTCCACACTCGCCTTGAGGATTTGTGAGAAGTGGGGTCGAGCACCTTTCACATTGGCTGGTTTCGGTGGGTAGACCAGATCCGTGACGAAGGTGTGGCCGTCCCTGGCCGTCTCGTTGTGGCAGGTATCGCACCGCATGTAGGAATGATATTGCGTCTTGAGGACCTGATCCATGGGTGAAAAGCCGTCGCTACTAGAAGGTTGTCGGCGAAAATCATTGGTCAGTTGTTCGAATAGGAAACGGCTGAAATTTTGTATCAAGTTCGTCATCGGAATGTGCGCCGGTTGGCCTTCAAGAAGCTGCAGCCCGACGGCGCTCGGCGTCCTACTGAATGCCTTCAGGAAATTTGACGCATGGCAACTTGAACCAGCCGCTTTCTCGAGCATATCGATGAGGAAGCCTAGCTCGCAGAGTAGGCAGTGATCGTAGGGACATGCGCATGCCGTATGTCTCATGGCAAGATTCCTCAACAACGGCACAAAGCGACATATCTGCAGAAGAGGGTTGGCGTACGAGTTGGCAATGTTCGTCTCCAGTCCCGAGTACGGTGTTTTGTTGTAATAACCGAAATCGAAATCGTTTACGCCGAACTTGCCGTACTTGATCTCAAGTTTCCCATACATGGCCGGTACATTCTTGGTCGTTAGCTCCTCGAGATGTATGTCGGTCAGAGCGTGGAGCGTTTCAGTGATGGTTTCGTCGCCCTCGCCAGACGACCTTGATGCTCTAGCCTTCTCACTAAGAAACTTTGGAGGGGTGATTAAAGTGATCGATTTGCCGTCCTGGCGAGTGTCTTCGGCCTGGTTTCTCAGCCGTTTCCCGGGATTAGGGGCATAGAAACCTATCTGGCTTCGACGCATAGTCGCTTGGATGTCGTCCGCGATTTTCGGTGGAGGTGCCCCGACCTCGAAGACCATGTCGCTTGGCCAAGCGGAGAGGAGCGGTTGGCTGTAATAAGGCATGCCAATACTGCTCAAAGGCGTGTCGTTCGACCAGTCCATGTCAGGAAGATGAGGCACCGGATCCGCGAATTCGGACGGATTGGCGAATTCTGCGAATTGCACCTTGGTAGGCGAACCCCATATGTGAACGTGACCGTTTGTGTCGCACAAAACAATGGCCTCTCCTGATGGCGCGATTTCAAACTGGCGGATGTATGCGTCGAAGAGATTGATTTGGCGTACCTGTGGCGAATCCGAGTTCATGATGTCGATGATCTGAATATGACCATTCGGTGACGCAATGATACTGGTCGTAGACATGCGAGGGTGCATACGCACAAATGCTGCGCCGGCATGAAATGGTATAGGCGGCAACTTCGTCAGGGTCTTTAACGAGAGGACATTGATGAATGGGTCCATCATCACGTATGCGGCTTGGATGGGTCTCGGGGAGTGGCCGCAAGTGATGAGGAAGTCGCCTTTCGCATCGAAGTCGTTGATGTAACTGGTATGGCATTCGAACACCTTCAACACATCCAAGGTGACGGAGTCGACGATGTGGATATTGCCGTGGTGTGTGGCTAGGCAAAGGTACTGACCGACCCGTTTCATAGCGGTATATTCATCCTGAGCACGTATCTTGCTTTGGGTTAGCTACTATTCGTAACGGCTGGGGTTCGGCTTGCTACTTACCATTTTCGTGATCATGCCCTTGCTCATATCGACGAGGAACATTTGGGTTTGGCAACCGGCGACCAACAACTCCCGAGTACCTTTGGAGGTAAAGTTCATACAGCGGATGTTCTTGAACAAGTCGGATGCCAGATGCCAAATGGCAAAGCCGCCGCGACGCGAATAATGCAGACTGCGGTCTGACACGGACAGGACGCCGTCGTCGGTAAAGAGGATCTGATGCACCAGTTGGTAGTGGCCGCGGTAGGCCGTGTATCGTGTAAGGCCATGGCCATGGTATGCATTGATGTAGCCAATATTGGTGCCAACCCAGAGGTTTTCCTCGCAGGTGTCGAAGGCAAGCGTGGTTATCTGGGGCGGTAGTTGGTCGGATGGGGGAGCGTGTAGCTGAGCCGTCGCGAGCTCAACCCAGTCGGCCTCCATAGCGAAGGCGTAATCTGCAACGTACGGACGAGCATATGGTGCGGCGGTAAGAATTCGGTGGCTTGGACGGATCGATGGAAGAGGTGCGGTGCGGTGCGGTGAGACGTGATGCTAGGGTCCGGTGGTGGTATCGTGAAAAGCAGGTGTGAGGGGTGAGGAAGGTTGAAGATCTATCAAACCATCACAGTAGCCCCACTATTGTTTATATAAGCGCCGAACCGCATTCTGTAAAACGGTCATCAATACTCTGTACAGATAGCAATAGCATTAACAAGGCTAATACAACATTTTGGAAAACTTATGTATTTGTATCTACAAGCAACGTCCTCTAGATTGGCTTCCTTTGTGCTAATCCGGCGTCACAGCTCTATTCAACGAAGTTTCAGCCAATCAATACCCTCCAAGCTGCACTCAATAGATACCAGCTTCCTATTTTCCTACCGGCTAAAGCCTCAAGGAAGCGCTTCGCTCGACCTGCCATGCTGTCTCGACTTCATGATTAATGGAGCTCTCGGCGTTCACGATTTCATGTTCCAGCACTTCACGAGATACCAGCAAAATGGATCAAGACTCCTTTCATTACGGCAGCCTTCGTTGGCGCCGCCATGCCAGAGAAGCCGTGAACTACTAGAAGACCGACCCAAACCGATGAGCACCCGTCCCTAAGCCAATCGGATACCCAACCTCACAGATATGGACACGCTTGGTAGCAACCCAGGGGTATCTTTTCCTGATCCTCATTGCTGTCGCCGACACATTAGAATATTCGGGTTGACAATCTCGGAAATCGGGCAAGGGGGATTCCATACCGCCGAAGAACTGCCAACATTGCCGGAAAATGCAGAGAAAACCGTCGCCAGAACTCCTTGAGAGCGATGCTGAGATCATCGAAAATAGGAGTCGAGAGAAATCAACAGCCGAAAGGTTGAGGCGGAACATGCTCAACCGCGCAGATCCTGCCACCGCAATGATCAGTATCGCTTGCGACCCGATGATTCGACCCTAGGACGATCCGAGTGCTTGCTGACGGAATGGGACGGGCGGCTGTCCTCCTCGTCGTCGTCGTACTTGTGGGTATATCGCACACGTTTGGGGGCCTGGGTCATACCTCCGCCGGAGCCAGTGAAGCCCACTGCGGACGAGTCAGTAATCCTGGCTACATTTTGAAAGGGGAAGTCCTTACCTCGACTATTCAGCCCCTCTCCGGTACGGAACATGGATTCCTTCTTCGTGATGCTCTTACCAGGGCCTTTCTTGGTGAACTCCTGCCAGGACGTCTGCTTCCTCTCCAAGGCCTTGTTGCCCCCAATCTTCCTGCGGTTGATGGGGACGCTCGTGTCCTTGCCGGCATCATTGGCGACGGCCTTTGGGTTCATGCTGGCCGGACCAGAAATGACATGGGGCGAGCTAGTGGCGGGGGCAGCCGTCGGAGTGGCAGGTGCCCCGTCCGCCTTGCGCTTCCGGTCGCTGTACAGCGGACGAATGGCGTCACGGCCGACGGTCGAGCTGGAGTCCTTGTAGTCGATGAAGCGCACATGGTACTTTGGGTCAGACACGGAACCCAAGACCGTCTGCACCTTTGCCTTGTAGAAGCGGCCGTCGGTCCACTGCGCTTCGCACATATCTCCGGCGTTGAAGGTGACGGGCTTCTCGGACTCGACCTTCTCCGAAGCTTTCTTGAGCAGCGGGTGCTTCTCCGGGTCGAACTTGGGAGCGGCGGGCTCAACTGGTTTGGGCAGCGTCGCGTTGAGCTTCTCGAGTTCCTCATACAGGGGACGTAGATCCTTGTCGATGCCAGCAATGGTGACTTCAGCATCGGCCTTGAGTTCCAAGGCTTGCTTTACGCTTTCCTCTGAGACTTCCTCTGGGTCTCCATTGATTATATCATCCAGCCCAGGGAGCTAGGGTGGTCAGTGAAGTGAAGCGTCGAGAGCGGAGACCCGACTCACCGTTCCGGCCCATTCTTTGCGCTCTGCCTCCTTCTGCGAGATTTCGCGCTTCAGCGCATTGATCTTGTTGAGGACGGTTTTGTCGGCCATGGTCGCCGTGTTCCGCCTCGCCTGGAGATTTCAAGGTGCTAGAGGTTGCTCGGTGAGAAGGGTGGGATACAGACAGGAAGTCTCCGTGGTGGCAAGGCACGGAGGGGAGCAGGCACAGCAGCTGGTATAGTTACCTTCTGAGCGGCAGCACGCTGTCGGCGGGTTTGGGCAAGCGGTCGCAGCGAGACGGACTGCTTGGGTTGGGTAGCGGGGTGAGGAACTGTTGATGGGCATGGGAGGCGCTCTGCGGTTGCTTAGCGGGCCGGGGTAGCGCGACGCGAGGGACAAATTTGGCTAGCGGCTTGGCCTAGCAAAAGAGAGCTTGGCATCATGTGATCTGGGCCCAGGCGAGGAGGAAATCAAATATCAGTTGGAAACAGGGCAGGTTTGGTGAAGATGTCGGAGTCACTACCAGGCATGCTACTAGTCGTAATCTGAGTGGGTCTATTCAAAGGGAGGGTTATCGAATGATTGTATTAGACGAGATGGAACATGTGATTGTGCATTCTGCTCCTACTACCGAGTTATTATCGGCATTCTTGCAGTCTCAGGTAGTCCATCCAGTTCTTGAGAAGTCAAAATACGGTAAGACGAGGCTTTACTGGTGGAGCAGCTGGGCAGCTTTTTACTATACCGCGTAGGGAGTACTTTGTAGTGCTGCAGTACACTGCTGTTTACACAGTACTTGTAGACATGATAATGATAGGCACCTGGGCAGCCAGCCTCATCTTCTTCGCATCATCTGGATTGATTGCGCCATACCCGCCTGGGGGTCCCAACATCGGCTCCTACAACGGCCCGTGGACAGATTCGATGGCCTTCTCCCGTCTTCGCGGTAGTAGACTAGGAGAGTTGACAGTGGTGAGATGGCAGGGGAGAAGAAAGAAAGGGCCAGGTTGAAGGGGGCCAGTGCTGCTTACCAATCCGCGCCGCATTTGGCCCGCTGCAGAAAAGGGCGGACTCGACCCATCTCGATTTGGCGTGGGGACGTGACTGGCAGGGCTGGCAGAGTGAAGAACGAGGATTGCGAGGGCTTTTCTTTCTCCCTGTTCGCTGCGCAAATCGGCTTTTCGTCCGGAAGGGCTGCTAGTCTCTGACGGGGTGTGACGGGTGTGACGGTGTGACCGTGCTGGGGGGACTGGGACTGGGCAGGGCAGGGCGTTCTCTTCAATCCTCCGAAACACCTTGGGCCACCCTCTCTCCTCCTCGACACTCGCATCCCACATAGTCTGCTCTATCGACAATACGTCAACCAACAGGGACGCGGGTCTGCCCTTCTTCAACACCGGATCCCCTTCCCCCGCGCCGCGCCCGCCGCCCAGACTGTGACGCCACTCCTCGCCACGCCACGCCTTGCCTCTCCGCTGCCTGCCCGCCCGCTTTTGCTCCGCTCCACCCACGTTGTGCCTGGCACATTTCCCTCTGCTTCTGCTAGCTCCGCCGAATTCCTCCTTCCACGACATCATTCACTCTTTCAAACGTCGTCATCGTCGTCGGCAGACCCACGCCTCATTGTTGGAGTTGCTGTCCGCCGTCTGCTGTTCTTCAATCTATTCACGGTGGCGAACATCCACGCCCCCCTCCCTGCTTATCTCTCCTAACCCCGCATCCACCCTTTGTGCCATTCCACCATGGCCGGCGCCGCAGCCAACGACTACCAGTCCGGCGCCCCCTTCTACCTCGATCCGAATCAACAAGACCTCCTCCTCGCCGCTCTCGCCTCGAATCACCATGACCCCAATGCTCTCTACTCCAACATGGACACCAAGCAGTTGGAGGCCACGCAGCTGGCCTACCCCATTGACACCACCTTCGACCCGACTTACTTCACGTCGCCCCAACAGAGCACCCCTGCAAATGCCTTCCTCAATGGTCCCATTGATGATAGCCCTTTTGTAGACTTTCTCGACGGCGACGCCAATCTCGACTTCGATCCCGATAACAGCGATCTCATGATTGGAGCCCTCCCAGGCACCAGCCCGACGTCCAAGGCCGACGACGCCAACGAGAAGCGCAAGAGCCCCGAGGATGAGTCGGGAGGCCGAGATGGAGGTCCGAAGCGAACGGCGAGTGAAGAGAAACAGGCCAAGAAGCCGGGTAGGAAGCCTCTTACCTCCGAACCCACGACTGTACGTTTTCAGATGTCCTCAACCGTTCAAGGGCGTTGCTGACCATTGCAGAAACGTAAAGCCCAGAACCGTGCTGCTCAAAGAGCTTTCAGGGAGCGCAAGGAGAAGCATCTCCGAGATCTCGAGGCCAAGGTCTCCGAGCTTGAAAAGGCCTCCGATGCCGCCAACCACGAGAACGGCCTGCTTCGGGCACAAGTGCAGCGATTGCAGATGGAGCTTCGCGAGTACCGCAAGCGCCTGTCACTCAACAGCGTCGGATTCAGCAGGACATCCGTCGGCGCTCAGGGATTCGGCTCCCGACTCATCCAGAACGGCACCGCAAGCACGTTTTCATTCGACTTTCCAAAGTTCGGCGGACTTCCAGCATCGCATACGTACGACAGCAGCCTGGCAAAGGCAACCAGCAAGCCTGGGTCCATCTCCTCCTCCGCTTCCGGCCGCCACAATAGCGCTGATGGTTTGAGTCCTGGCAGCCAGGCCAATAGCTCGGGCGTCAGCTCGCCGGAGAAGACGGGCGCAGTTGCATACAACGGCGCTCAGCGTTCGAGTCCTCTTCTCCCTGGTATCTCGCAGTACGCGTCGCTCGCCAACGGCAATGGCGCGGCAGGCGTTTCAGAGACCAGCACGGCGCAGTCGCGCGTCTTCCAATTCAACAGCGGCTCATCTACGCATTCCGACTCTCCGTCGGCCTCGTCCACCTCGCACGTTGGGCAGAACTCGTCGTGCGGGACCTCGCCCGAGCCCAGCCACCACTCGCCAGTCAATGCTGCCGACTCGGTCCCCGATGGCTACGTCTGCCACGGAAACTCGGAAGGTGAGATTTCCTTCTGTGAGAAGCTCAACATGGCCTGCGGCAACCCTCGCAATCCCATCCCCCGCGCTATGTCCCAGTCTGACAAGACCGCCCCTGCAGCACCCGCGAAGACGAGCTCGACCGAGATCAAAGGAATCGATTACTTTGCCAACCAAAACGGCGGCCAGTTTGATCCCGTACTCTTTGGCGATTACCGCGACTCGCAGGCGGCCATTGTCGGCGACGGCGACTTCACCGGCGGCTTCTTCAACGACGCCTTCCCCCTCGCCGACTTTGGCAGCCCCTTCCATTTCGGCGACACGCCTGCCGTGCAGAAATCCAACCCGCTCGAGGAGATTGAGCGTATCCAGAATGGCGAGGATGACGAAGAGGTGGTCCCTGGCGAGGACACGACGCAGATGCTCAACTGCCACAAGATATGGTTCGTTGCACATGTGCACTTTGTGATTGGGCATCACTGGCTAACACATCGCAGGGACAAACTGTCGAGTCGGGCAGATTTCAAGGACGGCACCATTGACATTGACAACCTGTGCTCCGAGCTCCGTGCCAAAGCACGCTGTTCGGAGAGCGGTGTGGTGGTCGATACCAAGGACGTCGAGGCTGCATTGAAGCGTCTGCCCAAGGACAAGTAGGGCCGGCTTCATAGGTTGCCGCTTGGAACGACCGAATGCATTGAGACCCCGGCACAGGCGTATAAGGACTTTTCGCTGCTAGTATTCTTCTGGAGTGACTACGATGCGGAATTGAGGTGAAAAGGGACTGTCGCTTACCCACGGGATATGGGGAAACGTTGACGGGTCGTTGGCACCCGATGATTATGTGGATTGAAAGGTTCTGTGTCTTCTTTTACGGTTATACCACGTCGATCGCTGAGGATAACTCTGACGATGATTAAACTATGATATATACCTGTCTGGGACCAGTCGCTGGATAGTAGCGATTTTATTGAGGGGTTTTCCTGTATCTTGGAGAAATTAGGGATTTGTGGGGATCCACTCTACTTTGGTGTATATGTCGAATGTACATGTCTTTGAACGTTTAATGACTATGAACAAATTGAGGATCTTCCCTCCATATCTCGTCTACTATCCTATGGAAAATGTCCAAGAACTTAGGGTGTTTGCAAGTGAACCACGTGTTCCTACCCCGCCAGGAACACCATCCTAGATCGATAGTGCATGCGAATACGGTGCAGCTTCCTGTGCTTAAGCATATATATGGTTACATGTATTCCTTTTTCTCGAGTTGTATACCTCGCTAGTGCACTTTTCAGAATAGATCGCGGGAGTGTTTTCTATCTTGAGGATCCATTCCGAGAGGAGAGGATTGAGTCACGGTGCATACTGTGGTTGTCCCCGTACAGGAGTGAGTCAGAGACTGACCTGATGCCTCATATATATATAATACTAACCATTTTGCGAAGCAAGGCTTGTCAGGCCACACGGTTTTTAGATTCACGTCCATACGGTGGACATCGACCTCACAGGGTTTCAACCTCTCCTCCCTCTTAGAAAATCCTCCCTCTTAGGAAATCCTCCCTCTGAGGAAATCCTCCCTCTTAGGAATTCCTCCCTCTTCGAAAAGAAGAAGAAATGTCACCACAACTACCACCCTATTACCTGGACCACATCATCGTCTTCCTCCCCGCCTCCCGCTCCTCTACCTCTTCACCAGCATCCCCCCACCTCCCCCCCTCCTTCCTCCAAGCATTCACCCCCTACCCAGGCGGCCAGCACGCCGACAATCTCACCGCCAACACGCTCATCCTGCTGCAGGATGGGAGCTACCTCGAGCTCATCTGCTGGGTACCTGGTGCGGATGAGGAGAAGAAGAGAAGGCATTGGTGGAGCGGGGCAGGGACGGGGTGGAAGGATTGGTGTCTGGGTGTGAGTGGTGGGAGTCTTGAAGGGGAAGGGGATGGCAAAGGAGAGGGGAAAGGAGAGGGGAGAGGGGAGGATAGGGAAGACGAGGACGCAGGCACCCGGCACTTCGCCCTCCTGAACCGCGCCGAAGATCAAGGCGGAGTAAAAGGGGTATACCTCCCTCCTCTGCGCGGTGGGCGCAAGAGACCCGATGGCGTCGAGATTGGGTGGAGTGTCATTTTCCCGTCGGAGGATGCTATTTCTCTCCCTACTTGGGAAAGCCGGGAAGAGCAGGATCAGGAAGAGCAGGATCAGCAACAAAAAAAGAAATCTATAAGAGGCCTCGTCCCCTTCTTCTGCCACGACCTCACCCCGCGCCCCTTGCGCGTCCCTGTCCATCCCGACGCAACAGCAGACGCAGCAGCAGACGCAGCAGCAGCAGACAGGCAAGCCGGCAAAACCCGGCATCCCTGCGGCGCTTTGGGGCTGCTCGAACTCTGCGTCCTCGTCGCGCACGAGGAGGTATATCACCAGGTTAAAAAGATATATACGCGTCTGTTTGGCGAGGCGCGGATCCTTGGTGGAGGAGGAGAGGGAGAAGAGGAAGCGGAAGCGGTCTTCACCACGTCCCGCCCTATACCCGGCATCTCGCCGGTCCTGGAGACAGCGGCGCCGCGGATACGGCTGCGACTTGCGCGGTCGGAAGCTGAGAAGGAGAAGGTGAGGGTGAGGGGTGCAGGGAGTGGGTTTTGTGTTTGTGATGTTGTGCTTGCTGCGAGGGCGGCGCAGGAAGAAGAGGAGGGAGGTGTGGCTGGGACGGGGAGGGAGAATGGGACGAGGGTGAGGATTGATGGTGTTGGTGGAGGGGAGGAGGATGTAGGGGGGTTGTGGGTTGAGTATTTGTGATTGAAGTTGGGATTATGAGGGGAAGAGCTGAGGAAGAGCGGGTGAGTTGGAGGGAGAAGTAGGAGTAAAGTAGGAGTAGGAGTAGTGCTCGAGGCAGATGAGAGCTATTTCGACACTTGACTTCTAAATAGCATCATCCCTTTCTCCGAGAAAAAGAAGCCGTGAAATGTCTACCTACTCCTCAAAACACTACAACATATAACTATGCCGAACCCATCTCAAAGAGTAATCACATCATTCACATACACCGCGAGGAATTGACTTTTTGCAAATTGAAATTGCTACACTCACGCTCACACGTAGCACTCTAATCCATCAACTACGAATATGTGGAAGTGGAATCCCCAAGAGAAGAGAAAGAAAGAAAAAGGTAGTCAAATATCAAACAAAAGAAAATATGCTGCCAGCTTGGTGGCTCTGACTCTGTCCCTGGCTCTGGCTACGCTCACTCGCTTCCAAGCCTTTCTTTCCTCCTTCCTGCCTGTCCCCTCTTTCGTCTCCGGTCTGAAAATAAGATGATGCACAAGACACACCCATGTCCCCTTTCACACTTCCCAGCCTCATTCTCAAACACACACCAAAACCATCACACTTTCCTCTCAAACACCATCCCGCCCACTCATAAATCAATCAAATTCCCTCCACCCTGCTGCCCACCCGCCTGCCTCCCCGCCCCAAACGGATTACTCCCCCCACCATACGGATTCGTCCCGAATCCCCCCGCCGGTCCCGTCTGCGCCGGCACCAACCGATTCTGCGGCGGCAGACCCGTGAATTGACTATTCAAAAAGGGGTTATTCCCCGTCGCATTCGCAGTCAGCCGACTCACGCCCGCGCCAGCCGAATTGACAAACGTGCCCGGCGCCGTATGCTGAGCGGGGATGCGCAGGTTGCCGACGTTGCCGAACGTGTCCTGGCCTTCGCCGGTGGAGAGGAGGGCGTTGAGGCGGGCGGCGTGGGGATCCGTCTCCTTCTGCGGCTGCGGTTGCTGTTGCTGTTGCTGGGATTGGAAGGACGGTTGTTGCTGCGAGGAGAAGGAGAAGGGCTGGCTGAACGATGTGGTGCTGAATTGCGTCTGCGTCTTTTGCTCGTGAAGGGTGTTGAGGGTCGGTTGGCGGTTGGGCTGGGCGGTCTGGGGTCGGTTGAACGAAGAGGCGAAGGGGTTGTTGGAGCCGGTGGGCTGGGGCATGAGGGATTCTTGGGGTTTGTTGGCGGCCCAGGGATTGTGGCTTCCCGGCTGCAGCGTGCTCTGTTCCTGGAGTGGCTGTTGCTGCATCTGCTGCTGGCCAAAGGCGTCAAAGGTGTTGAGCTGCTGCCCGTACGGGTTGTTTGCGTTGAATGCTGTCTGCTGCGGCTGAAGGAATGCTTGCTGCCCTCCAAATTGGTCGTATCCTGTCGGCTGGGGTTGCTGTTGGAAGCCTCCGTATGCGCCAAAGCCGTTCTGAAACCCGGGCTGCTGACCCGTTGGCTGTGAATATGCGCTGTTGAGGAACCCGGTGTTCTGGGGCTGCTGCTGCTGCTGCTGCTGCTGCTGACTCTGATCGACCAAGTTACCAAACCAATCGACTGCACCTTGCTGCTGGTAGCCCTGGTTGTTTCCGGTGGGCTGGTAGGCGGCCGGTTGAGAAGGGGCATCTCCAAAAAGGAGATCCGCATTGCTTTGCTCGAGTTCCCTTCGGCGAAGCTCTTCCTCCTCTTTGCTCAGCTTGATGGCTTTGGCTAGATCGTCATCATCCTCGGCGGCAGCCTGCTGTCGTTCCCTCCGTTTCTTCTCCTCTTCTGCCTCATTCTTACTCGCCTCTAGCGCTAGCCGGAGCTCCAGATCTTCATCTGCCTCTCGTTGGCGATGGCGCTGTTCACGATGCCGCCTTGGCGGCTCCGAACTTCCTGCACGATGCCCGCCATGACCGGCGCCATACTCTTCAATTCCCGTCACACGAGACTTCCATGATTTGCGATCGGCTCTCTCTGCGCGTAGGCGTTCTTCGTCCATGATCAGTGACGTGAGCTCCTTGGCGGAGATGCGAACTGTGGTGAAGTCAGCAGAGTCCCTTCGAAATCCCTAATCTCCAACCCACCATTCTGTCCGACATCGCGGCCATCCTCATCAATGTATTGAAACTCGCGCAGCGTCTTGATGATATATATATTCTTGCGGGCCCAGGTCACCACCAGCTCAGACCCCTCGTGTAAGCAGTAGTCCAACACTTTCAGTGACTTGAGCACATGGCGCCAATTCTTCCCCTTGTCATTGAGCCGCTTGTCTAGCATATCCATAATCTGGTAGAAGTCGGTCGAGCTGGATCGCACAATTAGCGCAGTTCCGGATCCACGAGGCGCGCGCCTCTTACTTATTGAATGTGAGTTGGGCGATCTCTGCCATGTCGGAGCCCACAGGACCCCATGGATCGTTACTGGTGGCTGATAAAAAGGTCAGTGGAGGAAGCTAGGAAGCAGGTGGACGACACCGTACCATTGCGGACCTTGACCTCGACGGCGGAGTAGCCCTTTGTCACGTTTTTGACGCTCCTCACTACCTTGGACATGATTGGAGAAAGGAACTGATATAGGATGAGGGTCGGGGGGCGCCGAAGGGGATAGGCGCGATATGCCTCGCAGCGACTTCAACGAAGGTGGAGGGTGGTTGGTCGTCGTCGGGCTCGGCAAGGAGTTGCGAGTTCGGCCTCCACAGAAAATGAACGTGCAAGAGCGGTCGGGTCAAGGAATCGAGTCGATATTCGATCTACGAGGACTTCCGGTGAAAGCGGTATGTCATGAATGATAGCCGTGTCAACTGCGAAGGTGGGAAGAAACCTGGGGGGCGATGCTGCGCAAGCAACGTCAGTCTCGGCACCATCGGGCAGGTGGCCCGAGCGCCAGGACAAGCATACATCTCCAATGCGACCAAACATTTGAAATGGTCAGAAGGTGAGAGAGTGTCCGCCTCCTCCAGGAGAATGTCATACTCAAACCCAGTCCATGCGGTATCCGGCTTTGGCACAGCACCTGCTAAACAGACACCAGCAGAGATCAAACACACGATTACATCACGTACCGCGGTGCAAACTGGAACTGACATGGTTGCAAATAGGTTGCACATTACAAGCGCATCGCTCACGCTTCTAGTAGTCTATAAGTGGATGATGATCCTTCATTAAGGTGCCAGTCTAGTGAGAGTGCCAGGAGAGAGGAGGAAAAGAAATACCGGGAGGCAAAAGCCCTGCAGTACCTGGACGCCTCAGCCTGACCTCTACAGACGCCCTCAACTCCCAACCACCGCATAGAGAGGAAAAAGAAACCACTGAGAGCAGTTTTGCTTTGTTCCAAACGTGCCCCAAGCGAACTGAACCGCAAGAAAAGATATAGCCGACCCAAGGAGATTGGACACACATAAGAAATTCCAGAAAACGCAAGCAGAGAGGTAGGAAAAAAGTCTCCTTCGGTCCTGCGAATTTTGCGCAGGATGCAGCGCCAGCCTGATGAAGCATGCAGACAGGGTGAAAGAGAGAAGATTTTTTGGAAACAGGGGTATACCACTGCCAAAACACCGAATAAATGACTTGGACCTTGGAACTGGGTTGTGTTTAGTGTTACAAGTTGTGCGTGGAAGCGCAGACGACAAGTTTACTGAACCGCGGGCGCCCACATCTCATTAGACAAACCTCGCTGGTTCGGGTTGTAGTGGTCCGGCTCCGTGCTGTTGGGGCGACGGGGCATGGACGTTTGCGAATAGTACATGTTGTTGGAGTTGCCACCATAGTGAGGATCAGGATAGACATAGTTCTCTCCGGCTCCTGGGGAAGGGAGGGCCTGCTGGCTGGGCGATTGCCAGCCCATAGCCGACATGTGGGGGCTGCCGTTGGCGCTTCCAGGACCGGCGGACTGATTATGGTTGGCCGAGGCCGGAGGCTCCAAAATCTGCGGTGGTGGTCCATAGCCATTAGGGTGGGAGGTGATCGCAGGTCGCTGGGCGGCAACATTGGGAGGATAGTTTTGGGAGGTGAGGGAGGGAGACGCTCGAGGGCTGGCCTGGGGCATCTCGTTACGAATGTGCGCAGGCACATTCATGTTACCGTGCATGTAGGCATAGTCGGAGTTTTGACGGTGCATATTCGGCACGACGCCCGCAGGCATGCCAGCGGCAGGCGACAGGGAGAGCGGCCGATCGTGTGGTGATGCGGTGCCAATCTGAGAGGTCGTCTCGGAGAACTCGTCAGCATCGGAACGACCGGCGCGGCTTGGGGCGTTCGCCCTCGAGGCGAGGGCTGCAGCCGTGGCAGCGGCAGCCTCTTCAACCGTGCCGGTGTGCTGGTTCTGATGACGGGTTAGGGTAGTACGACGAGTAAACGTCTTTTGGCAGTCGGCATAGGGACACTTGTACGGGCGTTTCCCGGAGTGAATACGGCGATGGCGAGCCAAAGAGCTGGAGTCACTGAACGGCTAAGTGTATTGTCAGTTCATCATGATCAAGACGCGGGGAGAGAGCGGTCGAAAACTCACCTTGCCACATCGCTCACACATGTGAGGCTTCTCTCCAGTATGGACACGTTGATGGACAGTCAAGGCCGACCGCTGAATGAACTGTTTGCCACAGTTGGGGAAGTCACACACATGCGGGCGGACGCCGCTATGGATGCGTTCTGGATGCGGGTCAGTTCATGTGAAATGTAGAGGAGGGTCCAAGCTTCCTACCATGACGCGCAAGGTCACTGCGTCGCGCGAAGCCCTTTCCGCACGTTGAACATGGGAAAGCTTTGGGAGGGCCCGACTCGTTCACCGGTCGACCGCCCGCCTGCTGGTTCTGCTGGTCTGGCGCCTGCTGGGGTGGGGGGTAGGCGTGCTCAGGAGGATGGGGAATGTAGCTGTTGTTATTCAACAGCGGCATCGACGTCTGCATGGCGGAAGGAGACGGGTAGCGCATGCCATTCATGTTGTGCGCAGGCATCGGAGGGTAGGGGGGCAGTTGGGGGGGTTGCTGGGAGGAATAACGCGACGAGTCGGAAGGGTGAGGCGACACGCCGCGTTCGGAGCCATTCTCAGATTTTATGCGGCCATTGATATACTGCGGCGCTGCAAAGTGCTGCTGCTGCAGCTCATGCTGCATCTGGTGCTGCATCATCAACGGCGAACGTCGTGTCTATGGCGGTAGACTTTGCGTCCCGAAGAAAACGTTGCTGGGGCAAGGCGAGTCGGTGTGACGACGCGCGGTGTTGATGGTAAGGGGTGGTAGGGCAGTCGAGCGGCGAAAGCGCACCGGCAAGGGAGGGAAGTCGCCTCGGCGGTGGGGAGAGGCTACGACGCTACGCGGAGCGTCGACAGACGCGTTTGGAGGTGGTGAAGATGGTGATGAGAGTTGCGGTGATGGTGAGTATCGACGAGGTGGTCCGTTCAGCAGCGGGCCTCGTTTGTGTGGGCCAGGCCTGTGGAGGGCACCGAAGGACGAGGACACGGGGGTGAGGGTGAGAAGGGAGCTCGCTCAGAACAAAGCAAGGCCTGAAAGACGAAGAGAATGTGCAAGGCAAACGCAGAAGGGTCTTGGGTATGATGAAGTGGTTGCTTCAGCGCGTCCAGAGAGTGCGCCGTGGTCGTGCTGGGGAGGAGGGAAGGCCCTTGTGAAGGGGCTGATGGGCAAAAGAATATGAGTACGTAAGCGACTTGGCGCTCTTGGCAAGTTGGTGCAGCTGTCCACCGCGTCTGTCTTTTTTATGAGCGACTCCACCACAAGACGTCTTCTCTCGTCGCCAGCGCTCCACGCCTGCAATCATGCCCACGCGCTATCCTGGCCCGCTTCCGCTGCCGTCAGGGCTCTCTGCACAGCGTGGACAGAGCGCCCGCTCGCGGCTGTGCTCCGATGCTGCTTTGAGCACGCTGAAACCAAGGGATCTCACCCATATCCCAGCCAGCTAGGGGATGACTAAGAGGGCTGACATGTGTGTTGCGCCAGCGCTGCCAAAGTTGTCGTCACGTTGCGTTCATGATTCTCAGCTCAGGCCGTCAGGATATCCCCTCTCACCCAGGCGGGAGAGATGTGGTACAGGTAGAGCACAGTTGGGGTTCTGCCGCTTCCAGCACGTCACACACGTGGTGGAACTGTCCGCCGGCCGCTCCAAGGTTGTCTTTGCACCATAAGGCTTGCGACCAACGAGGCAATTGTGGCGTTTCCGCACCCCTATCTGCTTGCACAGCTTTGGGCAAATGCGAATCGGCGACGGGGGACGCTGACTGTGTCTGGCGACCAACAAAAGACAAAACACCTTCATTTCTCGGATTGGACACATGAACCCCTGGCCGCCAACTCCTCTCCCTCGGGTGTCCCTTCGGGGAAGCAGAAGAATGAGAGTGATGGGAATCCCAACATGGGGAGTCGACGGCCGGCTCATTTTGCTTTGCATTTCGTATCTATGCAATAATAATGCATCCTCCTGTCTTGTGTAACAGAAGCCAGAGTCGCCCTAATTCGATATGCTTCCCCCGTTCAATCCAGTCTACCCCTATTTGTTGAGCACCATCATGTCACGCGCGTGTCCCAAAAGTAAAGGAGATCGCCATCCAATCTCACCGCCTCTCGAAGAGTGAGTTACGGAGTAATGATGTCCTCATGATAATGCGTCACTCTGATTCACTCTGCTCTTCTCTGGTGAGGCTGCGCCGGCTTGTCAGGGGCACGCTTCTTTCGTGATGCGAAGCACGGACAGATCTCATGGAAGGTGTATGGAAGCTCTGTGGAATGCAGGGGTTGTGTGAGGTGGGTGAATAGGTACCCTAGGGTGCTCCGTGCATGCGCGTAAAAAAAGTGAGCGAGGTTGTCATTGGGGAGTGGATGTCGGGCCGCTGCAATGGGCGACTTCGGGGAATGGAGGTTGTTTGGCCGCTCGGTGACATTTTGCCTGAGGGCGAGAGAGAAGAGAATGGGATTTGACAATAATGTTGTTGATGATGGATTCGTTGGTTGGGAACAAATTCGCTGTGCCGGCAAGATCACACAACCGGACAGTTCGACACATGGTGATATTGCGTGTAATTATCAGCATATGGCTCTAGAAGCGCGAATGGGTTGTCGTGGCGCCTTGGAATTGTCTCTCAATATCAGGGGGAGATGCTGAAGAGAAAGTGACATGAATTGATCATTCCAACGCCTTCCGAAACGTCTTCACCTTTCTGTCCGACCAGATACCTACCTAGTCGATTTGATTGACGTCTTGAAACAACGTTGCAGCGATGCTCAGGCCAGCGCTTGGATGACGGTGTTTCGCAATCAGCTAAATTTAGGCGCTGCGTCAAAGCCCCCTTCTTTCATCGATCAATCAATCGACTCTGACGCCAAAGAGAGAAGAGTGGAGACATGGACCGATGCAGAAGGTTTCTAGAATGCTTCCATGGCTTCCATTGGAGATGGCACTACGGGCCTTTGGGCACATCCTGGCGGGCGTGCACGCAGCCCGACGGCGCTTGACATGCTTGAACCAGAACACCGTGCCCGCCGACCGGAGGGCGACTCGCTCAACAACAAGGGGACCATCATGCGTCCTGCGTCCCCTGCGTTTCTGCCGGATCACGATCATCGGGCCCTCGCACGAGTCGCTGGCTTCCCATGTCTGACCCGCCGCCCGGCCGGCAGGCCTGCATGCTTCCTAGCAGCCAGTGGCGGCTCTGCTTCCCCGATGCAAGTCCTCGTATTCACTCCTTATGAACGAGAGGGAGCCGGAACTTGGACTTGCGAATCGGCATCTTACGCTTGGACGGGGTTCAGCGGCGAGGTTGGGTATGCCAGGTTATGATAATGGGCATTGATTGTGGGAATTTTGTCGCTTCGGGGAGCGAGGAGCGCGAGGGAAATACTTGTTCAGGCATTTCTTCGCGGCTTTGTTGATGATAGTCGCCGCTTACTGTGAACGCGTTCGGTACTACTCCTTGGTACCGCCCTCTTAGGTAGATACATGCTCTGAAGCAGCGGTTAACAGCAAACTGCGACAACACCAGCGCTCCTCCAAGTTCACTCTCTAGACTAGGGTAGACTAGTAGGTTGACTCTTTCAATATCATACCCTATAGTACTGTGTACATGTTGGTCTTCTCTCGCAGCCCACTCCCCGTTCCGTTCTTGCTTCTCGAGAATACCTTGTCTAGCTCGATCCGTGGACGTGCAGACTACGGAAAACCTCTGAAGTTTGATTTAGCCGTGATATCGTGACGCAATCTGTGCACCGTGCAGGTAAGGTGGAGGGCGAACACAGCATCCAAGCGCCCTTCCAGAAGCCTTCCGCTTTGGGAGAGTGAGTAGGGTATATCGGCGGAAGCTGTGCGGGCGTGGAGGCAGCATCAGCATCAACATCAGCATCAGCATCAACATCAGCATCAGCATCAACCAGCGTCAGCGTTATCAGCAACCCTTGGGAACAGCATCAGCAAGTAGTCTACGATATTCCAAGGTGAATCATGTACCTACCACCAGTAGGTGCCGTCACCTACAGGGGGATTTGCGGTCAAGCCATGGCCGTTGCAATTAGTGCTGGTGGAGAGTGTTCAGGGGATGGACTACTCCTCTATTCTTTGGAGATTGAGAGGTTTGTGCAGTGGTTTTTAGTCATTTCCTCAAAGATGAACGGATTTGAAATTGAAGTAGGAGAGTGAGAACGGGGACGACGATCTATGAAGAGGAGGAGAGTTCGTTATTCGCTTTGAGAAAAGCTAGGGAAATTAACTAAGAAAGACGACGAAGGTACAGTACTGAGGTATATACGCCGCGCTCCGCAATGCTCAAACCAAGATGCCCAGAACCCAAAAACCAAAGAGAAGAATATCAAATCATAAAATACCATCCCCTAAACCTTGGGCACACCCCCCGTCCCGAACAACTCCATCTTGATCCTACTCTCCGGAACACCATACCCCATCAACTTCCTCGCCGTCTGCACCATAAACTGCGGCGGCCCGCAGACAAAATACGCCGTCTTGTCGTTCTCCACAAACAAATCCTCCTTATCCACCAAATCCAAATCCAAACGACCCCGGACATCGTAATCCTTGCCCTGGACCTCGCCCTCGGCGGGTTCCGACGAGAAGTACACCGTCTTGACATTCTTATGCTGCGTAGCCAGCGCATCGGTATATTTCCTAAACGCCCTCACCTTCTCGTTCCGCGCGACGTGGATCCAGGAAATCTTCGTCTTGGTGCCCTTGCCCTCTTCCACGAGCGAATTCAGCACACTCATCAAACACGTCAAGCCCACGCCCGCCGAAATCAGGACCACGGGCGTCTTCTCCCCAACCTGCTCCGCGGGCTCATCAAGGAAGAAATCTCCAAATGGATGCGACACGCGCACCACATCGCCCACCTCCTTCTTCTCATGCAAGAGATTGGACAGATAACCGGGGTGCATCAGACTCTTCGGCTCGCCGATCTCGACGGCAGGCTCCTTCTTCACCGAGATGCGTAGGTACGGTTTCCCCGGCGCGTCGCTGAGGCTGTACTGCCGTGCCTGCCACACGCCGCCGTCGAGCTCGTCGACGAACAGATTGACCGAGATGTACTGCCCCGGCTTGAAACGGGGTAACTTGAACCCCTGCTCCACGGGCTCGAGGTAGAACGAGGTAATCTCCTCACTCTCCTTTTCCTTCTTAACAATGCTAAAATCCCTCCAGTCGGCCCACTCGCTCGCCTCGTCGTACAGCGCCTTCTCCCGCGCGATCATCAGCTCCGCGAGTTGCCAGTACGCGGCCGCCCAAGCGTCCATGATATCCGGCGTCGCGGCGTCCCCGAGCACCGCCTTCAAGGATGCCAGCAGATGCGTGCCGACGATGTTGTACTGCTCGGGGCGGATGTAGAGGGAGGCATGCTTGTGGCAGATGAGCTCGACGGCGGGCGCGAGGTTGCCCAGGGCGTCGATGTTGGAGGCGTAGGCGTAGAGGGCACCCGCGAGGGCGGCGGGCTGGTGGCCCGTCTGCTGGTGCGTGTTGTTGAAGACGGATTTGAGCGAGGGGTTGGCGGCGAGCAGGTCGGCGTAGAAGTGCTTGGTGATGGCGAGGCCGTGGGCGGCGAGGACGGGGACGGTGGCCTTGATGGTGGAGACTTGTGAGGGGGTCAGGGAGGGCGCCATGGCGGTGGTAGCTTACTGCCTTGTGCTATCTCTTTCTTTTTGATAACTTTTTTCGTTCCGTCCAAGTCCCTTTACACAAACGTACTATGTATGTAGAATGTCGCCGGGAAAAGGAAACAGTTCAATGGGATGGCGGTATATATATACACATATATATATACAGTAAATGCTCGGTCAAATGCACCAATGCAAATCAATCTTGACTGGACGATGCCACACTGCCGCCTCGGTAGATAACTGTCAGAAAGCTGAATTGCTAGTGGTGTACAGTGGTAGGGTGGTAATCTGGATATGCAAGATAAGTTATCAAAAAATCCCCATATCTCCCATCCCCACTGGACCCTTTATACCTTCCCCCATCCCGCCTCGACATGGGCATCTCCACGGAGAAAGCATCGCCTTGTTCGATACTGTGTTACTAGCACTGGTCTCGCCGTTGCCCCATCACCAGAGACGAGAAAATTTTGTGAGGTCGGGGTAGGACGAGGACGGGCGATGGGGCCATGGCCTGACCAGTTGTCGATCACAGCCAGTCGGTGCTTACGTACGCCGAAATCCGGGCGGGACACACGATCTGGCCGAGGGGAGAAAAGCGGGAGAGACCGGGTGGTAGGGGCAAGGAGCGTGTGATTGGTGCGGAGGTGGCCAAGGGGAATTCTGGTCCTTAGGGCTGTGGATGGGGCCACCATGATATGTTTTACTTGACGTATGATTTTATTTGGCCAGCCTGCATCTTTCATCGTGGTGTTGCGGTAATAGGTGATGGTTCGAGATGCTTATGATAAAGTTCAGAGTGACTGGGAGGCCTAGGTAGTACAGCGCAGGGGGGAAGTTTTGGGTTTTTTTGGGGGGGAGAGGGGGTTGACATTGTACTTGGGGAGCATGGGAAAAAAAGCGGAGATGCGAAGGGACTTCAGCATCGTGGTGAAAAACCGGTGCAACGGGGCTAGTCAATTGTCGGGGGAGACACTGTGTAGTACTGGATTCCATTAGTGTCAAATCATGTTTCCAGCTTACGTTGTTTTGAATTACCTGCTAGTTCAGGCTCGGCCGTGGTTTTTGCTCCCTCTCTTTGGGAGTGATAAAAGCCCAGACATATAACAATGCACCCACAGCAGTCGTATGACTTCGATACTTGCCATTTGAGAAACGTGAGTTTGCTCTGTATACGCGTCATAAAGCAAGACCAAGTAACAACCTCTGTCAGCGTCAATTACACAATCGTCCAACATCTGTGCCTCTCTGATTAATAAAAAGTGTGATGTAGCTGGGCTCCAAAGTACAGCTCAAATATCTACTGTACCCGCACCACTAAAGCGCCAAGTTTGGTATTATCATTAGCTTTTAGTAGATAGCTGTATATACCTAAACCCAAGGACTAACGCCGTCTATATTTCCCTTAAGTTACAACCTTGGAACCTCCCATCCTCAATCCCCCTCACCTTCCCTCCAACCTCAACCGCCCCGCCACCCTCCCCTCCTCCCTCCTCGCCACTGCAAACCACAAACTACTCACCACGCACAGCGCAACTCCCACCCAGCTATGCGCCGGCATCCGGAACCGACTCAACAGCATCAACTGCAGCGCCCCCCGGGGGACAGCCAGAAACGTAAACGTCAGCGGGGACGTCGCCTTGACCAGCAGCAGCGTCGACACCAAGACGGCAAAACTGCCCAACGCGCCGCATAGCACCATGAACCAGAAGAACGGCACGTCGAGAAAGTAGATGTTGCGCAGGATGTCCGGCAGTTCGCCTGAGATGAGGACCATGGGGGTGAGGAGGAGGATGGAGAGGAGGGACGTGTAGTGCAGGACGCGGTAATACGCGCGGGTTTCTTCGCGGTTGGAGATGTCAGGGTTGCAGCCGTCGACAGAGTAGTAGTTCGTTAGCAGGTCGCCTTGGGGGACGAGTCCGGCAACAAGGGTGCGGTACGTGCGGAGGAGGAAGATGGGGTAGAGAGCGACGAAGATGGAGGAGAAGACGCCGGCGACGATGGAGTCGGGGGTGACGCGGACGTTGGTGCGGATGGCCGCGAAGAGGAGGTTGAGGGTTGCGATGAGCGCCGCCGAGAGGGTCGAAGGGCTGTGGTTCTCTTTTTGGAGAACGCACGAGAGGATGCAGGCGAAAGGGGTCACGCCTATGCGGGCGAGTTGGTAGACGGAGAGGTCTGCATAGCTGCGGCAGGTTAGCTTGCGTGATGCTTTAGATGTGGAGGAGAGGGCTGATTACGCAAATGAGACGTTGCTGAGGAGGACTCGGGCTACGAAGACGATGGCCAGAGGCAGCACTTGCTTGGCTACCTTTGTCTCGAATTCGAAGAGCCCTCCTCCAGCGATACCACCTGTACCGCTGACCAGCCAGCGCCCAACTTGTCGAGCCGATGGCTTCCTGTTGGGTTGTCTGTATGCTCCACCAGCCGGGGCGGAAGCGTACGCTGGAGCCACAGCGGCGCCGAACCCCCATCTCCGCAGCGGTCCCCCGAGGCCTCTCGTTAGGCTTGAGAAGCCAATAAGCAGCAGGTGCGTGAAGATGAATTGGAGGTACGTCGACGTCAGTGGGTAACTGAATCTGTGCCTTGATGAGCCTCCGTCTCCTAGCAGAGCCGAACCACACATACTTGTAGACCCCCGTTATCAGGATGAACCGATTCATGAGTAACAGTCCAAAACTGCACCCAACGACCCAGAAGACCAGCAGGCCTACCCAAATCTGCCAACCCATCCACGTTCCCAAGAAGAAGCCCCCTAGCCCACCCTGCCTCATGATGCCGTTCCACCCACGCCCTCCGCTCGCAACATCACTGCTCACAAGCGGCCTGATACTGCTCGGCGGCTCAAACTCGTCGTCTTCGTCCTCACTCTGCACCGCGCTCCGGACTCTGGGGTAGGGAGAAGGCGCCCGACTCCCACTCGCACTTCCAATGTCAATCAGCGGAAGCGGGGGCTGCAACTCGGACTGCGAGTTCTTGCTCGAGTGACTTGTCCGGCCAGACTCCATTTGTGCGTAGTGCTCTATATCGTCGTGGTCTGTATCATCGAGCGAGCTCGTGGAACCCGTACGGCGGGCTTGCGGGCGCTCCTGCTGGTGTGAGCGTTTCCTATTGCTGCTGAGGGGTGTTTTTCGGATTGCGGAGTTGTAGTTGTTCAGGAGGTCGAAGGCGGGGCGGAAGAATTTCTGGGTGCTGCGCGTGAAGGGACGGCCGGAGTTCATGGTGCCTCTGAGCACGGTACAGGGCAAGGATATGGCATGTTGGAACCCGTGGTGCTGGCTATAGCAATTGGGACCCTCGAAATGTTGGAATGTTGAAGTCCACTGCTCAAGCCACGGCAGGGGTAGCTGGGGCAGCAGGGGGTTCGTTTCGTCCTGTGATTCTTGGCATGCTTATGGTGGACTATTAGTGCAAAATCTACGTACTATGGTACAAGCAGCATAGTTTCTAGCCTACTTACGTAGTGTATGTACGCAGCAAGTACGCAGAGCAAGTACGCAGAGCAAGTACGTAGTATATATCCGCAGCAAGTACGCTGTATCTATATATAACCTATCTACCTACGCCTGCCTACCTATACTGCCTGCCTGCCTGTCTACCTCTCTATCTGCCTGTCTGGCCGCACCTGTCTCTCTGCATCTGTCTCTCTGCACCTGTTCCTCTGCACCTGTCTTCCTGCATTTGCCTGCCTATGCTACTTCTGCCTATACTTACTTTTACTTACAGTATATACTTGCAATTTTATATATACACTGTCTAAGTAGGCTAGAAACTATGCTGCGTGTATGTAGATTTTGCAGGTTAGCCGCGCAATTAAATTTTAGCACTATACCTGGTAATAGTCCATCGTACATGCTATTTAAACGCCCGAGCGTGCTCTGAAGCTTCAAATGTTTGTTCAAGCTGATGGAGTGTGCAGTCCGAGCTCTACCACCTGGACAACAAGACTGCTTCTTACAATATCTGACACTAATCTAACAACATTGACCGGTACACTGTACACAAGGAACACTTCATTTCATTCCACGTTGGTCCGTATCCAGACTCCAGTGGAACATCACTTCCAACGTAAAGTAACAACAATGCGTAATAAAGGGTTCAAGGATTAGTTTCCATGATTCCTATCCCTTCCAAACAAAGCGGTCATAGGAGAATACAGAGGTCAACCTCGTCCAATCGAACTTGGAGCATGCATGGCGAGGTTCTTTGCACATCTAGATTGGGAATCCATCAACGTACAAGGGAGAAAAGCCTCAAAAGACACAGTCAGGATTCTACCGCTTACCAAGCGGCTTCATGAAGCATATAAGGATAAGTTTATCTATGGAGTTAAGAGTATCTGAGTACCAATCTCGATGGCGACAGCCAGTTTCACGTCACCGCTTTCCATCTTGACCTTCCTTGGAAAGTGATTCGCTTCGCAATTGCTGACCGGTGCGCACACGCATGATCCAAGACCATTCATTCCAATGAAGTAACAGAGTCTCCATGTCGCGGATGCCTCTATTCCGTTCCCGCAGTCTCAGCCAAGCCGGCCACCTGACGTTTCCGACCCATCGACAGCTGTGTACGCTTCCTTGGCGATGAATCGACTTCACTGCCATCACCCAAATCGTCGTTGAGAGGATGCGCAAGGCGACGTTTAACAGGCGTACCGCTTTCCGAGCGCGAATTCGGAGGAGATGTAACATTCGTCTCGCCAACAGGGCTCTCGCTGCGGAGACCATGTACGGTTATGGCCTTGGGGTTCAGGTGCGCGAGACTCCCAGGTCTAGTCCTGGATCGGCTCGTGAGAAACGGAGGAGCATCGCGAGTGTTCGGTGGCACAGGCTGCGGAGGGGGCTGTCGCGGAAGAAGACGTCGTGGTCGAAGACCGAAATCCGAACTCGGAGTCTCTTGGGGTGGGCTTGCATGAGGCAATGCAGCTGATGGCAGCGCTCTTGATGTAGGTGTGCGGGGCGCTGAACCCTTTCTACCCGGGGCATTTTTGGAGGTGGAACTCGGTGCTTGGACTTGCTTTACGCCTTCTGTGAGCTCCTTGGCGACCTCCTCTTCGATCTTTGTGGGCTTCTTGGGTCGCAGAGGCTTGTACTCTGTCACTTCGGGAGCACCAGAAAACGTGTACCATTGACCCTTTGCTCGCAGCTTCCCCAACGCATACTCCTTGTTGGAATCATCCAAGTAAGCAGGATGTCCGCGATTGAGTCGACCCTGCTTGATGTGGCCCTGGTGGTTGAAATCCCATGGCCAAAACTCTCGCATCTCCTCCCTCGTATACGCCTGCGACGAGTAGATAGCGTAGCAGGCCCGGTCGTCGAGATAGACATAGCGCGGTGGCTCGTTCTCGCTACCACGGACGATGGGCAGTTCGATCTCGTTGATGAAAATCTTCCAGGTGGGATGGCCGCGGACGAGGGTCATGGAACGCTCGATCAAGTGGGGGGTGGAGTCGCCGTTGCCGTCGCCAGATCTCCAGACCATGCGCATGCGGCGGCCATCGGAGACCATCTCGGGCATCTGCTGCTCTTCACAGTTGCTGTCGTTGTCATCATCGCTGGAGTAGAGATCATCTGAATCACCAGGCTGGGGAGTGCCGCCTAGATCGTCCTGTTGGACGAGGTCGTCCAGATGCTCCATGGCCGCGGGATCAGACATTTCGACGAGATCAAGGAAGGAGACACGGAACAAGGATCGAAACAGAAAGGAAGTGGGCGTAGGTGTTTGAAAAAGAGAGGAGGAAAGAGGAGCAAATGACGTTGGGTTGATATGGCGAAAAGAGGCGGTCGGCCTTTCGCTACGTATGGGGCCGCCATACTGACAGCTAACTATAGTGAAAGGAAGCTGCGTTACTTGACCTCATAATTCTATACTTTTAGATCCCTAGCTTGCTGTGCCGAAGAGATGAGCGAAAGCCAAGAGGCTTTCACCAAGCACCCTTAAGCATAAGTTGGTTCTGGGCTGCTTTTAGTGGTGCAAAAAATCAGAGCTTGGAGAAGGATGTCTATGCATGAACCTATCCCTACGTTTGCTATGTTTACCAAACTCAATGCAGATCGAGCATTGAGGTCGTCAGTTCATGGTCAGGAAGTGTGTAGTCAACAAATGGCCTACACTTGCAGTATTGGCAATTGCGCTTAATTGACAGCATCGGAGTCTCCCATTGGGATAACTAATTGAAACGACAGGTACCGTTCGGATACATTCACGGTTAAGATTACATTGCATTGGCGATGGTTTTGGATAAGTTGGCGATTTGGCCGCGGCCATTCAAAACGGAGTAGATGTCATCGATGACACGCTAACCCCGATTTGAAATAGTTTTGCCGAGACCGACGTCTCTATCTCAACCACCATCCATTCCACAGCGAGAGCCATTCTCGACAACGCCTGTCCCAGCGCGCTGAGAGCATCAATTGCGCGAGTTTCGTTCATTCTTGCGGCAAGATGCTCGCACGGCATACTCGTGCTGCCCAGGCGCTGAGCGCCGTCCCGCACCCAACTCTCCCAGCAGCTTCGGTAGCTTCACGCCTTTCCACAGCCGCCACCCCATCTCGACCACAGAGGAGGAACCTCGCGACTGTACACGATTCAGCCCCCAAAAGGACATATGGTGGATTGAAGGATCAGGACCGAATCTTCCAGAACCTCTACGGCCATCATGGAGCGGATCTGAAGAGCGCCATGAAGTATGGCGACTGGTACAAGACGAAAGAGATTCTCCTGAAGGGTCACGATTGGGTAGGATTGGACGTGCACCATACAGAGGATTCAGTGCTCACACAATGCAGATTATCTCAGAGATCAAGGCCTCGGGACTGCGCGGCCGCGGTGGTGCCGGTTTCCCTTCCGGTTTGAAATGGGTATGTGAATGGCATGGATTGCTATCTATCGAATACTAATAATGGTGTAGTCATTCATGAACTTCAAGGATTGGGACAAGGATACTAAGCCTCGCTATCTAGTCGTCAATGCTGATGAAGGAGAGCCGGGTACTTGCAAGGATCGTGAAATCATGCGCAAAGACCCCCACAAGCTCATCGAAGGATGTCTCGTTGCCGGTCGTGCGATGAACGCCACTGCTGCCTACATTTACATCCGTGGAGAATTCTACCATGAGGCCACCGTACTCCAGCGCGCCATCCAGGAAGCATATCAAGCCGGTCTTATTGGCAAGAACGCCTGCGGCTCCGGCTACGATTTCGATGTTTATATTCACCGAGGAATGGGTGCCTACGTGTGTGGTGAGGAGACGTCTCTCATCGAATCACTAGAGGGAAAGCCTGGCAAGCCTCGCCTTAAGCCTCCTTTCCCGGCTGCCGTTGGTCTGTTCGGGTGCCCCTCAACCGTTGCGAACGTCGAGACTGTCGCTGTTGCGCCAACCATCTGCCGGCGAGGAGGCAGTTGGTTCGCCTCGTTTGGACGTGAGCGCAACTCAGGCACTAAACTCTTCGCAATTTCTGGTCACGTCAACAATCCCTGCACCGTCGAGGAGGAGATGAGCATCCCGCTCCGGGAGCTGATTGAGAGGCACTGTGGCGGCGTCCGTGGAGGATGGGATAATCTGCTGGCTGTTATCCCTGGCGGCTCATCCACGCCCATCCTTCCTAAGCATATCTGCGATGATCAAATTATGGATTTCGACGCTCTTAAGGACGCGCAATCGGGGTTCGGTACTGCTGCCGTCATCGTCATGGACAAGTCCACGGACGTCGTCCGGGCCATTACCCGTCTCGCTAAGTTCTACCACCACGAGTCCTGTGGACAGTGCACACCGTGCCGAGAGGGTTCGAAGTGGACACACCAGATCATGGACCGTTTCTACCAGGGCCAGGCTAGGGCACGTGAAATCGACATGCTACAGGAGTTAACGAAGCAGGTCGAGGGCCACACCATTTGCGCCCTTGGTGAAGCTTTCGCATGGCCTCTGCAGGGTTTGATCAGGCATTTTAGGCCTGAGCTTGAGGCAAGAATAAAGGATTATGGCCTGAAGCATGGCGGAGAGGCATTGGCTGGAGGATGGGATCACGACGCGGCGAAGAAGGGCCAGCTCGTCGCACCGGGACAGTAAGAGACGACACTGTACAATGTTTCCTTGCGTTCAATTGGAGCTTGTAGATCACTGAACCTGTGCATATTAGATCACCAGTGTAAAACGGCTCGATCCCCATGCACTTGTAGCATTGAGTCGTGACGATGGTATCTCATAACCCCCAAACTCCGCACCGGAAAACTCAAACTAGATTTTGATCCCGTTCCGAACAAGACATGCATCAACCTGCCAACGCCCCACCCGAAAATGCAAAGAACAATTACTTCCTTCCGACACTCAGCCCAAGCAGATATTGATGAACTCTTCCCTACTTATCGCGGAGTCCCCATCCATATCGAACTCTTCAATCATAGCAACCAGCTCCTCCTCTTGTAGACCCTCCCCGAGCTCCCTTGCCACCCGTCGTAAATCCTGCAAGGTAATCCTCCCCTTTCCGCCCTCATCGAACAAATCGAATGCGCGTATAATCTCCTCGGTCGGATCTCTACTCAATATTCGCTGGGCCATGAGTGTCTGGAAAGTCTGGAAAGGAAGCAGTAACCTTGGCGGAGCCCGATAAGCCTGCTGCGCGGCCTGCTTCGCCTTGGAAGAGGTTGGTTGTGCGGGTGGCGCAGCTTGTACGCCGTGGGTTTGAAGGATGGAGAGGATTTCTTGCTTGGGGAGGTCGAAGCCTAGGGCGCGCATGGCGACTTTGAGTTCGTGGTAATCAATGTACTGGTCTTTGTCCAGGTCGAAGAGATTGAACTGGTATGAATCAGCAACCGCGTCAAATCTCCCCAGTTAAACATGGAGCTTACAGCTTCCGTGATCTCTTCTCTCTGCTCCTCGCTCAATTCTGCGAGACTGTTCTGCCCTGCTTGCTCTAACCTCTCTCTCTCCTCCCGGACTTTCCGCTCCCGCTCTAGCCGCTCAGCTTCGAGTCTTTGCTGTGTCTTCGCGCTCGATCCGTACGGCGCGGCGGGTGTGGTGAATGTGGCTGGGGCGCCGCTGGGACCGCTGGCGCGACCGAGGCCGTAGCGGGGTGCGAGTGGTGGATTGTTGGAAGAGGATGCCATTGACGGTACAGTGAGGAGGGATGCGCTGCGGTATGAGGATTTCTAAGGTTGAGCGTAACAATGCGCTTGCTACTCTTTGTTGGGGTGTGGTGGTTTAGATGATGGACGCGCTTCGCGCGTGCCGAAATCGGGTTAGCGCAGATTTAGATACTGGGATAGCTTTTGAGCTCCAGAGCGGAGCTTTCGCCTTGCTCAAGCTGTACGAATCCATACTATCTTTATACGGCTCTGCTACTCTACCGAGCATGACGAAACATGGTCCTGCGAAAACTGAGCTCCCGGTGGAGTGATGCATCCTGTAGGCCGTCATAGGCAAGCTTCAGGCAGCTATCAGGCAGGCTAGGTATCGCATTAGGTAGATGGCCACGGCATCCGATGATTCTCTATAAGATGGCTGTTGAAGGGGACTTGCCCCGTCCATTTCTGAAGGCGATTAGCAAAAACATTTGACTCGAATTTCTCTACTCCGTGCTCAATGCAAGTAAAATTCACGTGACTGTGTAACTCTTGGCGAGTGAGCTCGGACCTTTGCTATAACTGACGACGGTTCCTCCTCGCCATCCAGCGTACTCGCTCGCGCGCAGCTACTTCAACCGCCTGCCACCCTCCCTCTCGCGACGGTCATTTCATCACTTCTTTTACTTGCTCTCTGAGCTCCTTCAATTCTTTTCAGCGCCCAACGCACAACTGCGCTCGGGTCTTGGCGTGTTTTCGTCAACAGAGAGCTTTTCAGTTCGCGCTTGTTGCTGCGAGCCCACTTGCTCCTCCTCCACCTACACGTCCACACCTACATCGCACACGCAGGCATCTTTTCGCATATCATCCATCAATACTGAGCACCATCATACACGCGCGCTCTTGCTGGGCTGCCCAAAATGTCTTTTGGGAGCGGCTCCGGCTTTGGGGGCTTCGGCTCCAATACCAATCAACCCACGTTTGGCGGCTTCGGCTCGACAAACAGCAGTAATACAGGTAAGCACTTCTCTTCTCTTTAACCATGGTTCAAATGCGGCTTCACGTCGCGGGCGGATACGCGACTGTCGACGAGCGCCAACGATCCCTGCAAAACATCTCTAACTCGACCCCTCCGTCCAGGCTTTGGTTCCAATACTGCCACAAGCGGTTTCGGTCAGCCCAGCACAGGTGGTAGCCTATTTGGCGGCGGTTCGAATACGACAAGCTCTCCGTTTGGAGGTGGAGGTACGTTTTACCATTTGCGCGTCTTCGCGTTCCCGGTGCCCCGCTGTGTGTCTCGACTTGGCTTTGGCAGCTCGATCGTTCGGCTTCGATGTGTAGCTGGTGGTTTGCAACTTTGCGCGTCAAGGCGTAGCGTCAGTTGCGGGCTTACTGCTTTGATTTCTTGCTGATGTATTTTCTTTGGAAACACTCTATACTGACTGATCCCTCTTTAGGTAGCGGCTTCGGTACAAACACCAACACCGCTTTCGGTTCAAAACCCTTCGGCGGCTCTGGTACGACTGGTACCAGCCTTTTCGGGGGCGGTAGCTCGACTGGACCAACATTCGGCGGCTTCGGCAGCACGAATACATCTACACCAGCCTTCGGTGGGGGTAGCACCGGCGGTGGGCTTTTCGGACAGAAGACAACTGGATTTGGGACTACAAGCACTGGAACAGGCACAGGCGGCTTATTTGGCGGCGGAAGCACAGGTGGGGGCTTTGGGTCCACTACGACAGGAGGCTTCGGGACCTCAACTTCCGGATTCGGCGCAGCGACATCGACTCAACCCAACAATGGTACCGGCAGCGTGCCTTTCAGCGCGTTCCAAGAGAAGGACGGGACGGGTTCACAACACTTTCAGACCATTACCTTCCAACAACCATATCAGAATTACTCTCTCGAGGAATTGAGGCTGGCAGATTATAATCAAGGTCGGCGGTATGGCAATCAGAACGGACAGGCAGGAGCTTTCGGACAGAGCACTGGCTTCGGTGGGTTTGGCACCGGCACGGGTACAACTTCAGGCTTTGGAACCAATACCGGCGGCGGTCTCTTTGGGGGTGGTGGCACCACTACCAGCACGCCGTTCGGACAGAGCAGCACCACAGGCACGGGCTTTGGAAGTACGGCTACTACTGGGGGAGGGCTATTTGGGCAGCAAAGCAAACCGGCTGGTGGGCTCTTCGGCACCTCGACCACGACCCAGCCAAGCGGAGGTGGGCTATTCGGAGGGTCTACCACGACAGGAACCGGAGCTTTCGGGACCGGAGGAGGCACAGGATTCGGCTCTTCGACCACCGGAGGTGGCCTCTTTGGACAACAAACCCAGGCCCAGAAGCCTGCCTTTGGTGGTTTTGGTTCAACCGGCACTACGACGGGTACTGGCTTCGGAAGCACTACTGGCACTGGTGGCGGACTGTTCGGACAACAAACTCAGACCACGTCAGCCCCGGCTTTTGGTAGTACTCAGACGGCGACTACAGGTGGAGGACTCTTCGGTGGCGGAACTAGTACCGGCGGCGGTCTCTTTGGACAGAACCAGCAAACCCAGACTCAGTCCCAACCATCTGGTGGACTTTTTGGAGGCTTTGGTCAGAGCGGCACCCAACAACAGCAACAGAAGCCGGGTGGATTGTTCGGTAGTTCCACCACAACTACCGGCGGTGGGGGTTTGTTCGGTCAAGCTGCTCAGCCACAGCAGACTGGCGGTGGTCTCTTTGGCCAGACGCAGCAGACCCAGCCCCAGGGAACAAGTCTGTTTGGGGCCAAACCCGCAACAGGAGGCGGTCTTTTTGGCAGCACCACCCAACAGGGCACTGGGACAACGAGCGGAGGGCTTTTCGGTAACTTGGGTACGTCAAGCCAGCCGACCCAGCGAACCAGTTTATTTGGCCAGCAAGCCCAACAGCAGAAGCCTGGCGGACTCTTTGGTGCGTCGACAACCACCGGCACTGGTGGCACAAGTCTCTTTGGTCAAACTCAGTCCACCACTACCCCTGCTTTTGGTGGATCGCTGTTCTCGAGCCAGACTCAGCAGCAACAGCCGCAACAGCAATCGACCGGGCTCGGTGCCTCGCTTCAGACTTCTATAAACACGAATCCGTATGGCAATGATGCCCTTTTTGCCGGTCTCGTCACACCTACACAGAGTCCTGGTCCGCTCGCTACGCCTCTCTCGAGCAGCCAGAAGACCCGGAAGCCGGCGCTCTTGCCGCAGCACAAGCTGAACCCCTCTGCTTCGACTCGCCTTCTTACACCCCAGACCAAGCGGGCTGGAGGATATGGATTCACCTATTCCACCTACGGGACTCCGACCAGCGCCAACACGAGCCCCAGCTTCACATCGAGCTTCCTTGGCGGCAGCAGCCTTTCCAGATCCCTTGGGAAAAGTCTGTCAACCAGCAATCTGCGGACTAGCTATACTCCGGAGGCAAGCATTCTTGCTCCTGGCGCTTTCTCAACGACTGGTCGCTCGCTTGGCTCTGGTGGTATGAAGAAACTTACCATCAATCGCTCGATAAACACACGTCCGGTGTTGTTCGATGATACTCCTTCCGAGAAGAAGCGTGTCAGCTTCGTGAATGGTCTCGAGACCAATGGAACCAATGGCACAGAGGATCGTCCGTCAAGGGGTGGTGAGCTGGTTCTGCGCGCTGAGCCTGAACGTGAGCCTGCGGTTGACCACGAGCAATCGCCTCCCTCTCGCACAGGAGAGATCAACGGCGTCTCGGAGCAGCCGGAGATGACACAGGTAAATGGCAAGGACCTTACCACCACCCCCGAGCGCACCACCTCGGCACCGCTCAATAAGCAAGGCGGTGCTATCGTGGACCCAACTCCTGGAGATTACTATTCTCGTCCTAAGTTGGACGAACTCCGCAAGATGAGCCGAAGCGAACTTTCCAAGGTCGAGAACTTTGTCGTAGGACGGGATCGTATCGGAGAGATCCAGTTCAACCCTGGACATCCTGTAGACCTCACTGGTGTCGACCTGGACAAGCTCTTCGGCGACATCGTGCAGCTCACCACCCGCAATGCCACCGTCTATGGTGAGACATGCACCATACCGAAGCCAGCACGGGGTACAGGCCTCAATGTCTTTTCCCGTATCACGCTCGGCAATTCCTGGCCGCGTAACAAGGCCGGAAAGAAGGACCGGAAGCATGTGGAACGCTTGAAGCGTGTTTATGGCACCACTTTTGAGGAGTATCGTCCGGAGACTGGCGAGTGGGTTTTTACCGTGCCACACTACAGCTCATACGGTCTTGATTATGATGGCGATCAATACAGCGATAACGAGGATGATGAGGATGATGAGTCCAGCGAACTCAGCGACGCTCCGGATACCCCCTTGCAACAACATTCCGGTCGCTTGACTGCGACGCCTTCTGAGGCTAGTGACAGTCCTACCCAGAGCGTCGACGATACTTTTGAATTCAGAAGGAGACGCGCTCATGTACCTGGAGGCTTTGGGAATGAGGCAGCTTATGAAGAAGACGTCAACATGGATTCCACTGGAGGCGAGTCTTTTTTAGGGCAGCGCTCCGTGGGTTCGCTTGATGGACAGCAAGATGCTGAATATACCGAGAGCGAATCGGGATCGGATCACGAGCAGGACTTGGCGGGTCCTGTATCAGCGCCGACCCAGACCACGGAGCAACAAGCCGCCACTGTCAACATGCCCAAGTCTATCCTGAAGAACAGCCAGATGCTTTTGCAGGGTATGGGCACCCCCTCGAAAGGCCATTTGGTATTCGACGACGACTGGGCAAGTCAATTGCAGCGCACGATCAGTCCTAGGAAGCAGGATCGTCAGGCCCTTAGAGAATGCCAGGAAGATGTCTTGCGAGAACACGATGAGCATTCCAAATTTGGGCGTTCTACGAAGACTAACGATCAGCCAATCTTTACACGGTTGGGTATGATGGAGTCATTGTTCGGAGAATCAGAGGATCGGGAAACGAAGGGAAAGAGAGCAGGAAAAGGTTTCGAGGTTTGTTCCCCTTTTCCCCCATCCTCCACGCTTCAGGTCGCAATTTCTTAGGGTATCCTTGGCAAATTGTCGTCTGGGATTGGAATGTCACATCATGTACCTATCCGAAATTCATGATGATCATTACTGAAATTTCTACTCAACAGTTCCCCTATGCAAAGCGACCCAAGACGTCTGACGATCTGAACCGATTGAGTGCCGACGATAGAGCTTTCCACTCGTGCAATAAGCCTCACTTTGACGAATCTGGCACCTTGATCTACGCAGCTAAAGGTGCTAAGTCCTTGGAAGACGGCATCTACCGAACCGTTCAACAACCGATTTCGGGCTCTGATAGGGACATCCGCTTCACGAAGCTGCCCACCTTTGACGATGCCGCACCGGAGACCTTAACTCTCCAGAAAAAGCAAACCAAGATCTCGCTCCAAGACGGTGTACCATTGGCCAAAATCATCACCGAACCGGACCCGCTTGATTTCGCTGACATGGCAAAGCGTGTTGCTATAGACACTGCAGCTGGCCAACACGAGCTTGAAGTTTGGCAGCTGTTGTCCATTCTGTTCGACGAAGTCGATGAAATCCCTAGCGAGACGGGCACCTTTTCTTTTCAGAAGTATAGGGACCGTTTCCGCAAGGAGAAGCTTTCCAAGTTCTGGGAGTCCCTTGTGTTTCGAGATGCGGAGAAGCACGCTCATTCAGCGACTACTCCTGAGGAAAAGGCCTTTGCCTATCTTACCGCGCATAATGTTCCGGATGCATGCCATGCCCTCCTCTCAGGCTTAGATCTGCGCCTGGCGACCATGGTTGCTCAGATAGGTGGGGATCTTGCAATGCGTCAAGACATGGCCTCTCAGATTGAGGAGTGGCGACGCCTTGATGTGGTTTCTGAGATGACGGAACCCATCCGTGCTCTGTACGAACTCATCGCTGGAAACTGTGCGCAATCCGAGGGGAAGCAGCTCGAGGGCCGTGAGAACAAAGCGAAGACCTTTTGCATTTCTGAGGAGTTCGGTCTGGATTGGCGTCGTGCATTCGGACTACGCCTATGGTATGGGATACTTGCTGACGAGCCCATTGAGCTGGCCGTTGCGCAATTCGCGGATGCTCTTCGCGATGGCGTCGAGACCGTCAAGCCAAAACCTTGGTTCGTGCAAGAACAAGTTGATATCGGCTGGCAAGATCCCCAGGCGGACAGCCGTGAGGATCTCCTGTGGGGCATCCTCAAGTTGTACGCGTCCGCGAAGCTGGAGCTTCCCGCCAACGTGGAGGATGTTCTGGCTCCTGAAAACGTCTCCGGCCATCCCTTGAACGCGCGCCTCTCGTTCCAGCTGTTCCAATTCTTCAAATCCCGGCTGGAAGACAAGAATGAGTTGTGGGAACGTAGGATAGGCATGCCTACAGTACGCCACAGCGATGGACTGAGGCGGTCCTTCATGTCATCCACTAGCTCGTCCGCCGTCAAGGATGGGCAGTCGGATAAACCCCTGGTCGACTTGGGTGACAAGATTGCGATCACGTATGCGGCGTCGTTGCATACGCCGAAGTATTGGACTACGGCTGTGTTCGTCTATACCCATCTCTCGAGCGCGAGTATGCGGGAACATTACATTCGCACCCTCCTTTGCCAGTATTCCAACACGTACTCTATCACCGAATCTGACGACACTTACACGTATCTTGTCCAAGACCTCAAGATTCCTGCCCAGTGGCTCCATGCTGCTGCTGCTCTGCAAGCGAAGACGGAGAATGACTACCTTCGCCAGACAGTACATCTCATCAAAGCTGGTGAATTGGAAGAAGCTCACGAGGTCCTCTGCCGCAGTGTCGGCCCAGACTCGATCATTTCTCGCGACTACGATGCACTGCGCGAGCTTCTCGGCGAGTTTGTACCGACACCAGTGAGCAGTCCTGTTGATGAGGTATCATCCACTGTATCGCGCGGTCGCCATACGAGGGAACCCGTTCCGGGGTGGAGCCATGGAGGCCAAATCTACTTCGATTATATTCATCTCCTCGACCTTACAGCCCATCAGTCAAGTTATCGGGTAGATAAGGAGCTCAACGAGGAGATCGGGAACCTTCTCTTCAGGTTGCAGAATGGGCTTGAAGTAGCGGCCCGGGATAGGTGCGAGCGATGTGGCTTGGAGGAACGCGTGGCTCTGATGGAGATTGCTAGCGTTGTCGCTAACCTGGTGACGAAGGACAAGGTACGTTACCCTATGTCGATGAATTGTGGTCCAACTGTTAACGAATCCCAGCATCTGGAGCGCGCTCGTGTCCTAAAGTTGCCACTTGCGGAGGATATGTGGTTGCGACACTCTTGCGACTTGAGTCTGAACTATTACAAGGCGGTTATGGCCGCTGGGAAGTAAATGGTGGTTAATTTTCTTCGCATGTTGCCGCCGACTTGCGGTGGGGATCTCTTCGGTGCAGCATGCATAATTGTAGACTTCACTTCTTTTCGCGTTTCTTTGCACCGAGTCGTGTCCGCTTAAAATACCGGTGCAGACTCGAATGCGCTGCGGTTTTGCATTGCCTCAGAGGGGCGATTGGATCTTGGGGGGCATGATGAGCGAGGAAAAGGGTGTCACAGACGGGAAGGGGATCAAATTGGTTCGGGCATGTATACTATCATGAAGGATTACGCTTCAAGGAATGATACGGATATTCGTCACTACAGTGCATTTATATCTGATGACATGTGATATTTCGAGGTAGCCGTGTGGATGTTGGTAGTATTCGCCGCGCCCGTCAAGCCTGAGTGAGTGGCGCAACTTGCTTCCAAGCAAAGAGAATAGCTAGCTCTCACAGCAGAATAACTAAGAAAGGGTTCTTACCACAATTCTGCGTCATATCAGGGCATGCTGGTCCATGCCTCAGTTCGCAGTACTCTTTGACGCCACACTTGACCGCAAACGGCGGAGCCGGGGGGCGTCGTAGAGACGACAACAAAGGATCACCATCGCCAGCAACCGCGCAGCTAACACTCCTCTCCTATCTTCTGGCATGAACAACAACATCATACACGCATTACAAAACGGACTCTCGAAGCCATCCAAAATGTCAATGTCGAAGTCGCCTCAATTCGACAATTACGCCGTCTACGGCCTCGGCACCTATTGGGCGCTTTTCGTCCTACTCCCCAGGATCTACGGGGTAAGCTTCCTTCTTCCCTTTCCCATCGTATACACGCCCGCAATCCAAAGAACTAAGCTAAGCCATCGAATCGAACAGGAATTCCTACTTTCGCAAGCGAATAACGGACACTTTTTCCTGACTCGTCCGCGTACCCTGGAACTCGAAGCGGAGATTAGAACAAAAGTACCAGCTGAGACGTGGACTTGGTACAAGAAGCTCGAGGGGCTTAAAGACGTTTGTTTGGCGGAGTTTCCGTTGTACGTGGCGGCGGTGGTGTTGGGGAGTTGTGCTTTTAAGGATAAGGGTATGTGCAGTTCGTTCATACTTGACCTTTGCCTTTTCACAATGGGGAGCTATGTGATGAGAGAAACAAGCTAATGACACCTTACGGAGCAGGTAACTTCAACACTTTGTCAGGAGTGTACTTTGCCCTGCGCTCTCTGCATGCGTGCTTGTACCTCTTGGGTAGGGGTTCGCGGGCGCTGTGGGCGAGGGTGTGGGTCGGGTTGGCGGCGAATGGGGTGTTGTTGGGGTTGCTTTTGGAGGCGGCGAGGCGGATGCAAGATAAGGTCGTTCTCTTTATTTGAGAGGGATGGGGGAGCGTGTGGGTTTAACTTGGGGAACCAGTTAAAAGTCAAGGGACAGGGCGTGGCCTGTGGGCTTTTGGAAAGAGAAAGGAGGGATTGCGATTCACTCTCTGTTCGGCGAAGCGAGGGGAATCATGAGTTAAGCGGAGTTTCCGAGGTATATAATATTCGTACAACAAGGTATGGAGAGCAACTCTACTCATGAATGAGAGGTTATTATATAATGAAGTCGAAAGAACGAAATGCTGTCCGAGAATTGGAGTTTCTGCCGATATGAGGTCTGAACAACCTCACAGATGATCGACAGCTTGTCCGCATAGGGTCTAGTGCAGATTGTCAAGCGAGGCCCACCCGGCGTCAATTTGAGGCATCACCATCTTCGACATTAAACAAACAACAACATCAGAGTACGGGCTGCACAATCATTCGGCTGTACATTTTGCCTGGATATACGTGCAAGTTTCCGGTTTCCGCCTATCCAAAAACAGATTGACACGATGTCGAACAATAACATGTCCAAGTACTATCCCGCCGAGGACGAGGCTCAGATGAAGAAGGTAATCACCTTGCTTATAAAGTCTGAGCAGATATATCACCATTCCTCCGATATCTTCCATTATACGAAACTATTCTGTAGGCGTAGGAGGAGACATCAGTATACAGCATTGTTATAAGACTCAATCCTTTAAACCCAAATAGCTTACCAAATACTAGGCCCGCAAAACAGCACATCCTACCAAATACCGCGAATCTCTCGCTCCCGGCACTGTGCTCATTCTCCTCAGTGGTCGCTTCAGAGGCAAGCGTGTTGTTCTTCTTCGCCAGCTTTCGCAAGGCGTCCTCCTCATCACCGGCCCTTTCAAGTCCAACGGTGTGCCCCTCCGCCGCGTCAACCACCGCTACGTCATCGCCACACAGACCACGGTCGACATCTCAGGTGTGGACAGCGAGGTTCTTGACAGAGTGAGTCAGGACGCGTACTGGGCGCGGGAGAAGAAGGAGGGCAAGGGCGAGGAGGCGTTCTTCCAGGACGCTGAGGTATCCCCGGTACGCTATCTCTGGTTGATGTTGCCAAGTGGAATCTAACAGGGAATAGAAGAAGGAGACGGACCCCCAACGCATCGAGGATCAGAAGAAGGTCGACAAGCCCCTGATGGCCAATATCCGCAAGGTGCAAGATCTGGAGGCTTATCTTGCGTCGAGCTTCAGCCTGCAAAACCACCAGCGACCCCACGAGATGGTCTTTTAGGTTGCACGTTTGGCGAGGGAAACATGCGTCTTTCTGAGTCATTACCTCCTTCGGCATTCCGTGGCATACCAGGTACAGCGAATGTCTGGCAAAATCGAAGGCGAGCGCCATTAAGCACGCTCCCGATTGCAACACATGCAATGAATGATGATACCCAATGGAATGGATGCACAGTGAGAGTTTGAGGGCGAGGGAACAGCGGACGGCTTTATATGGTGATTTCCGGCCATACCTGCGTACAAATACCAGTATATCGTACGAAATCAAACAAAGTATCTTCAAACTACCGAGGCGGAGCAACTCGGACCAGGTTGTCTATGTCATTTCCGCCATTTGGCTTGGCCTTGCAGTGCATATGAGGGTGCTGACGTTTCCATTGCGCTGTACTTCTGGGCCTGGTGGAGACTAGGAAGATCCGTATCGCTTTTGCCTGTCGAGATTGCTCGCGCTTTTGATGCACCGTTGCTTGCGGGATTGACGGATTCTAACACTGACATGAAGACGCTACCGAAGCGTGTTAGTAAGGTAACGGTATCATATGGAGCTGTGTAACTTCGACAATGGCGATGAGTCGGTTCCAATTCCAAGGTTAAAGTTTGACAAAGGCGGAATTACCTAGGCCGCCCTATTGCTGAACCGCAATTTTGCAAGCTATCCCTACCCTTGACGAGGAATTTGATTTTGAGGCAGACTCTGGATGGATCCTGGAAGAACAGTCGCCCATGTCGTCGATCGATATGCTATGCTTCGAAGAGCACCTGGGAAATAAACCTACGTAAATATTAAAAAAAAAAAAAAAGAAAGAGTAAAAATTATAGACACAGTGGGACTCGAACCGGGGCCCTCCAGGGACAAAAAGGTCGAGAGCCGAATCAGTGCAATACTGCGTGACTCAGCCTTTGAAGCTGCTAGACCTTTTCGCTATCCTGTATTCAGGGCAATGATAATGGCGATAATTATTTGTTATATAGGCAGTAATTGGAGTTGTGTGTAAACACTCTCGGTGTGAGCGAAAGTTTGGTACAATGTATGGGGGTGGTGCGTGAGGTTTGATATTGAACCGCATGTTTCTTGCCCTTCGCACCCGCATCAGACGGAGGAGAGTGACTCCCTAAGGATTAGTCATCAGGTTATCTGAATGTATTCTGTACTTGCAGCATAGCATTATCTCTCAGGAATACCATCAGCAAGCTGAGTGGCGGCGGAAACACCAGCGATGGCAGTACCACGCTTAGAAGAAGACATGTATACTAAGACAGACTTATCTATACGCTACAAAGTACAACAACTCCGGCTCAATGTAGGTAAACACAAGGGTATCAACCAAGCTCTAACCACTCTTCTCCGCCGCCACCATCTTTTCCTTCACGAGTCCTGCTCTCTGAATCGCCGTATCTACCCCACTCAACCTCCTCACCACCTTCTGCACTCCAGCAGGCAACACGCCAAACACAGAAATCCACCTCGCATACAACGGCATCACCACCTCCCCGCTCTCGCCCCTCTCCACCAGCCTCAAAATCTCCTTCGCTACATCCGTCGGCGCGATCACGGGGGCCAGGAAATTCGACGGCGTCTTGACGCCCTCGAACATCTTTGTGCTCATTTGGCCCGGGGACACGAGAATCGTTTTGATGTCCGCGCCGTGCGGGTGCTGGGCGAGTTCAGCGCGGAGGGAGTGGTGCAGGGCGTGTAGGGCGGCTTTGGAGGCGGCGTAGGAGGAGAGGTGGGCGGCGCCTAAGTGACCGAGGACGGATGAGATGGTGACAATAGTGCCGCGGCGGGACTCCAGCATGTGGGGGAGGAATGTGCGGAGGGTGTGAAAGTGGGAGAGGGTGTTTGTGCGGAAGACTCTAGATACTCTTGTTAGTATGTTGTATAGCCAACGGGAGGAGAAGCAAAACGTACTGCTCCACGTCGGAGGCGGTGGTATCGAGGATGGACTTTGGGCGGACGATGCCTGCGTTGTTAATGAGAATGGTAGGAGGACCCAGCTGGAAATGTCAGTCATGGTGGGATGGGAGGAGATGAAGCTTCTTACATCCTCGACAATCTCCCTCGCAACTCTCTCCACCTGCTCTGCATCTCCGACATCACACTGATAAAACAGCACGCCCCTCTCCTCGGACTCCTCATCCGATACCTTCTTCGTATCTAACACCGCAACATTCGCATGCCTCATCCCATACGTATCCGCCAGTAGCCCGCCCAAGCCCTCCACGCCCCCAGTAATCACGATGACCTCTTCGCTCAAATCCACCTCCCTCGGTCTACCGTATGCGAACCTGTCGCTGAAGATCCCAAAAATGCCAATGCCAGACATGAGCATCGCCCAGGCCATGGCGATCCGCATCTCAATGTTCCCGTACGGAGTATATTGCGCGCGTAGGCAGAGGACGAGGATCCAGCACGTCCAGGGGTGGAACAGGGTGTAGCTGAGAACGTAGACAATGAGGTCGAGGGTGAGGTAGTGATGCCATGGTTCGTCGGGTTTGGTGAAGGATTTGGGGAATTGGGCGGGAATTGGGCGGAGTTTGGATTCTCTCGGCTCCATGGTAGGTGAATGTGCGAATGTAGGCAACTGTGTCGGAGAGGAGGGTGGAATGGCTGAGGGGACAGTGGGCGCAGTGGTGCGGCGCGTAGGTAGCGGTGAAGCGATTAGGGATGAGGGTCGATTATGAAGGTCTACTGTCCAAAAGTGCTCAACCTGGAGCTGGAGAAAGGTATAAAGAATGAGTTAAGGGGAATAGGGCGAGTCGAGGATACCTGGCCATCTTTATTGTGCCGCGTGGGGCTCTGGACCTGAGGGGAGTTGTGTTTCATCCCTCATCCAGGAGGTTGCCCACGGCGCGCTCCGTATTATTTAGTTCGGAGGTTGGCCTGCTCCGGATCCCATGTCAGCCTTCAACGACAACGACATCGTAGCAACAACACCATAACTACGGCCAATCGGCATGATGGTCAATACAATCGACAACCCCTCTTGGGGGTTTCACTTTAACGGCAGAAGCCATGGCCAACCATCAGGCATGTACCCCCGCTCCAGACCATGCATTCAAGACCCTTCCCGGGCCATTTTACATGTACTCACCCAGCCGTGGACAGCAGCTGTCATAGTGCAGTTGAGAATTGATACACGGCGAATCAAACTGAGGCTGCTCAGAGGTTAGGCGGTCAAGTTTCGGCCGTCGATTTCCAATTCGCAGAAGTTGCAATGCGCGCTGCTTCCTTCACTCTCATAGGCGGGATACAGCTACTTCTCGATCGAGAGCTGCCATGTAGACTTTCACTTTCCAGGTCAGGACAGTCCCTTCCATGAGATACAACGATCACAGGTTCTCTCTTTCTTCCTCTCGTCTCCCTGAGCAACGGAGAGGGGCTGCGTTCTGCTCATCGTCGGCTGCCTGTTCTTCTCCATTCCCAACCATCCGCACCCATACATCGATCCAAGTTGAAGCTTTGCAGCAGCTTTATCGGTACATTTTCTTGTGTTCTATTTCCCGTACCTCCTTCTATTGCCAATAGAATACAAGGTCCTCCCCATGATCCTTCACACCGCACTTCTGCTGGGTGCCCTTGTGACCCTAGCTCAATCCAAAGCCGTTGTCACCAACAATTGCAAGTACGACGTCTACGCTTGGTCCATACCGAACAACAAGGGCTACGCTCTCAACCGGATCATAACCAGCCACGGCGGCCAGTATTCTGAACCCTTTCATAAAGGAACGAGGCGCGACCCCGGCATTACGATCAAGCTCTCTCCCGAGCCCAATGGCATTTACCATGGTAAAGACGAGCTCGACTTTGCCTACGCCATCGATAAGTTGGATCCATCCTTTGTGTGGGTCGACTTGAACAATGCACGAGGCGACCCTTTTGCCGGCAATGTCACGTTTTACACCTGCTTCGGAGCATACGTCACCCCACAAGTCCCAGCCCGTAAATGCACCATATATGATCAAATCGAACTGGTCCTCTGTGGCGGCGCACGCCAGACCTCAGAAGTGGATCCTGAGCCCGAGTCAATACCACGACATGCTGGTCCCATTACTGGACACCGACTCAACGACACTTCCTTCCCCGTTGCACCGAAACCCCATAAACAGCTGTGGAACAAAACACACTCGGTGGAAGAAAGACAAGAAAAGACGCAACAATCGCGACCCGCACATCCCCCTGACACGGACCAGCTAGAGTGTGGGTGCGCCTGGTACGATGACGGATACAAGTGCGATTGCGAACACAGCACAAAGGCGCACACATGCATCACGACGGGAGCATTTCGATACTGCTACAGCAACGAAGTAGCGAAGAAAACTGGCAATCCCAAAGCCTTCGCCGACAAGTACGCTAAACCATTACTTCAGACCATGTGGACTTACGCCTGCGAAATTGCCGAGATACACCACTGGGACTGCAACGAGTTCAAGTCCGCCCTCAAGGATGCGTTCCCAGAAATTGGCAAGACTCACTCTGCGATCGAACAAGGCAAGGTTATCATGTCACTTCCCTCCAGGCGTAACCATGCCGAGCGGAAGCGTGCCGGAGACGACGCCCAGATTTGCCTGAACCTGGAAAGCCTCTTTCGGCATGAATTCGACACTTTCGATTGCAATGAGATCTACAAGGACATCAAGATCAAGTACGGGAATCAAAGGGTCTATCTCGGCAGGAAGAAGATGGATTATGCGCCAGGCTACAACTCCTCGGACATGCTTGCTGAGTTTGAGAGGAAGTATCCAGACATCAACTGGACCAGTGATGAAGAGCTGGAGTCATTGAAGAAGGCCCACAATGGGACGACTACTGCAATGGCAGGTGGAAACGCCAAATCAACGGCGAGAGGAACCTGAAGAACCACGGAATGGGGGTGAGGACTGTGGGCGTTTTTGAGGCGTCCGCTGGGCGCATGAAAAAGTGGCGTGTCTGTGCTTGTTGCATCCATTGATAGACTGTTATAGAGGTACTACTAAAACATCGTCCTTTCTTCGCTTCTCGCATACCATTTTGCAGGTTCATTTGACACTTCTGTTGACCTCAAATTTGTTTTCCCAAGCCCACTGGTGTTTGCGTAATTTAATAAAAGTGAATAGTGCGCAAAACTCAGATCGAGGGCCGTTTAAGGGCCTTGACGAGGTGAGTGGTTATGCTAGCTTTCAAATCGATCTGATGGTTCCGGTGCGCGGACTCGATAGCAAATTTGAAGTTGACTTGGGTAATAGACGCCGGACCGTTCCTTTGCACGAAATGTGTACCATTACGTCTCTCAAATTTCCCAGCCGTTTTCGTATTTAAAGATCGCGCAACAGAATTCAGCGGGACCAAATGACAGACTCATAGAGTGACCTGTGACAATGCTGGATTCGCAGCGAAGTTTCGAGGATGTCACCTCAAAGCCCAGGCAAGAGTACCACTTTCGCGGATGCATAGTCCCCTCACTTCCGCATCTACTTTTTTACTGTTGCATAACCGATGATCGGGGGATTTTGATACAAAGGTGGGGTAGGACCTCAAGTTAGATCAGAGTTGTTATCGTTCGCCACCATGTCATACAGGAGTGACACAGTACTACACAGATGTTAAGCAAAAGCGGCTGTGCGACATCATTACGCTCCATAAGGCTCCGGTATCGCGGCGATATGCAGAGCTTCGGGCAATTCCCGCCTGTCTACTATGCTTCACAACAGCTTGAATCCGCGGGATTACCTGCAAACCGGCCTATATAAGATTGCAAAGACCTTCAAAATTTGAGGCAGTTCGCACATTAACATTACGAGGAGGAAGAGACCTCGTATACGACGCCTCTAGGTCGCCTCGAGCCTCTTGAATAGCCATCTCGTTCCACCAAATCTGCATCATGAGAACTTCAACATTTCTCTCGTTTACACTTGCTCTTCTGGGTTCGGCATCGAGTAAGACTACCACCTCATGACCTTCCTTTCGTACAGTGCGTTGCAAAGCTATGGTTGCGCTAACAAGTGTTCCACCTCCAGCTGCCGCCGCACAGTGCCGCGACTATTGGGACGGCACGGCACCCTTCTGTTCCGGAGGCCCTTGCAAACCAGGTTGGCATGCCGGAGGCAGCTCGGATTATGGTGACGGTGCCTACTGCATTACCGGCCACAAGGTGCTATGCAAGTGCAACGGAGGAGGCTTGCCTCCAAATTGTAACCAACTAACGAGGACCTCATGCGTGGGTCTCCTCTTGTTCTGCAATACTGGCTGCGGTTGGTACGTTTGCGGAGGGTGTCTGTTTTGGTGGATTGCCGCCCAGCAGGAGAACGGTACGTCTGCTCGAGTAACACACCTCTCCCTGGTAGTGACTGCGCTGACACTGCTATGAAAGAGGGTCAAACATTCAAAAACTGGACGAGAGAGGACATTCACAAAGCCCTGGCTGCCGCAGACAATATGAGCTTGAAGGCATCCTTGTATAAGATGGATGTCCCTGTTCCACCTGATGCGTCAAACAAAACTGTTCTTGACCTCGCAGTCAAGGTTGCTGATGAGCAATTGCGAGACATGGAATACGTGGATGCAGCGGCCAGCTATAATGAATGGGAGAGCCCTGACCGTTGGATTCCTCTGAAGAGACCAGGAGGATGTCAGAAGGAGGCGAAAGCCGACAACCAGGAGGTTTTGCGGGGGCTGTGAAATGTGCCGACGCTCTGTGGAGTGGAGCGCTATATTGGTTTGACCAGCGTCGATCGCCCCCTATAAAGGTTCTTAGGCATTGCTGGAGGTAGCTTCTGGTCATCTGGAGTTTTCCACTAAAAATCACACTGGCCATTAGCGGGTCCTGTCCTTACCACTAGTAACTTATTGATTGATCCGACCCTACATACAATTCTGTACATTTTTGCTCAAGAGTCACGTATCTATGCACTGTGTTTGCTCCTCAAAAACTGCATGTTTCTCATGCCAGTTTGCTAAGACTCTTACCGTGTTGTGGCACCATTTCGGTAACCATATACCATCCATTATTCTGGTGTTTGGCTTCGTCTGTCGTTCTTGCCCTTAACCCTACAAGCCGAAGGTTTGTGATGCTCTCTGCGTGTGATTATTTCCTCCCAGCCTGTTCCAATGTGGCCATGTGATTTGTTGTGTGACTTGGTGTCAAAGACAACGGTAACAGTATCAGCCGTGATCTACTTTTACCGGTACAATATTCCGTTCGTGAGAGTCGCCAGATCACTGAGGATCGGATCTCCGCTGTAAACATTCTCAAAAATTGTTGTGTGTTGCAAGGCGACCAAATACTCCTCACGCACGTAGGGGCAGAAGAGAGTGGGCAAGGCTGTCTGTCTACTGCGGTATTATATGGCATCAATTGTAGCATGAGGACTTCCGACCCGCACAAAAGACGATGCTGTTCTGTTCAAAGGCTTCGTCGATACCGGACGTCGCAAACGTCGTCGGATTGGTGTGATGGACCGGCGGAAAGCTTTTCCTCTGTGACTACCATATTTTGGTGATGTATTATGGTGTACGGTGTACTGCTTGAGTTTTGACCCTCTTACCGGCCTGTTACAGACTGTCTGTCCAGCCGAGCATATGTGATATGTCACAGAAAGTGAGTACGGTGTTGTTCAGACGCAGGCTAAAACCTAGGAAGACCTCTGATTAGCGTTGTTTGCAGATCGTACACCGTCATTATGAGCCACTATATGAGAACAGGTGGATCTTCTTCAGCTTCTGACCATCTCATCACTGACCATCTCCACAATCCCTGACCGCAGTGTAAATCTAAACAACCTTCATCATGATCTTCACCACCTCTCTCCTCCTTCTGCTCACCGCAGCTTTCTCCTCAGCCCAGTATCTCGGCTCATTCTACATCTCGAACAACTGCCCCGAAACCGTCTATGTTTGGTCCACAGCTGACACCATTGGGCCCATGCAAACACTCAAAACGGGCCAACATTTCATCGAGTACGCCCACCGCAACCCGCAAACAGGTACCGGCATCACTGTCTTCATCTCAAAGGACCCAGATGGTTTGACCAATGGTTCACCCCTGCTGCTTCTGGCGTATTCGGTCGATCCGACTGAACAAGACAACGCCCGTATTTGGTATGAGTTGGATACGTTGCGTGGGAGTCCGTTTGAGGGGCAGAAGGTTTGGTTGGGAGGGGATGCTTGTCCTGAAATCAGGTGGGAGGATGGGAGGGAGCCGGGAGAGCAGGTGGTTAAGAACTGTATTCCTGGGGTGGATATGTCTTTGAGTCTTTGTTATGCCCCCCCTTAGGCTGGGAAACGAGGTTGGAGCTGCAAGGGTTAGGGAAAACGAATTCAAAAGTGGGTATTTAGAGGCTGCTTCATAGCTGTGAAGGAGCCAGGAGAACAGGGAGGATGTCGCTATATCTGGTTCAAGGCTAAAATCCTGATTCCATCCTTAGCATAACAGAGTGGTTCCCAAGGGTTGTTGAAAGGCTCTAATGATTACGGATACACGACTACTCAACGTACAGGCACTTAGGGATGTGAATCCGCAGAACAAGGACTGATACTCCAGCACGAGCCCCACCCTATAGCGAGTATCATGTCACAAAAATTGGGTGATGCTTCTAAAGGCATTGTTGTCAATGCAAACACACCTTCTGATCTCTTCATAACCATCGATGCATCGCTTGTGTCGGTGGATGTATGCAATGCGAATTTAATGGCAGGATTCATCCTCTTCGTGGTCAAAAAAACTCCGGCGCGCTCAACGTGCGTGGTCTATGACGTTTACGTCCGCTCCGGCAGACAGTACCCTAAGGTAGTTTGGTAAACAGCCACGTCACTCGTTTGATCTGCCATCCCTCGCGTTGGCATCTGCACAGCTTCTATCAGCAGTTCGATAAAAGCACCTGTCACATTGCGTTGCTGGACTGCTCGGTGAAGAGCCGTGAAAATGACACGTAGTGTTCTCTTGGTACTTGTTGATATTCGCAATAGCACCGAGAAGGATTTGAGTGACCACGAACGCCCCATGCTGGTTCCGGCCGATAGCAGTAGTATGACGAACTAAATCATCCGTCCAAGCTGCTCGCAGAGCAGAGTCGAGCGCTTGCCGAGGAAGGGTAGGGCTTGAGTCAAGAAGAAGTCGGACTACTTTGTGACCGACAAGAACGCACGTGGTGTCCAGATTCCCTCTCGAAACAACAGCAGATAGAGATTTGCCGGAGGCTTGAAGACCATTGTCAAGGAGAGCATTCGAGGCGCTTATCGGTCGTATTTTGCAGCCATATCCTATATATGAGCAGTTGGGGTAATTTTAGTGGCTATGGAAAGGGAACTTGCGGTGATAGGGTTGAGTATGATGTTAGCCCAAGCTAGGATACTCTAGGATAAAGACATATTTGTACACAGTACCATTATCCTCTATAATAGCACGGTCTCTCTAGCACCAGCGTACGGAGTATGTATAGCACGATTGTATTGGAATTGGAGAAAGAAGAGGTCGAGACTAAGATTTGTATGCCAAGATTTTGACTAAACCAATTGGTTGAGGTATTACATACCCCTGCTCCACCGCGAGCTTGGCGACGATCCAGAGAGCGGGTTCACTCCACTTTCAGCTTCACTCAACCTTCACCACTACTGAATGCACAGAATTGCACTTGACGATGGCTCCCACTCGCAGCCCTTCGCCGGGAGATGGCATACACTCCCCGCAACCGCAGCTGTCTAAGCGCGACAAGCGTCGCAATCAGCTTGACAACAAGTACCACGAGATGTTGGCTTCGTTCAATGACAACCGCGACAGCCACTACCGCGCGCAGCTCTCTGCGCTCCAAGCCGACATAAACCTAATCACTCGGGCCAATCCATACAACAATGAGCCCCTTGCAGATGACGGCGAGGAGGCCAAAGAGCTCATCAACCAAATCATGGGAAACGCGATTCCGACAGCCCCCAGTGCTGGCACCGACTACATCGCGGAGGTCGGAAAGCATTATGCTCGCTTTGTGGACGCCGTCAACGATGCCATGGAGGAGCGAGACTATAATCTCGTCATGCTATTGGTAGGTCTTCACTTAATGAGCGATCGCGCTGCGTTGCTAACAAGCCGTAACAGAAGAAGCACCAGAACCAAACCTATGAAATCGAAAACAACTACCTCTACAAGGTTCAGATTGCCGAGGAAGAGCACAAACTGCTCGCAGGCACGGTGCGCGAGCGACTTGTGAACTCGATCCAGGCACGCTTGAACAAATTGAAGCGCGAGAAAGAACAACTCGACCTCTCCGACAGCAACGCGATGCTTCTTCATCCCAATCAGTACAGCATAGGAAATCCCGCTAGTCCAGGGGGACCGCTGGCGCCTCGCAAAACAAGGCGGACCGGCCACAGATTCGGAGAGGCGGAAGAGGTTGCGGGGACTGAGAACAAGCGAAAGCGGAAGCTGTTTGAGGAGGACAATGGATCGCCGGGGCCTTCTGGTCGCAACGTCGACATCATCGTCGACTCGCCTTTCCGTGAAGCCAAGGCACGTACCATGCAATCCCAATTTGAGGAAGGCGCCTACGCCATTGAGAAGCTGTTCACAGAGAAGGAGCTCAACATGGCTACAAACCGAGCTACAACTGCAGCCTCGAACTTCTTCGCCAAGATGAAGAATGCGGAGTTGGCGCAAGACAGTGCAACAAACGGAACCGGTCAGGAAGGTGGAGACGATGCTGCTGAAGCGCAGGAAGGGGACCAAGAGCCTGAATCGCCCACAGGGGCCCCGGAGATGACGAGACAAGTCTCCTCGAACCCGCACGCTACTAGGGGTGCTACGCGGTCAACTTTCAGCTCGACTACGATCGCCAACGGTCACATTCCGTTTATCTATAATCAGCCCTTCTTTCTGGACGCTAAGGCTTTCCAGAAAAACAATGCCCGGGCTCCAACTCCGCCTCCCCTTGCCGCACATGATGTGGATCAAGACTGGCTTCTCATGAAACGAGATGCGCCTCCCAACGATGAGCTCAACGAGAAGCTTCTCCAGGCTGGGATTCAACCGATGAAAGCAAGGGAGTATCAGATTCAAACACCCGACTTTCAGCTCCCTGAATCAGAAATTACCAGCCACGTACGCTCCATGGCCCCTCATCTCGAGGTTCAGCGCGCCATTGGTGGCGTGCCGATGAGTGCGCAGAGCAGCATGGGTGGATACAGTGATACGAGTGCGAATGCTACACCACTTGGCAGAGATAGCGTGCCAATGGCGAGGACGGCCAGTGGATCTGGTCGTCGTGGTGGCCGGAGGGGACAGTAGTGTCTTTCCACCTTTCGGCATTCAGGACAAGCGTTACGTACACCACAACCAGCAGGCCCTGGACTTCTGTGGTGATCATCGTCTTATGGAATCCTGATTTCAGCATGGACGGCTAAGCCAAGGGTTATGAGTTGCATATGATGGCGTCTAGGTTGAGCGGCTTGCATAAACCAGCATTCACGGCTAGGGTCTGTCCCTGTGAGCATATGGGATGGAGTATTGTTCAGGCTCGGTCTTGTGATAGGGAGACCGTTATGATAGCAAATGTCACTTTTTAAACAAGAGTTCACTTTGCAAATCCTCGGTGGTACACAGTGCTTGTGATTAAGCCTCCCTTGACAAGATCACATTGTTTTGTAGTTTGAATCAGATTTGCGTACATCAATTGACCAACGCTCCTAGCGCTCCCAAACCCGAACTTGGCTTCATTTTGCCCCCTTCATTCATTGGCCGAAGGTCTCCTCCCAGGCCCCATCGGACCCAAGCACAGGACTATATGCCCTCCCTACCCGCAAAGCGTAAGCGTAAGGTCCGTATCCCCAAAGTACGCCCTTGTCCCACTCGGCGCACCACCGCTCCACTCAATACTGGGCACATTCTTCCCCTCGGTCCCTTTAAGCGTAAACTTGCGGCCCCTGAAGCCATAATCAAATCCAAACACGGTGCTGAGATCGTAGTAAATCGATCCCTCGGAGGGATTCAGCGCGTAGTTGAAGTGCAGCAAGGGGGCCCCCGTGTAGAGGGCGCGGTCATTGGTACCGATCTTGATGGCGATGCCGGTGAGGGGGTCGTAGCGGAATCGCTCAGAGTAGGTGGCGCCGTTGGGGATGGTTTGGAGGGAGCCGACGACGCTGGAGACGGACCAGAGGTAAACGGTGAAGCCGCATTTGTTGGTCACGTAGGCGGAGCCGGAGGTTAGGGTGGTGGTGTCGGGTTCGTTGGCGTTGTGCGCGGGGGAGGCGAGGGTGAGGGGAGAGAAGAGGAGGGGGAGGGTGGAGAGGAGGGATTTGAGTTGCATGGTGCAGGTGGTGCTTATGATGATGTCTAGGAATAGTGATGGAAGGTAGAGGTGATGGACTGGGAAAGCTCGATGTGGTTGAAGAGAAAAAAAGTGAAATCTGGCTGGGGTTTTATACGCAGCCGCAAAAGGCCTTGTTTCGATGTCTGAAGCGCATTCGGTATGGTGCCAATATGGTGGAGTCGTGAATATCGCCACTTGAAGCATTGGACGTGCGCTGTGCAACTGCGTCCAACAAGTAACGCAACCGTACTAATCCTCAACAGTCAAGGGATCCACCTCACTGAAGGCCTGCCATGACAGCAGAATGTTTCCTTGCGGCCATACAATGAGGACACAACCAGTTCGAGACCTATCCAGATGCAAAGACAAGGTGCGTGACGTGAGGCGATGTGCTGAAGTGCAGTGTGCAAGGTGAAATTCCAATTTTGCCGTGTCGTACATGGCACCACAAAACTATGCTGTGGGACAGATATTTTGCTGCAAGTACATGTTGCACCCGCCTATAGTATAGCCTTGAGAAATGTGAGGAGGGAGTGGATAGGCCGGGCAAAAGTAGGAGAGTGAAAAATGTAGAGAAAGGTGAGGACGAAAGAGAAAAAGGCGAGGTCATGAGGTCTACAAGAGTATTGATACAACGTGGAGAAGAGAGCAAACAATGAAAGCTTTGGAAACGAGATGGGCTACGATATACGGACGAGTTTGCTGTTGTAATTCCATAAGAGAAAAGAAGGGACTTACATAAATGGTGTACGTGTGCTGGGTAGATACAGAATTCGAGGCGTCAGCTGCAACTGAACGTCCTCCCCAGATGGTTCAATCATGGGTTTCACTTTCGGCTCACATGTCTCTACTTTGACTCTTTGTGACCGTTGTCCCCTTCGATGTATGTGTGGGAGATTGCTGCCCTCTCGCGGTTGGTGCTGACTTTGGCAAGGGGGACTTTGAGTAAGGAGGTGCAAGCCCTGGAGGAGTAGAGTCAGGAGCTGGACAGAACATGAGACAACACTCGAGGACATACAACACGAAAATCGTATTGATCCTAGAAAAATGGTGTTGAAGGGTGGCTGAAGCATTATCAGTGTTCCATCAGTGAACGTCGTCCGAATGACTAAGCAATCATCACCAGCAAACCCGGTTCTAGCCGGCGGGCAGCTATCCGGTGTGCCTCGGCACGCTTCTAGTACGGGTGGCGACCTTCCAACTTCTGAAGAGTAACGGAAATCCTCAAGATGTTGTGACAGCCTCTTTTCGACTCGCAAGTTTCTTTTTACCATTAACAGCGCGTCCGCATTTCCGTGTTCGAGCTATGTCCGCTTCAACGTTCCGTGCATGTGCCAGAATGGCGTCCCGCCCCCAACAGCGCCTTGCTAGCATACAAAGACAGTTCAGCACTTCGAGATCCGCGGCGAAGGAAGTGCGGGATGCATATATCATAAGTGCCAGCCGGACGCCAACAGGTGCCGTACGTCAACCCATCATTTTGTTCTACCATTTTCGACTTGCTTGCTCACCGAACCACAGTTCAATGGCCAGTACACGACCGTTTCGGCGACACAGCTCGGTGCCGCTGCCATCAAATCCGCCGTCGAGAAGTCAAAGGTCCCCATCTCCTCGATAGATGCTGTATATATGGGCAATGTCCTTTCCGCCGGCGTCGGGCAAGCTCCCGCACGGCAAGCCGCCATCTTCGCCGGTCTTTCCCCCAACATCGAGGCGACCACCGTCAACAAGGTTTGCGCATCGGGCTTGAAGGCTACAATGATTGCGGCGTCGACGATTGAGCTCGGTCAAGCGGAAGCGCAGGTCGCAGGCGGTATGGAGAACATGACCCGGGTGCCGTATTATCTCAACCGTGCGAGCCAGCAGCCGGCGTTCGGCGACCAAAAGCTTCAGGATGGCTTGATTGGGGACGGGCTCTGGGATGTTTACAATCAGATTCACATGGGCAACTGCGCGGAAAATACGGCGAAGAAGTACCAGATTTCGCGCGAGGAGCAGGATGAGTACGCCATTTTGACGTACAGGCGCGCTCAGCAAGCATGGAAAGACGGGCTGTTCAAGGAAGAGATCGTACCTGTTACAGTCAAGACGAAGAAAGGAGAGACAGTGGTCACCGAGGATGAGGCCTACAACAAGTTGAAACTTGAGAAGGTTCCCACCCTCAGGCCGGCCTTTACTAAGGATCTGAGCGGAACTATCACTGCGGCGAACAGCTCGTCTTTCAGCGATGGCGCTTCTGCTGTGGTTGTAGGTAGCAAGGAAATCGCACAGCAGTACGGCCAGGACAGCCGTGTATTGGCTAAGATCGTCACTTATGCCGATGCTGCGGTTGGTAAGTCGCTTTGCGTGTATCATTGATGAGACGGGCGTAGCTAACAGCTCGTTAGACCCCATTGACTTTCCCATCGCCCCCTCCGTCGTCGTCGAGAAGCTCCTCAAGCAGTCTGGCCTCACCAAATCCGACATTGCCATCTGGGAGTTCAATGAGGCCTTCGCCGCCGTGATCAAGGCGAACGCCAAGATCCTCGGCCTTGGTGTCGAAAACGTCAATCCTCGTGGCGGTGCTATTGCTCTCGGACACGCTCTCGGCAGCTCCGGCTGCAGGATTCTGGTCACTCTGCTCCATCAACTGAAGGTTGGTCAGTATGGTGCTGTGGCCATTTGCAATGGAGGAGGTGCCGCTTCTGGTATGATTGTGCAGAGAGTGGACGCTGGATCCCTATGATGGTAGCTCCGGTAACGGGTAGGCAGAATCTAATGTATTTTATGACTATGTTCATTTTGATGTTCACGTTTGCGTATTGACCTGTTTGGAATACGCTTCCGTCTGGCGTCTTGGCTTCAATGATCTCGGATGGGGGCTTGCGAACTTCTCAACGTTGTCCAGCGCTCTCTTCGTCGATCCATAAAGAAGGAAAAAAATGAATAAACGGGCAAGCTAAACGAGATAGGCCGGACTAGAACTGACGCTCCTTAGGGAACAAGATTCCGAGTCTTGCGCGATAACCACTCCGCTACCATGCCTTCAAACTGGAGAGACTTTAACATTTATCGGCGTTTAGACTTCATATGTCGCCTGTTTCGCAGCCGCTACGCCGCCACTTGCGGACAATCACAAGAGAGAAAGAACCGGGGGTCATAAAAGGCCCCCTCTTGTCCGCAGCCATGTTGTACAGCTCCACGCAGCTCTATGTGCGTACCCAGCTATAGAGGTACTGCGCGACATTCACACCCAGAGTGAGGGTTCAAAGACCCTCAAGAATGCTTCCCCGTACCACTTCCGAACAAACATGGCTCCAATTGCAGAAGGCGACACCGCCTCTCATCTCATGTCATCTTAGACGACTCCATCATCCGTTCCCAAACTGCAACACCCCTTCCAAACTCTGATGAAAATTGGGCACTCCAACAATACTCTTCGTAGCCGCCCAGTAATCAATCGCATCCTGACCATGATACGTGATCAACAGGACCATGCCGAAGTCATCCAGCTCGCTGGCCTCGGCCTCCCGCAGCATATGGGTGAAATCCATATTCTCGATCCAGTGCGGACTCAGCGTCTGCTTGGTGCGCGCCCATTCGAGTTCGGAAGTCGCTTCCCACAACGCTCGTTGAGCTGTGAAGCAGTTTGCGGTGACTTCATCGGCGACGGTGCAGTAGCCCTTTTTGATGAGGGAATAGAGGCCGGTGAGAAAGAGGGACATGGTGATTGTGCGGCGGGCGCTTTCGGCGAAGAGCCAGGCACGCCAGGAGGGCGCAGTTGCGGTGGTGAATTGGCGTTCCTGTGCGGTGCGGGATTGGAGCTCTCTGGTCCAGGCTAGGAGGGTGGGTTCGGCGCTTTCGGCGAGGAAGCGTTGGCGGATGTCGCCGTCGAAGAGGCGGATGAACTGGAAGATTATGAGGGACTGCGTGGATGCTAGCAGGTCTACGGGTGTCCAGAAGGGTTGGTTAGGGGAGCGGAGGAGTTCATTGGCTTTGGCTTCGATGATATCCAGGGCTATTGTTTTGTTGGCTGGGGTTATGGTGGAGTAGATGGCACAGGCCGCGTACGCCTGCGCGTGAGTGAGTCTTTGCTACCATCCCTTTCATTCAGCGGGATTGAGGCGCCACTTACGTCCATGAGGGGCTTTGGCATATTCGTCGCATATAGTTGTGCATGTATAAAAGGGACCTTGCCCTCCTTGAGCCACTTATCTGGCCATGTCTTGAACCGGGCTACGGCTGCTTCGGCATCTTCTTTGGGTAATGTAGTTTTCTTAAATTCCTCAGACACAGCAAATAATTCAGGCAGCGAAGTAATGTCAGCGACGTGCGATTGCTGGGAATGAATAGCATCGGCAGAGAGCTCCAGATGCGTATCTAGACCGCCTGACCATGGAATCGATCCAGGCTCCCGCATCAGGTCGTCCAGCCAGGCAAACTCTAGTTCTGGAATCGGCACATCTGCTATAGAAGCGCCCTTATTTGGATAGAAACAAGCAATGTCTTTCTTCGAGCAGCGACCGCATCGGGGCACCTCCATTCCGCATTTTCGCTTCGCTTTGACACACTCGCTGCATGACTTCCGCCGTGGATTGGGCGCTTCCGTCATAGCGGGACGAAAGGCGGAGAATGCGTCAGTCTCTGCAAACCGCAGCGTGGAAGTGTAATGGGAATTGCCATGTTGTTATTGTCTGCGGAGTTGGCGGCGGAGTCCGCAGCGGAGTTGCGGAGTAAGGCTTAGTAATCGACAGTGAAGAAGTGACGTTGAAATGATTGGGCGTGGTTGGTGATGATGTTCCCCGAAACGGAATGGTCCAAAAGCTTTGTAAAGTAGGACGACTGCGCCCGGTCGTGCAAGCCGGAGTCAGCATCATAATGGCCAAGGAAAATCGAGCGGAGCGGATTCATCGTAGCAGTCCGCTATGATCTTCCGCAAACGGTGCGGAGATGCTAAGTAGAGAACTTAGAGGCGGACACGATTTTTATCCAGCGTCGTAGATGACCTTGGTAGAAGCGGAGTTAATACCCATCTGGCGGCCTGCAGTCGTGTATATATATGAGGAGAGAAACGAGGTAGAGATCGAAACTACCCTTCGTACAGTCAGTCCAACAACCACTTTCATCATGTCGTCCCAAGTTCTTTCACACAATTCCCTTCCTACACCAGTAGCTAAGGCTATCGATGCCATCCATACGCACGACAGCGCCAAGTGGATATCTTGCTTTGCCTCTGACGGTGTCCTTATTGATGACCGCAAGGACCACAAGCACCGCGAATCCATACAAATGTGGTTTGAGAAGGGCATCGTCGGGTATCGCGCTACGATGAAGATCCTCGACTTCGGACTGCAGGGCGATGAGTATTGGGTCCACGGCCTTATGGATGGGGACTACGCAGATGACTTTGGTATCACCGAACCATTTCTGCTGTATTACCACTTCCATCTTGACGGACATAAAAACGAGATCATCTTGCTGCGCGTCGATCAGCTAGCACCGGACGAGCCGACGATGCGGGCGGTATGGGCATCTTCGGGGAACATGGACGATCCGTTATCCACATTAAGGAATGGTCTCTGGAAGATACCCGTTCCAGGAGAAGGTCGGACCAGAGTCAAACTCGCAGCGGTGGGGATAAACTATCACGACATCTTCACACTCCGGGGTATAAGTATGCATAAGATGGTATTCCCCCTCATCTTGGGAAATGAAGGTGCCGGTACTCTGGATGATGGCACCGAAGTCATCATATTCCCGCTCATGGGCAACGCTGAGTTCAAGGGTGACCTTACCTTGGATCCCGACCGCCACGTATTAGGAGAAATCACCCAGGGTTCACTGGCCGATTACGTGGTAGTTCCCAAGGGTAATGTTGTACCCAAGCCGAAAAATATGTCCTTTGAGACAGCTTCGGTACTTGGTGTGGCCTGGCTCACAGCGTACCGGATGCTGTTCACTCTCTCAGGGCTCCAAGCAGGACAGAAGATGCTCGTGCAAGGCTCGAGTGGTGGAGTTGCAACGGCACTTATCCAGCTCGGAGCTGCTGCAGGTATGGAAGTGTGGGTCACCGGACGCACCCAGGCGAAGCGAGATCTGGCCACCAAGTTGGGCGCTCAGCGCACCTTCGCACCTGGCGAACAACTTCCAGTAAAAGTTCCGGCGGTTTTCGATGTCAGTGGCGCAGAGACGTTCAAACACTCCATGGAAAGCGTCGGGCTTGGGGGTACTGTATTCTTTTGCGGGTTGCACAGTGGTAGTCCGTTTGCGGAGCTCGACCTGATGAAGCTCATCATTGAAAACATCAAAGTCGTTGGCTCCTATCTCGGTAACAGAGACGACTTTGAGGGACTGGTTAGATTTGTGGGCGAAAAGAATATTCAGCCATATATCGGTACCACGCTTCCAATCGAGAGAGCGGAGGAGGGGTTTCGGATGCTGACGGATGGAAAGGCGTTCGGTAAGGTGGTGATAAAGATGTAATGTTAGCACGTTTTGCACAATATGTATTAATCGATCATTGTCCTTGGACAGAAAGTGATGAATCCACCGGTATCGGTGCGAGGACACGTGATCCAGTGCTTCTTAGCAAGTGCGTCTTCGTCAGTGTCTTCACCGGCGCTGATATGAACGCTCGCCGTTATTTTCATCGCAAAGGAGTGTGTGTGAAAGTGAAGCTGGAGTGAATGTGAAGGGCCAAGATATCCGCCCCTGTCGGTGTCGGCAAAACTTCGGTCTCCGCGTATCCTAGGCACCGCGATCACCCAAAACAAACACGCGCGAGGACCACCACCTCTCACACTCCGCCGCCTCACGCTCACCGCCGCCACTTTTCTCCTTCTCTTAGCGTTAGAACTCGGTGTTCTCGTCATAGCTGCGAGTTTTTCGTATTTCTCGTTCTATTTCGTCCTGCGGGACTTTCTCCCGTTTTCTTCCCTTGTTCTATACCCAACCATGGATTCCGACATGGGATCTGTATTCGATGAGGGCGAAAGCTCCGACTTTGCGCCCGCAAAGCCCGTCAAGGCCGTGAAGGCGAAAGCAGCTGCGTCCAAGAAGGCTGCAGGCGCCCCGAAACCACGAGGCAGACCACCTAAGGATCCCAGTCTGGCGAAACCAAAGGCCAAGGCAGTGCAGAAGAAGAAGTCGAAGCCCCTTTCTGACGTAGAGAACTCCGATGTCGATATGGACGAGGACCCTTTGGACGACGAGTCCCTGCTCAATGATACCCCGCCAAAAGCGAAAAAGCCCACGGTCTCGAGACCAGTAAAGTCAGGCGGTAAACAAATGGCTGAGATTGTGAATGAGAGCTTCGGGTTTGATGGGGCGGATGAGCCTACTCCAAAGGCTAAGAAGGCCGCTGGCGGCGCAAGCGACAAATATCAGATGGTAGGTTGCCGACATGGGCAACCAAGGAACCACTGCTAATACATTGAGTAGCTGACTCACCTGGAACACATCATGAAGCGTCCCGACACGTATATCGGCTCCGTCGAACCCACCCAGGACAAAATGTGGGTATATAACTCCATCACAGAGTCGATGGAGTACAGAGAGATCACCTTTGTTCCTGGTCTCTACAAAATCTTCGACGAAATCTTGGTGAACGCGGCGGATAACAAGCAAAATGACAAGAACATGGACGAAATACGCGTCACCGTGGACAAAGAATCGGGGGAGATCTCGATTAAGAACAACGGCAGGGGTATTCCCGTTGAAATCCATAAAGAACACGGCATCTATGTCCCGGAAATGATTTTCGGACACCTTCTTACATCCTCAAACTACAATGACGATCAGCAGAAGATCACCGGCGGTCGCAACGGTTACGGCGCGAAGCTGTGCAATGTATTCAGCACGAGGTTCACTCTGGAAACAGTGGACTCAAGGCAGAAGAAGAAATATAAGCAGACGTGGACCGACAACATGAGCAAGATGGGAAAGGCCTCCATCACTGATATCAAAGCAGATGATTACACCAAGGTCACTTATTTGGCTGATTACGCCAAGTTCGGCATGTCTGGTATTGACGACGATTTTGAAGCACTGGTCAAGCGTCGTGTATACGACATGGCTGGAACTTTGAAGGGAGTCAAAGTCTATCTTAATGGTGAGAGGGTCAAGATCAATAGTTTTGCCAAGTACATGGAAATGTACACGAAAGCCATCGCCAAGGAGACAGGGAAGGAAGACAACGACGATAAGGAAAAGCCCGTGATCATCACCGACAGACTCGAACGCTGGGACATTGGTTTCGCTGTCTCAGATGGAGCCTTCAACCAAGTCTCGTTCGTCAACTCCATCGCTACCTACTCTGGTGGTACGCACGTCAACTACATCGCAGATCAAATCGTCACAAAGCTCATGGCAATTGTGAATAAGAGGAACAAAGGCGGTGTCAAACTCAAACCGGCTCAGATCAAGAATCACATTTTCCTGTTTGTCAACTGCCATATTGTCAACCCTGCGTTTACCTCGCAGACGAAAGAGCAGCTGACGACAAAGTCTTCCAAATTCGGCAGCACCCCGGTTCTGAGTGAAAAGTTTCTGAAGGCCATTGAAAAAACCGAAGTCATTCAGAACATCTTGCATTTCGCACAGCAAAAGGCCGATCAGATTCTCAAAAAGACCGATGGTAATAAGCGCAGTCGTATGAGTAATGCGAAGCTCACAGACGCAAATAAGGCCGGTACCAAGGACGGTCATCGTTGTACCCTGATTCTCACTGAGGGTGATTCAGCCAGTTTGCTTGCTTTGGCTGGAAGGGCCGTTGTCAATCCTGACTTCTTCGGTGTGTTTCCACTTCGCGGTAAGCTGCTCAACGTCCGCGACGCTTCCATCGACCAGATATCGAAGAATCAGGAGATCCAAAACATCAAGAAGTTCATCGGTTTGCAGCACAAAAAAGAGTACACCGATACCAAAGGTCTCCGCTATGGTCACCTCATGATCATGACAGATCAGGATCACGATGGTAGCCATATCAAAGGGCTTCTCATCAACTTCCTGCAATGTCAATTTCCGAGCTTGCTGAAGATACCCGGGTTTTTGCTCGAATTCATTACACCAATCGTGAAAACATGGAGAGGAGATATCAAGAATCCCAAAGAGGTACACAGCTTCTTCTCAATGCCTGAATATGAGGAATTCAAGGAGGCTCATAAACATCAAAAAGATTGGGAGCACAAGTATTACAAGGGGTTGGGTACCAGCAGCCCTGAGGATGCCCAAGTCTATTTCAGGGATTTGGACACGCATATGAAGGAGTTTCACGTAATGCAGGAGCAGGAAGAGCAGCTCATCGAATTGGCTTTTTCCAAAAAGAAGGCCGATGCTCGTAAGGAGTGGCTACGAGACTTCGTGCCTGGAAACCATCTGGATCTCACTAAGCCTGAGATCACGTATGAGGATTTTGTGAACAAGGAGCTGATTCTCTTCAGCATTGCCGATAACATGCGCTCCATTCCATCAGTCGTGGACGGTTTCAAACCTGGCCAGCGTAAAGTCATGTATACGTGTTTCAAGCGCAATATCAAAAAGGACGTGAAGGTTGTGGATCTTGCCGGTTCAGTGTCCGGCACCACGGACTACGCCTACGGCGAAGCTTCGATGCAGGGCACGATCGTTGGTATGGCTCAGAATTTCGTGGGCTCGAATAACATCAACTGCTTGGAACCTAGCGGTAACTTCGGTTCCCGTTTGCAAGGTGGTGCCGACGCTGCCAGTGCAAGGTACATCTATACCAGATTGAGCCCGTTTGCGCGCAGAATTTTCCATCCTCATGATGATGCTCTGCTCAAGTATGGCGAGTCGGATGGAAACAAAATCGAGCCGGAAATGTATGTTCCGATCCTTCCGATGGTTCTGGTCAACGGTGCCGACGGTATCGGTACCGGATGGAGTTCTTCCATTCCCAATTACAATCCAATTGACATCGTCGAGAATCTGAGGATCCGGATGGCAGAAGGAAGCTCCAAAGAGGATATGAAGCCCATGACACCTTGGTTCCGTGGTTTCACGGGTCAGACCGAGGATCTCGGCGGTGACCGCTTCAAGTTTACCGGCACGGTTCGACAGATCAGCGAGACCGAGGTCGAAGTTACTGAGTTGCCCGTCCGTTTCTGGACTCAAGACTTCAAAGAGAAACTTGAAGACATAATCAAGGCCGAGAAATCGCCTTCCTTCATCAAGGATTACACCGAGTACAATACCCCTGATAAGGTCCACTTCATCATCAAGATGGAGGAAAAGCACATGGCAAATGCTCTGGCCAAAGGTCTCGAAGAAACGTTCAAGCTGTACAAGACCATGGCCACGTCGAACTTGGTTGCGTTTGATGCGCAAGGGCGTATCCACAAGTATGCCACCGTTCTTGACATCATGGAGGAGTTCTACCATATCCGACTTTCATTCTACCAAAAACGAAAGGTACGTCTGTCTCACTTTCGGGCTTGCCAGCTACTAACCCAATACAGCAACATCAGCTGGATGAGTTGCAACATCAGCTGGAGAAACTTACCAATCAGGCCCGCTTCATTCAAATGATTATCGATGGCAAACTCGTGGTCGCGAAGAAGAAGAAGCCCGTTCTCGTCGCTGAGCTCTCAAAGCTCGGGTTCAAGCGGATCCCGAAGATCACTGAAGCAAAGAAAATCGGCGAAATCGAGCAAACGGTGGAAGATGAAGAGGAGGAGAGTGATGGAGAGGCTGGGCTCAATGACTTCGACTACCTGCTAGGCGTAAGTACACAGTTCCCTTATCAAAGTATTTCCAGTTAACGCTTCGTAGATGGCGATCTGGTCCTTGACACAAGAGAAAGTGGAGAAGCTGCAGAAGCAAATCGGGGATAAGGAGACAGAAATCGATGTCTTTATCAAGCTTACACCTAAGGATCTCTGGAACCGGGACTTGGATGCCTTTGTAAATGAATGGAACACTCAGCTGGCAGAAGACGCGAAGCGAGCCAAAAAGGTAGCCAGCATGGGCCGTCGGGAATCAAGGAAGCTTGGGATTGGTGGAAAGGGCAAGGCAAAGAAGAAGAGAAAAATGGACGACAGCGATTCCCCAAGCGACTCAGGCTCTGACTTCGGCCCTGTTAAGAAGAAGACTGCCGTCAGCAAGCCTAAGCCTGGTGGGCTTCTAAGCTACCTGCGGAAAGAGGAGCCTCCGAAGAAGACCGCTCCGACTGCATCGAAGCAGACAGGATTGATCGGTTATCTCAAGAAAGACATCGTCGACAATGATGGTGCCATGGACGTTGACGAGCCTGCTCCAGCACCTAAGCGGGGACGACCTGCCGGAAGCAAGGCTATGGCTAAAAAACCTGCTCCTATATTGTCGGATTCTGAAGACGAAACAGACATCTTTGCAGCGGTCGCCAAGGAACCGGCCACAAGGACGACGGAAAGACCCGCAGCATCCAGGAATGCCCGTGGAGCTGCAACCAAGGCTCCAAAGTACACCGTTGACGAGGACAGTGACGAGAGCGACTACTTTGCCAATCGGCCTGCCGTTTCGGTGACTGGTTCGACCAGCGTGCCAAACGGCGTCAGTGAAAAGAACCCAGCGAAGAAGACGAACCGTGTACAGGAAGAGGATGGCTCGGACGATGAATCCTTGGTGCCACCAAAGCCTGCCACTGGTGAAGTCATTGACGTCCTCGACGACTCATCGGACGAAGACGGCTTTGGGTTCCATGGCCCCAAACCAGCTGCGAGCAAGGTCACCGCAAAGCCCCCGACAAAGGTTTCTGCCAAAGCGGCAACTAAACCAGCTCCTAAGCCAACTGCTAAGCCCAAGGCCGCTGCGCCCGCAACTGTCATAGCCACGAAGAAGACCACTCTCAGCCCAGCGGCAAAGGCGTACGCAGCAAAACTCGCCAAGACCGCGGTGCCAGCACCTAAGGCCAAGAAACCGATTGCTGTCGATTCTGACGATGATATGGAGGACGTGGATGATTTGGCTAACGATATCTTATCCGATGATGACGATGATATGCCGGTATCTAAGCCCAAGGGGCGCGCTGCGGCGCCGGCTGCAAGACCGGGACGTAGGGCTGCGGCGAAGCCGGCGAAGTATACGGTTAGTGATGATGAAGACAGTGAGGAGGCAGCTTCGGATTTTGATGATGAGAGTGATTAACAAGCTCGGCCGGGAATCATATGGTCGGAGGGTGGGAAGAGCTGGAAACGCGAAGGGCGCATGAGTGGCAGGTTCTTCATATTCCCTTTTTCTTATCTATCTATCGTCGCCGCTTTTCGAGTCCTTGGCCTGAAGAGAGCGAACGGGTCCAGTCAGTCTTAGGGTTATGGCGCCTTTTCTCACTTATCAAGTGATTCTGCGGTTTCAGGGGGCTTACATAATATCGCTGGGCTAGTCTCCTTAGGGTATCTTTTCTCCTTTCCGCTGCTGCAATGGGAAGAGTCGTTTGTTCCTGTAAATGCTTTCGCTGTTCACTTAGGGAGGATGTGATGCCCCAAACTCTAAGAGAGTTTTTCCAAGGTACATATTGTCTGTCCCTGCTTCGGCATCGTGAGCGAATGCCCGATGTCGATGGGAGTGCTGGGGTCTCAGACCTTACCTAAATAAACGAACTCCTCAACACCGCGAGTGGTTCGCATCGAAACCTTACTTCAGTCTATACTAGCCATAATGGGCGGTGCAGAACACAAATGTAGATCTAGGAACTCGGAGCAGAAAGCCCGAGTCTGAAGGTCGAGTAAGTGAAAGGAGCTTGCAGAAGTGCCACACAGTGTAGCTTCGTTAAGGTCGTTAGACAAGCAGGTACACCCCTTAACTTTCGATAGAGACTATCCATCGTATTTAGTATCCCTTCTTAGTCGAGAACTAGGCGACGAAGCAGGGGAGTACTGACGCCCCTGTGTCGAACTTGATGTTCCCCACGCGCTGCTACTGAGGAGACTGCAAACACAGTCTCGAGCAACAGGGTCTCGACGCAATACTTGGCACAGTTACTGCAGTGCGGCAGCAGTATATATTGCGGAATACCAGCAGCACAAACTCCCGCGGAAAGCATCCGATCGGTGGAAGTCGCCCCATAAAAAGTGGTCTTTGAAAAGCAAAAACGGCAAACTAATTACAATACTTCCTTCTCGCGAGCCACACAGCTTCACAAACCAACCGTCTCCTAGAATCCGGTAGTTCAACCCCCTCTCCCTCGTGGCACGCCGCACCTCCGGGTACCAGCAAGGTAGGGTACTCCATCCGCCAGGCCAGCAAAGCAGCAAGCACCACCGAGCCTCGACATGGCCCTCGCACTTGCACAACCGACCTGTCATCCATCTTGACATGTCTTTCATTTCCCTCTCCCAGGATCCTTTTGCGTGGCACGACAGCTGTCAGCCATCTGAATGTCGGGGCGCGTCGGATCGCTTGGAACCGATGAACTACGCTGACTGCAGCGGCGGCGGCGGCGGCATGATGAGCTGTATCGGGTGTGGGGCCGGTGGGAACGCATGCACTAGGGAACAAATGGCTATTGATCGGAACGTGGGGTTTGTGTGTGCCACTGCGGTGGTTCAGAGGTGTACGGCCGCAAGCGAGAGAAGCCTAGCTATTGGGGCCCAGAGGAATGATGGTGGACGGGGCCAGCCGGCGGGTCAGATGATGTGCCACGTAACGAGGGGTGTGCTCTTTAGGAGGACAGTCTGGTGGCTTCGGTGCGTTGCTAGAGACTTGAAGTCGAAAGGGATATTTGACGGTCTCTTCACTTGTGGAGATGGGAAGGCCGAAGTCGGTTGTTGGTTGTGTACAGTGCGTTACTATCCAGTTGTCAGAATCCAATAGCAATGAATAATCCTCAAGGCAGAGGGGGTTACAGTCTTCCCTTTACATTCACCATGCACGGACGTTCTGAGAACCAGCAGGATCTTTGTGTTTAAGCAAGCTCGCCACCTGGACAGTTTGTCCGACGAATCCAGCTGCGCCACAAAGCTTGATTGTATCACAATAGTTGTCAGTTGCTGTGGTAGAACTCTGGATGAGCTGACTAGTCGGTGGTTAGTCCTCCCAATGTTTGAACACTGTTCCCAGGTTGTTCCCGCGCCTTGGTCCGCAGTAAATCTGGTCAGGCAATCCGGCCAACCGCAGGTTCCATCCATGGCTCCGCTGCTGCGCAGCCTGTCTACCGTGTTCGAACACATACCGGGCTCAAATTCTTCTCCTGTCATCTTGCAGCTTGTAGTAGATCCCTGAATTTGCATTAGAACGGTATTCTTATCCCGGGTCCAAGGTAACGGTCATTCCACCGACCCCATCGGGAGTCGAGGCCATGCGACCACATCAAGCCGTTACTAGCGCCATAAGACTCGTACGCAACCTCAATATCCGTCGTGGCTTCAACTTGTGCCCCAGAGCAAACTCTCTAGCCTGGTAATAACCTCTCCACGCTATCGAGCGCGGAACAATCTCCCCGATGACCTGGAGGATAGGGAAAGCCGCATTCGTCATTTACATCCAGTCGTTCGGTGGTATGGCTCGTACAAAGGCTGCAGGCAGCGATGCAATGACGCTGAGCTTTCGAGCATTTGACGGCTTCGTCGTACATGACCCTCGGGGAGAGCACTGTCGAACTGGTGGTTGGGTGATCGGTGACTTAGTGGCCGTCTTGTGGATCGTAGTGTGCAAATCCCAGCAATTTTACTTGTGGCACAGCACGTTTGATGACAACTGGCGGGACTGGACGATGGCGGGCGTGCTTCGCGTGGGACGTGAGAGGGGCGGGTCTCGAATGCGATGGGAGAGACCAGCGATAATGGGGAAGGAAAGGGGGGTGGATTATTATTACTCCATGTTGTAGCTTTTTCTATCAGTTAACAAAAGGCCGTGGAGGGGCAGATAGAGGAGATGAACGCGGGAATATGTGCAGCAGAAGACTCACCTCGAAATCGCCAGTAAACGCCGTTTACTAGCTGAAGCAAAAACACTGCAGATACAAAATGGCCAAGATTTCAAAGAAGGGAGAATCAAAACAAATATACAGTGTCTTTCTGTGATGAGCGCAATTTGTGCATCTCTGCATACCTGGGACCCAATATCGTCAGTGTTCGATGGCCCTGGGCACCACGCGCCTCCACGCATGCCATCTTTCGATCTCACAATACCGACTCTGGGGTAGGTGCTTCGTCAGTCAGACCTCTACCTCCCGACCGAACCTTTCTTCCTCGTGCTGAAGCAGGCACGCGGCACCGGCCGCGCGAGCTGGACCGTGGGAGATCTCGGGCTCGCCCTAGGAGTCTGGTAGCCTCCAATAACCCGCAAAACCAGACGCATAACAGACAGCAATCCAAGACCTCATTCTGCCGTATTTCTCGGCGTTGCCCAAGCTGAAACCGCATTGTTGCTGGCTATTCTCGGCTCTCAGAAACTCTCACAGCCCTGGGAGGCAGGACGAAACATTTGAAGTCTATGGTCTGAGAAAGGTCGAGTCCCCATAGCCCTTCGACCGTTCAAAAAGCCGCAACTTCGTAAGAAGTCGGAGCTTGATGTTCCGACCCTCTTCGACTTTTGTAACACACTTCCCCCGTCAAACTCTCCAGGACAGATTCGTCACACCTGTCAAACCAAAGCCCCGGCGCCGTGCATTCCAAAAAGCGGAAGGGGAAAAGATGCCCCAGATGACAGGCCGGCCCCCTCTCCAAGAGGCTCCCTCAATCTTTTCCCCACTCTGGCGTTGTGCAAGTGACCTTGAGTCTCAGAGCCGACTACACATTTTCAGCCAGCGGGCTTGGACTGAGACACGCGTCGAGAGCTCGGCCGCATCTGGATCCTCCCATCTTCTCTGCATTCCGTCCCTCATCCATCACTGAGTTGTCCCCCTTCCCACCGCCTGGTCAATGAAATCCGCAGAAATAAGTGGACTATACACTTAGGCTTCCTGCATGGTCAAGAAAGTCCCTCTGGCAAAAACGGTCATTCTAGAAGCCCTAGAATATGGGTACATGACCCAACCATCTCGAGCTGTAGCCAGTGACTGGACGGGCATGCAGAGGCCTTTGGGCGGTCACGACTGAGACAGAATCGCCGCTCTTTTCTTTTCTGGCGGCAAGGAAATGAAATGGCGGTCAGTGCATGCACATTCGCGTAGTCGAGACGCTCTGATCTCCCATCGTTGGGACAGCCGGTGAGAGCAAAGACGCAAGAGGAGTCGGTCATTGCTATGTCCATAATTTCTGCTCGGTGGTGGTGGCGTAAGCCGTATGGAGAGCTACTCACCCAAAAACTGCATGGACGCTGGGCTGAACATCCGCGAAGAGGCGCCGTTTGCCAGACCAGAATATTGCCTGCAAACAATCATTCAAGGGGAGTCCACCATGACCTAGGGGCTCTCGAGTACATTACCATTGAAACCTCAATCCATCCAATCCGCTCACCGACATTTTCATAAACCAACCATTTCCCGCAGAAAGAAATGCAAATTGGGCGTACGAATCCGAAATTGACATGTCCTGACGCGGTAATGCAACCACGTTTGCACCGCAGACGGCTAAGTAGGTACGTGCACTTTGTTTCAACGGCAACGGGAAGCTGCAGCAGTAACCAGGTACCGATTCGCTGAGGGCCAGCCTTGCCGTCAGAAGGCATGATGGGAGAAGTGGAACCTTTGGGAGCATTTGCCAGCGAGGGACTAGACTAACTTGAGGGGTCCTGCGGGAGGCGATACCGGGAGTACAAGTGACATGCTTTGCGTATGGCAGCCATCGGCCGACGCTTTGACCTCTGAGCCCTTTCATCGATGGATAGAAACTACTCAGATTAGTGCCTTTGTCAACGCGAGAGCAATCATTTGTACTGTTTTACCCGACGGTGTTGGTCAGAAAATGGCAACCCATTTGCTGCCCATGAGACTCCCCCAGCAAAACATCTATGCATTTGCTTCTGAAATGAAAGGACACATCGATATCAGAACAAAGCGAGGTGAAGAATATTCCGGTCAGAAATGCAGGGTTTAGACGGAAAGAGTGATTGATGCTGTGAAACAAGTCCCTTCCCTCGACCCTATCGCCCCCCACCTTTGCCATGATTGTTGATCCAGTGAATTCGACTAGCGTCCAAAGAAGCCGTGCAATCAGCTCTCCCACTGCCGCGTGCTAACAGGTATACGCCCCATAGCGAGAGAACGTGCAGTCTGAAACCGCATACAATTCCCAGAGCACCGTGTACACCGGATGGACTATGCTGGAAGCTTTGACGGGCAGGGTTTGGCGACGCACGTTCCGCAAAGCCCGTAGCAACTGGAGGTTTCAATGAAACAAGAGAAGTATCTGTTTTATAAGGCCTTTGGGACTTTTGAATCTTCTCATCCGACTCCACATCCCCCCTTTTTCGAGAGAAGTCTCAGCGTTCTCTGCTCGTTGAAACCGCCCTTCATTGTTCCCGAGTAGTCTAGTCAGACCTGTCAGGAAGAGGCGTCAGTATTGTGCTCGACATCCTCGACATCTAGACAGTGTTACTTTTTCCGACCCCGCCAGCAAGACGTAGCGGCTCTTCCAATTCTCCAACGTCACCCTTCTGCAATTCCTGTTGGTCTTCGAAGCCAGGTCTATCTCCTTGCCACGGGTCCACCATCGGCAAACGGAAGTCCAGACACCTTTGGTTGGGCGCTCAGTCGCTCATAGTGCGTCCACCCCGCTGCAAGAAGCCCTGAAGTCCAGCAAAGCCCATCGGCCACTATCACTGTCCCAGTCCGAACCAGGTACGTACGTTTGAGGACTACCTGCATACACCGCCGTGCTCTCGAGTTGACGGTATATACCAGCGTCACCATCGACTGCTCCGTTCGGCCACATTCCGCTGGCCCCATCGTATAAGATCGTCATCGCTGCCTCGTGGGCCCCCCAGCAAACGCATTTTGGTCAGGCTCATATCCCGCCCGCCAACGGCCACTCAACTCTGCATATCCTTTCTTTGCGCGTCGTTGCACTGACGCTTGGTTTCACTTCCCGATTCAGTCGTTGCTTCAGAACCATCATTGCAGCCCGCGATCAAGAAGCTCTGGCGTACAGCTTGCCTGCCCTCGACTTACAACCTCGAAGCTCCATTGTTCCTTCTAGTTGAACCATGAGAATCCAGTCGTTGCTCAACCCGTTCGAATGCGGCGAGACTCACCACGGGCGCCGCAACTCCAAAAGCGTCACTCCACCCATTCCGGCTCGCCCCGTCATTTCTTGCCCTTCCTATCCTAAACGCCAGAAGATACCCAAGGACGCTGCCATCTTCGCCGAAGCGGATGTGAATGGGCCAGTCAACTATCCTCCGCACGGGGCAGACGGCGACGAGGGACTCCTGGCACAGCATCGTAAGTTCCAACTGTACCCTCCTCTGAACGAGATTGAGCGGAGGAGTGCTCGCCGCATACCGTACAACAGCGACAAGAAGGACTTTATGCCAAAGACGGGGAGAGAGGCATTTGAAGGTGCGTTCTCTCCTGTTATTTCTCCAGGCACCCATACTAAGACCTGTCAGTGTTCCAATATCAGTTCAAGGTTCCAGGCGACGAGAAGACGTACAATGTGCTCTGGGACTATCAAGTCGGCCTAGTACGCATTACGCCCTTCTTCAAATGCTGCAAATACAGCAAGGTCAGTCCCTCCAAAAGTAAAACCGACTCCCCTTTACTAACTGCCGCAGACCACACCTGCCAAAGTCCTCAACCTCAACCCCGGTCTCCGAGACATCTCATACAGCATAACAGGCGGCGCACTAGCAGCCCAAGGTAAGCAAAACCCCCTCCCCGGTCGACTAAACGACACCCCTACTTACATTACTTCCCCCAGGCTACTGGATGCCCTACGACGCCGCCAAAGCCGTGGCCGCCACCTTCGCCTACAACATCCGCTACGCCCTCACCCCCCTCTTCGGCAACGACTTCCCCTCCACCTGCCTCCACCCCCGAGACCCCAACTTTGCCAAATTCCTCATCGACCCGGCCATCGTGAGGAAATGCACGCGGGACACGCACCGCTGGCGGGAAGAAGGGTCGTCGTACCGAGTAGCGAAGCCAGACAACAACAGTCCCACACCACCACTACCGCCGCCGATAACGACGCCTGGAATGACCTTCGTAAACCCGCCGTGGTCGTCTCCCAAGACGACGAAGAGGCAGCACCGTGTAAAGGTCAGTGACCAGGAGAGCGGGTACGGCTCCACCGACGAGGATCACCAGGAGAAGTGCGTTTTCTCGCCAGACGTGTCGCCTCGCAGCTGTGGGTGGACGGCCATCAATCAGCCGTACTCGCCCACGTCGGTGTCAGGGTTTAGCTCTCCTCAGCGGTGGCTTACTTCGGTTCCTAGCAGCACGGCGCCGCTTGTGGCGAAACGGACGCTGTCCAAGGTGGTGTATGAAGACGACAAGGAAGTCGTGCGGCCTTCGACGGCGGTATCGACGGCGGCGTCAACGACGGAGTCTATCACGATGGGGGAGACAGACGACGAGGTGGAGTCGAAGGGTTATCGTCATACGCAGGTGGACTTTGATGCTGCCACGACTCTACTGGGTCTCAGAGCTGCTGAGAGCTCACTCCATCCAGCCAAGCGCACCCGGCATGGGTCCGGGTCCTGACCCAATGGTGATTGATCCTATTATAGGATCTTAAGTTGCGTCGTGGGAGGTGATGTTCAATCTTTATACGCTTCAGTTTCCCGCTCTCCTAGTGGGTACAATTCACGCATTTGCACGGGATTCACGGGGCCGCGCTCTGGATGAAACCACTCTGTTATATTTATCAGGTCTTTTCAACGACCACTTTGGCTTTGGGATGGCAATATTGGAGATTACATGTATAGACTTGGCCCGCAAGAAGAGTAGGCTGGAGGGGGATGGGCTATATCACCGAGCAACTCTATTTCTTCTGAGCCTTGAGCGACGGGAATCTCTTTAGTGCCCCTTCAATCACCTTGTCCTCGTTAAAGATGTACGTGACGCTCTCATGCTTGATGACTTCTGCAGCCCACTTGGCAAAGTTGGGCAATGCGTTCAGTCCCGTGAGGACAGACTCCGGCAGGATGCCATGTTTTGCGAACGTGTAGATGCGGAGGATGAAAGGGGCAGTGAGCGCCTTGAATCGTCAGTTACGTAGGACTATAACAGGATCTTTGTTTTCCCTACCTCGGCCAATGTCAACTTCTCGCTACCCCCGAAGAAAGGCGCGGCATCCTTCAGTAGAGGCTCAATCTCCTTGGCAACAATGCTGACGAAGTCCTTGGCGAGCGCTTCCTTCTCCTCCTGCGTGTCTTTCTGCGCGATCTGGAACCAGTGGGATCCGGCCTTGCTGAACCACGTGTCCACGAAGAAGTTGATGCGGGCGCGCTTCAGGGCAGACTTGGGGTCGCCCGAAGCGGGGACGAGATGGGACGGGTAGGCGTCTGCGAGAAATTGCGCGACGATGCCCGACTCGGTGATGATTTCGTCGTTTAGGGATCCATCGGAGATTTTGATGGCGGGGACGAGACCGCGCTGTTGGATGCAATCAGCGAAAAGACTCGGCGGAAGCTTCACGCTAAGAGAAAACCAAAAGTACTACATGGAATTTCTAGGACCGCGGTATGCAATTTCTAACACCTGAGGTCAAAAAGATAAACATACCGGATTAACCTCCAAATACCATGGCTCTCTCGGCTTGTCCAAATCAATAATCACCTCCTCATACGGCAGACCCAACTCCTTGATGACTATATGAGCCCGATGTGCCCACGGGCATCGGTGGTTCGTGTAAAAAGTGATCTTCGGAGAAGCCATTCTTGTTACTGATCTAAAAAATCGGTATGAGGTTGTAATTGAGTGAATGTTCGCGAGTCAGGTAACAGGGGAGCTATGGCCAAGTGGGGAACGGAAGCTAAGAAGTAGTGACGACACAGAGAGAAAGTATAAAGTAGAAACACCAAGGATTTGTCGGTAATACTGTGGTAGGGACCCGAAGATGAATTTATACGTGGCCTCGGGAGGACAGTTGTGTCGGTGTCACGGTGCTTAGAAATCAATTGCGTCAATCGTCCGCATATCGCATCTTACAAATAACACCAGACAACCACAGTGAGGCTGCTGCCCCGCACGCGGACGGAGTCCGCCATTCGGACCAAAACCTGGAGCCCCGTCTTAGCTGTGAGCGATCGCGTAGGCCATCGAACTCCTCTTGCGATCTACCTTCCCTCTTCACTTCTGCTGTTCGTACGGTCGTGAACTTGACTGTTGTGCTACGGTATGACAAAAGCCCGCGCAGTTTTATCTCGCCGGAATCGGAACTCTGTGAGCGCAGAGAAACCGATTGTTTCTGGACATGACTGATAGTCGATGGCTGTGCAAAGATGACCGATAGTGTGTCGTTGCGGCGAAAAGACGCGGTCCATAAAGTCCGGTGCTGCGAACACTCTCAAGGCATCACGAGGGCATGAAGCCCTTAGTCCAGGCCTCTTGTTTCGTCCTCGCCTCAGTGTGCTCAAGCCACCACCAAGTAGCTGTTCAAGCGCATCAGCATGGGACCCGTCACCAATGACCAACTCTTGCCCAGAAAGATCCAACTAAACCCTTCAATCCCCACTATTCCGCTTGAGCATCGCCTCCGCCGCCTCCAACGGGTCCATCTGCTTCCTCCTCTTCTGATTCCTCTTCTCCCTCTTCTCTTGCCTCTCCTGCTCCTCCCTCTCCCTCGTCATCTCCAACCGAGCATCCACATCAATCACCACGTCCTTCGCCTTCGCAGCCTCCCTCTTCCTCTCCGCCAACATTTGCAGCCGTTCCCGTACCTCTTCCAACGTCGCGACCCTCACCTCGCCCGTCTCCCCGATGGCTCGAAGGTGCTGTGGACTAATTTCATGCTGTTCGTCCGTTAGTCAGGCCCCGCTTTAGCAATATAACCATGGATTCTACATACCTCAATAAACGCCTTATTATCCTTGAACGTCAAGTCGCAAGCCTCGCAATAGAAACCCGCTCCCCTCCCTCTCCTTCCCACCGCCGCGCCCGCAGGCACCACCATAGTCTTGCCCACCATGGACGCCATGTCGAGGCGCCGGGTGCGCGCCTCCGTCGGACGCGCATCGGGAGGTGAGGATTCCCGGCGGTAGTACTTCTTTCCCTGGAGTTTGGCTTCGTAGCGAGCCTTTGCTTCTTCGCGTTCACGGCGTTCGCGCTCGGCGCCTCGTGCGGCGGCTTCCTCACGGTTGAAGGTGCGCCGGAAGTCGGTGTCGCCGCCGGCGGCGGTGCGTTTCTCGGCCATGTTGAGGTGCGTTCGGGTGTTTGGTAGGGACGATGATGGGTGTGGGGTGAGGCCTTGGACCGTCGAGATATGCGGAAGTCCGATGGAGCTTGGACGGGGGACGTGCAGGTGAATTGCGGCTAATCCTTCATCAGGGAAGGCGGCAGAGGCCACGTGATTTCCGCGTTCATCTTCTCCTGCAGAATTGAGAGATTCTCCGCGATTAGAAGAGTGTCGTGGTAAGTTATTCTGTGCTCAGAAGCTCTTTGAAATGTCTGTTGGTGTTTATTGATGTGTAATAATCATAATCCAAAGACGGTTGATATCTTTGCTAAGTGATGCGCCGATCAAAGCGGCCATAAATGAAAAGATCTGTCCTCGGAGCAACCAAAAACTCCTCGCTATGCTTCAATAATCAAAGAATTCAATCCGCCCAATATCACATCACATTGTGTCTTCCGCGACAGGTTGGAATGGGTCGAGTGGCCGTCAATCGGCTGCTGTGGCGCTCTCCATATCGGAAACTCGAAGCACAATGCGGAGTATCCAGAGGTGACAAACTTCGAAACCAACATCGCGGAGGTTCTGGCCTATGGCCGTGTCTTTCCACATCAATAAGGCGGGTACATGCCAGGGGGCCTCGGATACCCTCCCGGGAGAATCGGCGGCGTCGGCGCCGCTGGGGGTCCTCTCATAGATCTTCCCGCCACGGCAATCATCTGCTCGTCCTTATAGCCCACTGAAGCCTCTCTGTCCCTCCTCTTCTTCTTCTTCGACTCCTTCCCGATCCTCGAGTGATCATATCCCCGATCCGCATACCCCGCAGCAGCGAACGGCGGCTCCACGACCCTGGGAGAGCGATCACTCGGTATTTTCAGTTCTATAAGACTGTAGAAGTAGTCTAGGACCTCGGGGTAGCGGAGAACTGAGGCGCGCCAGTCTGCGTCGATACCCCGCTTAAGCTCGGCATGTGCCTCTGCGATCTGGCTCTGGAGCTGAGCAATGTAGCCGGGATGGATTGGCGGATGGCCAGAGTACTGCATGTATATGGAGTAGTTGGGGAGGGAGGCTAGGTAGGCGGAATGCGCCTGCTTGCGCGTCGACGTCAGGCGTTCAAAGGCGTTGAGGATGTGTTGCCGCGCATGTGCTATGACCCAGTCTCTGTGAAGCAATCAGCTCTGCTACCGCTGCGGCTTGAGAGACGACACACACCGTATTTCAGCAAGCTTCGCCTCCATGGCACGATGCTCGGCTTGCTTGACGGCTATCTGAAGACGTTCCGACTCGCAGGAACATTCGGGATACGCCGGTCCATTGCAGATGGCACAGTTTGGGGCCGCATCCATCTCTCATGCTCAGAGAAGTCTCGAGTACATTATAGCGGCGCCGCTGGATCGAAGCTGTTGGTGATGTGGATTGGAATGGTGTTTTGAAGGGAGGGGCGTTTCGTAGAGAACCAGAGGGAATCACCGCAAGGGTCAGTCAGGACGACAGTTGGACGTTAGGTCGGTTGAAGGCATAGGCGGTGACGAGGTACAGGATACATGACGCTGCGGCGGAGACTGTAGACGACAAATGGGTTAGCTCTGCGGCTTATAGGCCAGGCCGGGATAGATTGCACAGATCGAGATGCGTGGATGCGTTGGCATTCTGTTCAACACCTTTCCCCGCGCCAAGACTCGGTCATCTCCATCACAGGGAAAGCAGCCCGACATAACCACACACACCAGCCCTGAAGAAACCTCCTAGAGCCAGCGACTCCCCTTGCTTGCGGCTTCTGTGTAATCAGTAGTCGCTTGTACACAAGAACTGAACCTCTACACGGATGCTGGATCGTCTTCCCGCGCGGGGCTGATCGAAGCATGACCATCTTATTTGAAAAAAATGGAGTTTGAAGACATTTCGGAGCTCTATTGTGTATTGTCAATCGCTGAAGAGATGTCTAATGTACGAAGCTCGGATGGATTGCAGTTGCCGCTGCATACAGAGGCTGAGTAAGAATCCTAGGGGTATCCAGTGGCTACACCAGATTTGAATTCAAACTATGGGCCTAGACATTACTTGGTTGGGGGATTAAAGACAGAATAACATATCCGCACGTGGGTTGGCAATGCCCCAATTAATGAGATGCAAGAGAACTGACAGTAGCGAGATGAGAGCAGGCTCAGGGCAGCCATAGGCGGCATTTTGTGGTTGACCGACCGCACCGTGTATTAAACGTACAAGAAATGTGCAAGGAGTATGCATATCGAAGGCTGGCATATTGCTTACAAGTGTCTAGGTACGGAGTCCTCTTCGTCAATACTTTTCCGTGTAAACCAGCCCATCCCATCTCGAACGAAACTAACATCAACTTCTACCCTGCGCTTCATAGAGCAGTGTCGAGAAGAATCTCGTAACTCACTTCCGCAAACCAATTCACCCATAAACCCCAAACGAAAACGACCAAGAGGCCGCTTCCCCAATGCCGTCATGCCGAGGCTAATCCCCTCTCAACTCCATAATCTCGACGACCCATTCAGTAACCAGAACTTCACCCCGAGGTCCAATAAACGAATCTCCAAACTATTTTGTTTTCTCTTTCGTGTCCAATATCCTTAACTTCTCCCTTTAAACTTCTACATTTGTGAATACCATATTACTTTTTCCATCTTCACTCCTTCTCCGTCAATTTCACGAAAATGGCCAGCGAAGCACAAGCAGATGTCCAACTCCACGACTTCAAGAACATCTTCTCCCTCGAGGGCAAGGTAGCCGTCGTTTCCGGTGGATCTCGCGGTCTAGGTCTCCACGCCGCATCCGGGTACGTCAAGCCTTCCCCAAGCATTTCCCAATCCCTTTCATGTTTTCCTTCTGGCATATAGCTTTTATGTGCCAGTTACATCTATCCCATCAATGACACCCATATCTCTTCCCCCCCATCCCACCACAAAAACGGCGCATTAACAGCCACTCCCAGCCTCCTCCAAGCCGGCTGCACCAAAGTCTTCATAACCTCACGCAAAGCCTCCGCGTGCGCCGAAGCCGTCGCAGCCCTCAACGCCCTCCCCACCAAACCCCCCAATGCCCGCGCCTACTCCATCCCCGCCGACAGCAGCAAGGTCTCCGAGATCGAGCGCCTCGTCCGCGAAGTAAGCAAACTCACGGATCACGTCGACATCCTTTTCGCCAACGCGGGCGCCACGTGGGGCGCCTACTTTGACCAGGTGGACGAGAAGAACGGGTGGGATCGCGTCATGGATCTGAATGTCAAGGGCGTGTTTTTCACGATCCAGAAGTATGTCCATCTTCTCTATGTTCTATATATTTATATAAGCGCTCAGTGAAACTAACGTCCCTCTAGATTCGCACCCCTCCTCACCAAACGCGCCACCACCGCCTCCCCCTCGCGCGTCATCGTCACCGGCTCCGTCGCCGGCATCGCAGTCGGCTCCCTCGGCGCCTCCGCCGCCTACAGCTACGCCGCCTCCAAGGCCGCCGTCCTGCACCTCGTGCGCAACCTCGCCGTCGAGCTGGGACCCCGGCACATCCTCGTCAACGGCATCGCGCCCGGGTTTTTCCCCAGCAAGATGGCGAATGTGCTTATGGAGAGGAGTGGAGGCGTCGAGGCGTTGGAGCGGGCGAATCCAAATGGCAGGGTCGGGAGGCCAGAGGATGTCGCTGCTGCGGTGGTTTTCTTGAGCTCGAGGGCCGCGGGGCATGTCAATGGGGATACGATTGTGTTGGATGGGGGGAAGATGTTGGGGAGTGCGCGGTTGGAGAGGTTGTAGGCTGCAGGTTGTTGGGTTGTTATATGGGTTTTCGGATAGGGGATGGGAAAGGGTGGAAATCTTGTAATGTAGAATAGCATCTTCTTTGAGGCGATTCCCGGCGAATCAGCTATCCAATACCGGTTCTTTTAGCCTCTAAATAGATAGCACGTACCAAGCAAGGCATTCGAAACTCCCTGGACACACAGAGACAGAGTCGGAAAATGGAGATGAAGACGGAGATAGAGACGGAGAAGTGGTGTGCCCTAAGCTAGGTGCCACTTTGGAAGTATCAGATCGATGCATGCATGCGTGCAAGCATGTAGCACACTGCAAAACAGCAACGCAGCTACCAACAATTTTCCCGCTATGAGTTTTATATTCCTCCCTTTTCCCTCCTAACAAATCTCGACAGGCGCTTTTGCAGCCTAGGCAACAACAAACGTAAGACATAGTCACACTGCGAAACATAGAGACGGAATTTTGTAGTGGAGAAGTGAGGAAGGGTGATCGCCCCAGCGATGTAGTCTAATTGCAAGATAAGCAAGTGTAGTTTTAAGTACCACACAATAATGATTAATCGTCACTTCAACCTCTAAAGAATTGAACTCCCAGCACGCTAAAGGGTATCATGAGATACAACAACAGCACTACCCCTCCTTTCCCGCCGATTCCCCTTGCTCTTCTTCCCAGAACCACCTTGCTTAATAGACAAATGCAAAGAAAACGTGACAAAATAATAACGGCAGCATGCTTTTATGAGGACACGTAAGACGCTGCTCAACGGGAGCCTGCTATGGGTTTCTCCCGATTCACGGAAACATGCCGCGGAGGCAAAGGAGTGGTTGCAGAGCGAACAAGGACCCATCTGCCTGACACTCGCCTGCACGCCTTTTCGGACACCGTGGATATCCCACGATATCCAAGACGCTCTCTTGAGACTCTCAGGCGGAATCGGTCTGCACCTGGCGCATCCATTTCATATAATATTCGCGATACTGATACGACTTCGATCCGACGGTGTTCGTTGCGGCCCTGCCTCCGCCCTCGTCATCGAGGCCGCAGTATCACTCGTCAACTGCAGCCTTTTACCTGGGTTATGCGGCGGCGAATGATAAAACGAAGGCTGTCCAACTCGAGCGCGGTGCTCTTCTTGGATTTGTCGAATTCGATGCTCGATACCCGCCCAGTCGCTCCAGTCTGATTCCAAATCATTCCCTTCCTCGACGAGTGCCGTTGCCTGAACTGTCAGGCCGTTGGTTGCCGCAACACCTTGCATTGGTTCTCCATGGCCATGGTGAGATTGTGCGTTCGGATGCGGTGGGGATATCGGAGATGGATCCGCCGTCTCACTGCGACCCTCCCAGACCCAGGCTTGCTGCGAGTGGCCTTGAAGGTCACCGCTCGCGTAGGCGAGCATCTCTTCGTCCAGCTCGAGGAGGTGGTGGTCCCAGTTACCACTGCGTACTCTCTCGAATAGATGACCAAGAAAAAAGGCAAGGTGCTTCCCGCACGCCCCATTGACCTTGCGTGTACTGCCAATGGCGGCTGCGAGACGCGCACAACTCAATGCGGTCTCGTAGTCGCCACAAAAGCAGGAGATGAGTATACATCTCCAAAGGTGCATGCATATCATGTTTGAGGCCAAGTGCAACGCTTTGGCTTGCCATCCTCCTGGGCTAGCCGTGCCAAATGATATATGCGTCGCCCGTGATATGAGAGTCGAAGTATCTTGCGCTACTAATGAACAGCGCTGAAGAGCTTCCATCCGTTCTGATTGTCGGCAGACAGGAGACAGGTTATGCCTGTACGCGAGAAAGCGTGCGCTTTGAAGGGCTAGGAGAGGAGGTAACAATGTTGGATCCAGGGGCGTGTCATGCGTGTGTTGATATGGTCTCGGCAGAACTCGGAAAACGGACTGGAGTCTCTCATCAATGTCTTGAAGCATTTGAGGGGTAACAATGACGGATCTGAGTGCCTGCTCAACATGCGTAACCTGGCGGGCTACGTGAAAGAGGGCGAGCGCGACGCTAAAGGTATCTTCATCTGCGGAATGACCATATCCTGGAGAGTTGAGTGCGGCGGGGAGGGTGATACTGCAATCCGCATCTTTGATACACATGGGAAGGCTCGAATCCAGGAAGGTCAATCTGCAGAAATGGTTAACTTGATCTCAAACAGCTTTCGGTCGGTCAGTCGGCGACTAACCTATCCAGAGTATATACCGACCACCAAAGGCGGCGCCGCATTTCCGCTTCGGCCGGAGGAGCATCTATTTCCACATGTAACCTCAATACTTGTGCCATTTTCACAGTGGACGCCAGCCACGCTGCTCCCGCTGTCTTCATATTGCGCTCTGTTGCGAACAAACTCAGCAGAAACGCTACAGATACGAGGTGGACGGAAGCATTCTGCGGGAATGGATCAACTGACTGGCTAGCCAGTCTAAGGTATGCCGAGCTTCGAGGGGCATGTTGGGAACCAGTCGGAGGGTGCACGTCATGCAAAGACGCGCAAGCCAACACGGCGAAAAGCAAGCCAACCCATTCTTGTCGCTTTCCTAGTAGGCTCCTTTCATTATACACCTGTTCCGCTTCTTGTCGGAAGGCAGACCAGTCGAAGATTGGATATAATCGGTGAATTGATTCAAAGTAGGCGCGCGAGAGTTGGACAAACTCGGCTCGAGATGGTAAATCGGAAAACGTGGATGGACCAATGGTCGACGCACTTCGGTTGTCCTGGTGGAACGGAGAGTCAAAGATACCATGTGCATAGTTTTCGATGTTTTGCCGTACTCTATCGAACCCTTTCATGACTGGCACTGGGCGCTTCTGCGATTGTCCCGACTCAGATGAAACAGACTCCGTTCGGTGGTGAGCCTTCCCTATTGGCCCCTTTGGTTCTGGACCCTTTGGGTCAGAGAGTCTTGTCCGCAAGAGAGCGTTCTCCTCCGTGAGTTCAGCGATTCTGCTTTGCAGATCTTGGACTTGCCTGCTCTCCAGTCAGTATAATCATCAGCCGGGGCAAACGATGAGTCGCTCACTTGATAGAAGACATGCGGCGGTTTGTCTCCTTGGTGAACTGACATTTATGATTTCTGCTGGAGCACTCGGAACATGCCGTTGTCTCTGTCGCGTCGCACTATGATATGATTAGTTTTTGAACGTGGAGACAATGACGCCCAAGACATTTGTTAATCTCTACAAGAACATCATTCAAGTTATAGCAGCATATCGTCGCCGTCGGGGCTTACAGCCTACAGTGCTCGGTATAACTCTGGACTCATGTACAGCTTTAGGTACCTGAAATTGTTGAACAGGGAGACACCGCCTCGAGAAGACCGAGCCTCAAGGTAGGTTCTATATGGCAGAATAACAAACGATTGGAACAGTCTCTACTCACCTTGACTTTGCGCTCCCTGCAAGCATCACAGCTAGGATCTTTGCGTCGTTGACGATATGTTCGTTTTTGTGCGTTGAGAGTAGGCGCAGACATGTGTGGAGGCGCCACTCCAGCTCCAGTCAGACCTGCCGTTTGTGGCGCTTCTTGTGGTAGACCAGATGTGCTTGGCGACGCAGAGGACGCGCTGTAGGAATGGTTGTGGAAAGAGGCATTGTATGATGCCGGAGACCGTAGCTCCAACTGAGGTAGGTAACTTGAGAGCACTGACGGTTGTGAAGCTGGGGCTATGGTGAATGGATTCGGTGGTCCAGGTGCCATGCTCTGTGAAGACGATATCCTTGTTATTGGAGGGGAAGTAGACAGTCCGGAAGGGGACGAGTTTGCCATATGATGTTGGGATATGTTTGGTAACGAACTGTCCATTCCAGGGGAGTGGAAGGCGGCGCAACCCGACTATTCGGAGGAAAATAGTGACGCGGTGGGGTCAAGAGTATGTCCTCTCGGCACCTGCCGAACGTTCGCTCGGGTATGCCCAACAATATGGAAGGTTCCCGGTGTCGAATATCGTTCAGGCCAATGAGAAAAAGGTCTCCCGAAAGCACCCAGTGCGTTGGACGGGTCCTCTGTCGTGTCTTGAGGCTGTCACAGCCTGGGAGCAAGGATTACCGCAGGCTGCAAGCGCACGGCCAGCTGGAGCAAACCACCTGCAGATTCGACGGCTCGTAGGTCTCAAGAACTAATAATAATAAGGCTGCTCGGATGGCAGGCGCTTCAGACGAAAATCGGAGCGTTGGGGCTTGCTTGACGCTCGAGCACACCACCTCGGTGAGGGCCAGTCGGAAGGCTGGGAAAAGTGTGAAATTCGGCAGAGACGAACTGGGGGAGGGAAGGCCAATCGAGATGTTCTTGATGGGGAGTGCTTACTGCTTCCAAGTTGTATGGCAGCGGGGAGAGATGGCAGGCAAGCACGAATGAGACCCGGCACTACAGGGCACAACACTCTGAACCCGCTGTGGGATAAGGCGGCGAGAACTGAGGAGGAAGTCACGCCGCGATGCCGGTTGCTAGTGGGAGGAGATAGCTCACTAGCAATGGTGTGGTAGAAGCAGGCCGGGACAGGGATGAATTGCCACGAGGTCCATCAACGCCCGTGGGGATCGGAGTGAAGATCAGGCCGGAAAAGGGTGAATGCCGCAACCACGAGGTCGCAAGGATACTGTTCTCCTATGGGTCAGTGAGTAGAGCTGGACTTGGGGATTAGCTGTTCAGGATCCGCTCACAGGTTGATGGGTATGCGCCTCCCAGGTTACTGTGGTACGTGGAGATGTTCATTTATCAACCGGACTTTGTTCTTGAAGAAACCAATTCTAGGCATCCGTAGCTATGTCCGAGAAGAGCGCGTGCAGGAGGTGGCGTCCATACGCTAGTCCCGTAGTACGGAGTAAAGGTTTGAGCAGAGTGAATTGCAAGTGATTGCCGCTGGATGACTGGTCGCCAGCGTCGTCTTGCAAGCATAAAATCAAAGTACCTAGGCAGAAGGCGGTAGAGGATGGATTGGATTCCGTCCTATGCGGCAAAAGAAGGCAGATGTTTGCATGAAGATCCTCAGATTGGCCGAATACGGACTGTTGATCATGTAGACGGAGGGCCGTGGAGAGATTTGTCGCTTGGACCACGACTCGTTTGACAAGCCGATGAACAATGACCCTGGTCTTCAGGTTCTAGAAGCACTCATCCCTGAACCCAAAATTTCAAGCATCATGCTTTTTTGGAGAATTCCAAGGCGAGAGGGGAGCAATGCAGGGGCACAACGACTTCCCGCGTCCCTAAACCCTGCTTGCATCAGCGGCTGGGCCGGCCCAGATCCGAATCCGAGAAGGGAAGCGAAAAGACGAAGATTTCCCTGTTGGTTATGCTTGTAGATGAACGGGTTCGGGAGGGCTGAGGCTAGGGTATGGCCGTGACCACATAGGGAAACCGAGAACGCAGCTCCACCACGGCTGGGATAAGCGGACACAACATGGCACATGCAACAGGCACCATTGGATTGCCACGCGCCTGGATTAGGGGACAGAGAGAGATTGTAGCATATTATGTGCAGGATTTCGAAGGCAAAACTCGCCAAGTAGACGCGGTTTGCGGATATCCCGGGCATCAAGACCATCCATCGACGATGAGAGCTATCAGTGGGGAATTGGCCCTCGGAAAGATGTAATCGCGACGACATTTCGGGTTCAGCCAGCGGCGGATTCTCCTCTGATCTGATTCTACACAGTAAGGAACTCTTTGGATCGGAAGCTTGCACTCCATCCATTGTGCAAGTACGAGTCCTGGTGACGACATATGTCGATGGAAGCGGGCGGATCGCTGCTTCCGAAGGCATATGATCTACCGAGAACCCCGTGCCTGACCATGATCGAGGCCGCCACTACTCCGTACTGCCACACATGTCATGGCATAAGCTTCGGCTTTGAATTACCACTTGGGCGAATTTGGCGTCCCACTTCCATCAACGAAATGACGCTCCGGAGTACAGCCGTGAGACTGCGTTAGGAGTAATGGAAACAGATGGAAGAAGGAAATAATGGCGTTTGGAGGGTCGGCACTTGGAGAGTGGTTGTCGTGGCTTGCCAAAGTCCCTAGGCCGAGGTGCATATGGATAGTGTGGCTGCTCTCGATTTGAACAAGCTTTTACAATCCAGTAGACTAGCGGCCGCGGAGAGTGTGTCACTCGACCCGACAAGCCGCATTGTTTTTGGCCCGCCGCGGAGCCCATGTCATGGATACAACAAAGGCGGCGAAAGTCCAACTCCCAAGTACGCCGGCGAATTCGGTCATTTACCGGTACCTAGGTAGTCCGGTCTACGGAAGTTGCTGGTACATGGATGTACCTTCGGCACCATCTGTTATGTGGAATATTATCCTTCTGTCACAGTTAAATCAAAGCCGTGCCTCGTCGAGTAACGTCGAGTGCAACAGCAGACCATCATAGGGCTTCGTCCTGACAAGGCTTTGTATATGTACCACAGTATTGAATGCGGATGCTGTGAAGTGCCTTGGGTCTGGGACTGGAGATGCAGGCCGGGAGGCCAACGTCAAACAACAGGATCATGGCTCGGGCGTTGGAGGGGCGGGGTCGGAAATTGCCGACGTTGGAATACTGGCATTATTCGGATACCATTCTGAAAGATATCGTTCAGTTGCCCCATATCACACAACACCTGACCGTCTTGGAAGTGCAGTTCTCGCGACGTTGGTGTTGTGGCGGCGTATCGCCATTCGCCCACACCCACATGCGGTTTGACGGACTTCAGTTGCTGATCAGTCCTTCGATCTTGTTGTTGGCTGATGATGGCGAACCGTCAAATGACGGCAGAGATCGTCAATACTGCTGTGTGTTACGCGCCTTCTGGAAACAAGCCGGCTCATGCAGTTGGCTCGAAAGACTCCGATCTTCATCGCTTATGTACCTTCATCCTCCGCGGCAGACGGTTGTGAATTGCCACCGGCGACGATCCAGGTCAAGTCTGCGCTTTGGGCACACCTGTGACCGGAATTGCCTGCAATTCGCCGTCTCTCCGCAGTGTGAAAGCCCCCAGGAACCTGTAGCTGAAACATTCATCACTGGGTTGAAACCCGATCGATTCTTTGGCGGCAGTCGGTCCGATAGTATTTGCATCTGTTCGGGTGCGACGCCTGAATGTCGGATGGTGTGCTCCTCAAGATGGCTGGTGAAGCGCTCGGAATTATTGACCAACCAGAGAGCGGAAGACCTCGTATCCACCTATTATGTAGTACCGGAGGCAGTCGCGCCATCGCCAAAATACCGCTGGAGGACAGGAAGACGGAAGATGAATTGGGAGTGGAATGAAGAATGGTTGCGTATTTCGCCGGCCCTGAGACCAGCCGTCAGTTTCTACTGCTCGAGTGTGATGCCTCGGAACGGACCTTGGAATATTATAACTGTAGGCCGACTTCGGCTTGTACGGGTCAGAAGTGAGGTAGCCCATCAACATCACGTCTTCATCTGCTGAGAATTTGTCCGATGAGGATTCCTCCGCCGGGCATCTCTCTGAAGAGCCTCGCCTGCTGTGTGGATAATTTCTGCATCTCGCGATCGATGCCGAATTCGCTGGAGAGTCGGAGAGGACAGCAGAGGAGTGCTGGATTGAGGTGGACAGCAGTGGCTCATACAGACATAAAAAACGCCTGGGTGGATTCAAAGTGAGGAAGATTGAGGATTAGGGAACGGGAGGGAGTGGGGTGATGATTTACGCTTCGGTGCCGGGCAGTGAGTCGCACCTGCCTCAGATGGCGCACCTGCCTCAGATGGCACTGAAGTCTCTACCTAGGTACACTGCACTGGAGCGCTCTTGCACGGCCAGACCCCTCGCTAGCATTTCACCTCCTCAACTCCTCAGCAACCTCAAACCTCGCCCTTGTCTTCACCCTCACGCTCTCGACACTCCCCCCCTGCGCAATCTCCGTCAACACCAGCCCTGCCATCCAAACACACCCATATTTGCTCGCCACAACCATTTTCGTTGCCTTGGGATTTCCAACCAGACCCATTGAGCCTCCAATGACCTTGAGAACTTTTTCCCGGGCCATGTAATTTACGAGGTCCCCTGGAGCACTGACTTAGCAGTGGCCCAAACGTAGAGTCTCTACCTGAGAAGGAGAGAGTGCTGGTGAGACTCTTTCCGGCCTACTTCAACTTGTTCATGCATCCGTAGAACATTTCCTTGGTGTGCACGACAATGTCGCTACACCATCCTTCCTCCCAAAGTCGTGCTGACGGGAACTGGCTACTCGACTGTTCCGGTGCAAGTCACCAATGGCCGAATTCAGCCGGATCCATCCAGTCCATCCAACTGAAAGCACTGGCGTCGATAGCAGACATGTCGAAGAGCTGGGTATCAAAGTTCCCTGCACTCATAATGGTCTCGTTGACCTCGTTGCTTGACATTGTGGAGAACTGGAAAGGTGAATTATACTGAGTAGCTCCGGAATGCGACGCCTCGTCGAACGTGGGTATCGATCTCTTGAGGGTTGCAGTGCTCGAGGAGTGTATATCCACTGCAATTCGATCGCCCAAGCGAACCAAGGTAGGATCCAATTCTGCTTCGTGGCCAGAAGCTTGTCTCAGGAGCTCCCGTAGATACCGTCCGTATACGACAGAAGCACCGTTTCGATGGCTTGGGACAGCTCCAATCCGCTCCAATACCGCAGCCGTCTCTCCGATCAGATTCCTGATGCTTGGTGTAAGATTGTGTCCCGTCCGTCCACCTGTGCGGCTAAGGTTCAACGCGACGCACGCCGCAAAACAAATCATGATGACGGTGTTGTTGGGCATGGAGGTTAGGGATCGTTCGCCTTGGACTGCAGCCCGCATGACGTTGAGCGCCGATGACAAAGTGGAGGCTCTGAATTGACGTTTAACTTCGAGAGGCGCTGTGGGGTGATTGATGACGCTACTGTACGTGGAAAGCCGCGTATGCGTGATGAGTATCTCGACATATGGCGGAAGTGACCTCTGTACTCCTTGTGCGAGTGCGGAAGTCCACTTTGCAAGCCAGCGGTCAAAGAAGCCTTGAATCATGGTCTCGATCTCTTCGGCAACTTTTGTGCCCACATCCACAACTCTGTAGTTGTCGCATCTCGTCCGAATAGCCGAAAGTAGACCATCCAGGTCACGGCGGAGGACGGCCATCGATATCAATGAAGCGTCATGAACATCCGAGAAACCATTGTTATGCCATCCGTCACAGTTTTTGACGAGAGCTGTGATCGGGAGGCAATAGCTGCGACCGCGAGCAAGACATACGCCTCTTTCAAGCACGAACAAGGATAACCATGCTCTTTCGCGGCGTCGTAGTAGCCGTTGACCCCATTCCGAATTCTCGTCGACGCCATCAAAGCCATCCATTGCCAAGGCTCTCTTCGCTTCCAGGCAGTCCGACTTCTGCACTGTTATCAAAACGTCTTGACCAACCGACGTCGACGGGGTTATAATCTTGTTGAGAGAAAGATCCAATGCTATGCTCAAGGCCAGGGAGATGAAGATGCCGGTATCGTCGTCGGCTGCGTGATCAAGAGGATGCATCCATGGTACATTCACCATGAACGCGAGGACAATCTCTACAGAGCGGAATCTCCTCGCAATCACCTGCTGCAGGAGGAACTTCCGATGCAACAATAGCCTCTTCGCCAGCGCGGAAGCCGAGGGCATGAACCTAGCGGAAGCTAGCAACAAGGAGGTGAATAGGAACGCCGACTGTCTCCGGATGAAGTCAACCGTGTGGACGACCGGGTCGAGACCCCATCGTGTATGTGCCAGTTGATCATGAAAGCTGATGTTGTAAGCGCGTGAAACTTTAGACCGGTCAGGGGAACCATACTAAGAGATTAGCATTCCGGCCTCCTCTAGGCTCAAGAGGCCGACATCAATAGGGTCCAAGTCAGGCCCTTGATCCAGCCGTGCTTTGATGGGTTGGAAAAAGTGATGAATGTCCATTGAATCCCCTCTCTCGGCTGGAAAGGCTACACTGGATGGCGTGGCAATTGCAGATGCTTGTTGAGGGACAGTGTGACGGAGATCTGACGCCCGAGCAAGGAGCTGAAGAGGATTCTCGGCATCATCCAAACTGAGTAGTTCGTCTCCTGTTTGAGCTATACTATCTTTTTCGGACTGGATAGGTGCAGCCGATGCCGCAGCCGCTGCACCACTGCCGGTTCGGCCCAATCCATCGCGAGCTTTGTTGAGCAACTGCTGCAACTGTGTAAGCGTGCCTTCACTAGAGGAGCCATCCGTCCTGGACTTCTTGATCGCTTCCTCAATTTGATATATTGCTTTATCCAGCCCGGTGCGTTTGCTGTTCACAGTGTCAGCTTTGACTCTGTACTTTGTAGAACACGCTTACTTTTTGACTCCCTTCTGTCTTCCCACATGGAAGGTTGGGATGATGCACTCGGTACCAGAAGCTTCGCATTTATCACACACGCTGGCTCCGGGAGTCCGCTTGCATTTGATCTTGCTTTTCCTACAGTTCAGGCATGCGGCCTGCTTAGTAGCCATTGCTTACATGCTGTTTGTCGAAGGTGCTATGACTTGTCTACGCCAGTGTCAAGCGGAAAGACATGCCATGCAGAGAAGAGACGAGTTAACCAAGGACATCCTTTTGGAAGGACAATGGAAGTTCGAGAATTAGCCGGTTAACGTTGCCCCATCAGATAACTTGGCATCGGGTACAACTGCCATTTTAGCTTGAAGTATGATGTGGACCTTCGAAATGTGAAAGCAGCTCAAGTCAACTATGAATGACTTCTTAGCTACATGGAACCATCGCTAGATTACATCTGCACAAGTGAACCATACAGTTTAATATACAGTCGAGCGGGCCATTAGTCCTCCCCTTCTACAACGGCCAACGCTTCGCCAACCTTGACTTTCTGTCCCTCAGTAATGGTCCAACGAAGACCCCCTTCTGGTTCTCCTTCGTGGCCCTCGCCTTCGTCCATGGTTGGCCGTCTGCCCTTCGGGGCCTCGAAGACAAGTACAATAGTACTGCCCAGTTGGAAGCCACCCATTTCCTCTCCACGTCCGAGGGCATGGCCTCTGAGGACTCGGCTAGCATTTACGTATGAAGCTTCGGCAAAGCCAGAGTAGGGTTCCCCTCGTTTGGCAGCCTCATGAGCAGCACGGTCGGCTGCTGTGTCTGTGGTCAGGGAGTTTGTGCGGAGCTCGCGATCGAAGTTGATTTTGATGGAACCAACATTGGTGGCTCCCACAGGCGTATAAGAGAAGAAGCCCCAGCGCCAACGACCAAGTAGCACGACCCGTTCATTCAGAGTAAACAGACCGGGGAGAGTTCGCTGGAGGTAAGGGGATACACTGTAGAGCTCACCAGCAAAGTGACGGCGGCTTTCGACAACCCAGGAGACGGGAGAATGGAATCGATGGTAATCGCCCGGAGCGAGGTAGATGACGCAAAAGTAGAGCCCGGTGGGTGTCTTTGCCGATGTTGGTGCCCACCACGGACCGGCTGCCTCGCTACCCTCGAGATCAGCACGCACTTCCGACTCGATTGACGGAGCAGCCGGCATGGACTGGTCGGAGGGCATTTCGGAAGGCGTCCCGTGCTTCGGCCACGGGCCCGAGAAGAGATTAGGAAGGGTATAGGTGATGCCATTGACCTTGGCGAATTCCTGGTCTGTACGGAGTATGTCCTCGTGGTCAACTTTCATGTGTTCGTGCTTGGCGCCGATGCGCGCATCAGCAATGGGGGCATTTTGCGATGGACGCTCAGATCCAAGAAGCGCATCCAAGCTGTACGTCACGCCCTTGACCTGTTCTACCTCCCCGTTCTCGATGTGGCCGAACTGGATGACCTTACCATCCGCAGGCGAGAGGATGGCATGGGGGTTAGGATCCAAAGGACGGACACCGGGCTTGAGGGTGCGATAGAAGAAAGCCGCGAGATTGGGATAGGTGTGGAGATCAGGTTCGGCGACTTCCGAGAGGCTACTAGGAATCAGCAAGAGAAGCCGACAGACAATTAAGGGAGGACGAACTTGACACCAAAGATGAAGGCGTACAGCTTGAAGCCGGGAACGCGCAGGTAGTACGGAATGGTCAACTCATTGAAGCGGCCCCATAGTCTCGACAATGCTTTCAAGGGCAGCGTCGACATGACCTGGACCGTCCTGGAAGCTGTCAGCACAATCGTATGTTTAAGGGCTCTGCTAAACACACCATGGTCCACTGGGCCGGATGCGTTCCCTTTTCCTCGGAATATCTGCACCCTCATTGCTCTGTATATGCTTCTCTCGCCGTTGGATGCGATAGAGCTGGAATGCTCCCAAGAACGTCACTCCCAGAGCGATCGGTATGGGTTTCCATTCTATTTTTGTGTTCTTAAGCGCGGAATTGAGTCTGGATCTAAAGGATTGCCGCGGCTGTGCATCGAAGAGAGGTCCGGAGGAAGAGAATGGCCGGTTGGGTACGGAGCGGAGTGTTGTTGGCGGGGAGTATCGCGCTGGAAGCCGCGCGCGCCCAACATGGCGGGCGCAAACGACTGACATTATCGCTTCATAGGGGTATCAAAAGTAGTGAAACGAAGGGAATGAGCTGTGGCGGTCTGAGACTCGCGACTGGAACCGTGAGCACAACACTTGAAGATTCCCTTCAGACGCCTCCGCAGCGGCATCGAGCAGATGGAAGATGACGTCCGAATCTCTTGGCGCGGTGTCTCTCCGAACTGTGCCTCTGCGTACTCCGAGCTTCTAAGCGCAACGTGTATAATACCATCTTCGTGCCGCTCCCCATCCTCGGTCAATCGTTTGCTCTCAACTTTGAGGCTCTGGCAATGGCCACAGAGACAGCTGAAGCCGCTACGGCCATTAATCTCAAGGTCCTCTCTCCGTCCACAGAGGTCCAGGGCGATATCCACTTACCGGATCTTCCCATCTCTCTCACTTTAAAGGAGCTTCGCGATCGAATACAGAATGAGATTCCCAGTCGGCCGGCTACCGAGCGTATGCGGCTCATCTATCGCGGTCGTGCCCTGTCCCGTGAAACTGATACGCTGAGTGATGTCCTCGGTCTCGATAACGTAGGTCACAGCAAGCTGATGATAGAGGATAGAGGCCAGCTAACAGCCCCAGGTCCGGACTTCGAAGGACCACACGCTTCATCTAGTCTTGCGGGAGCAAACTCCTATCTCTACAGTATCCTCTCCGGGTCCCGCCTCAGCTCAACGGTCATCGTCAGTTCCGCCCAACCCTTTCCGACCTGGCCAGACGCCTCCGCATGTCGGCCTACCACCTACGAACCCATTCAGAGCCATACCCGAAAGCCGACCGAGTTCACAACCCCAACTGCCTAGTCGCGTCCATCCGCCGCACCCGCTCCATGCCCCTCCTCATCACCACCACAATCACCCTCCTCCACACCAATATGGTTCTCCAGTTCCAATTCCCGTTCGCGTGCAGCTGGCGCCAGCTCCCGCACAGATGAACCCATCTACTACACACCCGCAAGAGGGGCGATCCAGGAGCGGGACTCCTGTCCAGGGCGTCAGTAGGCAGATGACGCCGGTAGTCGTACCGCCCGGGGCCATACTGGCACCTGCGGGTGGACTTCCAGCGACCCACACTCTGCGTACAGACACTGGTGTAGGTCCCAATGGCGAGCATGTCACGGTGACTCGTATTTTTAACAATGCGAATGTACCCTTACCAGCACCCGTTCCTGCACATCCTCTTCTGCCACGACCGTTTCCGCATCCGCCTGGTTTCCCGCAAACAGCGCGTTTCCCAGCACCGCCAACTGGAGGATCAGTGGATCAACATCTGGTTCGTGCTCGGAATGGCTTGGATACTGCACGGCAGGAGATGAACAACGTCCGTATATTATTGCTCCAAACGCCTGGACAGGCGCCTCCGAACCATCCGCCCGCGTGGCGCATGGAGCAAATACGGAACCACATGTTGAATCATACACAAGGGTTGAACCAGCTTCAGCAAGGGTTGACTTCCCTAACGTTGGAACCCACGATGGCAAACAACCAAGAGATAGCTCAGCTGGCACGGGCTGCGAACGAGCTACGAGAGATTGCAGAGAGCGTAAACGCAATGCTAGACCCTGCACGTACTGCGAACACTTCACATGGGCCATCAGCCTCGGAGCAACCCGCCACAGCGGCAAGATCGGCAACGGCTCCTTCTACAACACTCAGTACAGGTCCAGCTGGCCCGAACCCTGAGGCTGCGACCAATCGTGAGAGCAACGCAAATGTTCCCTCCACTGAGACGAGGCCAGAACTATTCATTCTATCCAGCCCACAGGGCCCTGTGGGCATTCTCTTCGACCAGGGAGGTACTTACACAACAGCGCCAATGGTGAATACTCTGCCTTTCCAAGCCTTCACTCAGCAATTTGCCTCCAACCGCCAGCTTCTGGCCAACCTCGGACAGCAGTTCACTCAGAATATGGCTCAAAATCTGCAACCCCTGGGAGCAGTGGGAAATGTTCAGAATCAAGGAGCAGCAGCAGCAGACCGAGCTGTGGCACAGGGCAATACTCAGAACCAGGCACCCAACCAAAACCAGGATGTAGGACAAGCCGCTGCGGCGGGAGCAGCAGCTCCGAACATCGTGCCAGGTCAGCAGGGTCAGCAAGCACCACCCGATCGGCTCGCGCTCTGGGCCGGTCATGCTTGGCTTATGTTCAAGCTGGCCGTGTTTGTGTACATTTTCGGAGGACCGTTTGGGTGGTACAGACCGATATTCCTGGGTCTAGCGTCCATCGTCATCTATCTGTTTCAGATTGGGCTGTTCGATGATAGGGTTCGCGAGATTAGAGGGCATTTTGAGGCGTTGTTGCCGATGGGGGAAAATAACAATAACAACAATGGTGGTGCTGCGCGGGCCAATGCGCAAGCGGGGGATAGAGCGGGCCAAAGGGGACAACTGGAGCCAGACCAGAACCTCAGCCCTGAGCAGGCGGCGCTGAGGATGGTGCAGCAACGGCAAGAGCAGCGGCAAGGGTGGATGAGGCAGTCGATCAGGAGCGTGGAGAGGGCGTTTGCGCTGTTTGTGGCCAGCCTATGGCCTGGGGTGGGTGAGGGCATGGTGAGGGCGCAAGAGGAGAGAGCAAGGGCTGAGAGGGCGGCAGAGGAGGAGAGGCTGAGGCGCGAAGAAGAAGAGAGGAAGAAGAAGGAGGAGGAGGAGGAAGAAGAGAAGAAGGAAGCGGAGGAGGGTGCAGCGGGGCCCAGTGCAGAAGAGAAGGGGAAGGGAAAGGCCAGGCAAGAGGTTGGAAATAATGAAGGTGTCGGAGATGCTGGGGAGGGGAGTTCGTCATCTGTCGTGGGTGCGACGTGATACCTAGTAACAATTCTTCTAGCGGGTTGGCATTTCCGGGCGCTCGGAAGCGGGTTTTGTGGGTTCGGATTTGATATCACCATCTAGGGGACTCGGCGTTTGCTTTCCATATAGGGAGTACTGGAGTATGAGCGACGGCGACTGTGCGTAGGTATGGATATCACTACACTACGTTAGCTATTCTTTGTGAATGCTATTCCTTCCCTTATCAATGTCATGGCTGTGCCCAAAATCACGATGAATTTGCAAAGAACAACCCCATCCGGCATCATGCCATCCTCGACGCTATATAGACATCAATCAGCTTGAGTCCTGGTACGACGGGCCTGGCAGCCGCCGCAATCTCACAGCAACACACCGATAACCTGGCGCATGGAGACATTGCCCCCTGTGTAGCGGAGATTGGAGTTATGCGAACGTGGTGTCGCACATTACAACATTACTCGCCGCGCACAGTAATCACATCATATCATACCACGATAATCTGTACGACACGATGAGACACGTGGGTTGTACACCGGTTCCAGCAAAATGAATCCCCATCCATCTTGTGAGGGTGAGATGATTGATGGCATGACGGTGGTGGTGTTGCGGGAAACCTGCATGTTTCGCCGTGGATCCGAGTGTTTGTGACTTTGCGTCCCGTCTATGGGTTTTCGGGGATTTGAAACTGACGAGGCGAATTTGTGCCTTTTTGCTCAGCCGTGAGCTCTGCGTTATTGGCGGGGAAATGATGGTGAGGAGCTTCGGAGATGTATCTCCAACCACTCACCTGAATGGAGTGATTATGGACGGAAGTGTGAAACAGCGACAGGGGGTAGTGGCAAAGAGCAGTGGTTGTTTCGTAGTCTAGACCGGATACGGTTAGCAGAAGCAGCTCTGTTTGCAGAACGACTGGTCGGAGTTTTCCCCTTGGCGGGTTTCAAAACGAAAATGCTCGCTTACGTCCCGCGGCCCTGGCCAATGGTCGCAGCAAAACGACCTGCGCTAACAACGACGGCTGGCCAGAACCGCGACCTCATAGCCACTCAGTGCGACTCCCTTCTCTCCTTCCCTTCACCGTCGCGTCCCCTTCGGCTTCGAGTTGCCTTTCCTTTCTTCCAGTGTGCGTCTTAGAACCAACTGCTGTCCTTCCTTCTGCCTCACCCGTTACCCTCGTTTATTCAATTCCCCTGGGCCACTTTTCACCGAGTCCGCCAGTCCTTCGTTTATTGTCCTCCGCCGTCCCAGTGACACCCCACTTCCCCCGACACCCTAAGTACCACCTACCTCCTACTCCCTCTTCGTCACTCATTGTTGCCCTTCAACGTCACGGCATTGACTGCCTCCGCCTCAACCATCACTTCGGCCTTTTCACCTTCTCTGCAACCCGGTTCCGCACAGGTTGGCCTTGCCTTGTGCTTCCTCCTTGCCTTGGTCGCACCTCAACCTTGGATTGTGTACAATAGCTGACGAGCTTTGTACATGGACAACCCTCTTGTCTGTTAGCCAACCACCCCATTGTATGGATCTGGTTTCCCTCGTCGACTCCCTCATTTCTACCCCGCGCCGTGCAAACCAAGAGCTATAAAGCTCCTATTGAGACTATTCGCGGCCGTTGCATTTTGCGAAACAGATCTTTCCACACCTCCACCAACATAAGCCGCACTCTGGAGTGCGCCGCCATCTCGTTCAACACATATCAACTTTGCGCGCAGCGCGCCTGGATACACGACTGCGCAAGCGCAATTCGGATTTCAGCAACACATGTCCCCTTACCCCCGCCCCGGGAGGGTGGAGTCCATCACCACAGCAATCTCCGACGCCATCTCGAAACGAGGGGAGCACGCCGCCGAATTCCTGAAGGGATGGGACACCGATGACAATGACCGGCTTCGGTACTCGTTTGGCCTGACGGGCGTGGATCAGAAGGGGAACTTCCTATGGGTGGACGTGTTTGGATGGATGCTGCTTGTTGTCGCGCTGGCAACCCTCGCCTTGCACATCTGCAACATGGGCTGGCGACAGATGCGACAGCTGAGCGTCATGGGCCAGCCCAGCCGGCAAGCTTACTTCAAGGATAACAAGACGCGATGGTGGCCTTGGATCCAACGACACATCCTCACCGCACCTCTATGGAAGAAGCGACACAATAGGACCTTCCAGCTCTCGAGCGCAATCGAGAATGGAACCCTGCCGGGGCGCTGGCACACCATCGTCCTGGCCATCTACGTCGGTCTCAACATCGCCTGGTGCTGTATCTTGCCCTACGGGGAAGAACGTGCAGAGGTCATTGCTGCTCTCCGAGGACGCAGCGGCACTCTGGCAGCGCTTAACCTCATCCCCACCGTCCTCTTCGCGCTCCGAAACAATCCTCTGATCCCCCTACTTCAGGTCTCTTATGACGACTTCAACCTCTTCCACCGGTGGGGTGCCCGTATCACCATTGCCGAAGCACTCGTGCACACCGCTTCCTGGGTCGCCAACACCAAGAATGGCGGCGGCTGGAAGCACGTCGCAGCCGCGCTTCGCGACGAATCCTCCTATGGCTGGGGAATGGTCGGCACCATCGCCTTCGTTTTCCTCGGCATCCAAGCATGGTCTCCCATTCGGCACGCTTTCTACGAAACCTTCCTCAACATCCACCGCCTCTGCGTGCTCGCCGCCCTTGTCGGCCTCTACCTCCACCTGGCGCAGCACAAGCTCCCTCAACTGCCATGGATGTGGGTCGTTATCATCATGTGGAGCGTCGAAGTCGCTATGCGCATGTTCCGTGTTTACTACAACAGCCTCCGCCTCACAAGAGCCTCGCATATCACCGTCGAAGCCATGCCCGGCGAGGCCGTCCGCGTCACCGTCGACCTCCAGCGTCCCTGGTATCCCCGCCCCGGCTGCCATGTCCACATCTACATGCCCGCCATGAATCCTCTCCTGCCGTGGACATCGCACCCCTTCTCCGTCGCATGGGCCGCTATCGACGAACCCTCCCACAAGGAAATGGCCGACGTCGGTCTCCCAACTCTCGAAGGCCAACCCCTCGCTCCTCATGGCCCCCGCCCGTCCCGCCAAATCAGCCTCATCTGCCGCGCCCGCACAGGTCTTACTCGCCAGCTGTACGACAAAGCCGCAAACAGCGAGCACACCATGTTCACCACGTGGGGCGCCATCGAGGGACCCTATGGCGGCCACCACTCGCTCGACTCGTACGGCACCGTCCTGCTCTTCGCCGGCGGTGTCGGCATCACGCACCAAGTCATGTATCTCCAGCACCTCGTCAAGGGCTTCGAAGCCAGCACGACCGCCACCCAGAAACTGCTCCTCGTCTGGACCGTGCCCGAGAGCGAATGTCTCGAATGGGTCCGCCCCTGGATGGACGAAGTGCTGCGCCTCAAGGGTCGTAAGAAGGTCCTCCGCGTGATGCTCTTCATCACGCGGCCGAAGAAGAAGCTCGAGAATGTGAATTCGTCGTCGGTGAAGATGTTTGCCGGGCGGCCCAAGATGGTGCCGCTGCTAGAGGAGGAGGTGCGCAACCGCGTGGGCGCCATGGCCGTGACGGTGTGTGGGAGCGGGGCGTTTGCGGATGATGTCCGGGGTGCGGTGAGGCCGTTTTTGGATAAGGGGAGTGTGGATTTCATCGAGGAGGCGTTTACGTATTAGCATTAGCCTCTGAAGAAGGGGTTCTATACGAGACGCGTACGCTTTGTTTTGTTTTCATAAAGGGGGGAGGGAGGGAGGGAGTCTCGGGTTCGAGAACTCTCTGTGTGCATTTCAGCGGTTCAGCGTGGCATATTTTTGTGTGTCCCTTCATCTTTGCTCTTAACTTCGTTCGATGTAATATATTTACCTTTATTCATTTTTCTTTCGTGCTAGATGGATCGGTTGAAGTGGAACCATAACATGGGGTGCATATAGCACTCTTGAGATCTGTATTCATGGTATCCCACCGTCTAAGTGAATAACATCCGTCCCTGGCTCGCGAGCCGCCCTCCGTGGGAGCTATTTCAAAGCCAACATGGCCTCCAAGAACCCTAAAAGAAAAGACTACGAGAAGAGAGTCTGATACTATTAGGCGCACTTGTTTCTATTATGCATATAACTATCTTTCCTCTCCGTAGTTCAACGTTACGCCACAAGTACTTTCGTTACCCAAGAATGCAGTCAAGCTAGTTCCTGCGGAAGTTGTGGAATTGAGTCGATCCTCTTCCATTCCACGTAACGCTCGCATCCAAAGTGAGCAGAGCTGTGCCTGATTTTGAACTCGTCCTCCCAGCCTCGTTCACCATGTCGTAACTTGAGCCTTGTAGGCCATGGTTCAATAATCGTATGAGGTTCCTTCATCTTGAGGCCAAACAGCTTTTCAGCTTCCTTGAAGCGGTGGATTTCCATATACCTAATAACGCGTCAGTGAACCGAACCATTCGAATCTGCAAAATAGCTCTACCTGTCGAAGAAAGTCTCCACGTCACGAACGAGCGGCCGAGCCGCGAGCATATTCACCATCCACGGGTCGCCCTGCGAAAAGCCGAGGCCCTTTGGGGACAGGTATTTCATAAGCTGCATCATCTCGGCTTTGAGGCTTATTTCTTCCTCCTTTCCATCTGCCATCTCATCTACCGCGTTCATAAAGAGAGTCACGAGTGTTGCGTGCGGGTTGTCGTGTGGACCGTCAAGCAGAACGTCCAAAGATCCACAGTGTTTTTGCAAGTCCAAGATATCCGCCATCGGAAACATTGGAAACCTAGATGGAGTGAGTGAGTCTTTGACTATCTCACTGCCTGAAAAAAGGGATGGCTAATGTACCTCGATGCGGGAAAATGTCCTATTACTGAGATGGTCGGGTAAGATCTCGGCGTCGAAATTTAGGAGTTCGAACTGTATTTCCAAATTCGAGACACGGTGGTAAAATCGAGAGAGGAGATGTGTCAAGAACCAATGCAGCTTCCCGTAGATGTCATTGCTGGCTGGGCCACAGTGTATCTGTAAGACTTCTCTTAAGTCCCAACCATCGAAAGGGTCAGCAGAATCATTCATTGGCCAGTCTTCTGTCTTGCCAAAGATAGTTCTCAGATGGGGTTAGTCCAGGGCTACATGGACGAGCTGTTTTAGAACTTACGGGTTGGGGGTGCTGAAATCTTCTATCGAAAAGCCAAATAGCAGTAGGATACCATCTCTACGAAACTTATCTGCGCACAGAGGGTGGGACGGTAATTGTGACAGCATTCGTCGCTCTCTGTAGTCCCTACGCTCCTCTGCCATCGTGCAAGCGGTGCGGACCTCTTGTGCTCGGCTCTTTGACCAGTTATGTGGAAGCTGCAGATGGGAGGGGAGTAGCAGCCACTCTTCCTTCCGCAGAACCACGCGCAGCGAGCGAGAGCCGAACACCCACGTCTTCCCTAGGAGCGATCTAGGCGATTTAGATCCGATTTTTCCGCAGACTGTTTCCACTAAGGGCCGCACCCTGTTATCGAGGAGATCCATATGCAAATCCTTGATGAATGCCGAATACCAAAGGTGGATTACGCTTTCTACAGCTTCGTCCAACTCTTGAGAAAGGAAGATGACAAGCAACATGATGATATTCCGAGCGACGATGCCAAAATCTCTATCATTGAGAGTCACGGAAACCTTTCCGCGAAAGTCCTCCGGAAGCATTGCAATGGTCCTGACGACGTTCCTAAGGTCCCCGGACGCTGTGTTGCTATGAGCCTTCATTCGAGAGATATCAATGTCTGCAGAGACTTAACCGCCAAACAAAAGCTTCAGATGGCCATTATAACCCATGCCTTCATTGGAACCCAGGTTGACAAGATCAAAAGCAGGCATGTTGCCCCAAAGGAACTTCCGTCCCCCGAATGGGTCCAGCCCCAACCCCGCCCACGAATGCCGGTGTGCGACGTTCCAACGCCCATCCCGGCTGCCAGGTGCTTTTCAATAGCGGTGACTTGCAGTTGGGAGTCTCTCTTATGATGGACCCAATGGGCCTTCTGACATACCGGCCCGCAATACTTTCTATTTTGATTAGCGCATTCAGTAAGAGTGACAAGGCGAAGCTCACAGCGACCAGAAGACAGGCTTTGCATGCGAATCTGCCTCCCATTTGGCAGCCCTGCTGTCCAGCATATCTGTTTGCACAGATGCTGGTCCGTGACCAGCCCGGAGGAGTGATGGTTGCCATTTGAACTCCACCCTGTAGAAGAGGTCTAACTCAGCGGGATCTTTCTTTATGTAGTTTCACTTGCGGATCGCTCGTTGCCGCTCGTGTAACAACATCCCTAAGAGTCCCCGTCCGTAGCAAATCAGATGGAGCCACATGGCGGCATAGTGCAGACCCCTTTCCCAGACTCAGTCGAGCAGCTGAAGGGAAGGATTGATGGAACGTCTTATCCCGAGCCACGGGGGTCGCTTGGCTTTTTACTTGTATGAGCTTAAGGGGACTGCATGGTTATGTGCATGTATCTCTGTAATCTTATTGTGGGATCACTGACACTGCGGTTCGAGATGGGTGTAAGGTGCGGGATGAGGGCGCTTCTGACATCATCCCAAAACGTTTATATCTGTGACATAAGCCATAGCACCCCAATAATCACCCTCTCAAGCTCTGTCATACGGTGGTGGAACTAAGTAGAGATTGGGCAGGGGAAGGATCGAAGGATCGAAGGATCGAAGGATCGAAGGATCGAGAAACGTCTTATTATCCCGAGCCACGGGGGCATCTTGGCTTTTACTTGATGAGCTTAATGGGACTGCATGCATACGTCGAGGTGGTTCTGCGCTTCGAAATGTATCAGTCGGTGAATGATGTGGGTTGAGCTGACCACTCTGGAGGTACATGAATGCAAGAGAGGTGAATGTAGTGGATGAATTGGGTGGGTGGTTGGACGTGAGGATTGTGGATATTTGCCTTTTTATCTACCATATAAGAAATTTGGTTGGCGAAGAAACCCTAGGAGAATGGATTGCTGCGAAGACGCCTTTCAGATGGATATTTGCGTTCGCTGGCGAAAATGCTGGAAAACTTCAAAAGCTGGTGAATAGATGCGCGACAACGACCCAACAACCCTGGGATGCAACGCACGCCTTCGAACGCCCAACCGCGGATCCGAAATCCAACATATATATACAGGCCGAATGAAAAAAGAGAGATGAAAAGAGAGAGGGAAAAGAAAGAAAAACAAACCACTCGCAAAACCAAAAGTCCCGCCCCTAATCACTAATCCTCCTCCTGTCCTCCTCCAACTTGGCCCAAAACTTCTGCACATCGGGCGTCACGTTCCGCTGCACCCTCGTCCCGTTGCCGGCCCAGATGTTCCCCATCTTCCTCGCCACCCTAATCCACTCATTCATCTCCCTCGAGCGATCCCCGCGGCCCGCGAAATGCACCAGGAAATCCCCCCTCCTCGCATGGTACCGCTCCCACCCGTCATTGCTCTCCGCCGTCTCGTACTCGGTCGCCTCGCCGTGCGGATACGCATTGAACCATTCGTGCGGCACATACTGCACGTGGGGCGCGAACTTGGGCATCTGCAGGACGAGCTCCATGGCCGACTGCTCGGTGAAGGTGAGCTGGACGTCGGGCCGGTAGTCGCGGAAGGCGAGAATGTCCATGAGGAGGTTGATGCTCCAGTGGCTGACGCGCATGGCGAAGATGCCGTTGTTGAGGCCGTTCCAGTCCTTTGTGGCGACCATGTGCGTCTTGATCTCCGCCTTTGGGTCCTTGGGCGGCGGCGGGAAGAAGGACGAGATGGGGCGGCATTGGTCGAGTATCACCGTGTCGCGGTCCACCCAGAAGATCCATTCGAGGCGCTGGTGCGCGGGTTTGAGCATCTCGTCGAGCAGCAGCGCGAGAAGGAAGGCCGGCTTGTTCCACAGGTCGTCAATCATCTGCTCGCACATGACGTGCAGCTCCGTGCTGTGGATCATGCTGTGCAGGTGGTGCGTCTGCAGGGCCTTGGAGTAGTGCGCCTCGGGGTTGCCGAATTGCGCCGTCACGACGCCGATGCGGCCTTGGGAGGGTTCGTGGGGGGAGTACTCCGCGCAGGATTCGCGGAATTGGAGGGCGAGCGTGGTGAGGGTTTCGTCGGCGCGCGGCAGGCAGCGGTTGTTGCCGTGGTGGATGAGGTTGGGCCCGGTTTTTGAGGGCGGGAGCACGCGCGAGGTGATGGGGTGCGAGGTGGAGAAGAGTTCGATGAGGAGGATGAAGAGGACGAGGGTGAGGGTCGCTTTGATGGCGAGCCCCGCGGGGGGGAGCGTTATTCGTCCAGTGGAGATCATGGTGGTGGTGGAGAGAGTGTGCCCCAGGGAGGTCTCCCACTCAGGGGATAAGTCAGTACCGGATGGCCGTCGTCGAATGTCCTGGATAGGGATGTGTAGCTGGATAGATAATGAGGAGCCTAGGTAGATGATTAGGAGTCTGGATCTTTGTGGGATAGTCCCTATTATGTACGCTATGTTCAAATTGCGACGCGAAGAATGCAAAAGAATGAATTGCGTGCGGTGGGAAAGAAGTCTGGAATGTGGCAGCAGTCTACATGGCTCCTGCGCGCCTTGCGACAGCGATCGCTTTTAAAGAACAAAGCATTGCGCCTTTTCGGAGTGCATAATAAGCCAGATGTGCTGGGCCGGGGCCATCAACTCCCTTGGATTGGGTGGAGTCCACGAGTGTCACAGCCCCCATGGGAGTGGGTTGCCCCTTCTAGTGTCAAGAAAGGGAAGTCCAGCTCAAGGGATACGACGCTAGGCGCGGATAGTCGTGTTCAGCAAGCCACGCGCTGACGACTTGTCCGAACTTCCGAAGTGGAGAGCAAGGCGGGAAAAGGGCTTGGAGGTGAAGATATCAAGATCGTGAAAAAGGTCGTCAAAGTCAGAATCATGGAAGTCAAGCGTCCCTGTGCAACCTCCACCTTCGTACAACATCGCGCACCTCAGACTCGCACACACAACCCCTTTGCAGGCCAATTCCAGGAGTGTCCAGGGTCAGTCAGGGAGAAAAATGGGCTGAACATCCACTGAACAACGGACGCGAAGATGGCGTCGCCTCTCCCTGCAGATCCACGTCGTTTGGCGTCAGAAGCCGCTTCCGCTAGGCTATTGGGGTTCTGTTTCTGTATGGAAACACTCGACTACAGTAAGGAGCCAATGAGTAGCAGCTCCGAGCGCACCGTCGTACCGAAAGGCCCTGGTCAGAGTACGTCAGTATTCTCACTTGTACGCTGTACTCCCTCTTTACAGTTCAGCATTATTATTGCGCAAGTTGCATGAGCAGTTATTCCCTTCAAACGTCTCCTGAGATTATACAGCAGGAAAAAAACTTACTCACCACGGCAAGGAACCTGTGATAAGTCATCACTGATAACCAACTTCAATTCTCCGCCTGTCGCGCCACCCCCCTGAAGCGGCGAAGCTGGCCTTGAACGAGGTATTTTTAGACGAGGTTGTCGTCCTACGGTTCGACCTTCTCTAAGCGTTCTCGAACAAATGGCCTGATGCAAAAACAAGCTAATCAGCGATATGCTTGTAAAATTGGAACTGTTTTCAATTATGAGGAGAGAAGAGGATGTGGGAACCTGTGTGGAGACTGGGGCTGGAGCCAGGCAGTTCCAGATGCTTTGATGGCGATCGATGTTGGCTGCCGTTGACTGGCTCCGTGATTGGGATTGGATGTCGTGCCTCGGTTGATAGTTATCTATCCCACCTCGATTCTCCCAAACCACATCTGGGCCCCAACACTTCATACACAGTACTCCAGTACACTGTGCTGTCTCCATCTATATCAAACATTACCAACATCGGAAAATGGCGGCACCAGGACTCTTATTTGCCATGCATTAACAACACCACATCAAACCGCGGATCCCGATCCACCCCTTTCCCTCCAGATACTACGTTATGTGCATCCCCCTTTGTCCCAGTTGATCCTCAAGCACCAGACAACGTCATGATAATAAGACAAGTCGCGGTGTGTAACCCTATGTGAACCATCTTCCCAACATGCCACAGGTTACAAATCACAACGGCGCAGCCTCGCTCGACTTGTACTGTGTAAAGCGAAAACGGATAATGGCTTCGAGGTGACTGGACAAAGCTGGAGGAGCTGGAGGATCTGGACAAGTGAGCTGCATGACGCGCGTCCAGTGGCTCCAAGACGCATAGCCACGAAAACCGCCACGCACTCACAAGTTGAACCAGATAGTCTCTAGTATATCTGCTCCAGAGACATCATGTCCTCTCCAAGAACACACTAGTCATAATTCATCCTCATCATAACCCATCCTAATCATAACCCAGGAATCAGACTAACAAATCGCATGCGTCTTCCCCGTCTTCCCCTGCAGACTATGCTTCTCATCGCTAAACGGATTCTTCATCTTCTGCAACCGCCCAATGATGCTTCCGCGCCGTTGAATGTGCATAGCATGTCGATGTCTGCGTCCGTCAGTCAGCCTCCCAAGCTTAACATGAGTGGGAGATCGAGATACGTACTCGCTATGTTCCTTCAGCTTCTTCGCGTCCATGGCATCCAGCGTCTGCAAAGCCAGCTTGAAGTCCGAGATCAGCGCGTCGCAGCGCGCCTTGGAGAAGTCCTCGCGCACGACGATGCGCATCAGGCGCATGTTTTCCGAGTGCGGCGCCATGGTGTAGGCGGGGACGACCCAGCCGCGCTCGCGAAGCTGGTGGGCGCTGGAGGGCGTGTCAGTGAGTGCTGACGGAGGTTACGAAGGGTTGCTCACATAGCGAATTCGTCGTATAGCTTGCCTAGGTCTTCGTCGAGGCGGAGAGCAACGAGGGGAAGACCGGCACCGCTTCTTTGCGAGAGGATGATGAAGCCTAATGCCTCGAGGTTGGCGGCAAGGTAGTCGGCGGTGCGGGTGAGGTTGAGCATGATGCGGCGGTATCCTCGCTTTCCGAGACGGATCATTTGATAGTATTGCCCGATGATTTGCGACGCGCCTCGCGAGAAGTTCAAAGTAAAGGAGGCTTGGTCGGCGCCGAGATAGTTGATGTTGAAGATGAGTTCCTTGGGCAGGTATTTCGGATCCCTCCAGACGACCCAACCGACACCGGGATACGCGAGGCCATACTTGTGGCCCGAGACATTGATCGAAACGACCTTCGGGAGACGGAAATCCCAAACGAGTCCTGGGTTCACGAACGGAGCGACAAATCCGCCGCTAGCGGCATCGACGTGGATGGGGCAATCAATGTTCCTCTCCACGAGGAGGTCATTCAGGCCCTTGATATCCTCGTACTCTCCTGTATAAGTGGTTCCTAGGATTGCGCAGATACCAATGGTGTTCTCGTCGATGAGGTCCACCGCCTGCTTGGGATCGATCACGAAACGCTGGTCAGTACAATATACGTACTTCTCCTCTACTTCAAAGTAGCGTGCTGCTTTCTCCCAGCACACCTGGACGGCAGAGTTCATGACGATGTTAGGGTTGTCGTAGGGCTTGCCTTCGGCTTTGCGTTTTTCTTTCCAGATTCTCTTCATGGCCAGGACTGCGAGCTGGGATGGTGTTAGTATGTCAGTAGCATGGCCCACTGTGGGAGTTTACCATGATCGCCTGAACTGGTGAGCGACATATCCAATTGGCAGGCATTCTGAGTCCTTACCTCTGAGCTTCCTATGGTGCCGGTGCCCATGACGGCGGAGTTCTCGTCATGGAGAGGAGCATTGAAGAGCCTCGCAAGCATGGATACACAGCGGTTCTGAGGCACTGGATGAGCGAAATGATTACAGCATCAGCAACTGAATAGACGAACCTGTATGTCGGCGCTCACGGGGTATCTGTCATATGTCAGGCAAAAAAAAACAGTCATCAAAAAGTAGTAGAAAGTTCGTACTCCTCGTAGTCTGAAGAGGGGTAGTCAGTAATTGAACAACCACCAAAAGTCAACATTAACTCACCAATAAAGTTCTTTGAGAACGCGTCACTAGAAGCCTTTAGTGGTTGTTCCCTCTACTCTCTCACACGCATCCTTACACCATCAGCTTCTCGGCCTCTTCCTCCATATACGTCGTGACGAAGCTCGCCAAATTGAGCGTCGGCGTCCCGTCAAGCGTCAAATCGTCCTTGATCAATCGATATGCTCTTTTCTACATTAACCCCGATCTTATCAAATAGTGGTTATTTCACTCACACCTGAGGTGGCATCTCCTTCTCGGGCATCTCATGGCGGGGAAGCTCGACAGCCGCATATCGAGACCCGTACACCGTCGTTGTGTACTCATCAGGCCCGACGTCGGGACCTAGCTGGATATTGTCGACGGCCGTCGCGATCTTGGCCTCATTGAGTTCGTTGTCTGTAGCTACACGGTTGAGATGCACCATTGTGGGCCAATTGTCCGAGGATCAGGGTAGCAAAGGTATGACTTGAATAATCCCAAAAGTCAGCGACGTCAGATCAAGACTTGCACTGTGTAGGAGAGATGGCCTGATCCAAAGGGCGATGTCCAAGTTATGCGTTCACGAATCCTCACAGCAAGTTACGGGTTACCTCAACAAGTGGCCGGCGGGGTAGCAGTGGGGTGAGCACTGTAAGCTGTCCCTCATCACTGCGACTTCCAATGAACCGTCTCCGCATGGCAAGCCTTCCTTGTTTTATTGGATTCGTCTGCGTGTAACAATGGACAAAGCCGAAAATGGATGACGACGCTTTGGGCTAGGTGGGAGTTGGGTTGCTTGCATCGAACCGTCTTTCATAGTGTCATGGCGAGGTCATGTTAAGCATTTTCCCTGGAACTTGGCCTGTTTGTCCTGGTCTGGGCGCAATTACAACAGTATTATAAGCTGTACTGTGTACGTCATACCGTTAGCCGCTTATATAGAAATCGTCAGCTACTGTAGTACGTCCACTGTCTGTATAGCGAGGTGCACACGGCCTGACAACTGGAAGTCCTAGAGTGTATCGCTTATTCCGCTTGCTTCGATCTGATATACAACACCTGCCCATCCATCGGTATCTGACCCCCTAGAACTGCAAGATATAAAACAATGGTCAAGTAGCAGGATGTGCAAGAAAGGGAGCTTAGTAATGTCCCAACTACAGCTTCGCTTCTTCTTTTTGCTTAAGACGAACAAGGCCCTAGGTTATGTTAGCATCGCGACGCATATACAGAGGTACCTTAAAAACACTCACTTCCTGAACACAGGTAGCAATCAAAGTCCCGTGACGGGTGAATATCCTCTGGAAAACGAGGCCACGGCCATCGTCACTCCAAGGGGTCTCCATCTCCGTCATCATCCACTCATCGGCCCTGAAGCTTCTCGGGTTGTGGAAGTAAATGGTATGATCCAGGCTAACCATCATGCCAATCTCCGGTTTTTCGACAGCCTCGCCGTTCCTGAGGGCCCGAATGTGCTCAAGATCGGCCTCATCGACGTGCTTGAACCGCTTCAGCTTCTCCTCGTCCAGAACGAGCAGCTTTTTAAGCGTCTCCTCGTCAATGCTTGACTTTGAGTTGTCCTTCCTGAAAGCGGAGTACCTCCAGAGCTTGTGTGCGCGCGCAATGGTACCGACGAAGTAGCTATCGGACATGTAGGCTAGGGCGGAGAGATGGGCTTCATGGCCGCCTTCGGGCGATATGCGGCCGCGGGCTTTGATCCACTGTCTGCACTTCTTATCTTCGGGGTTCGGGGAATCGTCTAAAATCGTCAGCGACCCGTGGGAAGAGAGAGCACGTCAAGGCCGGCTCACTGTTGAAAATCTCAATCCGTTGACTCTGGAAAGGACCTGAAGGGGCGCCGCGGTCGTCCAGGTCGTCCATTCCCTCAACTGGCGGTGGCACTTCTGGCATTTTTACAGCATGCTGGACCAGCTGCTTGCCGCCACTGTTCTGTTTCACAAAGCTCAAGGTAGTAGTAAAGATGACCTTCCCTCTTTGCCTTGCCTGAACAGTTCGGGTCGCAAAAGACTTGCCCGATCGTACCCTTTCGACATGGTAAATGATGGGGATGTCTGAGTTGCCGGCGAGGACAAAGTAGCAGTGCATGGAATGGACGGTGAAGTCCTTGGGAATAGTCTTCTGAGCCGCGCTCAAGCACTGTGCAATGGCCGCACCGCCATAAATACCACGCGCACCTGGAGGATGCCACAACGGCCGAGTGTTGGTGAAGAGGTCGGAATCTATGTCAGATAGCTGGGTCAGCTCCAGGAGGTTCTCAATCTTCGAGTTTGCCGGATTGGCAGGCGGCGGGCGGATAAGGGTCGACATTGCAATGCAAAGTATTCACAGCGAGTCGAAGGAAAGAGTAGGTTGCTCAAACGCCAGCTGGGCGACCCACGCTGGGAATTATATATCCACGGTCGCGTATCTGATGGGTGGGTTGAGCCGAGGCATAACGGTTCTGTGCACGGGACTCGAACTGGTTAGATAGTTATTCACAGCGGCTGACATAAGCAGAGTCCGGCCAACCGCTGCGTCATAGTCGAGGTCCCTGGCGCCCGACTGCCCGGACGCTATCTGGATCTCTGCGAGAGTTCGAGAATTCCACATATCGAAAAAGGTGATCGCCCACTGTCTACTCGCAAGCTGACGGAGTGAAACCCTGCGATTGACAATCCCCTTCCGGCTCCGATCCCCTCGACCACCACCGCTCCATCCCGCTCACCAAACACGGACATGTCGCGCCCCACTATCATCGCACCAACGTCGAGTTTCCGGTAGATTCGCCTTCCCGATCTGCTATCATGGCCGAAACCAATCCAGAGCTGCAGGCGAAACTGCAAGCTCTTGAGCAGGAGCTGGCAGAGGGGGATATCACACAGAAAGGGTGGGTTCTTGCGGTCCCTTTTCATAGGTCGCATTTCTCTGGCGCGGGCTGCGCTAATAGTTCACTGGCAGCTACGAAAAGCGCAGAACGATTCTCCTCTCGCAGTACTTGAGTCCGGCGCAGGCCGCCCAGCTCCAGAATGAATTACGCAGTCAAGGACCCCTTCCCGAAGGCTCAGGGTCCCGAAATGCATCTCTCGCAGCTCTCTCCGGACGCACCGCTGGGCCCTCTTCAGACATCTCCCGCGGGGAATCCCCATATGGAAATTCGAATACCAGTACTGCGCAGAACTCGGAGTACATTGCATACCCGCCTAGCCAAGTTGGGCGCTTTCAAGAGAAGCAGCTTGGGATACCGGATGCTGCGCACCGTCGTGCTTCTCAAACCAGCGAGACCTTCCTCCCTCGGCCACAGAGTCCGGAATATAGACCTTACTCGCGCGATGGGACAATGATATCTACTAATTATGCTTTCAATCCTGAGGCGCACGCTGGCTACGACGGCCAATATGGAGCACCCGGGGACGCGACGAGACAGAGCACGATGCTAGACGCCCACCAGGGCTTTTTCTCCGATTTTACAGGACAGCAGATGCAGGATAATCCAGATATGTATGGCGGCCCTCACAGATATGGATCCGCAGATGCGTTTTCCCCGACCGCCGCGATGGCCCCGCCCATGATGTCGACAAGCGACATTGCCGGTGCAGCGGTTGTTGAACCTTTGTTGCCCTTGGAACCGCGCGACCTGCCATTCAATGTCTACGATCCCCATAATCCCAATCTCTTGATGTCCAAGTTTGATAATATTGGGGCTGTACTTCGCCATCGTGGCCGGACTCAGCCTCGACAGACTGCTTTCGAGGTGTTGGATTCCAAGGGGAAGGAAACGGCATCCATTACATGGGAGAAGGTCGCAAGCCGTGCCGAGAAAGTCGCAAAGGAGATGGCCAAGAGCAATCTGTATCGCGGCGACCGGGTGGCGCTAGTGTATCGGGATACCGAGATCATCGAATTCGTTGTTGCCTTGCTCGGTTGTTTCATCGCCGGAGTCGTGGCTGTGCCCATCAACAGCGTAGACGACTACCAGAAGATAATACTGCTCCTCTCCACGACCCAAGCTCGTCTTGCGCTTACGACGGATATCAATCTTAAGGGCTTCACACGGGATGTCAGCCAGGGTCGTTGGAAGTGGCCGAGCGGTGTCGAATGGTGGAAGACAAACGAGTTCGCTTCACGGAAGCATGATGACCACTCTCCGTTACAGGTACCGGAAGTCGCATACATTGAGTTTGCGCGAGCGCCAACGGGGGACCTTAGAGGTGTAGTCCTCAGCCACAGGACGATCATGCATCAGATGGCATGTATTAGTGCCATAATATCGACAATACCGACCGGGAACGAGGGTTCAGACACGTTCAGCCCAACGCTCCGTGATGAGAATGGGAACCTTATCAATCGACCTTCCAAGACCTCGTCTACCGAGACCATTCTCAGCTACCTAGATCCGCGTGAAAGTGGCGGCATGATTCTGGGAGTTCTATTTGCTGTCTATGGTGGACACACGACAGTATGGCTGGAGGCTAAGACTGTCGAAACCCCTGGGCTTTACGCCCATCTGATCTCCAAGTACAAGGCCACCATAATGGTCGCTGACTACCCCGGCCTAAAACGTGCTGCTTATAATTATCAGCAAGATCCCATGGCTACAAGGAACTTTAAGAAAGGCTCAGAGCCGAACTTTTCTTCAGTCAAGATCTGCTTCATTGATACCCTCACAGTAGATTGCGAGTTCCACGAGATATTAGGTGATAGGTGGCTAAGGCCAATGAGAAATCCTCGAGCACAAGAACTGATTGCGCCCATGCTATGTCTTCCTGAGCATGGTGGTATGATCATCTCTGTCAGAGACTGGCTAGGTGGCGAGGAACGCATGGGTTGCCCGTTGAGCATGCACGAAGCAGAGGAAGACGATGAAGAGGATAAGAAGTCCGAGGATCCTATCGTGAACAATGGCTATACCAGTCTCATTGGCGGCGGTGTAACCAAGAAGAACAAACAGAAAAAGAGCCGCGTCGAGTTGGCAGAGATTCTCTTGGATAAAGAGGCGCTTAAGATGAACGAGGTAGTTGTTGTTGCCACGGGAGAAGAGGTAAGGAAGCGCGCAAACGAGCCGGGAACGTTACGCGTTGGCGCCTTTGGATATCCTATTCCGGATGCGACACTTGCAATCGTAGATCCAGAAACGAGCCTTCTCTGTTCTCCGTATACAGTTGGCGAGATCTGGGTCGATTCACCTTCGCTTTCCGGCGGCTTTTGGCATCTCCCCAAACATACCGAGACTATATTCCATGCCAGACCCTATCGGTTTGTTGAAGGTAGTCCAACACCTCAACTGCTTGAGACGGGGATGGAATTCCTGCGCACGGGCTTGCTAGGCTTTATCGTCGACGGCAAAGTCTTCGTCCTTGGACTGTACGAAGACCGGATCCGGCAAAGGGTAGAGTGGGTGGAGCACGGCGTGTTCGAAGCTGAGCACCGTTACTTCTTCGTGCAGCACCTCGTTGTCACCATCATGAAGACCGTGCCAAAGATCTACGATTGGTGAGATTGTCTGATACGCTGAGTTGTTGTTGCATTGCTAACCTCACTAGCTCTGCCTTTGACGCACATGTTAATGGCGAATACCTTCCCATCATACTGATAGAGACGCAAGCGGCGTCCACTGCACCTACGAACCCGGGAGGACCTCCGAGGCAATTGGAAATACCCTTCCTGGACTCACTATCCGAACGGGTTATGGATGTACTATACAACGAGCACCATCTGCGGGTCTATTGTGTTATGATTACAGCACCTAACACTCTTCCTCGAATAGTCAAGAATGGTCGGCGGGAGATTGGAAACATGCTCTGCCGGAGAGAATTCGACAATGGCTCCTTACCCTGCGTGCACGTCAAATTCGGCGTGGAGCGGTCTGTTCAGAACATCGGATTGGGCGACGATCCGGTTGGCGGCATTTGGTCTCAAACAGCGTCCATGGCACGAGGTCAGCTCCTATTGATGCAGGACAAGCAGTACTCTGGAATAGACCCCCGTGAAGTCGTCATAGACGACCGCACGTCTACACCTCTCAACCAATTCTCGAACATCCACGACCTATTGCAGTGGCGTGTATTGCGACAGGCTGAGGAACTTGCATACTGCACTATTGATGGCCGTGGCAAGGAAGGCAAGGGTATCACCTGGAAGAAGTTCGACCTCAAGGTTGCTGGTGTCGCCATGTACCTGAGGAATAAAGTCAAAGTCAAGGAAGGAGATCGTCTCCTGCTGATGTACACCCATTCCGAGGACTTCGTGTACGCAGTACACGCATGTTTCTGCCTGGGCGCCGTTGCTATCCCGATGGCGCCCATTGATCAGAACAGACTGAACGAGGACGCACCGGCCTTGCTCCACATCATCGCGGACTTTGGCATCAAGGCGATATTGGTCAACCATGATGTTGACCATTTGTTGAAGGTGAAGCAGGTGTCACAGCATATCAAACAATCCGCAGCGATCCTCAAGGTTAATATACCTTCGACATATAACACCACCAAACCCCCTAAACAGTCGAGTGGATGCAGGGACTTGGGACTGAAGATGAAGCCGGCCTGGGTCCAGCCTGACAACCCGGTTTTGATTTGGGTTTATTGGACGCCGGACCAGAGGCGTATTGCCGTGCAGCTGGGCCATGATACCATCATGGCGCTTTGCAAGGTCCAGAAGCTGACCTGCCAGATGGTCAGCACGAGTCCTGTCGTCGGATGCGTGAGAAGCACAGTTGGCCTGGGTTTCATCCATACTTGCCTGATGGGCATCTTCCTCGCTGCACCAACGTACTTGGTTTCGCCTGTGGATTTCGCCCAGAATCCGAATCTCCTCTTCCAGACTCTGTCGAGGTATAAGATCAAGGATGCGTATGCTACAAGCCAAATGCTTGATCATGCTATTGCACATAATGCAGGCAAGGCTATGGCACTACATGAACTCAAAAATATCATGATTGCGACTGACGGACGCCCACGAGCTGACGTTTGTAAGTACTATGCTCTCAGGACTAAGCCATCATCTCACAACAGAGCAGATTCAAGAGTACGTGTGCACTTTGCACCGGCAAGGTTAGACCGCACGGCAATCAATACTGTCTACTCCCACGTCTTGAACCCAATGGTCGCATCACGGTCATACATGTGCATCGAACCCATCGAGCTGTATCTGGACATGAACGCCTTGCGCCGTGGTCTCGTCGTACCAGTCGATCCGGATACAGACCCGAATGCACTGCTCGTGCAGGAATCTGGAATGGTGCCCGTCAGCACGCAGATCTCCATTGTAAACCCAGAGACGAACCAACTTTGCCTCGTGGGCGAGTATGGCGAAATATGGGTGCAGTCGGAAGCTAATGCGCATGCATTCTACGGCTCCAAAGAACGCCTCGATGTCGAACGCTTTAATGGCAGGACAGTCGACGGTGACCCGAATGTGCGCTATGTGCGGACGGGAGACTTGGGTTTCTTGCACTATGTCACGCGACCCATTGGGCCGAATGGCGAGCCTATTGACATGCAAGTTCTTTTCGTGCTTGGCAGTATCGGCGATACCTTCGAAGTCAATGGACTTAATCATTTCTCTATTGACATTGAAACGTCGGTGGAGCGGTCTCACCGGAATATCGTCCCCGGTGGCTGGTATGTCATCCCGTATCCTCAATCTCTGTCGATATCAACTAATCATGTTTTTCTTACTACAGCGCCGTCTTCCAAGCCGGCGGCCTCGTCGTTGTAGTGGTCGAAGTCTTCCGCCGCAATTTCCTCGCCTCCATGGTTCCCGTAATCGTCAATGCCGTCCTCAACGAACACCAACTTGTCATCGACATCGTTTCCTTCGTTTACAAGGGAGACTTTCACCGCTCCCGCCTGGGCGAGAAGCAGCGCGGCAAAGTCCTTGCGGGATGGGTGACTCGCAAGATGCGCACAATTGCCCAGTACAGTATCCGCGATCCGAATGGCGGTGATAAGACGGGCGGTATTCAAGAGGTAGCAGAACCGGGGCCTGGCCGGACGGGTTCGGGGACGTTTACGAGAACGGGTGGGCCCGGAAGTGTCAAAGGCAGTCTCAAGGGGAGTTTGTTAGGAATGGCGACGACGCAGATGCAGAATTTGTCGTTGCAGACAGGACAGGGGGTGCCGCCACAGGAGTTTTCTGGGCAGCAGCAGTGGCAGCAACAGCAAGGAATGGGCGGGTTTGCGCCGCCTCCTGGGAACGTCGCTGAGATGCCGGGCCAGGGAATGGGATACCCGGAGTCGATTCCTGAGTATGCAGAGCTGCAAGCGTATGCGGAGGGAGAGGGAGATATGAGCCCTGGCCACAGAGACGAGAGCGACAATACGCCCACAGAGGCACCAAGGGGATCGTATCTTCCCAACCTGGCCGGTAGCGAGGTTACGGATTACAGTCCTGTCGGACACGGTGGCGTTTTCGACGACAACTTGTCGAATCAGCAGCAGCAGCAGCAACAACAACAACAACAACATCAGCAGTACGGCGCAGAAGGCTTATCGACGAGTCCCCTTCCAACAGTGTTAAGACCCGGCGTGGCTGATGATGGGACGGGGCCTCCAGAACCGAGGTATGCGAATAAGCCGTTTCTGGATGCTGAGGCACAGGCTGTGGGTGGTGCGAACTCGGGGTATGCGCCCTCGGGTGAAGATTGGCGGTTACCGTCTCAGGGGATGCAGCAAGGACAGCAGCAGCAGCAGCAGCAACAACAGCAACAACAACAAGGTTATCAACACCAAGAATACCAGTATCAAGGAGGGTATGCAGACCAGCAGCAAGAACAACCAGAGTCAAGTAGTGGTGGACCAGCAGCAGGAGGAGGCCTCAGAGTAACGAACCGCAACTCCGCGTCCACGGATACTAGCGTGGATTCGTGGGCCAGGGAGGCGATTATGCATATGAATCTTGCGGGGTCGGGGCCGGAGGAGATGAGGAGGTATGATGGGTAGTTTTCAGTATTGGAGATGGGGTTGCGTGGGAATGGTGGATGCATTGTTGGTGTTGCCTGCTTGGTGTTAGAGCATGTGTTTGTATCGAAGTGGGGAGATTCGAAAGCGTGTTTGGTTTGCTGGAAGATCGTTGTTGAGCGTGTTTGGCGTGGCTGAACGACTGGGTAGCGGAACGTTTTCTTTGCCTGACAGCTGGAGGTTGGTAGACCTGGAGCTCGCTTTTTCTCCTGGAGTGTACGGCTTTCTCTCCCCTTGAGCTTCACTTTCCGGGAGCTTTTGATTAACGAAAAACAAGCGCTTTGCTAGAGACGAATTAGGGGTTTTTTGAATAGGTATGAGGTAGTTCTAGTAGTATAGCATTATATAGGCATTTATATAAGGGTGGATGTGACATTATGACGGAAATGGAGCTCTGCCGGCTGCGGCATGAATTGCCGTATGATCTTGAATAAATTAGACACGCTAAGATCAAACAGCCGCAACAAAAGCTGCGAAACATCTGCTGTTGGTACTGTCAAGATGTATTTACATTGAAGCTAGATTCCCGATACGACAGACATTGTGACTACTAAGACAGGCCGGTCAGGCAGGCATTTCCTTTGTTGAACCCGCCCAAGAGTCTGCACGAGTAGACATTTCCTTTGTTGGACCTACTCATTTATCCTTTCGCTCCTGCCGTTTGGTCTACTAATCCCCTCCCTTCTAATCCTCTGCATCTAGCTCATCTCCCTGAATCATGTCACCTCGACAGTCCCGCGCTTCACTTCCGTTCACCGGCATACCCACTATATACAGGTCATGCCTCACAACTCCTCTTCATCCTCCGAATCGTCCTGGCTGGACGAGTCTCTGTCCGACCAGATCTTGGGGCTCACATCGGGAACCGCGTCTGAGAGGTTGTTTCCTTCATCCAGACCAACTACCGTCGATTCCTCCAGCTTGTTCTGTTCCAAAATGCGCTTCTTTTGGAGGAAGTCATGAAATAGCGGCTCGGCCCCATCTATTTTAGTCGAGGCCGTCCACACTCCGCTCTCCCTACTTGCCGGTAGCTGACGCACGAGCTGGTTGTACGCCGCCGTATAGTCCCGGCTGGCTGCTTGAAGTAGGCGAGTTGTCAACGCCTTGAGGTCCGGCTCATGCGGCTTCGGCATCGGGCCACAGAGTGGGACAACCACGGGAGGCTGCTCCAAGCCACGCTGAAGACAATACACCAACTGAGCAAAATCCTCCTCCCAATCCTCTTCAGAATCCAGTATATGATCAACCAGCCCCTCCTGATGCACCCACTGTGCGAAGAACAACTTTACTCTCTCCCCAACTTCAGGGTGTGTAAAGAGCCGATTCAAAACCTCCGGAGCGAAGTCTAGGGGTGGCGCGGCGCCTTGCATAGTCTGCAACCAGCGATGCATAACCATGTCGCGGATGTGGCCGACATTGAGCTCGGTTGCGAGAAGGTATAGCTCGACCAGTTCCTCCATGGTCCACTCAATACGACGGACGACTGGGAGCAGTTGGAGGTCTCCATTAGCCTTTCGTTGGCGGACCAGAGTATAGTGGTACTCAGGGAGGAGGGATTCACCTGTCCGGACGCGTAGGTACTGAGGCAAATCCTCCCTAGCTGTGTCGGTAGGAATATGGCAGTGTCGTAGTTGATTCTGCAGGCAGTCCGGAAGGCATACGGGGGCCTTGGCTTTCCCAGCCAGCTGCCGCGAGAGTACATGCTTTTGATGGGCCACACAGGCCGGAAGACACTCTGGCAGGTCGTCTTTGTCGATGGAAGGGTGGCAGCACTGTGCGAAGATTTCCACGATTGAGTTGCTATATCCTTGGACTTCAAGCGTGACGCCAATCCTCCTGTCGTAGATCAGCGCCATGTCGACGAAGTCAGAATTCGCCCGAATATCGTTCGAAAGCATGTCGACACTGCCGCATTTCAGTCCGTCGCTAGTCGTAACCTCGAAAGTGACCCGTTTTTCAAAGTCTTCCTTCGTGACAGGACCACCGTATTCAAAGTAGAACTCTGGTCTCGCGATCCCCCTCAGTTCCTTGGGAAGAATCTGTTCGCATACTGCGGCAGATTTCTTCAGGTGCTCGTCAACGTACCGTTTCTGGGGTACTGAGTCCTGGACCATCTCCTCATGCTCATTGATGGTAGGAGTTGTGACGCTGGTTTCCACATTTAGTTCAGCGGCGCCGAAAGCTTCGGCATCCTCCATCTGGTCGGATTCGGTGTCGCAGTCAGAGTCTTCTATGCTCTCCTCACTATCGGACTCCTCAGAGTCTTGAGGACCCAGGACATCTCCCAGCTGTTTGCCGATTGCGGTGCCTGCGGGCTGTCTGGGTGGTGGCTTCGTGGGCTGGGAAGACACACCCGACAGAGGCTGAGGACGCTGAGTGCCCTTTTGAGCTCCCTTTTTGGCTGGCTGTGTTTTTGCCACGTATGCAATCGTCTTAGGGTCCGGGTACGCAGGATCCCGTAGACGGTACTCCGCTATCTTCTGCCGGTACCGCTTCTCGCATGCGGCTGCTCCAATGGTCCTGCCAAACCGCTGATTGAAGAGGCTGGCGACTTCTGCCCATTTGAGGGGTGCGGTTGTGGTGGAAGTGGCCCCATAAGGATCTGGGACGATGTTGTCGTGAGCCTTAATTACGAACTCTACTTCCTCCCAGTTGGTTCTATCTGAGTTTGGCCCGGTGGAACTCTTTGCCCGCTTTGATGGTACTGAACTGTCATCAGCGCCAGCCTTCCTCTTGGGGGCCATTGTAATTGCTTTGATGAGTAGATTCACGGTCGGGAAGGGAGGCTTCGGTGTTGCGCTGAGTCGTTGGGTGTTGGTGCTAGTGTGGAAGGCGGGAGTTAAAGTGTAGAGTGCAAGTTAGCGAGAATCGCCTCTGAAAAAGGTTATAGGACGTGAAGAACTGGGAGACAGAAGACGCGGGAAGCAACCAGCGTGAGTTGCTTCTAAGTGTGGGTTGGGTGGTAGTCGGTTTGATGAAAGAGACTGGGAGAGTTGCAGAGCTGGACGAGAAGAACTTAAGTGTGACGCGCCGCGACCATGCGGCCGAGCCACAACAGTTGTGCGCGAACTGAGCGCACATGAAGCAAAACAATGTCACCGGATGGAAAATCGTTCAGCTACTCTGCCGCAAGTGCGATGAAAGTGCGGAAAGGTAGTGAATAGCCCACTCCCGGTACTCTTTCCACTCAGTGAAACAATCAGATGATTTCTCCCTGTCCACCGCGGGAAGGAAACATCGTACGAATGGCTCTGAAATAGACTTTGAGAATCTTTGAACCTCCAGATTAGCCCTGGTAACATTGTAGAGAAACGCATCGTTAACTTTCTTAGAGTCAGCACGCAAGTCTGTCAGGGGAACGCTGACACCGGTAGTCGTAAGATCGCCGTCAGTCACTGCATGGGCGGTCGCCCAGGTGTGAATTCTTTCTTTTCGACCGGACCGCACCGCCATAGTCGAAATAGTGATGTGAGCCAGCACTTCCTCAGCTCTTATAATGAGACCCGCACCGGGATTCTGATGGGTTTGAATAGCTTGTTATATATGGCAGATATTCTTGAGTAAAGCTGCTGAAAACACAAGGACTAATATAGATATAAACCCGGTCGCAACCGGATTGTCCTTTCCCTCGTGGGGGGATCTTTAAACAAGCGCGATTGTGTTGACGAATGGCCAGTCCGTTGCATTCGGTACGCCCATGTTCCCAATCGCATGACTTTCACCTTTTGATTGTCGCCTTCTGAACAATGTTCTTAGATGGTTATCGTGTTTTACGTGCTTGATACTGCAACTAATGTTGCATCGACCCTTGGTTACCTACTAAACGTCTACAGGAGCTTTTCGACTCTATAGATACAAACAGTGGCCCACAAGAGCGTGCGTTCTTGGGAGCACCAGGGTGACAACGAATTCAGCCTTCTTTTCTTGCATCGGTAAAGCGGATGTATTCATTACAGCAAACGAGATTAAGAAGTTCACGTTGAGATCATTGCACCCTTTCATTGAATCTGCAGCAGATTATGTCAGAGGTACGGATGCCCTAATTACAGTGTCTAAAAAAAGCACCATGATTCTGCGAAATTTGGATGATGAGCCACTGTCGGACTGGCGAGGCTGCCACAGTCTTTCCATTGTCAACTTTGTGCTCATCTTGTAGGTGGCCCTCCCGTGTGAACACCCAATTGTAGCCGCGGAGGCTTTGACATTGGCTGGAGGGCGGCTGAATATTGGTGATTGTGGTATTTTAGCAAAATCCTAAGTCAAGTCGATCCAACGAGATAAACATCACAAGTTACTGGTGCACCAAAGCATACTCGTTCTTGTATGAATTCTGATACTATGATAATACAGATCTAGCCCCGTGTACGCTGACTTTGAACTTTTTGGCCCGAACCTGGCAGCTAACCGCCAGTGTCGTTGCCGGTAAACATGATCCTAGGAGCAGGAGCAGTAACAGGATTTTACTGATCTCAGCCGTCTCCCTCCGCAGCCAAACGATTACCTTCTAGCTCTCTAGCCCTCCCAGCCGCTCATGTATTCGTTGTTGGAGCATGCGGCTCCTTTTATTTCCATCTTCTATCTCCCTCCGGTTCTCACTCATCCGCCACCTCGTCAGTGTCAGAACTGTCCTCATCCGAAGATCCGCAGTTGTCACATTTCATGACTTCATGTTTTCTGAGCTCCTTTTCAACGCCAGGATTGACATGCGTCAGGTATTCACCGCCTTCGTGGCCAAAAGTATTCGCAACAAAGCCGGGATCCTGGTCAGACCCCTCCATTTGCTGCAGATCGTCCTGCATCCTCGAGAATTCCCGAGCAAGTTCGTCTGCGTCCTCAATGTCAAAGACGGTGCGCAGTTTTGAGTGCTTATTCCCACGAAAGAGATCGTCTCTCAAATGAGCGTATACTCCGGCATAGTTACGGTGGGCTGTGTGTAGAGTCCGAGTCGCAGCGGCTTGAAGAGTTTTGTGGGCGCTTCGGACGACTCATATCCACGTTTTGAGACCCCTTCTGGGAACGTCAAAAGAACAAGCTCTATCTTACTGAAGCATTTGAAAAACCATGCAAAAATACGATCATTTGCAACAAGCACACCGAAATTGGTATGAAAATTCGTTATATATGAATGGCCAAATTTGTTGACATACTGCACCTATACCTACCCTCACGAACACGAAGATATAAGAGATAAGCTTCCAGCGCAAACGAGATTTCTCACCTTGACACTGCTTTTCCAAGCAAGCAGATTGTGCCAAACAATTGTGATAGAATCTTCGCGTGCGTTTGATCGAGATTGCCTTGCTCATATCCTTGACTCTTATTCATGACCTTCAAACAGCCTTGGAGAACGTTTTCCCCGTCGCTCGTGCTGTACCCTAAAGTTATGTGATTTACTGTTGTAAAGGTGTTATAGGAGGAACTGCAGGGTAATTCTCAAGCTCAACCTTTCCTAACAGCAAAAGTCTAGCCGTCCAAGTACACTAGACATCCTTCAAGCTAGATAACAAGGCGGTGTTTACGTATCTCCATCCTTTCATGTTTCGGTATTTGAGCGAGGCTAGATTTGAGTGATTTGCAGCCCATTCTATTCCACTTGAGACATCGGAGTTCGGGAATTTGGCACGGTCACACGGATGCTGGGACAGCTAATCTCTGAAGAAAGGCACAGGCAAGACGTAACAGTCACTGCGCAACATTGCCATTAGACGGAGAAGTCTTATGAAATGGGGTGAAATGAGGATATTCTATAGTTACACGCAATTTTACACCGTCACAGGGACCACTTTCGTGTTCGAACCCAACAGACTTCAAGCGTTGATCTATTTTCCGTCCATTAGCCTAACCTTGCATGGTTGTACCCTCGCAACCCCTTCTTTTATGGCTGCATGGATTCCGACATTTCCCCTAAACGCGCCTTCCTGTGTAATTAATCCTTCAGTCTTGAAAATGCATTCTGCGCCTCAAAGCCCTTCAGGGCTGCAATCTCCAAATTGCTCCGTAGCAGGTTTGATTTGATGAATCAATAATTGAAATCATCCACAGAGTCGGCACACCAGAGATCGACCTCATCTCCCCAGTCCTCGTCGTCTTCCGAATCCCTGACAGTGAAACAGTCATCTGATTGCATTCCGCTCGACCCGTTTCGGAGCTCATTGTCCGGTTCAATGTCTCCGAAAATTTCCCAAGCTCCATATGAGACACTAGTTTTTGCTCTCCCAGTCTCTAAATCTCGCTGTTGGTTTTGAAGCTCTTCGGCCAGTTGATCAGATCCCTTCACGTCCATGAGGGACTCGGACAGCCCCTTCTTTATGCCTGACATATACTGGCTTATTAGCTGATTGTAGGCTTCAGGGTAGTTGTGGCGGGCGGCGTGAAGAAGTCTGGTCGAGGTCCCTTTGAAGTCGGTTTCCTTCTGGCCTAGCACTGTCGCAAGATTTGCATGCGCGCTGCGGAGCCGTACGCACACTAGGCGCCCATTCTGGAGGTCATGCAGCATTGCTTTAAGGGTTTCGTTCAACTGTTCACCCGAATTGAGGATGGAGTCAGTAAGTCCTTGTTCATGAATCCCGTGCGCGATGAGCTTCTTAACGGAGGACTCGACGTCGGGTTGAGAGAAGAAGCGATTGAGCGATTCAAGCCCTACTTCTTGTGGCGGGAGAATACCGTCCATTATCAGCTCCCAGCGAAACCTGACCATCGCTCGTACATGGCGACTCTCGAACTGCGTTGCGACCAGGTATAGGTCAATGAGCTCATCCATGGTCCAATCCATGCGACGGACGATGGGGACCAGTGCCGAGGAACCGTCCTTCTGGCGCTGGCGTACCAGAGTATAATGGTACTCTGGAAGCGTGATATTTTGGAACGGGCTGCGCAGATAAGGCGGAAAGTCCTCTCTAGCGGTATTGCTGGGAATATGCGCATACCTTGCAATGTTCTGCGAGCAATCGGAAATACACGGTATGCGTGACGTTGGCTGTGACGGGGCGTGCTTCACCAATTCCTGCCATGTCTTGCAGACTGGTAGACAGTCCAGCAGCGTATCTTTTTCGACGGTGGCCGAGAGGCATTGCATGAAGAGCTCCAAGGTCGACTTCGAAAAGCCCTGAGATTCCAGGGTGACGCCGACAATCCTGTCGTGCCTCAATTCGGCCTCGATGACATCCGAGTTTGCTCGCAGTTCGCTGAGAGGTACATGCACACTTCCGCACCTGAGTCCGTTACTGCTCAGTATCTCGATGATACACCATTTCTCATAGTCCTCTTTCGTGACTGGGCCGCCGTACTCAAGATAGAAGTCAGGGTGGCCGATCCCTTTCGACTCTTCAGCAAAGGGTCCAACCCGCTTCTTTGGTGCTTTGTAACTGATAGTCCCGTGCGATGCTTGTGTCTCTGTAATCGCAATGCCGGTCTGAAAAACTGCCTGAGTGAGCCCTCCGTTCTTGTCGGCTTGGATAGCGAGTTGAGATGAATGTCCAGAGGAACGACTAGTTGAACCCTGTCCGTATGCAACTATTTGGCTTGTCTTCTGACTTCCTCCCTTTGTCTTAGAGCGCTTCGAGGCATAGATAATGTCAGAGCGCGCAGGGTAGTCTGGCCGTCTGAGGCGGTACTCCTCGATGTTCACGCGATATCGCTTCTCACAAGCAGGCCACCTCACTAGAGTTTTGGCCGTCTTCCCGAAATGGGCGTTGTAGCGACGGGCAACCTCTTCCCATGGTAGGGGCCCTGTGGTTGACGAACGTGGACCGAACGGGTTGGGAAGATTGTTGTCCCGCGTGTGGATGATGAATTCAATCTCGTCCCAGTTCTTGTTGTCCTCGTTCTTTGGATTCTTAGAACTCTTATCTATGGAAGCTGCAGCCGGCTTTACATTGCTTTTGCCAGTTGGAACGCGGGTCTTACCAGCGGCCTTCTTGGAGTTGGCATCTGTGAGACTGTTTCCCGATACGGTTGGCTGGTTTGCTGAAACCGAGGAATGAGACATTAAGGTAAGAGCTATTGCGGTTCCGGGCGCGATGGGTTGATCGGAGGATTCGATCTTCTTAGTCGGCATAATGCTTTCAGGCTCATCCCCCTTCTGCTTGGGTGTTTGGTCGGATGGTTTGAGCTTTTTACTCATAGGAGCGCTATCAGCCTCACCCACCTGCCGCTTGCGGCCCATGATGGGCGTGAAGGTGGCAGCTAAGCTGTGCTTTGTCGAAGTGGTCCAGAGGATAGCACTGGGAGGATAGAGGACTTGGATGCGGAAGGTGCTGCAGAAAAAAGGTATGTAGCAATATTACTGGAGATTGACGTTATGACGCAGGAAATTTGCAGCGAGGGCGTGTCCGTGTCGGTGGGTGGGGACGGGGGAAGATATATATGCTGGGGAGGAAGCGCGCAGCATAATGGTAGAAGAACTTCGACTCTGGCGCGTCGCAGACGCGTCTCCCGCGCCACACCAAGTCTCCAGAGCGACCACACCAGCAGCAAAATCAACGTCACGGAACTGCAGGCTCGACTGGGACATCCCGGAAATGCGGTAAAAGGGAGGGGGGTGGGTAGGAGGAAACCGCAGAATTCAGTGAATAGTATATATCAACACCATAAGCTCAACCAATGACAAGACAGAAGCTCCGAGACATGTATGTCTTGGCGGCGGAACCTGTTCAGGAACAGACTCAAGTTGACAATCTCAATGTCGGTGGCTGCGGCGCGTGAGGTGGTAGCCCTCTGCTCTAGCAACGGGAAAGCCGTGGTAGCAGTGTGGCCCTGCCGTGATAGCCAAGCAGTGGCTGGGAACTGGAGTTGAGGAAGGTGATCGAATATAAGAAGATACCTTTCTTCCCCCTTGAAGACCATTGCCAGCCTCGTCGTTTCCCTGGGTAGTGATCCCTATGTGCACCGGACCCAATCAACAAATGCGAAGGGCCACGAGATGACTCTCTGCCGTGAAAGCGAGACCGCTAGTACAACGCCAAATAAGACAGAGAACAAGAAGGGCGGGGATTCCTCTCGAAGAGTGCTGGAAACATCCAAATATACCCCGAGTATGATTGCTAGCAAATGCATGACCGCACCAACGTCAATCTTAGCCGAAAGGCCCAGCAAGCTAAAGAACTACATGACGCGCTATAAAGCACACAAAGTACCTCGCGGCTACACAATTTGGAAGACCACGTCAATCGAACGATGTTTCCCTGCACAGTGTACTGCATGGCGCTTGAATCTCTCAGTGAGCTGTGTGACGAAATGCTGACTCCCACCTACCCCGAGATCGAACACCTCGAGCCAGCGGCAAGCCGGAGTTTACACACAATGATATCTACGAGTCGTCAGCTGGCAGTTGCGGATAACATTGTGTACCTGTGGCCGACCTTTGCTGGATTCGTCAAAGCACAATGTACGTCTGACACCTCATGAACAATGTTGTCTCACAGGAGCGCGCTCTCTGTTAAATACCCCTTTGAACACTCTCTTGATCCTCCTTGTCCTCTGAACTCAGCCAGGTTCTCCACTGACTGCATACCAGCGACGCATATCACTGCCGCAACCCGCGAACCGAGCGACCCCAAGCCGCCCACCATGATTGCGGCACATCCGCCCAACTTGAGCGAGTATCGCAATCGCATGCTGGAGGTCTGGAAAGAAGCCTTGTCCAACGGATGCCGCCCCGAGGAGCTGATCCCAGAGGAGATGCAGGACCATTTCCTCACGAAGCTCCGCAACGCGGAATCCCTGGTCAAGGATCTCCAAGAGCGAGAGAAACTCCTAGAAGCCGAGAAGGCAGAACTGGAGAGGGCGCTGGCGGACGAGAAACAGAAAGTAGAAGATATGCCGGAGGAACACAAGCAGCTGATCGTAGATAAGCAGCAACTCGAGCGCCATGTTGAGTGCTTGAGGATCGCCTTGGAAAGCGAGGAGAAGCGCGCTATCAACTTCGAGAAGCGCTATAAGGCGGTTACGGAACGCCTGGTGGTCGCTGATAACCATAAAGCGAAGGTCGAGGCTCAAGCCGCGGAGATCGAGCGTTTGGAAGACAAGGTGCATAGATTGTATGAGGAGAAGGATCAACTCCATGAGCTCAATAACGATCTCGTCAACAAGAACGAGTCCGGCTTTCGGGAACAGCTTGGCCATCTGCGCGAGGCGCTTCACGAGGCGGATCAGCGTGAGCATCAGCTGCAGAATGAGATCATGTCCTTGAAGCGGATCGAGACTGTATACAATGAACTGGTTGCGAGCCTGGAATCTCAGCAGCTACTAACCGAAGATCAAATGGTGAAGGAAAAGGTTCATAACCGCCAGAACGCGCAGCTCAATATTGCTGCAGTCTCGGAGATCAAGACTATAACCAAGTACTTCATATTCGCCCTGAAAGCGCTCAATTCGCATGCCACAATCATCGAGACGTTATTGGGAGGCTCGAACAAGTATCTCTGGCTTCCTGACGACCACAACAAGAACATGCAGGACGCTGCGGACCAGCTGGCTGGGTTTGTGGATATCCGAACTGCGATTGACGACGAATACGATCCGGATCCTGAGGAATATGAGGTCCGCGAGGAGTTGGGCCGTTTGGCTCTCATAGCTAACATGTTCCAGGAGACACTCGAGGAGGTGGATAAGGCAGTGCAGGTATTCTTGGGGAAGCTGCAGCGCAAGCCGGATAGGTGGGCGTCGTTCATGGCGAAGTTCAGCCCAGGGAAATTGCAAGGCGGTACTCGATTCTGCGCCGCCTCTTTGTAGAAGGAAGTTCGCTTGTGGTGCAATGGCTGATGATGAATTCGGCCTAGGAGCGCGGCGCTGAATTTGCTATTGCGTGCTGCACAGACACATCATAATAACAAACCCTGATCTATACCGATATTGATCGTAATGCTGCCCCAGAATGCTAATCAATACTGTTTATATGGATTCCGATCGTGCCCAACCTTGTGCCAGTGGTGTAGACTTGCAGTTTGCCTGCTGTTTGTGACCCGGATTCCAACTCACATTCATTCACAATGTCAGGGGGACAGTTTCGACGTCTTCGAAGGCGCCCCGACACTTCTCACGCTCATATTCCAAATCCGGCTGGAACTCCCAGTACAGTGACTCAGGATCGTTCGCCATCTTAAACGTGTAAGCAGCAGCTTCATCATCAACGTAAACTTTAGGAAGTCCGTTCGCCGCTGCAGCCTCCACCATGAGCTGAATTTCGCAGCTACGCTCCATGAGCGTGTAGAGGTATGCGGCCTCGTCGACTGTCGTCCCTACAGTCTGTATTCGGCAGTGAGCATTTTGCAGCCGAGCAGATTCCTATTACCTACCAACAATCCGTGATTCCTCAGGATTAGCCCTTTACCTTTAGCGCCCAGGGACGCCGCAAGCCGCTTGCCTTCTGCTTCGCTGAATACAACGCCTCCGAACTCATTATACACAGCCTGCGCATCACCGTAGAAGTAAGTAACATCTTGATTGAGCATCTCAAGTTTCTTTCCAAATGCACTCCAGGCTTTGCCTGCCTTCCCGTGACAGTGACAGGCTGCATGCACATCCGGCCTCGCCTTGTGCACCGCACTGTGAATGAGGAAGCCGGCCGCATTCGCAGGCCTCGACGTATTCCCGCCAACAATCTTGCCATCGAAATCCACGAGAACCATATCGGACGCTTTGAGGGTAGCGAAGTGCTTGCCCAATGGGTTGGTCCAGAAGGCGTGAGGATACTCAGGGTCGCGAACGCTGATGTGACCTGACATGCCCTCTGTGAAGCCTTTGCGAGCGAAGACGCGGAAGGCGCCGGCCATGTGGTTGAGAATCCATGCTCGGTGTTTGTCGAAAGATGGGAAAACAGGAATGCCGGGGAGGCAAACTCCTTGAGATATTGCTTGGAGTGGAGTCAAGTCGCTCCGACCTTTGACGTTTTCGTCCCTCTTCTTTTGTGAGACAATAGCATCTGAGATGGGTGCTGCGGACGGCGCCATTTGCAGGAGTTTACTCGTGTGCCACTGTTGGCAACATGGAAGCTTACAACGTTGGTGGGGTAGAGGAGACGGTAGTTCAGTCCAGGCGGCCGCGGATCTCAGCTCCACGCAAATAGGAGGGTGGACAGCGATCGATGATCACTTGGGTAGATACATCCTAGCATTTCAATGTCTTAAGATTTCGGTAATGACCACAAGCCTGTCTACATCTCTTCCGAACGATTTCTGGACAATCATCGTCCAATTCCGAGTCCTTTTCTCGTCGAAGTCCATTTCTCTACCGGTCACCAGCACGTGACCGGTTATTCGCGGCATGGTCTAGATGAGTCCAGCCGTACTCCGTATAGCAGGCCGTATTCCTCGCATCCGATGGGCTTACTCTTCGATATCGGAGGGCTGGCTGCAATATGAGTGGTTAGCCAAGAAGGGGCGGGTGGGGAAGGTGAACATGAGCTGGGAGTGGTCCACTCCTTCACAGTTATTGTGTCCTGAAGATACTCTGGTAGGAGTGCTGTGAAAGGCAGGTAGGCTAAAAGAGTCACCTTTCCAAATTGTGCTCTCGCGGGCCCTAACTGCGTCCGGCAACTACGGATACTTGTCTTAATCCGTAGCCACAAGGTTGCTTCTGAGACAGGAGAGGGAATACAGGATGCTCGCCACTACTATTGACATGACAGAAGATACAGTTCCATCGTCGTAGGTATGGGTAAGAAGCATTCCTTTGCGTACTCGGTACTCAGGGCCGGCCTCAGGCGACGTTGGAAGAAGCTTAAAAAAGAAGGTTAACCCGACAGTACCAGTAGTGGGAAAATTAGTCATCAATTCATAACGCACGTTTCCCATCCTATACTAAGGCCATGTACGCCAAATTTGGCGCCGTGCACGGATGCACGCCCTTCGACTTTGACATGACATGCGAACATCGGGGGCCCAATCAAGATTCTCTCCACCTTGTGACTCGGAGCTGTGCTGACCTGAGAACAAACACTGGTCCACGCCCTGCATTCTCAAGACATATTCGCCTTCCTTCTGCGTCTCTAATCATTAATCGTCGAAGGGCGTGGATTACACAACTGCCTACCAATCTCGAGACTGTGCGGGACAGTTGGGCGTGCCTCTAGCCGTGTCTGGTCCGTTCCTCCTTTCCCGTCGTCAGCATGGCTTCCACGAATACCGATATGGCCCAATTCTTCGACTTTGGAGAGGCAGCTCTGCCCGAGATGGGAGGAGGGAATCGGGGGAGTACCTTGGCTCCAGAACAAGGCCCGCCATGTCCTGTTCATGACCTTGCAGAAGGCATTACCGCATCAGATGTGTATGTTCTCCTGTTCTTTTCTCTGCGACCCCTCTCCGGAAGTCATCACACATGTCTCTTTGAAGTTTTCGTCAATTTGAAGGACGCTCCACGACAGCCGATATTGAATATCCATAGTGAGAAGAGATAGCCTTGGGCCTGGAAGATTACGACTTATCTCTCGTTCCGTCTTCGTCTTTCATTAACTGCTGCTCAACGTCTTACAGCATCGCCTTGAAGCATGTTACTGACAGCGGCTAGCTGCTCGTGCAATAAAGACATTCACGTTGTAGCAGATGGCCTTCAACCTGCCCGAGAAGAACCCGAGTTTGACTACAACTTCTCCAACTGGCTTCCTCGCTACACGAAACCTGTCCATCCGTGTGAATACTGTCGATCACGCGGCCTGGAGTGCTTTCTCTATAATGCTCAGACTGGCAAGCCGACTAGCTGTTCCCCATGTAACGCCTTGTTCAGGCCTTGCAGCTTCAGCGATCCTGATAAACTGCCAATGCTGAGGAACAGAACCGCACTGGACACGCTCAATGTAGTGACCGAGGATGCCGCTCAGTGCTTTGGCGGCCGCACCGGAAAGAAGCCTCTACGGTCTTTGGGTTACATGGGTCCCATTATTGTCGGCGACCTTCTCGCCGATGATGCACCCAAAAGGGGCACTGGTGCTTCACGCTTCCCACGTGAAGCCGTCAAGATCCTGAAAGACTGGATGATAGCACACATCGATCACCCGTATCCGACTGAAGAAGAGAAGGAAGCCTTGAAGGTGCAGACAGGTCTTAGTATCGGTCAGATATCAAACTGGATGGCAAATACAAGACGACGACAGAAAGCCCGTCCTAAGCGAGCAGCTTCGCCCAGTATCCGTCCTTCAACGGAGGCTGTAAATATCCCCCCGGGCCGGACGTGGGACGACATGAGTGAGTATTTCCCTCCCATAACATTTCTGCCCAGATCCCTTGCAAGCCTCCCATCGCTTTTCGATCATGAGAATTAACGCGCGCTAGATCCTTTGGAACGTTGGAAGCATTCTCCACCTGAAAACGAACCGGCCCCCCTCACTGCTATTGCAAAGGCTATGCAAACTTTTGATCCCCCAGCACCTACCGATCCATCCACCAGCTACAATGGCGCGAAGAAGCATTCAAACGGCAGTACCGGTAGTTTCTCTGTGTTCCGTGCACCGTCATCGACGTCAGGAGAGACCAGTTTCACCAACATGTCGTCGGGATCTCTTGGATCAGCCTTCTCGCACGGCTCTCGTAACTCTCTCGGTTCCCTGAACAGCTTGAAGTCCAAGGAGAGGCGGAGGAGACGGCGAATGCCTCCCCGGACACCCAAGCTGGATCTTGACAGCGAGAAGCGATTGTTTCAGTGCACATTCTGTACCGATCGCTTCAAGAACAAATATGACTGGTCGCGCCATGAGAAGTCGCTGCACTTGTCCTTGGTGAAATGGATATGCGCACCGCTAGGCGATGTCATCACTTGCACATCATCAGGGCAGCGACAGTGTGTCTACTGCGACGCGATTGATCCTACGGACGAACACTTGGCGGCACACAATCATCGAGCTTGCGAGGAAAAGGGGATAGAAGCCAGGACCTTCTACCGGAAGGATCACTTGAGCCAGCACCTCCGTCTCATGTAAGTGCCAATATCCTGCGGCCCTTGATTATCACATTGACTAACATGTCCAGGCACGGTTGCAAAATGATCCCAAGCATGGATTCCTGGAAAGCCGAAGTACAAAATATCCGATCCCGCTGCGGGTTCTGTAACACCTTTTTCGACAAGTGGCAAGATCGCGTTGACCATTTGGCGAAGGAGTTCCGCAATGGTGCAACCATGAAAGACTGGAAGGGCTGTAGAGGCCTCGAACCTCACATTGCCGCCCAAGTTACCAACGCCATGCCGCCTTATTTGATTGCTAACGAGAGCAAATCTCCATTCCCCTTTTCTGCAACGAATGCTACTAGCATGAAGGTGGGTTCCAAGTTATCATCACGATCCCTGTTTGCTAACCCTCTGCAGCATTCGTGCCTCAATCTGGACCAAACCGACCTCGAATACCTCCTCCCAACGGCTTCCAACAGCCCTACTCATCCTGCGGACCATACATCCCACTCTAACTCGTCCCACACCCCCACGACCGCCGCTAACGCTTCGCCTCAAAACAGCCAACAATCTCCATCAGGAGACTCTTCTGACCAAAACGAAAACCCCAACCCCAACGCAACGTGTTGGGAGGTCCTGACCCTAAGACTCGGCCAGATGGCCCGCCAGTACATCGAAACTCACGGTCCCAACTCTCTCACTGACGAGATGCTGCAAACGCACGCCCGTCGCATCCTATATGATTGCGACGACCCCTGGAATCAGACCGCGGCAGATAATCCCGAATGGCTTGGGCTGTTCAAGAAAGCGCACGGGATCATCACTCCGACCGACGACCGCCAACACAATCACTCGTTATCTCATCATGAGATCCTCGAAGACTTGGGGGTAGGCCCGGGTGCGAAGCTGGATAAGAGCTTCGACCTGAGCAACTTCCATTGCGTGATTGAGGGGCAACATAGCGGGATGGAGACCGAGACGTTGGCGTACGAGTGCACCCTTTCCGGCAGTATGAAGATCTCGCAGACTGCGAGGGAGTGGAAGAGAAACTCCCAGTCTTCGTTGACGAATCAGACCGTGCCTGGCATGTCGTCTGCTTCGTCAGGGCCATCGCCGTCAACATCTGTCTCTGCCTCCGCTTCGCATCCACACGAGTATATCGGACTTCAGCAGACACCGATTATGGAACTCATGTGCTCGACCCCCGGCGGCCCATGTTTTGGCGAGAATGGGGAGATAGGCTTCTCAGCGCGGCAACTTGGAAAGGGACCTGGGAAGCAGGCGTATTTCCTTGACCATCTTGGCGACCCTCCTCCTGCACAGACTCTTCATTCGGGCCAGACAGCCCCAGCGCCTGCAGCTGAGAGTGGTCATCCCGATTTGCTAGACTGGTCACAGTTCTCTACCGCTGCTTCGGTGGCCGTGCCTGCCAGTCTGCCGACGTCGACCGCCGCAGGACAGTTCGGGTTGTCGTCTAGCATGCCGGCGCTCGGAATGGGGACGGCTATGGCGTCTGGATTCCTGACGGGAGCTGAAGAGGGTGTGGGAAATATGCCATCGATGCAGTGGGACGATGCGGATTTGACTTTCCCGTTGGATATGGATATGGATTTGGATTTTGACGGATTGGATGTGGATGCGCTGCTGGGTGGCAGTTCTTGAGGGTCTTCTCGGCAGTTGGAAATCGGAGCACTGGAGGAAGTTGAGATGAGGTTACGGCCGTCGTATTGTTGAAACGTTTGATACCAAAGGTACCTTTGTTTTGCTTTTCAGATTGGTTACATTAAAGTTCAGCGCTGGTTAGTCTTAGGTAGGGGTGTATAGAGGGTTGCTTAGTGTAATGAATACGAATTCGTAACGGAATAGTCTCCACTCTACATGTTTTCTGCCTGAGGCCCTTTCATTGTGTCGTTGTGAATTATAACGTCAAAGGCTCGCTGATGGGTAACAGATTTTCGTATCAGATGAACCCATATTACTTCCTACCGCTTAGATGTCGCGTGAGAGGAAATCGCCTCAGGAAATCGCCTCAGGTAAACACCTGCAGGGGTCCTAAGCGCACACGCCGAATGTGAATGATATATTTCTCATGCGATGCGCTCTCCAGAGTGAAATCGTATATTCCCGCATCTCCCTTGATACCTCTACCCAACAAAAACGGGATCCTGCTTCTGTAAGTCTAGTATTGATAATGCCGCTTTTTGCCTTCCATCGTCTGACCTGCTTCTCGTACGAATCGCACCAACAGTGACAATCCTCGTGAATGGGACAGTTGGTGCATGGCTCCGACGAATCGACGTGCTTTGTGTGGTTGCACACCCCGCACTACTGACTTAGACTATTCTATGCCCCGGCCCTAAATCACGGCTCCATCGGGCTAGTCAGAATGTGGGGTAAAACCTTGGGAGGGCGTACCTATGCGTATCAAGTTCCGAGGCTGTTGGCTTTATGCGGGGTGAGCGCTGACTTGAATATAGAACCCAGCGCCTACTTCTCAGTTACAGGATATCTACTACGGAGTGTGAATACAAGCATTCCCTATCACCATCGAGCTCTCATTCCTCGTTATCTGCTCGTAACTTCTAAACCAATCCCCTCGTCACAAGGAATACGTTTCTAGCACCAACATGTCACCTCCCTCCGCCATCGAGCCGACCGAAACGCCCGCCACCAACAAGCCCGCAGGCAACAATGGACAGGAGAAGGCCGAGCCCAAAGTCAAGATGCCCATGTTTGTGGGGCCGCCGAAATTCGAGGATCCCTACAAGGAGCGCGAGTACCTGAAGGGCAGACTGGCGGCAGCGTTTCGCATCTTTGGCAAGTATGGATTCGATGAGGGTGTTGCGGGCCATATCACTCTCAGGGTATGTGGTTTATGATTCCCATGTCGGTGCAAAAGGGGAAAAGAAACGGGAACCTGGGCTAATAGATACGTTTCTGTAGGACCCCGTCGACAAGGACAGCTTCTGGGTTAATCCCTTCGGCGTCGCCTTCTCCTTGATGAAGGCATCGGATCTCATTCGCGTGAGCGAGGAGGGCGAGGTCCTCGAAGGAGGCGAGTGCAGGCTGCTCAACTCGGCAGCTTACATGATTCACTCCGCCATCCACAAGGCGCGGCCTGATGTCAATGCTGCTGCGCATTCGCACACCATCTATGGGAGGACGTTCTGTGCGCTGGGGAGGAAGCTGGATACGATCACGCAGGACGCGTGTGCGTTTCACAATGTAAGTTTCCTCTGACTTTGAGGATAGCGTCACGTCTTCCGTTAGAGGAGAAATACGCGTGCTGAGTGGAGTAGGATCACGTAGTATACAACTCGTTCAATGGAGTGGTGCTTGCGGAGGAGGAGGGGAGGAACATTGCAAATGCGTTGGGCCAAAAGAAGGCGGCGCTGCTGCAGAACCACGGCCTCTTGACGGTCGGCAAGACGATCGAGGAGTGCATCTTTTGGTTCGTGTCACTGGAGAAGTGCTGCCATACCCAACTGATGGCGGATGCCGCTTGTGCTGGGCGGGGAGGGGAGACGGTGAAGATTGGGGAGGAGGAGGCGCAGTATACGTATAATACCGTGGGAACGCCGATGGCAGGGTGGTTCAGCGCGAAGCCGATGTTTGATGTAATTCACAAGGAGACGAATGGCGAATATCTGGAGTGAAGGATGGGAGTAAGAGAGAGGGGTGGAAAGGAGCTTAGATGAGTTTACAAGACGCTAAGCCTATTTAGGATATCCCCATTGGGCAAGCTTTGTCTTGCTTCCAAGGTTGAGTGTAGCTGCAACAAGGGCGAATGACAGAGACAGAAACTTAGCAAAAGAGCTGTTTGCAGGAAGAGTGGACAATGACTGCAATTTCGTGGTCCTGCCCTTGATCAAGGCTGGAAAAGAGAGGCAAATTCCCCTTACAAATCACATGCATCCCATCCCACACTTTCCTTCTTGTGGCTGATCACCGCCCCACCGCAACCACATGCTCTAACATATATACATTCTCTACAGCTCTTCATCGACCACTCCAGCGCTCCCACATTGCTTACATTTTGCCGCATGCATCCTTCTGTAGGAACTTGAAACCTCCCGTCTCTGCGCCGCGGCGCCCAGGCCAGAGAAGCAGCTTTTGCAATGGGAAAGGGACCCGCCGTCGTCTTCATCGCAAGGTACATAACTTTCGCACCACCTCCATCGCTTCTACGCAATTAACTTGGTGCAACGCAGGCATGGCTCCCGACTCGATGCCGAGGACAGAACATGGCACCTCACCTCGCCGACTCCCTACGACCCTCCCCTCACCTACGGCGGCTGGACACAAGGCAAGGCCCTCGGCCTACGTATAGCGGCGCTCCTGCACGCTCGGGAAACCGACGAGAGCAGCGGCTCTGCGAATAGAGCCGCAGGCGGAGGAGACATTTCACACCCAGACACTGCTGCGCCGAAGCCGAGGCGGAAACACAGAATCGTAATACATTCGAGTCCGTACCTGAGATGCGTGCAGACGAGCATTGCCATTGCGGCCGGGATATCGCAGTTCCAGCCGCCTGTCACGGCGCCGACGTTGAGGTCGCCACACCCAGGCGAGAGGAAACGGGTCGTTACGCATCGGCATACGCCGACTGGAGATCGTGAGGTGTCTCCGAAGCCGCGCATTGGGCCTGAGAAGATCCTCTTGCGGATCGATGCGTTCTTGGGGGAATGGCTGTCGGAGGAGTATTTCCAGGATATTACTCCACCGCCTCAATCGACGTTAATGGTGACGAGTGCGAAGGCAGGACTGATGCGGAGAGAGGACTATGTCGAGGTTCCGCAGAGTACGAATAGCAACCAAGGGCACTTTCCCGGAGGCTGGAAGAAGAGCACGACGAGTCCCACATCACCTGTGGACGGAAGCAGGAGTAGGACGACCGATGGAACGTTTCCGACAATGGGGAGCTTGGCGCAAGCGCTGCAGCATCGTGAAAGAGCGAGCAGCCAAGGGAGTGCTTCGGGTCATCCAGCGAGGCCAGGCAGTCGAGCTGCGGGCCATAAACCACCACCGCATATTTACGATCCGCCGACGCCTTCGTACGCGTTGAAGCCCTCGGAACCGATACCCAGGGGATATGTCAGTCATGCGAGGGAGGCTTGTGTGCAGGTGGATTATCAGTGGGATAGCATGCGGCCACCGCAAGAGTGGGGAGATGGAGGCGAATACGCTGATGAGTGGAGTACCATGCACAAAAGATTTAGGAAGGGGTTGGCGGGCATGATGTCCTGGTACAAGGAACACGGCATCAAGAACCCTTACATTTCTTCGGGAGTAGAGCGAGATTCCTCCAACGGGCAACCGAACGGCTCTATATCCTCTCCGCACTCAGCAGACCCCCAAGAAGAGGAGGAAGACCTCGTTCTAGTCATCGTCACGCACGGCGCTGGCTGCAACGCGCTCCTCGGAGCCATCACCAATCAGCCCGTCCTCATGGACGTCCTCGTCGCATCGCTCTCAATGGCCGTCCGACGTGACGAACCCCTTCGACCGCCTGAAACTGCACCTCCACTCCCAACAAGACGCTCCTCCGTCATAGACGTCGGCATGTCGGATACCTACGAGCTGAAGATCCTCGCCTCAACAGACCACTACCAACCCGGTGTCGACCCGTCCGAACTCCCCAAAGCACAGTCCCCTCCCGTTCTTGGTTCTCGTCCCTCGTTAGACTCCCGACGGCGCTTCACTCCCGATAACCCCAATAACTCTATCCTGTTCGTCGAGCCCTGGAAACCGGTCAACAGCTCATTGGGCAGTATGCGCCGCAGAGGGTCGTCCGAGTCTTCTTCACGGTCCCTTGCAAGTCCGAACGTAAAACCACTCGCGTCTCCCACAGCAGGCCTCTGGGGCGCACCGCTACCTTCGATCGCGCAGGAGTCGGACGGGAGGAGGAGTCCGGGATTCGATATCCTACCCAATTTCGACGAGTACAAGATGCCCTCTAAGAGTACCGCGACCACCGGATCCGCCACGACGCCGACAAGTGCAAATGACGATGTCGCCGATGGTGAAAAAGAGAATAATGACCAGAAGACGGAGAGAAAAGGGAGTATCGCTGCGGTACCGGGCGGTGGTCTCGAACGCCATTCCAGCACGGCGAGTACTCGCAGCCTGGGGCTGTGGGAACCGAAATCCAGTCCTACAGCAGGGAAGAGTTTGTGGGGCCCGCCGAGGAAGGATAAGGATGAGTTGGCGGAGAGGGCGCATGGGTGGAAGAGGAGGTGGACTATGACGGGTAGGGAGGAGTAGGTATGTGAGTGGGTTTGGGGAGAGGGTTGTTGGATGGGGAGGAGGAGAAGGAGGAGTTTGCAAGGCGGTGGAGGTTGTTTTGCGCGTGTGGCATTTGCAGGCGATGCTGGGTATGCGAGCGTTCTGTGATTATTGATTCTGATGCGCGTATATAACACCTAATTCGTAACCACCCACGAATTCGGACGGACCCTGGTGGCGGTGCGACACTCCACCAGTCAAGATGCCAGCCTCGGTCGCTTCAGCGCCGGTGCACCGCACAGCTTCGAAGACGCCGGCGTCGCGGAATAAGAAGGCTGCGGTAACGAAAAGCGCCAGCAAAAGCCGTCAACGACGTTACCAATGGGGCCGTCCAACCACACGCCTCCCCCGACGAGATGATGGCCTCATCCAGTCAACGGGTGGCACCTGCGCCTGCTTTGACATGTTGTGGGGTGGTTGCCACCTGCCACCTGCTCCTCCGGTCTCCGGTTGGAAGCCGGTTGGACACCAATGCAGGGCGATCATCCCTCCAATCCCTCCATTGGTGCAGCTTGGCAACCCTTAGGGCTGGCGTGCATTTTCGCTTCTTCAAGTTCTGGTTGCCCTGGGCGTGACGCAGCTAAGCCTCCCGAGGTCAAGAGCTGCAGTGTCCAAGCTGAGCATTAACACTATCGGCTATCCCACAATATTCGATGCCAATTGGTTCCTTTGCGCTGACATTACCAGACTGGCAACGGTTACTGACCAAAACGCACATATGAATTGCTTCGCAAGTATAAAGACTCTCGCACGGTGCCAACTAGAAAACAGTTTGCACCGAAGAAGGTACGCTAAATGATGTTGTCCGTCGAAGTTACCGTCGCGATTGTCACCCTCTTTGTCACTTGCCCTCCAACACTCTTGATCATTTGGAAGCTATTTCGTCGTCAAGTAAGTGCTTACAGAAGTACAGGTACGCTTTTCGAGATTGTTAGGCCGACCCACGACGATGCTGTCTTGCTCGGGCTAATGCAGATTTGACACAGTGTATGAACCGCAGGCACTGTCCTCAGCAGAAAGTCCACTTCGATGTAACCATCTTGTACATTACACATACACGGAGCGGAGGATGGAGGCCAGGCTTATATCATCTAATGATCGGCTCTGTGAGTTTTCCTTCCAAGCGTCCCGTCCCCCTCACTTACACTTAACTGGCACATGTCCCGGAGACGACCCTCGTGTTTACTAAGGGCGACTCTACGAAAATTCTCTTCTATTCAAAACCTAGCACACCGGCTTGTCGCTTTTATCTCATGCTTCAGAGGGTAGAGTTCCTATTTGACATGTGTTATCCACGAACTAACAGCTGCCCTTGATAGGTCGAGGCCCCCATCACACCGGCCCTTACCCCTAGTATCCTTTTTTGTCTTACTCGAGTCTTCAGATCTTGTCGGTGGTTGGCGACATTAGCTACTTTCGGCGCATTGGAGATAAGGTGGATGTTGATCCGAAAAATTGCCCGCAAGGCCGAGAGATGGAGAACATCCTAGGAGGCCTGAGCGCAAGCACATCATGAGAGTATTTCCATCTGGTCGGACCCTTTGGAGTGGCAACCATCATCCAGTATACGCTGCATGGAATGACTGCTTTGACTGCCGCAGCGGGAAGGCAGGGCTCACGGGTGGTCGCACTTACAGCTCCACCGGTGTGAAAATCAAGGTTGTGATACCCCATCTTTAGTGCTGTATTACTCTCCTTGAAACCAAGAATCTTGAAGAATCTCCTTCGCCGACGCCCTCATTGAAGGCTCAAACCGCAACATCCTTCGAACCAGCTCGCCTACTTTGCGTATATCTTCCTGAGTCAAATCCTCGTTCCTCTCCCCATCAAAATACATTTCCTCCAGCCACCCTTGAAGCGTATAATCGGATTGCTCCCCAGGTGACGCGCTGTCCATGGCGCACCATGTTTGTTGCCAACGCTCGGGCAGTTCGTCGCTGGCCATCTCGAGCATTTGGCGGACAAGCACCGTAGGGGTCGTCATGATGCTGTCGAACGGTGGTTGCCCGACTACGAGCTCGAAAAGCTGCCAAAAAATGTAAGTTTTTCCCCGAGTTGCGGCCAATGTGCCGTTCGTCGCCTAGACATGTTTCTTGAAAGTTTCAACTCACCATACAGCCCATACTCCACAAATCTACGCGGTAATCCAACTTATCTCCGAATATGACCTCAGGTACTCGAACAGGAAGCGGTGTATGAAGCGTGTCGGGAACGTCGTTGCTCAAGAAAGACTCACCGAAGTCAACAATTTTGATCAGATGGGAAGACAATGAGAGATCTGCAGGATAGGAGGTAGGCCTGACGAGATAATTAGGCATGCCCGGCTCCAGTGGCTTTCCGTCTGTCCTTCTGATCAAGCCAGTTTCGGGTTCCCCCAGCTTCCGGAGGAACTCTTCCTCCGGTAACGAATGTGTGGAAGGGATAGTGAAGGCCAAATTGCGGATATGGAGATCTAACGTGCGTGAGCCGAGTCAATTGAGTAGCGAAGGAGTGCTAGCCACCTCCATGACCGATATTTTGTTGATGCAGGTAATCTAGGCCGCGGAGAGCCTGTTTTGCAATGTTCTTTGCAAATCTTCCAGGGAGTCTCCCATCAGGAAAGCGTGCATCAAGTAGATCACCGACACTTGGCCCGAGCAATTCAAGCACGAGGCAGTCGTGGGTTCCATTTGGTCCAGCAAGTTGGAAGTGGTCCACCATTGGCATTGGATGTTGAGAGCCAGGCTGCTCAGATTGGATGGCTGCTATTGTACGTAAGACGCTGGATTCTCGGTTCCTTTCTCTTCGTTCTGCGACTGAGATCTTTACTGCGACATATCGTTGCTCTCTGGACATTTTAAGCTTCGCAACTATCAAGGGTCTGGGAAAGGCGAACTCCTGATCTCTTGCAGCCCAGACAGTCGAGTAACCTCCCCAGCCTAATTTGTGCAGTATCCTGTACCTCCCATCTTTCAAGCGATCTCCCAGGTGAATAGAGTGATAGCCATCCCGTCGGTAGCGATGCAAAGGCTCAGCATCAACATCGCATGTATGCAAAAACTTATTCATCTGACGTGTCTCGACCAACGTTGACGCGAAATGCTGACGAGGATTGTAAACGCCAACGCTCTTCCATCTGGAAGCGCTTCTCGGACTGATCCAAGAAAAAAGGTGCGCGCTTAGCCCATGGATGCTCATGTGTCATTTGAAACGCAGAGAACGCGTCAAAGTCCGACAGCGTTGTTGCTATGTGCTGTTGTATAGTTATACTAAATCATAACGGGATCTGGGTTTAATTTGGCGCTAGTCCCTAAAAGGAAGTAGCCATATTGACCCAAAATAGGGGCAAAACGTACAACATTCAACACCACAGTAATCACAGCTGGTCACTAAATCACCTGAACAATCCGTGAGATGCTCCACAAATATGTCTGCACCTGAGTCCCGACGTATCTTTGAGCATTCCCAGCCGGCGAACCCAGTAGTAGAAGGGAAGATTCTCGCCTGACTAAAGCGATCACTCGATAAGAATGAGAGCATCCAGGTCAACGTCCACATCTACACTGACATTTTCTGTAGAATCATTGTATTTCCTGAATCACGTAGGCCAATTCAGCCATTTCGGGGAACCTCGTTATGGAGCCGAATCTAGAGTTGAACATCCACATACCGCAGGACGTCAAAGGAAACAGGCTGACAACGTTGCCATTGCCGAGATATCACAAAACCACCAAGTATCGGATGGGCCGGGAAAGCGTAAGAGGAGTGTCAGAACCTGTCATTTGACTTCTGTGAATGTGTGAAGCCGGAAACAAGGAACTGCGCATTTCAGCCTTGCGCCACCTGGGAACAGTTAGCCCTTCCATTCGTTACAGTACCTGCGAGCGCCACGATAGCGCTTTCACGTCCAATCGCTTGGACTGCAGGTGACTCGATGCACACTTGAATTTTCAAACCCCAAGAACTCCTTTGCGCATACAAGCGTATATTACCACGCTGGGGCGAAGAACCCGAAGCCTACATGCTTTTGATCTGCCATCACCGCCTATCACCTGCTATTGTGTGTATATACGAAGATACCGTTATTCTACGGCACAATCGGAACACTGAGAGGTGTCAATACCTCCTTCCGTTGCTCTGACACACTTGCAGCATCGGGACTTGACGGGGACGCAGCAATTCTGCCAGAGTAAGTTCTTCTGCTGTTTGTAGTATCATGTAACCTTTCAAACCAAACCTAACGAAAAAAGATAGGAGATGGCGACCAAAGATCTTGCCGCCAGAGGGTTGGATGTCGCCGCTCGCAGCATTGACCTGCTGACCGTCCTGGGCGAGCTGTCTAACCAGGCCAGTCCAATGTATCAGATGGCCATAGACTTCGCTCGCTGGCTGGAGCGAGAGAAGTTGAATCACTGGCAACTCCAGTCCTGCTTAAGACTGGCTCGGGATCTTGTTCAACCAAACGACGCTGGGCTCCAGTTCTTCTCAATGGTGCTCAGCGGGTCGCGGACCAGGGCCGTCGGGCCACTCTTCACTCAACCTCACGGCTCCCTTGGCCGGTACCTGACAAAAGATGACCATCTCAGATGGATGACCTCAACAATATCCTGTCTATTTGAGTATCACAGCGAAGGCTTCATCTCCGATACGCTTTGCGCTTTCGTGATGCAGTCCAACCTTGCTAGAGGCCAAAAGCCATTATCTGAGCACCGGTTAGCTCACCATCCCATGCGCCTGGAGGTCAAGCCAGTCATCAATAAGGTCGTATCCAGTATATGGTGTAATGTGGTCAATTCTCTTGGAATTGAGCAAATGTCTGGAAGTGTCCTCCGGTTACCGAAGGAGCTTCAAGATATTTGTCCCCGCGGGCACCATTTGGAGAGCCATACGCTAGGGCTGGCGATGAGTAAGATCTGTGACAGTCCAGCGGAAGTAATTATCGAAAGCGAACATCTTCTTACCAACCTTACGCTATGGCTCGTTCTACACTTCCACGGCAAACTTCGCGTGGTTGTCAGTGGAGCCACCGTGTATGAGAAATATCTCGGAGACGAAGAGAGACGCATCGAAATCCGCACCAAGAGGTTCTGCGATTCCAACAGCGAATGCAAATCCGACTCAGAGAAGCCCATGTTTAAGATGTACACAATAGTGGGTAGCAAATTTGATGCTCACATGCTTTCCGGCATGTATGACACACAAATGACAATTGAGAGTGTTCCCCGAGCACGACAACCACTCTACAAGAGTCCAGTGTCATATTCGGGGAGTGCCGCATCTCTCAGCCTCAAGCTTCTCACTCGGTCTGCCGCCAAAAAAATCATGGCCTGGTTGCTCGACTGCAAAGTCGAAAAAAACTGGGGCAACCAGCTATCTTTCAGAGTCCTGCATGACGTCAACTCTCAAGGCATTAACCTCACTGTCGCCGACGTCGTGCGCAAAGTGCCTCTCATTAGGAACATGGACTGGGATGTAATGGACCATGCGGCCGCCGTTGTATTCATGCAGAGGAAAGCCCCAACCGTTGACGAATGGCTTGATGCTGAGCTTTCCGAAGACGAAATGATGGGCACGTCTGGAACAAGCGAGTACGATGAAGATACCCCTGTAGAGCTCCTGAACTATTTCTCCATCCTCCACGATCTCTATGCAAAGGTTAGGCAAAGCTGCAAGTGTCATGTGTGCAGGTCTTCGAAACGCAAGTTTCATCTTAATCAAGGGTGCCTTCAGCGCAGAGTTCTCCATGAGGTTCTGTTCTATATAGCTCATGCCATTGCTGACGGTTTCGGGGCTTCTGATGCTTCCTCGAGATCCGCCGCTCAAATCGAAGCCGACGATATGGGCGTATCTCGAATTCTGCTGGACGCCGTAGACCCGACACGACAGGAAATCAACTGGCATTCCTGGCTAAATACCGCTAGTCGGGTCGTCCTAGGATGCCCTTCGCTTGACGACCTTGACGGGGCCTCGAGCAGAGATGTGCACTATACGGAGAAAATGAATTTCTCCGAGACAAAACTTCTCACTACGAGCACAGTAGCAGTGCAGTTCGGGGGCCTAGCTGTTATTGCACCGTGGCTTGAACTTGCCGCGCCAATTTCAAGAAGGGGCTGCTTTGGGATGATTGTAGTGAGAGGCCAGGTTGGTGTCATCGCAAACGGATTTGATGGTAGCAGTCATTTCCTGGCAGTGGAAGCAGAGACAGCGGTGACCCAAACATTACCGACAGAGGAGACTTCGTATTTCGTCAACAGCTTTCCGAAGAAACCAGAACTCCCAGACAGCGATATAACAATCCCGACGGATCACTCTGAGGTCAGCAGCGACTACATTCTTGTTGCGGACGGACAGACTCTATACAAACTGCTCATGCGAGTCTCATCCGGCAGCCATTCCCGTTTGATCGATCCGAGTCTTGCTATGCTCAAGCTTTCTCAAGGTCTACCCACATTAACTTGCCACCACGCCAAGGGCCCAATTATGCGATCTCCGCCACTTCCTCGACTGTTGAAAACATACGCATTTGAAGATCTGTTGGGCCGCTGGTCGGCCGTTTCTCCACCCGCAAGCAATGACGAGCCAACCGACAGTGAGACCGTCCGTCAAGCGCAGTGGGATGAAAAAGGGTTCGAAGTGCCAACACCCACAGACCATCAACGATACTCCGAGGAGGCAAAGCCTAACATGCCATCGACTTATCACTGCTCCTTTGGCCTGGATACATATTTCAAGTACCATGTTGCTTTAGCACTAGCCCTCGATCATGTTGCGATAGCAAATCATGGGGGTAGCTGCATGAACTGCGCTCTAGAGTCGGTTCCGAAAATGAAAGCATTGGACGGGATTGACGATCCAAACCACGACCGTTGGGTAATCAACAGAACAGCGGACGCCACCAGATCTAGGCCGAAGGAGGCAATCTTGCAAGCTCCGGTGAGCAAGGGCATCGAGACGAAATCATTGAAAAGATTGAGGTATGGAGATTCTGGGCCGGAGAGCGAAGCGCAAAAATGAGGAAAGGAAAAGCCCTATTAATTGGGCGTGTCAGGGAATGAAAGACTGCACTGCTGGAAACATCAGATTTGTCAATATAGACGCTCTCGTCCCTTCATCTCCTGCATGCTGAATTCTCTACATCACGCTCTCTCTGTTATCACTTTGTCATCTCCGAGTCCGCTATTTGTGCAGGAACTAATTCGGTCTGATGCGATCCCATATCTCCAGGTCCTTTTTGAACGGATGTATCAATGCACCTGGACGTTTTATGCTACAATAACTGGACTCTATGTGTGGTAAAGTATGTCCCTCTCCAGGCTCCAGCAGTGGGTTAGCCCTCCAACAGGTTTTGAGACGCGCAATGTTTCCAATAAATATTACCTGCAATTCGTATTGGAACGCAACAGCCCGCTTCCACGTTCTATTGGTAGCTTCCAAGGTTGGATTGCTACCACAGTACGCCCTTACTGTGCCACAAACAACTGACGTCATGCTATTGTCGGCGCCATCTTCCATGGGGTACGAAGTATACAAATGATCGGCTCACCTCACGACGTTCTCAAATCCGCGATCCCGTTGATTCCTCTCATAGAGCATTCCATGTGCCAGGCGTCTTCTCGGATACCTGAACGACCCGTACTATCCAGAGACTTCAAGAGTTCCCATGTACGTGTCGACACTGCTCTTCTGTGTAGCGGAGGACGCGAAGCCGGTACGTTATGCGCACTAGCACTAGCACCCCGAGCGAGGGCAGACAGCAAAAACACTGACAATACATTTGGCTCGCAGTTTATCCACAGAATTCTTGATGGAAATTATCTCTGTCTGGTGCAATCATGCGACGTACCGAGTGATCCAACTGGATTCAAGACGCAGTTGAAAGAGGGGGAGGATTTCGAAACCGAATTTATTGGTGCCTCTCAAGAAGACTGCCAAAAATGGACACGGGAGAAGTCAGCCCAGGTTAATTTTATTAACCCATACGTTCTGGTCATCGCGGATGAGCGCACCGCGAGGGATGGAACTATCTCGGCCCAATTCTACAGTGAAGGCATGGGCAAGGAGGACGAAGAGATGCCTCTTGAGTTCCCGGGTTACGGTGTTCTTCCCCCTAAGAGCGACACGTGGTATGACTATAGGATCGATCCCAAAGCATTCTTCAGGCTGTCCGCCGCTCTCGACTCTACGGCAATAGATGTAGCATACCCTATCTACTATGGCCGCAAAGACGAGCTCACGGATGAAAATGGCGTGTTCGATGTTATCAAGGCGTTTCGTACTATAAGTGAGGGAGCCAGCGCATTTCAATGTCTGTACAACCTGAAGAATAGAGACACAGGGATTTGGGAGAGGTAGATTCTGGAGGAGGGATCGCTGGTTGCTTGCTGGGCTATGTTTCCTGATAGTGGCACGCAGTCCAATGCACTGTCCTGGGTGAGCAGGTGGTCTACTCCAGAAACCTGGCGATTATATATGAACTATATTGTGCCCGATCCGCTAGCTACTTCCTAGCTTCAATCACCGCTCGCGAGTGTGAACCTGCAACAAGTGTGCGAGTGCGTTTCCAAGCCGGGGCTGCCAGCAGCCCGTTTCTTTCCAAGAAATATCCCCTGCACGATGGTCGCGGTATCAATACACTTAACAATGTGTACCGCGATCAGACAGGCAGACCTCTGTACAGATGCCAAGAATGTTCACGCTATCAATCTTCCCTGAGATGCCGTTTGTGGTGCACGTTTCCAGAACTTTGTAACGTTAGTATCACGTCCTTTTGGGCACTTTGCAGGGCTATGGCCATGGCTACTTCTGTGCGGACGAAGCATGCTCGTTAGCGGGCGTGCTTTCCCAAGAATTTTAGGGTTGGTTGTCTTAGAATACATGAGAGGAGGCGGCACAAGCGGCGTTGTTCAACTTATTTAAAACAGCATGTCGATCTACACATGCATAAAAAGCGGCGCAAATTGGCGTTGTTGTTGTGCAGCTTATCTAAAACAGCATGTCTTACACTGAGTGCGGCACAGCACGGCACCCGCTGGGCGCAGTTCGACACAGCCTGGATGCGCCAACACATTGCGAAGACACGGTGTCTGGCATCCTAACTCTAACAATTCTGTGACTGACTTCCATTCCTGCACTTATCCTGAGATAGAACTTGTCCGTCACATTCTCTTTTCAACCTGCTCCATCTCACTTTCCCGAAGATACAAACTCTCTCACTAGCATGGCAGCTGAGAAGTTTGTTAACGAGAACAAACCCATCCTCGGGGAGCGGGCGCCAGGCAACAGTGACTTGGAGCTCGCAAATATTAGCATCTCCCCCGCTAGGTACCCTAGGGTTCCCAATAACTAACACTAACATTGGGCAGCATGCCGAGCATGAGGAATCGCCGTATGTGTCGCATAGTAGACTATGGCGACACTCCCTTCGGCTCCTCTGTTCCTCTGTCATCCTATTAGCTCTCCTGTCTGTCTCTTGGAACATTTTCCGATGCGAATTCTCGAAAGGCTCCAGAGCTATGAATGCAGGTGTATTACCCCAGATAGATTTCGATCTCCCCAAACTGCCGCAAGAGAAAAATCAATACAAGAGCTGTTCATCCGTCGTCGCATCTCGAAGTCTCGAGTTCGGCTTCAACTTCACGAGCGATCGCGCAGCCGAGAACCGATGGCGCTTCCTTGATTCGTCTGTTCCTGAATCTCACAGGAGCCTCCGAGGTCAGCTAACCATTGACCGAGGAAGCTTCTCCCAAGCTTCTGACATGGAGGTCCACGTTACCACTCGCTCTAGCGACGAGAACGAACTGGAAAATGTTCACTTGCACAAATCAGACTCCGTGCTAAATTTTGACTATGACTTTAGAGCCGAGAAAGATGTCTGCACAGAAGTTGAGATAGTAGTGCTCTTTCGACCATGGCCTAAACGTTCACTGGATTGGTTTGACATCCGAACAAGTATTTTCGACATCAATTTCGAACCCTCGCTTGGCTGGGAGATTAACAACCTACGTACGCATACCTCGCATGGCGACGTGTGGATGGACTCTCGATTCCCCTCCAATGACCCTTTGATCGCACATAACGCTTCCATTAGCTCCATCGATGGGGTCATTTTTGGCTGGTATATTCCGGACGAGAACCTCGAACTACGCAGCGAAGATGGGGGGATTGGCGGCTTTATCTGTCCTAGACTTGCTGAAGGTGTGCCATTCGATCCAAAGAGTATATTGATGTCGACTTTGTCCGGCCGAATCCGTGTTGGCCTCATCTATGAAGTGTGGCCCGCAAAGGTCTACACGCATCGAACTAAGATTGAGTCAGTTTCAGGGGATATCAGCGCGGTGGTGCCGCATGGCACACAAACAAACATCTCCAGCATCAGCGGCTCCATTACGACCGCCATCAGGCCATATGGTGCTGCCAGTCAGAATGCGACGAGCGAGATATATACGGCTTCAAGATCTGGCGACTCCTGGGTGATTCTCTATAGTCCGCCCAATGAATCACTTGATGGGAATTATAATCCGCTTCTGAATACGGTTAGCAAGCACGAGGTTGGCGAGGGAACATTGTGGTTAGATTACCCCTTTGCTTGGTGGGGCGAGATGGAAGCCAAGATTGAGCATGGAAAGCTAGAATTTGAAGGAAACTTGTTGGAGGATATTAAACGAGAGGAGGGACATGTAACAGCAACGAGAGGGAAGAAGGGGGCGTCTCAGATGGAAGCGCATGTTAGTACTGGTGCCCTAACTGTTCACCTTGGTCTACAGGAGCTTGATTAGTGACTGGTGGCATAGCAGGCGGAGAATGTTCATGGAACTGTAGACTCGTGTCTCTCTTCTGTCCTTCGACGCGACCATCCTGGGTTGAATCTTTCTGTTATCATCATGCTGATTGTTTACTGCTAGTTAGGGTTACCTAAATGATAAATCAAAGCAAAGGAGTATTAGAAGACTGAGTTAGTTCAGTTTTGCCTTCGTCTAGCCGATTTAACCCAACGATTAGGCTTTCAACCACTGTCGAGTAAAGTCTTAGATATCGTCAAGACTGTAAGTTATCTACGTTTTCACAAAGTAACTTGCGAATACTACCTGGTTGTAACCAACAGCGCTTTCAGATTAGGCATTGATTCCTGCCAATATCGGCTTAACAGACAAATTCGAATGAATCAAGCGTGTCAAGGTATGATCACCCTCATATTCCTGGCGATTTCGATTCTGGAAAGCCCTTGAAAGTGTTGGTTTATCGTGAAAGAGCCTCTAACGGACAAACAAACACTAGCGCTGCCGCATGAGGTCTACATTGCAAATAGACAAGGCGAGAATTAGTAGGTATGTGAAACCATGTACAATAATATATGCTACTGCCTACTTAACGGTCTTCGTTCCAGGAAATAACTGGATAGAAAAGGCAAAAAAGGTTGAGCTCTTCTCTCGTCTGAGGCGGTAGACAGGAGCAGATATGGCTTCCAGAGCTTAAGACGATCCCGGATTAGCATCCGTCCTTCCCATAGGTAAGCGCGCATACAATTACCTACCATCGGTTTAAGGAGTCTCATGAGGGGTTTCTCCTTTACAAGCAGGACATCTATCATTGGTTTTATCCTCTTGCCAGTCATGGGTATTTTGGCTTTGGTTTGGCGGACAGGCAATTTGATTCGCTCGTGCTGTGGCACATGCTGCTATAAACACGACTGCAAGATGCACACATCCAAATTGGCCGTGAACGTTGTCGCACATATTGTAGTTTCTTAAGAACAGAAGTAGAATGAGAGGGTATGACTTGAGTTAATTTAACCGGGTCGAACGGCTTGTCAATTGTGCTGTAATGGCCGTGTTTTCAGGATATAGCATGCATGTCGCCTCTCACCTGCGTACTGAGTTGCCCTGTGCAAAGGCGAACCGTCCAAGCACAATATACACTACTCCGATCTCATACTTCGGTATTAATGAGCGTAAATGGGCGCTATCAATCCGACCTCTGCACTCGTAGAAACTTACATAGGGCTAGGTTGTCCCTCCTGTCATTGGCTACTGCACCTTCCCCGTTATTACCTTCCATTGGGTGCACTTTCCAACTCCCAAATAGCTTCACCTTCTCCCTTCTTTGCAAGATTCCGGCTGCAAAACGCCTTCAACAACTCACACAGCTTCACTATCTTTAGGTGAACATCTCAATATTAATATCTCCAGGCAGTGCTGCAGCGGTTCGCTCCATCCGTCTTTTCTGCCACTCGCATCACTCGCTCCAGATGAAGCCGGAGGCTCTAAACAAAACGGCCAGTTTGAAGGTCCGTGTGCCCGACAGAACCCGCTTCGTCCAACGGTGTTCCCTCGGATTTCACGACGTCCTGAACCAGTTCAACACCAAGACGCAGACGGGAAGAAAGCGTGTCCAAGAAGAACTGGATGGCAGTCGAGCGCGTCATTTCGGCAAGCCATACGAAGGCTTGAGTAGTTATGAGACCCAAGAAGACGAGGACACCGACAGTGATTTCAGCGACACTGAAAGCTACTATACCACCTCATCAAACGTAGACCTTACGTTCGGAGATGCAGCCGAGCGTTATGGCCCGCTCGACGTTCGAAGTTATGGAGTCTCTCATACCATGGACAAGGGCGGCAGCAGTGGCAGTTCGGGTATTGATAGCGACACAGTCAGCGATGGGGACACTGAATCGACTATGGCGTCCATTGTAGGTATCCGTACCGAGGAGGATGCCTTCAAGCATGATGCAACGAACGTCGGATGTGTGGAAACGGATTGCAAGGGTATGTGATTCACAAAGCTGCCGTCCCGTCCATCAGCATTGATCTTCCACAGATTGTCAGCCACAAAATCACGATTCATCCAAAAACGAAGCAGCTCACCTCCATCCCAGGAATGAGCGTCCGATTACAATGGAGAAGGTACTAGGACCGTCATCGAGCTGTTTTACCAGGCTTTACGGAACGACCCCTTCAGTCAGACCAAATACGCCTGCATCATGCTGGCCTTCCACACAGAAACCTAGTGCTGATCCGCCCACTATCTTTGGCCCGAAGGATACGGATACTGCGCACCTTGAATTTGAAATTTTGGACGAATGGAGCGGGCCCCGTGCTCTGGTGCTGGAATCGCTCGAATACGGAACAAGCAGCAGGTTGGAGATACATATTTCCAAGGGCCTCCATGTAGTGGCACCAGGCGCGAAGTCTAAGGTGCACAACATGGTTTCGGATTCACCACTTGTCAAACTTATCCTCGCTCTCAAAATCATCGGGGAGAACAGTGGACCTTTCTACCGCCGTTTTCAAAATGTCAGATACGGTTCTTCAGGGAAATTGAAGGTGGATGTTCTTCCAGGATTCCGGGTAGCGGTAACCAGCCCGTCCAGCTCCGAAGAGCGGGAGGAAACGATCGCTTCTATGCCGGGTGCATCCCCCTTAACGGTGGGAGACCCCTGGAATTCTTTATTCCAAGGATTGAATTCAATGTCGGCGGAGTGCGCGGCACCAACATCGGATGAAGCAACGGCACTGGTAGCTTCCTCAAGTCCTTTGGTATCTTCTCAACAGCCGGTTTCGCCTGATGATTCGAGTTGTCCCGCCTCACATTCATCAGATACCATGCACGATGTTGCAGCTGCCCAGGGTGCGAAACTAAAAGCGAATCGCGCCGACCGTTGGTTACTGAGTGTGTTAAGATGTAAGGACTGGAGACGCGCATTCGATACGTGGCGTGAGTTGCATCTAGGGAACTGTTTGCATTTCGAGTGTCGCTCTTTGCACCAATCGGGCATGGGCTCATACTCATCTTTAGTCCCTACATGTGTGGATTTTAGACGAGGACTGATGGCCAGGACCATTTTCCACATCAAGACCTGTCACAAATGCGGTGCTCAACGAGTTCCCACACCACTCTGCACCAAATCAACGGGCGCTGAAAATCCTCCGTGCATTCAGTTGTCGTCACAGCTTGACTCCCTACGGTCATCCAAGGAAGCCTTAGACAGCGATTCAGAGACTTGCATTCCATCAGACCCTGACCCCTTCCCGTCATCCAAAGGGGTCTGGGACAGCGACTCGAACACCCAGGTACGATCAGACCCTGATTTGCTCCAGTCTCCCATCGGAATCTCAATATGCAACTCGTCGGAACCCGCACGATTTCGTCAGACTGTAATAGAACCTTTGAGAAAGATCGCACCCGAGGAACAGCTGTCCTCTTTGGGATTGGATCCTCCGGAACGTTCCCAGCTGATAGGTTCGCCGAATGTTAACTGGCAAGAGGCTGTTTACGATTCACCCTGCCCTGAGAACTGCAACGAATTGCCCTGTTTTAAGGAACGCGACGGCGTCAATCTTCTTTCAGCGCCGTGTTCCATTCGCAGTCGCTCGCCGTATCCAAGTGTTACCGCCCCTTTGCCGAACACCAACAACACCAACCCATGTGATCGTATGAAGGTTCGCATTCGTCGAGCTACCCACAAGATTGCGTCTGCAGCTCTAGTAAGAGAGTCGAAAGCTGCGTTGGCGGCATTAAAGTGGAAGGGCAGAAGGTGAGCACCACATACTATATGTTCCAACGTTAAGGCTGAGTCAGACATGAGGAGAGGGATTCGTGAGCTAACTTCGCATCACAGAGTATTCAACAAAGTGATGCTTATGTTAGGCATCAAAGAGGTAAAATATTATGAAGCACTCTTGAAGGAATGGGCCGTGTAAGATGCCATGGTCGTCATGGATGACTTCCCGGTAATTCAAATGCATCGCTTCGTCGGTCAGTTCCATTCGTTGGGCACTTTATATCAATGATTGAGCATACTATTTTGGTTGTTGGTTTCCCTTTGTTCAAGTGGAGTGAGTCGGTGGATGCTTTGGTAGTAATGGGCGTTCCGCTCGCAGGGATGTCTCCAGGCACGGGATTCACAGTTTGCTGATCAGAGTTAGCTGACAGAGAATGGAACGATTATAATACAATCATGCCTTCACAAGCTTTGTCAGAGGTAACTGCTGAGTGGGCGACGTTTTGTGATGCACTTTGCGGCCTTGTCTTCAGAACAACTCAGCACTCCGTTGTCTGGTTTGCCGGGGATGCTTCGGCACTTTTGTATCCCAGGTATCAGTCATACTTGGTTATCGAAGTCGAAAGTGACAACGAAGACATCGTAGTTATTATGTCCCAAATTAACCATTCCGCTGGCATACCCGGACATAGTACGATAACTGTGGCTGGATCGGTCGAGTTTTATCACACCCCAGGGTCGCGAGTGCCTCCGCATTGGCAGTTCGCGTCGTTCTTGAGCACTTGCGCAAGAGAGATTATGAGGTAAAGGATCCCGCTCTTGAGAGTCACGGTCACGAAATCCGACTACTATGCGTGATGCACGCAGTGATCTTCGCTTCTGGGTGCCATGCTCCGAACTATGTTTCTTTGCCCGAGCGAATCAATACATTCAATGATGGCCCTACATTGCATTACATGAATCTGCGAACAAGTATCATTGGAGGAGCAGATGCGGCAGTCCCAAGTTGGATCGACAGGCGTCTTTTTTCATCTTGTTTTTGTTGCGGAGAAGAACACCCTCAACCCACAAAGCAGGAAATCGCCTCGCCGGGAATGGGCCAAGCCACCGTCGAATCAAAAAAGAGTCGCACTCGCGCAAGCTCGCATCCGATAACTTTTCGACGAAGAAAACACCACCCATCATCACTCGACGTCAATTTAGCATTCGATGCCAAGCCGCTAAACCCAAGCTCGATCCGCCAAGACCAACCTCAACTCAACCTCACCTCACCACCAGCAGCAACCCACATACCCAAACGCCCGCAACCGCCCTAACATTCAAGATGGCGGGCAAAGGACACGGACCCAGTGCGTAACAGCTGAACTCGCGACCAATTGATCCCTCCTGCTGACAGGACCTCCCTACAGATGTGGTCCGCTTGGACCCGGCGCTCATGAAGTGGTACAGTACGTCACGCACCGTTTACTCCTCGAAAAGCCCCGGCCGTCGATTATGACCTACTGCTCTGGAATCGATCCCGTCTTTCAAACCGCGAGCGATGCTGTGCTTATATGGGGATCTAATGGTGGGACACAAGCCGTACTGACAGCTTATGCCAGAAATGAACGCGAACCGATACAAGTACTTCCGCTGGACGAAATACACCGCGACCGTCTCCTTCATCTACATTGTTGCTGTTCCGGCGGCCGTATTCGCTGGAGGATGGTTCACTGAGGTTCGTGGGATAGACTGTGTTTTAGGGAGGAAGTTGCTAACAGGTGGGCAGGGCAAATGGGACTTGCGGGGGAAGAGGAGGGGCGATTTGCTCGTCGAGTACTAAGCACTGCTCGCGGAATTGGAAGGAAATGATATGCGATTGTGTATATATAAGTGGAATGGGAGCGGCGCTTGCAAAGTCCTCTGTGCCTGACGACGTCGACGTTCGATGTTCATTGACTACGACCCACGTCACGCTACGCCCCCTCGAGCCTCCAACACAGCACAACCTGCACGAATCATATTGCAAGATTTATGGACGGTATGGTAAGACACGTCCGAACCCGCGCCCCCGCAGCCTGCACTTGCCTATATCCTGCAGTTTTCCGGGTCTACTCAAAGGCTGGAAGTTGCACATATATAGCAGGCCTGGCAATAAGGTTCGTAGCGCCTCTCTCTTCGTAAAATGGTTCTTCAAGCCCTAGCTTCCTATTAACCTAAACAGATTGCAGGGAAGTAACTTGCACCACACAGGTAGTTCAACCCACAGAGGACGCGCAGCTAGGTATTCAGTCGAACTATGTGCAAGGCCGCAGTACGTTTATAACCAGGCCTCCAATGACGGGCACTCTCGGTCTCACCGAATATCGCGTTTTCTTGTTGTATCCACTACGTCATCAGGTGCCACCAGCGCGTCTTCCCAAGGTCAGCCTGACAGCTTCCGCGTCTGTTCATATTTGTATGATAGAACAACAGTGGAGACCATGAAACCTGTTCTCACAGTGAGAGTGGCTGACAGTCCGCAGGTAAAGGAATTGAACTTTTGTTCCCTTATATTTTCTTGCTCTTTGAGAGTATGGGCGAGGAGCAGGGGGAATTGCGGATTACATGATGTTTACGGATGTGGATTATGTGAACCCCGAGACGCAGGAGGATGTGAAGAATTGGGGGATCTGGATTACAAAGGAGTCTGGGGTTGAAGAGGTTTAGATTGGATGTGGTCCAGCATTATAGCCAGCGGTTTACGAACGAAGGACTGGGTTGCGCATGTGCGTGCGCATTGCGGTGCTGATGTCTTCATGGTCGGCGAGTACTGGGTGCCGGATGTGCGGGAGCAATTGCACTGGCTGGAGATCATGCAGCACGACGACTTCAATCTCTTCGATTCGGATCTCGTCTTCAATTTCTCTCGCATCAGTAAGAACCAAAAAGCGGACCTGAGACAGGTCTTCGACAATACGCTCGTGCAAAAAGGCACCCACGAGAGCCGTCACGTTGGTCATGAACCACGACATGCAGCCCGGCCAGACCGTCGAGACGCCCACTGAGGGCTTCTTCAAACCGATGGCGTACAGTCTCATTCTCCTGCGGCGAGAAGACTACCCCTGCGTCTTCTACGGCGACTTGTACGGCATGAGAGGCAAAGATCAGATGCATGTTGGGGAGGTGTGGACGGATGTGCTGGGGTGGGAGCAGGGGGAGGGAGGATCGATGAGGAGGGTTTTGGCAGGTTTAAGTGTAGTAGTGTCAGTGTGAGTGTGTGGGTGAGGAAGGATGCAGAGGGGAGGGAGAAGTTTCCTACCGAGTTTGACTCGAATATCTATGGGGAGTGAGTATGGACAGGTAGAGGAAAGGATAGACATGGAATAGACAGTGGGACAAGCTGCCAAGGACTGACTGGTGTAAAGGTTCATGGAATCAAGACCACTCAAACACTTCCCCTCCCTCATCTCTATACTCTCCCTCTACTCATCCTTACTAAAGAAGCCCACCTCCCCACTCTCCCTCCCCAACCTAACCAACCTCTCCCTCATCCTCTCCGCCCTCTCCCCAATCTCCCCACCCACCCACTTCCGAAAATCCACCTCGCCAACCCAGCTCCCCACCCCATGCTGCAACACATTCCTCGCCCTCTCCTTGCCCGCCCCCTTCTTACAACTCCCCACACTCCCATGCAACGTCATCCTCTCTTTGTCCGGATCATACACGCCCCTATGCAAGATATTATTATCATAAAACACCACCTCACCCGCCTTCAACCTCACGACCAACTGCCCCGGCATATCGTCCTCAAAAGGATCCGCACTCCTCTCCTCCTCCGTCCTCGCCCGCCTGTGACTCCCCGGAACGACAACGAGACTCTCATCCTCGTACAGCGCCAAATTCCACTGCGCATGGAACGCCTCCTTCTTCACCAATCGCTCCAGTTCCTCCTCCGCCGACGCGCTGGCGGGGATGTCGTCGCGGTGCCAGCGCAGCGCGAACGCCGCGTCCGGCCGCACGAGCATGTTGTACAGTTCCATGACGAGTTCCTCTTCTTCGCAGCCGATGAGGACTTGTGCGTACTTGAGGAGTTCCGGGTCGAAGTAGCTTTTGGCGAAGGTGGCGGCATGGGGGTTGGACGGGTGCAGGAGGTGCTGGACGCCCCAGATGCCGTTGGAGGGGTCCGAGGGCCAGGGCGGGAATTGTTTGGGCAAGGTGCGCAGGTACGGCCATTGCGAGGTGCGGGCTAAGTGCGTGAGGTGAGTGGCTGCGTCGCGCAGGGTCGGGAGGTCGAAGGTGGGGAAGAGGGTGGCTGGGAGAATGACGAAGCCGTTTTGCTGGAGGGAGGCGAGGGCGGAGGTGTACGGGTCTGAAGGGGGTGGGAGGTTTGCGGATGGGGAGGGTGTGGTGTCGTCGTTGGGAGCGGTTTGTGTTGTTGCCGTCGAAGTCGTCATTGTGAAAAGGAACTTCAGGTGTTGCTAGGAATACAGATTCGAAGACGTATGAGACAAGAACGAAGGGTATATAACTGGAAAAAGGACACGCATGCAAATTGGTTCAGATGTAACGTTCACTGCATGTTGTCGTGGGGTGCAACTTGCAGAGGTTACCCCGCAGACCCGTGGACGTTCATTTTGATAACCAAGCTCCTTTCCTGATTCGGACGACCGTGTCCACAGGCCGATGCTACTGGGGATTTACAATGCTATCTGTTATTAATATTGAGCGAAGGTACAACGTTGCAATCTGACGTAACACTCATTCAAGGGACGCGTCACAGGTACACTTCACGTTCATGCCATTTGCAGTAGTAGGATATTTAATATGAAAGGTCGGTTGATAGATGCATATATATTCCTTATGAAATGCCACCCTATATCCAGGCATCTACATCGCTTCCACTGTATCGGTATACAATGAATACAACGGCAAAAGACATGCCAATGCAAAAAGGGTATCCACGCGGATGAGAAAGAAAAAGAGAAAGAATCGCTAAAAGTACAGGGAGGGGGAGAAAGATGAAAACTGAGGAAAAGTTACAGTGAAGTCTGACGAACATGGCCTTTAAGCAAGCGTGTAAATAGGCTTGGACATCCATCTGCGCTTGCCGAAATACGCATATCCGCGGTCTATCTCGTCCAGCCAACGCGAGAAAGTAGATCAACCAAAACGTCAGCATGGGCCATCTATTGCCGACCACCAGGACGTCTTGAGGAAAATATTGAGTAATGAGCATAGCTGTAGTAAGTAGGCTTGAGAGCATTTTTCTTCGGTGGCTTGAAGTGTTTCGAACTTTCCACCTCGGTCCTTTTGCGGATGTTTATAACTTTTCCAATCGAGATCGTCCAAGGGTGACATAGTACATGGTCCAATCAAGATCAAGCTCCTGAGAGATGTTCAAGACGATAAACAGAGCAATCGATGTATGATGCAAATAATGCCTATTCGACATGAGGACGTTCGGACGGCCACTGTGGATGCCGAAAGAGGTCGAAGAGGAGAAAACTGGCTCCTTCATACTGCAAGGTTTGCCAAATCGACCGTCAAGAGGATCTTGAGTCTCAATGGGGAAGTATATGGCCTGGAATGAAGGATGAGGCTGGTTCTTCCTATTTGTGATGGATTCTCGGTGGAAGCTTAGATTGATCCGCTGGCCGTCTTCCAGTATCCTTACTCGGCTAAATCAAAGGCGACTGGCAGAATCATGACCAACTCATTCCTCCATCGGAGTGACAAAACTGTCATCGTCCTCATCTTTCTCTTCCATATCGCTCCCTCTCAGGTCCTCATGCACCGGATTCGGTGGTAATCTAGGCCTCAGCATCGAATATATCGGACCAGTTATTGTGCGCAGGCTTCTGAATTCCGAACGGTAAGCCTTCAACATCGCTATATATTCACCCGCCATTCGGTACACGAAGTTCCATTTCTTGGGATAGGTGGCATACAATGCCGAAGCTTTGAGGAAAGGCCAGAGCGTCATGTTTTCAGACAGATACGACTGTGTCCACATTTTGATTTCAGGTAGGTCGTCGTTCTCCGGCTTGATTGCTTCGTACAAATTGTAGCACTTTGCTATGGCGGCGCCTTTCTCCTCGGATGAGAGGTCATTGTTACCTCCGCCGAAAGCTGCATTCCAGTGACGATAAACGGGTTCGAAGCGTCTCTTCAAGCCGCTCAACTCAAAGTTGATGGCTACATTGCACTTGCTGATCTCTCGTCGATACAGATAGCTGACGGCCTCGTCGTCAGCCACCTCTTTGGATAGGCGTTTCTCGACAAGTTGATGCGTCTCCCGATGGTGCTTCTTGACAACGAGGAAGTACAAGTAGTCGATCGCGTTGTGCTTCTTGAACTCCCAGTCTTCTCTCTGGGGTTCCTTTTTCGCTGCCGCATCCATAGCTTCTTCATAGGTGGGTATTGGCAGTTCGCGCGGGAGCTTCAGGCGCTGCTTGGTTTTCTCGAAATCCTGCTCACTGAACATATAGCCTTGCTTAAGTGCATCCACCAGTAAATCATGCATGTCGCACAGCGCGTCGAGCGTTTCAGAATAGATCCGATTCTCTTGATAAGCTCGCTTCTCATGGTATTTTGTTACCTTGCCCAGCATATCACGTCGTAGCCGAAATTCACAAGCCTTGCGCAAGAACTCGTCAACCCAGGGGGAATTGCCGCCGCCGGTCAGGAAAGCGTCGTCAGGCGGCATTATCTCGCGCAGTTTGGTTGTATCCTGCTGGATCCCGTATCGAGTATGATCAAGGGCCTGTGTCGGAGCGGGAGCATTCTTAAATGGGCGAACCAAATCCTCTTCCCAGCAAACCCAGAACCTATCCCCATCATAATCGCCGCCTTGTAGCTTACCGGCCATTGGATATTGCCCCCGTGAGGGGAAGACGATCACGTCAACCAGGTAGCTTAGGCTGGGGTGAGCAACAGCTCGGGCTTTTTGTATGTCAGATCGTCGACAAGCCGGCTGACGAGCGATCAAAACCTCGATGTTCTCAAGTGAGAGGAAGCTTTCCTCGGTTTCGAGAATCTCAAAGAAACCGGAGAATTGGACATGTACTTCACCAGGGGCAAGCACTCCGAGTGGATCAGCAATGCCAAACATGTTGGTCGACTTGGCCAAGGGTATGCGGAGCTTCTTCTCCTCATCGAGGTGTTCTTCTCGAATGAGGCTTGAGAGCATACTCCCCAGGTATGGCTCTTCTCTTGGATCGAAACCGCCCTCAATCAGCAGCTTCACCTTATCGCGGAGGGATGCTGGCAATCCTGCCTGCCAGGTCATATCCTCTAGATTCTGCACCGTGTTGCTCTGTCTGTGTACCCAGTTGTATGTTTTCTGATTGTCTTCCAACATTTCCAGAAGCTCAGTTCTCTCAATGTCAAGGTGATCATTCATCGCCCTCTCAATGGCTGCTACAGGGACGCCTCTATCCACCATGATTGATATGAAGGAGGTGTGTAGGTCGGAGGGGGTCGGCATCCTGCTGTAATCGTTGACATCGAAGGTTAACCTAACGGGATCAAATTTCTCATCCAGTAGGTCCTCCGGATGAGGCTGCAACTTCAGTTGGCTTTCGCTGATTTCGATCCAAATGGGCAGAGTTTCAGTTGCTGACCTGGGTGCCTCCGGGCTGACAACCCACAGACCCTTGGCACCCCCGATTCTGGCTTGAAAAGCCGTGGGCATGCGCTCGTTCCGACCAGTTCTCTTCTTATACAACCGCCATATCTCCTGTGCAGCTCCAAGTGAGATCAAAGAGCAACCATCATTCATAACAGCTGGTTTGCCTTCAATCTCACTCCAGTGAAGGCTATGATCGTTGAAGCGTGTATCCTCCAACAAACCATCTGCTACTATGTCCCTGACATTCCGAACTTGAGACGGCTTGAAGACCAGTGTTGGCACCGTCGTTGACAAAGCGAGATCCAACCGAGCAAATGCCTTGCAGATGCTTTGATTTTGATTGTGTTCGAAGGGAAAGAACCAGTTGAGCATGTCGGCAATCGAGCAGGGGGTGGTGATCTGCAGACCTTCGGTGGCAAACAGGACAACTCTCAAGATGTTCTCTTTCTCGACTCGAGTGCTTTTAGCTTCTTTCTTGTCTCGAGTGCTTTTAGCTTTCTTCTCAGATTTAACATAAAAAGCTCTCCACTTTCGGCCTAGAAACGAATGCTCCCTCAGAAACCACTCCTGCCATCTCTTCTCGACTTCCACTTTAGTGTCCATAGATGGAAATGTGAGGTACAGGAAACGGTCCGCACCAAAATTGCGCTGCAAGCGACAAGAGTCCTCTTTCTTTATCGGCGAAAGATTAAGATTGAAGAAGGGTTCACGATCCTTAGATTTGAATTTTGGATTGAATCTTACAGTGCCTTTGAACGAGTAGCAATCGAAGTCGTCTTTGGCGGCTGCCCATATTTTCCTCGACTCCCGGAAGGAAGGTGTTATGCCAGTGCGCCCTTCGACGTGGGCCCAGAAACTCTCCTGGTCTGCTTCCGCCACTCTTGGGTCCAAGCCCTTCATCAAGTCCTTCAGCGACATGTTGCGCTCCAGAGCCACTCGAAGGGAAATGAAGAGGATGAAATATGGGTAGTCCTCCAGACTGTCGTCAATGTCATCAACGAAAAGATTGAAAGAAGGAATATTCCTGATTCGCCAAGAGGTAAGAGAGGGAGAGTCATTTGTCGTAGCCATCCGCTCGACTGAGGCAGACTTGTGCGCTGAAGTACGTGTTTTGAGAGGTGAACCGGATTTGGAGGGTGTGACAGGATTGAGATTTTTTAGGGATGAGAGAGTCTTCGAGGGAGAAGGAGCCCCGGTTGAAGATGTATGCTTTGACCGAGAGGGAGTACGGGGTACGGATCTGTCAGTAGGTTTAGCCGGTTTCTGAGGTGAAGGTAGCTTCCCAACTGCCGGTGAGTACGCCTTTCCCTCTCGTCGTGGCGATTCAGTAGATTCGGCTGCTTTGGAACGTGAATGCGGCTCCCGAAGTACCGGTGAGTAGGCCTTCTCCTCGCGTTTTCTTCCCAATCCAGTCCTGCGAGTGACCGTACCCAGGACCTCCGGCATTGGATCGTAAGTCTGAGCCTCACCGACATTTGACGGCAGGCCAATCAGCGCATCCTCGTCAATGGATCCATACGTTGTCGAGCTTCGCGTGGTGGCAGTAGACGGGCGATGGAAGTGGCCCCCTTCACGAGGGGAGTTTGCCTCAAACCTTCGGATACCCTCAAGCAGATCCTGGTCTTCGAGGGATCCTAAGGTGGTGGAGCTACTGCGTGTCGCTTTCGCAGAGTTATGATCGATGTTGCCGAAGTCCGAATTGAAGGAAGTAGCGGCTGTCTCCTGCGTCCCCTGTGTGTGGTGGAATGACCATACAGTGTTGCTATTGGAGTTGAAAGACGTATTGAACGAGGTATTTGCAGAGGGTGCTTTGTACGAGCGAGCCATATCTAGGGAGGGCTTCTTGAACAGGGGTGGTTGCTGCATCTTGGGTTGGAGGTTCGCAGAGAGTCCCGGCATGGGCCTATCAGACGGCCACTTGCCTTTCGATGTTTTCGTATGCTTTGGGGACGCTCCATCTTCCTCAGAGCTCTGGGATGGTCTCTTCTTCCCTCTTGGGTCCAATGAGATATAAGGGCTAGACTGAATCCGTCCCGCAATTGATCTGGTGGAGGGTGATGGAGAGGGAGGCGGCCTGCAATCTCCTTCGTCCTCAGTCGTTGACCCGGATTCTGGCGCAGTGGTGTACAATGATTCAGGCTCGTCGGTCCGATGGAGATGGAACTCTCGCGGTGATGCAGGATTCTTTTCTGCATCCTGCTCACTAAAAGACTTGAAAGCCTCCTCCTTCAGCGGTGTCCCGCGAGCCGCCCGTGACCGACCCGCAACAGGCACCTCGCCACCCACCAATCCAACCGGTGGAGAAGCAGCATCGACAGCCTTCAAGTCCAAATACAACAGGTTTACCCTGTCATCTCTCAGCGCCAATGCCCGCGCTTTGCCCTCAAACTCCCGCAAGACGGTCAACAACTTGTCCTTATCTCTTCTCGAGTAGAATAATCTCTTGATGATTCCCTGGATCTTGTCGCCGGGAGAATGGGCTCGTTTGCGGGGTGACCAGGTGGCATCGCGTACCCGGATGCCCAAGTCGCAATTTGCATTTAACTGATTGATGAGGTCATCGACGGTGGTAGGCTGGTGAGGCGCCCGCCGGGAACTCGTTGAGGAAAGGTCCGGCCTGGCAGCGGATGCAAGGTGGGGAGGGCCCGCGGGAGCCGGGCGGGGAGAAGGTCGCATACCGCTACTTGCACAGCGCGGTTACAATATTGCAGACAGGAGGAAAACATGTAAATGCAACCAATTCTTGAAGATGAAATCAAAAAGGAGAGGACTTTGGGGAAGGCTGTAAGTACAAGTAAAAGATGCCTGAGGCATCCTGGGCAGCGGTTGCTATGCGGACCCCACGTACCCACGTACGGAATAGCTCGTGCGTAGCCGAACGCGCCAACGCGAAGTCACTTGACCAAACAGAGTACGCGTTTAGCGCTGGTGGAGGTCCTCCTCGTCTGTAAATTCCCTGTGCAGTCGGGTACATCTAAAGATAGTCGGAGCTGAGAAGGGTTATGTGTGAAAGGATTCCCGTATTCGCTTCCCAAATTGTCTTACGGCTTGCTTGTACGAATAGTGTCCTGGTAACGTGGATTGACAATAGCGGTAATGCACCCATTGAAGAAGACATCACAATGCAAGTAGAGCGCCATGTGTATCCGCTTTTCAGGAGGCAGCCTGACCCCCAAGTCGTGTTTCATTTGCGGCGTTGCAATTGATATCCGTTCATGCATTTAGTCGTATATCCAAGTATCCACCTTCCCCAGGACCCTCTTGCCCTTCCACGGGCAGCAGCAAGGAATTTAAACCTTCATCTCCGTCAAGCCGTGCTTCCAGACGGTAACAAAGGGAGTGATGCCGTCCTCGCGGTAGTTGAGGAGGATGACCCTGCGTCAGTGTTAATGCGCTGGATATCAAAACAGGCAGAGGCGTCTACATACATGCCATCGGGGTCCATGGACTCGCCGATCAGGAACTCGTAATCTTTGAAGTTGGCAACAATCTTCTTCGCGTAAGCAGAGGCGCCCTTCTCGAAGGCGGCAACCTCCTCGTCGCTGGCGCCTCTCTCCTTAAGACCCTCCTTGACCTTCTTCATGTAGCCTGGAGAGAGTTAGCGGCCGTGCATTCATCACTGTGTAAGGGAGCATTACTCTTAAGGTGGGTGAGATATGACTTCTTGTCGAAAGAGGTCTCGTTCAGGCGGAAAGAGTGGACGACGTCGATGACGGTCTGGGTCTGGTCATCGGTACCCTCATCAGCCTCCTCAGCAGAGGGGTTGGCGCCGATATCTGAACGTCGTATTAGCCACAGGTATCCAAGGGGTTGTACAGCGCTACGGGGATCCAGGAGTGCTGCGACTGTGGTGGATATGAAATGTGGATATGTGAGGGCGGCATACCGATGTTCTCCCCACCGACGGTGATCTTCTTGCAGTCGGCCTCGTAGACGACACCATCAATCTCCTTGAGGTTGTACGAGTCGGAGATGATCTCGTCACCAGTGATGAGGTCCTAAAAGGCTTGAAGTCAGTATAACTGTTCATTGATGTCCTCAAGGACACTGTAGGTAAAGCAGTTGTGGCGCTTCAAGGAGGGGGCGGGGTCGAATACGATCGCTGGGTTGCGCGGAGTACTCGACAGTGCGTACGGACCTTGTAAATGATCATGTTGGAGGGTAATCCGAAGAACACGACTGAGCAACGAAAATAAAGGAGACAGTTCCAGGGGCCGCAAGAGGACTGAGAATTGGGGATGGGCCTTTTGTCGTGGACGTCGAAGAATAAGAGGATTTGGTGGGGTTGAAATTTGAGCCAGGGAAACTAAGGCGCTTTGCCACCATACCTCTTTAGGATTAGCGTCATTTTCGTCTCCTGGCTGGGGTCGAGATTTGTCTTGTCCGCGTTCAGTCTGTCAACCATCGATGAGTCCGCCACCGCGAGCACCACTCTCACACGACTCCTCCCGCTCTCACCACCTCCTGTCCCCTTCCCGCTCGCGCCGACTGCTGCCTCTCCTTGAGCATCTGCGCCCTCCCAATTGAATCGGAGCTGAACCTCAGCCCTAGTTTTCACCGTTCCTCCTATCGGCTCCGCTTGACTCCGTGCTCCGTCCGTCTCCGGGAAATATAATAACACTACCACGCCGTCCTACCCGTCTCACGCTATTTCGAAGAGAGGCCCGATATTTCATAGCCCTGTTCTTCCGCCTCCCGCCTAAAGAACTCCTCGTTCACCGCTCGCGCTTTCCTGTCATCCTTATAAGGATTGGTCAGAACCCACGGGGCATCACGCGTCATGGCGATGGCGAATGCTTCCTACGAGCTGCCTCCGCTCCCTGACTACACACTCCAACCGCTTCCTCCCCTGCTACCCTGGATCTCCGATGCGCACCTTGCCCTTGCTCTGCCCATCATAGGGTATTGGGCGCTCTCAGGCTTCTTCCACCTCATTGACGTATACGACCTCTTCCCGCAATACCGGTTACACACTCCCGCCGAGGTCCTCAAGCGCAACCATGTTTCGAGATGGGAGGTCTTCCGCGACGTCATTATACAGCAGGTTATCCAGACCATGTTCGGGTTGTTGATGAACATGTTTGACGAGGAGCCTATGTTCGGCAAGGACGATTATAATGTGGCGTGGTATGCTCAGAAGATCCGACTGGCGCAGCGAGCGATACCCGTGTGTCTCGCAATGGTCGGGCTGAATCCGACCGCTCTGGCTTCCAAGGTAGCTGGTTCCCAGCCCATGATTGCAGGAGCCTTGGCTGGGGGTCGGTATCCGGGGCTGTACGAGGTTGCGAGGATTGGAGGCGTGGAGACAGTCGTGCCTACATTCGCATTATGGGAGATGCTCGTGGCGAAGATTTTGTACTGGTACGCCGTTCCGGCTCTGCAGTTCCTAGCCGGTATCCTTGCGGTGGATACCTGGGAGTACTTCCTGCACCGCGCCATGCACATGAACAAGTGGCTATACGGTATGTTAAGCACACGCAGTGCATGGACAACAGCCTGCGTAGCCATCTTCACTGGCGGATCCAACTAACGTCCTTCAGTGACATTCCACTCGCGCCACCACCGCCTCTACGTCCCCTACGCCTACGGCGCCCTCTACAACCACCCCTTCGAAGGCTTCCTCCTCGACACCCTCGGCACGGGCCTCGCCTACCTCCTCACGGGCATGACGGTCCGCCAATCCATCTGGTTCTTCACCGGCTCGACCCTCAAGACGGTCGACGACCATTGCGGCTACGCGCTCCCCTTTGACCCCCTGCAGCACATGACGAGCAACAACGCCGCGTATCACGATATCCACCACCAGAGCTGGGGCATCAAGACGAATTTCTCGCAGCCGTTTTTCACGTTCTGGGATCGGTTTTTGGGGACCAGGTGGAATGGGGATGTGAAGCTCAAGTATGAACGTAGTCGGCATGTTGCACAGCAGAAGATGGAGCAGGAGAGGGAGAATGAGGGGAGGGGTGGTGTTGTGGGGGTGGAGGGAGAGGAGGCTGTGAGCTCGAATGGGAGTGCGAGTGCGAGTGCGAGGGTGCAGGTGAAAGCAGCTGCGGCGCCGTTGTTGTCGGCGAGGAAGAAGTCGTCGAGTATTTCGCAGTCGCCGTCGGGGAATCTGAAGGGTTTACGGACCAAAGTAAATGAGAGTTTGCATGGGCGGGGAGCTAATGTCTTGGGCGTGGAGAGGAGTCATTAATTTTAATAGCCATTGGTGGATTGTGTGTGTTTGCTGAGAAGCACGACTAGATGTTTAATGTCGGGGAAATCATTGGGTTGCGGTGTATGATTGATTGTCTTCTTGTGTTGCATAATGTCAGCGATTGGTCGATCAGTTGACTTTTTGGGTTTTTGATATCTGCATTCGCTTGTCTGGTTGTGGGCGCGGGGCTTTCTTTTGGTGCTTCTCCCATTCCCTTCTTGATTGTGTTTTGTCTTTCTTCGGCGACTATTTACCTTGTTTCGTGTAGCATAGTCAGTCATAGTCTCGTATTCTGTTCGTGCGGAGGAGCTCCTTTGGCGACGAGGCACTTTAGTTGGGGGTCGCTCCATTTCCAGTCATGGTTCCTGTTTCCGGAGTCGCGCGGCGTTACTTAACCATGAGGGCGGAGGATCGAAGTCGTTGAATTCATTGTCCTTTCGTCGATCGTGTCTACGCAGCATGTGCATTCGGAACGACTGTCTTTAATCGCATGGGTGGATGAATAGTAATCTATGGAAGCACTGGAGCGACGTTTCCGTAATGCGGAATATTAGTAGCGGACGGCTTTCTATCAAATGCAGGAGGGTTGCAGTATGCAGTTGGGGTTTGTTTTTTGCTATGTCTAACTAGCGTACATGTCGTACATGTAAAGGGGTAGGTCGATCATCACCACTCAAGTCAAAGGGAAGAATTTCCAGAAGCAGGTGGAAAGGAGAGAATATGCATATCAGCAAACGCATGTGAGATTAATACATGACACATCTATAAGATGATTATCCAACAGGCCTCCAGCATAGGAAACCCGGTGCAACACAAGTTCCCTGCAGATACACCAACCAACCCCACCAGAGTCCTCTATCTCTTCATCTGCTGGGAAGAGTGAGCTATACTCCCTCCCCTCTTCCCGGAACTTACCTATACCTACCGTCGCACCCCATCTACTCACCTCCCTCCCGTTCTCAGACTCGGAGGAAAATACGGCAGTGAAACTGGGCCTTAGTAGAGGTCACTCCACATAGTCCCCCTCCCCCTACCCTCCTCATTCCCCCCTTCATCCCCAACCCCCAACGGTCCCGCAGGCACCACCGGCGTACCCAGCGGACTACCAGGCGGACTATCGTACCCGCCGCCATCAACACGGAAACCGGCGTAAATGCTATCTCGTGCTACACTAGTAGGGCCCTGGGGCCGCTGTTGTCGAATGTTCAGCGGCGCAGGCGCATGCGCGCGGTACATGCCTCGCAATCCATCGGGGTGGGCCTGGGTCTGCGGGTAGGTTTCTTGCTTTTGGGAGTCGTAACGAGAGCCTAGGGGAGGACGCGGGAGGTTGAGGCCGAAGGTAGGCGTGTGTCCGACGTCTGCCGCAGTGGTGGAGGGTATGCTCGCGGTGTCGGAGTGGACTGATGGGGTTAGAGGGGAGAGGCGGTATTGAGGGTGGTGGGCGATGATGCCAGGCTGAGAGGAAGGGTGCTGGGGGGACTGCCCAGTGTGCATTTGGGGAGTCTCTGCCGTCAGCCCGGTGCGAGGGAGTCTGTCATCTGGGGTAGGAGTATGGAGTCCCGCTGCCGTTTGCGTTGATGAACGGTCGTGGATAGGAGATCCTGACATGCCAACCAACCCACCACTTCCCTGGCCATAGAACCCCTTCTGCCCACTACGACGAGCATACTCCCTCCACGCTCTGCGAACACGCCTAAGCTCCTTGCCGCACTCCCACGCCTCCTCCGCCATCTTCTCTCCCTCCCGGCCAAACTTCTTCAACCAATAGCGCACGAAACGTACCCTCTTGGACTTGATGTCCGAAGTCTTCTTTCCCACGACGCGCGAGCTGTAGCACCCTACCATACCCGCCATCAGGGCGAAGAGGACGTCCTTGTCGCTGCCGAGGCGGGAGAGTATGCAAGCTACGCAGCCATTCTCCTGCCGGCGCCACTTGGGTACTCTGCGTCCGCCATCTAGTTGTTCCGTGGGAACGAGCGGCTCACGGCCCGGAAGCGTGTGGTCGGCAATGTCGAAGTCTGAGCGCCACATCTGCGAGATGGGCTCGATTTGACGAAAGCGAAGTTCCTGGGCATGCGGGAGGCCGGCGAATATGAAGATTGGATAGAGGAAGGCACCGAGACCATGGTCGATCTCGGAACGAAAAGCGAAGAAGAGGGAGTGAATCAAAGAGGCGTTCAGGCCGGCGTGTCCGGCGCATAGCTTGCCGTCTTTTGTTTTGCCATCCTTGGTCTCTGAGGTGGAAAGGCGGGATAGGGATGAGGAGCGGAGATGGGATGGCAGGTCTTTGATGGCGTCTTTGGTGGTGACCCAATAAGACGACGCCGAATCTGGCCTGATGGGATAGTCGCGGAGGATGGAGGCGAGGCATTTGATATCGTGATTGTGGAGGTCACGATAGGTGATGTTTCGAGAGGTAGGAGAGGAGGGAAGGTGGGCGTATAGTCTAGCCAATCCCGCTGGAGCCATGATTGAGTTTTGGGTTCAGGAAGTTGCCTGTGAAGGTTGTGTTGCGACTATAGTTATGCTGACTGTAACAGGTTGGGAGGAAGTCGTTGTTGCGAATGCGGGTTTTATGAGCGAAGAGGTAGAGAAGGTGAATGACATAGAAATATGGGCACAGTTCCGTTCCATTGTGCAAGAACCGCACATTGTATAAATGTACAGGTACAGACCCGCGCAGTGAAAAGGGACTCGGATAAGTGAAAAGTAAGCATTGTATATATGAAAGACAACAAAGGAAAGAGCATGGAAGGAGGGGAGACAGCAGACTATGTTTGAAAGATTGAGTTAATTGTGGCTGAGGAAGTTTTGCAGCAAAAGGAAGAACGAAGCAAACAGTACCTTAGACATTGAGTCTCAGTTACCTGATCCCCTAGAATGGGTGGGGAATTCTTGGAACCTGGTTAGGTAGCGATATCCTTTGCCTTAGGGATGTTGGTGAGGCAAGTCAAAGAAGTGCTGTGCTTTGTGGCTATTGTAGAGTTGATGGTCCGGAAGTCTCAGTCAATCAGGTCTCATCCCTGTGCAGGTCGTTAACCTCAGTATAACGCTGCTGGAATACCCTTACGGAAAACTTGACATCGTATTTACCCACGTTATCTCTTTCAGTTCTCCAGTTATCCATTATACAGCGATGCACCGTGCACTTAGTGCACACCGTACCTAGAGGTAAACTATCGTCGAAGTGATTGCTGAAATAGGGCTCAATCAGACGTTTGACTGGAACTCAGTATGCCAAACAGAACCTCCGTCCCTGGCTATGACAGTACCTCGGAGCCTGTGGTCTGGGGTCAGCATACCTCCAAAACACCCAATACTTACCAACTGTGCTTAGGTATGCCTAGAGAGCATTCCGGATTTCATTCTCACATCGGACCCAGAAGTATGACATATTCGTCCCCACTGTACCCTCTAGGTCGCAGCCCAGAAAGCCCTGTTACCAGGCGACTTCTGTTTCCCAACCCCGCACGACTGACTATGAAGGAACTACCCGGAGGCAGTTACATCATGCAGGAGTCAGTGTTTCAGAATTACCGGGAATGATGATGTGGCCGTGGATTAATGGGTAGACGTGGGGGAAAGGAAGGGGCAAGCGAGATTACGGATTTACGTCTACACCCTTTATATCCTGCCAAAGAACTTTGTTCCGAATAGAGTATCGCTGGTAGCTGGATGTTAGTCTGTAACACAAATGCCTTGTCGTGCTTCTCTGGGCTCGCAGAGACCTGGGAAAGGCAACTATTGAATGTCGTGATAAGGTTGGGCCGAAAGTGCTTCATCGTTGGTGATTGGTCGTTCCAGACAAAACGGGGCTCCTAGTGAGCGATGATGCTGGTAGGAAGTGTTGTCTCACTGTCGCTAGCAACCTAGAACAGCTGCTGAAAGGGAAACTGGGAGACGGATGAGAAGGAGTCGTAGTATGCCCCTCAGTCAAGGCCAGTTAGCTTGACGGCATGCAGCTTCGTAAGATCCAGCCATGTCGTTCAGAAGAGTGGTGTAGTTGCATGAAAGCAACAGCACGCGAGTGGTTCCACTTTTCTCCACTCTAGCCTCTTTTCATTCCGAGATTGAAGCAGGTCATGCATGAGGGGACAACGTCCAGTCTAGTCAGAAAACGTTTTCGCGTTTCTGTCCTCCCCACAATATCTTAGGGCAGGTAAAGAGCAGGTGTGGGTGAGACGGCATGATTACGTCGTACTCGTGCCCTGGCCGCTGGCTGCAGGGACTGAACTGGTTTCTGCTTGGCAAGTTATCTGCGTCCGGCCAGGCTGTCACACAGAAGGAGCCAGGTACATATCAGTAGAATAAGTACTACTGCGGGATGGTGGATGATCGGAGGAGGCGGGGAAACCAGACAGACGTCATTGGGCAATAGATGTCTGCGGCCAACGATCCAGAGCCACGGGCTAAAAGGGGTCGCCGCAGATTTCATGCGGCAGTCCTGTTGCACGACGTTGATGAGGCCGAGTCCTGATGACGGGCAGCGGTGTTGTGGGGTGGGACTCGGAAGACGGGGGAAGGAAAGAGATAGAGTACGTCAGAGCTGAAGATGGTCTTCGTACGAGGCGAGACAGGATAGGCTAGCCTGGCGTGTCTGAGTAGAGCAGAGAGCCGGATACGCGTGTTTTTTGTTGATAGCTAAAAGGTCGATGGCAGAACAGAGAGTCGACCTGTTCTGACCTTTGGAATGGTGGTCGGACTAGGTGATTGGTCATTAGTCAGCACCCCTGTACTATGTATAGTACAAGTAAACCGAAGCGGCAGAGTTCCGCCGCCATTCTTGGCGGTCGGAATTCTGAGGCGCGGGCTACTCGACCCGACTGGATGCTGTAGGAACATACACAGTAGTCTACACAGTACTCCGTAGGTAGGACTCGGAAGCAAGATGATGCGGTGGTTGATTTCCTGGAAACGGCGCCAGCACAGGGGAGCAGGCCGTGTCTGAAGAACTCAATACATTATGTAATCAACCAAGCCACAGATGAAGCGGCGAGAGAGGTGAATGTGAAGATTGAAAGGAGGGGCGACATGACCAACTTCCCCGGCCTTGGCATGGGCGACGCGTCCTCCAGCGCCACGAGAAGACAGGGCCAGTGGAGTTGCTACCTCCTGTCAAGCCGTGATCCGTGGATGCCAGTTGGAATGGGAAGCATATGGAGGATGAGAACTCGCTGTACGATTATCGTGTTTGCTGGTGTTGACGCAGCTATGGGATTGTGATATCACGCGGTTATGATGTGCTCTCTGGCCATGTCGTCGACTTCAACTGCGTACTGAACGCAGCCAGTTTACAAGTATTATTTGCCCCGGCATCATCCCAGCTCGACTCTTATCGCTGCACGGCTGCGGCGCTATCCCCGCTTGCTACATTGCCTCAACAACAGGATTCCTTTGTACGGAGTGTCTGCTCGCCTTGCTCAATATGCCTGGCGACGACATTCTCCGAGACTACCCTGCTGGGTGTGTACTCACAGTCTGCAGGCCTGCCTCGTTTCCGCCCACCGCCTCTTCTGACGGACGAGAGCAGCCAAGTTTTACCCTCCTTTTCTGTCGTGGTCAGGAATGCAAGCCTTCCCGTGCTCGCAACCGGACAGCTGGTCCGGAATGCGGTGGGCTGCTGTGCCCCGTTGCTACAGGATCGGTCTTGTCTCGCGCAAGCCAACGGCCTTCTTTTCCAGCAATTCCCTACTGTGTCGAGGTACTGAGTGAGCCGTTGCGCTCGCCGCTGCCGATATTGGCATGCAGTATTGCGATATGCTGCCGTGCGCGGGGAAGGGGGATATTGGACTTGTGTAGGCGCGACGGGGATTACGCCTGATATTGAAATGGCGGGCCCCGGGCGGCCTCAACCGCGGGTCATCGAGGATCGTGAACTGTGCTGGGCCATCTGCCATCTGGCGTCTCGTGAGAGTAAAAATCGTATGTTGTCGTGACTACAACGAGGCTTGCATCGTCGATTGTCCTTCACTGAACGCTTCCACGCGATTCTCGAACTGCTTCCTCTCTTCTGCTTGCGCCAGCGGGCTAGCCGTCGCCAAGCCAGGAAGTCGCACGGGCCCATGTTTCGACAGGAACAGCAGGAGCGATCCGTGAGTCCGCACTAGTCCCCTTTGGACCCAATCCCAGTCTTCACCTCTCCTCCACCTCCTCCTGACATCCACAGCCAAACTTCCCCCCCAAGGCCCACCAAACGTCGCCGCCTCGCCCTCCCTCTCTATTCTTTTTCCTTCCCCACACTGCTCCTCTTGAAACTCCCCCGGCCACTCCCAGCGCCAATCTGTCGACTTTGGACACCGGCCGCCCCTCCAATGCACGCTTGATTCTTCACCCCAGGAGGCCTGGTGCACGCTCGCCAGCTCCATCTATCACCACTGCATCTTCTGCGCTATCCAAGGCTCTTTCTTACATTCTTCTCTTTGTCTTATTAATACGTACACGATTCCACGGTCTCGTTTGCTACTCCTCTCCTAATTGCTTGTCGTCGAAGGCCTTGACGTCGAAAGGGGTACGTGGTCAACAGTCTCCTCCTACCGCTTCGCCCGCGTCCTCACAGACCCACAATTCCTGAACTCCCAAACGCTTCAACGTCACCACCCGTCAGACCACCTCTGATCGTTCTACCACTTCGCTTTCGAATCCTATTCCTAACCTCTTTACTGACACATTCTCCCCTCAGGCTTACCCTCGCCTCTACCCCGGCCGCCTTCCTCGCTCAACCCGCCGCAATCGTCGATACGATAGACTTTACTAACCGGACCCTTGAAGCTTTCCGATGGCTCAAGTACTAGCACCCATTGTCCAGACTTCCGGTACAATTACCATGCTACATACTTCTCCCGATGCCTTCCAGAGCCCGCCCGCAGCAGCACAGCCTCACCCAACCCGAACCTCGCAGATGTCACGAACCCAGGTCTACAATGCCCAGAATGGAGGTACAGCATACCGGGGAACGGCTGCGCCTATAGCGCCCTACGCCTTCTCCAGCACCCCACAGCTACGGCAAGAGGGCAAGTCGACATCGGCCCCCAATCTCCACAGCTTGCAGCAGATGAACCCTGCGAGGCAGTCCCACCCAACACATACCTCGTCTTCGTCGGACTCGACAGTCTCGACTTCCGGCTCGTCCAGTAGATCGGCAGCTACGGCACAGGTCACTGTAAACGACGACAGCGCCATCAGCACCAATGCGAGGAAATCCGTCATTGGAGGCCTTCCAGCTTCAGCAATGAATCTTTCCTCGTCGATCCCCGACCTCCCACTGGCCGCTGCCGCGTTGGACGCCCCCGTGAAACCTTCCCCTGATCGCTACCGACGGGCTGCTCGCAGAACAGACTCGAGCGGTGCCGCTACGTCTTCTGCGCCGACAACGCCTCAACCCTCTCCCTCAATTGGTGGGCCCGTCGCTTCCGGCGGTTCACCTAGCAGCAATGCCACATCAATGGTTCCTGCTATTTTGGATAACGCTGTCAGACCTGGTCATAACCGGGCCAGCAGTGTTGACGATATGCAAGGAACCCGCCAGACTACCCTAGAGCAGGCCAAACGATATAGGCGACGAAGCCACGGTGGTTTTGATGCGACTCCGCAGTTCGTCAGTCCACCAGCCCTCAACCAAATCAGCAGCACGATCGTCGCGTCGCCATCCTCGGTGAAGCCATCCCCTGCAGAGAGCCATCCTGGACCTAGCTCAGGTGGTCCTACAAGTCGGCCAGATCCTGGACACAACCATGAGCGACAACTGAGTTCGGGAAGTGTATCATCTACAGGGTCGAGCAGGCCATCATCTGTAAGTCCTGCGTCCGAGAGCAATGACGGCATGCTGATATTTGTGCAGTCACGACAGACTTCCAACTCAAGTCAGACCCGCGTGGCGCCGGGCGTGTCCTCCCCGTCCGCCGCACGTGGAACGCCTGAAACGACCAAGCGCGTCATAGCACCGTCTCCGCTCTCAAATCCCATTTCACCTTCTGAACCCCCGAGTCCAGCTAAACCTACGGCTCCTGCGAGCCCAGCTGTGCAACAGCTTGTTGCGCTGAATGACAAGGACTCGAGTCGAGGCATGAAGTCTCGTCTGCGAAGAGCCTTCTCATTCGGTAGCGCTGCCGAGCTCCGTCGAGCCACCGCAGAGAATAATCTTTCTGCGGAGCGTGTGAAGCTGCGCAAGGACAGACACCAGAACGAGCACGATGCTGAGGAAGCCGCTATTGTTGCGAAACAAGAGGCTGCCGGGATTGGCGCGGGCATCTACAATGGACAAGGCGGCTTCACCGGGTCGACCGACAATTTGTCCATATCCTCTACTGCGTCATCTGCATCCATCATGCTTCGCAAGATGGGGAATGGCATGAGGAAAGGCGGAAGATCGATAAAGGGTCTCTTCAGGCCCAAGTCGGTGATTGGAGTTCCAGCTGCTGACGGGCCACTGATGAGGCCGAGCGCTGCGGAGGTCTCAATGGTGACAGTTGAAGCCGAGCGGCAAAAGGTCAATGTAAACGCGGATCCCCATGATCAGGTTGGAGGCGGAACGGGATACCCCAGGCTGGAGCGGAACTCCTTGGATGCTGGTCGAGCGGGCAGTGATGCTGGCAACGAGTCTTCCAGGAAGAGTATCGTTGGGGGAGACAGGGAAAGAGCTGAAGTGCTCTCCTCCATCAAGAAAGGAATTCTGAAACGTAAGTTGGATTCTGTTGAATTCCTAGCCGGTACTAACAGCCATCAAGGCGCAGGGACTGGTTCGAACTCCTCTTCTCCAGTCTCACGACCTGCAGATGCCCTCAGCGAAACTCCCAAATCCAGCGCCCCCAGTACGCCGAATGACGACCAGGGACGCCAGATTCAGGTTCACATCAGCGGAGAGGATTACTTCGGAAAGCCTCGTTTTCCCAACCACAGTACGAGAAGCTTACCCAACACGCCCCACACAAGAACAATCACCTTCAGTCCCAAGGTACAATGCCACGAGGCATGGTCAAGCGCGGACTACGATCGCAGGGGAGATATCGCTACGTGCAATAGGCTTACACCTATGCTGGCCCAGCAAATCAAGGAGGAGCTCAACTCCTTCAAGATGGTACGTCGATATGCTCGTTGTTCGCCAACAGGACACAGCTGACACATGAGCAGGAGATGGAAGTGCACGAGCTATCGAAACCCCACACACATTTCTTCTAATGATTATGCATCCGCATCTTGACCTCATGGCGTCTCGGCGAACACCTTTATAGTCACCGTTGTCACTGGAAGCGAACAGCACTCGTCATGATTTGCACCTTGCTCTCATCCGTTTTCTGGTTACGCTGGACTTGCCTCCATGTCGTTCAGGAATCGTGAGCAATTCCAGAGCATTCTTCTCTGTCTTAACGAGCATAGTGGTCGGAAGGAGAGGGAGAGGCGCTCTGTTGGTAGGTGACTAGGGGACGGTAAAAGCGAAGTGATCTTTCCTTGCATTCATCTCTGTCTGTGCGGTTTTTCTAGCACATGTCTCAGTTCATTTGCCGGTTTCCCTATAGCTGTCCCTGTCTTGCTTAAGTGCGGCGTAGGCGTGTTTCTCTCTCGTTTTCCGTATGTTTCCTTTTGTTCCATCTTTCCTTTTGGTCTCTCCCCATTACTTGTGTGCAAGTGTCGTGCTGCAAGCCGAAGGAGTGAAGGAGAGAAAGGCAACGGTTCGGGTTCGATGGCTCCGGGCTGTGGAAGGATTGAGGTGGTGTGTGGAGTTTTGGATTGTGTGTGCGTCTCTGTGTGTGTGTGTGTGTGCGTGTGTACCATCTATCATGGATCATTCACATGGATATCTCGAATAGGGAATCCCCCGCTCTAATCTGGCCGAATGCATATTCGATGTCTTTCTTGTGATGAGTATGTCGATGTCGCTGTGCGCATTGAGAGTTTTCTGTAGTCTGACGGTAGCCCTCATTCTCATTCATCCTCATCCTCACCCTCCTTATTTACGACTCCACCTTCACCTTCACCTTCACCTTCACCTTCATACCATATCCCCTCCGTCATGCCCGCCATCCCACCATCCCACCATCTCACCAGACTTCAGACGAAACACACATACACCTAAATGTCACACATGTCGTACGTAGGTATCCTCTGCGAGTAAAAAATCCTGTACTTTCAAAACCCCCCGTCCGTCATCCTTGATTCCCCACCCACCCCCTCCCTCCCTCAAAGAAGGAAGAAAGAAAAGGTACAAAGCCCATACTAATTACTATACATGCTCCCATAATTAGAAGCGGCGAAGAAGAGGGGATTCACTGATAGAACGAACACCCGAACGCACTGGCTTGCTCTTGCCCCTTTCCCTTCCCCTTCCCTTCCGGAACGCCATTTGTTGCATTTACCACGCGGCCGTGGACGCCTTGCAGAGAGGAGCAAAGGGAAAGAAGGAAAGAAAGGCATATCACACTCGCTCACCCCTTTCTTTCACCTCTTCCCATCATCGTCATCCTCATCGACTCTCCGTTCCCTCTTCTACCCCCAACACGCCCCTCTCCAATCTACCCCTTCCAACCTCCAACCGTCATCCATCCCATCACTCAACCTTCATCCATTTATCCACAGCCTACCAACCCCCGATAACCTCCGCCCCCAACACACCCGCGCCCACCTGCCCCAACCCCCCCAGAAACGCCAACACGAGCGCCAAAGCCGTCGCCTCGCCTCCCTCGATCAATTCCTCCTCCCCGCCAAACCCGGACCTGGAGGATGAACCTTCAAATTCCGTCTGCTCGAGGGCCGACGACAGGCGCGCTGGGGGTTCGTATGTACCATCCCCGTCTTCTCCTTCTGCTTCGTCGGAGGAGGAGTGAGAGGAAGGGGAGGACTCGACGGCACGATGGAGGGCATCCGTGGGATTCGCGCGGGTGCGGGTGCGACGGCGCGTGCTGCGGCGGAGGGGCGTTGAGCCTGGTGATGGTGCTGATGATGTCGATGCCGGTGCCGATCCAGTGGTTAGACTATGCGCAAGGGCAGACGGCGCAGCTTCAGTTCCCTTCGGACTCGTCGTGGTAACCGTGCCCTTCCTCGGCCGTCCCCTCCCCCTCCTCGGCGGCGTCGACATCGACGTCTTCGCCGACCCGTCCAACTCCCCACCCTTCTCCTTTGTCTTCTTCAACCCTTCCCTCCCTTCCCCTTCCCCTCCCTCCACGACTTCCTCCTTCTCCTTGAAAGCAACATGCCTCCCCTTCCTGCCCCCTCTCCCACTCAAGAACCTCAAAACACTACACTCCAATACATCCCCCACATCCACCCTCCGCACAAACGCCCACGCCAACAAAGTCGCCCCTGTAACCAGCACATCCATGCCCGTCACCGACACCGCCGGATGCCCGCTCACCAGCTTGAGCTTGTCGAACGTGTTTGCCAACCCCGCGCGGAGCCGGCTGCTTGGTGTTTCGGCCTCGCCCGGCACGCCGATGGCGCGGTGGAAGACGTCGTAGACGGAGCTGCGGGGCGGCGGGGTGTTGACTAGCAGGGCGGCGAGGAACTGGGCCCAGTGCAGGACGAGGCTGGAGAGGCCGAGGGTGTGGAAGGCCGGCGCGTACGAGTGGTGGGCGGCGGCTTTGGTGGCGTGGAGGCGGCCCCAGTTTAGTGGTATGATCTATTGGGGTCAGGTCTTCAGGAAGGACTATAGAGCAAGAGCGTAACGTACCTCGGGCGCGAACGCCAGAAACAGCGGAACGGTGACGTAGGCGATGCGGAAAAGCGTGAGGTCGGTCCTTCGTGCCAGGAGCATGGGTAGAGATTGCTCCAAGGCGATGGCGCCTATGACGGGGACGTAGAGCACGGCGGGATGCGGCGCGAAGTGCGTGTCGTGTCGGACGCTGCCGTCGTCATGGACCGCCATGGGCGTATACAGCAGCAGGACGAAGAAGAGATTCAGCGCCCAGCCGAGCGAGCCCATGGCGCTGAGGAGAACAAACGAAGCGATGGTCGAGATGGGCAGATTGCGCCTGCGTCCTGCATGCACACCTTGAGTTAGCGTCACTCCCAATAACCATCCGCATCCTCCATGCAAGTCCTAAGAAGAAGCGAACACCTACCCTCGACCCCAAAGAAGATTGCCGCCGCCGTCACCCCCGTGAAATGCTCATACAAGTAGAAGAAGCTCTCGGGCGCCGCCAACACGACGGCATCCGCCTTGGAGATATCATCCACGTCGCTCCACCAGTCGCCCAACCTCCACCTGCCCACCCCTTTCTCCCCAGTCCCGTACCACCCCGTCCATAGACTCCCGGGTACCTCGCGCGCGTCGCCCTTGTGGTCCGCCCATTCAAAGTACGACAGGATGCGCCACGCGATGGCGAAGGTGGTCACGGATGCGAGGGCGACGGCGCCGAGGGAGAAGAAGAGGGCGGCGTGGCGGCGGCGCGTGGATTGTTGGGCGCGCGTCGCCGCCGAGGGAGGTAGGAATTTTGCGGTGCGGTAGATGCTGAGGAGGATGTGTGTGGAGAGGCCTGCGACGGCGAGGATTTGGCTCGAGAAGACGGCGAGGGGGAGCGCGTTGGAGTGGCCTGTCACGTCCGGGTCTAGCGGGGCCATGGTTGTGTTCGCTGTTGCGGGTGGTTATCGTGTGGAGATGCGAAGCGTCAACTAATAACTGGGTGCGTGATGCATCGTGCGCGTCGTGAGGGATGTGTATGAGTGAGGTGGTGTGGAGAAGGTGTTGTGTTGACTTGGGCGCGCAGGAACTGGGCGGGAGCTCACTCTTGTGCTACCCCACCCACGTCATAGCAGACGGGATGGATGGGAATCATGCCAAGCGTTTCCGCTCGCACAGATTACGCTAAGTTCGATTCGGGTTAGGCTTCGATATTCAACATGTGGCTGTGGGGAGCATCTCAGCGTCGAACCATCAAACCTCCCCGTCCGCGCCATGTAAAGCGCAAACTCTCCACCCACCTACCTCACCGGAGAATGTACCACCTCTTCAAATCCCTCTACCTGCACGCAACCAGCAAAGAAGGTGCGGCCCACCCTTAATCCGTCTCCTCCGTTCCCCTTCCTTTCCCGAATCAAGCCACGTCTAACAGCATCGTAAGAATACTCCATCCTCCTCCTCGGCCTCGACAACGCCGGCAAAACCACGCTCCTCGAACAACTCCGCGCCCTCTTCTCCCCCTCGCTGCACCCGAACCTCAACACCGTGCCCACCGTCGGCCAGAACGTCGCCACCATCGAACTCCCGCCGCCGCAGTCGCTCTACCTGAAGATCTGGGACGTCGGCGGCCAGCACAGCCTCAGGGGCCTGTGGCAGTCGTACTACGCTTCGTGCCACGCCATTGTGTTTGTGATTGATAGTACCGATGTCGGCGATGCGGATATCGCGACGTTGAGTACCGAGGCGGGCAGGGGCGAGGAGATGGGGAGGTTGGAGGAGTGTAGGGCTGTGTTGGAGGATGTGTTGCAGAATGAGGATGCGGCGGGGGTGCCGATTCTGGTGTTGGCCAATAAGCAGGATCGGGAGGATTGCGTCGAGGTGGTCAGGATCAAGGAGGGCTTGGTGAGGAGGGTGTTTGAAGGGGAGAAGGGTGGGAGCGTCAGGGATAGTAGGGTGTTGCCTTGCTCGGCGCTGACGGGGACGGGGGTTCAGGAGGCGGTAGAGTGGTTGTGTAGTAGGGTGAAGTGGAATAAGGAAGCGAGGCCACCGCTCATGAGGTGATGAAGATACCCACGGTTTGGTTTATCGGAAATGCTTGGATATTAGAATCGGTGGCTTAGGAGAGCCGTCTGAAAAGGCAGTCAGATCTGTGCAGACGACAACTTGGTGAGCCTGTCACTCGCAGCCTCTGCATAGATAGCACGCATGTGCCGCCCGTGTCCATAGCATATGGCCCAATCCACCAATCACCACCCCCAATCACACACAGGCACCACATAGGCAATCCGTCGACCCCTCGGACGAAGTGATGCAGATTCTGGTTTCTTTTCATTCAATACATAACCCCGCCCGGGAGCGCTGTCCCAAGCGGTCCTCTTATATCATGCCTGCCATGCCCATAGAGTAAGGACCCTTTCATGTCGAATACGCCGATAGTTGGGAAAGAGGAATGTGGTTTTGGAATACCCGAATGCTGTGAAGAACCCCAAGTCTCGCATCTACCGCCCGTCCATCCGTTTATTCGCTTATTCCGAAGCACCGACAGCACGAGCTGTTGCTGGGTTAGTGTATCTGGTAATACTATCCCGACCGTTCGTTTTCACCGACACAGGGGAAACATGGCCGAGACAGACTAGGGCAACATACTGTAAACGCTCAATTTGGAGTGTCCAACAACCTTCTTGATCTGGCCCCTCTCCTCGAGATCCGCAAGCGCTTTCCGTGCGAGGGATCCGTTAATCTTGAGGCGGTCGACGAGGGTCGCAACGGTAATCAGGCGGTATGACTGGACATCCTTCTGGAGCTTGTCGTTGGTCTGCTTGTCGAGGACGACGGCGTGGTTGGCCTTATCCTTGACTGCTGTCTGTCAGCTGCGGAACTGGTGTAGGTCGCGGTATCGACTGGGGAATCGGAGGGACGCCGGCTTTATGCGAGCATGCACTCCGAAGGGTGCGAAAATGACATTCTTGTGCGCTCGAGATGTCGAGATTTGCTGGAATGAGGCGGTCACATACCCTTTCCCTTGGACCACTTCTTCTTTTGCTTCTTGCCGCCGGTTGCTGCAGGTGCCTATCCATCGCAAGTTAACGGTCGACCCTTACGGCTGCTAGTGTCGTTCTGCCCGGCAACATACCATTTTGGAGGATGTGGTGGTGTTTGAAGATGCGAAGTCCTGTCGTCGGGGGTTGGAGCGATGTGAAGGAGAAATTGAAGTGCGGAGCGGCTCTTGGCGCATGACTAAGGAAGCGAGCGTTGCACGTGAGGAGCTTTTCACTTCCAAAGTTGCCCCTCGATCGAATGCAATTGGACATCAAAATTATAGGGTATATACTGGTATTATTCTCAGAGTTTGGTCCATTCATCGTGACATGAATGCGAAACAATCGTAAAATGGACTTGTACTTGTCGGTTCTGACGGTGAAGCAGGACTGAATTGAGAAACTAAGTAGAGCTTACGACCTAGCCTGTTCTCCCCCGTCAATCACCTCGACCCCTTAACATATGTCCTAGCTTCACGAAGAATACAACGAAGCAGTGCACAAACCACCCAAAACCGCCCGCTCACCGGCCCCCATTTCTTCCTTCACGACGTTCGCTTTCCCTACATCCCAGATGCAGATCTCCCAGGCTCCTAGTTCGCCACTGGCAGCTTAATCGCGAACTGCTTCAGGTACTCGTAGTCCGCGACATTGGCGGCGACAGTATCGCGAATCACCTTGGCGCCTTCCTCGCCGTACTTCTCGGTCCATTCGGCGAAGAGCTGCTCGTCCGATTTGGGTTCTTTTTTCTGTAGAGAGGGAAGAGTTAGCAATGAAGGTCAGAGTCGACGAATTTCGATATGTCACCCTAGTAGTGGACTCCACTCTTCCAAGAGAGGGAAGCAAAACCTTGGAGAAAGCAACTTACATGCGTCCTCGCCCTGAGCTCGTCGCTATCCAAGGCATCCTCATGGAAACCGGGCCACTTGGCAAACACCTCCTTAGCATAAGTTTGATGTTTCTCATCCCCCCACTTTAGCATGTCAGGCTCGTACTTCACGCCCGTGCCCTTGCAAAAGGCTTCGATTATGCCCGAAGGATTGTCGAGGAGGTCGTCGGCGTCGATGAGCGTGATGGGTACGCCACTTGCTTCCCCGTCGGTAGCGGCCTGGCCATGGGTTTCGCCCGCGAGGTTGGGGCCCACTTGCCCAACAGAGCGCAGGTAGTCAAAGAGTCGGCGTAGTTCGCTATAACCAGCCTCATCGGGTCTGAAGTTGTAAAACCCGGTAAGCTTATCGAGCGGCGGAATCGTGCAGCGGTAGTAGCTCGGAACACTGTACTTCGGATGGCGAATCAGGAAGGCAAATTGGAACTTTGCGAGGAGATCCTTAGGCACGACTGTCGGGTTCCCTTCCTCACCCTGAGTGTTGAATGGGTATGGGGTGTCGGTGCCGACGCCGCGTTTGTACGAGGCGAGACTGGGGGCAATCTGGGCGGGTTGGTTGTTTGGTGGGATCCAGTACTGGGCCATGTCCTTGATGAAGGGTCGTTTGCCCTACGGTGCAGTGTGAGTGCATGCGTGGCATGGTGTCGGAGAGGGTGGATGACATTGTGAGACAGAAGCCGCGAATCGGAGGGAAGGGAGGTCAGAAGATGGAGGGAACGCAAAACGAAAGGTGTGTCATAGATGATGGAGTGGTAGAAAGATCGTGTGCGTTGATTCCTGCTGTGGCACGACGTAGATATGTGGCTGCGACCAAGCGGACGAGACACTTGTGTCTGTATTCTCCGAACCAGTCGAAACACAAGCTTCTTGCGACATAAGCCACGGCTTTGTCGTCAAACGTGGGGTGCAGATGCGGCGCGCGTGGCGTGTAGTAGGGAACGAATGGGAAAGCAAGAGTATCAGAAAGCTGTTGATTGGACACAAGAGACGTCAGGAAAAGAACTAAATGGAGCGATGGAAAAAAAAAGACGACATGTGAAACGGAAGGAAGAGGATGTAACCAACCTCTGCGCCAGCTTTGGCAATGGCATCAAAAACGTCCTTGAAAGTGGTGTCGGAATGGCCTGAGGCCTTTCGAGCCTCCGGGTCGTTCTCATATCTGGGATGGAGTCTTTCAGGGCCGAAGTAGTAGGCGTCCCCGAAGGGCTCATGAACGGTTTGGAGCGTCTCCCGACGGGTCATGAAAACCTTGAAGGAGTTAGCAATTTGGTGAGGTAGATATGGGAAGTGAACATACCCGCTCAAAAGCCGTGGAACATGCCCTTGGATGAGTAGCCACAAATAGGGGCTTCTGGGACATGATGATGATCTATATCTATGTCTAGGATCTGGGTATCAAGAAGTCTATGCGGTATGGTAAAGATGAGAAGAATTGGAAGGGTGCAGCAAGGGGTTTAAGTAGCCTCTCGACGGGAGGGAAGGAAAAATAGCGCTCAGGTTTGCGGGCCGGTCGTCTTTGACAAATAACAGCCTTCGAAGTGGTGGTAGGCGAGGTAGGCGAAGCAGCAACGAATCGACCTTACTCAAAAAGCTGCAAACAGGGCGCAGAGAAGTGGGCTACTTATACTAGTGAGAGTGGCATGCGAAGGTGGTTTGCCAGGATTAGCCGCACAGTACCTGGCGTCCCTCCCCGGCGTGGGACAAGGTCGGTCCCTCTGTAACATAGTAGGAAGCTTGCTGTCATCGCGGAGATTTCCCTTACTACAAGGGGAGGGCAGATCGGTAGTCATGGCTTGGCCGCATGCAGGCGTGGGAGGCAATAAACATACACAGCTTGAAGCTGAGGCATACTGTGAATGGGTACACATACATACAAGCAGTACCTTTCGATGTTGTCTGCGAGGTGCGAAACCGTTGATGTCATAGATTGAAGAAACCCTTCAGCCGGAAGCTTGGCCATTTCGGGACACAACCCGCGATCGCTAGGCCAGACCCCTCCCTCCTAGGGATGGGTTGTGTTCTTATGGACGTTTGGGTGTTATGAACAAACTGGTTCTGAACGCGTTTATATAAAATTTGTTGTTTCTAACCGTTATAAACATGCCAAGCATACAGGCTAGGCAGGGAATTTACCTTACACTTGCCCTAATTAGGCAGAAGTTAGATAGATATATGTTACTCTAACATGTATTAAGCTTAGCGCACAATGCACGTACTAGTAAGATAAAGCTAGTGTGTTTTCGGCCGTTAGTAACGTTCCAAACGGTTTTAAACCAAAACACGTTTACATTTAATATAAACGTTTACAACCCCACCCTACTCCCTCCAAAGGGTCAAGTGTTTTCTGTGCCATGGTGTCACCATCATACTAGTAGAGTGACGGCTGATGGGAGGGTGCTCTTGTTGATACAATTGACCAAGGACTTCCAGGCTCCAAATGCAAATGGGCATGGACGAGGACAGATCCATTTGTCAAGATAGGCTCAAGACAAGGCTGTGCGCTCATCCAATCTGCCACACGATGTAGGAATTAACGAACCAGGAAAACATTGGATATCCAAAGCAAATTGTTATACAGTTGCTCGCCTACTGCCGAAAATAAATGCTATTGCATTGGTTCATAAACGCATGACATGCTTGTGCCTCACAATTCCCACCCCGATTTTGATAGTCGTACACAAATGCTGGATGCAAAGCAGCCCACCTTCAACCTCCCCAAGTAACCCACTCATCTCCTCACGTTGTAACCTGCCTGCTCCGGGAACCTATCCTCCGCAGGGGCGCCTCCAGCCCCGGTGCTCCTTCCGGTCGGATAATCCTCCTCCAGGGCTCTCTGACCTGCAAAAGATGGGTGTTGCGGGTTGATGTTTCCTTGATTCATCGAAGAACCGTGGCCCAAGATGCCCTTGTGGTGTTGGTGCCTGTGCGCCTGTCCGTCGTGGCGAAGTTCTGCGCTCGACTGTCCTTGGACGGGCGCTCCCAGTCCGCGGTTCACGTCGGCCGAGTCGGCTCCAGTCAGCGTCCTGGCGGCCGACTGGTACATGCCTTGGTTATTCGGTTCGGGGTTGGGCTGGTACGTTGATTCTTTTGGCGCTGAGCCTGGAGGTAGAGTCTGGGCGGAGAAGGTGGGGACTCTATCTGTTGGTGAAGCATGGCGCCCCATTTGATGCTGTCAGGGAGTTAGCAGAGGATCGAGGGATGATGAGCGACCATTGATCGAGATGACATGACAAAATGAAAGAGCATATGAGGAGAATATTGCACTTACTCCTCCTCTCTCCAAAGGCGTGGCCGGCTTAGGGCCCGAATGGAATTGGCCTTGGTTGGAAACGGAATCGGGATTGAAGCTCATGGTGAAATGATGGAATCGCAGAAGTTGGAATTGGGCTTGATTCGACGACGGAGACGTAGTTGATTCTTCGTCCAGTTGTTGATGCGTACTGTACTGTATGAGAAGGGTGCAGTGTGCGGCTCTCAGGCGCTCATATATGCAATCAGATGATTTGACATCAACATGATGTCACCCGCTGAGATCCACCAAACAGACTCGCATCTGACGCCATATTACTATGGGCACTAGGAAGATCAACGGGTTTGCACTACTCAGTTAGAAAGCCCCGCCGAACGATGCTCTTTTGCCGTCCGAGTGTGGTGAATGATGGACCTGCAATTGCCGTAGAGCACCGATCGGAGAGGTCACCGACTAACCACAAGAAACGACCATCTATTCGATGAGGGGTGGGAAAATTCAGCCTCAAGAAGAACATGTTCATTTCTCTCGCTTGTTCTTTTTCTTCGGATTTGATGCCTCTGACTCCTGGTTTTCTGAGTTATCGGATCGGGTAGAGGCCTCGTCACCGTCACTGAAGCCATTCCATTCCTCGTCGCTGTCTCCACCTGGGACGCTGTCGTGCTTCTCAGACGGTTTTTGTATTGCATCCTTATCCCGGGAAAACGCGGCAACAAAAAAGCCCATTGTACCATCCTCGGTTGCCTTATCGCAGCGGATGCAGGCCTCAAGGACGTCCTTTCGTTCATCAGGGGTGAATTCAGCTGTGATATCTGAGTTCTCCACGTTAAAAACGCCTCTCCTCGGCCAATCCTTCATCCCACTCACTTGTTCTTCCCGCTGAAGAATTCTCCAGCCATGTTGCTTGGCTATGGGCGAACTCAGAGCCTGGAAGACAACATCTTCATTTTCCTCGAAATGAATAGAGCAGGTAGAGTAAGTAATCTTGCGAGCATTTGGGAATTTCATAGCATGGGTGAGTATACGTAGTTGAAAGGTCGCAAGGGCAGTGAGTCTCTCGGTCAGCTGGTCCTCCGCCGGGCTCTCCTCTTCGACCGAGTCATCTAGTTCCAACTGTAACGGCACGCTGGATTGGGCAGCTGCCTTCTCTTCTCCATCCCGTTTACGTTTCTTGCCATGAGCGGACTTAGTGTTGCCATTGGCGGTTGGGTTCATTTCAGGTAGATGGATTGTTAGAGCATCGTCCCGACCAACGATACCCGTCCCAGAGCAGCTCGGGTCCAGGAGGATGGCTCCGACGTTTTCGAATTCCTGAGCGTTCGGATTTGCATTTAGGAAATCAGATGCACCTTTTATAGAGACCACTTTGTCCGCGGAAGCAAGCTTGATCATCTTTTCCAGAGTCTTCGTCCGAAGTCTGTCCCGCTCAAAGGCTATCACATCGAGATGCGAGCCCACTGCCCCCTCTTGAGCTGCTCGTTCAACCAGGATGGCGGCCAGATGTGTAGTCTTGTTCCCAGGAGCAGCACAACCGTCGACCACATCTCCATCTTCAGGCTTAGGGTCGAGCAAATAGGCCGGAAAGCATGATGCCTTATCCTGGAAAATGATGCGACCGCTCGTATACGCTGTGGTTCTGCTAAGATCGATCCGCGGCGGAAGTGCAAGTAGATTCGGGATGTGAGGATCCAGAAAATACAGCTTCGTTGGAGGCGGCACAGACATGACTTGACGAAGATCTGTAGTTTTCTCATAGCCAGCGAATGTGGACGAGAGTTCCTTCTCCAAGTTTGTCTTGAGCGTGTTTATCCGAACCCACCGAGGGTGTTGAAGGCCCCCGGCTCCTCGCCCATTGTTCAATGCTTCTCGAAACGCTTCTAACGTGGCGTGACCCGCCTTTACACGCGCTTTTGTAAGTTCGGCACTCAAACGTGCCTTGTGACGGTTGATCGCGAGCTTGAGGACATGGCCGGCGGGCGCTGCAACTCCTCTCTTCGAGATGAGAAGATCGTGTGTCAGGAGAAGAGCGAGCGTTGGAGTCAACTAATTTCCCAGCTTAGCATGCATAAACCTCCAACGTTTGGAGGTGCTTACCTTCTTCTCCTCGGCCAGCAATCCACTCTTCTCGATAACATCTTTCAGCACCGCCGACCACTTTGAGGATTCGGTGATGAGAGCAACGATCTGAGCAGGCGGGCTTTTCAGATCCTTCTTCCTGTAGATCCTGGACTTCAAGGACCCACCTGTCTTGTCGGAGTTTGCAAGGAGGGCGGCCGCCTCGTAGTAGAGCGACATTGTTGTTGCTTTGCTTGTGAGAGGATCTTTTTCTGGTGAAGGTGGTCAAAGCTTCTCAGCACTCTCCCGAGGCCCTCCGACCTCCTCTCCGCAAGACGTAACATCAGAACCGACAATCTATACTGGCATATACGATCGTCAAAGAGACGATAAGTGATTTTCCAAGGTCCGTAGTACTCATACACTCCTGGCTTTGGGAGGGCAGACAGAGCCAACACGACAAGGACTTTCATCATCTCCCCAGCTCCTCCTCTAGACCTTGGAATCTGCATCTAGAGAATATGTTCCTAGATGTACTTTTTTCCCTGATGGAACATAGAGGTTCAGTCTGCGAGTCATCCGTAAGTCAAAACGAGCATGCACTTGCTATTATCCTGCAAGGGCTTTCCCCAGTAGTGAATATGTGTATCGGCGGCAAAACCGGACCTTCTATCTAGGAAATCTAGCAGTGGCCGTGATATCACTTAAACAAGATTTTTATACAATATAAGGCGCTGCTTCGGCATCGCTCGACGAAAGGCATGTGCATTGCCTTCAGATTGAATTGCATGTCGTGAGGACAACCACAGCCATCCGATATGATGGCCTCACCTTGCTATTGCATAACTCCTTTACAGGTGTAGGAGGCCTGAAACTGGGGCTTGTCGAAGTAGAATCATTTAAATGAGCGATTACTTCGCGGATTCTGCACCAGTCTCCTCACGGATTGCATGTATAGATACTTTAACTACCTACAGACGTCCAGCCACACGTACACGTCCCCTCATACCCCTGCGTCTCTCGGTTCCGGTATCCAGGATGTAATAGTACTGTGTATGCTCTGCACCTCCCGTCATCAGATCTCTGCGGCAGCGATGGGCCTGTTCCTAGGCGGATAAATTATGCACACCCATAGGTATCTACTACACCCTCACCGCAGGCTGGCTGATTCAGGAGCCCGGACAATGGGCAGCAACGGCAATTGAGAATATTTGAGAGCCCAAGCAAGTTGCGGTGTGGTGTGTGGTGTACCGCCGGAACTGATACGGCGGGCATGGGTCCTGGTCGGGGTGCTCTATCCAAAGTATCCATCTATATGTGTACAGGACGAAGAGCATATATGACAAGGTGTGGATGCTGTGTCTGGTTGCATGGAACACGGCATTATTGCATCGGGCGTTCAAATAGATAGTCCACAGGTCTGACATGCATCGAGCGTGGTTTCAGCCTACATCTTTCCCTTCTGGAAGCGTTAATTACGGTCATGTCGTTTACTAATGAATGAAGATTGCTCCACTGCGTTAAAATAAGCGAACCGGAACAAAAGAAGCGACTTCTTTGCCTCCAAGCAGGGACCTCAGACCCATAACCCGTACACCCACCCATTCACCCATTCTCCACACATCTTCGCCCTTCCCGGTGACCGCGGTCGTGGACCATCGCCTTGCTGCGACTCGCGCATCACACGCCGTTTCTTGATTTTCTTCTGCTCCGCCGTGCCACGGACTGCCAGCCGGTCCTCGCCTCGTCAGCCTGTTTGGAGGGCTCATCCCTACCCATTCTGCTGTGTCAAGTACAAGAGTCCCTTTCCACAACCTGCGTCTCTGCGCCCACCGGCGGAAGCAAGAGGTACATAGATAGGCCCGACTCTCTCTTCTACCCTAGTTCCCGCCTCCGCCGCGGAGCTCCCTCCTGCTAGTAGCTTACCGGCGCTGCCAGAGCCAGCGCTGAAAGGTCGCAGCGTGCGCTCGCTGGCTGCGTAGGGGCCACTCAAGGGGGAGGGGTGTGGGCGACAGTGACGGTGACGGCCCAAAGCATATCACCACTACCGCCGGCCGTGCGCGTCTAGACAACCAGACCATTACTGCGAGTGCTACCCACCATGGAGGTGAGCATCCGCCGTTTCCCTCTGCTCTTGTTCATCCGCTTCCCCTAGAATTCCTTCTTCTATGCCCCGGCTTTCCTCATAGTCTGTCGCTCCTTTTCCCACCAACTGCCGTCTGCTTCCTTTTTCTTCTCATCCGTCATCCACCTCCCCCGTCCGTCGCATCCCCTTCAGCCGTATCGCCCTGGTCTTGCGCCTCCTTCCCAGGCTCGATATCGTCGGGTACCGGTCTTATGGGATCAGAGAGCCCTGCACGTATCACGCTTGTAGAACCTCACAATCTTCTCCGATTCAAGGTTCCTCCTTTCCCCGTCGCTGATCGCGCCGTCCTGACCTGTCCATTGCCGCTCCTGCTCTGCGCCGAAGGGCAGCCCACGTCATTTCCCATCGACTCTGCGCCCATATTCCTCTCCAGCGGGCCACGCTGCGCCTTTGCAATGGCTGGCCGGTGAAAGGAAGACGTGGTTGTCGTGTGGTTGCGCACTGAGGCTCTTCACTTGAAATACTCTTTTCCCTGATCTCGAACTCTCTCACTTCACTCCGAACCGTTACCTTTTCCCTCTCAGAGCTCAACACCATATCCACTTCAATTACCTCCAATGGCTTTATATACCCGGCGTCTATCTTCCTTCTCTCAGAATTCTCAATATGGGGAGTTTGGTCCCTCGCCAGGCGAACCTTCCACTTCACCAGGAGACCCTTCGCGCCTCCGGCCAGCCGCCCAGCTAACCATGATGCGATACCTGCAGGAACTGCCCGACGCCGATATCCCACACACAGAGATGCCGCCTCGCTATCACACGGGGCGGTTACCCAACAGCAAGGCAGGCGACGATAAGCCGAGACTGCTGCTTATGGGCCAGCCGAGGTGAGTGGGACCAAGGCGTTGTCTCTGTGCGGCCTGAAGCCACGTTCACCTACTGACAGTGCGCCGCGTGCAGGAGCGGCAAGTCGTCGATATCGAGTGTCGTGTTTCATAAGTTGCCGCCGAGCGAGACGTTATATCTCGAGACGACGACGAGGATCAAGAAGGAATCTATGCAGTACGTCACCATTCGTCCTATCCACCTCATTCGTCCCTTCACTCTGACCAATATTTTCCCCTTATAGCTCCTTCATGGACTTTCAAGTCTGGGATCTCCCCGGGCATGTCGATTACTTCGATCCGTCCTTCCACGTCGACCACATCTTCGAAGAAATCGGCGCTCTAATCTGGGTCATCGACGCGCAGGACGAATACCTCGAGGCCATCATGCAACTCAACAAAACCATCCTAAACCTGCAACACTCGTACCCCTCAATCAACGTCGAGGTCTTCGTCCACAAAGTGGACGGCCTGAGCGACGATTACAAAGCCGACACCTTCAGAGACATCATCCAGCGCGTGACGGACGAACTCAGCGATCACGGCTACGAAAACGCGCCCGTCAGTTTCTACCAAACCAGCATCTACGACCACTCCATCTTCGAGGCCTTCTCCAAGGTCATCCAGAAGCTCATCCCCCAACTGCCCACCTTGGAAGCGCTGCTCGACTCGCTCTGCCAGAGCTGCCGGATCGAAAAAGCGTACCTGTTCGATATCATGAGTAAGATCTACATCGCCGCCGACACGAGTCCGACGGACGGAGGGAGCTATGAGATTGCGAGTGATTATATCGATGTGGTTATTGATGTTAGCGAGATTTACGGGTGGGACAGGACTCTGGCTTTAGGTGATGGGGAAGGTGACAGGGATGGAGCCGTAAGAGCGGGAGAGGTGGAGGAGGAGGAAATCAGGGGGGAGAGTGGGTGCAACGATGCGGAAAGTTTGATTACCATGGAGAGGAAGGGGAATCACTACCTCTACTTGAGGGAAATCAACAAGTACGTAGGCCTTGTTGGTTCCGCAGACAACAAACGCGAGGAAGATACATAGACTAATCACTGCAAACAGGTACCTCGCACTCATCTGCCTCATGGGCGACGACAGCCCCGCGGAAAAGAAGGCCGTCATCGATTACAACGTCGGCGTCTTCCAGACAGCGCTCAAGCAAGTGTTTCCGCGCGCGGAGAGAGAGCCGCCGGGACATCATCACAGATACGAGGGAGTGGAGTTCGGACATGACGAACCGGCGGCAGTGGGGGTTGGGAGGTGAAGCGTCCTGGTTAGAGCTTTAGGCGCGTGAGTAAGCAGAGACCAGTGCCATGCACGGTTCTACTGAGGATGAGATGGGATTTGGAAATCGAATAGGTTTCCATGCCTGGGGGCGCGTACGATATTTTGGATAGGCATGGCAGTGAGCGTATAAGAATTACACACAAGGTAGAGATGGATATGATGTAGCAAGACACCGCGACAAGAGCTACTATTCTCGATGACATTAGCACGCGGTTATAGCGAAATAGGGAATGAAATCATAAGCTATACAATCAAATGACAGTCCACGCTTATGCCAATGTCTCTGTTCACCTTCACCATCACCTTCACCCGATACTTCTTCACTCTCACCTTCACCGTTTTCCCACAATACAACTGTGGCGCTGACCCGTGGCTGTGCACAAATCCCCACTTCGCAATCGAAACCAGGTACAAGGCGCCAAGCCCGTTCTCCAAACCCACCAATTACCGCCGAGTCTTTATGCCTAATAAACGTCATGGCAATGTGTACGTACATTTAGCGACGCCTACCCTTGGATGGGTTGAGGCCACGATTCTGTACTTGGATGTGCGAAGCCACCGGAGAGATTTGGCTTCAGCTGAACCTGACTAACAAGTCTGCCGTCTACTTCATCCAGGCAGGACGTTCGAATACGACGAAGTGAGCGGTCGCGGCTCTGTGGACCTGTAACGACGTGTGGTTGAGCGGACGGGAAGGCTAGATTGGAGGCTTTGAAATTCGGGCCACTTCATTAAACGGATTCAAGTTCAGGCAGAGCATTGGATTGTCAGAACAAAGATACATAGCAGGAGGACCATACCTGCTGTCCACAAATCCCCATCGGCGACTAAGCGATCGACCACTCGTCAAGGCGAGAGACTCAACACACAATGGCCACACCAGCCCGATACCGACAAACAGCGTCCTCGCGACCGTCCCAACCCTCACCGACCGAGAAGCAACAACATGCGACCGACAAACCCAAACCAGCACCATCACCATCGACCGGCTTCTCCCTCTTCGAGATCCTGCGCATACTCTGCGCTCTGCTCCTCATCAGCTGCGGCATGAGCCGCCTCTGCACCTCCGGGGAGAGCATGACATGGGGCTTCAATCCGTGGTGGACGCGCGCGCGAGAGTGGAAAGCGTTATGGGTACATATCTCCCCTCTCCCTCTCCTCCCTCTCCTCCCTCTCCTCCCTCACTACCCTCTCCTCTCTCAAGCGAATACTAACACCCCAGCTCCCTTCTCCCAGAACGGCCACATCCGCCTCACCGACGCGGACCTCGCCCACCACGACGGCACCGACCCCTCCAAACCCATCTACCTCGCCCTCAACGGCACCATCTACGACGTCAGCGCCAACCCCAAGACGTACGGCCCCGGGGGCTCCTACCACTTCTTCGCGGGCCGCGACGCCGCGCGCGCCTTCCTCACGGGCTGCTTCCAGGAAGACCGCACGCCGGACCTCCGGGGTGTCGAGGAGATGTATATCCCTGTCGATCCGCCCATGCCGACGGAGGATCCCGGTGCGGGGAAGATGTGGAGGAAGAAGGAGATGAGTAGGGCGGAGATGAAGATGAGGCATGCGAGGGAGTTGAGGGAGGCGAGGAAGCGGGTTAGGGAGGGGTTGGAGCATTGGCATGTTTTGTTTCGCGGGGAGAAGGGGAAGCCGTATTTTAAAGTCGGCGAGGTGGAGAGGGAGGAGGGGTGGTTGGAGAAGTTGCCGAGAAGGGAGTTGTGCGAGGAGGCGAGGAAGGGGAGGCCCGTGAGGAAGGTCGAGGAGGTGTGGGAGGTGGTGGGCAAGGAGTGAGGGTGTGGGGTTGACTGAGGAGATCGTAAGGGGATGGGGAGTCTGTAGCGGAGCGCGAGATGAATGGGCAGCAAGACGCCTTCAGTTGAATCGCAATTGCTCTACACTTGATGTCGATCCACAGTATACGGCGATCTTAGTCCTAAGTAGAGAAGTTGGTGCTGCTATGCCTATTGCATTTCACTCACGACTTCGCCGCTGGACAGACACTATGTACGTCCTTTCTTCCCTACTAAACACCCCCTTCTTCCCAGACACCAGCTCCATGCGCCACCGAAGCCGCTGTTTCTTGTACTACTCAGATGGACGAATCACATACTCCGACCAACCCTGGAACCCAGACGAAAGGCAACAACACTCCAAACGCCGCCGCTGTCAACCACCTCGAAACACCAAACACCAGGACCACAGTACTAGAGGAAACCCACGAGAAACAACGAAACGAGACGACGTGACGTGAAAATCACACCCCACCCAACTCAATCTCCCTCCTCCTCTCCTCGCGACTCACGGCCCTCGACCGCGAATGCCCGTGCCCCGCCGCCGCCGTCGAATTCCGCGACGAACTCGCCCGACTCGCCTCCCTCGTCCGGCCGCGATCCCACCTCCGCCACGCCTCCTCCTCGCTGAGACTCTGCCTTACCCTACTCCCACCGCCGCCGCTCCTACTCCTCGCCCTCCCCGTCGCAGCCGAAGCTTCCGCCTGCAGTGACGTCCGCGCAGAGGTGCGTGCAGGCACGGGCGAGCCTACCAACTCCTTCTCTTCTTCCTCTTCTCCTTCGTCGTCATCGCCGCGACCCGGTAGGTCGATGCGAAACGTCGCGCTCGTTGCATCGGGCGAGGGTCCGGCGTCGGATTGTTTGGCGAGGAGGAGGGCCATTTGCTGGTTAATCCGTTCGTCTTCGGAGAGGTGGCGGGAGTGGGACCGTGAGTGCGAGTGCGAGTGTGTCGGGGGTTGGTGTTGGATCTGCAGATGAGGGAGGGGGGCGTGAGGAGCAGCAGATGGGAAAGGAGCGGTGGTGGCCTCGGGGACGTAGGCTGTCGAGTATGTCCCTGCTGCCGCACCAGCGTAACCCTCCATGAACGGCGGCGAGTACGAGGTTTGCGAGGCAGAGGAAGCGCCCATCGTCATCGAGGGGTACATGTTTGCATTGTAGTTGTCGTACCAGCTCGGTTCGGACCAGAGGGTGTTCGCTGTGCGCGCCGCGGCCGCTTCGTTGAGCTTGATGATGCGACGGTGGGTCCAGAGGAGGAGGGCGCCGTACAGGAGGGTCGAAGCCGTTGAAACGACGGTGCCGGTTATGGCGGGCGTGTTCCAGATGTAGGCGCGCGAGGTGAGGAAGTTGTAGGCGATGGTGAGGAGGCCGAGGGCGGAGGATTGCAGGGCTGGGCTTGGGCGTTGTTAGTATCTACGTGTGGCTATGTGGATGAGAGAGGGTTGTCTGGGAGGCATACAGGAATATGGCTTCGGCTTGGAAGACTTCATTGCGGCAGGCGAAGCAGAGCATTGCGGTGAATGAGTATCCGGCCGTCAGCAATGCGACGACAAAGGCGGATAGGACGGCGCGGCTGATCTTGAGCTCTGGATCCTTTGCATAGAGTCCCGGTAGCATCAGATACCTAAGATGCGCGTGGTGTTAGCTACATGTCTGCTCAAGGCAAGTAACTTGGCAAGCAGAGCTCCTAGAGCTGAGCTGAGTGAAGATCGACAAAACGTACCCTCCCAGGACCATCCACGACGCTGCCAACGCTATGAATCGCCAATACCACGGCGTCCACGAGGAAGAGGAGGAGCGGTCATCCTGTTGCGGGCCGTGCAGGTTGATGTAGCTCTTGTTGGAGCTCGAACGGAGGGGCATTGGAGCGGAACCGGGCGTGCGTGCGCGGCCTTCTCGATGTGGGTTTGGCGGTTCGGTGAGGGCGCGCTTGCACGGCAAGGCCACGGCGGACCGCTACGTGCAGCGCAAGGGCGATTGTAGCTGTTGGAGTATGTGTGATGTCTGACTGGCGACTCTCGAGGCAAAGTTTGAGCAGAGGCAGCAATCCGGCCTGGTGGACGAAGAGGTGATGCGCTAGTTGATCCTCCGGCGGCTACGGGTTCGTGCCTGGGGTCCAGGGTACGAGGCTGGCCTCGAGGTGGTGCAGCGACACAGTTACAGTAAATCTATCGACAGGTTCACAAACACAACGACGGCCATGGAGCCAGAAGCCGGGACTGAGAGGGTAGACAAGAATGGTGGTCGGAAGAGCGTGGGGAAGAGCATCTAGTACAAGAGGTCGTCCAGCCAGCGGTACAATCGGCGGGTAGAGCACAGCCCAGCCACAGCTGCTGAGAAAGAGTCCCAGGCACACAACAACATGACATGGCTCTTGCGTCTGATGACAATACGTTAGCGGAGGCGAAAACGAGACCCAATTCGCAGCCACGGTGGGTAAAAGAGATGTGGCTTGCTTTCCTGGCGTTTTCGCTGTCAGGCTTACGGCTAAGCATACCGGACGCCCTGAGAAGAAACCGGACTTTAGACGGCCCCTCGGATAGCCTTTAAATCCAGAAGAGTCGCATAAGTCCATGTAAAAGGAGTGTTTCGTAAAGGATATTAAAGTGATATCGCTGATGTCCAGCACTTGTGTAGAGCTCAGGCATCACTTACCTGCGCATAGATACGAAGGCTGACAAGACCGCGTTGGTGCACCGCCCCGTCAAGCGCGCACGAGTGCTACGTCTCGCAATACGGATTCAACGGCCCTATTTAGGATTCAATCGATTTCTTCATGAGCCGGAGTAGGCATGGTTCTTGCCAGAACAGATTTTCGATGTAGGTTGACGTCCTTCGTTTCCTTGACGACCTTGCGGCGCAGCAAAAAGCTGTGGTTTCAGGTTCCCCTCCACCGATGGCCGTCCAAGTGGCGTGTTTCAGGGTCTTTGAAGGGAGCAATATCGACACCAGATGTGGAAAGAAGAGACGGGAGGACAAAGAATCCATGCATGGATTCCCTCATCGCTGAGCTGTAAGGGCACTTGACATTTGCTGCGTCCTGGGTAGAGTCTCCTGCTCTTGGGCGAGGAGCAATGTCCAGCAAAAGCGTCTGATCATGTTGGCGTGGAAGTGGTTGACCCAAAGGCTCCACCACACGATCTTCGTGATCGACGCCATTCAGACTCAAAGTGGAGCTCCGCCGATTGCTTCGCCTTTGGAGTATTCAAAGCCCTGTCGAAGAGAAGAGCAGCACCATGCATCCGCTGAATGTATTCACGCTCTGCGTCAATGCTCGAACACTGGATGATTTGACCAAGTCTCCGAAACCTAGTCAAGGGTAGAGCCGCTCGGTAGGTACCTACATCATGGCCGCCGATGAAGGCCGCTTGTGAGGCTTGATCGACGCTGGGCGCATGCCCATGATTCACGTCCTCTAAGTGGCTCACCTGGAAGGTTCTGAAAGATGGAGCGCTCTCAACGGCGATCGACGTCGATGGCGAACGCCTCGTACGAATTCCCAGCTGAGGTCTTCGCAACATTTCAAGGAGTGGGTGGGAAAAGTCCACGTAGAACACTCAAGAACATACAGTGCAAGAGCTTGGTGGAGATGTGCAGCAGAGATACACTGAAGAATGCCATTTGGGAGGAAGTGTCGTCGGCCCAGACAATCCAACGAAGACGGTCTTGCATGAAGGTGCAACTCTCCAGGACCTGGTTGGTTTGAACGAGAAAATCATAGCTTACCAGAGGACTGCAAGGAATCCCTTTAGGGGACAAACGGCATGGAACCAATGGTTACAATGGTGAACCGAGGTTGTTATGTACAGCCGAAGTTCATATGTTTGACGCTACTGAGAACGTATCAACGAGCTACCGTAGGGTACCCATTTTTGAGGTGTACCCTATTTTTGCGGTTCTGAACACTACTGTTTCTGCAAGATTCCTGTATAGAAGAAGCTTATATAAATTAGATAGATAAAGGTGCAGAGACTATATCTTTATATAGTTTTTCTGTCTTAGTTTATTATAGCGTAGGAGGGGAGATATCCTCTTGTAGAATATCTTTACTCCTCTATACTCTTACACCGCAACAGGCCTTAAAGACTCTGCCGCCCTTTAGTTAGCGGAGATAGGGCGGTAAACTAATTAGGCTTAACTCCCTTAAAGAAGGGGTACACCTTAAAAAATGGGTACCCTACGGTAATGTGATAGCGCTTCAATGTTCGGACCGTCGTGATGGCTGCAGTAGACGTGGCGGTGCAACTTCTCTTCACATGGCAAGGTAAATGGCTTGGCAGATCGGTGAGATCTCGGAACTGCGGAGTCATGCAGCGGGGCGGAAAGACAAGTGTCGCGCTAGTAAACGCCCCGCGCGCTAGTAACGCCCGGTCGCCCTTGTCCCTTGACCTCATTCTGAAATTCCCTTGTTCCTCGGCGCGGGGAGCTTTTCACCTACAACGTCAACGCAGCATCAGCTTCAGCTCATGTGAAAGCTGCTGTATTCTCTAGGTATCACTGTTCCTTACTGTTAGTTGGACCGTTTCTTCTTCCAACTATCTACGAACACATTCTCTTCCCCATGGTACACCTCTCACCGTACCTCAACACCCGACGCGAGGACAGCTTGAATCGAATCACACAGTCCTCGTATACATAGTAGGAGCTTGGCAGAGATGGCGGACGGCCAGGAAGACAGCATTTTTGGCGACGGAAACCTCTCGCAAAACCTTCCGTTGCAGGAAGTGAGTGCTGGCTCTAACGTAGCTGCTGCCACACCGCTACCGGCTTTGCCGACTCCCCGCTCTCAGCCTCCGCGAGAAGTTACGCAAAACGGGGCCGCTCAGACACAAGCGAATCCTCCTCGACCAACGGGCCGTGAAGGCGTACTGTGGTCTCCATATATGCTGAATGATCTAATGATGGCGGAAGCCGGGTCATTCGTGCAGCCCGGCCCAGCAGGTTCTCATGCACCGATGGACGTGCACGCCCCTCTACAAGCGACATCCAGTCAGTCCCAAGGATACGTGCAGGCCGGCAGTTCTTCGTCTACACGAACACCCATTCATGGATACCAACTCCAAATAGGAGGAGGATCTCGTCCGCATGCCGGCGCCGGCCATGGCCAGCTCGCCCCCGATGCTCAGATTACGACTGACGACACTCCCCTGTACACATTATTCCGACAGCTCCCACAAGATCTGACGCAAAGAATAACCGACTACGTCGATACTCCGAGGCCAGTTCCACCAAGGTCCATTACACGTAGGAACCATGGGAGCAATCGAACATCTGGCCCATCTCGGCCTGTGACACGGAGTTATGCGGACGTGCTCCGGGGTATTATGCGCTCTCCCGATGTAGTTGAGCGTTTAGAAGAGGTTTCCGGAGGTGACACGGGATTCATCCGTCCAAATCCATCTCTGAATCAACAGCAAAGTGAGGAAGGTCGAAATCGCATGGCCGCTTTAAGAAACCTAAGCGCAACGGCTATCCTCCTATATCATGTGGGCGGCGCCAATCATGAAGCAAATGACATCTGGCCTAATCTTCGCAATCCGATCCGCTGTCCAGTGCAGTATCGTCCGATAGATATCTCCCAACTGCGACCAGCTGTTCGAGGCGAGCGGATAGAGGTCATCTGGCCTCCGTTGAGTGAGACTCAAAACAACTCCAGCACGACAGCTCCTACGCCGGGCGTACAATCCGGAAAGGCGCCCAATAACTGCCCTGGCTGGCCTCCGGGGAGGATGCCCACTGAATTATACGAACTGGTGGCAAGCTATCTGAACCGAGACGACATCAAGTCCATGAGGCTAGTATGTCGCGAGTTCGACCGGCACGTCTCACAAGTTCTGTTCAAAACGGTTGTTGTTCCGTTCAACGCGGAAATCTACGGCATGATTCGCGAACAGAAGGCGGCCTTGAATGGAAAGCTTGACGATTTGTCATGGTCCAACGGGGAAGACGATTCCTACTACCTGGGGCATGGCCTGAATGTCTTCAAAGGGTTCGGGAAGCACATCCTGCGGTTTGGGATGAGCTTCGAGGTCAGCGAAGAGATGTTGCAGAATCTGCCGGAGAAGAAGGAGACGGAATCCCGAACCAGTTTCTGGGGAACGTATGAGTGGCCCTACGCGGAATATAAGAGATTCGCTGCGATAGCGGGTCTCGAAAATACCGCCGACGAGACCCCAAAGATGAAAACCGCCTTCTCTGAGCTCAAAAAGGTACAGGAGCTTGCATTATCTGTTGACTCCGGCCTTGGCTGGCTCAATGGCCCTGATCGGTCTTTACGCGCCCTCTTCAAACGGCGGTCCCCCAAGGTTTTCGGATCCGACGCAACAGTACCCGACCGCCGGACGCAGGCACAAGATGAGCTCTGGAGTTATATCGAATCTTGTCATCGAGAGAAGAATCTCGATCCAAAACGTGCTTGTCTTTACAAGATGGACACAACCGGACTGTTCCTCAATCCAGACCCGCTTGATTATCGTCCTTCAGCAGAACAGCCGCAGGTGCCTTATTTTGAACCATATATTCTCCGCGAAGCCAGTGACGCCACTGATGATGATAAACTCAGCCTGGCTTCTCCATTCGCTGGCACCGGCGTATTGTTCACTGCTAACTCCGACCCGGAGAATAGCCCGTCACGCGACTGGCCCGCACTGGCGCCCGCGCAGCTCACAAAAGCGCAGAAAGAATGGCTATTGGAAACGGAGTGGGCGCAGAAGGCATTCCTGTTGTCATATATGCTCGCTGTAATCGACAACGCGACCACTTTCAATCTGGTACATACCCTGCATATCTCCCGCATATCTGACAGGTACCTCGATTTGCTGGACCGAGCGGACTTCTGGGACGCGTTGCCCAACCTGAAGAAAGTCATCTTGCGTGCGATACCAACCTGGCGCACAGTGCGCACGGATGAAGCAGGTTTTGCTAAGGACACCACTATCGACCCCTCAGGCGGCGTAGACAGCTTCTACAACCTCTTGCAGAAACGGATCTGTCCACGGCATATTTCTCATTTGGGTGTTGGTTGGGCGACGGGCGGTGAACATGCGGAAGGAGTGCATGCCAGGAATCAACATCTCTTACCTGCGCCCCTTCTTCCTCGCCACCTGTGTACTTCGCTCAATCAGAAGACTATTGACTCAGGACTTCTTCTGTTTCCTTATGTCGGATCACTTACCCTCGAGAATTGCTGGATCATGCCTTCCGTCTTGGAACAGTTCGTCAAACAGCACGACAGCCTGAACCTCGAGCACTTGGAACTGGACTCAGTGTCCCTCATCCTGATCCCCGAAGATGGAAACGGCCAGAATGCTCAAGCTGGCGGACCGCCACCCGTGCTCCAACAACTGGTCGACTCGTTGCGTGGACTGATGCGGCAAGTTCAAGGGGTGAAGGATGTCTTGGTGCGGCTCAGTGCCTTCGCTCAGGGCTCCACCCAGTTCTCCCTCACAGACGATTGGCAGGGCCGAATGACCCAGCTGCGAGCGCAGATGTCTCGCCTCGGCCCGATGATTTGGCAAATGCAGCCGCCGCTCCAAACGGCGCTGTTGCTCGCGTTCCACACTGTTAACAACTCGTATGAGCATCTCAGAACTCAGCAGCAGCGAGTGGATTCTGGTCTTCGTCAAGGGTTCAGGTACTGGTCGGGCACGTCTGCGCAGCAGGCTCGAAAGATCGAGGTCCAGGAGTACCAGCAACTCCTTCAACGACTGGGGTCATGGTACCAGGAAACACAAAATCTAATGGCAATGGTGCCTCAAGTAGGCAACGGTACGGACGCTATCAACGCACAGGCGCAGCTGAGAGCACGACCCCGCGCCGGGTCGTGGCTGAGCGTGCTTGACTTCATCTCGCCTGGGGTGAATCTCGCCGACTACGGTTCCGAATTCTCTCGAGCGGATGCAGAGCGCGGGACGGCTCTAGAGAGCATCTCTCTTCGGTCATGCGGTTATGCTAAGATCTTTACAGCTGCCCTGAACGGGGGTGTCTTTGCGCGCCTTTTCAGAGATCCATTGCAACAGACCCGGAGGATCAACCTACTGCCGGTGATGTTGAACGGTGGGGCGTGGGAGCTGCTGGGCGATATTGTGCAGGACATCAACGAAGAAGAGCTTGCAGCTTTGAACGCCGCTTGGGACCTGGTGACGGGGTGGGAGGATGCCGAAGCGTCCGAGGGACCCGAATATGATGGGTGGTTGCCGGGCGGGACGGGCAGGTTGACGGGCACTATCCAGCGGCGACTGTCGGATGACGATGTTATGGACTCGTCTTCCTAAGTCGCTGTGAACTGCGAACGGTATGGCGCAATCTGGGATGGGTGATACCTAGGTATATGCGTGGTTTCCTTCGGCACGGGATAGACATTTTTAGGCATGGGATGGGCACTTGCATATGGCTAATGGATATAGGTAGGTATGGCTCATTGGCTGGGAGGGAAATGCGTCTCAGGCGTTCATGGTGGGATGGGTATGCGTTGCGGTCTTTATTTGGTCTATTGAGGGAGTGAGGGTTCAGCACTCCGGGCTCTATCTCGTGCGGATATACGTCTCGCCGCAACGCGGATAATGGGGCTCTATAGAGAACGAGGGGCTCATCGGCGGAAATGCACGCCGACTAACCAGGGGAGACCTTATTGCTCCACCGTATTATTTTTTGACCTGCCTTGGGTATCATCCCTCCTTTTCTTCCCCTTAGATGGTCTTATGAAGCTGCATATCGTTAACATATTGCTTCCCACGTCTCTTAGATGCTTTCCCGTCCTCTGCACCAGCATATCTATCTGAAGCCGAGAATCGCCACCCTCTTCCTCGGTAAGTTTCCCTATTGCTAGCAGTAACATCAAACCCCAGCGCATCATTCCTCCTCTTGAATAAACGGATTCGATATTTCCTCACTGCCGTCCACGGGAGAAATGACGACCAGCAGCGTGCCTCGCGCGACTATGAGGCCGAGTTTGCGGTACCGCACGTTCCCTTCTTCGTCTGCGTGGGGGGTTTGTCAGGAAACCAAGTATGGGATGATAAGACAGATGGACCTTACCCGTCATTGCTTCCCTCACCTCATCCAGCACCAGATTCATCAGTTGATCGTAGCCCTTCAATGTGCCGATGACTTCCCTCCCGCCGCTGAACTTGACCGTGATTTGCTTGTCCATGTATTTGCCCAGGTCGAGGATGTTCTCCTTCTTGGGGCGCTCGGCGTGGGTCTCGCTTGCACCTGTCGCACCGCCGCGCTGGTGGTGTTGTTGTTGGTGGTGACTTCCTCCTCCTCCTCCTCTTCCGCGTCCGCCTCGTCCGCGTCCGCCGCTGGTTCCGCGGAAGGCACCGCGTTCGGAGGACATGGGGATCGATTGATTGGAGTGTGGGAGCTGTGTGGATGTGCTGTAGGATGGGGTTTGGGATTGTTGCGCAGGGAGGAGTCTTCGTCGTCGTCGTCGTCGTCGTCGTCGTCGTCGTGGGAAGCTCCTTTGCTTCTAAGATTTTGGCTGGACTTGAAATTGGATGATGCGGCACAAGCTGGCAAGCTTTGCAATTTGGTGTCGTTGAATGTCCAAGCTTTCCGCGGGAGTCTGTGCGGCGCGTTTCACAGGTCACGTGCCAGCCTTGGGAATAGCGCGTGGCACGAACTACAGGAAGGGCAGGGTGGAGGTTGGCGGGAGTCCGCTGGAGTTCCGCGGTGGTAAGGAGGGGAGAGAGAAGAAAATCGAGGAGATGGGAAAGGATTTTTGAGGGCTTAAAATACGGCTTGTAGCTATCTCATGTGCTAGGTATGCTTCTTCCAAGGTTCCCTCTCCAGCAGCGAATGGGCGGGGGCTTGGGTCGCGCTGGCACACTCCGCCCCTCTTCGAGCCTTCTCGCCCGCCCAGACAGCGCCGCCCAGGCCCGTGCGCCGTCTCTTCTCCACCTGCTCTGCTCCTGCTCCTCCTCCCTCCTCCCCCTCCTCCACTCGTACTCTCCATCACTGTGCTGCTGCTGGCATTCCCCTTAGCAACTCTTCAACTACCTTTCTCCTCCTTCATTCTTCTTGCACGACTTCTGGCCCTGCCTGCCTGACATGGCCCTTCGATGACCACTGACACGCCGTGCGAAGCACCTGACTAACGGCACGTTAATATTACCGCAACGAGAAGAGAAGCCGGGTCGTTTATTCCCGCTCCGCTGACCTCTGCTTCCACCCTCCCCAACTGCCCCATCTCCCGCCGATCGCGGTCCACCACCGTCCTCAACATCCGAACATATAACCACGCTTCCGTGTCGCTACCCGCGCCCACGCTCACAACGCGCTCGTGCCGGCTTCCTCTACCTCTTCCATGGCCATGGCCGACTCCCAGGCCCAGCAGATGGGCGCGCCACTCCACCAGTCGCCGCCCGCACAGCATCAACAGCAGCAGCACCCTCCACCACCGCAGCCACCACAACAGCACTCCACAAGCGATCTGAAGCGCAAACGGAGCCCGTCGCACGACAGTATGCACGTCGCCGCTGCCCCGCTCCCCAAAGCTGCAAAGACGCACAACCACCTGCAGATTAATTATCTAGCCCGTCAATGCGAAAAGGACCTCCCATTAATCACTGGCGACGATACTCTTCCGAACATCCTCTCCCTCCTCAACGAGTACCAAGGCGTGCTCGACCGCCATGAGTCCATGGCCTGCAACCTGGGTGCCCGCCCGCTGGGCCCCATGCTCGTCAAGCGCTTCGAGCGCCTCTTTGACGGCCCTCCCCGAGTCCTGAAGAGTCATGGTAAGGACGGCACGACGGTGACATGGCTGGACGTCGTCGAGTTTGCGCGCAACAAGCCCGAGCAGTTCCAGCTGGGTCAGATGAGCGAAGGGGTCCGCGTGTGCCAGTTCTACACCAAGCAGTGCCGGGTGCAGATTTCCGAGGAGGACTTTGTGCTCATTAGCTCGGGGATTCCGCAGAAAATGATTCCGCCGCAGCCGATTATGGAGGACGAGGAGAAGGAGCTGGGGACGTTGGAGATTTTGGAGAGGAATCTGGTGCAGGTTGCCAATCTGGCGGATCAAGGTGCGTTGTTCGGTTCTTATCTGAAGATCGTTGTGATAGTCATGCTGACTCGGTGATAGTCGCTGCGAGGACAAGACAACTCAATCATAGACTGAAAGGGAGGAGACAAGCGATCCTAGACAGACGGGCGTCGGCCAGCCCTGCACCCCCTATGCGTGCCTCGAGCCCCTCGAATGTTGCGCTGATGAACGGCGCCTCCTCCACTGCTCCTCCGGGAGTCCCCAGCATGACACCATCCTCGCAGTCTTCTCCAGGTGGTTTTGTGGCGATCAATGCTCGCCAACATGCGGACCAGAATGGAAACGGCACTTCTCAGAATATGCGCCATGATCTGCTAACCAAGTTCCATACGGTTCACGACAGACGCTCGACATCCCAACCTACAAACGCACCACTCGATGACCATCGGCTCTCGATAGGCCAATCCGCAGCTGCAAGTGCCGCCCCATCCCATCCGCAGATGGTCAAATCGGCCTCGAAATCGGCGGAACCCGTGGGCTCTTCAGCATCTATCTCCCGCGGTGCTGGCCTCTTCCCCGACTCAGAACTCCAGCATATGCTGAATTCCCCCTTGCCTATTCCTAACACCCCCTCCACTCTCATTTCAGCAGCTGCTCACCGAGCCAACCAACCTCCCGATAAGGACGACGGTGGTCCCTTCAAAGCCGAAATGGTACATCGAATGGAAGGGTTAGCTAAGGGCGAGCGTATTCTACCCCCTTGCGACCGCTGTAGAAGATTGCACATGGATTGTCTGAAGAATCTGACGGCTTGTCAGGGATGCACCAAGAAGCATGCAAAGTGTTCGTGGAGGGAGGTGAGGGAGTCGGAGTTACCAGGAAGGTCGACGATATTCGTAGCGGAGAGGGTGGGTGTGGAAGGGGAGCACAGCGCTGAAATGCACGAGAGGGGGAGTACGGCCTCACCGGCAGGCGTAAGTCCGAACAATTATGGCATGCCGAGTCCGAGCCATGTGCATGGTGGGATCCCACAACAGCAGCAGCAACAGCAGCAGCAACAGCAGCAGCAACAGCCGTCGCCTTACCCACCTCCAGACGTCCGTAGTATTCCGCAACTCCCGTCCCCACCTAGAGCAACGGTGACAACAACATCGACAACATCATCAGCAGCAGACGCCGAAGCCCGAGATCGAGAAAGCCGGGAGCGAGATAGAGACAGAGATACGCGCGACCGACTCCAGGAAGCAGCGAGATTGAGCCTCGCGCAGCAGGCCGCGCATGCCCAGGTTACCGCGCAACAGCAACAGCAACAGGCAGCGCATGCACAGGGGAAACCGGGACCTGGAGGGGGAGCGGGGCCGGGCCATGGTGATGGGACGGGCACGCAGGCGCAACCACAGACGCAGTTTCAGGCTATGGTTGCGTAAGGGGAAGCAGGAGGAGGGAGAATTCATTCGAGCACGAACAGAACGAACCATGGCGAAAGCGTCAACCTCGACGCCTTCAGATTTCACAGCGATCCACTAGTTTGTTGTTTTGTCATCCGCTGTCCTGCTGATGAGAACGGTCACCAAAGAGATTCAAAGGATTGAATCGGATGTATTGCTCGGTTCGCCGTGTCGGGTGCTGAGTATTATCTGCTGTATGTGGATTGTTTGCGGGATTGTTCGTCACGATGAATACACGACCTTGGGAGGGAGAGGGAATGCGAGAGGGGAGAAGGGGGTTGTTTGATACCATTTTGTTTGTGGTTCTCTTCGTTTCGAGTTACTATATGTAATTGGTTGATTATACGTTGTTTCGGGTGGGTTGGGTTTGCTTTGGTTTTGGCCGGAGGAAAGAGAAAGGAACCCTTTCTCCGAACCCTTTCTCCGCTCTTCGTCTTCGCCTTCTTCATGCTATACTTTGATTGGTATATTGTCAATGATGATGGTTGTAGGAGGAAGACGGTGCCACATGCATATGGCTAGTCCATCGTCATACAAGACGTTGCAGCATGGAGAAATAAATGCAGATGTATACTGACTGACCGAGTTGTCCTAATTACTGACTTCTTCCATGCAAGAAACCTGGTATCGTACACAAGGACGCTGACGCATCTATGCAGCATGCTATCCACCTCATCCCTCCACCTCATCATTATCCTCACCCATCATCTCCACCGCCCTCTCCCTCTCCTCCATCCTCCCCATCATCACTCGAATCCTCATCCTCGCCCATGGGCAGCGGCAATAACTCATCCCAATCTTCCTCACTCTCTTCCTCTTCCTCTGACTCCTCCTCCTCGACCACCTCAGCGGTCTCTTCGCCACCCTCGGGCCTACAAACCCGACACTCGACGAACAAACTCGCGCAAAACTCCCTCACCGTCATATTCACTCTCGATCTACCCGTCTCGTCCACCGCCGTGCCAACAGGCATAATGGCATGGTGACGAGGGCAGAAGAAGAACCATTCGCCTTCCCTGCCTTCCCATTCCCTTTGTCCAGCGCCTTCTGCATTTCCATTTGCATTCCCAGTCCCATTTGCACTCCCACTGCGCCTCCGCCTCTCGTTACCCATCCCCATCCCACCGCCGTCCTCACCAGCAGCAGCTAACCTCCCCAAATAATTCTCCCCAATCGCCAGCCCCACCCCGGCCGCGGAATCCGCCCCCGCCTCCGCCCCGGCATCCACACCCTCATGATCCAGACTAAACGCAATCTTACTCACCTTGATCCTCTTCCTCCTCCCACCCTCCTCATCATTCTCCACCCCATCCTCGCCCATACCCACAAACCCCATGGCAGCGTGAAACCACACCCAAAGCGGATTCCACAACGGATCGCCCACGGCTTTGACGTGGATCTCGAGCCTCTTGACGCGCGTGGCGGAGAGGGACGAGTGCAGCGCGGATTGTAGGTGTTGGGCTAGGGGCCAGGAGGAGGGGGACATGGCGCGCGGGTCTGGGGAGGCGAGCATGGAGGAGGTGGTGAGGAGGTGGAGGGTTAGGTTTGTGAGGGTTGGGAAGGTGGGTGGGGGGAGTGGGAAGAGGGGGGATAGGGAGGGGGTGGGGAGGGATGTTGATGTCGGGGCTAGGGATAGGGATGTTGATGTCGATGTCGACGGCGATAGCGATGGCGTTGGCGAGGGAGATGTTGGTGTTGGGGAGGAAGACGACAACGATGACGACCCGTTCGTCAACATCCACTCCGGACAATTCGCCGGCGAGACGGTAAAATGCCACATACGTTTCTTAGCCAGCAGGTCCATGAACTCGGCGTGTACGCGCTTGTTCGCCAGGATGATCCAGTTGGACGCTTTCCTGCCGGGCGGGACGCAGCAGTTGCCTTCGTGCTGCTCGTCTAGCGCTGCTGCTGCTCTTCCCCCTCTGCCTCTGCCTCTGGCCCTCCCTCGCACTCTCCCTCGTCCCCCAGCGGAGATGGATGAGAATGTAGATAGGGTGTGCGAGAGGGTTGTTAGGCCTGTGAAGCCGAGGGAACGACTCCACAGCGAGCCGCCACCGGTTTCTGCGGCCCGTCTGGCGCGTCGTCGGGATGGCGATGGGCGAGCTGGGTAATACGGGTCTTCGAGGAGGTGTTCGTAGACCATGTTTCGCAGTTCGGGCGGTAGGTCGAGGAAGCGGAAGGGCCCGGTGGGAATCGGTGGAGAGGGTGGACGGGGTGCGAGGCGCGTCCTCAGGGAGCGGAGGAGGAGGTAGGTTGCGTAGAGGAAGGTGAGAGAGAGGAGGATGTAGTAGATGCTCGTCGTGGTGGTATTAGGGAATCTTGTTGACGGAGTAGAAGTTGGTTTGTTGGTCGGTGTTGAAGGAGCGGAGGGAGACGCTGAGAGAACGATCTGTTTTAGCGTAGACAGCCAATCCGGCAGCACGCGACCGCTTTGTAGATGTCCATCCCGTCCTGTAACTGCCGCAGGCACGGCCTCGTTACCCGGAGCCAGGGCCATGGAAGACGACTGGCGCTCAGTGCTTGGCCAATTCCCGGGCTCCGATTCAGGTGGGTGATCTCCTGTTCTCACCGTTCCCAAAACCAGAACTGTGTGAATATCTCTTCTTCTCCTTCTCTGCTGAGGATATGCCAAATTGATTCTCCAAAACTGAAAGAACCGGGTGCGGCGGTCGATATTCGTGATACTCGCCTCTCAGGTACGAGCCGCCCTAAAGCTTCGAGACCAGATGATCGCTCTCCAGAATGAAATATCTCTTGCAACGAGTCACGCTGCTGCAAGAAGCAAACGCCCTCCAACTCCTTCTTACTCAATTCCAGGAAGACGAAGAATATCTTTCCAACCCGATTTCGTTTCAAGGGACGATGTCAGTCGTAACGTTAACTCCGAGCGATGTCGATATCCAGGCAGAGCAGACGTCCTCAATATAAGAAAACTCAAAAAGGAGATAAGCCAGTAGCAAACGTGTCCGCAACCCATAGCCCCCTGAGGCTGTGTTGAAACTGTTAAACTGAGATTTGAGCTGAGGTCGACCACAAGCGCCCAGGCACCCACATGCTCACTCACTCAATACGAAGCGGGCCTGAAACGGAAAGGCGCTTGCGCTTTCCCCGTTATGGTAGGAGGCGTTGGCATCACATGCGTGCACTGCCACAAAAGCTCTGGGTCCCGACTGGGCGTGTGGCTGGATAGTTGAGCATTCACTCTTAGAGGAATGAGTTTCTAGCACTGAGAAGTGGAAGCAATATCTGTCCCATACATAATGGAGCCAAGCGGAGACCCTATGATACAATTCTGATATAAAATGTTTGCATCAATTCATGTCCTTTCCCAACTCCGCGCATGTGCTCAACCCAACCATTGCCTAGACATACAGAGTAAACAACTAGCTGAGGTATAATGCATAGCAAGTAACATGTGAAAAGAACTCTCTACCTTCTGTCACACTCGATCGCTCAAAATCCCGGCAACTGTCCATGCCCCTGAGCCGCACTCCCATTTCCATGCACCTGGGCATCTCCCCACCTGACCTGCGTCTCCGTGCCCATATAATCCGGATTCGGATTTCGCGGCGCCTCATACACGCCACTATGCAACGTCCTATAGCAGAAATCAGCTCTCTGCTTCGTCCCTCTCTGCTTCGTCCAGCATGCGCAAGGAAAAGGTACTCACTCATCCCCTGCAACCTGCATCGGATGTCTCACATCGTCCCCCTTCTCCTCCAGGCTCCGCCTCTGCTCCTCCATAGCCTGCCATACCGGATGCCCCTTCGGCGGATCCTTATGCAGTTTGTGCCGTCCATCAGGACCTTGGGCGACGCGATGTTTCTCCATACTACCTGTAGGACTAGTGGATCCATCTTGTGCAGCTGCAGCGTACTCCTTTGACGCGCGGGGACTCTGTTCAGGGGTAATGGTGTCCTTGTCCTTTTTATCCTTGTGCAGGAAGCCAAACAGGTGGTGCTTCTTCTCTTTGGGTTCCGGCTGCTTCTCCGCAGTGGTGGCATGCTCAGTTTCCTCCCTCTCCCTCTCTTCGGCAGCCAGAAGCCTATCATGTTCTCTCTGCTCCCTCGCCCGTTCCTTCTCCTGCGCCTGCTGCTGAGCAACAAACGCCTTATGCTCTTCTTTCAGCCTTCTATCCGCCTGTTTCCTCTCATGCTCTAGCTCTCTTTCATAAGCCTTCTGCTCAGCTTTTTGCTTCTTCTCCGCCGCTTTCGCCTCTTCTTTCATATGCTTCTGTTCCGTTTTACGCTGGTGCTCAAGTTCCTTTTGCTCGGCTTTCTCACGCGCAAGGCGTTCCTTTTCCGCCTGAACCTGTGCTTGAGCCTCCACTTCCCACTGCTGCTGCTGTTCATACGCATCTCCCGCACTCGCACCAGCCACACCAGCAGCAGCGCCACCTGCTAGTGCGGCATTACGGCCATCATAATGTTGTTGCTGCTGCTCACCCGCGCCCTTTTGTTGATACTGTTCATTGGGATACTGAACGGAATCGTGACGGCGGTGGAGGTCGCTCTTCTCGGTGGATGGCCTTGGAGGGGTGTACAAGTCTGTGCTCGCAGCTCCAGCTCCAGCGGCATGGAATGCTGCATTGCCACCTTGCTGGTTCGAGCTCTGGTTTATCGGATTTTGCTGGACGGGCGGCTGAGACGGCTGGTAAAGGGATCTCTGTGGATAGGGTTGCTGCTCAAGAGTTTGATTGGGGAGGGGAGGGTGTGGAGATTGCTGATAAAAGTGCTGGTGGGTGTGCTGCTGAATCGGCTGCGGCGCGGCTTGCTGCTGCATTGCTACCTGATCACTGCGTCCATATGGCGCAGTCTGCTCAGCGTCGTACCCTGGCTTCCGAGAAGCTGCGTAGAGCCCAGCACCAGCGGCGCCCACACCAACGGCCCCAAGAGCTGTATTCCGATCATGGTGATGATCTGCATCATGGTCTGCTCCGATCCGCTGAACAGGGTGCACAGTAGATTGTTCTGGAGGGAAATGTTCAGTCCGCTTTCCGTCATGTCCAGCCCCGGTGGCACCTGCGGCAATAGCGACATCTCCGTCATGGTGGTGATGACTAGGATAGCTCGCGTCATGAGCACCTTGAGCAGAGGGGTCGTACCTCTGCTCGTCCAGAGAAGCGTGAGTCTGAGAAATAGAGTGTTCCATATACTTGTCGACGATCTGGTCAACATCAGACTTATCAGTGCGTGTAATACCCACTTCATGGCCGCTAACCTGGCGTTGTTGGGCTGGTTGAGCGTTCGAGCTGACGGTCGGATTCTGCGCGGTTGTTGCAGTCATAGGCTTTGATGGATCCCGTTGGCTGGCATAATGAAGGCCTCCGGTAGCAACAGCACCGGCACCTATAAGTCCGGCGTCAGGGCCATAGTGAGGATGATTTTCCTGCAGATGGTCGACCTGGTTACGCGAAGTATGTTGTGCTAACCCAGGTTGGAGTTCTGATTCGTGGAAGGGTGCGGTGGAGGCTGCTTGGGGCCCCGATGGTTTGGAGTCGACGCGAGGGTCTATCTTCTGGGAAGTGTAAGGATTAGTTGGCATAGCCGTTGCCTCCTTTTGGCTTGATAAAGGATCTCCTGGCTGATTGCTCATTCTGTGCGCACCCGGGAGGTAGCTTCCGGTGTCCATTCCACGTTCTCCAGGAGTCTCGATAGGCGTCTCAGGGAATCCACCCGGAATATGGAGTTTTGGGTCTAGGCGGTTCGCAGTATCTGTGCAATGGGGCCCAGATGTGAAAGGGGCAGATCCGCTATCTCCCTCTGTGACGCATGGATCTACGGTGCGATCTGTAGACGGACCGGAATACGCCGTCCTTGCTGCTGCCAATGCCTCTCCATGGCTCTTGATGTTGAAGCTCTCAGTACCGAAATGTCGCTCTGCCTGGGTCTCCTGATGGGATGGTGTGCCAGTCGCTGCTAAAGCTGCAGCAGCTCCAGCAAGTGCTTCTCGACCGTCAGTACGACCGAGATTGGATTCAGCTGTAGCGTCACGGACATCCTCTGCAAAAGCGGCATGCATCTGTTGAGCCCTGAAGCAGAGTTAGATTCGTGACATCAACCAATGGGTAGCGAGATGACTGACCCGGGGATGGGCTGACTATCAGATGTTTGTGCCTGATCATGAGCTGTATGGTTGTGTTTGTCTTGGGGCAGACCAGCGACTCCTGACTTGATGCTGGCAGTACTCGCTTCGTCTGTGGGATTTCTTGGACACAGTCCGGTTGTAGTCGGATGGCCCTGCTTTGACGATTGACTGAGATACTTCCTCGAATCGGCAGATATTAAGTTTGTAGTGTTGGAGAAGTGAGGGGCATTGCCAGTAGTGTAGGTAGGAGTACCAGTTGTAGCTGTAGGAGGTGTGTCGAGGGTCTTCCGGCCCGTGAACTCGTCATAGATGGGGTGGAACCTATCGGGTCAGCACGCTGGATTCCCTGTTGAGGGCAGGGCTATGGACTCACTTCTTTGGTTGCCCTACAACGGGTAACGCAGCTGACTGATGGGATTGTTGGAGATGGCTGCCTTCACCTTGACCACCCTTCTTGGAACTGTGAGAACTATGCTGAGAGTTAGCATGACCTTTGACTAGGGAATGTCCGGACGAGCACTCACAGCACGTCCCTGAGACCCATGTCGAGAGGTGATGATAGTAACCTGGCGATGCTTCTGGTATTGCAAAGCTACGACGAGGATTGAGTAGCAAGCTGCATCTTCAAGTACTGTAGGCGGTAGAGAAGACACGGCATAGCCATGACAGCAATGACCTCATCGACTGTACAGTCATCACGTTGCATTGGGGAACGCACCTGGGCGGAACTTTAGGAGCACATCAAATGCGGTTTCCAGCTTAGTGATTTGTAGAGCAACATCAGTTGATCCAATCCGATTCTTGGAAAGGGGCCAATCTCGGCCAAGCGTGCACTCTTCCCCTTCGCTTCATCCTCACGATCGCCGTCTTCCCTGACCTCATCTGGGGCTTTGCCGCCTCCAAAAAGCCCAGCTGCGCCCGGTTGCGGACATCTGGAACCTCGAGGATGGGTGATGGCCATCGGTGGTGTCGGAACAGAAATGGATGACGTCGTTCTGTCACGTGATAAAATATCTCTAATATGGTTAGCATACTCGGCTGAACCTTGAAATCTTGGAAACCTTGTCCAGGTGGAATATGCATGACCGCGTGACCGTCGCACAAAAAGGATGCACACATCTGACGGCCAACTCTCATCCACATCACATCTTCTGTACTCTGTACTCGCCGCTGCTTTGTTCGTACTCCCAAGCAGCCCCAACGTTATTTCGACGACCGCCCTCTCTATCTCCGTCGCTCCTGTCGGCTTTCCGGGTTCGCCCTTTCCCCCGCCTTTAGCAAGCGAAAATTTCGCGCATCCGCCGATAACCTCCCGCGCAGACACCATGTCTCCACCCACTCCCAGCACACGATCCCACCCCCTTTTCCGCGCGCCGCTCGCCCGCGCGAGTAGGCCTCCGACCTACAAAACTGCATCTACGCCCTGCCTTGGATGCTGTAGGTGATCGCTCCCGCTCTGCGGACCGCCCTACACGCAGGGTTCCGTCCACATTCGCCATTTCGGTGCCCGTCTTCTCTCGGACACATATAGCGACTATTCTTCCTCCTAGAGCGAGTCGTCGGTCAACGCCATTCAACATAGACGCCAGCCAGGCGTAAAACCCTCAATTGGTCATTTCACGAGCGCACTTGGGACGTCACATCACGCCGTTGAAGCGCCGACGCACCATACCGCGATCAGATTGACTCCCGCGACAGCCGGACGCCAAACGCATGGATAGGCCAAGCTCTCCCCGCTCTCGCGCGCAACATCCTCCGCTCAATGCACGACTCCTCCCAAACCCGCCGTTAGTCGCTCCAGACACCTTTTAAGGAAAAAAAAAAAAATAAGACTGCAAGGCGTAATAGCCCAGCGGTCAGAAAGAATTTCCACATTTGGATCCCCTCCGCGCTCGATTCCCGCTCGAGTCTCCTTCCGCACGCCATTATACGTTCGCACCGCTTTCACACGCCGCCACATATCGCACGTCCACAATGCCCGGCCTCTGTGGCACGCTCGCCGACCCCCCCAAGAACATGACAGCCCGCGACCGCCTACGCTGGTACGCCTATTGGCCGAAACGCGTCTTCAGCCGCAACCCGAGAGACCGCGACCCACGATTCATCCGACCCGGCGAGAAGATGCCCCGCCTCAAGTACCGCCGAACCCCCGACCCCGAACACAAGGCGGCTCTCGAGGCGTGGACATGGGAAGCGGCGTGGAGCGACAAGCCCCCCGAGCTCCGGTACTCACCCCACGGCGACTGCTACTCCCCAATGGGCACGCGCCTGCCCACCCCACCGACCAGCATTATAGGCGTTGAGCTGGAGGAGGAGAAGAAGGAAGAGGAAGAGGAGGAGAGGAAGGAAGAGGAAGAGGAGGAGAAGGAGGACATGGGAGTGGAGGTGGATAGTGGAATCGGATCGTTGGACTAGAGGTTAATAGGGGGAAAGGGGAGTCATTGATATTCGGGGCGTCACAGGTAGATTAGGTGGGATGAATAAATAAAGAGATTGGGTTCAAGACACAAGAATGAAGAGATGGGTGTCTAGCATCAAGAATAGAAGGAAGGGAATGTCAAGACTGTTTGCTTTTTTGTATAAAAGGGAAGGAGTTGGGAGTTTCTTTTGGCGTTATCTACAGCTGGGGCGTTCTAAGGTAGCATGTCCTGAGGCGGGAGGCGGGAGGAGGCGTTTTTTTGGGGGGGTGGGGGGGGGGGGGGGTTCTTGCTTGCTAGCAATCTTATTAGGGTCTTTAGAGACCTAGGTTTTCTGTGTTTCCACATCCTAACTAAACACCGCACTTCGCTTCCTCTGTAGATTAGATTACCTGCACCATGCAAGCCTACTGCTAGCAACCTATTTAGCATATTAGAAGCTTACAGCTTAAGTATGGTCTTAGAACGGGACAAGAAGCAATGTAAAGCGTATTACGGGTGCTGTTATAACGTGAATACTAAGCGAGCTGTCAATCTAAGCGAGCTGTCAACCCAACCAACTTTTTGGCCACCTGTAGCACGATAGCTCAACAACGCATTGAAATAATAGATATATAGTAGCTATATAGTCTTAATTGCTATCTGATATATCTTTCTTGCATGTATGTGAATTGTGTCCTTGCTCTCTGCACCGTTTACAGCGTGCCAAAGCCTGCCGACTTACACCTGCCTCCGCTCTACCCTGACATCTCTTATCCTCAATCTGCCTCTCTGCCTCTCTTTGAGTAATTATATCCTCACCCTCTGCCTTTGTTAAGATACCTTGCTTTTGAATTCGCTTCCTTTTACGCTCTCTGTGCTTTGTAGCTGCCTCATTTGCTCTTTGAAGCTGAGCGACCTGATCGCATAGCAATACCCTGGAATAGATCATCAGCTCAGCGCCTTTGGCAAGCCGGTCGATCGAATCAAGAATGGAACTAGGTAAGCTATTCTGATGCCTTTGGATTCGCTCGCGAATTAGAGTTATTTGAGACTCAAGTTCATATGCGTTGCTTGGCGTTTTGGACTCCCATTGATCAACTGGCTGTGCTGGCGGTATCGGCATACGAAGCTTGATATCCAGCTTTGACAGCACTATATCCGGGTTGAATGGAACTAAGCTAGTGTCTTGAAAGCTTGCACAGATATTATTCTTATTAATTGACTTATCAAAGGCTGCACGGAAGGCTGGCAGGAATTCAAGCTTAGTGATGTGGTTGATATGGCTCCGGATCAGGCAGTCGACCTCACACCCGTATGCCTTCTTTAATGGCGAGAAACAGCCAACGTCAAGTGGCTGTAGAAGGTGCGATGAATGTGGCAGCATACAGAGTGTGATAATCTTGTTCTCCTTGCAGATAGCTTGGAATTCAAGTGAGTCATGACTCTCATGGCCATCAAGAATCAATAGCTGATGTGTGCCGACACATCGACCCTCTGTATGCTTGATAAAGTGCCTCAGCCACTCAACACCAAGCTCATTGGTCGTCCATCCATTCTCACTTAATGCAACAGCCTAGTCCTGGGGGATATCGTCACCCTCATACCATGCTGAGAGGTGATACTTGCCCACGAAGATAATAAAGGGTGGGATCGCACATCCACAAGTGTTGATACCTTGGATCACTGTAACCCACTCGTGATTACCGGGCTGGATTGCCTTCCATCATCCATATCTCTCAGAGCCAGTAACAACTAGTTGAGAGGATATCTTGCCCATCATAAACCTAGACTCATCAAAGTTGTAGGTATCTTCATCGAGGATGCCATATGTGGCTTTGACATGTCGTACAAGGTCAAACCACTTGCTGATCACGTTATAATCTTCACAAAGAGCTCGCTGCCGATCGTATGGTCGATTAAATCATGTTGTAAGGCTAGAAGTCCGCTTCACGAAATTTCTTGGCTAGTCTCTGCCAACCTGACTAGCGCCACACGTAGCAAGTAGTTGGTTGGCCATATCTTACACAGCACCTAGCGTAGGTGCAAACCCTCGTGAATCTAGGTCAAGTATATGCCTGGTAATTGCCTCCTCTTCTAGCTTAGAGAGCTTCTTTGAATTAGCCTCGCAATCGCGTCGTGGTTGGATTCCAGCACGTCGGTTACGGAGCATTGATCGAGAGACATTGAACGTTAATGCAGCACGATTCTCACTTTGAATTTGCTTCTGATTGATAGCTGAGATAGCAAGAAGAATATCTGCTTCATTGCAGCTTGGTCGGACCTTAGAAGGGTAGGACATTGTGTTTAGTCGTTGACGCGTCGCCAAAAGTTGGTTGGGTTGACAGCTCGCTTAGGTTGACAGCTCGCTTAGTATTCACGTTATCTGTAGAGTCGCTCACCACCTGGCGCACGTCCCTACCTGGCACCCGCGAACACCATTTTTCATCCAAACTTCGAACCGTTCTATCTCATCCACCATGGCAGGTATCGAGGCAGCTCTTGAAGCTTTGAATTCGCTGGAACCTGGAGAATCTTTTAACTATTCAGATTATGCGAAATTGTACGGATGTAACTGGACAATGCTGTTGCGGTGCTATCAAGGCGTACAAGGGACCTGTGCCTCCAAGGTACAGAATGACAGACTACTCAACACCACGCAGGAGAAGCAGCTTATAAAGTATATAAACAACCTTTGCGAATGTGGCCTTCCTCCTTCTCGACCTATGATACGAAATTTTATGTCCCAAATAGCCCAAAAACCATATGGCAAAAACTGGGTTGATCGCTTTGTTGCCCGACACAGCAGCGAGATTGCCTCACACTGGGCATCAGGCCTTGATTGCAATCGTTACAAAGCCGACTCTGCCTTTAAATATATGCTGTACTTCGAGCTTCTCAAGCATAAAATCGAGCAATATGATATCGATAGTCGACATATATACAATATGGATGAAAAAGGCTTCTTAATTGGACTGCTATCTAAAACCAAGCGCGTATTCACACGCAGCATGTACGAGTCAGGAAAGCTGAAGCATATCATACAGGATGGCAATCGGGAGTGGATTACTACTATAGCTTGCATCTGCGCTGATAGCTCTGCACTTTCGCCAGCGCTGATCTATCAAGCTGTTAGCGGCAACATCCAGGATACATGGCTGTAGGATTTTGAGGCATCAAAACATCAGGCTTTCTTTACAGCCTCACCTACTGGATGGACGAGCAATGATATAGGGCTAGCATAGCTCAAACAGGTGTTCGATCATGAGACAAAGGCAAAGGCACGCTCATCATGGTGGCTTTGATACTCGATGGCCACGGATCACATGTTACAATGGATTTTATACAGTACTACGATGAGAACAAGATTCTCCTAGCTGTATATCCGCCTCACAGTACTCATATGCTCTAGCCACTTGACATTATTATGTTTTCTCCACTTACAGCTTCGTACAAAGCAGAGCTTGCGGCACTTATAGATAGAGGTCAGGGCCTCACATCTATCATGAAACGCGACTTCTTTTGTCAGATGGTAAGCCAGTTTATGGACATCCCATCTGGGACTGGAGAGGAGGACTGGGAGAAGGTGTCTGTACCGGTACTGTCTGAGGACATGTGGCTAGTGATTCTG